GCATCCGTTGGGCGGGGCCCTGATCGGCACTACGTAATGCTTATCCATGGACCATACGATTGTTGCATTGAGAGAATGTACTTGTACCGAATCGATTGACTGCGGAGTATCCCTACCCTCATTTTCTTTGTCCCCTATACTTACCCTATTGCCTTACGCCGTAGTGGTACATTTTATCTACCTACGTAGGTGCTAGGTTCTAGGTGATAGGCGCATCCGTGGCTAACCCTTCCTTGGTTCTTTCAATGCGATTGCGAGTTCCTAGCTCTTATTACCTAGTACCTAGGTAGGTATGACTACAATATGTATTGTGATGTGTGATGGATTATTCAATCTTCTTCTCTTCTTCTTTTCACATTCCTTTCTTGGGGGAGTAAGCAGCCAGACAATCGGAGAACTCGGTGGTTATAATCCTAGCTCGGAGCTATTGGTCTAACTCGTAACCGTCCCCTAGCCTAAACCGAATAACCATTTCGAGACTTGCACTCAATGCGAAGACTTTCTGCTTTTCTTTTGCGGTGATCTGGGTGATCTATTGAAGTGGGATCCATGGTGGGGTCCCAATTTGCGCTCATCGCACGACGAACCACCTAGACGAACCACCTAACGCTAGACAAACCCCTTGAACGCGGTTGTGGTCGGCATTGTCGCATTGTCGCAGAGTCGCAAGTTATTGCGTTTCCGCGTGTTAACCTGTTCTGGGTGTCGCAGTTGTTATTTTTCAACAAGAATCTTCTTTTTCTAAGGGAGAAGAAATTGCGGTGAAGAGAGAGAGAGAGAGTTACTAAGTATTTTGGATACTAGTTTTTTATATACTTACTCAGATGAGTAAGTAGTGTCGTGTTGAATTCAGCCCCCAGCCTGGCTGAGCGGTGGAGTGTCTTTGTGTCTTCACCTAGCCTCAGCGTGAAGCTAGTACTGTAAATCCAAATGCGAATGGCGTGCTGGACGAGTATGTGACTCCTGATGCAACACCATCAATTAGTCGCGATGCCGCTCCGGTAAGGCTGTCCCTATCATTGCTAGAGTCATCAAGTTTCGGTGTTGTCCCCGGATACAGCAATGATGACAACCACCCTCCTTGAAGAACCTCTAATGGCAAGCCTCTAGCCTTGCTGGAAATGGCAGCGTAAGCAGCTGATCTTACACCTTAGTCCTTTTAAGATTTTCGTCCTTACCTCTATCGGCGGGGTCGGCGATGTTTCGAGAACGGTCTCGGTTCAGACATGTGCCATGCCTGTGTCCTGCATGGCCGATCTCGACTCTGCCCATACCATCCTATTATCAAGCTTTTCCCGAGCAACATGGCCATGTAAGGTCGTGGAGATGGGTGTGAGACGACGGTTTTGGGCTACGCTTATGTTCAATGATGCAAACTGGCGTCTTCAGGTTCCGGTGCCCGTAAAGTGTTTCGAATTGGTTGGCGGACGAGGGCGAGACACTGATTACCACCTTGTGTTGCTCACCAACTGCCGGCACCTTCTCTTCCAACTGGCAGAAGGGATCTACATGCCATCATTATCAACCATCGACCATTCGCTACTTACGCGGCTTGCGCGTTTATTAGTGATGCAATATTGATATCGAAAGTCGAAAGAGATAGGCAGATAGCCATCCGCCAACTATCCACCAAGGATAATTAGTCGATCAGCTAACTAGGGCATTGGTCTGCTTGGATTCTTCCTATCAAGCCATGATGATAGCATCTTTAAACGCTTCTCCCCGAGTCTCGCAACATAATATAAATAGCGTCTGCCGAGAAAAGCTTGGCCCCAACGGTCGCGTGCGTCCAATAATGATTCGGGGGAGCGATGATACTGCAATCTTCTAGGATAATATCGACCGAGCCAGTCAAATTGCGCGACAATCACGAGATGCTGCAGCGCATACACCTTACTGGAGGGGCAAAAAGACATTACTTGATATGGATGAATAAGAGAGTGACAGTCATTCTGCATCATACATAACATGCTACATATGGTCTTCTCGAAACGTTCGACAGCATCAAGTGCTACCATACTACAGTTCCCTCTGCCGTGATAGTCGAGAGATGATCCAGAGCATGGTTTTGTGGTTTTGTGCGACAGACGAATCTGCATGACATACAGAATAATCTGCGGTAAGATGGTACACAATGTGATACTTGATACTCTAGAAGGCTTAGGACAAAGCTTCTAGGACTATCTGGGTATAAGTCGATTAAGTACCCCTTAGATAGGTTTAGGGGGGCGGGGTTTTTTGAATGATGAGTTTTACAAAGCGATCATTAATCGGGATGATGCCATCGTCATCGTCAATTCTTCTCTTGATCACGGTCTTCCTTCGAAAAAAAAAAGAGGCTCTAAGTCTAAGGCAAGAGTGCATTAGGTACATATTAATTCTTACCTTCATTTTTATCGAACTAGAGTCGCCCGATATGCTGTACGCAGCCTTGATTCTCACTTCATTACCTAAGTGGCGAATTCGAACTCGTTATTCTCGTATGCGCATTGCCTTGGTCAATCTTCAAATTGTTTCTAGAAGGAGTTTGTTCCATGTACCTTGTAAGCGTTCATTCGCCTGATAGGTACATCCCTATTTTCTAGTGGTACCACCGCGGGCTGATAACCCCACCATTCACAAGGAGCTCAAGTGCCTGATTGGCTTCGTGCGATATCAGGTGCTTCTAGCATTCTTCCATCATCCCTTGCCGCTTTATCTTAGGACGGCTATTGTGGACAGGGGTGCGACGGACTATTCCGCAAAGGAGCGAGTTTCCTCGGATGCGATTGAAAAGTTCCTTGTGATTGGACATGGGGGGTGGTTCTCCTTCTTCTAGCGCCCTTCTAGCGTCGCGCCACTCTCCAATACGTAGTACGGTACGTAGTCTCCTATGCTACTTTTCCCGCCTGGCTGAAGCCGACCGGGGCGAAAGTGAGCGAACTGGGCGAACAACTAACGCTCTCGTTGGTGAATGATGACGGCTGTAGAGATAATCAGGCAGACAGATAGGTAGGCTTCGAAACCTAACCAGAGGTGTAGTGTTACGACAAAGCGGCACCGGAACTAGCAGGACAATCACCTAGGTATACGTTCCCATATAACACATCCCATAGCCTTACTATTGGTCTCGTCGTCGTCTGCTTGCGCGGAGGATACGATAGTTGGCTTAGGTACATGTACGTAAGAGGGCGTGGACGAAGATGTTCATGGAGAAACTGGCAACTTTCGCCCAGCCCGGATGCTTCAACGTTCCCCCTCTCATACCCCGGTCTTTGTATGTGTGATGTATGTAGGCATGTATGTAGGAGAGTAATAGATTGTCGTCGGGAAATGGTCGACAGCGTCGTTGTTGATAAGATGTATCATTTGCCTTCGGGATATAAATCAGAATCCGTGAATATCAGATACAATTCTATTCAAGTCACAAGGTCAATGTTCGAATTGCTTAGTTCATTGTAAATGGGAGATTCAATGATAGACTAAAAAAATACAATATACTTGTATCTTCTTAGTCAAAAATTCCACCATAATCGACTAGGTTAACGGGGTCCCACCTTACAACCCCGGTCCACTCGCCCGACTAGTACATGAAGTTCCTGGGTACCTTGGGTACCTTGATCACCCCCGAGAGGTGGGTACCAGTACTTGTCTCCCTTTTTCCCTTTAATCTTCCTTCCCTCTCCCACCTGCCTTCTGTTTCGAGTCTCTAGTTGTTCCATTTAGTCTCGTCTATTCCGTAACCTTCACCAACCGTTGAATTGTTAACAACTTCTTACCCGAAAGCCTTCGTTCAACCATACCAACTAACTTCATTGTTTATTCTAAATTTACTACGACCTCGATTATCGCTCCCACTTATCTGCAGGAAATAGACAGGACGTCAATTGCCACTAATACATACGACTTGCTCGCTATAACGAGATTTAATCGCAACCAAACGTCAGCTCAGCGCTTCAATTATATAAAACTACAGAATTTCGCAAACAAAAGAGCAACTTTTCGATAACGCCATTCCTTCGTGAACCCACAGTCTGCTCGTTCTGTTACGCCTGGTGGATTCAACTGTTGTGACTCGGTCCCTCCTTGCGAATCACCCGCGATCTCCCTGTTTCGTCCTTCATTCCACACACGGACTGCTGTACCAAGTGCGCCCTAGAACGAGACGACCGTTGCTTGTTGGGTTCGTTGTACCGCTTTGCTCTAGAAAATAGCTAGAAGCTCAATAACCTTTTAACCTTTCCTTGGACTACGAATTAGCCTTCGCCTAGGGATCTCCATCTGAAAGCCGAGAAGGAAACTGCTACTCAAGCTACTCCCCACCATGGTCATCGCGAATTGCTAATCTTGGAAATTATTTCAACCGCTGTACTAGGTTTCCACTGACATCAACTCGCCACTGATACGTCACTCTCCGGCAAGCGGAAGTCCTTAACTCTATCTTGAGAACCTCCCCGGAAACTTTTGAAGTTGAACCTAATCGTGTCCTAAACGTGGTTTCTCTTACCACTTTACCACTTTGGGCCCGATCTGTTTGTCCCATAGACACTTTCGAAAGCTTGAGTGTCAGACAAACTTATTTTCTTTTTTGGAGCCACTGGCAACTGTCTCATTGCCTTTGATTCACCACCGGCAGTCTGTGCTGGCCGAATTAGCACGACATTTTGGCCAGCCGGTCGACTGACTTCAGGTGTTTTGAAATTTGCTTCATTTCTGCTCCTACCCGCGCGGTGCTAGGAACAGGACCCGCTGATTGGCTGGAAAGGCCTGATATCTTGGAATACACGGGCTGCCTGCATATGATGAAGGCCGCTTGAAGATAGTCTACAGAAGCCTTTTCGTGCGAATCCACCATCTCGATACGAAACAGTTCTGTCAAACAGGAAGGTCGCCAGATTTGCATGGCGTCAGAGCTTGTTTTGGGTTAAAAATTCGCTGCGAGAGCTTCTGTTTGCTCGGCGTTACACAGCCAGGCGAATTACCCGATACTTGTTCTTTATTACTACTCTTTCGAAGGAATAATGGGAAAGTCTAGATTACGAGGAAGCTCGCCAGTCTACTTGAATCCATCCCCTACGGAGCTGTCTCCTCCGCCTTCGATTTTTGAGGACTGGGACCAAGAAACTGCAATGGACACTTCGCGCCCGACGAGCCTCGCCATACCGCGAACAGGCTCGCCATTCTCTAACCCGCCGTCACTAACAGATATTCTTTCCAATTCGGCCCCACCACCATGGACGCTTAGCTCTTTCATGGCATTTCTGTCCCAAAACCACTGCCTGGAAACCCTGGAATTCATCTTAGATGCTGACCGGTACAGGGAAGCATATTATCAGATGATTCAGCGTCAAACACCCAATGGCCCGTCGCAAATATGTTCCCTGTGGCGGAAGGTCATCGATGCCTACATTATGCCGTGTTCACCCCGAGAGGTGAACCTCCCATCACATGTTCGCGACTATCTACTTGAGCTGCCGTGCTACAAGGCGAGCCCACCTAACCCATCTGAGCTCGACGAAGCGGTTCAGATTGTCCGAGAGTTGATAAACGATTCTGTCCTCGTACCTTTTCTCGAATCGGTACTGCCGCCAGTGCTAGAGACGCGCATGGAGGAAGAGGTTCATGACGCTAGGCAAGGACGCTCGCGTCTTCGAATACCTAGGGACGTCTCGACTAGCGATGAAGCGAGCACATCACCCAGGGCATCCTATCTGCCGATGTTTATCATGGGCAGCCGCAATAGTGGCGCCGGAAACCGATCAACAGCTACTTCAATGGAGACAGTAGATGTTGATATGATGACCGACGACAGCAGCAGCCCCCACTCGTCTTCTGGGACTGAGCCAATGACCCCGCCCACTACGCCCCCTACTTCAGATTTCACGTATAATACATCGCCTAGTACGCTACAACGAGCGATTTCGGGAAACAGTTGGAAGAAGATGGGAGCGAAGTTGGGCTTGACTAGAAAGAGCAAATCTACGCGTCGCCCAGCTTCGACATCAACCCATCAACCCGCATTATGAGGGTTACAGGTCACGCCATCACCTAATGCATCTACTACTACGTGCAACAGAAGTAGCTCTATACCACCAAAACAGGAAGCTGCAGAAATCGAATATGTATCCTGGGATGATCCTCACCCCGGCGAACGATTGCAGATTCCGCTCGGAGTGCCTGCCGGACGACACAGTTATCCTCAGACTATCAGTGGAGATGCCAAGGGGGGCGTGGCCGTGAAAGCGGGGCACGCGCATGAAGAAGGGTCGTTTACGACCGGGCGTAGTGATCGCGGCCGTCGCCGTAACACTAAGCCGAAACAGTTAGAGATACCCGCCAAAGTGGCAGAGGAGTCGGAAGCAAAGGGCTTTCCGTTTCTATCCCCGCCGCCATGTAGCTTTATTGCACCTATATCACCATTACACTTATTACCTCTCCCTGAACCTCTTACTCAGTATGAACCTGAGACCGACACGGAGACGGTAGTCGGCACCGAGACTGGAACTCTCGTCAGCGATGGGGACAGATCAACCACTACCAGCCGAACATGTCTGAGTGACTTCTCTAATTACCTTGGTATTTGTCAAGGGAAAGAAGAAGAGGACTCTTCGGTCACTCTCGTTGACCCCGAGTCCTACATGCGGACGAACTCAGTTAACGACGCATACGGCTGGGAAGCAGAGCTCGACCGTAAAATGCGGTGTAGTGTCAGTTCTGAAGCCATGTGCCCCTATCGCTGCGAGTACCAGCGGCCTGATTCTGGAAAGCGTGGACTTCTCCAACGTGTTTGGTCATCAGGGAGAAGGATGAATTTTTAAAATATTTGGTCTAATTGGAAATAATGTGGTCGTCTAATCGCGACCAGAGTTGGATTAATGAAACGATTAGTCATGTCGTCTTCTTAAAGGCGACTTTTTACAAAAATTTCGGCATTGATGATTACGGGATGCATCATTTACTCGGCGTTAAACAACAGGACAACCGGGCGACCGGGTCCTTGGGCGGCAAGCATTCAAAATACACGGCTATAAACAAGGGCATAGACTGGGAATCATTGGAGGGGGTTTTTTTTTCTTCCTTTGGCGAGGCGTTCAAACTGGATTGACGAGACATCTGGATATCATTATTTTTTGCCACCGCTAGAAGATATGAAATTTCCGCTCATCACATCACATACGATCGGTCTGGGTTTAGCAGCATCGTTTCTTTTTTGGACATGCGTGTGGAAACGGGCTACGAAAGATTGTTGGGGCTCTTTGCATTACACGATCTGCATTGTTTAGAGCGGGATATTATTATTGGGCAAAGATTTTACGACGCTGTTGAAAGACGCGAAGCAATTTTTTCCCTGCGCGATAGCAGGAGCTTGTTGTCGATATACCGTAATTGTCGGGAGCGTTGTTGGATGAAGCCATGTGAATATTACAGTCTGAGTGAGGATCATTGTATATAGATTACGAATGAACAAAACTTGCCATGCTACGAACTTATTCCCACACTATTGCCTTGATATGTCGATGTGATGTTTTTTGTCGTCTCATGATTGTACGATAGTACGTTGCAATGCTAATGCTTGTGTCCACTCTTTAACATACATATCTCAGGTAAGCTACTGACCGACCCTCCATTCGTAACGTTGGATATCCCCATAGATATGTCTCGGCCACACCGTATTACTAAACCTTCATCGTTCCATCCATCACCTATGCAAACGTCCAACTTAGGAACCCATTCCGAAAGATCACATCTAGAAGCACGATATTACCTCAGGAAAAAAAGAAATGGTTCATAGTCTTTTAATTATTTAACCAGTCGACTATCGAAACCCCATTCAACCCAGACTACATTTCCCCACGCCCTAGCTAGATGAAAGATCGCTAACAGCAGCGACGTTCTGTAACGTAGTAACATAGTAGATTGGCGCGTCGAGATGTTTCCCTCCCTTTTTCAAAAGGGAAAAAAGCACCAATACGCCAGAAAAAATGCCCTCCCGTCCATCCATATTTCCGTCTATGATTTCAGATTACAACTCGAGGGCTTTTCTCTTATAACAACCCTTGTTCTACTAGGTATTATATATCTAAGGTATCGTACCTATTTAAACAATTAGATACGATTTCTTATCTACACCCTCTATGGACTACTCCTCTGCAACGGGGGGCTTATCGTGCCTCGAGTACATCTTGTACTCGAGCGATGAGCTGAAGTCGAGCTTACCCTTCTCGACCTGTGCCCTCGTCGCGGACAGCATCGGCTCTGGCAGGCCCATCGACTGCAAGAATGCAACAGCTAAATTAACGATATTGATTAGTGCTCTATTACTATGATCAAGAGTGAAGGGGGCTGCGTGTTCAAGAACTTACTGTCTTTCCATTCCCGTTCTTGTCTTGTTCGGTCCCATTTCAACTCCTGGCTCATGATATCGATGATCTTGGGGAGACACTCTAGTGCGGCCTGGGCGTTTAGGAAGGCCAATCTAGTTCTCCGTGCCAGGATGTCAACGGCGGTCTGGGCGTATTCGTTGGTAATGGCGTATCTGATCTCGCCATCTACGAAGGGGTAGAGACGGGAGATGCGCTCTCCCCTCGCGGGGAATCGTAGGTCCGTGGGTTTGCACATAGCCGCAACCGTCCATGCTCGGTCGCCATAGCTCTCAGTGAGATGCTTGGCAACCTCTGTTTCGACACCGAAATGTTGGATCAGGTTGATGAACAAGGTTTTGCTAAAGCCATGAGCACCAACCAACCGAACATTATGGGTTTGGCAAGTTCCATTTAGAATTGCACCATCATCCACAAACGCCGTTCCGCTAACTCGTGGCGCGTTAACGAAAGGCTTGGTGGGGAGATTGAATTCTTTAACCGCCGCATCCACACAGTCCTCTGCCATCTGTCTGTACGTCGTCCATTTTCCACCCGCACATGTGACGAGACCGGAGTCAGAAATATCGACGAGATGGTTCCGAACGAGGGACTGTGTATTCTTGGCCTTAGGATCTTTGACAAGGGGGCGAATTCCAGCCCAAGCTGCAAGCACATCGCCGCGGCGTACACTGATATCCGGAGATAGATAATGGCTAACTTCGTTCAAAATCCACTGAATAGATTTCTCGTCGGGCAGCGGATTTGGAGAGATTTGTGTAGGCTCATCAGTTGTACCCGCAATCGTGTTTCCTTGCCACGGTAGGAAAAAGATAACTCGACCATCCGACGTCGATGGGTCAATTAACCCCATGTTCGAAGGGCTGTAGTAACCTGGCAAGATGACGTGGACACCGGAAGCCGGTGCGACAATCTCTTTGCAGTCTTGGTCATCGAGTTTCCGTATCGAGTCGGTGAATGGCCCGGTACAGTTCACGATACACTTAGCCTTGACAGTAATCGGTTCAGATTTCTTACCATTGCGCTCCGGAATCAAGTCCTTCACCTGAGCACCAGAAAGTCTGCCCTTATCATTCTTGATCAATCCAGTTACCTCAGCATGGTTTAAAACGGTAGCTCCGTATATCGCCGCAGTCATCGCAATCGAGACGTTCATCCTCGAATCATTGTGAGCACCATCATAGTATACCAGAGCACCGACGAGGTCCGTTTGCTTTAGCATGGGAAATGCATCGAGCGCCTTGCTCCTGGTCAAGAAGTAGGAACTCTCAATGCCTTCACTGCCAGCGAGGAAATCGTAGAACTTAGTACCGGCCCAGTAATATGGCGCCTTCCACCATTTGTCCAGCGGTAGCATAATTGGTAGCCACGAGCTCAGGTGGGGAGCAGTCTGCAAGAAATATTTTCGTTCCTTGAGGGCTTCCTTGACCAACTGGTACTGACTATAATCCAAATTCCATACGGCTTTTTCCAGATACCTCACACCACCATGCACGAGCTTGGTACTTTTGCTGCTGGTGCCGCTGCTGAAGTCGTCTCGCTCGACAACTGCTACTTTAAGACCTCGAGTAACAGCGTCTAACGCAACACCGGCACCAGTAGCTCCACCGCCAATTACAAGCATATCATATTCTTCTTCTTCCCCATTACTCTTCCTTAACTCGGCAATCTGCTCCTCGCGCGATTTCACCTTGGGAAATCGAGGGAGCTTAAATGTGCCATCTGCGCCGTAGATGGGAGGAGGAACGGCAGGGCCTTCGAAGCCGGGGATATTTCGGGGTCGGTATGTATAAAGAAGGGCACCACCACCGACCGCGGCAATTGTGGTTGGAAGGGCAATTCGCCGCAATCCTCTTGCAAGTCTACTGGACATTGTAGAAGAGAAGGGAGTTCTGGTTACTATTTGATTGCGTCCCGTATGTTTGCACTGCTAGTAGGGCCTCCTAGTAATGCAAGGAATGGCTGATTGTGTTCGAGTACGAATGTGAGCACAATAGATAAGCCAACCAAAAATTCCCAGCTCAAGCCTCGTCAAAGGGAGGGCAGAACTTGGCGGAGGGATGAAAGATGAGCAAAAGTCTTTAATCGGCGTCGGCTACACCGATAAAAGGAATTCCGATTCAGGATTGACCGGCTCGAAGCTCGAAGTACCGAAATATGTGTGGTATCTTGAAAGAATTAAGGCAAATTTCCCTCACTCTGTGGTGGTGATAATGAAGCCGGATAGTGTTGGTACAGCGTGGGGGTGACCACGCCGTCTTTGACTTCTCGTGTCAACGGAGAAGAAGAATTGGAGGATTTGGAGGAATAATGGGGAAGACTACGTGGAAAAGTCGATACATGATCAACATCAGTTTCATATCAGATACAAAGCAACAAAGTTAAACCGAAATAAATATGGAGGGAAGCTTCGCTCTTAGGCTCCTAGCCGTGTCATTAGCTTGTGAGAAACCGGGTACCGCAACTCCTTCCCCGAAGCGAAAAGGTGAGCTACGGCTCAAACCCCACAGTGACCCGTAATTAGAATGCGGCAACACCCACATGACAGGAGAAAACCTTACGGGTGGATTGCGGTAGAAAAAAGTTGTAAAGCGCGCAACCCCGCAAAAGGAGTATATTCGTGTATCGAGATAGCTAAACAGCTTTATCGAACAGGGACAAGCCTTCCAAGATTCTTAGACCTGCTTCGGTAAGAAATAGCCCGTCAATCAAAGCCAATTTTAGACAGGTACAATTTCATCATATTGCTTTTATCACCTGGAAATTGACTTTATCCATAAATAGTGCTTTGCATATAATCTTAAATCTTATGAACGTGATTGGCAAATTACCAAGGCACTCAATATCCGTATGGGAATTTCAACAATTACATATGTATGAACAAACAGGGGCAATCCACCCAACACGGCTTTTCCTCTCCACGTGCGCATCTCTCATCATGCAGCCAATGATACTCCGAACGAAGACCCGCATCACCTAGATTGTTGAGGATTTTCATCATAAATCCTTTTCATTACGCACTTGAATACCTATATACATACGATGATTATTATATGAAGTCGCCACCATCTCATGGTTATCTACAACATACATGCGACTATGTTAACGATTGCGTTGGCGACCCAATGTCGTGGGATATCAAAGTCCGTCGACGCAAACAGCGAAGAGCTCGTCAACGAATGTAATCACTTCGTTGACCTTCTCGCGTTCAGCCACAATCGAGCCAAAAGGTGTCCCTGTTCGTGTAACCTCTATGCCAGGTATAACGTCCATCTCGAAATCGAAACCCGCTCCAGCCTTAACCATCGTCACTCGGTCTGTGCTTGTAACGGCTTTCGATGGAACAGACAGCTTTCTACCTGGATCGTCGATTTGGCTTATGTCTACCTGGATTTCTTGAGACACCATGATGCCACCCAATCCAGCCAAGGACGTGGGCTGGTATGAGCCCGTCCTGTCAGACATTGCATCACTGCCTAACCTTTCTCGGTATTGAGAGTCCTGGTTACAGAGCTTTATTGTAGAGCTGGCGTGATCTGAATCGTGGCTAGAAGACCCTCGACTTGACTGGATCTGGTTCGGGTAATTATTTCCCATAACATCATAGTTGTTGGTCTTCGACCTTCCGAGATGGCGCAGAAAACCCAAGCGATCGTGCGAGAAGATAGCTCGTCCGGCTTGTTGGTAAGTTCCTCCAGGTGGTTTAACCGGCGCCGAATTCGCGATTGGAGATAGTTCCCGGTGCACGTATCGGGCAAACGCAGCGAGCTGAGACGAATCCTTATACGCCATCTGGTGAACTTTGAAGAAATTTAACGGGATGAATTCGCACCTCGGACTGCTGGCGCTGACGTGAATCGGCATCATTATGCAAAGCGCAATCATTGTACAAAATTTAGCCGAGCTTGATCCTCCTTGTGCCCGACAAGGTACCTGGACCACCTTGGACGTCATCACAGCATCGTCGACGATGGGATCATCTATCCAAGCCCGAAGAGCTTGGAGAGCGTCATACATCTGCGAGGCAAAGAGCACTTCTCGAGGAGAAAGCTTCTTCAGTTCGTCCAGGAGGTGGAAAATAGCACCAACGTTCATTCTATCAAAGTGTCGAATAACTACAGTATAGAGAGTCAGCAATTCCATTTGTGAAGAATTCTGGCCTAGGGTCGCCTGCAGACGATGCGTTCGAAACAGGCGATAAGGGCCACGTAGGAAATGCTAGGGTATACATACTTTCCATCTGCCATGACTCGAGACGTTCAATCGGTATCGGCATAGTCGGGAGCAAGTTTCGAGTGCCCTTCTTGACTACAATATCGAATCCGAAACTCCCGACCTGCGCTTTAACGCCGAAGAAGCCTAAGTGTACGCCCGGTCTCATCACAGCGCTCCCTTCAGCAAAAGTCGCCATATTCGTCAGTTTGCCCTTCAAGTCCCTAGTTTTAATCTGCATGCGAGACCCAATGATTCCACACACTTGGTGGATCTCTGCAAATCGAAAGCCGGCTGCTTCAAGCCGATTTACGTCGTGGGCGTGCTCGAGGTGGCGAACGAGAAACATGAGCGAGCCACGTCCATATTCATGCTGTCGCATGATCCCATTCTCGAGACGTCCCCTAAACTGGCCGTAAGTCCCTTCTTCTAGCGTACAGTCGACGATGCCTTGGTCAAGCTTTTGAGGCAGTTGATTTGTTCCGGTAGCTAGGATGTCGTCCCATAAAATACCAACGTCGGCTAGCTGCTCTTTCAACTTATCTGCCAAACTCGCGGCCGCAACGCAGAATAATTCTCGGAAGATGGCATCATAATTTTCGATGGGTTGCCCGTCATCGGCAATGAGGCGAATCTTGCCATCTCGGCTACCCTTCGGCAGATGCGCCAAGTGATTAATCATGCCATCAATCATACCGTTCACACTGTTCCAGCTCCGAGAAACCTGGAACATCCAATGGAAAAGGGGGTGTGAAATACTGAAGATGTCGCCTTGGGTCCTTTCCACGTAGGTGTCTGTAATCTTCTCACTAGGTAGCAAACCGTCCGGGCTCACCAAAATCCTCCCTGACTTATCGAACACCGCAACCCCCAAGACGATTTGCTGAGCTTTATTCTCCCTGCGTTTCGTGAGCCATGACTCATAGACGATGGATGCTATTATGAAGAAGACAGCAATAATCGATAAGCTGGCGGCCACTCTGAGGTCTTGGCTCTGAGAGATTTTATCGCGTTCATTCAAGTGTACCAGACGGTATTGGGTACCTACGGCTGCGACCCAGTGCATCCCCGATACAGCCCCAGCTAACACGAATGCTGATATAGCTCTTTTCCACCATGTGTTCCTCCAAGATGCTCGGAAAACGAAAAAGAGAGATAAGGCCACGGTACTATCAAATATAGCGATAATGGCTGCTCCCGTCACATACACTGCGTTATATACGCAATCATAGTTGTTGATGGAAAGGTTGCCCAGATAATGCATTCCAGAGATGCTGGTGCCAGCAAGTACTCCTCCACAACAGAGCCGCCACCAGGAGACCTTATAACTCGCACCGATAGCTACGAAAGTCGCAAGCAATACGATGACCGGTGCGAAAAATGAGAGCGCAGAGAAGCCACTTGAATAGACGATGCGGAGTTCGGGTTCATTGTGTGCTAAGACGATTGCTCGGTTGCCGGTGAAATGCTGCAACTAATTAGGCGACGGCTAGTTTATAGACGGGTAATTCGTGACGAAAAGTCTTACCATACACCAAATGGATATCCCTCCCATCGACACTGCGGCACTGACAAGTAGGAGATAGTTGGCTAAACCATTGCGGGAAGTTCGCCGGTTGAGCAGTTCGAGCGTCAAAATCGCACCGACACAAGACACGACGTAGCTTACAGTTATCAAACCGTGTTGGAATGACCGAGGGACAATCTGTCCCACGTACTGCAACAAGGTATCATCGCTTGTGGACATCGTGAAGAGCGTTTCCCGATGAAAGGGTCGATAGTCACCTAGGTGACTAGCCAAGAGGTAACTTCAGTCATCAATAAGGACTTACGGTAACGAGGACGGCATATTGCTGTTACTTGAAGGCTTAAGTTCGAATTACTTGATCATGACCTGAAAAGTGCCGGAATGAAGAACCTAGAAGCCTTCAACTCATCGGTCCTGCGATGCCAAGAGGTAGAAAGAGGGATAGCTAGGTCAACACTTCTAAGCTGAAGCTGAAGCTTAGACGTTATCCCGGTGAGCGCCACACGCATACGAAGGCGCCCTGAGCCTTGATTTAGAAGGATGATACCGAACTCGACAAGATATGTGATCACGCTACGACACGCTACGACACAGCCGTGCTAGACTAGAAGCAAAGCCAGAGTCGATGACGCCCTGGAGCCTGACTAGGTAGTGATTAGGTAGTACGGCAGTTGATTACGCATCCAGAGAACAATTATAGCAGCGTTGTCTCACTCGATAGGCTCGAAGGCATCGATTTTAAAGCGAACCGGAATCGCGCGGAAAGCATTCTCATTGGCCTTGGGGGTTTCTTTTCCTAATAGTTTAATATGAGCAAACGTGGGAATATTGATATCATGCTAATCGTGGCAGTTCCAGCGCAACGGTACTCCTATTAAGATCGCGGCTTGGCACGTCAACCAACATCCCAAAGAGCAATGCTTCTAAGATTTCTATAGTTATGTTATCTCCATGGCTGGTCATTTAATACATCAAAGCTCGAATATGGCTTGTCCATCGATGATCACTAATGTATGACCTTCTTCAACAGTAAAGGAAGACAGTCATAAATGGCGTGTTTATAGCATATGAACCGCCACTTATGAACAAAGTACTCGAGGGTAAAACTGCATTTTGGATTTTGGACTGACCATGTGTCACGATTCACAGAGATCTAATATATATCGACGGACATCCCCAGCTAGGATTGCCGCTAATTATTTCTCATTTCTATCTCAATGATCGTCTTCCTGGCATGGCTTACGTTTTGTGGACATGCTTCTATACTTGAGGTTTTACATCGAACTTGAAGATATCGAACTCTTTGCCGCACAGCACATATACTTCTTTTATAGTCTTGAATGATAGCTTTAAAGGTAAGACTATATTACACATAACAGAAGATCCCGAACCCTCAAGAGGAAGCAAGCCTTGATACACAGGGATTACTGGACTTTATGTAGATCCTACAAGGTTACGGGGTAAAAGGATGCAGGCACTTTTCCCTGTCTCTCAATCCCTGGATGATTTACGTTGTATTCCGAGATCTCATTCCCAACAATTCGGAAAATTCCGATCTAAGGGAGCCTCAGCTAGTACCAAATGAACTTGGAAAGCTGCTAGTCCCTTCGACTGTATCTTGTTAGTCGATTATTCGACCGTTCATTTATGCCTGAATTGGCACTCGACCCCTTCTCTTCGAGATTATCCAAGTTAGTGTAGATTATGGTAAAAAGGAAGAGATCAACACGCCATGGAAGCTTAGGTTAACTGCAGTTCGACGCCATTGATTTCGCTGCCCGTCTTCTCCCCGGTCATAGTAACAGCCAATAAAGAATTCCTTCTCACCTTAATCGACATAGATCAACATGATCTTGAGCGGCATGGAGATGTGAACCCGATCTCCGTTTGACGATCTTCATGCTGCTGCAGAATTAGGCCCCAACCACAAATGTTTCACCGGCGATCGGGCCAAAAGTTCCATATTTATGGTTACTCAACTGCTTGGGTTAGCATGGATATACTCGGATCCTACGGCAAAAGAAACCTTGAAGGAGTCGAGCTTGCCATGAGGTGGCCGAACTTTCACCGCCAAGATTACCAGCTGGTCGTGGCGTTTCGAAGCAGAGACAAAGCCATGTGCTTCGTGGCAGCAAGTCTCCGACATAAGAACAGGTGGGAATTGTAAACCTTGCCTATGATAGGAATATTCCAGACTCCACATGTCTTGCCTCGACTATTATCTAGGATACAATTAGCAGATTACAGCTTGCTTTTACCAACTATGATCTTTCATTAGACGCTAATTCAAGTAATTCATGAGAGCCTTTTCATTAGCAACACCTATACTCGTTTGCTCGCGTCTTCGGGGATTTTCAGCTAGCCAAGCCTCGATTAATGGCTCAAGCCCGTAGGAACTAAGGTGTGTAATCCTTAGTTGCACGAATATTAGGACCTCAGAAAACGTTGTAAAACGCTTGACCGCTTGTCATGGTTCGTTGTCCACATCGAGAGTTAAGACTCTTCCTAGGTTAGTTGCTCTGTATCGCATTATGAAACTGAAAAATTCATAAGCCGATAGCATTGCAAAAGTTCAGGGGGAAATATCTCGAAAGAGGTAACGGAACCTACCGCTTGTACAGGGATACCAAGAAAACGCCCTGAAATCCTAATGGAAATAGGCCGCCCAACCCTAAGATTTGTTGCAGTTAGCATGCCGGGCTTCTGGTACTAATATTACTTGCCGACAGCTCTGTCAGGAGTCCCGTTTACCTTCGGGTCCGTATACACGCTAAGAATAAACTGTTGGAAGTCTCTGGAACTATCGATGTTTGGGTTATTAACACATTTGCCGTTGGTCCGTGGACATGGAACATAGTTATGTATGACAGCTGGTCAAGTGATCTAGATCTCTAAGGTTCTATTCTATTACTTGACGTATCATATTTTGTAACAGGTCAATCGGGTTTTCAGATTCCCACAATCTAGATTTCAGATCTTAGACTTGACTTTGTAACAAACTACATTGCTTTATTTCTGCGGCTGCTCCTAGCTTAAGACAAGGAAGATTTTGGAAGCTGATGTTCGTGGAGGACACCGAGACTGTCGTGAATGTGATGATTCAGATCACTTAGCCTGATATTTTTCAAATTTCTTTGGGAATTTCTGCAGAAAGTCAGATCTTAATTTCCGAGTTCCTGCTGTGACAAACCATTTAGGGCGTATATCGAGCACAGGATAAAGTACAGAATCAAGCCATCAAACACGATTCGGGTGTATTGCAGGCAGGATTGACCAGACTTAAGTAATTATGTATATGAGGATGATCTGCAAACAAATCGTAAAATTGTCTTTGTAGACTATGAAGCACAAACACTTCGGATATCAAGAAAAAAGGGGTTATTAGTGATGCTTCCAAGATCCATCTATAAGAGGTACCTTTGTATTTTATAGAGCTCCACCCGCCGAAATGCTAGGCCTAACCCCACATCTGCCCCGCATACGTCAGTGATACAAGGGTTGCCGCGATGCTCAATTAGTCCCGATAATTCGACGAATTTTCATCCAGCTTCACTCAAACATTACATCGTCGCGAATCACCAAACGAGAAATTTTGTTGTTCGTCGTTTGAAAGGACATACCGATACAACATAGTATACCAAGTCCTCAATCAGAATCGCCATAAAAGGAGAGCGCCACCAAAGTACCCCCAACTCACAATCCCCTCGGCGCGCGCTCCGGGACCGGGGACCGCCCCCCAGGAAAAAGAGAGAGACAAGAAAATGTCTTCTACTCCGGAATCCGTCAAACTCGTACCTCTTCCCCCCTTCAAACCCGACCTGTACCAGCGCGCCTGGCAATCGATACCGCACCCGACGCTCCCGCTCCTCGCCACCGCGCACCAGAAATCCGTAACCGTCTTCTCGCTCACGACCCTCTCGGCGCACAGCGCGCTGACCAACGGCCACGATCGCTCCGTGCGCTCCACGACCTGGAAGCCGAATTTGGCGCCGCACAAGCTGTGCCTCGTGACCGGCAGCTTCGACTCGACGGCGGGACTATGGCGATGGACCGATGACGAGAATAACCACAACAGCAACCTCGAGGTGGAAGTCACGAACTCCTCCGACAATGACGAAAAAGACGACGAAAAAGACTGGGAGTTGATAATAATCCTAGACGGCCAAGACTCCGAGATCAAATCCGTCGCCTTCTCGCCGACGGGCCAGTTCCTAGCGACGTGCAGCCGCGACAAGTCGGTCTGGATATGGGAGGACGTAGGCGCGCGCGAGGACGACGACGAGTGGGAGACGGTGGCGGTGCTGAGCGAGCACGAGGGCGACGTCAAGGCCGTGGCCTGGTGTCCGGAGACGAACCGCGTCGGAAGGCGTGGGGGTGGCGGGGGCAGGTACGGCAGCGACGTGTTGGCGAGTGCGAGCTACGACGATACTGTGCGTGTGTGGCGCGAGGAGGGCGAGCAGGAGTGGGTCTGCGTCGCCGTGCTCGAGGGCCATGGGGGAACCGTCTGGGGCGTGCAGTGGGAGCCTAAGCCCAGAGGGACCGCGTTCCCGCGTCTGATGACGTGGAGCGCGGATAAGACGATTCGGATATGGACTTTAAAGGAAGAAGACGAAGAAGAGGAGGAACGGACCCAGCATGCGTGGGGTGGTGGTGGTGGTTTGGGAGGGATCCCGAATACGATGCGTAGGAGCTTGAAGGAGGAGTGGGAGTGCACGGCCGTGCTGCCGCAGGCGCATACGCGGGATATATACTCGGCGACGTGGAGTCCGGAGACGGGCATGGTGGCGAGTACGGGAAGCGACGGAGTCATCGCCGTTTACGCCGAGAGCACAACCAGCGAGGCGGGTCCAAACGGGACGGTGGAGGACGAGGCGGCGGCGGAGCTGGATGGCGATGTTCCTATGACTAACGGTCACGCGGAAGAGAAGCCGCAGGAGAGCAAGAAGTGGAAGGTCGTTTCGACGACGTCGGCTGCGCATGGCCCGTACGAGGTGAATCATATAACGTGGTGTAAGAGGTACGATCAGGGGTGTCCGCCGGAGAGAAGAGGTATTGAGGAGATGCTGGTTACGACCGGGGATGATGGCATTGTTCGACCGTGGCAGGTTATACAATCGTAATCGTCTCTCCTGAGGGCCGAACCAAATCTGTTTGTTGCTCGAAACTGTACATAATGGGATTACCGCGCCTTGGATGGCTAAATACCACATGTAACGAGCTACGAGCAAAACAAATCCAAGAAGAAAAAAAGACGTTGAACATTGTTAGGCACTTCTCTCGTGGAGAGAATGTGCCAACTCCATACCTACCTACTGTGCAAGAATTATTCAAGGACTTCTAGAAAACAGGTTCCGGGAAGCAAACGTCGCCAACTACTCATCTCAACTACCATTCCAACTCCCGTAACCACCTCTTTTCATCCAGCTCCTCTCACACCAACCAAGCAGATAGGTAGGCAACACCCCAACGAACGAGTCCTCACCGCCCCTCACTCTCACCCAACGGCTCGCAGAAACACCAAAGATACACCATCTTCCGCCAACAGCACCGCGAACACCACTCATCCCCACGCCTGACCCCAGCCCCAGAGCCAGTCAACGTGGACAGCAAACTCCAGCGCTGATCCGCCGGCCTTCCGCACGTCTTGCACGTCCACTGGGCCCGTTCCCGCGGCACGGGTATATCGCAGCACTGCCCAGGCAAGTACGAATCATCACGAACCCGTAGTCCCCTTAGCCCTCGACTCGGCGTCCTCGCGTTCCCTTCTCCGCCCACACCCGTCCCTATCCCTCTCTCCAAAATACTATCGAACGTATGTCTAGGCCCAGGGACAGGAGCAGGAGCAGGTCGACCGACGCCGGAACCCCGCATAAACGGATGCGTCTCCAAATTTCCGTGGCCGCTGCGCACGCCGCGGAACGGCTGCTCGGCGAAGACGGTGGAGGGGTGCGGGGCGCCCGGGTAGTGGTGCGAGGCGCGGCCGCCGTTCGCCGACAGCCACTCCGCGTACGCGAGGGGCGTGGACGGGGACTGGTGCGGCGGGTACAACGGCTTCTGCGGGTACGCGTGGATGTTAACCGTCTCGACGGCGGGCGGCGAGTGCCGCTTGCTGATGCTGCGCAGGCGCGGCATCCTAACCCCGCTTAGGCTGTCGATGGCGCTGCTCCCGCCGGGCTCTGAGGTCTCGCCGCTGACGCGTCTGCTGCTGCTACCGTGCCGATGGTTGCCGAGGGCCGGCGAGGTGGAAATGTCGTCCAGGCTGAAGGATAGCTGACGACGTAGGGGTCGGCGGGGAGGCGTGTTTTGGTTACTGGGATTTTCGTTGGGCGTGTTCTTGCTTCCGCCGCTTAGAGTGGAGGGCTGGTGCTTTAGCAACGGCGAGATGTTTGACCCCGCGAGACTGCTTCCCGTGGCGGCGGTTCGCAGTGTCGCGATGCTGCGCTGCTCGGCGATGGGCGCGAGCTCCGTGCCATGGCCATACAAGAATGGTGTCTCGAACGTGGACGTCGAGGCTGACAGTTCGAGTCTTGATAACGGTGACTCCGAATTCAGGTCAATGGGACTAAGCTGGGGAGGCGGAGTCACAGGCCTGCTTGTCTTCGTTGGTGTCGAAACCGGAACCAGGGCTGGATCTGGAGTTCGGTAGGGGGACCTAGCTGTGTCGCCTGGATCCGATGCCCAGGCTGCATCGTAAATAGAGTTGTGAGGGCTGGGTTGGCTCTCAGAGGAGTCTTTGCGGTCCCAGAGGGTCTCGGGAGAGCTTTGGCGCGTGGAGGTCTTGCTAATATTGGATCGGTTTGAAAGAGGGATGCGAGATCTATAAGTGGTGGCCGAAAGACCATTAAGGGCACGTTTAATATTGTTGTCCATGTCTCATGTTAATGGTGACGATACTTTTGCTATCTAAGTATCTGGATGATGCAAATAATCCTATGCCAATCGTTAAGGGCTCGAGGGTTAGATGCTATGATAGGGAAATATGATGTTATTCGGAGCATCAATCTTGTTTTGCGTCTACGTTGATAAATTGCTCGATTACACTCGCTGGGGATGTGCCTTCTACTCTCTTATAATAAACATCTTCACTCGAGGCAAGAGGATATTTACGTCCGTTTGAGCAGCGGCTTCCCCATACGTCTTAGTTTATAACATACTCGTACTTGCCTCGTGGTCGAAATGGCGACTACTATTCCTTCCGCTAGATTATTAAAAGGGGGGTATTAATAAATGGAAGTCAAGGTGAATGCAAGACACGCCCTTCTTTATTGCCGTCTAAACAACTGGTATCATAGTATCATTAGTCTTCCCATTATGAGGGGTTCCTATGCAATGCATTTTCCTGGCCTCCTAACCAGAACGCCGTATGCCCATGTAGTCATTACTCCGTGCTAGCCTGGATACCTTCCGCTGCAAGCGCCTTCTGATACTCTGCGATGCCTTTGTCTAGGGACTCAATCGTAGGTTCGAAGAGCGTCAATACAGCCTCTCTACCACCACGAATATTCTTGGAGTTGAACTTGATCTTTCTACCGGTACGTTCGTAGATCTGGTATATTTCCTCCTTTCTTTTCTTGATCTGTTGCTCACGCACTTTATCAGCTTCCTCGGCGACGGCATTAATTCTGTCCTTAGATCGCTTAAGAGCCTCGGCCAGATATCCAAGTTCGACGGCTCGATCGGGGTCGCCCGAGAGGAACGCTGACCAAAATTGCTTGACGAATTCTACAGTGGTGGCTTGAGTCAAGTTGCAAATTTGGGTCACGTCCGGGGGCAATCCCATGGGTGATGTCTCGTCCGAGTCGTGGCCGAAAAGTTGAGCTCGTCTCTGCGCCATACTATCGAGTATTTGCTTTTGCGCATCCTTTCGTGACGCTCTCGAACCAACATGAGCCGGCTTCTTTCCCCCTTCATCGCTTTCGCTGTCGTCATCAATACCCAGCGACGAATGGAGATCAACACCGCCAGCACTGTATTGGGCGAGGCCCTTTAAATCGCCCTGCACATCCTTAAGTACCTTCGACGGTTTCTGTTTCTCGTAGACAGCTGCTGTCTCAGAGACGGCACTAGCGTCGCTCGAAAAGAAATTGCTCTGCTCCTTGATGTTGAGAATGATACGGTTTTCTTCGACATCCCCACGAAGATCGCGCAGGGCAAGTTCTCGATAGGTGTCGTTGTCCGGCTCTACCGGAATCGTAGGATCATTTTCGCGCGACGTAGTGCTAGCAAGAAGCTTCTCGCTGATGCTGTTCAGCGTCTGAATGATGGGTACCTCCTTTCCACTTCTGGGTCGCATCTCGACATCCTTGCGGTTTCCACTCTTCAATCCACCCTGGTTCTGTTCGTTTCCTTCCACGTCAATGATGTGTGGTATGCGCTGGGATAAGAGCTTGCTCTTGAAGTCCTTGATATCGTCGTATTCATCGTACTGGTCAAAGAGTGAGTCAGGCTTCTCAAGCTCTGTAACGCGTTCACCCCTTAGCTGCTTAGACAGCTTGCTGAGGAAGAACCTTTCCCAGAAATCATTCTGTTTCACGGGAGGGACATTCTCATTGTAGATTCGTTTGACCAGAGGATGCTGGTTGAGGATCATTTGAATCTGTTCAACACTAAACTTGATCTTCAGCTCACTAGGCTTATTCGGATCATTGCTCTGCTCCATGGTAGGCTTCACCTGGGCCAGCACGTTGTAAGGGCCCTTCTTTTGATTGTTCTCAATAGCATGAGCGCGGAGCAGGTTGACCCTCGCAGACCAGAATTGCGTGTTGAACGTGGTATCTGACATGGATTCGGGTTTCGTCTTTCGACCTTCCATGTACATCTGGGAAAGGTTACGATCTGCCCTTAAGAGGGATTGCTGTAGTACGATGTCATTCTTCAAAGCTTCGTCGTCGAATAGATGTGCCTTCGTTGGCTTTGAGTTCACAGTGCTGGCGAAGGCCATTGATCCTGAGCCACTGCCCCCCGAGCCACCTGAAGGTGCGGCGGCGGGTCGCGGGATGCTGGGGTCATTATTCTTGACTTCGACAAGAAGTTTGGATAAAAGATCTCTGATCACATTGGCCTCCGCCCTTGGGTCCGAGGGAGAATTGAAATGGAATAAGTAAGCTGTTGGATCCGCACTTCCAGGGGGTTTATCAAAAATCTTTAGCATAACCTTAGCGGCACTATCGGGGGTTTGCTGAAGATCTAGCAAAAACGTTATTAGTTTGACCTTTTTATACAGTTGGAACAAATGTTCTTACTGGTGATATTTGATATGGATAACGACACCGACGGTGGACCACCTAGTGCGGTGTTGGGAGTCCATATGACATTCTTCTGATCAGGAGTGAGTGTGAGGATGCCATCCTTTTTTTTATAGGCAGCAGCGCCCGTAGGAATAGCCATCTTATGCTGTGGGATAATGTAGTGAGATGAAGTGAAGGTTAACGTCCTGTAAGCGGAAATGAGAGCTCCAGGCCTTGAGTGCAGCAGCCTCCTTAGAGGCTGCACGTGGTTCTTCTTGAGGATTTAGTACAGCAATGTCGTTGTGTATATATCGTCTTGACCTATGTTCGTTTAACGGACCTGGAATGGAGAGGAATACAAAGAGAACACCCAAGCGTGGGTGGAAAACGCTCAACAAATCACCCGTGTGACCACATGCAAGAAGTGCCTGTGCTGGTTTGCAAATAGAAATTATCGGTCGGCTCTGTTAAAAAGATTTTATTGAATATGTAGAATGTTTTGATATGATTCACTGCAGCAGGAAGAGCGTTTGAAGGCAGTCAAATACGTTATTGCACTAGCCACAGGCGATTGTTGAAACAGACCAGGACCAAGCTTTAGGTACATAGGTACATACTCCAACAAAGCCACAGAAAGCGTGAAAAGTGGCTGAAGCTCAAGGTGTTCACATGTACCTATCCTAGCAAAAAGAAACGTTTTAATTGGATGGAATATTTCTAATGCAGCAAACTGTCCAGGGTCAAGCTGCTACGTGACGACATCTTGAGACAACATCATTGAAACGGGATATTTATTGGCATGTCGTATCTTCACCGCAGAATAGTCTTAGGGTTTATTGTGAAGATTCGGTTATTCCCTTGTAATTTTCCTAAGTTGAAGTTGATATTTCCGCATCATTGAAGACAAAACCCCACTTGGAGACGTCAACGTGGAATGCGCTCATTATTATTCTTGGATGGTGACACAGACATCCATACATGAAAGCTGTGCACATACCTAGCGTACCTAACCGTGACACGAGACCATCTCATTATTTAGGTAAGTTCTGAGCACACAGTACACAAACTATTTTAATCAATTGAGTTCATGAGCATTTTCGATTGCTCTACTTAGGCACTTCTAACGTTCCAAGTTGAAATACCTATGTACCTAGGTAACTAGTTGAGTCTTTTGCAAATATGCCTAATACTGCATAAATGCAAAAGCGGTAAGTCACTTGAGCGATAAAAAATCCATTGCCAAAGTCGTCTATAAAAAAAGCCTACATAGCCTCGGTGGTTTTTTTACGGTAAGAGTCGGACCTTTCCACCGAATCAAAAGCCCACAATTAAAGCGCTGCCCTATCCCAGCTTTGTTCTGAGAGCCGAATTTAGCCTGTAATTACATTTCTATCACTTATATGCATAGAGTGGCAATCAATGAAGCAGGGTTAGTTGCATATGAAAGAGCCTTTAATCGAATAATCGGCAGCCCCGGGCCCTTCTTGGCTACTTTGATCTGCGACCGGGTGATGACAGGGGCAGTCGCATTTGCCAGTCGCTTTGCTGCATTTTTACTTTCTCCAACTTGAAAGTGTGACCTTTCCCAGTCCATCCAAGTTTCTTTCCCTTCAGCTTCAACACCACAACTCTCTTACCTAGTAAGGTTGTTGTTCATCCAGACTTACTCCGCCGCTCCTTAATCTCTTCTAGAGATCTTGGTATCTCGCCCTTCGGTAGGAGTTTTAATTAAAGTCATTATCCCAGGATTTTTACATGCCACAATAGACAAGACTCAAGAGCCTGCCCTGTCTTCCCTATCTTCCCAGTCTTCCGTACAGACCTAATACTCTTTTCTTAAAGCTGTTGAAGCATTAGCCTGGCGCCATGCTGAGCAGCACCCTTCGGTCTTCGACCAGCCAGCTCCTTAGAGCTAGCTGTCGAACTTCAAGATGCGCCACTCAAGCTTCGAGATGTTACTCTCTTAGCTCCGCCCGCCGTCCGCTTGCCGTCGCCGCCCAGAAGAGGCAATCCTCGACCACTTCCACTCCGTCTCCAAATGACAACTTCTTGTCCGGTAATACCGCGAATTATATCGATGAGATGTACCTGCAATGGAAGGAAAACCCGGAGAGTGTCCATGTATCATGGCAGATCTACTTCAAGAACATGGAGAGTGGCGATATGCCTATCCAGCAGGCCTTCACTCCTCCCCCAACTCTTGTACCCAGCGCAACAGGAGGTGTCGGACCATCTGTAAGCTTGGGAGCCAGCCAGGGTTCTGATGTGACGAACCATTTAAAAGTCCAGTTATTAGTTCGCGCATACCAGGCCCGCGGCCACCATAAGGCCAATATCGATCCTCTTGGCATCCGTAATGAGCAAAAGGGATTTACCAATGTTAAGCCCAAGGAACTGTCCCTCGAACACTACCAATTCACGGAGAAGGATCTTGATAAGGAGTTTTCACTTGGCCCTGGAATCCTTCCTCGCTTTAAGCGTGAAGGCCGAGAAAAAATGACTCTGCGCGAGATCATCGCCGCATGCGAGAAGATATACTGCGGCTCATATGGTGTCGAATTCATTCATATCCCCGACAGAGCCAAGTGCGACTGGCTAAGAGAACGCGTCGAGGTTCCTCAGCCGTTCAAGTACTCAATTGACGAGAAGCGCCGAATTCTCGACCGCTTAATCTGGAGTTCTAGTTTCGAGTCTTTCTTAGCCACCAAGTATCCCAATGACAAGCGATTCGGCCTGGAAGGTTGCGAGACGCTCGTGCCTGGCATGAAGGCACTCATCGACCGAAGTGTCGACTACGGCGTAAAGGACATCGTCATTGGAATGCCTCACCGTGGTCGTCTTAATGTGCTCAGCAATGTCGTCCGCAAGCCAAATGAATCCATCTTCAGCGAATTCGCGGGTACGGCTGGTGCCGAAGATGAAGGATCGGGCGATGTCAAGTACCATCTAGGAATGAACTTTGAGCGACCTACGCCATCCGGCAAGCGAGTGCAGCTTTCGCTGGTTGCCAATCCCTCGCATCTGGAGGCTGAAGACCCGGTTGTGTTAGGAAAGACCAGAGCTATCCAGCATTACAACAATGACGAGTCGACACACCGAACTGCCATGAGTGTGCTGTTGCACGGTGATGCTGCTTTTGCCGCACAGGGTATCGTATACGAGTGTCTCGGTTTCCACTCCCTGCCGGCATTCTCAACCGGTGGAACGATCCATTTAGTCGTGAACAACCAAATCGGCTTCACTACCGATCCCCGATTTGCCCGCTCAACCGCGTACTGCACAGATATCGCCAAGGCCATCGACGCACCCGTCTTCCATGTCAACGCCGACGATGTTGAGGCTGTTAATTTCGTCTGTCAATTAGCTGCGGATTGGCGTGCTGAATTTCAGTCGGATGTCGTCATTGATCTTATCTGCTACCGCAAGCACGGCCACAACGAGACTGATCAGCCATCCTTCACTCAGCCCTTGATGTACAAGCGCATTACCTCCAAGGATCCCCAAATCAACATCTACGTCGACAAACTACTCCAGGATGGTACATTCACGAAGGAGGACGTCGAGGAGCACAAACAGTGGGTATGGGGCATGTTAGAAGAAAGCTTTACTAAGTCGAAAGACTACCAGCCAACATCGAAGGAATGGACCACCTCAGCTTGGAACGGCTTCAAGTCGCCCAAAGAATTGGCGACCGAGGTATTGCCGCACATGTCAACAAACGTCGACCAGAAGACGTTGGAGCACATTGGTGAGGTTATCGGCTCTGCTCCCGAAGACTTCAAACTTCACCGTAACCTAAAGCGTATTCTCCAGAACCGCACTAAGTCGGTCCTTGAGGGTAAGAACATTGATTGGTCGACTGCTGAAGCTCTCGCCTTCGGCTCGCTCGTCACCGAAGGTCACCACGTCCGTGTCTCTGGTCAGGATGTTGAGAGAGGTACCTTCTCTCAGCGTCATGCTGTCTTCCACGACCAAGAAAATGAGAGCACGTACACCCCCTTACAGAACGTCAGCAAAGATCAGGGCAAATTTGTTATCTCTAACTCTTCCTTGAGCGAGTACGGCGCTTTGGGTTTCGAGTATGGTTACTCTCTGTCTTCTCCGAACGCATTGGTCATGTGGGAGGCTCAGTTTGGTGACTTTGCCAACAACGCACAATGTGTCATCGACCAGTTCATCGCCTCCGGCGAGGTTAAGTGGATGCAGCGAACCGGTTTAGTCATGTCTCTTCCTCACGGTTATGATGGACAGGGTCCCGAGCATTCTTCTGGACGTATCGAGCGATATCTACAGCTCTGCAACGAAGACCCGCGCGTATTCCCGGCACAGGAGAAGCTTGATCGCCAGCACCAAGACTGCAATATGCAGATTGCTTACATGACAACTCCTGCTAACCTATTCCACGTCCTTCGCCGACAGATGCACCGACAATTCCGAAAGCGTAAGTTATTCAAAGCCCAATCCAAAGTAGTAAGTACGATTACTAATTTGTGTAGCTCTTATCATCTTCTTCTCCAAGTCGTTGTTGCGACACCCCTTGGCTCGTTCCAATATCGAGGAGTTTACGGGACCTAACGCCCATTTCCAATGGATCATCCCCGACCCCGAGCATGAAGCTGGAACTATCAAGTCTCCGGAAGAAATTGACCGCGTCATTCTATGCACTGGTCAGGTATGGGCAACGCTCCACAAGTACCGTGCCGACAACAAGATCGACAACGTCGCATTCACTCGAATCGAACAACTCAACCCCTTCCCGTGGGAGCAACTCAGGGAGAACTTGGACATGTACAAGAATGCCAAGACCATTGTCTGGTGTCAGGAGGAACCGCTCAATGCCGGTGCATGGAGCTTTACCCAGCCGCGTATTGAGACTCTGCTGAACCACACGCAATACCACGACCGCAAGCACGTCATGTATGCAGGACGAAACCCTTCGGCATCTGTTGCCACTGGTCTCAAGGCTGCGCACAAGAAGGAAGAGGAAGACCTGCTGGAGATGGCGTTCACTGTATCGCAAGACAAGCTGAAGGGCGAGTAAAGGGAAGAGGGAAAAAAAGGCGAGCATTTATTCATACGAGGACGGGGCAGGCATTAGCTTTTCATGATGTTTCTTGTATTTTATCTTGTGTATAACGCAGCCTCGGGGTCACAAATCGAGGCTACATAGACGGGTGGTGACTAAGGGTTTCCGAGCAGCGTAATGCATATTTTCATACCTTCAGGCCTAGCATGGTGCACATGCAACGCCGAGCATTGTAAGTCTAAACGAGATCTATGTAGTGCCACCTTGTTCCCGAGCGAAGATCAAGCGTATATCGGACCGGGACTCTCAAGAGGTGAGTAGTATTGCTTTGCCGAAATGTGAGCCCGATATAGCTGGGGTAGTGATAAGCACCCTGCTTCACGCCCCCGATTTGCCAATGGCCGAAGTTTACTTTATCTCTGATATCGGCATGCATGTCAGCCCTGTGACGAAATCAAACTGGAACCAACAACTATGTTACGAGGTGATATCCGGAAGGCTTTCCTAGCGGGGTTCATATTCAACGGTGCGTTACCCCGAGTCAAACGGCCGTCTTTGTCGCGAGCCTTCTTAAGCTTCGAGAGCTCTACTTCGCCGATGTCGTTGCATACCTACGTAGTCTGACGGAGTATCAAGCTGAGACGCAACGCCAATGCCCAATTTCCCACGATACTCTTGCAACGATGGATTCATTCACCTTTCGAGAGCGTGGCCAGCACGTAAAAGAGAAAACCCGAGCTCGGTTGACGGATAGGTATAGCTGGAAATTACCCAAGCAGACTAGCAGCATCGCGCCGTCTTACGTCTGGACCAATGCCGGTATGTTAGCTATTCGATTTTACACAGGCATTAGCGCACTCCTTAACTAACCACGTTGTATCCCCGCAACAGATCAAGATCCGGTGCCAGAGGATAAACGGACTTGGACGAGTTGGGCGTTCATCGGATATTGGTACTCCGATCTGGTGACGGTCTCGACATGGACCGCCGCCAGCGCCATAATGACCACGGGCTTAACGGCTACCGATGCCATCCTGATCGTTCTAGTTGCAGCTATAGTATGCTTTTTTTTCTTCGTGGCGTAAGAAAGGACCTGAAAATTTTTGCTAATCCCACGGCCACCGCAGTGCAACGCGATCCCGACAGTCCTCAACGGCGCGATCGGTGCGGACCTGCACATCCCGTTCCCGATCGCGTGCCGGGCCAGCTACGGGTACTGGCTGAGCTACTTCTGCGTCGTGACGCGCGCCGTCCTCGCGCTGTTCTGGTTCGGCGTGCAGAGCGCGAACGGCGGGACCTGCGTCACGGCCATCATCACCGCCATCTGGCCCAGCTACGCGCGTCTGCCCAACACGCTTCCCAAGTCCGCGGGCACGACGAGCCAGGGCCTGCTGAGCTATTTCATATATTGGTGCATACAGTTCCCGCTCCTGCTGATCCCGAGCCATAGGCTGCAGTACCTGTTCTGGGTTAAGACGGTCCTGGTCACGCCGATGGCGCTGGCGATGGTTATCTGGATCACGGTCGTGGCGGGCGGGCAGGGCGAGTTCTTTTATGCGCCGGCGACTGTGTCCGGGTCGACGAGGGCTTGGCTGTGGTTGTCGAATTTGGTATATTCTCAAACGTTCAAAATCAACTTATGTATGGCAAAAGCAGCTAACGAATGAAAAAATCAGACCAGCGTAACAGGCGGGTACTCCACCCTCGCAGTCAACATCCCGGACTTCTCGCGCTTCAGCAAGACGCGCGGCGCACAGCTGTGGCAGCTGCCCTTCATCCCGCTCTTCAAGACGCTCGTCGGCATCTTCGGCATCGTGTCGGCCAGCGCTTCCAAACAAGTCTACGGCACCGTGTACTGGTCGCCGCTCGACATCATCGGGACCTGGCAGGGGTCCGCGGGCGGCCGCGCCGCCGCCTTCTTCGCCGCCGCCGTCTGGCTGCTGGCCCAGGTCAGCGTCAACGTCAGCGCGAACGGCATCAGCTTCGCCAACGACGTGACGACGCTGGCCCCGAAGTGGCTGAATATCCGTCGAGGCGCGATTCTGGCCCAGTTGTTGGGGGGCTGGGCCTTGTGTCCCTGGATCATCGTGTCGTCCGCCGCCGCGTTTCTAAATTTCATGAGCGCGTACGCCATATTCATGGCGCCGATCGCCGGGATCTTGGTCGCCGATTACTGGGTCGTTAAGAAGAGGCGGTACGATGTGCCGGCGCTGTACGATCCCGAGGGTATTTATAGGTACGGTAAGTACGGTGTTAATTGGAGGGCGCTGGTAGCGACGGCGATTGTGATCGTGCCGTTGCTGCCGGCGCTCGCGAAGAAGGTTACGCCTGCGAATGTGCATATAAGTCAGGGGCTCGTGAACTTGTTTACGTTTAATTGGCTGTACGGGTTCTTCGTGGCGGTGGTGCTGTACTGCGGGTTGAATTACTGGTTCCCGGATCGGACGACGTTGATTCCGCACGTGGTGCCCGGAGATGCGCCGGTTGTGAGGGCGGTTGACGCGGATGTGGAGAGCGGGACAGGGCAGGATGAGAAGATGATGGGGGAGGAGGTGAGAAGCGAGCCCGGGAGGGATCCTGAGGTTAAGGGGGTTGGGGATATCACGGCTATATGACTCTCTTGGGTTCGGAATATGCAATTCATTTTTTTATCTATTCTATCCACATCGTCGCAAGACGTCCTATTACCAGGTAGGAAGCTTCCTAAGCAGCCTGGCAAGTTCCCCCCACCCGCGCGCACCCCTTCGGACAAGGGTACGCGGGATCGTACTGCCAGAAGAAGAACGGGTCCGTCTCGTTCGTCAGCACGCCGGCGACGAGCCGGCTCGGGTTCGGCAGGTCGAAGGACTGCCGGAGGACCTCGACGGACGGGATCCGGATCTGGCCCCAGCCCTTGGCGACGAGCGCGTCGATCGTCGTCCCGTACACGTACTCGCGGAACCCGGCCCAGCGGATCGCCGACGCGCACATCGGGCAGCTCTCCGCGTTCGTGTACAGCGAAAGGCGCGGGAAGGCGGCGCTCGCTTCGCTGGGGGAGAGCTTGTACGGCCCCGAGGGGTCGGTGAGGATGCGTGTGCAGTTGGCGATGGCTGACATCTCTCCTGCGATTTGTCGCGTAAGCGTGAACTTGAGAAGAAGGTTGGGGAGTGTTTAGGAGGGGTAAATATTATCTACGTACCGTGAAGCGTCGGGTTGCCGGTCGTGCTTCCGCTGTTGGCGCCTGTGCAGACTAGCTCACCGAGCTCCGAACTGCCGGTGTGGTTCACGATCACGGTGCCGAACGCGGCGAAGGGACATGGCTTGCCGAGGGCGAGGTTGGCTTGGCGCATCCAGTACGCTCTGGTGCTGAAGGGAATGCCATTGATTGAGAGTGTCGGATCGCTGACGACGGTTTGCTGCGATCTTGGGTGGAAGTGGTGGTCATCGTGACTGAGTACCGGACTCGAGAAGAATGAGACTGCTTGTAGCAGTAATGGGAGCCACATCGTGTCGTGCCTTAGTATTAAGTTTGAAGTTCGAAGGCAATTAATGTGAAATTATTTTAAGTGTGCTGTGCTGTGAAGACTACAGTTGTAAATATACTTTGTAGGTACTGATTGAATCATCACGAGTGCTCGAAAAGGGTCATAGCTCCCTCTATATACGTCACGGCTATCAGCCATAAATCGAGATACCAACCACCCATATTCTTTACGATAGGAGCCGATTTGAAAAGGGAAAAAGTAACTTCTCCATGTTGCGATAGCTATCGAAATTCGGCCTACAATGGGATGGAGAGCCCCGCGTCTTGGTACTACATCCGGATGCGACAGGGATCCCGCGAGCCGTATCAACGGCCGTCTCCGACAGATATCTATCCATGCACGTTGGCGATAGAGCATATCGACGCCGAGGATAGACTATATCAATCATCTCCTCCACGCTAATGAACTACTTTTTTAGATCTACATTTAAATTCACTGTAGATCATTAGATTAGCCCAAGAAAATAAGAAAGACGTCAAAAATGTCCCCAAGCGCTCTAAACGCAGAAGCAAGCTTCACGATCACGCCCATGACCAAATCTCCCAAAGAGAAACACGATTATGGTGCAAGTGTAACCGGTCTAGATTTGAATGATATTAGCGGTAAGCGAGTCTTCTATCAAACAACAGGTCACAGTATTCAACTTGGTCAGATGCGGACGTCCGTCATCTAGCCGATGCTATCTGGACCCACAAAGTCATCGTAGTCAAGGGACAGAAAGATCTTGCGCCGATCAAGCAATGGGAGCTCGTAACGCGCTTCGACCCCAGATCGCCCCAGGTTCATTCTCACGGGGATATGAAAACCTTCAACAGTAAAGGCGGTTTGCTTTCCGTAAGAAGTCCGAGAGCCCCAATCCTAGAAATTTAGTTCTAACGGTAGAAAAGAAAAGCCGCGAGGTCGTGGGTATTCCAGGTGCCGAGAATGTCCGTTTAATCGGAAAAGGCTTCCAAGGAGAAGACCACTACGGCATCAAGAATATGACCATTACTAAGCCCCTCTCCCACGACTGGCACGGAAAAGAATTGCCAGAAGAGGAGTTTAACGCAGGCAACGTTCGATTTCAGCGTTGGCATATGGACGCACCGTTGTATGCGAGGGATCCAGCGTGGTTCACCACCCTGCGTTGCATAAAGCGGCCTACCAAACCCGATGTCAATATCCGGTGGGATGATGGCTCTGGTCTCAGCATGAAGGCAGAACCCGGCCTAACCGCGTTCATCAGCAGTATTCAAATGTATGAAATGATGACGGGAGATGAGAAGAATATGGCTGATCATAGCTGGGTTGAATATGCGCCCCATCCGGTATGTTAAGAATCACTCCGACCTGAATACTAGGTGCAAATATTAACTATTGTAACTAGTATATGTGGATAGGTGACTGCAAAGGTAATTCTAACGGCCTTGGCCTCGTAAGCCAAGGCAAGGAAAAGAAGCTCGGGGATCTAGGTGACTTCGAACAGAAGGATGTGAAAACATACCCTATGGTATGGGTAAATCCTGTAACAGGCGAGAAAGCTTTCCAAGTCCACGGAATATGTGCGAGGAAGTTGTTTCTTCGCTCGTCCCCGTCAGAAGAGCCTAGGATAGTTGAGGACGTCGTGGAGATCAGAGAGTTGTTAAAGGGTATCCAGGAAAGAGTATTGAAACCCGAGTATATCTTGATTCCGAGTCTAGAGGAAGGGGACATCGTCATGTGGGCGAACTACCAGATGTTTCACACGGCGATTGACTATCCAGCCTCATACGGGCCTCGAACCATGCATCAAGCCAATATTGCTTCATCCGCTCCCCCAGTTGGACCAAATCCTATCCCAGGAATAGCCTAAGTTGGGAAGTGGAATGAGCAACAACATTGAAACGTTGGGGTTGACTAGTTTGGATAGGAGTTCATGGGACGGAGAGTTATCGCAAAAGCGACAAAGCAATACAATAGGGATTTAGGTTTTAGGTATCTAGGTAGGAGGGATCCCGTATGATCCATATCCAAATTGGACAATTATTTTCTTCGAAGAGCGATCATGCGAGATTATTTCTCAGTCGATGGCTTTCTGGGAAAGTTCATCTGCCAATCGCTTGATATAGAAGTCTCTCATGTCGAATGGCAGCTTATTGAAGCCATTCGCAATTCGTGTAACATCAAGTCGACCTTTTTCATACTACAACAACGGAGTCAGTAAGTATTACACAAAACTTTAAACAATACTCACAGCCGCAAGGTCTCGGTTCCCATAAACATCTCTCCCGGATGAGTAGCCGGCTTCGAGATTCCGGAAGAAGACGTTGACAGCGACCCCTAGGTTACTCAACGGGGTAGCAGTATGCAACCATAGTGGTGGAAGAAATAGCATATCCCCTGGGTTGAGCACAGCTTCGTGGGGATGTGTCCCGGCTAGAGACGGCGATTGAAGTTCGGAAAATACATCAATGCTCGAGCTTGATGACCCCGGAGCAAAGGAAAGGCGAGTAACGTCTGAGGGTGGAAATAAGATGAATCTCTTAGAGCCCGCTATTTGGCAATATACGTTTGCCATAACCTACTATAGCGTTAGTCAATGATGCTTGAATCCGATTCTATGGATCCTCCTACATCGTAATGTAACCACATGTTTACTGGCCCGGTAATTCGTAACACGGAACTGAACTCATTTTCTTTCACGAATGACAACGCATCAGGTAATTGAAAGTCATCTGCCAATTGGGGAAAATCCACCCTGATATTGGCTGGCTGGTCAGTTGGGTGATCCTCCGAGAGAGCACGCAGATATAATTTATTGCCTTTTTCGATCTCTTGCATCGTGCTTCCAAACGATTTCGTGACGTAGGTGAAATTCTTGCTATTGAAATCCATCTTGGCGCTATTTGCTTCGTGGACGACGACCTGGTGAATCGATTAGATTGGATCCACCAGGAAGTCAGGGTAATCGTTACCTTCCGGTCAAAACCAAGTTGCTTCACGATGTGTTCTGACGACCAACTTTGAACACAGCCTCCCAGATTACCTCCTTCGATGACCACTGGCTTTCCGGCTTTCAGTGCTGCCAAAAACGCAGCTGCTGTTCCGATTTGGACCCTTGGTATATCAACCTTAACTGCAACTTGTCCGTTATGTAAGGAAGCCGGCACATCTTGGCGTTTTGCCTCGTCGGTAAGTTCAACAATCCTTGAATGTTTCCATATTCTTGTCTTACTTTCAATTAGTGTATCGTTGGTGACTGCTTGATTGTACTGTAGTGTAAAACAGCCGTGGTTCCAGAATGTCCCCATTGAGAAGCAGGTAGCTCCGCCACCCATAATGACTAATTGATTGCCGTCAACCAATTCTATCGATACTCCTATTAACAGTGGCCGAGGGACGACTTCTATACGGTAAGTCGAAAGAATTTTATAGTGCGAACCAGAGATGTCTACAACTAAGACTTCGATATCTCGTGTAACTATGCCGTCTGCGATGATTCCTCCGATCACAGTCAGATGTCCTTCGGAGGAAACAAAACCTGTAGCCCCAAAGCGATTTATCAGACCATCAGGATTATTGATGCCGTGCACATCTCGGGCCCAGGGGCCGGGGATCTCCATATCCGATAGAGGCGTGAATGAAATCGTAGGCTTGCCAGTTTCTGGAAGCTCCAAAACCCATCGCAAGATTTGACTAGCAATGATGCCTTCCTGAGAGATACCTCCTATTAGCACACCAGAAAACTGAACACCGTTACTTGTTGAGGAGCGGGTTGCCTCATGGAGACTCGTCAAAAGGCCACCAAAAATGGGTACATAGTTCGACCCTAGAATCTCACACTCGACCCAGCCAGAGCTTGGCGAATAGAGAAGACACCCTTCGAAAATTGTCGACGATCCGGATTTACCTCCAATTAAAAGCGCCATATTGGAATTACCAAGTCTTGTCATACCATGTCGATAAATGGGCAATGGGAGATCGTCCACCCGTTGCCATGTGTTAACTCTCTTATCGAAGAGCCAACAATCGCGCAGTGGACTCGATGGGGAAGTCCTACCACCTACGAGAAGACTCCTATAATCACCCAGGTCTGTAATCGTGTGGCACATACGACTATTAGGACCTGTGTGATGGGTTACGATATCCTGTAGAGGCGATTCCCTTTCATAGAGATCATATGACCTTAATCGAGTGTTTGTCCCAGACCCGAATGTGTTAGCCAAGAATTCCTCTCCCAGATTATTCTTCAGTCTCATCGCGGCGCCGAATCGACGTTGACCTCGAGTACCAGAATATTCGCTAAAGTCTGCGCTCAGGGGTGATACCGGGATTTGAAGCCCTTCTACATTTTTCGAGCCATTAGATATTGTTGGAATGCTCTCTGAATTAGTCGTAGCAATAACCACGCAGTAATGCCCAGCGAAGAGGGCAAATTCTTCCCACTCGTCAAAAGGTTCAAGCTCAATAGCATCGATCTTTTTCCTCTCATCTGCCGGTAACCATTGGTCGCTACACCATATATGCCAAAGGGAATTGACGTCAACTTGTGACCAACCCCGGCTGGTGAAGCGATTCTGTTGAGATTCGAGTGTTGGGTAAGCGAAAACGGACTTCAGGGGCGTCTTCAACTTCTCGAAATGAGCTAACATAGTCTGCGCAAATGGATGATCTTCGCCATCTGGAATGATTTGTTCGAGCAAGCAAAACTCGGCTAATCTAGTTAGCTTCAGCCAATAGACGAATATTCGTAAAAGGAGACCGCCTACCGTGTCCGAGGGTGCTAGCCCACTGAATGACTGAATCGGCACCTTCGGTCTCCATGTAAGTGATGGAGACTTCAGCTACGAACATAAACTTGCAGTCAGCAATATCCACTACGGTCGAGAGTGCCTGTTCTATATCAGAGATACGACGAAGGTCACATCCGATCTCGATGTATTGGTCGCTCTGCAGCTGTACATGATGTCCCACGTTAGTCTTCAACCCGGTTAAGAGAGAGTTGAGTTCTGGGGTTTCCTGAACGATCCGGCATTTTTTCTCTATCAGGTCAGGGAAATCAATGTCCACGAATTTGACATTTTGACATTCATTCGGATATCTCGTCATGCACTGCCAGGGGAGCACGTCACTAAAAGAATCAGGGGCTGAACTATAAGGTGGTGATATGAAATCTCACCTGCCACAGCCTAGATTGATAACCACCTTCTTTTTGTCTGAAGGACTTTTCAGAAACCGACGTACGGCAACATCAATTACGTGCAATCGAATATAATAGCCTCGATTAATCAGTGGAGCTCGTCGTTGGAATTTCTTGACGAAGAAACGGAAGAAGTGCGGCTCATCAGGATAGTATATGCGTTCAACACTCCTCTTGGACACTATACTGCTACTATTTGTCTTGATGTAAGTGGATTAGAAAAGAACGGATTGTATTGTGTACATCAAGTAGGCTTGATTGAGACATACAGCCATGACTAAGTCGTCCAGAGCTTGTTGCTTTGCCGAACGGCTAGATCCCTTCTGGGCCTTGTTGCCAGGATATTGAGGCATCTTAACCAAGGAGAATAACGAGAGTAAATCCTCAATATGAACTTATAAAGGCAAGACAATCGGCCGTCAAGAGATGAAAAGGTAAAGGATCTTGTTATAATGGCTTATATCTGAGCATCCTTAATGTTCTCAACTCGAGCTCCATTCTCATAGTCTAGCTTCGTAAGACAGAAATTCATATTATATCGAGAAATCTATAAGACGATAAAAAATTATGATAGCATCCAAATTCGATCAGTTGTGGCGCATGGTTTAGGTTCGGAAGCGTTATAGGTACCTAGGTACCACATAATTGTAGGGCATGCGGCGGGCGATCAGCGCAAGGGTTCTTGGAAGGTTCAGCATTGGGCACGGGACCCAAGCTGCGGTAAAAGAGGCCCAAGCTCCCGAAGCTACAGAGCGGTAGCGCGCGACCTTAGCAGCATGGATGCGGTGTTACAATGAGATTGTACCCGGTAGTACCCCGCCTGACAGTGGCATCTGATTGATGATTTCAACGGTCTTTTCTCCCCCACTCGGTGTGTACAGACTCCAAGTCTCCAACCCCTCGTATTTTTTTAGTATCTGGTATCTGCCATAGCAATATCATCGATCTCTCTTTATCCCAAACACTTTAATCCTTGCCCCGAAGTTGTTTGTGAACATTGAAGCCTCTAGCAAGCTAAGCTTCACGTCGGCTACGTAAGCTATTTGATATCTCAGCTTCTGCTAATCATCATCGTACTGCTCATGAATACAGCTCCCAGCTTGTCCCGACTCACCGTATTTTCTTTGTCATGAATCGGAAAGTTAAACTCGAATCGAGACGGCGGTAACGTAGACGTACATAATATTCCCTTGTACCAGTTCTACCTTAGCTTCGGTACATAGCAACCAGTTCCTCCTAGCCGGGAAAGGCCTTGAAATAGCTGTATTACGCACTTGAGACAACACCGTCGGCGTTTATTCAACCTTGAAGCACTTTATATCTGCTAGGTTGCAACCATATTTTGCACTTCCAATCGAGAACCTCCGAAGCATCCATCCAGCGACAAGTCTCACAGCTTACAGCCATGTCGAACCCGGCTCTTAATTTCATTACCTTCAATCAAGACCACAGCTGCCTAGCTGTTGGTATGTCGGCTCTCCACTCCCAGTAGTATCGGCCGTACAGGTAGCTAACGGCTTCAGGTACTTCGAGAGGATTTCGCATTTACCACACGGATCCCTTCTCTAAGATCTTCAGCAGCGATGATGGGAACATCGCCATAATTGAGATGCTCTTTTCCACTTCGCTCGTTGCTCTCGTCCTCTCTCCTCGTCACCTAATAATACAGAACACGAAACGTGCCTCCGTTATTTGCGAGCTCACATTTCCATCTGCCGTCCTAGCAGTACGATTAAACCGCAAACGACTAGCTGTCGTGCTCGAAGACGAGATTTATCTATATGACATAGCCAACATGTCACTCCTCACCAACATTGCCACCTCCCCGAATCCCGGCGCTGTTTGCGCTCTCTCCCCGTCTTCCGAACACTGCTTCCTTGCCTACCCTTTGCCAAAACCTCGTGACGATACCCAAGATAAACGACCGTCGCATGCGCCTCCAGCTTCGCTTTACGCCCCCGTCACGTCAGGGGATGTCCTCATCTACGATACTTTAACCCTTAAGGCTGTTAACGTCATCGAGGCACACCGGTCTCCTTTATCGTGTATCGCGCTCAACAACGAAGGAAATCTGCTGGCAACGGCAAGTGAGACGGGGACAATCATCAGAGTATTCTCGGTGCCTAGAGGGCAGAAACTCTTCCAGTTCCGCCGTGGAACGTATCCCAGCACAATCTACAGCATGTCTTTCAACATGGCTAGCTCGCTTCTCTGCGTGTCCTCCACCTCGGACACCGTACACATATTCCGCCTCCAGCAGCCGGGCCCCAACAATACCCCCTCCGAGACGCCCGGCTCCCCGCGACAAGACCGCTGGTCCCGCAGCCGCAGCTACGACAGCGGCAACGACTCGCCCAACAGCGCGACCGGCTCCCCGCGCAGCGACGTGGCGGACCTCGCCGCTCCCCCGCCGTCTAACCCGCCGATCGTTAACCGCCCTCGGCACAGCGGCTCGTTCAGCAGCATGATCCGGCGCTCGTCGCAGCTCATGGGCCGCAGCGTCGCCGGCGTCGTCGGCAACTACCTGCCGCAGACGGTGACGGAGATGTGGGAGCCCCTGCGCGACTTCGCCTACATCAAGATCCCCAAGAGCTCGTCGGCGTCGCCGCGCCCGGGAGCGGCCGCCGCGGCCGCCAGCGGCCAGCAGCTGCGCAGCGTCGTGGCCATGAGCAGCAGCAGCCCGCAGGTCATGGTCGTCACGAGCGACGGCGGCTTCTACGTGTTCAACATCGACATGGAGCATGGTGGAGAGGGCTATCTAGTTAAGCAGTTTTCGTGCGTGCCACTAACAGACTCTTACCTCTTTTCTCTAGATTGAGATTATTTGATATATCTTAATTTACCAACTTGGAAGGAACTAACCTATACTAACTTATTCTCGCGTAACTTTGCAGGGTCCTCGACAGCGACGATAAGCTCGACGCCTCGAATTACGGTCCGTAGAGCGGCATGTACGAAGAGCGAGAAGAGGAACAAGAAGAAGGAGAAGACGAAGGGGACGAGGGGGGTTGGCTCGAGGGGCCCGGCTGGCTGCTCCTCAACTGCTGGGCCACGCCGTCGGAAGAATGGGCTTCATCTGGGAGGCGTTAAAAGGTTCATCATCATCGGGGCAAAGGGGGTGGGAGTGGGAGGGGTTCGTGCTGATTTACTCTTTTCCCATATTCTTCTTCACCAGGGCTTCTTCTCTAACCCATCGCCTTTTTTAATCCAATTGACCCCCTTCTCATCTCTATACCGCGGGAGGTTTTTTCCACCAGCTGAGCGAAATTCATACCCCAACCCAAACAGAAGACGGATATATGTATTTTTCCCCCTCTCGATTAAGGGTGGAGTTTAACCTTTTTGCGTCCTTTCTTTTTCTTTTTCTTGCTATTTTTGCATCAGCGTTTGGCGTCTAAGCGGTTTTCTTCGGTTTCATCAGCTGAGTACGAGATGTAGAGAGCATAAAACATCATTTCACTACTAAATACAAGCTATCGATATGTCCTACACCAGAAGAAGAATGGTGATGAAAAATCGCTATATTAACAGCGATAATCCAGATGGCAACAAGTAGCGATAGATAAGTCGGTTTGAACTCGCATATATATGGCCTAAACATTCTCATTATCGAAGATATCCAAAGTCGTAAATCCGTTAAAATCCCTAAAAAAAGATTCCCGTCGCTTGTCCATATCGCGTCACATACATGTAGGTAGATACTACAGTCGGCGTACTAGCCGTACAACAGTTCAAACGTAACCCCGTCCCCCCTTTCTAGGGGACGAGGGATGAATAACACGAGACTTTCGCAATGACACACCTTGTGATAACCGGACCATCCATCCATCCATCCGTTACAGAGAAACAAAACGATCGTAAAATAGAAAAAACCCGCTCCAAAAACAACGACGCCATGGCGCCGCTGGATGCGACAGGGCCCGGACATGGTAACCCCCCTTGGTTTTCAGCCCCATCCCCTTTTCTCAAGAAACGGAGTCCGCGAGCATAATGCTAAATAAAAATAAATAAAAAAATAAGATCTGTCAGGTCATTTCGTCGTTAAAAGGCGAAGATATGTCTCGCTCCCCTTCATCCACCGATTCCGTCAACTCCGAGATGAAATGTAGCCCAAAAGTTTTTGGGGGGTCGTAATTTGAAACAGTAAAAAGCATGTACCGCATGCTAGAGGATCCAGTGGTGTAGATTGTGCGGGAAAAAGGGGCGGTGGATATTGCCTCTCCTCAGCACTTACCACTGATCCTCGTTAAATGCTACAACGTAGATTGCTTCCGGCCAGATTCCGCCTTAGACTAAGCGCAACAGCTCAGATCCCGATTAGACCGTTTGTCAACCGTGCCGTTCGGGTCGTCAGCTGAAGCTACTACCTAGGTAAGATGCTGAATAAGCCAGTAAGCCAATAATCAGAACCTCCTCATATCTAGCGGGTAAATTATCTCGCATAAGGTCGATTCATAAGCGCGATTTCTCTCGCGATTTCTCCCCATTCTAACTCTCTCCGGACGGGATGTCCGGCATCATGGACACTCTTAGCCTGGTGCCGCCGGACTCGGAGCATCTCCTCCCACTTGAGGAGCTCATATGCAAACCTTAGATGGGGCTGGATGATCACATTGAGTCGTCTTGCTCGCACGAAGCAGTATGCTCGCGGGAATGAGAGGTCCATGGAGCGCATCACTTCCGCGATGCAAATAGTCGCGCTACGTGACACGCCCACTCGGCAATGAACTAATGTCGCGGTGCCGTTCCGATGCCCACGGTCTATGGAGTTGGTGGTTAGCTAATCAAGCGGATCTCGGGGGAGGGGGTTGAGGTTCCTATTCGGGAAGGTCCTGGCTCACGACTTCGTGCGCTAGGACCAGATGATGGCTAAACGGGTGGGTATACACACCGATGAATTCTAAACACTTCTCGAATTCCTTGGTCAACGGATCGATACCGTTATCCTGAACTTTTTCAACCACAAGCACGTTATCCTCCCCCCATTCTTCCAGCTCACCGTCCCGCCACATGGCTGTCTCTCCCACGCTGAGGATCTGTTTGATTCCCATCGCTTTCAGCAAATCCGGGTTATTAGCATGACCCAAATTACCCAGGTACATGTAGTCGAGAATTCGGCTCGGGAATGAACCGTCGAGAGAAGCGATCCACTTAGGCTCGTGTTTCACGAGATTCGTGATTTCCAGGAGGCTTTTATCCGCACAGACGGGTGATTCATGGAGTAGACGAGGCGCGATTGAGGTTAATAAAGATACGTCGGTTGGGTAAGCAAAGAAATTTCGTTTCATCATCGTATGCAGCTCAAGCCAGGCTTGAGGAACCGGTCGACCAGTACTATAGCTGAAATATGCAATACCTAACATAGTCGACTCGGTATACCCGTCAGCACAATGTATTAGAATCTTCCGCGGCCGGTTCGTCTCGACTTCTGTTGCTTCGGATGCATCAGACATATTAGAATCGCCGTCTACATCAGTATCCGATCGCGAGGGCAAAGTTCCGTGCGAAAGATGCCAAAGCCATTTGCAGGTTTCCAGGATGCCATCGGCCTCGGCGTGGGACCACGTTGGTGGGAGAATGCTCCCAGATGAGGGGAAGTCGAGGTAAGCGTGCCTCGCGTCGTCGTTGGGACCTTCAGCAATTGCTTGTAGCGCGGCTGGATTCAGTCGACCGAGGTCGCTACACTCGATGAGAATATCGAACTGCTGCTGCTCTTCGCCCTCTGGTTCAGGAGTTGGTCCCATCCACACATTATGTGATACCTCGGTGGCTTTCGTCATTGCATACATTTCTAACCGTTCCTGGTGGAAAAAGTCCACCACGGCACCCGTCAGGCGACCCTCTGAATCGACTGAGACAATTTCGCTATGCTTTTTCTCAAAGTCCCTAAATGGACTAATACATATGAAAGTATTGTATTTCGGAAGGGATTCGTGTTTCCTACGCCACTTAGATTGTGCCGACGCGATTTCCCATCCCAATTTGCGGACCAACCCCGCGTCCTCTCCATATACGATAATATCGGAGGTTATGGCGGTTTTAGCGGCCTGAATCTGAAAATTCCGGACGGAGAATCCCTGTTTTGGATCAACCTCGATAAATTCGCCATCAGCACAAGGATTCATGAATTCATTAGGGGCAATAGCTCCTTTCAACCGTGCTGTCGAGAGATCACCGTCGGCTTTAACAACTGTGATACCACGTAAACAGCTAGGTATCTGCCGCATAGGTTTGCTCCTTGTCGAGAAAAAGGTCTGCTGGATCTGGTTACAAGGATGCAATCCGTGGAACCAGGGAAATACTTGTGATGGTTCTGGTAGAGGTTGTTTAGAAAGATGGTCTAAGGAGGCTGCCACGTCTCCAGGATGGATCTTATATAAAGCGAGCGACCCCGCCTCCAGATGCTCAAACTTATCTGGGGGGTAGAGGAGGGACGATCGGTGTCGACGTTCATCCTCACGACCTGGAGAAGGTGGAGGGGTATTTGGTTCACGGACGTGTGGGTGTGCCGGACCGGTAGGGCAAACTGGAATATGTTTGTTTGGAATGGGCGCGGGCGCGGCGCTGGATACTTGTTGGGTATTGATCGTTTCGAGAGCTATCGGAGAAGATAAAGTGACGATACCAGAAGAAGAGCGATGCGGTGAAATTGGCCTGGGAAGCGCAACTGTAGTCATTGTCTTACTCATAGTACTACTTGTGGTTGTTGTTCAAGTGACAATTGTTGTTTCTGTTGTTGAAACGGAAGTAAATTGGTATTGACTGGCACCGTTGGTAACCGTGTGCTTCATATCAGGGTCAGGCTCTCAAGCTTAAGCTCAGGCTCAGGCACAAGGGTAAGGCAGTAGCTACTTAGTTGCGAGGTGGACTAAGCGCAATTGCGGGGGGACGGGGTGGACGGGGAAGGAGTGGTCTGGTATGGATGTATGTATGTACGTGTATGTACGTGAATGTACGTGGATATCCAGGTGGGTAGATGAGCGGGGGTGTTTAAGGTTCCAAGCCTGTCGATGGATCGATCCCGGAATCTAATCGACGATAACGTTAGGTTGCGGAGGAAGTCTGTACTCCTACAGTAGAGTTAGGTTATACGTCAACTTCCAATCTTAAAATATTTATGTCTATAGCAAGCGAGAGGAAATTACGCAGAGGAATAGATAAGAACGCAACGCAATGCACTTTCTTTCATTGACGTTGTGTATCTATCCCTCTTATGTAGTTCCACTGTTGTTTGTTGCAAAATAAGAGGGGAAGGGGGGGTAGGCTATATGTGGCATGCATAGATGGTATAAGAAAGTGGAGGTGGAGAGAGAAGAAGTAATAAAGTTGTAAAAAGTACATACCCAGAAGAGAAGACAGAACAACAGAGAATGGCCGAAAAGGTAGAAAATTGGATTAAAATGGCGAAAAGTTTGGAATTGGTAAGTGAGGAGAAGAAGGGAAGAAGACGTTGATGTAACTAGTAGATATAATGTGTGTGGAATGTGTGGACTGGTTCAAGGTTATGGCCGGAGGGTATATCAGACTCGTTTCACGCACACAACAGCGTTGATTGGGAGTTGCAGCCTTATCGCACATCCCTGGTTGATGCAGCGCAACAGCAGAGCAGGTAGTATGTAGTATGTAGACTACCTATGTAAGTACCGTGCCGTGCAGTTTCCCTAGCAAGTCAGCGATTGAAGGGTCACCGGTGTACCAAGCGGCAGATAAGACGAGTTGATTTGATCGATAGGTAAATGGTGCGAGATTGGGTCAGATGGGATCATGGTGGTTTCCAGTGAGTTTATTATGGCTTTCTAGGTTTATGCCCCTACCTCATCTTCTATGCTTCGAATTCAGCCCCTCTAGAATACAACCCATATGATACTTACCTATGTATGCTCACATCAACTTTTACATATTACACAATTCATGTCATGGTATCTCTTTGATAACCTTGTGAGAGCTACTTCTGTATCCCGTAGCTAAGGTTGTAACTAATACAGGATAGTACGAATATTTAGAAATTGCAGCGTTTCCTTCCCACAAGATGCCAAGAACAGCATACATGATTAGTCCGTGTCCACCTTGTCTAGTCCTTGCCTTTGAAGCAGGCCTTTGCTAGGTATGGTCCCATAGAACAGGGAAATATGCAGTTCGTCCGGCACTGATCAACGTTCGGAACACTGGGTCCTCTTTATTTAGAGGGGAATACCTAGCACACATGGGAACATTGCACGAACAAAGGCGTCGATAAAGTACAATCACGAGATGTCGAACTTCAATGCCAAAGACGAAAGCCATACTGGTGAGAAAAAGACGTTGAATATGCCAATTTCGGCCAAAAGTTCCTTTTATTTCGGAGCGATGTTCCCCAGGCCAGCTAAACATGCATGTGGCTTATATACTCGTTTCTGCCTTTCTGCTTTTCGGAGGGGCGAAACTACAATATGCGGTTCTTGATAGGTTGACTTGCCGCCACCACGGCTTGAAGGAGTTTCAACGAAAGTAACGAGGCCACGACACCGTACATGTAAAACGGCAGCGTAGCACCTCTGGCTAGCTAGATAGCCTAGATGTATGGGGTTTATAGAGCACATCGAAGCCCGACGGGTCTTGCGGGTGAAACGAGGGGCAATATGTCGTCGTCGACGCTGCAACCTCAGATACTAAAGAAACTGTTGGCCAATGGAGGAGATTGAGACCCCACCCACAATATGTAGAAAGTGAAGAATGTGGCACACTATTCTCTATCAGCACTTGTATTGCCATATCTGAGGCTGGGGTTTCATAGGCAAGCTGCATATTCGACCCAATCGTCAGGGACTTAACGAGATAGCCACTAAGATCGGCAGCTTCGTTGCAATTGTCTGCAATACACATCAGGGCCGTTACCACCCTCGCCACCACTTCCTTACTATATCGTCCATCGAGATTCGTCGTTGAGGGCATTCGAGTTTTCTATAGTAGCACTAATGCATGCTTTAAGTATGTATGTAGTACATTAGCACCCACATCCGGTCGACCTTGAATCCGACCGGCATCCCTTGCTTTTACTTGAGCGTCTATTGACTCTTGTTGTAAAGGACAAACATCTGATAATGCTGGGTGTTGAATATCGCAAGCTGCCTACTTAGGTAATATGCATAGCTGTCGGGCCATTAGCTTGTTAGACAAAGCCCTACGAGATCCATAACATGGATTAGTCTCCGCTACTATGGAGTATAAACTTTTGACTTATATTCTTAGCTTGACCCGGCAGACCCGGTAATCTCGATGTTCTCAAACTTACCTCCAACTTAATTATGCTTACCTAGTACAGCGACAGATGATTAGCATTGACAGTTTGACATGTCGTCGAATGTTACGCGTACTTATATCGGTGACGTGCCATCTAACTTTACACATACTGTTGCATACGACACATGTCAGGGACGATTTTTGCGGCTGCAATGCAAAGGTCCGTTGGGCCTTGACCAGTGGTATTATGATACAACATTCTTAATGCTGGAACCTCGATTCTCTTTCAAGAATCTAGGGGTGATAAATGAAGTAAGGTGAAGTTGGGATAGAATTCTTATTGGCTAATAGAGGGACTGGTTTAGACATCATTGCGAATTCTAGAATTCTTCCAAGCATTAAGCATACAAAGGGAGAAACGAATAGCCGAGTTGCGATTATCGATTCCGTTTCAATGGTTACGTGAAAGCCCCATCAAGGAAACGAATTAAGGTTTCGCCAATGAAGCTCCTGAAAATGTATTTTGTACTACTGCGTAGTAGGCTGCTAGGTCATCAAGCATGGGGAAGTTGAGGCGTGACGGGTCTACGGGTCCTGCTGATTAAAAAAGCCACAGCGAGCCACAGCGGGGAGTGAGGCTGCTCAGGCTGCTTGTCCACTGCACCCCATCCACTCCGATCCGTCCCAATTAATTTATCTTTAGCACCACGTCACCGCCGCATAGAAGCACATGCATGTGCTAAATGACACCCTACTTACCGACTGGAGCTGTGCCAGGTACACGATGCTTTTTTACTTCCGAATTAAATGTCCTAATCGACTATTGCTGTTGTGAACCGATCGACGACAAGCTTAGGTTCATATTTGAATAACGCATCCGCTCTCGTTTGCGTTTACCATTACTACCTATTATGCCTATTTCCTGTATGTGCAAGTAGCCGTCTTGCCGCCTCTTACCGAAAGTCCGACAGACCGCCCTGAGCTGAAAAGGGCAATCCCAGGCACGTACGTTTCTTAAAGCATGCCTTCCTTACCAAGGCTGCCTAGTACTAGCATCGCCATCTTTATGTGGCCTTGTACGCGATAGATTCCATAAGTTGCGAGAAAAGGCAAGATAGAGAAATTCGAGAGTTCTGGTATTTCCAGAAAACTACCCGAGTAGATGATCCTAAAACCATTCGACAATGCCTCCGAACAACAACATCATGAACTACTACGGGGAAGCACCGAAAACACATAACTTCGGATCGAGATGTCGATTAGCTCCGGTATCCCATCCTTTTGCCTCCAACGTCGATGGCATCCCGCCAGTAAACGCCCAGTACTTTTACCTGTCCTCCGTCCCCATCGATGACCCTCTTTCCACTACCACCGTCGCTGCCACGGCCGACCCTAAATCAGCTAGAAGCAGTCTCCGACCCTTCTCGCCGGGGGATAATAATGCGTTGGAGAAGGCTTGGCTGAGCCTTGCTTCGGATACCTACCGTCAGAATCATACAAACGCACTGCAGAACCGGCCTCCCAGCCCGTGTCTCGCTAAAACAAATGGCGAGAAGTTACGTAGTATCGTACGCCACTTGGCCGTGGAACATGCGGAAAAGCATTCACGCGAAGGTCCTTCACAGGAAAAGGTCCAGCCTTTCACCGAGGGTCTACCGGAACCAGAAAATGCTGCGCTTCTGTGTTGCCCGGACCTCCTCGTCGATGTTGGAGTTGCCCTACGGACATCTTTTTGTGCTGTGGCCAGGCGAAAACAGCCTGAGCTTAACCGAAATATGGTTGCCCAGGCTGTTATAAGTGAGATGAATACGCTGCACACTGATTCAACGGCTTCCGTCACAGAACGGCGCGTGCCGTCTAATAGCATCCCCCCAAGCCAGTCGCAGATCGACTCCTTGATGAGGTCAAATCAGCCAGATGAGCGACCAAATAGTCAACATTCCGTGGGGTCGCAAGCTCAAGTGTCAGCCGATAAAAGCCCCAGTGTTCCTGTTCCTACGAAATCTTCGTTTGCGAATGACGGTATCTCGGGTAGGCCCTTCGTTCGCGTAGGCACCCCAGAAAGTCCCATCGTATCTCCGCCGGCCTCGTTTCCGAGAGCTACTACTTTTCGACCCAGCGGACTCGTTGAGGAGGTGAAGAGCGGAGAAGCTAGGTCCCGTCGTGCTTCGTCAGTAGGGGATCCAGCTCCTTCACCTAAATATACCGAAGCTCCAAAAGTCGTTTCACGTGAAGTGACGGTCGGTGTCTCTAGGTTGCATGAAGTGTCTCTTCCTTCTCTACAGATGAAGCCAATATATTGGTCCCCTGTTAACGATATTGCTACTGTTTTCCGAGCAACTTGGTTCTACCGGTATAATCACCATGCCTAACTGCAATTGGAATATTTACTAATTTGCACTAGAGACGACATGAGACCTATAGATCCCACTGTAGCTAATCAGCTCGAAGCTGGATATCGAGAGCTTAAGCCTCATTCCGAGACTTGGAAAGATGAACTCAGATGTGCTGTGGAAGTTGGTCCTCTAGGGGAAGAAAAGGTCTCGCATCCGTTATGGCCGAAGCCACTAAATAAGTCTAAGAAGGCCGATGATCTGATGGAACCGCCTATATCCAGTAATCCCTTTTGTGCAGCTCGTTGCTTCCGCGGTGAAGCAGCCGCAGAAGGTAGCTTACTACCAGACCCGAACGAGGACAATTCCTCTCCTATGACGACCCACAAGAAGTTCGAGCAGTACCATGTGATTTACAAGGACGAGACGACAGCATATTTACTCAAGCCAAGCCTAAAGCCCTCTGCATACTACGGCCGCAGACCGGTGGCAAAAATAGTGAAGGGTCTCACTATTGGCATCCCGGTGGTGAGAGGCTTTGACTATGAGGCCTGGACGAGGAAGCATGAGAAGAGACAAGATCAGCGGCATCAGCAGGCTGCATCTGTTCTTAACAGTGCCCAAGAAAATGTTAGGCGTGACGCGTGCTCAGCGTGTAAGGCCGATGAAGAACGCGCGCAAGTTACAGATCTTGTCCTAGTTGTTCACGGCATCGGCCAGAAGTTAGCAGAACGAGTGGAAAATTATCATTTCACCCACGCCATAAATGCCTTCCGTCGGGCTATCAATATCGAGCTGCGAAGTGACGCAGTCAAAGGGGTGTTAAGGCAAGGGCTAGACGGTATAATGGTCCTTCCGGTGAACTGGAGGCAAAACCTATCGTTCGAAGAAGGCGGGCCGATGAAGGAAGAGGATAAGGAGCATTACACACCCGGTGGTTTCACTTTGAAGGATATCGAACCCAAGACCATCCCTGCCGTCCGGAGTATGATATCTGATGTTATGTTCGATATTCCATTCTACATGTCGCATCATAAACCGAAAATGGTAGCGGCTATGGTCCTTGAAGCAAATCGTGTTTTCAGGCTCTGGTGCCGAAATAACCCAGGCTTTGCGGAAAAGGGAAGGGTTCATCTAATCGGCCACTCGCTCGGCAGCGTCATGTGTATTGAAGTCTTGTCGAGGCAGCCCACGATTGTACCACCTTTGCAACTCACGAAGCAACCCGAATTGAAGCACTTCGAGTTCGACACCAAGAATTTGTTTCTTCTAGGTAGCCCCGCTGCTTTCTTCCTGTTGCTCGAGAGAGGTGCGTTACTGCCGAGGAGAGGACGTCGGAAACCAGGAGCAGACCTTAGCGATATTGTGTCGAAGGACATTGTTGGAGATGTGGGACGGTTCGGCTGCATCGCCGTGGACAATATCTACAATGTCATGGCCCGAGAAGACGCCGTTGCATATCTGCTCAATGGGACTCTAGACCCAATGTACGCAGCAAGCCTGAAGACCGCGTATGTGCCAAGTACATCGACGTCCTTTCTACAATCAATGGGTAATGCTATGCTCAGCATTGTCCCCGGAGCTGGAGCATCCTCGGCAGCAAATGCCCCGATCCCAAGGCCACCGACTGTGCGCCTTCCATCACAACTCGAACTTGAGGTCCACGATTTCACGCGTGAAGACATTGCCGAGAAGAAAGCTTACCTACTTAACGATAATGGGCAAATCGACTACTTTTTGCGGTCGGGTAGCGGTCCACTCGAATTGCAGTATCTAAATATGTTGAGCGCTCACACGAGCTATTGGGTAAACCACGATCTCATCCGCATGCTATGCATGGAGATAGGGAGGAATCCGGGGAAGGCGAATACGCTTCCCGCTATGAGAGCTGTAAAGGCTACGAAGCGAGTCATTCCTTCGGCGGTTTGAATGAATGGAATTATGTCCGGTTCACGAATAAATAAATTTGCATGGATACACTTCTGGCCTGGCGTTTGGGAATTTAATACAGGGTTGGACCGGGAATGATGGCATTTAGACTACGGATACCCATTGCCAATATGAACAGATTCACAAACAAAGTTGTAACAGCATAGTAATACAGCAGATACACTCTCGTCTCGTACTTCACCGTGTCGCATTTTCAGGAGTGTATTAGAACGGCCTGTTAACTCACCTTCGGTCCCGAGACTCTTGATAAGCTGGGGTAGTTGGCAACGAAAGCCCTGTTGTTCCAAGTTATTCACCATACGAAGCCGGTTTGTGGAAGCAGGTTGCGTGGCAGTGCCTCGAAGTAAGCCGGAATGGCAAGTTCCCAGCCGGTCAATATGCTGGCCCTTCAGCCGTCGGTCCCGATTCCGTCTCGGCCAATTTCTTCGGCTTCGGCATGTGGGATCGCTCTTACGTCCGTAACGCCACGTTACTTCGGGGAAAAGCTCTTGTGCGGTATTTCTTTTTTGCGAGCCTAGCGAATATCGATGAACAGAATCGTAACCGAGGTTAGTGATCTGAGCCATGCGGATTTGGAGAGGCTTCGCTATCGAACTATGTCTCACATGTCAGCCTTGACCGAATTACCATAGCTAGAAAGATCGGAGGTTAGGTAATATGGGCAGCTACTTGCGAAATGTGAAGAATGGTCTTCCTCGTCAACGGGGTTCCAGCCGCGCTTTCGTTTAAGGACCCATCGACGTGGACATGTCTCGGAAAAATATGAAGCGGCTCCGATGAGAGCGTCCCGTCAACGACCGCCAAGCTCTAACGGCATCGGGGAGGTCGTCTGCGGAGAGTTTCACCAGTATCCCGTAGCCTAGCGGCTCCGATTCTTCTTCCAACCAAGAGCAAGGAAACCCGGGCACTCCTCGTGTTTTCTGCGATCACCGGGAAGTGATTTCGACGATATCTGCAGTCATCATCATCATCATCATCCTCCCCAGTACCTTATACGGCGTATAATCGACGATGATTCCGATGATTTCGTATAGCTCGGCCATGACCTCATGTCATACGTGCTGACGCAGCAAAACTCGAGGATACCCCTATCCTGGTTGTGCTACCATTGCCGTTGCTATAGTCTCCAGCTTGAGCCCCTTCTCCCGCTATATTTTAGCTCGCCAGTAGACATATTCCGCCGTGATACGGTACGACGTCGGGGTCTTCTGTGGTGTTCTGATGTCTTAGATATAATTAGCTAGGACTGCGTGTCGTAGAACTTCTGCAGCTTAGTTGAGGGCCTCCCGCTAATACTTACCTCGACACGACTAAGGACGACGCTATCCAGCTCGAAATCTTTTTTTTCTTCTAGCACTGCAAAGCAAAAGTTCCTAAAGGAGCCTTCTCTATCGTCGATGCTTACGTCGCAGTTTATGTTGGGGGTACTGCAGTGAAATTTCTGACATGTCTTCGGTCACGATGGGATCTGATCGATGTTCATCAACAGTATCTGTTCCTAGAAGATTAAAAGATGACGTGGCTAATTTAGATTATGTACAACTAACGAAGCTCTATGCTTACTAACAGACTTCTGACGCTCTAACAAATATGGGCGGCGCAGACGAGGCACAGCATGAAGGAATGGGCAAAATCACGTCGTCCAGATAGACTCGTCAGCAATAAGTAGGACACCGAGGCTTACTTAGGAAACCCGATCTCAGTTCTTCAACAATTTCACAACCCAAATCGACGACGATACACTAACTTCTCACCTGTTGGTAATACCGGCATTGAGGAGCGTCCAGCGCTACGGATTACCAAGAGATCGAGATAATGCACAACAGCTGTTAGTACAGTTCCGCCTCACAATATTGAGACACAACCAACGTCGTCCTTTGAGTAATCAAATGTTACCAGCCCGTAACCACCTCTATCTCCGCCATGCCACTCCCAGCGCTCGAGGCTGTACCTGTACGACGTCTACGAGTCCTACCGTTTAAGGTATAGCAATTCGCTTGGCTGGCTGGCTGGATTTACTTGGACTCTATCCATCCAACTGGTGATAGGAGATCGGCTCCCCCCACCGGCTCCCGGGTATAATTTGCCACGCAATCTTGATCATATGTCCTAATTAACCACGCATCAACCCACCTACTGTACGAAGAAATATCGTATTCAGTCGGCACTAGTTGCCCGTACTTGATACTCGCGACTCGGGGACGGGCCTAGTCGGATTAGAGAGTAGCCTTCTTGGAGGATGAGACAGCAAGATTATTCCCACTGTATTCGACAAGGCGACCATTCATATCGCTATCGTCGTTCGGTAGCTACCGGCATCCGAGCAGATAACCTACATATGTTGTGCTATTAGGATTTTCATCCACCTCCTCAAAAGCCGCTCTTTTACGCGTACCCCCTATTGGCATTGCTTGGCCTTCCATATCCCGAAAAGGCAGATCTACACCGGCCGTGTCTCGATGAAGTGTATCAGGAAGTGCCTGATGGGCTGCCCATAGGGGATACCGTAGAGTAGATACTTCGCCACTTCCCCAGTATTAAGGGGGTGAAATCCTTTTTGCTACGACGTCGAGAGGGGGAAACCGAGGTGAGAACCGTCAGGTCTGCTTCATCTAAAATGATTCCAGATTTCAGACACCTTCCCTGCTACGGGATAAAGAGATACATACAATCTTCGATGTCGGCCAACAGCGGGCCCAGCTACATATGTGCATGTCCGGCTCCTCTCCCCAGTTCCACAGGACCGGGAGGTTGTGATCGCTCTGTCTCGAAGGGGCACGTAGCCTTCCAATAGGGCTAGATTTCCTTCCTCCGCCACAAACCACCTTCTACATCTCTCCCTTCCTTCCGCTTCCCCTTTCCCCTGTTCTCCAAGGGCATAGGTAGCGTGATTTTTTTTTCCCCCATCCTCGACCCTTTGAAAGTCCCGAGGTGGCCGCTTCTAGTCTCCTCCTCCTTGCTCCTCTTCTCCTTCTCGCCCCCCTCTAGAAAACTCGGCATCGCGAAAGCGTGGAGTTGTAAAAAAACGTCACTGTGGATATTCCGCAGTAATACTTCCGGGATTGAGAGGCGAAGATAAAAAGGCACATATTATGGAACTGCCGGCTAACTGCCAACAGCAGTAACATCCGTCCAGTCCCCCCTCCCCCCCTTGTTCCCCCATAAGAAACTTGTGGCACAGGCAAAACGCATTGTTCATTTTCGAAAAAGACGTTGGAAGTTCAATCCCCGAATTATTAGGTCTTGGTTCCAACATCCAAAACGTCCTCTTTCCCGAAAGCGGTGAAAAATCCCATCAAAACCATGAGATAGGTTTGTCTAAACCAAGCCTCTCCCGTTAAATTAGCTAAACAGTTCCACCTTCTTCTTTCTTCTTCTCTTAACTCCGAAAAAAAGCAAGATGTGTCAGGATGTGTGTTGTGTGCCCCCCTGGCTGGAATTTCTGGATATTCTGTATCTGTATCCTGCGCCTCGACGGATAGGGTGAGAGGAGAACCCCTACGCTTGCCTGGCATATGTGATAACTAAGTGCTGACAGCTGCGATCGCCGTCGAGGAAGGATGCAAGAGAGAAGGGTCTCGAGCCATGGTTTAGTCCCCACCCGCTGCCTATATGTCTGTTTGTATGTATATGTATGTTCGTGAAGTATGTATGCTTGCTGCTGTGTGTGCTGCCGATGCCTATCGACGGGTGTCGGCACCGAGTGGTTCTCCCCTGCTTTTCCCAAGCGGTTTCAAGGAAGAGCCAAAACGCAGGACGAGGGGGGAAACTGACTGGGCTTCAATACATACGCAGCACAGTGAAAGGTTAGGTAATGTATGTAGCTTCAACAAGCGTTCCTAGGATTCTTTCGAGATCCACGGGCCTTGCAAAATTAGAGACCAGGGGCACTTGAACTGGAAAGGTAGATTTCTTTTTCCCCTCTCGATGTATTTTGCCCTCTTTATTTTTACTAATAATAATACCAATACCCCCTTTCATACTTGAAGCCTGGAATTGTCGTATGTTAACAGGATCCGCCTCTATTTTTCGATTATTCATCATCGTCGTCGAGATGAGGTGCCAAGCTTGGCTAAACTGGGGACGCCCAGGATAGTGTCTTAACAACCTTGAACAGGGGTAGGTTCCTGATGTATGTACCTGGGATATGTATGTATGCATAATACTGTAGATTTTCGACACGACCACGCGCCGACGAGTTGCAGCTCAACTGCAGTATGTAATAGTACGGTATCATATGCGCGTATGATTTGTATGTATCGTACCTACAGCAAGCAGACACCTCGAACCCCCCTGCATCCCACGAGCTGAAAAGCAGGGGAAAGCATGACATAGGAAGGACGGTGAGCTTATTGTTAATCTCAGGGTCAACAAGGGGACGGCTTCAAGGTCCCCCGGGAAGCAAATGTAGCAGTTATCTACCTACCTACGCAGTATGTAGCAGCAGCAAAAACTCAAATCAAGAGCCGATTCCTAATCCCGTCTTCTCCTCTCCTTGGTTACGTCTCGTCATGTTGCGTGCTGTTTGCGTACCTTGCTCTCCGGCTGAAGGATTTATCTATCGACCCAGCCCTGCGATCCTTCACGCCCTTTTCCCAGCTGCCTGTCGCATCTGACCGGCGCTTGACGAATTGTTCTAGAAGAGTAACCATAAAAATGAATCACGTAACTCGACCGGAAAGGGTTAAGTGAGTAGGTTGCTACATAGGTAGTTACGGTAGAGCAAGGCAATGGATTCGCTCTCATCTCGTTTCCCCCCATCACGCACCCACGCAACCACAACGTTCTGCCGCGTAATCGAGCACAACAGTTGGACAATCCAGTTCCGCCAGTCAACTCGCTTAGCGCCAACCCCTCAACCGTCCGCCGTCCGGATAGCGTATGGATGGCCTGGTCCGTCTAGTACGATTTGGTGAAGAGTTAATGACAAGCAAGCCTACACTCGGCCGTAACGGCGGATAGGATGAGGTTCTCCCCTCTTGGCACCCATGATATCAAATACTATTGTTTACTTACATGGCCCTAGCCAATTACTGGACCGGGCCGATGGAGGCGGACGATGGAGTCCAGTAAATAAGGCTAAGAGAGTGGGGTGCCATATAAACGGCTCTAAAAACGGCATGTATCATAGTATGGTTCCTATCTAATCGTCACTATTCATGCGAACTGCTGGCAGTATAGAGACAGACTCATAGTGAATACTACTCTAAACCCCAATACATACAGTTCTTAGGAACGGGACCGAGCCCGAATCCCTGGATCTAAAACAGAACCTTTTCTCGCTTCTACCAAGTTTTGCTATTCATAGCGTCGTATATAGAATATGTTTAGAAGCCTTTGAGGTAGGAATGCGAGAACTGGGAGTTCTTCAGCATTCAAAACTTACGTCATGTTTTCTTGCCGCTATCGTAGGCCCCTTACGAGCCCGTCTGATCCTGCTTCCAGGGGATCGACCAAGGCTACACGTGCGCCCAGACAGGGTTCCGGAGCGGAGAATAATCAATATCGACAATACATACCCTCTCCGTGAACTTACGGAAGTAAGCAACTCGGTGTCAAAAAGCCGTCGAAAGGGTAAAGTTGGGGGCTTAAAAAAATCTAAATGGAAATCTAAAAAATCCAAAAGCTTCGAGAAGCTAGCTAATGTTGGATGGGGAAATCGGCGCGAGGTAGGGCTCACGCTCACTGCTGCGAACCTTCGGCGCCTACATGCGGTAGCGCATATGTGCCTAGATGGTAGCGCATCTGTAGGATATATGAAATAGCATCTAGACTTGCAGCATGTTCTAATCCCAAGGAGTTTTGAACGTGGCGTGATCAGGACCACTTGCCACGCTGTGCGGTTGCATCGTATGCAGTCACCATTGCAGCGACTTCTCTCTCTCCCGTAGGGTTGGATCCGGAATCAAGTTTCTTATAAAGCGACTCTTTGGAGTGTCACGGGACGTAGTAGCGCTGCTGCAATTAGAAAGAGAATGAGAGCAAGCTCACCTCCGTACGACGTATAGTGCGTTCGTCTGAGTCCGACACTTCAGCCCCCAAACCCTTTTCTGAGTTGTGTGCGCTAAAAGCCGAACGCAGATTCGTGTGAGATTATAGCCGTCCTATCTAGGTGCGACGAGATGACTACTCCTCCCCAAAGTGGTGTGCCATACTGACCTAGCATTTGGTGAGAATACGACGAAGGTATCGAAATAATTATTACGCATCCGGATGCTGCAGACGCTCTTATGCTCTTACAGCAGTTCTACCGTTTCGTATCGGAGATACCGTACGCAGATCACTGGAGGCCGGTACCCACCAAAGTAGGGTGGGATACCTTTTTCGGTCGCAAAGAGAGAGAGTTATTACCAAGACCTAGTCGACATCGCTTGTCGCTATTGGGCGCTAGAGGCTCTCACTAGCTCTCACATCGCGGGGGACCTAGTCTTAAGATGCTTAAGGTGAGCAGACGAATCTCGGTAGAGCCGTGAAGTCGTCATCGGATGTTCAAGGGTTGCGGATCTACACTTGATAAGGTTAAAGAGTAGACGTACATAGACTTGTTTCTTTTTTTGTTTGGGGTCATTGATGCTTCGTTGTATGTTTGAATAGCCTGATCGTCTGATCTAGTGGTTTAGGTGCGTAATTAGACCCTTAGCTTCGTCTCTAAATATATCATCGATATTGAGGCCTTTAGATGTGGATGGATATCAATTTCGAACGAATAATATACTAGTAATACCGAGATAAAGAAAAATAGATGGTGGGTATTAGTTGAACAACTCGAGATATAATGTCGGCTTTTGCGCAATTAATGCAATTGGTAGCCCTATCATGCGCAGATATGTGTGCTGTGTGTGGTGTTGCAACCGTAACCTTCAGGCTGTTTCAGAGCTGACGGGAAAGCAAGAAAGCATAGAAGCAGCTGCGATAGTGAGGGAATCAGCAGCGGGGGGGGCTCGACCTATTCGACCAACGGGGAAAATTCCAGTGAATCTGCTAGGTACACCGCAAGAACAGCTGGAGCTCTGAGGCAGCATGGGGTTCAGTTACACAACACCGGTCTGCAGGTCGGGATCCGCACGTCCAACAGGGGATCTGACTGGCCGTTGCGATGCTGCAGGTTCAGTGAACCACCTCGCGTAACGAATTAGAGGGGCCTGCCCTGGCGCTTAACTTGGCTTTTGGCTACCAAGACCCGAAAGTCATAAGCTGACCGCTACTCCACTAATGGATAGTCGGCGGTAGCTAGTCCTGCTAGTCCTGCTAGTCCTGCTATTCCTGCTAGTCTTGCTAGAACCGGGTACGCTGGGTACGTCGCAAAGCGTTTCCTTGGTAAGTGGGATCGTGCGCTTATATCTGGCAAGAGTTTGCGAGGGGCCGATCGTAGAATGGAGATGCAATGAGATCGTGCTGAAGAATTTAGTCATTTTCGCAGAACCGGTGAACTCTAGCCGTGCAATGCCGCCGTGGAGCCTCGAGGTTGCGCAGAGCTTTAGAGCTTGAAGCTTTAAGGGTTCTCCCCAAATTTCATGTACATACATGTAGTAAGCACTTAGGTGTGTGTATATGCCAGTCATCTCATTTTATACGGAGATGGTGGTGATTATGAGGGATTGTAAGGCTGAAGGTCCCCTGAATTCCTGTCAGCACTCTCGTTGACAGGTTCTCAAAAGGATAGTGGCAGAGTGGGAGATCATGCCCGATATTCGCCCGGCGACGCTTAGGGCAGGAGAGTAAGCACTTTGTTTGCGTCCTTGCAGTTCCCGGGCCATGTCGGCGGTCTCGTGGCGGGCGGAAATCGCTGTAAGTTGCGTAGTACGGCCAGTACGGCTCTGTACAAGACACTCACCCATTGGGTCCCGGGACTGCGATACTCGTAATCTACAGTACAGTATTGGGGAGGTTCCTGCATTGTAAGGTTCCTCCCGCATAGCCATGTGGCTCGTACTGTACACTTTGCCAGTACTGTACTATGTAGCATGCAGATCCTGTGGGTTACATGTAACGTATTTGAAAATGCGCGAGTCATGTCTTCTTTCCGACCGTACAATACTGTGATCGCGTATGTACAGCCATGGATGCATATATCGACAGCCTTTTAGTTGAATATGCGGTATCCGCGGTATCTTGTTCGACTCAGCGCGCCTATGCGTTTGGTTAGCTGGCTAGGTCGGCGAAGACTCACATGGAGACATCATCCATAGCGCAGTAGACGCCTCGCCCGTACAACGTGACTATACAATATACGGTGTATAGCTGAATAATTGTCAGCTTACGCGCGTCATTATGATGCACCATGAGACTGACACTGGCCTTTTTTATCCCGCCTTATGTTGATAATATCCCACCGCATACCATGTTACCGTGCAACATATGCTAAGTAGTATAGGTTGATAGAGGTGGGATAAAGGTGTATGGGACTTTATTCTCGTCAGTGGGAAATTACACGGGTTTAAAATGGACGGGTACATATCGAAATTTTAGCTCATTTAGCTCTTTTAACTTTCTTAGCTTGATGTAGGGTGCTTTATTATCTGACCAATCATATTTATCCCCGCGTCTGTTGGTTCCAAAAATGGAAGCCTCACGTAGAAGCGCAACTACGCCAAATCTGGTATCACTTACGCCAAGTACCTAGGTATATGCTATATAGTATACTTGGAAGTCCTAAGGGCCAAAACGGTGCCCTCGCACCTGCTCCGGTACCCTGCCCAATCGGTAGCCAATCCACGAATTCGGGCCCGTAACGTAAAAGTCCATTCCGGTTGCAGGCGCGGGGGATGGTCTTTTAGTCTTTCGGCTACGACTTAAGATCATGGTCTTTTGCTCCGGATCCATCGACTCTGTACTTTTTATTTTTGCAATCAACTGAATAGTTGCTGCCTACGAATCGAATTATTACTACGGAGTCTGATGACAAAAAATGACCGAAGATGATTCGCTGGTATTATTACAGAGAGTTATATTGATGGGGTACTCATCTTGAAACTACAAAGATCCTTGATTGGAGCCATGCTATCTATTGGTTGCAAATTAAGAACCCTTCCCCCTATGGATTTCTTACCCAATAAACTACAGCGTGTAACTTTTTGAAGGCAGGCTGTGTTGTACTTTGGTAAATGTACTTTGGAAATGACTTGCCAAACGTACAATACGGCTCGAACCAGGCCCGTACTACGCTACTACGGATCGCGGCAAATCGTCTTAGTTCTGTCGATGAATACCCACAGAGATCCCACATGATGTAAGACCCTGCGCTGGGTCACAATCAACCCTACGCAATCTGTAATAATATTACATTCGTCCAAGCTACACTACACTATGTAGTGTATTTCGTTCAGACCAACCGGCCAACCGACCAACAGCAGATCAGGTAGCGTAGAGAGATCTTTGCGAAGGAAACGCCACACCCGCTCAGATAACGAGCGATTGCTAAACCGAACGGACCTCCAGCGGGCTCTCGAGGTAGGGCCAAGCTCGGTCCAACCAAAATATGCCGTTGCTTTCAGTGGTACACAACATATTGTTTTCCCCATGAGTGTCCCGAGATCTTACAATGCCCTGTGCCTTGTGCCTCGTTTCACAGAGAGCTATGCACGTCAGAAAGACGGGCTGAGCCTTACTGGCTGGTTTCCTTTCACGTAGTGTCACCTACCAATTCTTTTTTATTGTTAGGCACTTGAAATAGGGTGCAGTGTAACCTTGGGCTCGACGAGAAGAGAGGGAAATAATAGACAGGGGGTTGAGGAAAAAAGACCAAGGAGGCTCGCATCTTGTAGGTAGTGGATAGAGCTACGATGCACATACAGTAAGACGGGCCGATGGCCAGAATACCGAAAAATAGACTCTCTTTTTTTACTGCTTCATCTAGAGCCAGGCAACAATGCCGTGGAATTGGAGCAAAGTCCGAAATCCTTCCCAGCCAGGGCAGCTTGTGCCGAGGGCCCACCATGAACGCCAATTCACTTCCCAGCTTGTTGAACTTGGGCGTGGGTTATCCGTGATACTAGTAATACATGATATAGAAATGAAAAATCCCGCTGTTTGATATGATGCCCAATATGATTGTTTGTTTCCGTCGATGGTACAAGTTTCTATAGCCCGTTTTCCCTAATGATAACCAAACTCCAAAGTCCCGAGGGTATGCGTACAAGGTAATCAATGACAATGTAGAACCGGAACAGGTAGAATGCCGCCCTGCCAACCCATCGTCTTCGTCGTTATCGTAGTGGGGGAATAATAGTAATGATAATAAAGAAATTCATCGCTTCGTAAAAGGCATAGGTGCCAAAAGGTTGCTCCCGGGGTGCTGTTGGTGGTGTTGCTGAGGCATCGTCATAGACGGTAGTTGAGCTTCGGGCGCAACAAGGTGTCCTGGAGTGCTACCGAGCGTTCTCGTCGGCGCTGGATAGGCATCGTAACTCTCGGCGCGCAAGTCCAAAGTACCCAGGTCGAAGCGTTTAGAGCAACCATCTTCCATGTGTCTGTAGTAGCATTGCATATTAGCTGCGAGCTCACCAAGTGGGGCAAATAAATATTATGTCAATTTACCTTCGAAGGGTATCCTTCCGCGCAAACATCCGCCCACAATAGTCACACTTGTGGTTCTTCTCTTTCATGTGAACACTCTGGTTGTGTCTTTGCAAGTCCGTCTTCCGCACAAATTTCTTGTTGCAATCTGGTACTGTGCAGGGGAAGGGGTATTCCCTCTTCTCGTCGTGAGTTTCCATGTGAGCTTTGAAGTTGTAGCTCCTGCTAAACAGCTTGCCGCAACCCTTGACTTCGCACTGGAAGTTAGCATCCTCTTTCGTCGTTAGCTTCCTAGGTTGTCTTCTTTGCGTCCTTGGTACACGAAGCTGTCGCCTGTCGTGAGAGAAGGCAGCCCCTGAAGCGCTAGGGCCGGCGTAGAATTGGTCCGACTCGAGAGACGGGTACTCAGACCTTGGCCACGAACCTGAAGGGACGTCCGACAGATAGCCAGAGCTACCGGCAGTCGAGCCGTAGCTGCTAGGTTCTAAAGGCAAAGACTGAGCAGAGCGAGGGGATGGGTACTGAGTTAACTCAGCACCGTTACCATAGTCGGCTGCCATAGCGTTAGGATTTTCCATCTTAATCCGCGGTATGGGCGAAACACTATGGGAGTAGCCGAAAGCGTGCCTCGAGTTTGGATCCGGTGAACGAGAGGCACCCGAAGACATTGGGGGAGGGGTACTACTTGAGAGAACTGATGCCTGGGACGGGTGAGACGAATATAATTCGTGGCTGTACGACGCATGCATGCTAGGTTCGTAGTGAGCGAAAGTGTCGTAGTCGGCCGACATGATATTCGGCGCGCCTGATGTCGAGCTAGGGTGCATCACGGGTGTCCCACTCCAGCCGGTCGAGGTCATCACGTCCAGAGGCGGGAGCGAGTTTTCGGAACCCATATTGTTAGGCATCGTCGCGCAAGACTGCTCAAACATGGAAGCAATCTTGTAGATGGGGTCAACAAAATCCGGAGAGGGATAGTCCAGAGTAGGGCTGTCAGAGCAATTTGTACTTGGAGGTGACGCCGGTGACCTGGTCAAGGATGGAGGTGAGAGATCCATCACGGGGCTGTATCAAACGCAAGATACGTCCCAACAGACAGGAAAGGTTGGTTGTATAAAAAAGGCGAAGGGGTTCCGGGTGTGTTGTGCAACGAGGCGAGTCCGCCGAGGAGAGTAGGTAACAGCGGGTTAAGTATGCGAGTGGCTTTTCTTCCCTTTTCCCAACTGTGTCTGACGAATTTTTGATCTGAGGCTTGATAGCTGGAGGTGTGTCGATACATAAAAAAAAGGCTATGGGGTCAGTGGGATGTAAGCAATAGTTTTATACAAGTAGTTCCTGTACTACTAACATCGGCTCACGCCCCTACGTATGATACTAGCCACCGTTGGTGTAAGAACGGGACGTCAAGACAGTAAGAGTGAAACCGTACCCCATATAACTGCAGCGAGATAAACATAGTGAGGCAGACAGTACATCCTGTACATCCAGTACATCCAAGGCAGACTTCCGGAAAATTATACATAGTACCGGGGTGTGGGATATGATGCTCGTAAGGCCAGGCAGGGCCCAGTTTTCTTGCAGACTTGTCATATTTGGTAAAGTAACAGTATATCAGAATAAGGGTACAAAATCACCAGGGTGTGTGTGCGTGTGCTCTCGAATAAGATGCTTCGCGGCAGTCTAAGAGAGCCCAGGTGGTGGTGGGCTGTAGGGGGCCAAGGGGAGAGAATACTACATACAACATGGTCTCGTTAACTGGGTACATATACATAGCATAACGTCAGACTATGCAGGGTAGTACAGGTAGGGATTCCATACTTAGAAAAAATAGGTTAATGTACAGGAAGAGAAAAGAAAGGGAGAAATGGAGAGTGACTAATACATAGTAACTAGGTAGCATACCGTACGACGTCCACCGTTGGAGCCGGGGGGTTTGTGTCGGGCGGGGGGATTAATCAAGCCAGACCGAAAATATTCGACGAACCAACATGGCAGCATGGTGTATGTACTTTTTTAAAAAGGAACTACCTATTCTGAGAGTACTAACCTAATGTTAACCCGTTAACCCCGTTACGTGCTGTCCAACATACATACATACATAGCTAGTACCTTATTGAAGCCATATTCCCCACGGATTAGAACCAAAGCAGTACTTTCAGTATTGGCATACATCTTTAGCGTTATGTTAGTACTTTCGGGCTAGACATGTACCTGTACCAGTAGGGTAGGCGAATACATGCCCAGGAGGAGATCCAACTCCTTGCATGCACCCATCCTCCAAGTGCTGAAGAATGGTAGCCTTATGGCCCCCTGTCCTTCTCTTCATCGACATCCACGAAATAAAGTTCTTATCAAGTCGTAACGTGACCGGCGGGAAATGGTGTTTAGTCATTATCCTATATCATCTTCAACGTGAGGGGATAGCGAGAGGTCTAAAACAACCACGAACGTTTCTTTAAGAGTTTTCCACGAAACTCTAGAGCGACTATGACAAATATCTTAGTAGCGAGCGTGGACACAGCTAAGCTCGGCTAAGCTACCACCACTGTGTGTTCACCTCATCGAGTCTAGCGTAGACGCGTCTTTTTTAGAATTCCAAAGCACCATGGCGTGATATACTGCTGTTGGTTCTTGGATTAAGTCCGGGGACGCTTGGCTAACCTATTTTTTAAGCAATGTGGGACAGTAGGGCAGACGGCTATTGATAATGTAATGATTCTTCTGGTTAGAATTGGTAGAATTGGTAGGTCAAAAGAACGCGGGCCTTGGTATAAAATCTAACGATAAGCTGCAGGGGACGGCAGAGTGCATTGAATCCAGTGAAAATACAGGGGACGGCAGAGTGCATTGAATCCAGTGAAAATACAGGGGACGCTTAAGCCACATGGGTACGGAACGATGGAAGGCCAAGCCGTTCGGCGTTAGGAGACTGACTGAAAACACTAACTCCAGCGTTCATCGTTGATTTTTCATCATTCGTGTCAAAGACAATTGTCGCGACGGAGATAATAGGTACGAAATAGGAAAGAACTTGCTTAAACATCCATCCATGGATCTGCTTACGTAGCGTACTGATTACATATCATGTATCGTACTAGTTCTGCAGAGGAACAAATGATATGCCTACTAAGTATGTACCATGAACCAACAAGAAGAAAAAGGATGAGCCCGATTCTTGGACTTTAGACAGTAGTAGTGTATTCTATGTAAAGAAACAAGATAATTATGTCCTTAACAGTATTTGAATTTGGATTTGGATTTCGGAGCGATGTAACTCTATTTTGTTCGGCTTGGGTTCCAAAGTGGGCAAATACCAAGTGATCGCTATTCCTACAAGGCACACCTGTCCAACATCCCCGCTAAGGGCGAGCCGTCCGACCATGTTTTTACCCAAATTCCCATAGGGATCAAGGATCCAGGGGGCTAATAATTTGAGTTTAGTAGGATGGGTTTTGTATTTAGCACGAAAATCCCAAAGCGCTTACCTGGTGAAAGTCTTGTTTCATAGGCTGCGCCACCAAACGGTATCAATTTCATCCCATTTTCAGAATAAAATAAAATATCCGGGCTAATTAACCCCCCTAATAACCCCCCCCCCCAATCCCCCAAATCTATATTCATTCCTTACAAGGTCATTCCCGGGGTTGGTTCTCGATAGACCTCGATTCGACCACTGGCAGCGCTGGTAACACTCGGCCTTTGACAAAGATGGCTGGTTTTATGAAGATTATGAAGTCATGATATTCAATTCTTACAAGGCAACAGCTTCGTAGGATGCACCGCCATTTGACGATCTCCAAATATATGGATTGATGTCATTCGAGCCATCTACGTCTTTGATTGCTACTCGAAAGTTTTCATCCTTGGCCTAAGCCCTAGCTGCAGGTACGGGCATACGCTGCCGCTGAAGAAATATTGTTAACGATACCGACGTGTCGTTGCCATCTTTCTATGCCCCTCTATTAGCAAAGCTATGATAGGTAAAATAACGGCTGCAGAATGCATTATCCACTACTAGTGCTACCGAAGAGACTGAAGATTCCACTACATAGCATTTGGCCCGTAACGATCCACTGCCAAGGGAAAGGTAGCAAGCAAGTACATGTAGCCTCTATGTAGTCCATGTACTTGTACTTCCAGAAAATAGAGCTGAGAAGCCTTCTTCTCTTTTTCAATCGGCCCCCATCTTTCTACGCCTTGGGCTTGCTGCCGTAACCCACGTGTTTCGGCCGGGTCCCTCGGGCTTGCGTGTAGTATGTAAGCCCTTCTCTAAATTCTCACCAATTATTGTTTTTATTTTCTCGCGGGATTTGTCAAACGCGGTAGTCGCTTGCCCCGCCACGTTTTGATACACATGGTGTTGAGAGGCTGAGCAGCTTGAAGGAATGAAGCTTATATAGCTCTACGTTTCAGAACTATCATCGACGAGCTAGCTCGCTATCGGTTTCTTAAAATGATCACAATTGCCACAGAAAATGAACATTTAGCCACCTTCGGAAGACCCATGCTTTCGATCGAGTGATATCGAACATAAATGCATTCATAACAACGTACCTATATGCACGTACATACATAGTACAGAAACCCTAGCTCTGGTTATAACCGGTATCATCTCGACGGGGACGGCGGGAAGCGCAAAGAATCTCGCTAATAACATAATCGTCCGAAGCGGGGCTCTTCCACACAAAACGAGAAGGTCGACGCGTACCTTGTCTCCCCGGCGTATTCAGTACCAGTGGAAGCCAGCGAACGGCTTTTATATCGCCGACTATTTCGTTGCAATGATGATTTTCACGTTATAGGCCGTAGCAAAAGTGCCCAGAGACAAGTGAGAGTGGCGGAGTGTCCGTGATGAATGATGATACCCAACGTATCCTTGGGTCTCTTAGGTCTGTAAATCCCCTGAATTTAAGAGTGGGTAGATTTTAGTTGGAGTAGCGTTAGCTTACCTAAAAGCAGTATGCCGAATACATCCATACATACAATGTAACGAGGTATCCTCGCATCCTTACCCGCATGTAGGGATTCAAGATACGCAGGACTCCCCGTTGTACCACAATATTCTACTGGAGATTTGCTCCAAGCGTCCCCACACGGCAGGGGGTTGCTTTGGGAAGGTTGTCTTTTAAACTCCTTACCAAAACGGCTCACTAGGGAAGATCTGGCCGCTTGCCTGGTAGTGGAAAAGTCAGCGAGCGTGATTTCAGCTTCGGGGGCTGAAATTGGCCGCTGTACGAGATGGGGCCATGGGGCTTGCAAATCCTTTTCACCGTACATGCAACACCAAATTGCATGCATACATAGCACGGCATATGTCCAAAGTAGCTAAATTAGATAGCACCGGCGCGAGGACGAACTATCGTGACGTTGGGAGCCTGATGGTGATAATTTGCGAGACTTACCTACTCAACATGTTACTTGGGTTGGGTTTCAAGGATATTAGCAGTCTCGCAGCAGGGTGGCTTTGAGGTTTTCGCTATTTACGACGACGGCGAACTTTGGAATGATATGTCTCGTAGTGCTTAGCAAAGCATATAGGATTCTCCTAATCTCTATAGCAACAAACTTGGCATGCGCCTAGCTTGAGCTTGCCATCGTTGGAAAATCCTTTGCATGGTGCACCCATGGATTAGACATCTGAAATAGCCGTTCTCCGTGACAGGAAGAGACATCGCCTTCGCTCATTATGGGTAAACCGCGAGATGAGACCCATACAACGAAGCTGAACACATACGATGATCTAAAGATAAACATAATCAACCCTCGACATTCTACTAGAAACGCGAACGGTCAGTCTGGTAACATGACTCAGTTCGAGGCGTCCACATGCTTTCCACACTCAGGTTTTATCATTAGTCAACTGGTCGATTTCCAAGTTGTATGCCTTGTCATTAAAGCAGCATTGCCTCGCAGGATTCGCAGTTTCCAGCATCACCTGAAACAAGATTGATTAACACATATCTTGCTGGGTAGCATTTCCTGCAGCCTGGTGGTCAGCGATAAATTCGGCGATGTAGTATTCGTAGAATACTGCTAGTGCAACCTCTCAAAATAGCAATGCATGTAAGGCTAAAGCTGAGAGCTGACGGTGCACATCCGACGTGCATACGTATTAGCTCGTGCGCACTTCGGACTCATTCGGCGGCCATTCGGACACGGCAATTGGACATATTCGGAGATGGAGTTCGGAGTCAATGGTGGGAATAACGTCCATCCGTATCCGAAACTTCGTTGGCCTTAATTGCCGATGATAATCGGATATTGATGGCGTTAACAACTGGTTTGTCCTTTTTTTTCTGTTTTGCTGTTTGCTGACTAGTACAAGAGGTAATTCGGTTCGACAAACAGGTCGAACAGTTAAAAACATAAAAAAAAGGAGGCGGAAAATCGACTAAGCCTAGTTGTATCTAAAACATCTAAAAACCGATCGTGCCGGTTCCGGTAGTCTGGTTCTTCATCCGATTAACCCCCAACCGGCCCCAACCCAAGGCCATGGTTAAGTGAGAAGCTATCGGGGCGATTGACCGTGCTGCCGGGATTGGCGTCCCTATTAGACGCGTTTCCAATACGGCGGGATACCTCCCATCTTGTTAATAAACGGCTCTTCCCGATGGCACAAGCCGTGGATCGTCTCTTGCGGCATAACTCGAGTCTAAGATAAAAAAGCTTATTGCAACTTCTTTTCGCCAGGTTTATTGAATTAGTTAATTTCATTCCGGAACCCAGCGATGATACCTCGCGCCGACAATTGTCTAGCGACACTTTCGTTGGGCGCGCACGATCAGCGACGATGCGGTGATGATTAATCGATAAATCGATCATCCGGAATTCTAACCATAATGGATCCTGTCGTATGCAGTCGACACCGAAGCTATTTGCCAATTTGTATTATTATTGATTTCGACCCCCAACATTGCATGTTAGCGAGGGCTGTTATGGGCCTTGGACATATGTGGTAACGTTAACAGCCAACGACGATAGTAACGTTCATGCACATCGCCAAACCAAGGGGCTAAGAATTGGATTATTTAATAAATCAATTGTATATATTTGTCGGTGAGTTGGATTGCAGAAACTTTGAAACCCGAAGATTGATAGATTGTTGAAGTTTCTATGTGCCAACCTAAGGTTTACATAAGCCACTTTACTAGAAAGTACCTTAGTACCATCGTAACTGCCACAAGCAAGTACAATCTGTGGCTAGCCCTCACCACCGAAACCATGCATCAGCCACATTCCGCATATGCTTATCTTATCAAATAATAGGTAGCAGCAACCTCAATGACGAGACCGTCTTTCACTTAATATCATAAAAGTCAAGAAGCTTATGCGACATTCTCATATGCTAGATACCTATACATATGCAGTATCTCAAGCAGCAAAAAATAGTGAGAAGAATCTTACAAGTTAGGTCCTTTGTGGCGGATGAGCATGCAGCTGCCCGCCTAACCCACGCGTAAATCGACGCAGCTGCGCTAAGCGTCTACCGTCCTTCGTCCGTCAAAACAATCCCAATTGATGAGACCATATTTAACTAAATTCCGCCTGCTGGTTCAAGATGAAGTTCTTCATCGACGACCTTCCCATTCTCTTCCCTTATCCGCGCATTTATCCGGAACAATATGCGTACATGTGTGACCTGAAAAGGACTCTCGATGCCGGCGGTCACTGTGTCCTGGAGATGCCTTCGGGCACTGGCAAAACTGTATCGCTGCTTTCGCTCATTATCGCCTATCAGCAACACTACCCCGAGCACAGGAAGCTCATTTACTGCTCGCGTACCATGTCCGAGATCGAGAAAGCACTGGCCGAACTCAAGGCCCTCATGAAGTTCCGCGCCGATGAGCTTGGCCACGTAGAAGAAATCCGCGGTCTGGGGTTGACCAGTCGAAAGAACCTTTGTCTGCATCCTTCTGTAAAGAGGGAAAAGAGCGGCGCCATCGTAGACGCGAGATGTCGTAGCTTAACGGCTGGGTTTGTTCGAGAGAAGAAGGAAAGGGGCGAGAGCGTCGACACTTGCATTTATCACGACAACCTCGATTTACTAGAACCACACAACCTTATTCCGAACGGTGTGTGGACACTTGACGACATCCTGAAATTTGGCGAGCAGAAAAAGCAGTGCCCTTACTTTACTGCGAGACGAATGGTAAACCTCCCCATACCTCATATTTCTAATAATCTCAAGCTTGGAATGTCGTGCTCACTCTTTCTCATTATAGATGCAATACTGCGATGTCATCATCTATTCCTATCACTACCTGCTAGACCCCAAGATAGCAGAACGTGTATCCAAGGAGCTGTCGAAGGATTGCATTGTCGTCTTTGATGAGGCACACAATATCGACAATGTGTGTATCGAGTCTCTAAGTACGGATATCACCGAGAAGTCTCTAGATAGAGCCACGAAAGGGGCTCAGAGTTTAGAGAAGAAAATCAGTGAGATGAAGGAGACCGACCGAGAGCAGCTCGAGAACGAATATCAGAAGCTAGTCGAAGGTCTCAGGGACGCCGATGAGGCTCGCCAGGAAGATACCTTCATGTCGAACCCAGTTCTGCCGGATGACCTGCTGAAAGAGGCGGTCCCCGGCAATATTCGCAGAGCTGAACACTTCACTGCTTTCCTGAAGCGTTTCATCGAGTACCTCAAGACCCGCATGAAGGTCCGCCAGGTTATTTCCGAAACGCCGCCATCCTTCCTGGCGCATCTTAAGGAACACACCTTCATCGAGAAGAAACCGCTGAGGTTCTGTGCCGAAAGGCTGACCTCTCTTGTGAGAACTCTCGAGTTTACGAATATCGAAGACTTTCAGCCCCTCCAAGAAGTAGCCACATTTGCCACCCTTGTTGCGACATACGAGAAGGGGTTCCTGCTCATTCTTGAACCCTTTGAGTCCGATACTGCCGAGGTGCCAAATCCAGTTTTGCACTTTACTTGTCTAGACGCAGCTATTGCGATCAAACCCGTCTTTGATAGATTTAGCTCCGTCATCATCACATCGGGAACTATCTCTCCCTTGGAGATGTATCCGAAAATGCTGGGCTTCACTACAGTCGTCCAGGAATCCTACACGATGACCCTAGCCAGGAAATCTTTCTTGCCGATGATAGTCACTCGAGGCAGTGATCAGGCCACGGTTTCCACCAGTTTCGCAGTCCGAAATGAACCCAGTGTGGTCCGCAACTATGGTAACCTCTTGACCGAATTTGCCAAGATCACTCCTGATGGCATGGTCGTCTTTTTCCCTTCATACCTCTATATGGAATCTATTATTAGCATGTGGCAAGGTATGGGGATTCTAGATGAGGTCTGGAAGTACAAGTTGATCTTGGTGGAGACACCAGATGCACAAGAGACCTCGCTTGCGCTAGAAACATATCGTACAGCGTGTTGTAACGGTAGAGGAGCAGTTCTCCTCTGTGTCGCCCGTGGGAAGGTCTCGGAAGGCATCGATTTCGACCACCAGTATGGAAGGACGGTGTTATGTATCGGCGTCCCGTTCCAGTACACGGAGTCGCGTATCCTCAAGGCAAGGCTAGAATTCCTGCGGGAAACCTACCGTATCCGAGAGAACGACTTCTTGTCTTTCGACGCGATGCGACACGCTGCGCAGTGTCTAGGTCGCGTACTCCGAGGCAAGGACGACTACGGGATCATGGTGCTCGCGGACCGCCGCTTCCAGAAGAAACGGCTCCAGCTACCGAAGTGGATCAACCAGGCCATGCAGGAGGTGGACGGCAATCTCAGCACCGACATGGCAGTAATCACGGCGAAGCGCTTCTTACGAGACATGGCGCGACCCTTCAAGGCTAAGGACCAGGAGGGCATCAGCATGTGGAGTCTCGAGGACTTAAAGGAGCACCAGAAGAAGATGGACGAGGAAAGGATTAGAGAGCTACAGGAGCTACAGGAGGAGACTGTGGCTGCGGAGGCTAAGAGGGCCCGGGACATGCAGGCCTTCAACGAGGACTACGATATGAGCGATGAGGAAGGGATGATGGAACTCGACGCCGCCTGATCGTACGTGGATTCATGAATGAAATTTGTATACTAAGCAAATTGGGCGCTTGGAAAAAGTTATAGGGAAAACACACGGAAAAGCAACCTTGCATTGCGAGGCGTTGATTAATTCAGACTTGTTTGAGACACCTAGTTCCGATTCTTTACATCCTGATATTTTTATTACAATCTTCCTAGTCTAACAGCGCGATTTACTAATTACCTTAATGCGTGGACTTCGCGAGGTTCCAAAAATTCTCCATCTTGGACTTGGACAGCACCTCCCTCGCCTCGCTATCCGTCTCGCAGACCTTAGACCCCCATTTTCTAAACGCGCGGGACTTGATCTCGCCCTCGAAGATGAGCTTGCACTGGTTCTCCGCGAGGTCCTTGAGCTCGCCGTCCTCGTTCTCGGCCTTGAGCCACTGCTTCAGGGCCTCGTTCTGGGCGTCCTTCTCGCGCGAGGCGAGGTTCTCGGTCCAGTTGACGCGGTTCAGCATGAGCTTCTTGTAGTGCTTGATGGACCACTCGCCGCCCTCGACGACGACGAGGTTCTGCTTCGGGTGCATGATGACGAGGCCCGTGAGCGCGAGCTGGTCCGCGTTGATGTTGATCTTGTACCGGTGCTGGCCGTTCGCCAGGCTGTTGATCTTGAAGACCAGCATGTGCAGGCCCTTGGCCGCGTCCTTCTCCTGGTTCGCCGCCAGCTTCTCGTGTTTTTGCTCCTTCGTCAGCTTCCGCTCCTCGTTCAGCTCCACGTGCTTCGCGTGCCGGTCCGCGATCTCCCGGTTCACGCGCGCTTCGACGGCCGTCGGGTCCTTGACGGCTTCCTCGCCTAGCACGCGCATCAGGTTGCCCTTCTTGACCTTCGGCGGCGGCGCGGGTACCAGGCCGAGCCTGATCTTGGCCTGCTCCTCTTTCAGGTCGGCCATTCGTCGCTGGCGGCGCAGCTTCGCTTGCTCGGTGGAGGTGAGGTACATGGGTTTCGGCGGGGGCACGTTCTTGTCCTGGGGCGGCTCGATGGCGACGGGGTGCTGGATATACCTCGTAACAATCGTATCCGCGGATTCGATCTTCAGCGCCTTCGGGTTCTCGATATCATCGTAATTCTTCCCGTCCACCAACCCTTCGTCCCACCACTCGATGTCGGGCGGGGCGTCGACCACAAAGTTCTTCTCGACGTCCTTGTCCTCGTCGATGCCGACCTTGCGCGTGCCGGCCGCGATCTTCTTCTTCAGCGCCTCGAGCGCGGCCTGCCGCCGCAGCGCGTTCGCCTGCTGGATGTACTTGCCCTTCTGGTTGAAGACGAGGTGGCGCGACTGCCGCGGCTTCGCACCGGGAGCCCCCAGGCTCGCGTCGAAGTACGGGTTGCTCTTGATCTCCTCGGCCGAGGGGCCCGACAGGTCGAGCGCCTGCTTCTTCGTCGGCGGCGCCCGCCCGCTGTCGTGGCGCGAGCTCGATTTCGAGTCGTTGTTGGCCTTGCTGCCGCCGGGCTTCCACTGTCCGAGGTCTTCTAGTGCCGGATGCAGGCCCACGTTTAGCCCTCCTTTGGCCTTGGTGGTGCCTATGGCTGCTGATACGCGGGCCTTCAGCGCGGCGAGCTTGGCTGCTTTGTCGGAGTTGGAATCCGGTTTTTGGACTCGAGATCCGCCATCGTTGCGTGGGCCAAGGCCTGGCGAGCCGTGTCGGTCCATGGGGGATGATTATGGTTATATGTAGCCTTACGTTATGAATAGACGAGAAACGTGTCGAAGAGGACGAGCCGATTTCTTGATCGAGATTCGAGATTCGATATGGTCGTCAGCGATGAAATGAAGGGCGAGTACGTACAGGTCGATGGGGGATGGAAGGAGGGAAAAGGGAGTTGGATATCCCAGGACAAAAGGAACGACCAGCAACGAGCAGCTAAAGCTCTTTCCCGTATGCCTGTCAAAGTCATAAAGCATGATAGAATTGAGATAGGTGCGATAAAGAATTAAAGATAAGATAAGTCACATGACCTACAGTTTCTGCCGTACAACACCGCAAAAAAGTTCGAGCTCTAAATTTTTTGTATCAATCGGCCAACCCCACTAAAAAAACGATCGAAGCAAGTCCTGCATCCAGCCGTTTGAGACGATTCAGAAAAGCGCAAAGTCATGAATTGACAGAGTTTTCGGGCGCGCCTGGACTCTATACGAACTTTGACGCCTTCAATTACCCGTCTAAAAGTTTGTTAAGAGAATTACGCCAGGCTATGAGCCGGTGACAGCTTCAGCAATGAATGTCTCGCAGCCCATCTCGTCTGCGATCGACAGCGTCGACTTCGACTTCCTCACTCCCGCAGAAATCAAGGCTATTTCGGTCAAGAGAATTGAGAACCCGACAACTTTCGACAGTCTTCTAAACCCTATACCTGGTGGTCTTTACGACCCTGCGCTTGGAGCCTGGGGAGACCAAGTGTAAGTAGGATGTAGTAATAATAGTAACATTTTCTGAGTACGTGTCGCATACTGATCGAGCTTTTGTAGCTGCACAACATGTAATCTCGCGCAACCGCATTGCCCCGGCCATGTTGGCCACATCGACCTTCCCGTCCCCGTATACCATCCGGTCTTCATGGACCAGATTTTGAGGTTACTCCGAGCCCAATGCCAATACTGTTTTCGCTTCCGAATGCGACGAGTCGACATCGACCTTGTCGCATGTAAATTGCGCCTTCTTCAGTTCGGTCTCATAGACGAAGCTAATCACCTGGACGATATCACGGTCGATACTACCGACATACAAGTGGAGGATGAGGATCTTTCCGAGGGCGAAGAAACCTCCAATTCGGATAGGGTGTCTCGGATGAGGGAGGTATACACCCGATCAATCTTAAAGCAACATAGGTTGGGAACCGCCGACATCAGGAAAGGCAAGCATGAAGGCGCATCGGAAGCTAGGAGAATAGTACTCAAAAATTTCTTGAGAGAAATAACCAAAGGTAGATCATGCGCCACCTGCCAGGCCATATCTCCAAGTTTTAGAAAAGACCGTTTTGTCAAGATTTTCGAGAAACCACTCAGCGCAAAAGACCAGGCTAAGATGGCCCAGCGGAACATGGAACACAGGGATGCCTTGGCTATAAAACGAAAGTCGAAGGCAGACGTGGCCAAGAAGCGTAGCTACGCATCTGACGAAGGAATAGCAGATATCGATCTGCCTTCAAGCGAAGGAGAAGCCGAGGCTGAGAACGACGAAGATGAAGATTCAGAAGGTGAAGGTGAAGAGCTCGATGAGAATGGCGATGTGATCATGACAGAAGGCGCCGGCAAGTCCTCGAGGGCGAATAAGGACTCAGCAGCCAAATCTCAACAACGTTATGTTAATTCGATGGAAGTTCAAGCTCGACTGCAACTTCTATTCGAAAAGGAGCAAGAGATCATGCGTCTAATTTACAATTCGAGACCATCTGGAAAGAAGCTTCCCGCAGATAACTTCTTCATACAAACCGTCCTCGTCCCCCCGAATAAATACCGCCCAGAAGCCAAAGCAGGCGACGGAGCAATTGCCGAGGCTCAACAAAATTCGCTTTACAAGATGATTCTCTCCTCATGTGCACGAATTGCTCAAATCCACAAAGAAATTGCCCAAAATGGGAATAATCCTGACGAAACAACCCGACGGCGAGACATTTCTGAAATGCATGAAGCATGCGTTCAGCTCCAGGACAGCGTAAACTCCCTCATTGACCGAGATAGGAATCCTATCCGTGGTGCCGCCGGGAAGAGGAACGAAGACGGTATCAAGCAAAAACTGGAAAAGAAGGAAGGTCTATTCAGAAAAAACATGATGGGAAAGCGTGTGAATTACGCTGCCCGAAGTGTCATTTCTCCGGACCCCAACATCGAAACCAGTGAAATAGGTGTCCCTCCTGTTTTCGCTAGGAAGTTAACTTATCCAGAACCGGTCACGAGTCACAACTTCAGGGAAATGCAACAAGCAGTCATTAACGGCATTGACAAGTGGCCCGGTGCTGCAGCTATTGAAAACGAGAACGGGCAAATTATCAATCTGAAGAACAAATCCGTAGAAGACCGAGTCGCTTTAGCGAACCAACTTCTCGCGCCGACAAGCCAAGAATATGCTGGAATTAGGGGCAAGAAAGTTCACCGACATCTCGGAAATGGCGACGTGGTGTTGATGAATCGTCAACCCACCCTTCACAAACCTTCAATCATGGGCCACCGCGCTAAAGTTCTGCCAGGAGAGAAGACGATTCGTATGCACTACGCGAACTGTAACACATACAATGCAGATTTCGACGGTGACGAAATGAACATGCATTTCCCGCAGAACGAACTCGCCCGTGCAGAAGCTTTGAAGGTTGCCGACACGGATCATCAATACCTCTCTGCCACGGCTGGAAAACCCCTGCGTGGTCTGATCCAGGACCATCTTTCCGTCTCAGTCGCCCTTTGCAACAAGGACACATTCTTCGACAAAGGCGCATACCATCAATTAATATACAGTGCGCTGCGTCCCGAAAGTGGCCATATTACATCCGAGAGGCTTGAACTCGTACCGCCGGCTACCATTAAACCGGCTTTACGCTGGACTGGAAAACAGGTGATCACGACCATACTAAAGAACATTAAGCCGGCTGGCTGCGGTGATCTCTGGCTCTCCGGAAAGTCACAAGTGAAGGGAGCAGCATGGGGAAAGTTCACCGAAGAGGGAGAAGTCCTATTTAACGATGGTGAATTCATCACCGGTATCCTCGACAAATCACAGCTAGGACCAAGTTCCGGCGGCTTCGTGCACTCAATTTACGAGATTTGGGGCCCCGAATTCGCTGCTAAACTTCTCGGCTGTCTAGGTCGAATGCTTACTCGATACCTTAATATGCGGGCTTTCAGCTGTGGTATGGACGATTTGCGACTCACACCCGAAGGCGAAAGGACTCGTAAAGAGAAGCTACAGAGTGCTAACCATATCGGTCTCGAGGCTGCTGCAAAATTCGTTAGCTTGGGTGATCGTACAGACGTGACCAGCACAACCCCTATATTGCTAGAACGCTTGGAAGAAGTTATGCGCGATGACTCTAAACAGGAAGATCTTGATCATGTGGTAAACTCGCAATCTCGTCTTCTCTCTAGCGACATTACTGTTGCATGTCTCCCTGTTGGTCTCGAGAAGCAGTTCCCCAAAAATCAAATGCAGTCGATGACAACATCTGGTGCAAAGGGAAGTTCTGTCAACGCAAATTTGATTTCTTGCAACCTTGGTCAACAAGTTCTTGAGGGTAGGAGAGTACCTACAATGGTCAGCGGTAAAACGTTGCCATGTTTCCGCCCCTTCGAAACTAGCGTGAGAGCTGGCGGCTATATCGTGAATCGTTTCTTGACTGGAATACGCCCCCAAGAATACTATTTCCATCACATGGCTGGACGAGAAGGTCTTATTGATACAGCCGTGAAAACATCTCGATCTGGTTACCTCCAGAGGTGTCTTATCAAGGGAATGGAAGGTTTGAAAGTGGCCTACGATTCATCTGTACGAGATGCCGATGGATCAATGATTCAGTTCTTGTATGGAGAAGATGGCTTGGACATCACCAAGCAGAAGTACTTGACTGATTTTGGCTTCGTGCTTCGCAATCAAACATCGCAGATCGATCAGCTTGGTATCGCCGAGAGAGGATGGGACCAAGAGATTTATGAGTCTAAAGATTTTGCTCAAAAGTACCAAAAGAAAGCCGTCAAATTAGCCAAGGCGAACAATCCGAAGGGACTCGACCCCATTCATACCGAGCTTAACCCCAACAGACATGCGTTTTCTACATCGGAAAAGTTTTACGAGAAGGTAACCGCGTATATCAAGGACAACAAAGACGGGCTAATCAAGGAGAAGGAGAAGGAGAAGGGAGAGAAGAGCCACAAGGGCCACAAGAGTTCAACTGCCGCACTTATTCCTCGTAAATATGCGGAGAAGATCTTCCATGCTAAATACCTCAGCTCGCTAATGGAACCTGGTGAAGCCGTGGGTATCGTAGCTGGCCAGTCTGTCGGTGAACCCTCAACCCAAATGACACTCAACACTTTCCATTTGGCTGGTCACTCTGCAAAGAACGTCACTCTCGGTATCCCACGTCTAAGAGAAATTCTCATGACAGCTAGTGATCACATCGGCACACCATCTATGACGCTATTACTAAACGAAGAGTTGTCTGAAGAGGACGGCGAGACTTTTGCGAAGGCGATTAGTATTCTCCCGCTCTCGCACGTCCTCAACAAGGCTACGGTGAAAGAACGCGTCGGGAAAAGCGCCAGTTATGCTCTAGCGAAGAAATTCGACATCCATCTCGAATTCTTCCCCTCTGAAGAATATACGAAGACGTACGCAATTAGTATTTCCGACGTACTTCACACTTTGGAGATTAAATTCTTGCCCATGCTAGAAAAGTTGGTTAAGAAAGAGATAAAAGCAAAGACTGATCGGGCAGACGCTGCGGTACCTGAGGTCGGTACCAAATCCGGAGTGGTGGAAGTGGCGTCTGGTAACCCCGAAGCCGCTGCCCGCGATGATGACGACGATGATGACGATGGCGACGACGACGATGCGACAAATGCTAAGCAACGCGCGAACCGATCGCAGGCAGTTTCTTATGGTGCAAATGACGACGAAGACGATGAAATTCAAAGGCGAATGGAACGTGAAGCGTCACCTGAAGATGAAGAAGAGCCTGAAGACGAAGGATTTGGTGGTAGCCCGCCGCCAGAAGGCGACGACGAGGATAATGACTCGAATGCTGGTAAAAATTCGAACACACGCGAAGCTCGAGTCATGGAAAGGACCCGGGTCGTATCTCGTTTCAGATGCGATGAGAAGAAAGGAGAACGATGTGACTTTACACTCGAATACGATTCCGACATACCCAAAATCCTCATGCTGAGCATTGTCCAAGAGGCAGTCAAGAAGACTCTCATACAGCAAATCGATGGCATCCGCACATGCGTCTTCGTCGCCAAGGAAAAAATTACCAACCCGCGAACCGGCACGGAAGAAGAGAGGCCGGTAGTCCACACAGACGGCGTCAATCTCCAAGCCATGCAAAAGTACGGCGACTTCATCAACCCCAACAGGATCCAGACAAACGACATCGCAGCAGTCCTAGAAGTGTACGGCGTCGAAGCGGCACGCAGCGCCATCATCCAAGAACTCGGCGCCATTTTCGACGGCCACGGCATCAGCGTCGACAAGCGCCATCTGAACCTCATCAGCGACTACATGACCCGGAACGGAGGCTTCACGCCGTTCAACCGAAACGGCCTCAAGGGCAACGTCAGCCCTTTCACGAAGATGAGCTTCGAGACGACGCTGTCCTTCCTGAAAGACGCCATCCTCGACGGCGACTGGGACGACTTGAGCACGCCCAGCAGCCGCATCGTCATGGGAAGGCTGGGAAAGATCGGCACGGGCGCTTTCGACGTGCTTACCAGGGCGCATCCGAGGAACGGGAAGAATCACTTGGGTTAAGAAAGCTGAGGGCAAGCAAGTCGCGGTGTAATGGGATTCGAAAAGTTGGGTGGGTGCATGGGAGTTTTTGAGAGCTTGGTTATGGGTATATTTAATCATGTACTTATCGTCGTTTTCAAGAATATAGCAGAAATGTTTTATACGTTATCATAGTTTGGTGTCGTGGTTTGTGATATAGAATTGTGTCTGCGTGGTATATTGAGCCGGTATGTATGGCTGTATATTCATTGTGGAAGCTTCAGAGTAAAGCTTTCCGTCAAGATAGCCGCCTTGATGCCACCGGGCATTTATATTTCAGTCCTACTTGTGATGAAGGAATTATGTGAATATCTGGTTTCAATGTAACGAGTCAAGATATTTGAGGTGCCATCGCTTGAACTACGAAAGCGTTTCAAGTTTCGAGATTTCCATACACATTCAGAGGTGTGTTGTTAAAACTCTAGATCATATCTAATTAGCTTACCGCGACTTCAGTCTTCTCAGTTATCACGAAAGTCTTCACACTCATTTACAAAGAAATAGGAAAGTAGCTAAAGTATTTCAATATATTTATTCCTATACTCATAAATATCCACGAATGTCATATAACAAAGGAGTAGCAAGTACGAAAACCATCAAATCAATATACGATATAAACATAAACATAAATAAATCAGTCCGCTCCCGAAAAAACAATGACGACTTCACACGAATTTGCCACAGGCAGATTTCGCCACTCAAAACTTCACACCCAGCTCTGTGTAACACAATAAGTGCCTTGAGTGCCTCAAGGGAGTAAGTATTCAAGTGAAGAAAAACCCATATCTATCAGACTTTGTGCGCATTTCCGGCCTTGCATTTACTTCGATCTAATACTGAGGCATGGATTTACATGTACCGCGATCATGAACCTTCCCATATGGAAATGGAAAGTAAGCAAGCATGGTGCCGGTGGATGTTTCTGGTGAGAGCGCGAAGGCGGCTCATTCAGGAAACTATCGTGAGCTGATGAACCAACTCACCCTCGTCACATACATACGTAAGTTAAGTATACTTAAACCAAAGTAGTTTACGACTATACACCTTAGAAAAACTAGATGCATGTCCATTAATAGGATACAAAGTAACACAACACTAAGAGTAAGTGTTGGATATTATAATAAAAACAACGGCAGCTACGAATAGCCTCATATACGCATAAATAATCAAATAGGCATGGTCAATGCCCGAATCATAATAAGCAATAGGCATTAATCATGCAGCACTACTGGAGTCATTCACTGTCGATGTTTACTGTTATGCGATCGTGAATTCTGCAAGTATTGTACACAGTGATCCATATCACAATGGCAATGGAAGAGGTCAATCGTTGTGAACAAGGGTTCTTATTCCTGTGTTCAGTGTATTGGCGCCCCGAAATGGCAGCCTAGAACTGATGTACAATCATGTTCGGTGTGAATAAAAGCACCGCGATCAACTCATAACGCCTTAATGATTACCCATTCCCGTGCAAAACCGAGTCATCATGCCATCCCTGTATCGTGATAGGGTACTGTACGCCCTAAACCCAATTGCCCATGAAGGTCACTAGTGAACAAGTGCGGCAACCGCTTAGTTGCGCTCACCACGGAGACGGCGAGCGAGCTGGATGTCCTTCTGCAAGGGTTGTTAGCATGTGTATCAATCAATAGTGATAATGAGAGTGTACTAACCGATTGGATGGTGACACGCTTGGCGTGGATGGCGCAGAGGTTGGTGTCCTCAAAGAGCGAGACGAGGTAAGACTCGACGGACTCCTGAAGAGCACCGATGGCGGAGGACTGGAAACGCAAGTCGGACTTGAAGTCCTGGGCGATTTCACGAACCTATCAAAGTCGCGTTAGTCTAATGTTTATTGTCGCGTCGCGGGGAAACCGCGTCGGCGTTATCAGTGGAGTGGGAGATTGCGACCGCAACAGCCATGCGACAAGTGGCGCAAGGGATGTGATCATGCAAATAGAATTAATTGTGATAACTTACCAGACGTTGGAAGGGGAGCTTGCGGATGAGCAGCTCAGTCGACTTCTGGTAGCGACGAATCTCACGGAGAGCGACGGTACCAGGCTTGTAGCGGTGAGGCTTCTTGACACCTCCGGTGGAGGGTGCGCTCTTGCGAGCAGCCTTGGAAGCAAGCTGCTTACGGGGAGCCTTGCCACCAGTGGACTTACGGGCGGTCTGCTTAGTGCGGGCCATTGTAGTTGATGGTAATGTGTCGATTGATGATGGAAAAGTTGATGAAAGTGGTTGGGTTGATGGTTGTTTTGATTGAAGGTGAGGCGGAAGAGATGATTGTTGTGGGTTGGAAGTGTTGAAAGGAAGATGGATTGGAGGAGGGGTGGGGGACCGGTATAAATAAGTTGAGAATGCGGGTTCTGGGGGCTGGCTGATTACGTGCAAAGGGCAGTAGCAGCCTAGGGCACCTGAATCAGATGGTCAATGCGCAGTGCAGGATCAGAAAATTCAAAAGCGCGCCTGCTCTGGGTTGTGTTATTGATTATTTTTTCGAGGGGAGACAGGGGTGCGTTTTGCTGTTAAAAAATGCTTTGGTTTTAGGTGGGAAATTCGCGGGCTTGGTTGCCATCAAAAACATCTTTAATTTCTGATTGGGTGCACCACTCCGCGTGTCCCCACACATAAAAGCACTTTACTACATTCGTAACTTTCAATATTCTAAATCAAGAAAAGAGTTGGGCAATTACTTTGGAAAGTACCTACGTACGTGCATTGCGACCGATAAGACATCTGGTAACACATATCTAGATGCGTCACGGCGGTTCTTGCCTGTAATACTTGCAAATGTATACGGTAAGTACCGCCGTATCTAGAAGCTACAACCCAAGTAATTAGATACTTATGTAATAAAAGATGTTGCTGTTTGATGTTTCCATGTATTTGACACCTTTATATTGGCACTTAATTAACCTTGTTGAGGTTCTAGTCTGTCATCAAGGAGATCATAGCAGCTGGTGCGCTTTGGTTAGGCACTTGGCAACGTGAGTGCGTCTCGGAAAATACACCTGCATGTGAAGCATCAAATCAAATGTAAGCAAGCGCGCCGCGTGTAAAATTCCATCGTAGATGCTATTAATGATTGGTTACACATGCAAAGTTTCCCCAGATATGTACTTAAATAGTAACATCATGTAGTTACATAGTACACAAAGCTCTTTCCCTCGCGGCGATATGCATACGATATATGAACAGTAGCCATTGAAAGGTGCAAGTGCGATTTATGATACGGTACATAAATACTTGTTCACGGTATTTTCTAACTATTAGGAGTAAAATGCCAGAACTGGCAGGAATACGAATTAATGATTGGCTCATTTTAACTTAAGGTTTTGTAAAAATAGGCTTAAAGGAGTATAGTGCAATGGTTGTGGGCTTGGTGTAACTGCCTGCGGTGCGCTTATCTTACCTTTTTTCTATTGGCCAAAACGGCCATCTTTATTTTTTTCTTAAAAAAACGCTGGGGGCTGATCAGGCACGCAGTTCGCGTTGATGGATCCACCAGGCTGATCTGATTTTACGCTAATGCCATCTACCCTTCCTTATTTAAAACCACCTACTTTCCCCACGTCTTCTACCTTTCAACTTCAAAACAACCCGCTTACATCTCAGCCTCACCCGCATAAACTGCAATTACCACTAAACAACCAACGCAAACTACCACTCACATCTTCACTTAACCTCATTCAAGATGACTGGACGTAAGTATTCCCTTGTGTTCCTAGCCAGCTATGCTTGGTGTCGCCTTGCATTCAGCCTCAGCCTCATGAATATTCATCGCTAACGCATCTTCAATAGGCGGCAAAGGTGGCAAGGGTCTCGGAAAGGGTGGTGCCAAGCGTCACCGCAAGATCTTGCGTGACAACATCCAGGGTATCACAAAGCCTGCTATCCGACGTCTCGCTCGTCGTGGTGGTGTCAAGCGTATTTCAGCCAGTAAGTTGCATTCGCCGCGTCGCGTCCACTGTATCTTGAACTAACGCGTCTACTCAGTGATCTACGAGGAGACCCGAGGTGTCTTAAAATCCTTCCTTGAGGGTGTCATTCGTGATGCTGTCACCTACACTGAGCACGCCAAGCGCAAGACCGTCACCTCGCTGGACGTCGTCTACGCCCTGAAGCGACAAGGCCGCACCCTCTACGGTTTCGGTGGTTAAGCTATCGGTCATCTTCGGTTCTGGGAAGGGAGTTCACGTCTGTTACGAAAGTCATTTTTCTCGCGATTACCACACAACTTGCACTGTGGTTGGTACGACGGTCATGGATTGGGTCTGCGTTTAGGGTGTTCACTGTACCATAAGGGTTTAAGGGTGGTCTACTACACTACATGGATTTGCCCGTCGAGGCATAATCAATTCGATGAACACATGAAATTATTATCTACCTACTAGTGACTTGTCGCGTATTCGTACTATGTTCGTGACGCGTCTCGCGTTTATTAGATTTGTTGATCTAGGCTTCTGGAACATTGACCTCCATTTTATCTAACCCCGCCTTGCTTCATAGCTTGCATGCATCCCGCCCCTATGTTGATATTTGCTTTGAGATGAGTCATCGGTCACTTGATCTGTTCATGATATTTGTAGGAGTTGAATGACTCAGACGTAGTAGCAACTATATTCACCCTAGTGCTATATGCTATCTATAGATACACCTCATTTCTCGAAGTTGTCATCGGCACAGTGTAATATCTACGAGATGAATGAAATCCAATTGTCATCCATTTCTTGATGGGACGTCTCTTTGCTTGGTGTAATGTGTTTGACTTTTTTGGATGACTGTTTGGATCCCTAACGTGAATATATCGGCGCTAGAAAATGAGTCCGTCATAAAATAAAGGAGATCCGGAGGTATGTTTTCTTCCGTGTCGGTGAGGCTCCTTCGTTACACGAAAGCGCGGTCCTTTTCAAAAGCTTTGGCTTAGATGTTGATTCGGTCGGCTGGGATGTATGAACAGAAGTAGTTCGGTCCGTATCCATAGATGCGTTATTCCGTGATCATGACATATTCGATCCTGATATTTTCTTGCCGTCAGCATCTTGACGCCACAGGATTCCATAACAGATTATCCATAATTGCGGCTGTAAGCTGACTTGTTCATTATAGTTGTGTCCCTAAATATTAGTGTCAAATTGTCGTAAGACGTTTACTCTAGTATTAAAATACGGGTCGAATAAGTATTAAGGTTAAGTATAGATTAGGAAAATCGAAGTCATTATGCATATTATGTCATTCCTTACCAGCCTGACTTCCAAACAATGCTATTCTATCTCCTTAATAATATATGCTAATGAAGTATATCTAACGGTATGATTTCATACAATGACGTGGCGCATTTATAAATGTGGTAAATATCATGAAAGTCTAAGGTGGTTAACCGAACATACCTATCTTTAATGTTTAACATATAACTTTATTCCAGTACTTAGTAGTAATACAGGGCATGTCAAAATAAGGCATCACTAGTTTTTAAATATACTAGTATGGTTTGTACAAGCTTTTCGTTGTTACGGGATAATTTTTACCATATTACATGAGAATATCAAACTAAAACTCTAATGCTTCGTAATACCCCCCAAAGGTCTACATTACACACTCTCATGTAATAACTATTCTTACCCATATAACGTTCTAGTCAATCATTGAATGGTTTTGCTACATCATTGATCTAATACGCTGTAGTGTGTAGTTTCTTAGGTGTTAGAATATTCCATGCCATGAATTACTTCGATCAATTAAGCTTCTGGTAAGCGTCGCCCTTAAACCCGAAAGAAACATGTACACCAATATCATACAATTAAGCCGTAGTCATTACATGTGGATGTTCCCCTGGGGAAAATGCTCTGGCAATTAAAGCTGTTTTCCATGTCATGAGGGCAAAACGAGAAATCGAATATCTCAATAGCCAAGAGTTGCTGAAAACATAACGTTACACATATTAATAGTACTAGTAAACAATATTGTTTAAAATGCGATTTAGTCTTACTCAACTAATGTAACTGAAGCTGCTTAAGAACATTCTGTGATTATATGAAAACACGTATGACTAGCTCGCATGAGATGGGAAACATTTCATAACATGGTTATTTCTATATTTCTACGTCACATCCTTGGACACAACCAACTTCGTCCGTAACATAAGTTGTCCTATGGTTTAATATTGCTTGAATCAGCATCGTAACAGGTACACACATCTACGATACTAGGCAAAGCTAAGCTCGAGCATGGACGAATGCTCGATTCAATATTATAACGTGATGAATGGGGACGACTATAGTTCGACTTTACCAGTCACTTCAAATAATACACCGTAGTTACTTAAGTTTAGGGCATGTGATGAACCAGTGCCTCTGACATTGGCGGTCGAAGGGAAGTCGTGAAATATACATATATTATCCTCCTACATAGCACGCTGTCTTCAGAAGCGTCAACTCCTTGACGGCAATGATAGTCGAGGCTCACGTTCCATGGCTATTGACAAAATTATGTATACACCAGTATGTGCTGACTGATTCATAGGTACCTAGAGACAATTCCCTTGAATGATCAGAATTTTGTTCCTCGAAGTTGAGGCCACCAACCCTTTGTCGGAGTTTGGTCGGAATCAGCAACGTCGCCTATTTCTCCCACGTTTTGCTCATCGAGCTGTGGAATACGTGGCTATTGCCTACATGAATAAGAGTAGCTACGTTTCGAGGTATGGATGACGATAAGTTGCTGCCTATCACTTCTACTACTACAAGACACCGGATTACGAATCGACACCGCCCTTGGATATAATGCGTCACACTTTATTTCCGACTAAAGCAGGATGTGGAATCATTCCGTAGCCGTGGCGAACTACGTAGCAGTCCCGGTGAAGCCTCACTTTTTATTAGCGTGGCGAGCATACTTGTCCATAACCTTGAAACCTGCATCACATGAACTGCTAGGATCCACCAATGAAGCAATCTAGCTGAATTTGCGGATAAACCACCTTGAAACTCCTAGCATGGTACCACTACCACGTATAATACCGGTCAACTAAACTCGTTATAGGTGCATACCTATGTAGGTTATGTTTTAACCAATCATATCACTTCATTATCGGGGTGGTCGGCTGTGTGGCTTTCGCCGGGACAAGCCACTGCCGGCCGGCTTGTCCGATAAGCCGGAGGGGAGGTTCCCAGATTTTACCTGATTGATCCGGATCCCCGACCATACAAATTCGCAAATCATGCTTTCGCCACAAGCCGCAGTGTCAATCCAAGGCAGGAGTGCTGCACGTTCATAGCCGAGCGCCTCAATTGTCGTCAAGATATGGCCCCTCACTAGCCACGCAGTGCAAGACTTCTTGCCCCACAAAGAAAGAAAGAAAGAGAAAGAGAAAATGAAACCTGGAAAGAAAAGGGGAAAAGAAAGGTCAAAGCAAAAGAGAAAGAGAAAGAAAGAAAGAAATGTCAGCGAGTCGAAATAGCTGATATATGCGATGGTATGTGGAGATTGGCGCCGCGGCTGATTAGAAGTCGCTGGGATTTTGCAACGCCCTCAACGCGAAAATACGCGTGTTATGTCCAATTACAGCTTAGGCTGGTCGCGTTTTATGCGAATATCAATCAATTTCGTCCAAGCTAGGAATAGCATGGTCCTAATCACTCAATCCCACTCTCCCTATAATCCAGTGTATAAATTCTTTATTTCCTTCACCTGTTTGGGTGAATTTTTGGCGTTGTTTCCGCCATGCTAGTCGACGGAGCCCAGCCAACTGTTCAATTACCACATAGTCAAGCGTCTACCTAGGTAGGTATTCTGTAGGTGGGCTTGGAACACAAACCACACGTGATTATATTATGCTGCGGCTTGCCGTCGATGTACGCGAGAACAAGTCAAAAATTTCCGAGGTACAACGTGTCGTGGAAGTGAACCGTGCGACCGGGAGAGATGAGCCTATACGGAAATGCCGTATATTGCAATATTTGTACCCAAGTGAAACCAACGTATCGGTGCTGCTCAGCTGGGCGAGAAAGAATTTCATTATAGGGGAATACGAATAGCTATTCGAACACGATGCAACCTCCGGTGCGAATCTAGCCCAATCGTCTCCAATATCGTGCATGGTCCTAGGAAAGGGACCCAGCAATACCAAGACCAGGTGCTATAAATCTGAGTTACCTCGGTTGGATATCGGACCTGATGTTGAACGATATTCGTGTTGGTAACCAACAGGTGGAAAGAAATTGTTAGGTAACCTGCCTTCTAGACCACATGCAATTCGTCTAGATGCATGGATTGGTGTGTAACGCTCCATTCTAAGGGGACCAATTGCCTAGGTAAGTAACGATTAATCATACCAGTAAAAACCTGGGATTGCGATAGCGGAATTACACTGGCTAGGCGCCGTTTATGCATTTTCGGGGCGTACACATTTCGGCAAAAATGAGACTTCCACGGTCGTACCCAACAGCCGTGGAGATTGTCTCGATGGTTCCTAGATCTCGATACGCCATTGACGTGTGGCTGTGTGTTCGTGTAAAGTCAGGTACCGGCGCTACAGCCCTGGAGGCGGGTGTGTGCGCACTAGAAACGTGGTTATGCGGGGTGGTAAAATGAGGAGCGAAAAAAAGCGAAAAAAAGGGTAGTGGGTAAGACTTATCTGTGTAAAGCGCTAGTCCATAAAGGGGTTCACTCGTAGACGTTCGAAGCCACCGAGCCGGGGCCGGCCGACGCACAATGGTGACACGGATTACTGATTTCAGCTATCCAGGGAGGACCATATGCATTAGGTACCCAGGTCTGAAATGTGTGTTGAGGTGTAACGTGCAACCTGCAACGTATCTCTGTCTTGGACTTAGTGTTCTTCGAACTAGGTGGGCATTCGCTCTAAGCTGGCATTTTGGGCAACGACTTCGGTTGAAGCGAACAACAGTCCCACGTGGAAAGACCATGAAAAGAGGCGTCTGCAGAAAGCTGAATGTCACTCCAGCCGCAGCAGATGCAGCAATAGACTGGATACACAACATAAATGATGGAATTTTAGAATCGTAATCTGAACTTTCCCATGCTCCGAATCCGTGGCTTGTCAGCGCTATCGGTTGGGAACGGAAGGGCTGTGCGCGCTTATGCCCCTGGATGATTACATTTGCCGGAGGACCCTAACGCCCGGTTCCTGATCTGCTGGGCAATGTATGGAGATAAGCGAGACCAAAAGCGACTATAGCCGATGTTGGGAATGAATCATCACAGGTGTGATGCGTGATTGAATTTGACTCGGTATGATTGCGGGCGGCCTCCTAATTTCCATCAATATAGTTTAATGCCTGTGTAGTTCTGATTGGGTTGCCAGAACTACCCGTACTTCGTAAGTATAACCAGGTAGTATGCACCCCTCAGTATCCCTTGATACTGGATCTAGATACTTCCTGTGAGAAAAAGGACAGCCCTATAGACGCAGTAATGGTAGGCAGTTAGCGAAAGGAAACAAGCAACCGGGATAACCGATATGTGAGATACCTAAGCGTGTAAGTACAATTGCACAGCCACTGTACATCCCTGCGTAGATCGCTACCTGGAAGCGTCCAGGCGCCGTAGGGCCACGCACCTAGCGCACCATATGTAGAATGTTCCACGGCCCAGATTTCAAAATTTGTTCACATCTGCCGGTTCCAGATCTCCGGGAATTCATTCTCCCAACAAGAAACGCAGAAGGTCATCAATCGTCGACCATCGAGCCTTGAATCCAGACCGAGAAGAGATATGCGACCGGAGATCTAGCCCTACAAACGGCGAACGCCGCTTGTGGCTTCATTGTTTTGTTGGTTGTATGGTGGTGTATGTACCTAAGTAACCATTGAAAATATTTTTTTTCCTCCTGGTCATTCAACATTGCGACGGACGGGTTTTGGGCGTCACGTGTACCATCTAGTCTGCGATCCCCGGGTTCGGGGTTTGTGCTGTGAAACCGAGAATACGTTGCAATCCTGCATAGACCTGCATATCACCCATGATAAAATTTTGTCAGGTCATCTTCCGCTCGTCCTCAGCATTATGTATAACGATAGTTAACCGTAGCCGAAGCAGTCAGAGATGTCGGACTCATCGGGATGCATTGGCACTCGTTGAGACTTGCAGATGCCTGGTCCGATAACCAGGCCGATGTTTCCGTTCCAAGGTTCCCTGTAGGGCTGAATAAGGCCAAATTGTGTCTGCGTCTTTCAATGCCGAAAATGTCACGAATCGACGGGCGCGCTTCGTTTTCCGGGGACCATCAATTCCCCGCGGAACAACACTTTGCAATGCACTTTGTAATCTGAATCCTAGTAGAATGTTAGAATGTCGAAGAAGACGGGATTATGAAGCGATTGCATGACCATAAGGCCGAAAACTTCTTGTTGAATTGCTAAGTTATCGCATCGCTATCGCCGTATACCTCGGTGCAGTAGTCCCATGTTCATGCCTTTACGGCCGCATCGCTAAATCCACCTGTCCCGAAGCGAAAAAGCCCCGAAATATCCATGGACGAAGATGTTGCTCCGTGATATAGTTTATCACGGGGCGAATTAGTAACAGCTGCACTGACATATTCCACAAATGATGTGGATGAGTCTTTTTACTTTTTACCTACATAGTAGACTATAGTACCTTCTAGTATAGTTCATGAAAATTCATGATTAATGTTGGTGTTAGTGACCGTGGGACGATAATGACCCGACTACCACGAGAGAGTGATCTGACTGGTACCTGACATGTGACTAGATCTCACACGTGTTAAATGGATGGATCTCTTCATGCTAGTCATCGTTCTAGCCTCGTAATCTGTGCTGAAATCAACGATGACTACCTAAGTTTAGTGCTTCTAGTACTTTTTTCTCTCCTAATCTGGTCTTATTGATTTGTTAGTTTCTGCTTTAACTATGCACAACGCACCTTAATTGATTCTTTTCGGGACCAATTGCCAAGACCGGAAATGTCCTTCGCATCTTTTAGGTCTCGACCACTGCTTGCTGAATAATTGTGGCTTGTCTATCTTCTAGAAGTGGCAGTGCACTGCATTGCTCAGGTACGTAGTTCCGCGGGTAGCCGGATATACGTCGGTATCCGCTGAAGTAGTACGTATACCCAGATGCTTGAATCAATACTGAAATAGACGGATGACTAATGGTTGCGTCGGACAAGAATCGGAACTTAATGGAACTGAGTAGACCTAAACGGGGAATGGTGATGCAAGCTTGGAGCGGAAGGGAAACGGGAAAAAGTAAAAGAAAAAAATGGGAAGAGAAAATCTCGACTGTCGACGTTGTGCGACCCCCCCAACTAGTACGATCGACCCACACGGATCCATGGATGCATCTAAGACCCAACTTAACCCCTGCCCACCAAACTTGCAAACTGCATAGGTAGGTACCTAGGTATCTACCATAATACATCGCGGTTACGTCATTTTGACTAGGGCGTGCCCATGCGAAGCACCCCCAACTCTGTAATCATGTATATTCGACGTCAAATCGGTATTAACGTATACGCGCATCTGTATCCACGGATCTATTTGAATTACTGGTGATGAATAATTCGTTTTCACTTTTACGATGGGTGTTACCTCACATAGTATGCATGTATTATACTCGGCAGTGCTGCTTGTATATACCTGATGGGATAATAAATATCATCAGCCACCGTCTTAATTTTGCTTCATCCATTCATCTTAAGAGAGGCAAGCCATACCAAGACTCGTCACGATTACATACATAACGAATATTAGAAATAACCGGTGACACGGAACAACAAGCCAAAAGCTGGACCGGACAAGCAAACCGAAGACAAAGCCGCACATTCCCCAAGTTGACAACTTTGGTTGGACCACATGATCTAGCGCTTCATTATCAAGCCATCATCATTATTCACCTGACTACTACTCATCCAATTCAAGGGAAGAGAAAGAGAATTATAGAGACGGACCGCCTGGACTCCGATTCACAAAAGAATAGTATCTGGAGCTCTTTCTCAATTGGTGACTAGACCGGCGGAATCCGGGTCCGAGTTGCTAATACCAAATAAGGTTACTGGAGGCTCCTCTATTAGGGTTCCCCTAGGCACTTTGCAAAGTTCCTCGGCAGGTGGAGTGGTGAGAAAGGAATTGGGAAAGTTCGTTCCTTGTGGTACGTATACAAGTACCTATGTACCCTTGTACCCCTCCATGGTCTCCCATACCCCTGTCGGTGCCCTCACACCCCGGTCCCTATTAATCTGGTTGTCAATTCCATACTTAAAGTCATCATAGTCGCCACTCCTCAGCTTTCCACCCCACACTCTACAAATCTAACACAATCTTCTATTCACTATTTGATCTTAACAATCTAATACATACACCAGATTTCTTCATTAATATCTTTCAATACTGCGAACACACTAGTGCAAATACTTAATCGACGTCTGCTCGTTCACTCATACCATCGCATCGTCACACAATATGATGCAGATGCTTGACCACAATAGCTTTTCATCGAGAACTCACCAACCGTTCCAGTTCTTTGCTCAGCAGCCTCTCGAAGGTGACTCGAATACGAATCTCGTATCAGGAAGAAATAGCGGGTTTCATCCATCAACATCACTATCGAACTTAGACACCGCCGCCGCCGCCATCGCCGCCACCCAGCGATACAGAGCTCCCGCGACACCGTCGCAGTCGGCATTTGAGGGGGGAAACAACAGCCAGAGTCTAAGTCAAGTTCCCGAATTGATGCCGTCGGACTCGTGGATGCTTCACAGCAACCAGCAAACTCCAAGGGCTGCACATCGGTTTAGCCATCAGCGAGAATCCTCTTTGTCGTCGCTAGGATCCAATGGCCCGGCGTCGCCATACAATGGCAACACATCAAATCCTCACATAGCCGTCACAGATTCGAACAACGATGCGTATCAAGATATGAGCAGTGGCGACAACAGCTACGGATATAATTTGGGAAAGTCGATGCCTATGACCGACGCCTCTTTCTACGCGAGCGCCTTGCCGAACTACAGCCATCGCGACAGCAACGTTACTAATACCAATAGCCACAACCGTCACAGCGGTCGCGATGCTTTCAGTGGTCAGCACATGTCGCGTGATGTAGCCTCGGCTGACGGCATACAAAACATAGCGAATCAACAACAGCAACATAAATTAAGAGGCGACCGAGGCTTAGCTCCGGCTCCTGAGTTGTCCATTGGCGGTGGATCATCTACCAGATCTCATCCCGTTTCAGTGGCAAGTTCTATTGCAGGCGGTGACTCACCAGCTACTCCGTCGTTCCACGAACCCGAGGATGACTGTCGAAGACCAAGGAATGGTGAGGCCTCCATCTACGAGAGTGATTTCGATGATTATGAAAACTACTTACACCTTTTCGACGATGCAGTTTACAACAACAACCATGTCCCGAAGTTAGATCGCACTATGACCGATATCTACAACGACGAACTCTTCAACCCGAACTTCACCATAACGTCAGCGTCTCCACCGCCACAGACGCAAATAGCCATGTCGCCAAGCAACGAGTTGTTCGCCCAAAGACTTCAGGCTGCCAACAGCCAACACTTGAGTGCTGTCCAGTCCCCCATCTCCAACCCATCACGAGACGACCACTCGCCATTCCGACATGGTTCTCCATATGCTTCCGCCATCAACGACTTCCCTCAGGTTGGTATGGAACACATGCGACTTGGATCGGCTAGACAAATGCATCAACAGCGAAAAGCGGAGCGAGAAGCGAAGGAACTACAACAACAACTTGCGCGCAACTCTACACAGCAGCAAGGTACTCCTAATACCATTTCGCCGAAAGATGCGCTACTCGACTTCAACGAGTCGGACGAAGCTTCCAATATGCCCTTATTCCCATCGCAAGAATCTCACAGCTACAACATGGAACAAGTAAGAAACGACGCTGTGAATATGGCATCTAGAAACATTTCACAACACTCAAGCCCGTCCTTCCAGTCAGTAGCGTCGACGCCGATGCAAAGCGGGTTCAACTTCTCCATGCCGATACCGCAGCAATACCCTTTCATTGGTCACCAGCAACAGCAGCGCTCGACGCCGGCGACTTCGTCATATTCCAGGGTTAGCTCGGCCGATGCTAGCAACTCGGAAGGTGGCGAAGCACCAAGCCAGAAACCGGCGGGGGCTAGCGCGGATGGAGGCACTTACACTTGCACGTATCACGGATGCACTCTACGGTTTGAGACGCCAGCATTACTACAAAAGCACAAGCGCGAGGGACATCGTCAAGCCAACGCTCTGAGCCACGTCAGGTCGTCACCGACGGGGTCGGGCGGCATGCCGGGCAGCATACTTAACAGTCAGGCTGGGCCGCATAAATGCGAGAGAATTAACCCTAGCACCGGCAAGCCCTGCAATACGATCTTTTCTAGACCCTACGACCTTACGCGTCACGAAGATACGATTCACAATGCGCGCAAGCAGAAAGTTCGTTGCGACCTCTGCACGGAGGAGAAGACTTTTAGCCGGGCAGATGCTTTGACGAGACATTACCGCGTCTGCCACCCCGACGTCGAGTTTCCAGGCAAGCACCGGAGACGTGGTGGTGCTGGCGTATGAGCTGGCGCGCATAGTGAAGCCTAAAGCATTGCATCGTGCGAAGGTACCCAAGTATCGAAGGTACTCATTCGCCAAGCCAGGCGTTGCAGGTTGCAGGCAGGCGAGAATGTTCCTGGTGGGGAGCCAAGGAGTGTGCTCGAATGGTCTGGAAGTTGAACAAAGGCCCAATGCATGCAAGGCGCCGGGGTGTGCAGGTGGGGCTTCCGTTGACATTGGAAGAAAGGGTGGAATATCAGGGTCCAACGTCAATTCTGCAGGGTCCTGCGGGCTAATGATGCATCTGGCTATTTGCGGCATGGTCGATTTTAGCGTTGGCCCGGCTTCTGAACTAGGGTGTTACCTACAGGGCGCTGATCAATCAGGGCCGCTTGGGTTGGAACCCGAACCCGTCGCAAGCCCACCAAGCCCTTTTCCCCGCAGCACCCATGACTAGCTCCGCGTTATGACGTCGCTCCTATGACGTAGGCCTCAGGGTTCTTGGGGTACTTGGGCATGGGTTGAACTGGCCCAGAGGTACTACGGGCATCACCACCTACATCATACTCATCATTTTCCATATTCGTTTATCATCGTTTTGCATCATCGACACCCATTCGACCGTCCCAAGCCTTTTCTGGCGCATTCCACCGGAACAGCTCATCCACGGTTCCCGTTTCTGATGGGTTCCCACGTTACACCACCTATACCACAAGTACCATCATTACCATCAGATCACTTCTGGCTTCCTGTGGGAGCCCATTATGATGTTTCGCATCTGTCATCACTTTGCATTGAATCGGGCTCTTTTCCTGGACACCCACATGGAGCTAGGCGTCATTTGAGAAAGGGTAAATAAGGGTTCTCTTTGTTTTTGTGTGTCTAATCATCCTCGCTTTTCTTTACGTCATCCGTCCATTTCATGCGGCTACGCGGGTTCGGGTTACCTATAGACATGGGGACTAAAAAAACGGCCGGGATCGGATCAGCGATGATTATTCTTTGATCGGTTTCTTTTATATCATTTAATGTTCTTTTTTTCACCTGTATAAAACTTTTCGCCTGTACCGTCAATGGAGGGCAGCGTCTATTGCTATTTTCCAAATTGCGCTTGGGGGTGTTGTACGATTCCGGCATGGGGAAAAAGAAAAGTGTTTTGAGCCAGGCCTCCGATGATTGGGGGAAGAGGAGGCACGACGAGACGAGAAATATCTTATTACCACTTATGATTGTACGATCAGCGGGCTATCACATCCATATCGTTTTTTTGGTCTTTGTTTATCATTATCATTATCATCGTCAGGCAGAGCGCTGGATGGTACACAGGAGTTATTACCAATACCAAGATTGATGCCGGCTAAAGATTGTACGATACAGCGGGGAATGATGGGCCTATAAGAAAACGAGGAGCCGACTGAGATGAGCTCGTCCCGATAGATTACTTTTCCTGCGAAGGTACCTTAATAATACTACCTACATAGCTGTACACATTGAAACTTTTCGATCGCGACGTTTCTTTTTAATTGGTGCCTTATATGTGTGTGCGCGTGTTAAATTTCTTGTGTGTGTATCATGGTAACATGCGATGTAGAATGTGTATGTACGCATACGTGTCTCATTCTGACGGCGTGCAGATTAAGCTTATATTTTTCGAGGCGTGACCTAACGTAGGAGAATTTAAAGGGAAAATAGGGAAAACAATCAGTGAAATGGACGGGATTCTATTGGCTGGCGATCGCGCCTCGGCTTAAAAACGCTTACGCCGGGACTGCGGGTTGGGTGAGGTGGCTTGGCTTCTTCTGTTTGCTCGCAGATTTAGGGGTCCAGGAGGGGAGGAGAGCAGGAGGGTTTTTTGTTTGCATCTTTTGCTTTTTTTTGCGAGCTTGCGATTTGGTAATTTGGTTTATGATGATGCTATCCTACCTTACCTACCTACCTAGTTATGCTACCTAGTATGCGACGTACATGCAGGAGGCCTGGAGGTTGGGCCCCTATTTCTGCTGTTTGATATCCCATCCAGATTCCAGATCCATACGTCTTGGCCAACCGACCTAACCTGTCTGATCTGACATACCGACATGAGATACTAAGCATCAGGAAGCTGTCCAAGCATACGCATTAGCTAATTTACATATGTGTGCCCAGCATCACGGCTAAATTGCCGCAATGCATGCGAAATTCGAGGCATCGTCAGGTTCGATGACTGGCATCTGGCATCTCCACGTATATCGAAATGCGCACCGAATGGAACGCACGACCTCCTTCCGCGTCTGTTTCGCCGACGCGCCATCGGCCATTGGCAAGATGCATCGTGAAAAGCTGGTCAGATTAAGGTAGCTATGCTACATAGCTCCTAGCTAGCCCTAGCTTGCTTGTTAGGTCTCCATCTTACCTACCAGCCTACCCTACCTCTACCTACGACTTGAGATTTATATACATAGCCCCCCTGGTCCCTGGAAGCATCCCCTAATAGGAGGACGAGAGTAACAAAACAGGTTACCTAGGAAGGGAGGAGTTACATCTGATCTAGCCCAGCCTGCTTACGGTAGAGCCCAAGCAAGCAACTCATCGAGTCATGATCAATTTTTACTTAATTATTTAATCTATATTATCTCGTAGTAGTGGAATCCGTATCTGCGTACATGCTATACATAGCAGCAAGGGTGAAAAAACTCGCATCGCATACTACATAGTACGTACATGTATGTACGTCTGTAGTTGTGTATGTGGGTGCGTTCGTATCAGTGGACGAGGCAGGGATAAGAAGTAGCGCGCTACTGCACGACATGTGCAGCGTTCGTTGCATGACCCCCCCTAGGAAGAAGTGATGTAATCGGACAGGAAAGGGAAAAAAAAAAGAGTTGCAAGACCCCGTACCCTCGAAACTCTGCAATCGTATCTGTATATTCCTCGGTCGTATAACTCTTATGGTTAGGCGAGCTGTACTATGTATGTACATACATCTCCGGGGGCTATTAAGCTACATGCTTAGGTCAGTAGACCCTCTATCGGAGGGCGGTCCTTAGCCCGGTTCCCCACTTGGTACCTACCCACTACTACCCAGTATGTACCTAGGTACGTACATTGATCATTGATAGAGAGATCGTGTTGATCGTTGATCGTATGGGATCGTCGGGATTCCTTGATTTTCTCGTCCGTTCTGGAATCTAACTCGGCTCTAGCCGAAGCCACCCGACGGTACGCGAAGTACGCGAGGAGAGGTTTTCCCCACACCCAAATCTAAGACTTAGCCACGGATCTGCAGCGGGAACGACGGGTTCGTGTAATTTGTGGCTTGAAGGCGAATTTGTAATCTGTGGCTGTGCCTCTATAACACGTAAGTTCACCACATAGCGTCGACGGGAAGACATGGGGCTCTCGGGACTTGTGTCAAGTATACGCGCACTACCGCCCTATCTAGGCACCTGCATATTAAGATTCAAATTTTATTTTTAGACTCAGTCTGTATATCTAGCTCGAGGTACTTGTATGTCTTTTCGCCTCGAACCGCCTGCCTGCCGTAGATATTACTAGGTAGTAATGGTGTATGTGCCTAGGTGCTTCGCCTCAAGGTGACGCAGGTCCATGTTCATCTAGCTCGACGGTTTGCTCGAGGCAGTAGCCAATCGAGTAGTATAGCCTCCTCAAGAACGTGGCTATCCAAGATGTATGCAGACGAGGCCGCCTGCGTCCTCCATTTCTAGATACCACGGGCCTATAGCTACCGGATCTTCTTGGCCACATAGGCAGACACTTGACTCTTCCACGGAGACGAACTCGGTGATTCTAAATATGTCTGCCTTCACATGACAAGTAACATGGCCCATTCAAGTATCATAGGCTGGCTGTATGGGATGCTGAGATTCCTCTTCACATGTGATACCTACTAGATAAACAAATTAGTACAGGATCAACATTGAACCAGAGCCTTATATCGTCAACGTAATGAATCAGTAGTACTTGGATAATAGTTAGGTAGTATTTGGTGGTTTATTTTGATAATATGGCTACAAATATCACGAGACCTTTTAGTGAACCGTCAACGCCATGATGCCATTCATTCGCTAAGCACAGCCGTGCGTACGTCGGAGAACAGAGGTACTATTTCAGTCCAAAGTTGGAACTGCAAGCAAATTTCGTTAGTGAAATGGGAATGGTACTGGGACTAGTGCCTCTGTCAAGGTAACACATACCTGATAATAGCCCTGTGACGCAAGCACCTCCAGTCCTGGAATGGTAGTCCAGCCTGAGTTCTCGGCTAGCTCCATTAATGGCGTACGTCGGGGCTTGTAAGCCATCTCTAATAGGACCCTGAGCCCTTCATTATGCCTGGGCTGTTGTAACACCGACCCGAGCAGCCCTACCATCGACGTCTCGATCGGCTTGTCGGCGGGCACCGTACTGATGATGACGTTCGGCTGATGCTGGACATGACTAGCTTCGCTTACTTGCTCTATCTTGAAGTCGCCGGGGAAATCTGAACGAAGAGAGACGGCGGCTTTAGGGTTCCGTGCCACGATATAGACAGGGCTGTAACCAAGGGAGTGGAGCGCGTAGATGGCTGCCCTACTAGTACCACCCGAACCTATCACCATTGCACCGTTTGTCGTCCCGTCAGTCGGTGGTACCAGTCCCGCTCGGCGCAATGAATACACCATGCCCCTCCAGTCGGTATTCTCACCCAACAGACGTTTCGAACCGTCTGGCTGGGACACTGGTATGATCGTGTTGACGGCACCAATGGCTCTAGCTGATTCTGAGACATCGTCAAGTAGCGCCATCACGTCAAGCTTGAGCGGGATCGTGACCGACGCGCCTCCGAATTCAGGCGATTGAATCAATTTTACCAGATCTGTCGCAGAGTCGGTTTCAAACAGGGAGTACTGGTGAGGCAATCCCGTTTGGCGGAACAGGGTGTTGTGCAAGGCTGGTGACCTAGATGCTGAGATAGGTTTCCCGAATAAGTAAAATTGCTTGGCTTCGAGCTCTCCAATCAAGGCTAGTCCGTTGCGGATCTCGGCTGCTGACAATTGGCCGGGAGCTGCTTTGAATGGTAAGTCGGGATGTGAGACAGGCGTTAGAAAGCCATTCAGCACTCGAGAGAGCTTTCCGATGGTGCCCATGTTGAGAGCTATTATAGGCTTTCCGTGCGCAGCAAACATTCTCTCTTTGAAAGTAGCCAGTGAAAAGTTATCGTCCATCTTCTTCGCAACTCCTACCAACTTGATAATATCGCCGTATTGCAAGGCTCGGTTGTACCACGTTTGCCAGCCACCGTTCTTCCAAGACAACTTGCCTTCTGGGTCATGATGCGACGCAATGACGCGTGTAGAGCTGCTTCGTGACTGGATGATGGTGTCCAAAGTTTCGTCTGAAAGCGTCATTTCGAGATCTATATACTCGACACCTGCGCGAATGGCCTTCCGATATAGAGGAAGCAATTCCTTTTCTGACGCGTACTTGAATCGACCACCCTGAGACGCGGACCTAAGGGTAAATATGATGGGTATTTTTGCGGTGGAACGCAGCTGCGAAATCTGCTTTCCCACTGACTCTGGGGAAATGTCATCCAGCAAATCGACTCGTAGTTCAACCGCGTCTGCGCCAACCACAACACGCGGAATCACCTCCAACGCCGACGAAACGCTAGGCACGGTGAGCGAGACAAAGAAGGATTGGCGTTTCTTCTTCGCGTTTTCGAAATGCGTCCCTTTCCCAGTGATGGCCGAGACGAATCGAGTGAAGTCAGCAGGAGGATCACTGGCACTCTTAGGTGGCTCGAGGTAGGGGCTGTGGTATTCGTAATTGCTGCATTCCTGGAAAAGAGGTTTGCGCCGTTCGTATACGCCTCTTATGTCTTCCGTGTAAGCAGGACGGGTTTTATCCCGTGTTAGATATTCTATTATTTGCTCGGAGTCGCGTTCGACATTGAGTACCACACCGCCACTGCGATGGTAAGAAACGAGCAACTCCCGAGCTTCGGGTGTCTCGACGACACCACCGCCACAAGAGAATACATGACCTTGGCTTTGATTTTTAATGACATCCCTTAGAAGCTCAAGCTCATCGCTCCTGAAGCCTTCCCAGCCTCGACCACTCTCCTGTATAATTTGAGGAATCGTCATACCAGATCTTCGTTCTAATTCTTGATCGAGGTCGACAAACGGGTATCCGAGAATCTTAGCCATCCAGTGACCTGTTGTAGTCTTTCCAGCTCCTCGCATGCCAACGATGATGATAGAGGATCCTGTTTTAGACTGCTTTGCCTTCTCTTGAGAGTGGGGGACAACATCATCACCTGTTAGGCTGACCTTGAACGACTGAGCTAACACGTCCCACCATCCAGGCCATGTTTTGCCAGTACATTCACGTTCCAGGATGAGAACAGGACCTGGTGCTATGACGGATATAACACTGAAGCTCATCGCCACGCGGTGGTCATCATAGCAATAAATGCCTTCGCTTGGCTCCGCCAGCTCGGTGAACTTCTTGCCTGCGACAACAATACCGTCTTCAAGTTCCCTACAATGTACGCCAAACTTTGCAAGTTGTTCCCTCATTGCTGCAATGCGATTGCACTCCTTAACACGCTGGTTAGCAATCCCAGTGATTTTAGTCTCTCCTGATGCTACAGCAGCAAGAACAGACGCTGTCAGGAACGCATCGGTCATGGGCTCCATGTCGACGTCGATGCCCTTTAATCCGCCTGGGCTTGGGCCGGTAACTGTTGTCGACGTAGCGGTTTGCTCCACAGTGCATCCCATCGGGCGCAACACGTCGGTAGCGAAACGAGCATCCCCCTGAAGGGAACTTGCGCCAATATTAGGAATAGTGCAAGTGGTACCCGTTATAGCAGCAACCGCAAGAGGGTAAGTTGCCGAGCTAGCATCGCTCTCAACAACATACTCTTCGGGATTTTTGTACACTCCTTGAGGAATGTGGTAAGTGTATGGTTCATCCGGGGATTTTGTGACAGAAATGCCGAATGCCTCCATCATGGCAATAGTCATGTCGATATAAAGTTGCGAAATTGGCTTGCCACCTACTAAACGAAGAGTCACGGGCTTCTTGGCGTACGGAGCACACATCAAGAGAGATGAGACGTACTGCGATGAAATCGTAGCAGCCAAATCAATGACTCCTCCATCGAGGCCACCGGCTGCGTCGACTTGCACGGGTAGACTTAGTTCCTTCTCAAGGTAGTTGATGTTAATGCCATTCGATCGCAAGGCATCCACAAGCGGGCCGATAGGTCGGGTTTTCATCCTGGCATTACCAGTTAAAACTGTCGATGTCGCGCTGGAAGATGAGCACAAAGCAACTACGGTCGTCAGGAAACGAGAAGCGGTGCCGGCATTTCCGATGTAAAGAGGTTCTGAGCTTGCTTCGAGCTTGCCACCTTTTCCCGAAACTACGAGGACTTCGCCAGCCTCCTCCCAGGTGTATGAGGCACCATTGAGTTTGGCGATCGCTGACAACATATATTCGGTATCATCGGAATGAAGGAGGTTCTTGACACGGCATGTTCCTTGGCCAAGCGCAGCAAGAACAAGAGCCCGGTTGGAGATACTTTTGGACCCAGGAGGAGTTACCTGCACGTTAAGTTCCTTGGGCACGCCCGGTTTCACACGTGTGGCAGGGGAAAGGACAACTCTGATGGCACTATCATCGACTACACTCGCCTTGGGTTCATACGTCTGGCCCACGGCAGAAAGCAGTACAATCTTCTTTTTCTTGCCTTCGTTCTTCTTGTCTACCGCCATTTTCTGAAGCACCACGTCGACTGGGCACTTCTTTCCGGCTGTCAACTTCACAATACGCTTGTCCTGGAGAGACGTCGGCAAGTCATAGCTTGCGATACACTTAACTAGTCGAGCCACAGCACCAGGTCGCAAGACGCCAAGATAACGAGCTAGCTCGGCCTCCTTAACCATCCCAATCGCTACGGCTTCGCCATGTAGAACTTGAGGAGTGAGAATGGCTTCGAAAGCGTGACCAATGGAATGACCGAAGTTGAGAAGGTTCCGTAGACCGCCCTCCTTTTCATCTTTAGAGACGACCTCAGCTTTGACACGCGCGGAAGCAAGGACGATACGCTTTAGTATGGCACGGATCGGTAGTAATCTATCGTTGGGATCAGGGGTCTTGGACCGAATAGCGCTCAAAATCGAAGCGGCATTTTCTTCTAGAGCCGTGAACTCAGACTCATCCCATATAGCAGCCGTCTTGATCACTTCGGCCATACCGTTGATAAATTCGCGAACGGGAAGGGTTTCGAGGAAAGCTAAGTCTATGTAAATGCGCTTGGGCTGCCAGAAGGCCCCGACAAGGTTCTTTCCCATAGGAGTGTCGATGGCAGTTTTGCCGCCGATAGACGAGTCGACCATGGAAAGCAGGGTGGTAGGGACCTGAACGAAACGGACGCCACGCATGAAGGTAGCAGCGACATAACCGATCATATCACCAATAACACCGCCGCCCAGGGCAATGATGACCGTGTCCCTCGTGCATTGTTGGGCTAACATCCAGTCCTCTATCTCGGCCTTTGTCTCGCGACTTTTAGAAGTCTCGCCAGGAGGGATGGTGTAAGTAAGAAGCCGGGTTTGTAGATTTCGGCTCTTAATGGCCTCGTCAAAGATAGTTACGAAAGGAGGAACATAGCGATCGTGGAGATTCGTATCAGTGATAAGGATATACGTAGAAGAGTTCAGATTCTCGAGGAGATCGTCGGGGACAAAATTCCGCCAAATCCCATGGTCGACAATAATCGAGTCGGACCCAAGAATGGAAATGCGGGTTGGGCCCGGCGCACCATTGGCTTGGGTAGCCATTCTAAAATATCGCGATTCTAATAAGACTCAGTTGTATCTCGATACTTATATTTGATAAGATAGATATTCGACAGCTCTCTTATATATCTCAAGGAGCGCGAAGTTGAAAATGTGCTTCTAAGTGGGTAATATATATGTAAGAACGAGGGGCTCCTCTAAGAAACAGTAATAGCTCGCTAGATCTCAAGGAATTCTAGCGGTCCTAAACATTCACTCCATGGATAGGTGAGCGATAGCTTCGCTTCCCCGTGAATCCTGGAAGACGTTGAGGGAATATGCGCATCTATGTTGGAGGTAGGTGCTTAGTTAGGTTCGAACAATGAAGTTCCGTTGTGATGTGGTTCTATGAGTCGACGCTTTGAGGAAGGGTCCGAAGCGGTGGCCCCGCCGAAGTTTTTTTTGGTTGTTCCTGCAAGAATGGATCTTTGTGTGGTGACCCGGCCAATTGGCCAATAGGAATTGAAATATCCAACTGTCATTGCTCACAGTTTCTGAAGGTGCGACTCCGATGTGCGGGGCAGTTGGTAGAGGGGTCCAGAAGCTTGATAAATGCATATATGCACTTATCTATTCGAGATGATCAAATAAAGAGAGTATACCTACTTAAGCATGATAGCTGCTTCGCGAACTCTATTGACTGGCAGGCTGGTGATTAAGGTTCTGGTTTGATAATCAGAGTTTTAGCAGATCGGCTTACCTTTTGTCATAAACATTTAACGTGACTCTCCACCGTGCTTACCCTCTCTTATTAGATATAGGTAAAGCCGTCGGCGATAAAAAAGGAGTTACGAACCGTCTCCTAGGCGCCTATCTGATGAGCCAAACCCTGAGAGAGATTGGCATCACGGCATCGTCTGCGTATCCGGACCTGCCTGGCTCGGAACATTACGGGGAGTTTCCATCGTTCTTCGATACGAAATTGACCAAGGATCGCGCGCGCTGTGCCTTTCTCTCCTGGTTGAGCAGGTCGACGATTATGCGACGACCGCATATTATTATGGCTCCGTTCGAGAATTCTCAATAATACTCGAAACGAGCCGGGGTGGGTGCTGATTAATGAATGCGACTATACCTAGTTCATCTCCTTCACACAGGGCAATCTTTTTGCCTACGAGCCCTGCCAGCTTACCAGCCTAACACTTGGAGATGGCGGTGACCCATCGAAAACGACCCGCAACTCTTCGCGTCCTCGCGCTTTGTCGCTACATCTGGCACAGCAATTTTTTATGGTTGTATGTGGGGCTGGAGAATTACTAAAAGAAGGAATGCCGTAATAGAGAGCCTCCATTGCTCCATTGCCTATTTGAACCTCACCTGTCCCTGTTTCTTCGTGCTATGATGTCTTTGTGAAGTGTCCCGTAGAACCGCGTCTTTTGCTCAATATTCCGGGGTCGTCGTCGGTCAGCTAACCTGAAGCAGCATCGTTACGTCAGACATCTTCACCAGACCAACAAAACAGGCGACAGTTCGTCTAAATATGGCTGCCGACATGGAGAAACTCGACCCGGAGAAGCTTCAAGTTGAATCTCGACCGGGTACCGGCCCGAGCAGAGAGAGGTCCCGCGATTCTCCCAGTTTGAGCCAGATACGCTCTTCGTCCATTGGGCGCGTACGTTCAAACAATGGCCACGGATGCGCCGACTTAGATGAAGGCGACGAGTCAACTGATGATACAGTTACACCTAGTCACCCTCAAGTTGGAAAGGATCCATTCGAGGTAGCATGGGAGAGTGATACCGATCCATTATGTCCCAAGAGCATGAGTCTTGCTCGAAAGTGGCTAGTTGTGATAACTGTTGGCATGGGTAGTTTATGTGTGTAAGTGAATTGATATACTACAAATAAATCAAAATCTACATTTGAATACATTCTAATGATAATGTAGGACATGTACGAGTTCCATTTACGCGTCAACGTATACTCAGATGAATCCAGAGTTCCATATATCGAGCATCGTTGGCACCCTCGGCCTATCGCTTTTTGTGCTTGGCAGTATGTTTCTCACCAGTGTTCTTATGAAGTCACGTTTGCTAAATTCATAATAGTTGCTCTTGGCCCACTGCTTATGAGTCCCCTCAGCGAATTCGTTGGCCGACGGCCGATCTATCTTATCTCTTGGGCTCTGTTTTTAATATGGTTAATACCAAGTGCCGTCTCTCACAATGCCGCGACCATGTTGGTCGCGCGATTCATCGATGGGTTCGGTGGTAGCTCGTTTCTTAGCGTCGCCGGTGGCACTGTCAGCGACGTATTTAATCGAGACCAAATTCAAGCACCAATGGTTATAATAGCGTTGAGCCCCTTTATCGGTACGTGACCAACATATCTCGATCTGGCGTCGAACTAACGAGATACCTGGCAGGCCCCAGCCTAGGTCCTCTCCTTGGTGGATTCATCAACTACTACTCAACTTGGAGATGGACGTACTACGTATGTATTATACCATCGTCGATTCAGTGTGTGCTCGAATTGCTAATCTTGCAATGATAGGCCATGATTATCTGGGCCGGAGCTGAGTTCGTCATGATACTTGTCTTTGCGCCTGAGACATACCGTACGTGGCTATGATCCATATCCTTTGGAGAATGTGTACTAATTAGTGTCATAGACCCAATCAAGCTCCGCGAGAAAGCTAGAAAGCTAAGAAAAGAGACCGGAGATGAACGTTGGAAGGCACCTATGGAAAAATCAAACAAATCTATTGTGGCGACTATTGGGAACTCCCTGCTACGTCCCTTTCAATTACTTATTTTTGAGCCCATGTGCCTGCTACTCTGCCTGTTCTCGGCCATATTACTTGGTGTTCTCTATCTATTCTTTGGTGCATTCGGTCTAGTCTTCGGCAACACTTACGGCTTCAACCTTTGGCAATCCGGCCTGAGCTTCCTCGGTATTTTCGGGGGCATGATCATCTGTTCTGCGATCGATCCCATCTGGCGTCGCAGATACCTCCAGCTCCTGGAACAAAACAACGGACGCCCTGAGCCCGAGTTCAGGTTGCCATCCGCAATAGCTGGTGCATTCCTTGTTCCCATTGGTCTATTCATCTTTGCGTGGAGTGCCTACCCATGGGTTCACTGGATAGTGCCGATTATTGGATCTGGCATATTTGGCTGCGGCACGCTCATGGTTTTCACTGGAATATTCACTTTCCTCGGTAAGTTAAAAACAATAACCCAGCTACTGTTCTATACTAACCGGTCATTGTATTAGTGGATGCATACCCGCTCTATGCTGCTTCAGCCCTCGCTGCCAACAGTTTCGTTAGGTGTACATTTGCTGGTATGTGCGGAACACAACGACGAGAAGACCCTAAGACTTGTCATCAGCTAACTTGTTCTTTCCACAGCTGCTTTCCCTCTTTTTGGAATACAAATGTATAATAAGCTTGGTTATCAATGGGGATCCAGTCTGCTCGCCTTTCTTACGGTGGCGATGATGCCGTTCCCGTATCTGTTTTTCCGATACGGAAAGCAAATTCGCAAAAACAGTAGATTTGCTACACATGTATAGACAGATCTATTCAGATCAATTCAATCTAGGATTTCTGCTGGTATGTGGCGTAATGTCTGATACCCCTTGCCACGATACCCAGAGCTAGATCGCATTACTTTCTTAGAGCCAGGGCACCGCCAGAGGCATGCCCTGCTCGTTCATGCATGGAATCAAGGAGTTGTCGGTAAGAGCGAAAGCCTACAGTATATACATACTTACAAGTTGGTTCCAGGGATTTGAAAATTATGGCATTATGTAGATATGTATATAACGAGAGCAAAACATGAGGCATGACATGCTATATATACTTGTAATCATGAATCAAGCATCTATTACCCTTCTATATAAGAGTAACCATGAGGCTACACGTGATCGTAGTCGTTTGGTTAACGTCAAGAAAATCTTAACAATGGGAATAAACCGACATGCACTAGGTCATCTAAAGGACGAAAATGGTGACGAACTGTGTAAAAAGGGGCCGGTATCTTTCAGCCAACTAAGATAATAAAACTATCACACCAGCAAGAAAAGTCATCTTAATCGCACAGTGCCTGTCCTTTATCAAGTGAGTCGTCAATTTGCTCGCAAACATCCTTCGTCCTACAACCAGTTATCATGACTAAGGTCTGCTGTGAACGGTGAACTGCGGCTGTCTACGCTTAACGTGATCTCATATGCTGTGCCCGTGTATCCAAGTAAGTAAGGGAAGTCTAAGACTCAAGGCTGAGGGTACATTGTGATTAGTGATTATGATAGAACTGAAGGATTTGAAAATGATCCCATGTAAAATAAAATCTCGATGTTTTATTGGGAACTGTCGACGATAGTCATATACCAATAATCACTCGCACAACTATTGGGAGTTAATCGACGACTGCTTCATATTGGTGACTTTGACCTCATCTCATCTGATATGGTCTATGCATAACCTATTTAGATGACTGGGAGTCTATGATGTTGTAAATGGTCATGGCTTTCAAGCAGTGGCCTTACCTTCTGAACCTCTTACGAATAGGAGTCCTTGCTTAACTGTTTCTTGAGCAATATCATCATCTACCCCGTGTGACTTCTTCAAACAGTGATAATCCCCGCTTGGTCGAATAACAGCTCCCGCCTCGTCTGAACCCTGCGAGCCATGACAGCTCTCGCCTAGTCAGATGTTTTGAGGCAACCGCAGTATTCGATCCGTCCGAATTCGTAGAGTAGTGGTGTTACACGCCCCGTTTGGCTTCCAAAAGAATAAATGCACCCGCCTAATCTGAAAATTCAAAGGACAGACCAACTTCCCATTCTCCCTCTTAACCATTTCTCCGAACCGACTTAAACTCCTCATCATATCATCCCCAACCATCCCAGCTTCAACTCCATACGCTCACCCAAAACAGGAAGACCACCCCCTCATCTAGAGAACACCATGGCTGCTGGCTGGACTAGCTTCGAGGAGGGCAGTTTCTCCGGCGAGCGCCTCGAGGTGGGAGTACACCTATCCATCACGTGCCTCTGCGGCCAAGTATGTACAACACCATTTGGAGAGCTTCGTCGGAAAAGTGTGCTAACGTCGCATTTTCGCAGATCCAAGGCCTGATTCGCGGCCACCGTCCTTTCCACGTAAGTTGAACCATTAGAATTTTCATACCCTCCTAACGTCCCTTAAACTAATCGAAACTAGCAAATCTGCCACTGCGCTGACTGCAAGAAGATCACCGGTGGTACTCACGGTGATTTCCTCGTCACTAGAGAGCAGTTCTTGGAGATCAGCTCGGGTAAGTTCCTCAGCTTTGGCGGTCATCCTATCCATCCATGTCCTGTCATTAATTCCAATCCCAACATTCGTTAACCATCAATTAGGAACCATTCAAATGTTCTCTTTCCAAGCCACTCAGGCGATCTTCGAGTTCAAGAAGTATCTCTATCGATGTGAGCACTGCAGCACCCCCTTATACTTGAAGGAGAGAGACACGCGAACAGATCGCATCTTCATCTTTTCCGGCTGTTTAGTGCATCACCAGTCGTTGGAAAAGCCCGACATCGAGATATTCACGCAGCAGAAATGCCACTGGTTGCCCGAGCTCCGAATAACCCCAGCCCCTTCGCCGGAGCCTGATGCGGAGTTAGTTGAGGCTGAGCCAGACTTCGAGGTCGTGAGATCGTACAGCGCCAGTGAAGAGTCGGACCAGTGATATAGGGGAAGAGGGTCTCGTGTAATGGTCGGTTCATGCGTTCTCTTCTTATAAGAGCTTGGTCCCGGCATCATGGTTCGGGATGATCACACGCGTGACCGACAAAGGAAAGGCTGGTTGGTATTTGCTGATGGTATGCGAATAGGCAGGGTAGCCTAAGTCCATAGTGCATATAGCACATCGTTGATTTATCATCTCGACGGCAGTATTTTCCTCGCGTATTCACGACCTAGCCTGAGCATTGCCCTGACGTGATCCTCGAGTCGCCTGTCCTTCCGCCTCCGCATCCATAATAATACGATACCTAGGACGACCATGTCTACCGCGAGATGCTTTGTAACAATCCATAGCATCCATTTAGCCCATGCAGCAAAACTCTTTTCCTTCTTAGACCTCCACTCGCGTCCAACCGTGATCTGTTCTCGTAGAGCTGCTACCTCGGCGGATAATCTGACAACAGCGCGTTCTACTTTGCGTGACCACCTATCTCCCTTCTTCACATATTCTCCTTCGAGATCGTCGTCCTGTGTCTCGCGATACTCCTGTTCCGCCGCATCATCCTCGCTCATGGGGCTGAGCATCTTCATCGGGCCCTCGGTCCCGCTTAGTGGCTGTTGAAAACGTCGGGGTTCGGCAAAGGTAGCATCTTTCGGAGACGCGTTTGACGACGATGGACTGTTGTTCTTAATCTGATCCCAAACAAATTCGAGTTCCGCGACAAGTCCCTTCCCGTCACTATCGATACCAGTTGTTAGTTCATGCACCAGTCACCGCCTCGCTTATTCCAGGATCGAAGAACACTAGTTCTATCTCGGGGAACAACTATTATATCTCGTATTAAGAGGGGAAGACTTACGGCGTAGTGGCGTATCGATGCATAGTCTCTATCAACGCTTCGATATACCGCCTTTTGGCCTCGGTTCGACTGAGTCCACTCTGGGCATTCCAGGCGTCCCATTTATCGCGTTCGCGCTCGAGTTCGTCGGCATCGATACCCGGGCGGCGCTCTGGCCGTTCCATGACACCGTCCACGTCTCCTTCCATGGCTTGTTTGTACAAGCCATATAACCGTAGACGATCGCCCGGCGGGGGGCGCGACGCTCCCGTCTTGGGAATCTTCTTCACCGTATTCAAGGCGTGCACAAACACGCGGTCTACCGAAGGTGGGGACTCTATCAGCGAAGGTGTGATGGATTGGGAACTTATGAGTAAGGCAGGAAGGGAAAAGGGGCGATTGATAATTGGAGTGGTTGATTGGCTCGGCGGGTCTTGATTCTCAGGGGACATACCAACTGAGTCGGCCATTTCGAGCCTCGCATCTGTATTGAATACCGTATATGATTCTGGTCTCCGACTCTTTCTTTGCGCTTCGTATCTATATACCCCTATCCATGCATGGATAAAGGAACCTGGTACGCCGAAGGCGTGGCGAGTGGGAAATCGTACGTACGCGTAGCGAGCCCGCTACGGCTGCCCGAAGAGCAGGTCGAGACAAATTGAAGCTGATGTTGGATCACCGCCTAATGCGTTGGTTCTAAGGCTACCAATGGGGAGCCCGCGTTCAGGAACACGTCATCTATACAGGTGGGAGACGCAGGGAAATTCAGTCGGATGTCGGAATCCAAGGTACGATTCTGAGTTGGTTTTAATATAGTAAAACAATTAAGTCGAAGGATTAAGCGAGCATTATACAATGAGCAATGAGCAATGAGCAATTACTATCTTAAATGTCGGTCGCGATGTTGGTGGTTTGTGAGATTCTCCCCCATAATGGAAGCTTGTACATAATGGGGTCCGTCACGTTGATCGCGGCTGTTTGGGTTTGGTGTAGGGAATTGAAGGAACTCGAATTGCCTCGGTCATAGAGAGAAATGGGGTCTCGTAGAAATCCAAAGCAAAGAAAGCAGGGATCAGCTCCTTCTGTAGATCCCTCTGTAGGTCCTTCTGTAGCAGCTGTAGGTACATTTTGACCGTGCTGGCCGCTCGCGTGGTACACTGCGTCACCGAGCCTTTAACCCCTGTATTGTGGGGATCGACCCATCCTAAATTAGTGGGAATCGGAACCTTAGTTTTATGTATTAAACCCTCTTCAGTTCCATCCGCATCCGACGAAAGCACGTGAAGGGGACAACCTCAGATAAGAATTCGTTATAAAATGCAGATAGGACAAGTGTAGCACATGTATGCCTTGCAATTTTACATTTTTATGAATATGTTTCGAGTATCTATTGGAGTGGTTTCATAATGGATCATATCTAACTCAACCAGCTCAACCCAATAGCTCGCCTGTTATCGTGAGGCTAAACATTCACAAGGTGACGAGACGGGGTTGCTTGATGGATTATATAGATATATCAGTAAGTATGAATAAGCCATTGACCTAACTTAACATACATTATACCTACCTATGCAGTATATAACCGGGGGTTTCTCTCGGGAATGATTATTATGCTAGTATGTTAATTAATTAGGATGGCCTTTTCTGATTCTTATTTTCTGGTCGTAAATATCTGGTGCCACATAACGGGTACACTGCAAAATGTAACTCGGCTAAGACCAGTTGTCATACTCTTGTTGGGTCGATTCGGCCGACTTTGCTGCTTGTAAGGATTCTTCCTTCTTCTTTCGCAGACGCTTGATCAAGCTTTTGTTCTCCAACGCTGCGAGTGCTGCATTGGCCCCAGCCTCCTTCTTCGACAATGCACCTCCGATACCGAGCTGAAGGTTTTTCTCTCCAAAACCATCGAAGAACACGCCCACTGTATACCACGGAAGTTTCCCCGAGGCCTTGTCCATCTTCGGTCCACCCACGTCGTTGTATGAGATCTTGACTCCTTTGGCGCCAATGATCTGACTGAGCTGAACTTTAGGGTTTAAGTCCCGTTTGGCAGGCTTTTGGCTATCGTCATTGTTCTCGGTCTTCGAATAATCATGTGTAGGACGGGATTGACCTCTGCACTCTTCCCGTATCTCTTGTGCGATCGTTGTGCTCCAAAGGGACTTTATCCAGAGTGACACACGCGATAGGCCTTCCGAGTCCCCTAAAATTGCAGCTGCGACGTAAGACTCGAACACATCGCCTAACACTTTCTTCTTCGCATTATGAGACGCCTGGCTTCCGCCGATTCTACCATGTAGATCAAACTCGGCAGGAAATCTCGTGCGTTTATTAATTCCGTACTGCACAGTATAGTTGGACAGAGTCCCGTTCTTGATAAGTCTCTCGCGTAACTGAGAACATCGCCCAGGACTTAGATTTGGGAAGGTTTGGTAGATGAAAGATGTAGACATCAGGTAGAGGTAAGCATCTCCGATCCACTCGAGTCTCTCGTAGCTCATATCTGTTGGCCTCGTCGTCATCCCGGAGTGAGTAAGCGCTGCCTGTTCGAGAGCAGGATCTAGGATAGGAGGCAAAGGCGGCAGACCCGAGCTAGGTATATCATCAGGTGTCCACCGAGTTAGTAATACCGGTGGTGGTATGATAAGCGCTGTAGGCGCATTGCCGGAAGTTCCCCCATCACCATCGAGCTTTTGAATCTTGTGAGATCCAGGCTCATGTTGATTAATGGCATTCGTCTAATAAAGCGTGTGTTAGTAGTAAATATGATATCGAGCCAATGATTTAGTACTCACCTCATCTTGAGTTAGTGATTGGGCGGAAGGCAATATTTTCTTGTTGTGGCGTTGCAGGACCGATATGATTTGATCGTTTACTTCGGGAACATCACGAAATGTATCGAGCTCCTTCTTTAAGGCTTTTGCAGCTCTCAGCAAATCTTCGGCATGCTCCAAGATTTGCGAAACTGACGTTGCATCCTTGGATGCGAAGTCTGTATACGAACGCTTCGACATTCTGATTATAGAATGAGAGATACCCAGGTAATTGGTATGTAAGTTCAAGTTGTTGTTGATTACCTACCTATAAACATAGGTAGGCAGTAATAATTTGAATTTATATGTGGAGAACATCAATTTGATGCCGAGAAGATTGATGCCAAGTACCAGGCTAGCTTGTGCCCTTTAATTCAATATTAGAGGGTGTGCGGGTGATTGAAATTACCGGGAATTATTAAGGTACTGGTTCACCACTTCAAATATTTGACCGATAATTATCCGATTTGCGCTGTACTCTAATCAGACAACTTTTTGACTTCGCGACAGCTCGATATACTCAATCGCAAAGCGAGTACAGCCTGCTACCTAGGCACACAGATAGCCAAAATGACAGCAGTCCCTCGGGCGAGGCTGCTGAACCTCATGAAGGTATGGATGCTTATCATTACATTCAACTCTGTTTTGTCCCGTGTAATCTGACGTCCTAGGCTCAATGCGAAATCTTTTCGACGGCCTACAATCCTGATCGTGTACGGATGGGTAATAAAATCCTTCGCCAAAGATTAAGAGGTCCAACACTTGCGAAGTACTATCCTCCAAGAGGGCCTACAATCAACACGTTAGAGAAAGCATTCAGAGGCTTAGAGTTAGAGACTATCAATGAGCAAGAAGAGGATAGATTGGAGCACTTAGCAGGGTACGTCCTTTTACATCCTGACCGTCAAGACCGATAGCAAAGAATCTAACCAGATCGCAGAGTGAAATCGCGTGGTAAAGGCGCACCGAAGAAGCAGAGGGGTCCACCTACTGGATCACGTTTTGGTATGCTACCTCTCTATCAGATATCGAGAAAACTGTTAACTGTGATGCAGACAAAAAGAAGAAATGATATTAGCACGGGCTGTACATTGATATACGTGCATAACAAGAATGGCGTTCACACGGATATGGGATATGGATATGTTAATAAAAAAACAAGGAATTCCTCAAAGTCGAGACTGTTGTCCCAAGATTATGCTGAAGCTGTCATGTCAACGGGGTCTCTATGCTTTTGCCCGTGAACTTGGGTCTTTTTGTGAGCTAACCAGCCTAAATCTACAGGAAGGAATCGTCGACAGGAACATGAGGGCTGAGCCACTTGATTTGATGTGAGATTTTTGACCGTAGCTATCTCAGACCAATGTTTTGAGTGGTTACTGATTAATATAAGTCGTATTTAGGTGTCATCGTTAGGTCGTGGGAGAAAAAAATAGAGCTGCAACCTGAGAGTAACGGATGCTGGGATGATCTCAAGACAAGAAGAAAATCATCAAGAAGAATATTCGTATTTATTTAACCCTGGGGGATTTTTACCAACGGGAAAAGTATTACGTAAGTACGAATGTACACAACCTGGAGTCCCCAGAAAGATGCAAAGGAAAACTCTATTTTTTCCAGTACATGCACACTAGTACAAAAGTGGAATCATGAACATTGTCGTCGCTACTACTCGTCAGATACCTTGGTATATATTTACACTGGGTACCTGTGCACTATAAATCCCACTTAGAGGTACCTCACTCCTCGTACTTCACTTCTCTAGTTGACAATATAAAATCCTAGGTACCTACAGCTTCACTGATTCCAACGTTGACCTAACGGTGACTCAGTTCTACGAAACCTACCTACGAAACCTATTTAATCCCAACTTTCCAACTCCCAGGAATTTCTTCCCTCTTTTCATCCCAACGGGTAAACACAAAAAATTCGAGCTTATCCTCGAAATTAATTTATTCCTCTCTTCTCTTCACACACACTTCTTATCCAACCTAGCTTTACCTGTGCCAGCCTACCTTTCGTTATTACGATTTTTTCGTCTCGCACATTCATCTTTGAATAATCATCTCCATTTCCTTCAACTTGTTCCATTGTGTCCATCCGTTATACACGCGTGCACACATACGACCACCAAGCTACTTGCTTGACTTTAATCTTCCTCTCATTCCTGACTTGACGGTGGATATTGGTTCATCGATCCATATTACCTTCAGTCAACACCTTGCACCTTCAATACTTTCTACCTTGGTCATTGTCGCCTCGGTCGTCTAGTGTTTATTCAACGCTGCTTATCGGTAAGTGCTACCCTAACCTTATATCCTGGCGTACCTTCCTCTTCATCCCATCCGTTCTCAAATATTCTCACCTGCTTCCCCGTTCCTACCACCGTCAATTATTTGCACCTGCCCAAAATTATTTTACTTGGGTTATCACCTACACCTACCCTGATTTCGTCATTACGTCTACCTACTTTAAATTCTCGATTTTTCTCTTCTTGTCCATTTCATCTATTCCTTTCATTTTTACTCTTTACCTCTCGTCATCCACTATACCTTTCACCCCGTCTACCATCACATCACACCACACGACACCACAACTCACCGTTCATTTCACACCATACCATACAATACCATTTAGTACGTTTTCTTTCAACACAGACGAGGCATCTCTGCCATTTTCCAACTTCGTTTTGAACACTTACCGTGTCGATCAAACAACGTTCTCCTCAATAACCGGTCACGGTTTTCCGTCTTGCTACATAGGTACTGACTAAGCCAGAACTTAGAAACCATGTCTACGCCTTCAGGTCCCTCGACTGGTTCCCCTACTCCTCGCCGCACTATGGCCGCTAAGACCATGTCGAAGGAGGAAAACGTCAAGGTTGGCACTGAGAATTCTTCTACTGCCATTGTAAGTGATATGCTCGAACGTATCCTTCCTCCTGTAAGTAGTCGTCATGTTTTAAGAGACGTGTTCGATATATCAACTTGGCTGGCTATCTGGCCTTGTTCATCTATCCCATCTATTTATACCATCCCCGAAATGTTTCTTGTTATGTTTGCTATGACGTTCGGATGGCAGAGTTGAAACTAATGGTTATCTGTAGTCTCAGAAGAAGACGGCCTCGGCTCTTTCGGCCTCTACATTGGTTAATCAGAGTTATCCTAAGGTCTGCTTGCCTCACTATGCTTTTTCGTCTTGTCCCCTTTGCTAATTACAACAGAAGATCAAGTTGGGCCACGAACCCTCCGGTCATTCCGATTCCAGTCCTATGGACAGCCTACTGGAACATCTCAACCACCACACCAACGTGCTTACCAAGCAAGGCGAAGCTCTCAAGGCTTCAGAGGAGGGCAATTTCGCGCCTCCTATTCTTCAACATGCCTCTTCGAGCAGCTCGGTGCCTATCACACCCGCCACCGAGACCTTCGGAAGCACAGCTCCAACTACCCGACCAGCTAGTGCGACTCTGAAGAAGGATGGAGAAGTCAACAAGGACGAGGTTCTTCGTCTTAAGCTAGAGCTTGCCCAGGCTCAAAACAAGATTAGCCGACTTGATCGAGAGCTTGCACAGACTCGTCGGGGCCAGCCTGGAATGGAGTATGGTATGGGTGGCTCTCCGGTGGACAGCGAATTTCGTCACGACTTCCCACCCGAGTCCAACCCATCGCGTGTCCTGGGTCCTCTAGGCCCCAACACCGTCAGCCACCAGGCAGCGGGCCGAGAGGGGCAGTATTGGTCCTCTTTCGACGATTCCCGATCGGACACCAGCGATGCCTTGTCGGCCACTGGTTTCAATCGTTCTCGCAAGCTTTGGGGACCCAAGAATAACCAAGGCCCTTTTCAGGGCGGTGGCTTCTCGGGACCGGAGCTCCCAAATCAACAGTGGAATGGGCGTGGAGCTCACCAGCCTGGTTACATGGATCAGAGCATGGCTTACGAGCCTTCGGTTCCCGGCAATTATCGTGGAGATCGCTTGACTCCGGATTATGACTTGACAATCCGACCTTCTAGCAGCCGACGAAACGGCCGGTTTGAAAACCGTCTCGGAACGCCCGCCTTTGGTGCAAGCCCAGGATTTGGCGGTGGTTACAACTACGGCCCTGGCGGTTATGGAGCCGACCACGGCATGCATGGCCCGCCTCAGGCTCCGTCTAATTCGGGCATGTATTCTAACTACCAGCCGACTCCTGTTGGCACACCGCTTTCTCCCTTAGCCACCGAGTTCACTTCGGCTACGGGTGTTGTGCCGTGGAAATCTGAGGTACGTCAGCTATTTTCTTATTATATACTTTAGTTTGCCACTAACGCATATTTGTCATAGCCCGCGGCCTCTGAGGGCCAAACCTATCTGCCGACTACCGAGCCGTTGAACTACCGCCGCTTGCTCGATCGCAATGTCAATTGCAACTGGAAGTACATTGTTGACAAGATCATCTGCAACAATGATCAGCAAGCTTCTATCTTCCTGCAGCAGAAGCTCAAGGTCGGAACTCCGGATCAGAAGTACGAAATCGTCGAAGCGATTGTTAGTTCTGCTTACGCCTTGATGGTCAATCGCTTTGGTAATTTCCTGGTGCAACGATGTTTCGAACATGGAACTCCGGAGCAAGTGATCAAGATCGCTGAGGCCATTAGAGGTAACACGCTCAACCTCTCGATGGACCCGTTTGGTTGCCACGTGGTGCAGAAGGCTTTTGATGCCGTCCCCGAAGATTACAAGGCCGTCATGGTTCATGAACTACTTCGACGTATTCCAGAGACTGTCATTCATCGCTATGCTTGCCATGTTTGGCAAAAGCTCTTTGAGCTGAGATGGACTGAATCACCCCCTCAGATCATGAAGTATGTGAACGATGCACTACGCGGCATGTGGCACGAGGTTGCTCTCGGCGAGACGGGAAGTTTGGTTGTTCAGAATATCTTTGAGAACTGTCTCGAAGAAGACAAGGTATATATTTGAAGCACATAAGATAACACTGGACTAAGATGCTAACTATCTACTCTATAGCGTCCCTGCATTGAAGAGGTCCTCGCAAATATCGACATCGTTGCGCATGGCCAGTTCGGAAACTGGTGCATCCAACACATCTGCGAGCACGGCGCACCTGCCGATCGAAGCCGTGCGATCGACCACGTTATCCGCTACGCAGCGGAATACAGCATGGATCAGTATGCCTCCAAGGTGGTCGAGAAGTGCCTTAAGATTGGTGGTGCTGAGTTCCTAGCTCGTTACCTTGACCGTGTCTGCGAGGGCCGCGTGGACCGTACTCGCATCCCTTTGATCGATATCTCCAGCGACCAGTACGGCAATTATCTCATCCAGTGGATTATTAACCACGCATCTCCTCAGCATCGTGAGATAGTTACTGCGCATATCAGAAAGCACATGGTTTCTCTCCGTGGATCCAAATTTGGATCCCGCGTCGGAATGCTCTGCACCAATCCGGCCCTTGCCACTCGACCGGGACCTGGCACTGGTGCTGGCATGGGACGAATGCCCGCAGGTCCTCGTTACAATGGCCGTGGCTACCAATAATTGCGCTGCCTTATAGTTTCAAAGCCTAGGGCGTATTCACTTGGCGAAGAAAGCCGCAGACATCGCGGCATACTTTCTCAGAATGACGATGCGATTTCATAACGTTTAGTTCCTACGAGTGTTTTCCGTGTTTTTCATTTCTATTTCCTATGTTCTGCGTCCATACACGACTGGGCGCCAATGACAAATTTCGATTCGATTCACATATGGCAGGTCTCTCCGGCAGCATCATCTCGAGCAGGGAATTTATACGCATCCTACGCTCGGCGGGCTACTGCCTTGCTTAGGCGCCTTGGACACATCATGCTTATGGATTTTGCGATATCAGCCACGCCATACCAATCCGTTCGCCATCCTTTTCCTGATTCAAATCCAGTTCGCTCATTTCAAGATCTTGAATTGGATGGTGAAATTACCTAAGGCCGATCAAAAAGGAAAATACTTAGTATTTCACCTTGCCTTCTATAAAAGTTGCATCAATGGTTTTCCCGATCTTAGCCGAAGTGGACGTTCTGCAGAGGATAGCTACCTTGTGTTGGGAATCAACTGTTCAGGTTCGCATGGCACTTTCGAAGCCAATACAGAATTCGGAAAAGGGGTGGACTAATCAGACGTGGCCAAAATCAGAAATGTTAATATTTTGTTTTTGCGCTATCGATGAGAGGTCTTACATATGCTCCTTGTATTACGAAGAGTTATCATTTACACTCATTCGTTTATTTCACATCAAATTCCATGCTTCTACATTGGTGAACTCGTCCAAGTCCCATGAAGAACCGCTAGAATATGATGTGATACGCCTCGACCTTCCTGGCATCCACCAGGTGACAACATCTCGAGAGCCTTTTTCCTTTGTCATTTCCTTGAGTTATCGTTGTGTTTTTCATATGTTCTTTTCCCATAATCGGATACGCTGGGAATGAGTTGATGGCAATCTCGGCAACATCGTACGAATGTACTTTTTCTTTTCTTTTCGTTCACTTAATAATACACCATTCACTCCCCTCAATTCAGTTGTCTTCGTGCTAATGACTTGGAACTTTAATGATATGTTTTATAAGTAGGGCTCGGGTCGGCTCGACTATAAGCCCCTGAATACCTACCTAAGTACCTCACATGATTGCTCTATCTTATGCGGACATGTGCCGTCACCACATACGATCGAGCTACATAGGTCTTATACCGTACGAACGACCTCGTAACATAGTAGCAACGGCTCTAGATCAAGATTCGCACTCGAAAAAAAACAGACGAAGATATCACGATTCTTGGAATTCTGGGCGCTTTATGTACTTCTTTCTTTCTTTCTTTCTTCTCTACTCTACTCCGTTGAACCAAGTGCTATATGTACACTAACGATGCCATATTCATGTCTGCGCCCAGCAACAAAGGAAAAAACATTCAACCCAGGCCTCTCGAGAAATATATTCCCTCCCGGCCGTGTTAGCAGTGTCTTGACTCGAGACCCCCGCCCATTCGAAGCTCCGCGTTTCATCTATTTCGTTACGCCTCACACACACAGCATTACCCTTACGAGCCGTATGCCACTTGGCCCATCGGCTTGTCTTCGGTTATGCCGGGGGCCATTAAGTTGTTATCCGGGTTGCCCGTCGCCTTTGCGACTGAACACCTTGCCATCGTCGGTGAACTGCGCTGCGTGTTAGCGAATAACCGGAAATAGTAACGTAAAGGGGTGTGTATGTGCTTACCTTCTGGAGATGACGTCTGTGAAATAGAAATCTTCGATAACCTTCTTCAACGGCTCGTTCGTGGTCTTGGCGCCCTTATTCTGGTCTACTAGTTGCACCTTGCTCAACGACTTCATCGAAGTGGGCTCGACGATGTCGTACGAAGCTAGCGCAGGGCTGATCTCGACCATCCTCTCTCTTAACTGGGCAACATCGTCATACGGTAGAGGTGCTCCGAGGAACTCGCTGACTGCTCGAATGATCTTCCAATCTGTTCGGGCGGCACCAGGTAACGATGTAGCGGCACGCGTCATTTGAGCGCGACCCTCTGTGTTGACATATGTACCGGCCTTCTCCGTGTAAGCAGCACCAGGTAGAACGATGTCGGCGATCTGGGCACCTCTGTCACCGTGGTGGCCCTGGTAGACGACGAAAGCGTCCTTGGGGATATCAGCATCGGCAAATTCATCGGCGCCAAGCAGCCAGATGAACTTGGGCTTGGTCTGAGCGACTTCGGGAGAAGGCGTTGTAAACCCGACCTCGAAAGCACCTGCTCTTGAAGCGGCTCTTTGTAGAATGTTGAATCCGTTGTGCTCTTCAGTCAAGAAGTTCGCAGCATTCTTCTCTACGAAGGAACCGATAAGCTCGTAGAAAGCCTTGGCGTCGGGGTGATCTGTTACACCAGAGCCAACGACGATCATTGGCTTCTTGGCTGACTGAAGCTTCTTGCCGAAAGAACCAGAAAGAGCCTTCTTCAACGCCGCGAGGTCTGTGCCGAGGTGTTCAAACTCGAATGTTGATTCGAATGATTCGCCTACAACGCCGATCTCTAGGTCTGATCTTAGCCATTGTTTTCGGATACGAGCGTTTAGACCAGCGGCCTCATGTCTTGGGTTGGTGCCGACGAGTAACAAGGCGTCAACGTCTTCAACAGCAAGAATCTTAGAATTGAAGAGATAGTTTGATCGGACATCAATACCGTGGGCAAGAGGCTGGCTTCCCAAGGGTGTGTCGATGGCCAAGTTATCAGATCCGAGCTTATTGGCTAGGTCCTTCATAGCAACTAGAGACTCAACCTCGGTTAATTCACCAGCGATGGCCTTGAACTCATTGCCTGCAGGCATGAGCTGTTGGTAGGCGGCAGCAATTTCTGTCAACGCCTGCTCCCACGGTGCTGGCTCGAATTTGCCTTCTCGTCGTACTAGCGGCATAGTCAATCGCTGAGTTTTTAAGCCATCGCAAGCGAATCGAGTCTTGTCATTGATCCATTCTTCGTTAACGTCGTCGTTTAACCGGGGAATAACTCGCATAACTTCCAGGCCACGCGAGTCGACACGGATAGCAGAGCCTAGACCATCGAGCACATCAATTGATTCGGTCTTCTTCAGTTCCCAAGGACGAGCTCGGAAGGCGTAGGGCTTTGATGTGAGGGCTCCGACGGGGCAAAGGTCGATGACATTACCCGACATCTCGGAGTCTAGGTTCTTTTCTAAGTATGTACCAATCTGGATATCGTTTCCTCGTCCGAACGAACCCATCTCAGGGGCACCGGCTATATCGTTTGCGAATCGAATACATCTTGTGCAGTGGATACATCGGTTCATCGACGTCTTGATTAAGGGTCCAATATTTTTATCCTCCACCGCTCGCTTGCCGCCGATCTCGTGAAACCTGCCCCTATCGGCACCGTATCGCATGGATTGATCTTGAAGATCACATTCGCCACCCTGATCACAGATAGGGCAATCCAGCGGGTGGTTCGCTAGGAGGAATTCCATCACTCCCTCTCGGGCTTTGTGTGTAAGTGGCGAATTTGTCTTCACCACCATGCCTGGTTGTACTGGCCATGCGCAAGAGGCAACGGGTTTCGGCGCTCGTTCGACTTCGACTAGACACATACGGCAGTTTCCGGCTATCATCAACTTCCTATCCCAGCTTGTTAGCAATCGGAGTCGTTGCGGGGTGAATTATACGGGACCGGTCGTACTCATGATAACAATATCTGTACACTGTTAGCAATGGTTTCTTCTTTCAATACCTTCAATATCTCAAATGTTCGGTAAACTAACCTAGGGACGGTACTGCCGGCCTTTTCACAGGCTTGAATTAAAGCTGAGCCGGCTGCGGGCTTAATTAGTAAAGGCGTTCGGGTACCCAGCAACGTCCGGTAATAGGTTTATACCTTCGATAGACACCTTCTTTCCATCTATATAGACATTAGCAACCACCTTAGAGAACCTGATTGCGGGTATAGAACGATATGCTCACCAATTGTAAGCTCCACCTCTGCCGGCCGTTGGGGCGTCGCAGAAAAAGCTCTGGAGGATCTGGCGGCTTGTCGGCCAGTCCGCCAAGCCGAACGAGCCAGAGATTGTCGAAGCATCGTGTCGTCTCGACGGAATTAGGTGAATACGGAAGAGGAGAAGAGTAGGACTCAGGTCGGAGGGCGGGGGTGGTCAATTGGGAAGTCCGTTCAAAAACGTTGACGTCTTCCTTGTGAGGTGCTTGGTCGGGAATAATTGGGTGTTCTCCAAGTGGCGCTAGTGCGATTAATCGCGATTATTTCAGCCCCTCTCTGATTGGCTATAGCTACGGATATTCCGACCCGATTTTTAAGGCATGAACTGAGGTCACACAAAAGTATACGTATTTCTTAGTAATGGCCTCAATCTGCTCAATTTCAAGGTTGTTACTACTGCGTAACTTAGCACGGCGCTTTGACCAGCAGAGGAGTGGATCCCGTGCTGTCTGGTATCGGTTAATTTGAAATTTCTGAACCCCGACTCTTCTCTTTTTTCTTTCCCTTTTCATATCAACAAATTGTACATGGGCATACTTTATCGTAGGTGAGCTTGAACGGGCTTCTAGGCTTCCTAGATGCTCGTTATAGTCGAGTCTTCCTCTATCTTATGCTCTAGAGCAAATAATTGACGCCGATTTGGAAGTACGTGAGAGTTTCTGAATCTCAAGGATCGCTACCTCTTACCGCCGGTCGTTACATACCTATATAAATGTTAGACTTACCCGAGGAGATATTAATATTACTCGTTGATATTTCTGTTATATTATCTCGTTACCTTGTCGCTTCTCTTGATATTTTTGACGATATTAGGTGATAATCATTGACAATAGTAGGTATGGAGCTAAGACCTGTTCGCTGAACATCCTGTCCGATTTCGAAGTATCCATGGAAGCCATGTGCGAGAAACGGCCATAGCGCCCCAGGATAATAATAAAAAAATTTCTATGTTTTCTTCAAGCATTGCGTCGCGTGATGATCATCCTCTATACTTAGTAATATCACATTCCCTCGTTTTGCGATCAATTCCTCACGAATTCAGCTCTCAAATTATTATTCCCAGATTGCCTCCGTCGACATCTTGGGTGGAAGTAATCTTCTTTTGTTGGACTCAATGGATGACGACAATGCTCAATATAGTGGACCCGGGGCTAGTCCTAGTTGCCGGCGCGTTAACCTTTCTCGGCTTACCACTAAGGAACTGGTTTACTACGTCGCCACTTCTGTCGCCCGCTCTATCGCCGGCCTTCACGATGACTTGCCCGATAGATTCGAACACCTAGAGCAAGTCGTGCAAGGCGAATCCAATGACTGGAAGGAGATCTTGGAAGATATCGGGAAGAATCTCGAATCTTTGCAGCAAACCCTTGATGACTGTCAGGAGGGTCAGGAAGGCGAAGACGGGGTGAAGGCACTTGTCCGCTCAGTAGACGACCAGATTACTGAGGTACAAACTGGACAAGACCGTCTTTTTGAAGAAATGAACACATACGCGCGCAGCACCCAAGCCCTAGTTGATGGTATGAAAGACTCCATATTGGATATACTCAACGCTCAAACGAAATCTTTACACGCTGAAGTCCGGGCATTACGTGAAACTAGCGGCCAAACGGCTCGGTTCCCTCAATTCAGGAAACTGCCAGCTGAAATTCGATTCATGATTTGGGATTTGGCACTCCCACGACGCATGGTATGCGTCGAAGAATATTCTAGCAACACCGGTTATTTTGGGGGTGTTGGATACCGATTTACGTCGAAATCACTGCCACCTTCGGTCGCCCAGGTCTGCCGAGAGTCTCGGGCTGTGGCGTGCCAAGACGGTGGGCTCGTGTCGATAAGAATTGGGAACTCGCTCCCCTCGAAAAAATGGGCGTGGTTCGATCCACGCCGAGATAGTCTCTTTCTGGAGACTTGCTTAGATCAATTCTATGGCATAGAAATGATAAAGGAACTTACCAGCCGCGCTCAGCATGTCACCATAGAATGTGGACCACCCGCATGTGGTGAATGCGGCTACTTTGATTGCTTGTTCAGCCCGTATTACTTCCCACAGTTGAAGGCTGTCGATACTGTGGAGGAAGCGTACACCCATCCCGAACGTAATGACCCGGTTCTGGAGGCTCGATTATTTGGACATGACAGTGACCAGCCTATTTCTATCGACAAGGAAGACCAATCTGCTAAAGATGCTCTGATAAGAAAGTTGAGGACAAACCACTCATCTGAGGATGTTGACAAGCTTCAAAGATTCTTAGAGGCCAAAACAGACGAATGTAGTCAGATACACGATGGCATTCATGACCGCGGTCAATGTTGGTGCAGTCGCGAGAAAGCATTGCACGATAAATGGTTTATCACCCAATACAACTGGGACGTCTTGGGCGGCGAGGATAAAGAAGGCAGGCCGGTAAGAATCAATGGAAAGGAATGGCCCGGGCTAACTTCCCAATGGCTTGTCGAGATGAAGCAGAGGAAGCCTGCTATCCGGCGTGTGGCTTTACTTCGCCTGGATTCTTACCATCTGATGGAGAGACGGTGAAAGGCAATATCTAGCTAGATGTATGTTTCTTGGTTTCTTACTGCGGCCGTGTTTTGTGTTAGTTCGAATTTGGGGGGTTGTTAGCCGGGTGCACCTCACGGAGAATAGGGGTTATTATCGATACGTTGTGGAGTGAGATTTATGAATACCTTGGGAGCCTTCACGGTCTCACAGGAAGCCGGGTCATAGTACTAGGCTTCTTCGGATTGGGACTCGACTGACTTTAATTTCGATTCATCTGGCATCCTATATACGAGTTCAACAAATTCAAGTTTTAATATGCAGGACGATACCCGATTTATAGCATTGTATGTAACTTAAAAATGCTGGACTTTGGACAAGCAGTATTTAGCAGCACTCATGACATGTTTGATGACTTGGTAAACTCGGTAGTTCGAAACATGAAGTGTTTTTAAAATATGAATATCTAGAAGATTGTTCAACTACCTAGTCAGCAAGGAGACAGGTTAATTATCGGGCTCAGCTAAATTTGATCCCCGCCATTACCCCACATAGTCATAGTTCCGGGCACAAACTAACGCAAGCAGCTGATATAGAGCCCAATAAAAAGTCGTTGATCAATGAGGTGCGATATGTTCTCTCTGGTTTGGTGGTCTAGTGGTATGATTCTCGCTTAGGGAAAACCTATGCTGATATGCGAGAGGTCCCGGGTTCAATCCCCGGCCAAACCCTCATGTTTTTGCCATGTTCGTTAGTGCAATCGAATCCTTTTTGCACTTTTCTTACGTTGTATGTAAATTCCGTGGTGATTCTGGGCCTTCTTTTTCTTGGGTTGGAACGCCCGATCCAAACACTCATTTTTGCAACTTGAATTAATAAGCATTTTAGTGTTATACGAAACTTTATCTCTAATAAAATCGGATAACGAATGTACTATTTCAATGTTCAATTTCTTTTTTCTCTCCTTTCTTGTTTGGACCGACGCTAGATGAGAAACATTGAAATCACTATGAAATTTTAGCCCATGAGCAAAGGCCTACGGTTTTTCCAGGTCATGTAACAACCCTAAGCAGCAGCCAAGCTGAGCAGCTAAGTACCAGGCTGCTAGATTTTTTCATCGGCGGTAAGTACTACGTAGCAAGTACACAATATTACCGACAGGATTCATTTGATGTCTCATTTCGGCGCTGACCAATTCGCGCAGTTCGTGGAAGCTCAAGTGGAACCGCCCAGCCAATGCTTACCGGGGTCAGGGAGTCCTGAAATACATTGGACGTTTAATAAGGCAAAGACTCGCGCTGCATATCTGCATATTCCAGAATAAATTTTACGACTCCTCAAATCGAGGTTGATCGTTTGCCATTCAGGTTAAAGTGTTGGATAACTCTATTTATGAAGATTTAGATCGCGATGAGAAGAGATCTGCTGCTCCGTATACCTTAGGTAATATATCGAGGTTGAATCTAGGGCTTCATTGACTTCATAAACAAACCTACAGCACCTATGCGGCTACATACGAACCTAGTAAATAAAGCTGGCAGCCAAGCCTTTTACCGTCTCGTCTAGCTCCTGCGTCCAGGGGAGCTTAGCCGACGTTACACTCCGACACCCCTGAACGAGGTCTAGGCTAGGCTTTGTATGTCCTAACGCATCAGAGTCATGCCGCCGTTAGTCCTACACTACTAGGGGGGAGGCGTCTTACCTTCTTATAAAACCATCCGCCAGCCCTCGGGAACCTCATGATGGCGTTGATCCTTCTAGTTCGCGTGCGCGAGTCAAGTCGACGGTATCCAAACTCTTTCGCTACCGAACCCGCCCTAAGATCGATCTGATCTTCTCCAACTGATTACATTCATTTAACCACCACCACCACCAACATCAACAAAAACCCACCATGCTCACCAAAACCGCCTTCCTCGCGGCGGCCCTCAGCGCCACCGCCTCCGCGCAGATGCGAGCCCCGATCCTCGCGCGCGAAACCCGCACGCTCGTGACGGCCTCCGAGCCGGAATCCACGGAATCGACCTCCCCCGAGTGCGCGTCGCGCATCGAGTCCTGGACGGCGGCCTTCCCGACGCCGGCGCCCGCGCTCGAGGACGCGCTCGACAACGCCGACGACTCCGAGTCCGGCGTCGGCGCCGAGGGCATCGACGGCCTGTGCGGCTTCGCGTCCGACCTGCCCTCCAGCGCCAAAGCCGCCTTCACCAGCTACAACCTGGACATGTACTCGTACCTGTCGGCCCAGAGCTCGAACCTCCTCGCCATCGCGACGAGCTGCTCCGCCGACATGGGCGCCGATCCCTCGGTCATCACGAGCGAGCTGGATGAACTGCTCACTGTGTATTCGAGTTTTTCGGCCGGTGCTTGTGCGGACGTTGCGACGACGGGGCCGGCTAGTTCGTCTGCGACGCAGACGGGTACTACGAGCGCTGTTTCCAGCAGCGGATCTTCTGCTGCTGCGACTTCGACTTCGAGCAGCAGCGGGTCGTCGGCGTCCGGCTCGGCCAGCAGCTCGGGAACAGCGAGCGCGTCTTCGTCATCGACGGTGTCCCAGAATGCTGGACCCAGGGAGACTGGCATGTTCACCGCGGCTGCCCTTGCTATGGGTGTGCTCGGCGCTGCTGTCGTGCTGTAAAGGAGATTATAAAATAAAATAAATCGCGGTACAATAAGTAGAATGCAAGAGAACAATGTGTTGCGCTTCGTGAGGCTTCGGCCACGGTTCCTGTGATTTGATCTTTCCAACTACATTCATTCTACGTAAAGTAGGAATGCTTTTCTAATACATTGTGATTAAATGGTGTTCTTCACCCAAATTCTACCGCAGTAGTTGTAATAAATAAGGGGAGATGGGACATAAAAAACCGGCCGTGCCCCTTACAGATATTTGTCGGCAACGTGCCACGCAGGTAATAGCTCAATTACGATTGTGAATGCAACATGGAAACACTATTTCACTGCTATTTTCACCAAAATGCTAGATAAGTTTAAAGGAAAGTTGAACACCTGCTTTGGTGACTATGTCATATACGACACCAAATGTTGTAACGCATAATTATCCGAGCTATTGGATTCTTGAGTTGCTGACTCTCCACTGGGAAGCGAAGGAATCTAGATTATCTGACGTAGCATCCGTAAACTTAACCCCTTGGGGAAATATCATTGCTTATCAATTTAATAATGATTTGTGCCCTCTTCACGTCATCGCATGGTACGTCAACACCTATAGAAAAACTACCATAGCCACGATAGCGACCTACAATGATTAGTATCAATCAAAACGGGTATAGTTTACGGTGTAGGCCTGTTTCTTCTTGGAGTCTTGTAGAGGATCCCTTAATCCTGCACGGCTCGTTAGGGCCATCAGCTAGTTGACCATATACTTTTACGGGCGAAGGCAAATAAATAGGAATAGAGACCTCACACTTTTCTACAGAACAGACTTGATAGAGTCTATTTTATCGTAGACTTGTCTCTCGTTCTACGCTATGAACATGGGTCTTCTCAGATATTTGTTGCTTGCCTTCGCCGGTGTGACGCAATGCCTTGCTCAGAGCAACGGAACAAAGCCAAACATCGTCCTTATTTTCACAGATGATCAGGATCTTCGCCTTGGGTCTATAGACCATATGCCCATCCTACAGAAGGAACTAATCCAAAAAGGTACACAATTCACCAACCATTATGCGACCATTGCTCTGTGTTGCCCCAGCCGCGCCTCTCTCCTGAGAGGTCAGGCAGCGCATAATACGAACATAACAAACGTCGACTCACCCGGTGGTAACTATCAAAAGTTTATGGTATCGGGGGAGAGCGATGATTATCTTCCTCACTGGCTTGTCTCGGCTGGCTATAACGCGGAATGTAAGTAACTGGGGATTTATATAGGAAGTGATGTGGGCTAACTATGATAGACGTGGGTAAATTCATGAACGGATACACCAGAGCGAACTACCAGTATGCTCCGAAGGGATGGACGTACACTGACCTACTGGTACGTTGCATGATACTCCGATGGGTGCCACGTCCTAGCTAAATATATCAGGTTGACCCCTTTACCTACTTGTATAACAATGTTGTGATGTCCCAGAACGGAGAAACCCCTATTCATTATAAAGGCTTTCATCAGCTAGACGTAATACGGACCAAGGCGTGAGTACCATCTTTCCCTATCCTTCAGAGACATGTTGGCCTAACAAAGATTAGACTTGATCGGATTGACCAGTTATCTACCCAGAACAAGCCCTTTTATCTAACGATCGCTCCCTCGGCACCTCACGTTCAGGGGAAGTATCGGCTACCTAATCCCCAAGCGCGATACAAGGGAAGCGCGGCGGGCTTGCAAATGTCGAGGGGTGGTAATTGGAACGCAAGCGACGAAAGCCAGGCTCAGAAACCATCCTGGCTGAAAGAACTTGGATACCTAGACTCTATACTAGCCAACCGGATTGATAATCACTACCAAGCTCGAATTGAGATTCTGCAGGGGGTCGACGAGATCATTCAGGATGTCGTTGATCGTCTGGATAAACATGGTATCTTGGACAATACCTACATCATTTATACAAGTGATAACGGATACCATCTGGGCAACCACCGAGTCTCTGCTGGGAAGACACTCCCGTATCGCGAAGACACCAACATGCCACTCATCATCCGTGGACCGCAGATAAAAGCAAACGCGACATCCAACGCGCCAAGTGCCCATACTGACTTCGCTCCCACATTCCTGGAGATAGCCGGCGTCAATTCCGCAGACTTTCCGCCTTTCCTCGATGGACAGAGCCGCCTCAGCAACTGGCATAACCCCCAGACCGCGTTACCGACCTGTCCTCTGAACGGCACGCAAGAGGTCATCAACGTGGAATTCTGGGGCAGCGGGGAAATCGAGAATCTATTACAAGAGAAGCCGTCCAACATCGGAAACAATAGCTACAAGACACTGCGTATCGCCGGGGAAGAAAAGGGGTACCTGTATTCGAAGTGGTGCACAGGCGAGGAAGAGCTCTACGATACGACGGCGGACCCGTACGAACTTCAAAACTTGGCGAAAGACCCCGAAGACGAAACCACGAAACAGCTTCTAAACCGTCTCAACGCCCTCCTCCTAGCAACTAAGTCCTGTGCTGACGCGACGTGCCGCAACCCCTGGAAACTGCTGCAACCGGAGGAAGGGCGTCGCGGCACCATAGTCGACGACGATACCTCGCTGACCATCACATGTCTCGACCAAGCCATGGATCCGAAGTACGACTCCCACTTTAACGACACCTCCCTCTTCCCTCGCGTCGCTTTCCAAGAGTGCATGGAGTACCAGGACATCACTAACGAGGCGCCGTATCTGCCTCAGAACCCGGGGCTCGGGATGGCGTACCGCAAGCCTACCGATAATTACTATACCCCCAGCGTTAAGCTTTCTGCGCTGATCGTCGGTAACGCGAAGGACCAGGGTGGCCCGGAACAGAGGAACGTGACGCTGGCCCAGATCATGGCTCAATCTATGAAGCTGACTCAGGCTCAAATAGGCCAGGCCAGCTAGTGATGGCTAGCAGGTAGATTCCACGAGATTGTTCCGCCAAATTTGTACTCGGATAACCTGGTTAGAAGCAGTTTTGGTAGAATTGACTGTAGGAAAAAGCTGTGAAATTTATTCAATGGTTAATCGAACAAGCGCATGACTTACTGTTCTCCGACCTGCTGTCATTGAGTCTGTTGCTGACGTTATTGGGAATATCTTCAAACTTTGGTTGATTACATGATTTCCCTTGAAACAAGACCATATCCAGAAAAGAGTTTGTTGTTTACGGACAAATAGATTGCTGAAAATGAACAAGTTGAATCCTCTGAGAAGAATTCTGTGATCAACCTGATACCGAGTCCAAATAGTCCAGTTGCCGTCTCCTTAATTGTGCGTATCTAATTTTGTTCCTGTCTATACGCCCGTAACCGTATTGCTTTACCCTTTCTTCTTTTGTTTGTTTCTCAGAAGAGCCTTTATGTTTCTCCGCCCCGTCTTTATATTTCTCCGCCCCGCCTTTACGTGTTCTGCGTGTTATGCCCCTGGAAGAGATGTGTCGCTTAGATTTCTTAGTCATCCGATGCGAAATCTTTCCAGAATCTTTCTTGAGACTGTGGGGGGAAACTCGTCCCCCAAGATCAAATTTTCTCTGTTCGAATAGACCCTCTTCAAGATGGGTCATAGCGCGGCCATCCATGAGATTGTGGACATAAGCGGCGCAGACCACCACAAATTTATTCTCAACTGGTCGAAGGATAAGGGGTGCGTTGCAGCCGAAAATGAGACAGACCAAATCGTCCTTTTGTACGACTCCAGGGGGAGCGATCCCTATCTCACCACCTACAAAGTCCGCCGACTCTCTTAAGGGTGTTTGTCGTAGGGCGAACATGCATTGGCCATTGAGGTTGGATGCCATCAGCTTCAATCGAAACCGGCTTCCTGAAGAGTCAATCGGCTTTTTCATGTCATCGGGGGCAGTACTTCGCTCTAAAACATCTCTTAGGCTCTGAAAGGAGTCGTCTAGATCACTGCGCAGTAGCCCCAAGGAACATGTATGCTGGAATAGGTCAGCTGATAACACCTTGGGATGTAGAAAAGTCGTCATGTCCTTGTAGGCTTGTGATAACTGGCTACAAAGAGTAGAGTAGTCAGGCAGCCTAGCCTTCTCATCGCTCTCTGTTACATTGGCACCGAGCTTGACGAAAGGATCATTGAGATCTAAGACTGAGCCGAAGCAAAAGCCTGTCGCTGATAAGATGTGATCCTTTCCATCTGTCCAAAAGCTGTATTCTGGTGGTATAGTTCCAGTGGCCCCTTGATGATTGTATGAAACAGGCCGTTCGCACGTATCGGGACTTTTCTGTGTAGCCCAATTCGGCACCCAGGATGGTAGACCGGGCATTGCGGTGGTTTCTGCCAGGTTTGCGGAGCATAACACCTCAAAGCTAGAAGATGAGTCGATTATAGCTTGCACAATCCCAACATATACTTCTTGAACGGACTTATTGTAGTCAATTGTGGTTCCGGGATGAGTCGAATTCCTGAGATCTGAAAGTCCTAGTATAGCGTATACTTTGTCCCTGTCATCTGCACAGAAACGAGATCTATTGTGTCTCAGAAGGCTGAGTATCTTCGCCGGTCCGCGAATTCTAGCTGTCCGTTTCTCTCTGTCTTCCTCATCTGGATAGAGAAGACTGCGATAAATGGAAATAGGTATAAACCGATCGGCTTGGAAGTGAGCCCGGGATTTACGTTGTTCGTACCTTCCATCCATTAATCTTGCTATCTTTGGGGAGCTTATGAATTCTGTAACCAAGTCGATCTGCTTCTCGGTGATGGTATATGGTCCGGATTGTATGATCAGGTCCTTAGCCGAAGCGACTTCTTGTATGATCCATGTTCGCTGCCAATACTCCGGCTTCTCCTCTTCTCGTTCGCCTATGAGGAATTGAAGAGAATAAAGACAATCATTCAATGTCCACTTATGTTTTTCAAATTCGGGGTATGGTGTTTGGGGCCCATCACCCTCAAGGTATGCCTGGAAAGGGGCATGATCCTTTAACATCCTAATGTGTTCAAAGAGCAGTATAGCATGTCTGATTTCAAGGAATGTGTAAAACGGCGGATCATCAATTCTTAGCCATGAGATCACACGAGTTGCAGCTCGATAAATATCTCCCATCATAGCGACTTGCGTACTTCGTTCGTCAGGATCATTTTGGTTGATACAAATTGCGTCGATCCATAGATATCTAGCTTCAGAACTTTTTCTTAAGTACGTTAAAGCAGTTGCGAGATTCTGGGTGACTAGTATTTCGTTGTTATTAGCCTCGATGGGAAGGAGGGCCGAGCGATCACCCCAGGTATAGGACAGAGCTTCGAATTTGAGCGTTGGGTCAAAATTGACAGGCTCAATATGGCATCTCAGTGGACTCTCGAAACTCGCTGGTAAAAGAGAACAAAGCCGGATTTGAGTTCGTCCGTCAGTTGAACGTAAAGGAGTATAAAACGACATTTTATTAAAGACTGGTCGAAAAAAGTGAAGTGCGCTGTCGTGATAGAAGCAGGAGAATGAAGTGCTTTTGAGTTACAACGCGATGGGTGAGCGTGAAATAAGACCCCTGACATCTAGGGCTGTGCTGCTCTCGATCATCAGTCCTGGAGCCCAACGAGTGCCTTGCAATCCAGTCATAATTGACAGCGTTTGTGCCTATTTACTGAGCGAATTACATCCATCTTTTCATAATAAATTCTTTTCCCAGTGACTAAGTGTACCTGCTTGATTGGTACAACTCGGTAGCTGGGGGTTGGAGGGTAGAAACACTGCCGGTAGATTAGTCCCATTATATGAGAAGTCTCGACAATCCGGTGAAATAGAAGGTGTATGGTTCTAAACTGATTCTGCCTTGCGCCACTTGTACCAGGTAGATCAGTATCAGGAGGGGTACGATGTTGTATCGTTGAAATTCACTCTAGAGCTAAAAGCTCGAGACTTGTTCTTATATACCCCTCACGGTACGACTCGCACCTTCCTAGTAAGTAGACACCATCTCAGGCAATGTTTTAGATTATGGGGCGGTGCTCCCGGCTGATCAAAGTCGAGCTTTCCTGGGCGTCTAGGTGTATTCTACCCCTATTCCTTGGCGGCTGACCAGTGCTAATCAACAAGATATATGTTTTTTATATGATAGCAATATATACGATAACTCGGATATATATTCCGTATTACGACTAGTAAATTCCGCGATAATCAACTCAACGGCGCCAATACCGATCATTGCACAACAAACTGCTGCTTGTGAGACTTATGCAAGACGCTCGTATCCAAAACCTCGCCGGTCGAGGACCTGATGAAATCCACCTGCATATTCGTCGTGTCGAGGAAGCTGATCTTGGCATAACTAAAATCGTCCGCGTACGCGAACGAGTTGAACGACACATTGGAGCCAACCTCGCTGAGCCCCTCGATGTTGCCCGCGCCGCCGGCGACGATGTACATGGGCGCGGCCGGGTCGTCCATGCCGCGCGGGTCGACCGTATTATTGTAGGCCGGCTGGAACCGCTGCGAGTTGTGCACGTGGCCGAAGATGGCGAGGTCGACGCCGTACTTGTAGAACAGCGGCTCGAACGCGTCCTGGCACGGCGTGCAGCCGTCCCCGCCCGTCGTGTACCAGGGGCGGTGGCCGCCGACCACGAGCCACGGCGTCACCGTCCGGTCGACCGACGCGAGGTCCGCCTCCAGGAACTCCAGCTGCTGGTTCGCGGCGCCGAAAGGGCCGCTATTAAGATGCGCCGAGCCGCCGGGAGCGTCGGGCGCGTCGTCGAAGTCCGTCTCCGTGTTGATCATCGTGAAGTGCAGCATCCCGTACTCGAAGGAGTACCAGAAGGGCGGCTTGGCCAGCAGCTGCGCCTTGTTGGCGTTGACCTTGGCGGCCTGGACCCGCGACTGCGACGGGAAGGCCGTCGACATCGTCTCGCCGAAGCGCGTCATGAAGTCCGTGAAGTTCTTCTGGCCGGCCGGGCACAAGCCCGTCGTGAACGGGATCTCCTCGCACGCCGCCTCGTGGTTACCGGGGCTGGCCATGTACGCCTTGCGGCCGGAGATCGGCGAGAGCTGGTTGTAGAACTCCTCCAGGATGGCTTGGAAGGCGTCCTCGCCGTCGAGGAGGTTCTTTGGCTTGAGGTACCAGTCATCGGCATATGCGAAGTCGCCGGGATGCACGACGAACTCGTAGTCGTCGACGGTGTTGGCCAGAGCGCTGATGGTGGTGTGATTCAGCGACGGGTCGATGGTGGGGATTATGTCCCGCTTGGTCTGGTCCATTTGAATGGTGTACCCGTCGGCGCCGTAGACGCCCATGTCAATCACGGCGTTCATAGCAAAGGGGGTTGTGTCACCAGCCACCCGCGGACTAAGGAAGTGGTCAACGCTGGAATTCGTCGATACTATCTTGTAATAGTATGTGGTGGCTGGCGCCAAGTTTGTGAGAGTGACCGCATTGGAGTAAGTACGAGACGTTGAATAGGTGACCGAGTTATTCGAGCAAGCCTGCAGGTTGAGCGCATTGCTAGACGTGCCATATTGAACACATGGCATGTCTAGCTTCTCGTAGGTGTTCCAGCCGACGGAGATGGCTGTTGAAGAGGCATCATATTAGCGGGCTACAACGAGCACTACGATGACTAAGCACAGCCTATAGCGCCTCGAACTCACCATTGGGGCCGTTGACGGCAAGACGCTGCTGCACTGGAGTTGTCAAGTCAGTAGGTATCGCTGGATAACTGACCGCGGCAAAAGCAGAAGCAGCCAGGATCGGCAGAACCTTCACGGAGGCGAATAGGTGCGCCATCATACCTAGATTCCTGCAAGGGAATAAAGCGCCAAGTCCTGAGGCTCACATCCTTACCTAGCAATTGGAGATCTACCAAGATCCAAGGTATTTATAATGCACCCATTTTACGTGGCTGGCGAGTTAACGGGCCCACGTGCGATATCATATGCAAAAACGGGCTGTAGATGGTCTGTCAGTGTAGTTAAGGTAGTGGAGGGATCGCCAATCAGGGAAATTGTATTTTCAATGTCGCATGGAATGGTCTATTTCCGCTGAACTGGCGCGAACTCGTGGGCCGGACGATTGGACGATAAAGTATGGAAGGTTTGAAGCGGCAGCAGCCGGAGCTAAGGTTACCTACGACCGGGTTTCCCGGCATTATCGTGCCGCGGGGATTACTTGAAAGGGAAGGCGCTCCGCTTGGTGAGGCGACGCTACGAATTGTATTAGCTCGAGTATTGATATGGCTCGTTATGGCTTGCATTAGTTATGTGACGGATCCCATTTCGACAGTTGGAGAAATGCAAGACAATCTTCAGCGTGGTCAAAGATCGACATGAATCTATCCCGAAGTATGCAATTCGCCTTGACCAATACGTAAGCCTGTCTTAGCTCGGACCCTAGAATAGACGGTCTGATATAACCTCGGATTTATTAGATAATCACAAGCAATGAAAGAGGATATTCTAGCCACTTCATTACTTACCTAGGTGCGAAGTACGTGCCAAAGTTGATGTAGAAAGATAAGCCCCTTTGAACTAGGTTTCAGTGTTTCATTAGCTCTTTTTCTACGACCATCGTAGAATAATCTACACTCGGAACTTATCAGCTCAATATCTTAGTGTTATCAACATCAGTTAAGTTGGGCACTGTCGATACTGGTCTGCCGGGACAGTAGGACTATTCGTCGGGATTTAGGGGATGCTTGGCTTGACTTCTTCTATAAGGCAACATCAATTTCTAATAACTCTTTTGTACCTAAGATAAGAACAAAGTTGGGCACGCCATAATTGATCGGAAGTGGGAGATCGATCTTCACGTAACCCCTGCAGCTCTCCACATGAGGCTGCAAATGAGCGGTATGAAGCGGATAAATGTCTCGGAACACTACAGTGGCTTTCATGCTGCGCTGCAAGATACCTACTTATTTAATGCTGCCCCTCCCTGAACCGTTTGTAATTTGTTTGCTGGTTTTGGCAGTGTCCCCTGGCGAGATTGAGGACAGAGTCAAATCTTTGAGAAACATTTAACCTGTTTACAGCTTAATTCACAGGACATCCTCAACCTTTAAAGGGAGCTTTTCATCTTTGGCGAAGAAGTGTGTGGAATAGGAGCTCGAACAGGAAGAGCAGGCCAACACGATTAGTCCAAACACTCCCATCACGTCGTCATCCCCAAGATTTAATTGAAACTGATCTATTCTAACCCTTTAAAGAGAACAATTCATAATTATTCGAAGATAACATTAAACTGTGTCTTTATGGAGTTTAAGACTCAATGCCAAATTGCGAGAACGAAAAAGAGAAACAGCAAAAAAAGATTGATTTCGGCCGGTGAAGGAATCGAACCTCCCGATGTACCACACGAGGAAACAAGAGCAATAGCACCGGGATCTACAAGTGAATGCATCTCACCAAGCCGGCCTTGCTTTCCAAATTGGATTGAAATTCTTTTGTTGATTATGGCCTATACCTACCTCTCACCTAGCCGCTAGGTTTGCTGCGCATTGGCCATACACGGTAATACACAGTATTACCGATTGGATGATATCATAAGCTTTGAGAGTGGATCATGTTAAGAGAATACTGAAGGCACGAGCGTGCTCTTATGCTGTGGTGGCTAAGGATTTGGGTTGCGCTTTCAGGTCCTATAAGGTAGGAAACATGGAAACAACGAGGCTTGTTTCAATTATATCGATAAGGATGTCCTATGTCCTATCAGGGTACTATGGAGTAAGGGGTCATGACCTAAAAGTCTTGAGTTAACATGAAAATAGGGGGTTGAGAAGACATCGCCAGCTCATTGGTGTGGCGAGGTGATGGCAAACGAACCGCGAACAGATGGCCTGTGGAACCTGAAACATCCCGAATGTTCCGCTTCCCGTAGCCATCATGAAGAAGAGTTCTGAAGCTGGAATGTTTGATGGTAATCATATCACAAGCGCATAGGTCACAATGACTTACATCCAAACATTTGTTCATTGGCGCTGAGCGGAACCGATAATAGTCTCAACTGAGCTACGCGAATCTAGAATTTAACGAACGCAAGGTAAAATAGACCTCCAGCTCATTGAACTGGGCGGACGCGACGATAGTCTCAACTACGCTGTGAGAATCCAGGGGCATCCTGAGCAAAACCAAAATAAAACATATAATGACGGTCTCTACTGAGCTGCTAATACCATAACTAGGTATGTAAGTCCTGGTTCAAGACTAACATAATTTTTTATGTCTTCTAACAAAGTAATACTAGTTCCCTTAGGCCAATGGCTACGGTACCACCCTTTTTTTCGTCATAAGATGTGTCAGCAGTATTACTGTTGACAATCTAATAACTCTACTCTGCATATCGAAGATACTGGAGCCTGAGTTCCTCTTGGCTGAAAATACATAATCTTTCCGGGATAGGACGATGAGCATCTCCTGGGAGAACTGGCTCTTCACATCTGCGTGGCGTCGAACGACTACTTGAATGCTGCTCTTTCCAGACCTGTCTTGAGACGTCGTTTGCTAACAAGTCCTGTTTTCTCCTTGTTCCGCCTCGGGTCAACTGTCCTCACGAATCTCGACCTCAACATTGGCAATCTCGAAGTCTCGGATAACCTTGCGACATCCTAGGGCGATAGCAACGCCTTCTTCCCACTGCAGACTGTCCTTCTCTACTGTAACTAGCAGGACTGTGGGGAATTCATCAAAAGGGGTATCCTCGAAACCGATACGAATCGGGAAGAAAGAACACCAGTTACATCCATTCAATGCTTCGATAAGTGCAGGAGTCAGGTCCTGTGTCCACTTCGACGTGATTTCGGGCTGCTCGCTCTCAAGCACTGGAGCATATTGTTTGCGACGTTGAGTATTCGAAGCCCCTTCGTGTACCGGCCTTGACCAGCGGTTATGGCTCGTTCTGGCGACCAATCTCGGCTTCCCAGCAATACCAAAGTAGTACTCATCCCTCTCTTCATTATCTGGTTTGTAAGGCCCCGCTGTGTTGACGCCTTGCGCCTCATCGATGTTGGAGGCCATAGTAACTCGCTGGGATGTTTGAGGACAATGGATTCGTTTGGTTCGGCGTTGTTAGATCAAAGCAGCTCAGAGGATGCTTCAACCATTGATGAGTAAAGAGTGCGGGATACGGCCATTTTATACTTACTAATGGAGAGAGTGACTTCTATAAGTTTTACCGCAAATAAGCATTAAACCATAACCTAATCGACGAACTTGGAATGGAAAGGGGTATTATCTTTTTAAAGCTTAAGTAGGTATATCTAGATAAGTTCATACTTCGTGCCTCCAAAAATAGGGGCCATGCACCCAGGCATCGCTTTCTCAATAGCGACCTTAAACCTCCACCCTGTGCAATGTCCCGGCATCAGCACCTTGGGTTCAAGCGCCTTCAAATCCTCTAACGACTTCTGCAGCTTCTCCGGCGTGCCGTCCGCCAAATGGTACCCGCCCACAACAGTGTACAAGGGAACGCCACCCCCTAATTCCATCGCGTGCCGCGAAACATTGACCACGCCGGCATGGCTGCAACCCGTAAACACGACAAGCCCCCTACCCTTCAAATTGCACATCACGAGCCTCTCATCCATAATCAACTCATCCGTCTCCCACTCTCCCCGCGCATTGAACCTCACTCCCCCCCTAATCCCACCCTCGTACGCCGTGCGCCTCGGAATCTCCCCAGAGACGAGGAACATATCGTCGAGCATGGTATGCGTCTCACTACTCCTAAACACCTCCGCGCCCGCGCCCTCGATCTCAGCGAACTCCGGATCAGGCTCCAGCGAAACGACCTCCCGGACCTTGATCCCCCTAAGGATGGGGCGTTCGGGATGTAGATCCACGATCACCTTCCCCTTCCCTTTCCCCGCCTTAGCCTTAGCCCCCTCAATCATCCTAACCGCGCTCAGCATACCCCCCGAATGATCGCGATGCCAATGCGACAGCACAATCCTCTCGATCTGCCCCGGATCCAAACCCAACCTCGCCACGTTGCGCTCCCAGACCGCCTCCTCCGGCCCCGCGTCGAAGAGCAGCGTATGCGTTTTCGCGCCTCTGGTCGCCGTGATCAGGAGCGAGAGGCCGTGGGCGCCGCAGCACAGCTTGTCCATGCGCAGCTGCTGCTTTGCGCCACCGGGCTGCGCGCCGGCTGCGAGGGGCGTCAGGGGAGCGCCGAGGAAGGATTGCGCGTGTTTTATGGCTGGGTGCGGCGACGGCGAGATTTGGTCGATTTCGTCGTTGACGATGACGTGGATGGTTAGGGTGTCTACTTCGGTGAGTTGGGGGGTCATGGTGGTGTGGTGTGGTGTGGTGTGGCGTGGATGTGTAGGTATGTATTATACGCGAACTAGGTACCTAGGTTGTCTATAATGTGTGTATATGTTGTTGAGCAAGTTGATGATACTATGCACTGCTGTCGAATAGGCTTGATATATATATATCAGTTAACGGCTTATGTGAGTATCGTATAAACACCTACATGTCCAGACGTAGAACCGAGCCTTGGATGCGGGTCGGGCGTTTCCGTAGTGCTTAGACGTGGCTCTTACGTGGTTCTACTCAGGTTTCGTCGGATCCATAGGTGCTTTCCCCAGTTTTTGAATGCCGGTGATGCTTCAACTAATCGGCGATTACTATGATCCATGGTTGCGGTTCCTTCGGCCTTTAAGGGTCTTTGACGGCATTTTTGCCGTACTAAGATTGCAGGGCTACTGTGTAGTCGTGACTCATGAATGTATTAGATGTCATCAATATAGACGGGACCTTTCTTATATCTCGGGCTATTTTCTATGGATTTTTGATATGGGTAATGCAAAAGAGAGGAGTGACTGTATTCAGCTACGTACGTACAATCATCACCACCCACGCGCCCGCAATGCCTAATTTTGCTACAGTCTAACCACGCCAGGCGGATAAATCAGAATACTTTTTGCTAGAATGAGTAACTTAGGCGTCTTTGTGTGTTAGAACAACCTGCTTTTCGGCAGCGGCAGCGGCAGCGGGAGGAAAGCTCGTGTTTGAAGTTTTGTTGACCAATTCCAAAGAGAGGACGAAGCCATACTTCCAGCTGTCCGCTCCAGCGGCGATCGAGGGCCCTGAGATATCGCTGCGGGATTCCTTAATCTCTGTAGTGTTTACCCCGAAAAGCTCGTCTCTCTTGGTCACGAAGTCAGGGGTAATCTGGTCGTCTCCCGTGTAGCCCATCACGAGCTCTGGGATGCCGATGGGGTACGAAGAATTCTGCTGGTCGTAACGCCAAGTGTGGAATGTCTTCCCGTAAGTTCCAACCACTATATAGGATGGTCAGCGAATACGACTGTTTTGGATGTATAGTTGGAGAAGTACTTACAAACGTCTTTCATTATGGTATGGTCCACGGAGTCTGGCAAGTTTGGCTCGATGAGGAATCCGCTGGTGATTTCGTAGACATGACTATGCCATAGTTGGCGCTCTTACATGAAATTAGCTATCAATTCTAGTTCAAACAGGCTTTGATCCCTACCTTCATAGTCCAACGTCTCGAATGCCTCCTTAGTAATGATGTATTCGATCCCGGCTAAGCGTGCGGGCGTCGTGTTCGTGTTGTATATAGCACATTGCAAAGTGTCGCTAGCAATTATGACGCAGTAATGATTGGCAGAGATCTCCCAGTCACTATGTCCCGAAACGAAATGGAATCCATTTAGGAATAGGACTGCGCCCTCGGGACCATAGTGGCCGAAAGGGAGTGTTGCTGACACACTCAGGGGAAGGAGGGCTAGCACGGCGGAAAATGTGCGAGTGAGTTGCGAATACATGCCTTGGATTGCGAATTTAGAACGACTGGAGGAACTTGAGGCTGTCTGGTCTGCCGATTCGAACGAGACAGTCATGAGAAACTGCACGAGAGTCATCCTTATATAGAGAGAACCGTTATATTTTCCTCAACATTCGCAAATGACTTTTCCCCCTATTTCCCGCCGGCAATCGGTAATAGAAGGGGGACACGGCGTCCACAGCAGTATCCTGAGGAATATGGTGACTTCGCGAATGGAGAAGAGTGAAAACTTCGCATGAACTCGTCATCTTGGCTCGCTAGTATAGTGATGCATCCTACCATCCCGAGATCCTTGCTTCGAGCACGATTTCCTCACTTCTCGCTTACAACCTGCCCACGATCAGGACCCACCTGGAAGAGACGACACCGTAATCCTAACAGTACGTAGTTTGCCAGTAGACTGTAAGGATGAGAATGGGCTCAGACTACCGACAACTACCCAGATCATCGCCCCGCAGTGGTCGCCTAGTGGTTCTCCCCGTCGAGGGTTGAGGTCGCCGATTACATTTCGTATGTAATGATCAGACTCGACGCCCTCCGAATCAAGATTCCGTAGATCCCGTCGCCCGCCACCCGTCGCGGGCCGCTACTAAGTTCCAATTTTCTCGATGCAAAACCAATGAAAGGCTGCCGCGATAGCCGAAGCCCGACATCCTCCAAAGTCCTATCGATGACTTCCTCATGAGTCCCACACATGAGCAAGTTTGTCAGCATCTGCTCTCCCGTCTGCTCGCCGTCAGTCATCGTAAGTCTCCATCCGCCCCTGCCCTCGCGCTGCGCGAACTTGCTAGGGACTGTCGTCGGGAGTATCAGGGGGGAACTTCTTCGCCCCCGTTACATCATCTCCGTCATCTCCAACGTCTCTAGTAAATCGTCTTTTTCCCGAAAAGTGATGGAAAATGGCGAGGAAAAACGCTGGGAAGACGGGGCGAGTTGGTATAGGAAGATGGTACCTCAGTAGTTGAGAGAAAAGTCAAGAATAACTTAAAGATGGAAGAGGAAAACGGCTGTAGATATAATGCGTCGTGGAAGTCGATGGCATCGAGCACGCCATCACCCCTGTCTGCCTTGATTTCCTATTTAGGTCTTGTAGGGCTCTGCAGTGTCAGCGGGGTCCTGTTCGCCGAGCTGGACGCCAATGAGTTCCATTGAGACCACTTCGACTGCTTAGTACATGTACCTAGGTAAGCGTCCGCCGTCGGAACAGCATAACTAGATACCTACTTAACAAAGCATGTTTATAAGTTAGGCAGGCTTCCCCCCTTAATTACGATGCTCAATCGAATGAGCAATTGCTTAAGATCATATACCGTATAGTTGAACAAGTTACAGAGTTGGAAGACAGGATCATAACTCATTTATGCGCCCTGGTATTATTTCATCACATTATAGCCACTTGTAGACACTTTAAAGTTGGCAGCAGCACAGTTTGATTTTCCTATTGTAGGGCTACCAATGTGTAGGCGACGTAGAGGCGTTTTGCCTTTCCGTCGGCCGTTCTAGCCTTGAAAACAAACCCCAACTCCTTGAACCTCAAATACACAAATCCCTAAACCCTTAATCCCGAATCCCCCCTTCACCTCCCCCCTCACCCTTATCCCTTCCCCAGTCCTCCAATCCTAAATCGTAACACGTCGCGGGTCATAAAGCCTTAGTCGTCATGTCTTATCCATCGTAAACTAGTGACCAAGTTCCCTTTTTCGGTCTATACAGGTTCCAACTCTGAGAATATGCCAAGCCGTCGTAATCATTAGTGTATTTGCATTGATGCATGCGGTGTATTCGTCGTAAAGCGGGCAATCCTCTGCCGCATCATGATGTTGTACATGCCATCCCCTTAAAAACAGACAAGCTGTATAAATAACAGAAAAGAAGTGAATGGGGCCGTGTCCCCTCGTTTTTGTACATTAAAAAGTGCTTGTCTTTTTATCGAACGCCAGATAATGCATCATATGCAGGTCGTGGTAGTGTAAGTCTAAGTTTTTGAGTGAAGGAATTGGTTGCGGAATATGGAGGTCGATTAGGTTGGTAGTTTCGATGGAGCATCTCTGGCTCATTCTCTGGATAAAATATCGGTTAGGATAAAATACGGTATCGACAGTGATCTGACATACCAGCGTGTTCATTTCACGATGATGTTTCTAAGTGCCCATCGTCTCGCCTCTCGGCTCGCATCTCGGGATGCTTCTTGGGTTTCAGTCGGGTTCTGGTGACTGTCGTCCTTCTGGAAGGGTGCTAGCTTTCTACGCCATCGCCCCTCCTCATCAAACTGACGCTTAATGAATTCAGGACCAACATCGAACTCTTCACCTACCAGCCAGTCATCGTCGCTTCCACGACCCTGACCACCTGTGGTAGAATTCTTGTCTTTCTCCTCAAGATCGGGAATGTCCTTGAAAGGATCATCCTCGTCCATGGCGCTGGTAGAGTCGTTAGACACAGAAGGGGTCTCGTCTGCCTTTACCCAGCGCATGTTCTGCGGATCGAAGATCATGTCACCAACCCGCTTAACACCCTTAGTGGCGGTCATGTTGGTAATGAGCACTGGTCTCGATGCCGAGCCTTCTCTGTCGCGAGTCGCATGAGGCAAGGAAGCCGCTGACGGCGACGAAGCGGGGACATCGAACGCATTGAGAGCGGTGTCGTTACCTTCCCAGCGGAAAGTTGTCGGGTTGTAAGTCATGCCGTTGACAACTACAGGTGGAAAATTAGCAGTGTAATTAGGGAAAAATTTAAGACTTGATGGTAATCGGGAGGGTTTGGGACATTTGTGCCATTCGTGTCTTTTGTGATATGTGTAGGTGCGTTTTTTAGAGTGTGGGTGATGTGAAGGAGGCGATGGATAGAGCAAATAGGAACGTGACAAATGCTTCTGAAACTGCTCAGATTTGTCAATTGAGAATGACTTAGCCTTGTTCTTTTGCATCTCAGCTTTCTGAGATTTTGCGGGCACCTGCGGCTTCGCAGGTGTAATCTTCTTAGTCGTTGTATGTATCATGTTGAGGGGCGCAGCTGGCTTCGGTAGCTGCAGTTCCTTAGGCAGCTCAGCTATCTTAGGCAGCTGTGGTTTAAATGCTGGTTTTTTGGGCGACTGAGACTTCTGTTGTTCATGAAGTCGCCCTGTTGGCTGGGGAGTTCGACTCATGATATGCTTCTTAGAGGGAATCTTAAGTTCTTGTGGCTTCTGAAGCTTCTTAAGGCGTTCAGGAGCCTGAGGGATCCGAGATCCAGACACTTGTGTGTTGCGGGGTGGCTGGTGTGTTTTTGGCTTTTGGGCCATGGAGTGTTGATGCTTGTAAGGAATTGGGGTCATACCTTTGGTCTCCTTTGCCGAGTTCAAGTTGGAGATCAAGTGAGGTTTCTGCTGTGGAATTCTCTGAGACTTCCTGGATCTGGAAGCGTTATGGCTATGAGGCGCAAAGTTCACTCTGGCCGACAACTGCGCAACTCGTTGGTTGGCAATAGGCGCGAGAGGCCCAGAAGGTGTTCGCTGTGCGAGATTCGTCTCTCTAGCGATGCGGCTGGCGGCTGTGTCTCGTGCGAAATGAGGCTGAGAATCGGTGTTCGCGGGAGAGAAAGGTGAGACAGGGCTCGGCGTGCCACGGTCGGGTAGCACATTCTGGTATAGCTTATTGCGAACATTTGTTCTATTTCCGCTTCCGATAGGTTGTTTCACGTACTTGGACTCGGCTTGGGCAGAAGTTGGAAGGTCGTCAAATGAATCAAGCTCATGACCGTCACCGAAGCGTCGTACGCGGCGAGGCTTGTTAATTTGCTGCCAGATGGGCTCGGTACTTACTTTCTCGTTACGTGCCCTTCTCGGGCTTGGAGATCTTATCGCAGTACGAGAGACGGTGCGTGACAAAGGTCGGATTTCCGGACCTTGATCAGAATCGTGGCGTCTGAACGGCCGCGTAGTCTGTGTGCCCTTGGTGCTCACATGCTGAGATTGAGATTGAGAAGCACCGGCAGGTAAGAAAGGGTTCTTTCTCGCCTGTGCTGCACTGGACTCATAGCTGGTACGACGGTCAACTGGAGTTTTAGGTCGTAGGATAGACTGGGGTCTGCCGGATTCAACCCGCGAATCGGTGCGAGAAGGCGGCCGATCGAACCGCGAGGCAGCAGGCTTCGTTGCTCCCGGAGCGTGACGCATAGCTGGGAGAGAGCGCTTCAATCGAAGCAACTGTGCACTGGTTGTAGTAGGCTCATTACGCAATGCTCCGGTTGACGCCTTCTGGTTAAGGTCTCTTCTGCGTGGAGTGGCAAATTGTCCTGACGAAGCAGATGAAGGTGTGGTAGGCGTATGAACGCTTGAGATGGAAGATTGTGCAGAGTGGCCGAGCCGCGATTGAGGTCTTCGAGATGGTCGTGGGGGTATAGGACCACCGCTCTCTGACACTGGCTCTAGCGAAGGCTGGGTCTGCGTACGCTCATGATTGCCCATAGGTCGAGGTAAACGGGACGCAGGTGTTGATGTGACCGGCTTATTAGTAAAGGTCACTGAAACTGCCGTCTTCGGTCGCACAGGACTGGTAGGCCGAGTTTCCTTCACCTTAACGTTGCGATGTAGCGTTGTCTTGTTGGAACGGAACACATCATCGTCACCAAAATCAAGGCCGTCCAAGGGATCTTCGTTATCTACGTCAGGCTTGATCGCATTCTTAGGTGGCAACTCTCGCTTTTCCATTACAGGCTCAGGCTTTTCGGGAAACCTCTCTGGAGATGGATCTTGCTTTCGTCGTTTCAGTCGCCCGCCGAGATCCAAGGGACCCATAGGGATTAGTAGACCATCAAAGATTTCATCTTCACTCTCAGCCGTGACAGAACTAGCCAGACTAGGGCTAAGACCAGAGACGGATGAGCTGCGAGTTGAGAACGTATCACGCTTTGTGCCACCAAATCGGGTTCCCAAGCTACCCTCTCCCCAATCCAAATCATCGCTCACACTCATTGCGGGTGTTTTGGGGATGTCTATCCTTCGAGCGAGTTTTAGTAGGCCATCCGATGGCAATTCTAGATCACCATCCAAGTCGTCGTCGGCTTGCTTCTTCTGGGGCGAGGGTGTAGGGGGAGTAATAAGAGAAACAGGTCTAGACTGAGGTCGTAACTTGGGAGCTTTGATAGTCGCGGATCCATCGCCAAAGACATCGTCGTCATCGTCGTCATCCCGGAATTTATCTAGGTTAATAGGCGCCGCTAGACTCTTCGGCAAGACTGGCTCGCGAAGCAACTCCTGGATAATGGCAGGAGCCGCTAATTTCTTCGGGCTAGGATCAAACGATCCACTAACGTGTCTCAGAGACTCGGGGTAATGCTTGCCGTCTTGCGGCTTCAACCGAAGCGGACCAGCAAGGGGGAATTCTAGGTCATCACCATAGTCTTCTTGGAATATCTTCTTCATCTTTCTTCCTCCTAGTCGCTTAATGGTGCCTCCCACTAAAGCGGTAGGTGGTACATTCATGGGTATAGGGATGCCCGCATGGGCGACTGCGGCAATCGCGTCCAAGGTCGACTTCTCGTCATCGCCAGGTAGATGCACATGTCGCTCTTCGTTTCCAGGCAGGGACTCGCGGTCAGATCGGAACGAAGAAAGGCTGTCACGGTGGCGGGGGTGTAGATTTGCAGAGGTGGCGTTACTTCGGAAAGCAGCGTCGTCGTCAACGATGAAGTCGTCATCGTCACCCCAGTCCTCAACCTTGGCAACCTGGCGTTCAAGCTCTCGAACCTTGGCGAACACTGCCCGTCTCTTAGATAGCTCTTCCTCCTCTTTCTCCCGCTCCTTCTTCTCTTTCAGGCGTCTCTGATTCTCCCATACGGCGAGCTGCTCCATCTCATCGTTCAGTCGCTCCTCCCGCTCCTGAGGCGTTTCTAACTGGAATCGTCCTTCCATCATAGCGCTGTGAGGACGATGCTAGGTTTATCGGAGTGGTTATATGTAAAGGTGGTAGAACGGAGATCAACGATATCGGTGCCACAGTTCTCGAAGTCAATGTCCGAAAACAATGCTTTTAGCTAAGGGTCGATCGCAGCTCGTCGCATCATATACTCCGAGTAATAGATCGCCAGCTACTCCGAAACTGTGTACAGGATTGATAGGTCGATTAAGAATTGTAACAACTCTGAGCCCCGCAACGCGACAGCGCTGTCGAATGCGAAAAGTTGAGAAGTAGATATGAGTAGGTAGAATCAATAGAGTAAGGTACCAAGGTACAGTATGATCAAGTGCGATCGTTACTAAGTAGAGCGAGAAAGTAGACGGGAGATTATGTCGGAATTACAGAGGTTAAGGTGAGTACAGTAAAGTAGGTAATGTGTACGGGTACAAAATAAGCGTATAAAGTAAGGTGAGCAGATAAAGTAAAAGGTGAGGTGAGGTCGGCGGGTATGGCAGTAAACGAAGGTAAGGTTATGGTAAGGTGTAGAGTTAGGTAAGTGCACGGTCAATAAAAATGACTAGGTGCAAGACAGGATGGTAAAGTAAAATGGGGTAATAGGTAAATAGTGTCGCAAGCTATAATCGCTAGGACAGTAAGACTAAGTGCGCGCAAACGAAAACGTTGTCGCAAAATAGAAGTAAGAGTGAGTGAGTGATTGATTGATCCGATCGCAATTGAATTGCAGATCAGGAAGAAAAGTTGGATGTGTTGATCGCAAGAATTGACTCGGTTGAGTTGATTGGACAGTAACGACCAAGACAATGTGCAAAGTGCAGTTGGGTTCGTTGCAAGTTTGCAAGTTTGGAAAGTCTCTGGAAGGGAAACTGTTTGTGGAGAAGGAAGATTTGGTTGGGTAAATGTGGGAAGGTTGGCAAGTTGGTAAGGTAGGTACTTGGTGATTTAGGGTGGTTGGGGTATTGCGCACTGACCGCTTTTAGGGCTACAGTGCATCAACAGCAGGTACAGCCAATCAAACGGCGTGTTTAGGGCGGATTGTTGCGGCAGAATACATTTACAGTGACGCGAATCCCTGAAAACGCGCTGTAAATCCTGCCCCTCATAAATATTTTTTTCAAGGCGGTAAGTACCTACCTAACAATTAATAGGGAAGAGCCAGCCTGCGATTGGAATAAGTTTTAATCATTTTAGTGCTACTTCTGCCTAAGTGGCGCTCATCTGTGATCTAACAACCCGCAATTCGTGTACCTAACGTTCATAACGACTGGAAGCTGTAAGCCGTGGGCTCATGCCTTTATGCTTATTGGAAGGCCTTAGAATTCCATGCTGCCTAGGTATTCCAGACTACTTCTTGATAAACTCATCATTTTTGATAGCTTAGAATATCAGTGCTTCTTCAAAAACACATACAGACATCTGTGGGAAACCAACATTCGTGTTCTGTCTTCATCGTATTCGGTCCACCATAATAACACGACGATAATATTTTATATATTTCGTATCACTGGGATGAATCGCTAAGATACGAGGTCCCCTTGCTAAATAAACTCGAAGGTAAAGCATCGGTGCTATTGCTTCCGATGGCATGACGACAGGCACGGCTCTCGGCTATCGTGAATTGTAATCGCGAAGTTATGGCAGAAACCTCGATACTGCGATTCCCTATCTCGGGAAAGGAAAACGAGTACTTCTTGTTAGAGGTGTCTTCGAACGGCTCTCGGCCGCTTGACCTAAAGCTGATCGGTTCGGAGAGCACAGCTGTGTTCGTGACAAAATGTAAGTTCCCTCCCATCCAGCTCATTCAGACCATCTCATTCAACCTTACGGATCGCCGCGCGTTCCTGGCATTATGCGGTCCGATCAGATCCCAGTACGCCAATTTCATGCGCCGTCAAATCTTTCTATGATCTGGGAATCTAACCTACTCTATTTTTATCCCCACAGTACGTCATAAGAGGGTTGGTGATTACATGGTACAAGATGGCCCTTGCTCTCGCGAAGAGTGGGAAGACATCCTGACTTCCACCTTGACCAACCGGGATCCGATATCTGATATCGACATTAAAGCCGACCTTCAACCAGAGGGTGAATATATCTCCCTCTCCTTCCGGAAGAACATCGAAGGAATTACAGTACGTGCTCTACTGTTGTTTCGCTACAGTTAGGTATATTACTAACAATTTTTATCTTTATTTAGCAACGTCTAGGATCTATCAGGCTAGAAGAAGATGAAAAGACCGAGATCTCCCCATTTGATTGGTGTGTCTCAGCTATTGGGGCTCGAGAGAAGGTTCAAGAGGATCTAGCAGACACTGTCGCTAAGGTCCAAGCCGTTGAGGATTCGCTCAAGGAGCTCAAAGGCCAACTAAACGACCTTATCAAGGCAAAGGAAGAGGATGAGACAGAACTCCTCGAAAAATTCCGAGACCTCTTGAACGAGAAAAAAGTCAAGATCCGGCAACAGCAGCGCCTACTGGCAGCTGCAAATGTCGATCATGAGAAGCTCGCCAAGATCGGCGGAGGTCAGAAGAAGGAAAAGCATGTAGCTCAATCATCCCGCGCCTCGAAACGGAAAATCAAAGAAGAACCGGAAAGCAGCGATGACGGGTTTGAAAAGATGGATGTTGAGGATGAGAATGATGACGATAGTGCGAAGCTAGATATTGAGGAAGATCATGGGGATACCACAGCGGATGAAACTGCGAGTGGAACGGGCACAGACGACGAACCAGCACCTCCACCGGTCAAGACCAGAAGGCCCCAAGCCACAGCGCCAAAACAAAATGCTCGAGCGTCCACATCAGCAAAAGCAGCCCACAAAGCTGGTAGTACAGAAGAGGACAGCGACGAACCTCCGCCACGACGAGTCTTACCATTCATGAAGAACAAACAGCCTGTACCACCACCGCCGAACTTATCCGACGATGACGAAACGGAATCTGACGAGGAGCTATGATGACTTGATGTTAGATACATACCGCAAGGGCAATGAGACAACATGTTCACGATACAGACGGGGACAGTATTTTTTTGGTGGCCTAAAGGAGCCTTAGCTATATTTGTGCTAATATTGTGGATGAGCAGATCTATGTGACCAAGCCAGGTAGCAATTCCAGCCCGCTGGAGACCTAATGCGATGTAACACTACCGTGATGATGATGACCCCTCCGACCCGACCTCACCAGAACCAGAAAAATACCCCGCCACACAGAAAACAGAGAGAAAAACAGGCCCCATTCTAATATGCCTTGCGTAAAGACAATATAGTAGCTGCTACTACTACTACCTGATAGGTAAGTATAGATGGCTACCCCATTTACCGTCTGTCGTCGGCACCGTAGATGTCGTTGAAGTAGCCTCGGAAGTGCTTCTGCTTGCCCTGGTGGCCGATGTCCTGGATCTCGGCCTCGGTCAGCTTGAAGGTGGGCAGATTCCTCCTCAGGCTCTGCACGCGCTCCTCGCTGGTGCTGGTGGTGACGGCGACGATGCCCTGGTCGAGCACCCACCGTATGGCGATGTCGGCCTCGCCGACGCCGTACTTGCGGGCGAGCGACGCGAGGGTGTTGTCGCAGGGGCCAGGGTGGGCCTTGGTGATGGGGGCGAGAGGCGAGTAGGCCGCCGTGACGATGTTGTGCTGGCGGTGGAAGTCGACGAGGCCGCCGTGCTGCAGGTAGGTGTGGTACTCGATCTGGTTGACGGCGGGCGGGATGCGGGCCGTCTGCAGGATCATCTCGAGGTGGTTCTGCAGGAAGTTGGACACGCCGATGGAGCGTGCGCGCCCGGACTGCTTGATGGCCTCCATCTCGGACCAGATCTGCTGCAGCCGGTCCGGCTTGTCCGCGATCTGCGGCCAGTTGATCAGGTACAGGTCGACGTAGTCGACGCCGAGGCGCTCGAGCGACGCGTCGAAGGCCGCCTTGACGTTGCTAGCGACCGTCCACACCTTGGTCGTGATGTAGAGTTGCGATCGCGGGACGCCGGATTGGCGGATGGCGGCGCCGAGTTCCTTCTCGTTTCCGTACACTGTTAAGGGTCTTTCGTTAGTAAGATTGTACAAGGGGAAGGGGGGATATGGTGGGAGTTGCTGGAAGTCACGTACCCTCAGCGGCGTCTAGGTGGTAGAAGCCATTCCTGATGGCTGTGAGTGCCGAGTTGCGGACCATGTCCGACTGGCCGCCGTGGAAAGCGGATCCGAGACCGAAGGCGAGCTAAGATTTCACATTGTTAGCTTCGAATCAAGCTATCGGGATTGTGTGGCAAAGACTTACGATTGGGATCTCGTTGCCATCGTTCAGCTTCAGAGTTGGGATAGTCGGGGTCTGCTTTAAGCTGTTGACCTGGCTGTAACTCTGGTTGTTGCCTTGGCTATAGCTCTGGTTGTTGCCTTGGCTGTAACTTTGGCCGTTATTTTGACCATAGCTTTGGCCACTACTTTGGTTCCAGCCTTGTTCGTAGTTAGGGCCGCCGTTAGGGAAACCGTTGCCTCGGTCGTAGTTCATGGCGTGGCCGCCGGTGGTTGCTAGGCCGTTGTTTTGGCCGTAGCTGCTCTGACCATAGCTCTGACCGTAGCTCATGGTGTTGCCAGAGGCTTCGGGGTAGTATCCTGACTCGATGGAACCCATTTTGGCGAATATGTGATTTCTGTTATGTCTCTCAAGTGAAGCTTGAAAGGCACAAGATGTGAGATTGGAATGATTGTTCAAACCTCTTTGCAGGAGGTCGTTGTCCCCTTTTTATCTACGACAGGTCTCCGCCATCTGCGCGTACAATATCGGCTCGATTGGAGGCGAATTTGAAGACATCCACAATACTACCCAATTCGTATAATTATTGTCGATGGCGAAGTCAGATCAGCTGTTGTGTCCGGCCCTGATGGGATGGGCCGCAACACGAGGCCGCAAGTGGAGGTGATCTTGCATCGGGATTGACAAGTAATTACTTCCTATTTGAACGTTGTCAAGATTGGACACGTAGAAACGAACCAGATATCTGATTGTCCACATCTTGCATTAGCCCCGGGGATGCTACGCCCGCCGTAGTTTATCTGGTTCGGACCCCTAAAATTCGACTATTCAGTCTCCTGGATCCTGTTGGCATGGAACTTGCATCGTTTACGTGTGACTCAAAATTTGATGATCGACGACAGCATATAGGTCCAGACCTTAGCTTGATTGACATTCCAATCGAGACCCTCAAGTTACCAATAGGCGTTTTTTCCAGAAGAAACATGAACCCCTATAAGCCATCTCATGCTTTGTTGTTCGGGTACGCCCCACAATAAACACGTACGAGGGCCGACGTACGACTGACTATTTAGGAACAAATCGCTACCCAAAGTGAGGCTTGACATATTCCCCTGTCGTTGGGTTAAGCCACATAGCAGTCTGAATAATTACCATTTGTCAAGAAATTCTCCTACTATGGGCCTTTGGTAAGCAGCTAGACTGTGGCAAGTCCAGAACGTTTCCTTAATAATATGGGAACCTTGTGAGGAGTTGGGCTACAACGTCCTATAGTATGAGATAGTTTCACGTAAGCACTCCATATAACTAAGAACCAATTAGAATTCGGGTTTCAACGTTTCGAAAATCCTTGGTTCGTTCTAACTATTTCACAACTCAAAGGCTCTGTAGACGGATGGATAGCCCCTGGTGTTCATGAAGATATTTTAACTATAATGGCGTAGATATCCCGCGAGAAATATTGTCGCAGTGGGCTTTTTGATAAAAGTGGTTGACATGTATAATACCATGACAGGAAATCGCCAGTGGTTGTAGATCATAGGTATGAAGGGCATGTATCCCTAGATGTGATAAATGTTTCTAACCTTGAATATGTGCCTACGTGGATATCAAGACATGTATGTATCAAATAAAATTCCCATAATCAAAGAAAGTTTAAGTATATTCTTTAAATGTGATAATATCGTAAAGTGAGACTTATAATAATAATTATGAACACCTTGTGTGAGTTTGTGTTTGAGCTGTATTCTTTCAGGGGCGTTCTTAAAAGAACGTCCTGTTTAATACGTGAAGACTTCATCAAACCTTAGACCCTCGTATCAACGAAGCCCTGTAATCTATGCTATTTATTACTTGGTTGATGAATATCTATGAAGCAATAGTCATATTAGTATGGATGGCCTTACTTCCAGCTGCTATAAGACGGCCTTGGGTTGCGGAGTCTTATTCCCTTAACGATTTTACGACTAAGACACGATGAGCTATAGAGACGAGGGACTCGGTCGACATTCAATAGAAAGAACTATCTGGGCTAGGTACATAGTAGCAACAATAATTCAAAACAAATGCTGATGAGTCCCTACTCTCGATTCCATTTGCGAATTGATCTTATGATTAGTTGCCAGCTATCAACCTCACCTCTCACCACAAATAGGGGCTACCTTTGAAGGCAACCTGTCAATATCAAAAACTCACGCCTTACCTCTTCTCATTAACAAACAGAATTCACACTCCTCGAACTTTGATAAAGTCCTCATGCTACTAATGACAAGCTCTCGGGATAGTTTAGTAGCATATTGGATAAACAAGCCCGCATAGTTCGACGAAACATAGGTGATAAGAGTTGCTCAGCACCCGCAAATCCGGCCTACTCTCATTCTATCGTAGGGAAAGGGCATTCTGAACGAGAACAGAGCCAGAACAACATTTGAATTCCACCCATTCTATCTGAATTCCTGCGGAATCAAGAAGTTCCTTTACCCTCACCACCAGCTTCTCAACGTCGAAGAAGATCAACAAGAATCAGAAGTATCTTCATAGCTAAACATCCATCATTTAGGTACGTTGACATTCTACAAATTATCATAGTGATGCCTCTTGAATATTAACAATCTATAGTACAAGATGTCGAACGAAGAGTACTGGTGGGATCTTCCACTAGTTTTCTGCTCGGACAACGCAATGGACGATATTTCCATCCGCTCGATGCTGGAACGCGCCGTCAAAGATCAGAACACTGACAAGGACATCGACACCGACGCAGACTTTATGGATTTGACCTCGGTGGATTTCAAGAAGGATGACCAGTTTGACTGGACTGTGAAGGTTCCTTCGGATGGCAAGGTACGCGTCATCCTGGTCAACAACCCTCCGGACAATTGGGACATACCGCAATTCGAGAATTACTTCCTCACCGAGTGGGCGAGCGCAGGGGATCCGGGCAAGGTCTACCTAGCGCTACTACCTCCTCCCGCGCCCGCGTCGATGTCACTCGAGGAATTCTGGGCAGATCAGGTGCTCCCCCATGACTGCGAAGCAGACGACCTTGGGGATGTCAGACTCTTCACGCGCCATGGTTGGGTCGTCATGAAATTGTGGTGGGTAGAGAAATACGTCCGTTCCATCGGCATGGACGTCTTCAATCCCGACGAAGAGATGGGAGAGGTTATCACCAAATATCGATCCGAGCCTTCAGCATCCGTTCTTCCATTTCTGACCGATTGATCATCGGATGACTCGTCATACCAAAGAGAGCTGGGCTTGCTAATATGACTAAGGACGGATGACTCGGAGATATTCTCAGTGTCTTGGAGTGGAAATGGTTGCGACACAATAGCATCGAGGTCACTGGAGACATTAGGAGTGTCTCATCTGACTGTGCTATTATGGATGCATCTCTCCTTTGGACGCAGACCGAGGTGGCACAGGGGTTCTCTACTTCATAAGTTAGGATACTGCGCAAACTTGAGGTGGGACTGGTAGGGTTGGTTGGAGGAACGCTCGACAATGATATCTGCAAACCCGTAGCTGGAACACTGGGAACGTGCAAATGACAGGAGCTCCAAGCAGTCGTCAATAATGGATGCTCTTTTTAAGTCGTACGCACTTGCTGCTTCTCTTTAGCCAACGAAAACGAACTTCTCACATGGAACCACATTATATGACTCTATACTTGATGCTTTTAATAGTTGGTGTAACATATCTGATTGTCGTAGAGTTAGGTCCAACAATCATAGAAGAATTAGTCCCGAGAGGTTCTTGAAGACCTATTCGGTAAGAGGCTGGGTAGTTTTGGAGCTCTTGACGTTTCTAACACTCCAAGCTCTGAATCGCGCGACCATCAAAGACCACTCCTAGCTGTTAGTATTATAGCGACGTAAACTTCCTGATCAAGCGTATCAATGGAAGAATGATGATGAGGAGAGGAAAGAAATGAATGATGAACTGATAGAAAGATATGTATCCTTGAAAAGGGAGTATTCAATTATAGGAAAGGGGTTCATACCGAGTAGTTACATATGTAACACTCAAACGAGACTATGACGTGATAGCGCAGATCGCCACATCCTTCATGTTAAGCTTCAGTGAACATCATCGAAGCCAAAATCAACGATGAACGTATTGCCACACATCCGCTTCACAACCTTCAAACATTTTCCTTTCTCACAATTCTAATGATATTTTTTACGTCTTCTCCATCTGCGATCGTTCCTCTGTATCATATACCCTAAAGCCTCATCTGAACCTTCCTCGGCCCGACGAAGCCGTCTATATGCTTCTTCGCCGCATCGCGCATCGAAGCCTTCCACATATGCGACTTGCGCAAATGGCGTCCCAATTCACCAACGGCGCGAGCCATTCCGCCGCTAATACCTCTACCACCGCTCAAACCATCAACGATATCCCGAAGTCATGGAACTTCACTTCCAAGCTCCCCGCCGACTCCCTCTTCCCCACCCCCGCCGACTCGCACAAAACACCCCGCGATCAAATCGGCCCGCGGCAAGTCCGCGACGCCCTCTTCACATGGGTGCGCCCACAACCCATAACTGACCCGCACCTCCTCGCCATCAGCCCCGCCGCCCTGCGCGACCTCAACATCCTCCCGGGCACCGAAACAACACCCGACTTCGTGAACACCGTCGCAGGCAACAAGCTGCAGGGCTGGGACTCGGAGAAGCTCGAAGGCGGGTACCCGTGGGCGCAGTGCTACGGGGGCTTCCAGTTCGGCCAGTGGGCCGGCCAGCTCGGCGACGGGCGCGCGATCTCGCTGTTCGAGACGACGAATCCGCGCACGGGCGTGAGATACGAGGTGCAGCTCAAGGGCGCGGGGCTGACGCCGTACAGCCGGTTCGCGGACGGCAAGGCGGTGCTGCGCAGCAGCATCCGCGAGTTCGTCGTCAGCGAGGCGCTCCATGCGCTCGGCGTCCCGAGCACGCGCGCCCTCAGCCTGACGCTGCTGCCCGGCGTCCGGGTGCGCCGCGAGACGACGGAGCCCGGCGCGATCGTGGCGCGGTTCGCGGAGTCGTGGTTGAGGATCGGGAATTTCGATATCCTCAGGGCGAGGGGCGACAGGGATAATATCAGGAAGTTGGCGACGTACGTCGCCGAGGACGTGTTTGGCGGCTGGGAGAGGCTGCCCGGGCGGCTTGATGATCCGGATAAGCCGACGGAGTCGCCGCCGCCGAAACGTGGGGTTGCTGCTGATGCTGTTGAGGGCCCGGATGAGTCGGCGGAGAACCGGTTTACGAGACTATATCGCGAGATTGTACGGCGCAACGCGCTTACTGTGGCCAAGTGGCAGGCTTACGGGTTCATGAACGGCGTGTTGAACACGGATAATACGTCCCTTTTCGGGTTGAGCATCGACTTCGGACCCTTTGCGTTCATGGATAACTTTGATCCTAGCTACACGCCTAATCACGACGATTACATGTTACGATATAGTTACCGTAACCAGCCAAGCATAATATGGTGGAATCTAGTACGTCTAGGGGAGTCCCTCGGCGAGTCAATTGGCGCCGGATCGAAAGTAGACGACCCGAAATTCGTCGAAGACGGCGTGAAAGAGGAAGAAGCTAGCGCCATCATCGAGAGGGCCGAGAAGATCATCATGCAAGTTGGCGAGGAGTACAAAGCTGTGTTCCTCGGCGAGTACAAGAAGCTTATGACGGCTCGATTGGGGTTGAAGAACCACAAAGAGAGCGACTTTGACGAGTTGTTTAGCAGCATCCTGGATACTATGGAAGCCTTAGAGCTAGATTTCAACCTTTTCTTCCGTCGGTTAAGTTCGGTCAAAGTTGATGAGTTAGAGACGGAGGAAGCGAGGAAAGATAAAGCTGGCGTGTTCTTTTACAGCGACGGTGTCTCGGGCATTGGAGGTGAAGCCGAGGGTCGCAAGCGCGTTGGTGAGTGGCTGGGCAAGTGGCGGCAACGCGTCCTCGAAGATTGGGGTAATGGTCAGACTGTCTCAGAAGAGCAGGATAACGAGAGGATGCAAGCCATGAAGAAGGTTAACCCTAATTTTATCCCGAGAAGCTGGATCCTCGATGAAGTTATTAAGCGCGTAGAGAAGAACGACGAAAGAGACGTCCTAGACAGGATTATGCATATGGCTCTACACCCTTTCGAGGAGAGCTGGGCTGGCCGTACGTTTGAAGGCAAGGAATACAAGGGCGATATAGACGAGGAGACAAGGTGGACTAGCGATGTGCCAAAGACGGGTCGGGCATTGCAGTGTAGCTGCAGCTCGTAGTCTTGGCGTAAGCTTTACGGCGTACTGGGCGTATTTCAGACTTTCTTCTTCTCTTTTAGCTGAGACGGCTGGTCTCTTGGCGGATTTCCGCCCGACACGATCGCGACTCAACGTCCAGATTCCACGTCTTAGGAGAGACTCAACATGTATATCGGAAGTTACAGCTATCCGAATGATGATTTCGATGACTGAAATATGTAAGCGCCTTGTTTCAGTTGTTGGCTGTCGATCTTATATGTTTCGCGCACCTTGGCCTTACTTTAGTGACCCTTCGCCACAATCTCTGCTACGTACCTTGTAGGTACCTAGAAAAGAACCAGTATCTCCGCTTCAGCCTCAGCACTCACTCTCACTTTCACATGAGGTGATATAGTTTTCTTATTCGCTCAATCATTGAGATACCTAACTACTACGTAGTAGAGCCGCCGGAATTATGGAAGTTATTCGGACCCTATGGCCCGGCATGGCCAATGGAGCCGACAATGTCCAAGCGAAATTCCGACTTGAAATGTACCTTTTTACCGTATGTCGCCCCGAAAATTCCCCACGCGGACATATCTGGGAGTTCTAACTAGCGCAGGTTGAATATGCTTATTACAACCTATTCCCGGTCTTGGCTGCTGTAGAGGACGATGCTCCTGAATCATATGAAGCAGTGGCGAATAAAGATTCCGTGGAATTGGAAGAATCCGAAAGAAAAAAGACCGTGGGAATAGATGAAGGCTTAGCGCCGCAACCGAAGCCCATCACTTCGGGCCTTCGTTCTACCTGGCTCCATCTACACTCCGTTGGCGGGAAGAGACCTCTCCTCCGAGGTGTTTGGTGCTGGATAGTCCTTTTGTTCGCCATCTTCGTAGTTACCTCCCGTCTCAGCCGCATCCCATTCATACCCGCCGCCGTCGCCTGGCCTATCGCTTCCATGCTCACCTTGCCTCTGTACACTACCTGGACACATATCGTCATCACGGAGCTTAGCAATAAGCCTTTATGGCACCGCCTCCCCCGCCTCGGTCTCGTGTTCCGCGCCGGGGCTCGAGCAGCCCTGCCTTACTTCCTTATCAGGGCGTGCGAGGACTACGTCGTTTCAAGCGTGGTGTACGTGCTGATGGGCTGGAAATAGAACACGGGCAGTATTCTGGGCTGGCTGCTCTCCCTTATAGTGAAGTTCGTTATCTGGGTCTGCGTCGTGATACCGACACACGCGGTCTTCATCCGCGTTCTGGCATCCTTGCTTCCTGAGGAGGACAGGGCGACTGTGCTACTCCACCGCTCGATAACATCCCACAAGGCCGAGGGAAAGGAGTATTTGTCCACGCTCGACGCTTGGAGGTCCTTCTCGCGAGTCGCCTGGAAGAGGCTGTTTAAGTTATATGTTAAGACCTCTGTAGTCGCCTTTGCGCTAGGAGTTGTCATGGCTGTGCTTGCGGCCGCTGAGTTTTTCCTGATGAACTGGATTACCTATGCCTGGAAGTGGATTATGCCTGGAAAATGAAGAGCATTACTAATAAAAAGGCATTCGTCGGCTGCCTGTACTCGCTGTCCGTTATGTATCGCAGCCTATTCCTCAAAGGCATGGTCAAGACTGTGTTCTACGAAGATAGAATTGAGTATATAATAACTCATCTGGCGCTGGGATTGTTCATGAATCCTAGCGCGGCTTCATCCCATACTAATTCCCAAATCCCATACTGGTTTGGCCAATGCTCGCACGGAGTGGTCTGATTGCTTGTGATCCACAAAGGGAGATATATATACCGCAACAAGGTTTTAAGTCATTAACAATCTGTTACTAGATTGAATCTAATGGCCGGAGTGGCATGGCGGTGCTTACAATTGGTCTCATTGCTATGGCTCTAGTTTCCCTGGTGAGCGCCTGCTCGAGGGTTCGATTCCCTCGACGGCCAGATCAAACTTTTTCTTGGGGTGGTCAACCCCTTTTTACCCCCTTTCCATTTCAACATACTTTTTTTTTTACCCTCAATTATTTATTGATATCATTAATTATTATCTGAGCTATCTAAAGCGTAACCTTTGTTTGATGCTAGATTAGTTCGACACGAGCTAGATCACAATTCGCTTCTCATCCTTAACTTGGATGGCGTGGGATTCGCATTCTCCCAAGTCGTCAGATTCATAACCTGCACGCCCCAACCCTCCAGCTCCTCAATCGCAGCCGCCTTGTCCGCGGCGCTCGTAGACTCGGTGGCGTCTTCGATAAGGATGACCTCGTAGCCCAGCTTGATCCCGTCGATGCTCGTGCCGCGCACGCACGCATTGGTCAGGAGCCCAGTGACGACAAGGGTTTCGATGCTGTGCAGGCCTAGCTCCGAGTGCAGAGTCGTGAATCGGTGGTACTGGTTATCCGCAAAGGCGGAGTACGAGTCCACGCGGTGGTCCTGCGCTTTCTTGATGTAGTTGACGGGGCTCCGGTACCCCTCGATCAGATGCAGCCGCGTCTGGACGCCGCTCTCGATCTGGGCGCCCCAGGTCTCTGGAATGCAGTGGTCTGCGTACAGCATCTGGATCTCGATCTTCGTGGGTGTGTCCACGAAGCTGTCGTTCACCGTGTCCCCGGACACTTTACCCGGATGGCTTGAGAAGAATGAGACGTGTCCATGTGGGTGCCAGTCTAGGCTCTTAAAATTAGTTATCGCCATCACCAGTCTCTTAGGAGAGACCGAGTTCCACGCCAGAGGGCTAGCATCGTGTTAATACCTTGAGAAGCAACGATGAAGGGCCATTCGTGATTGTCCAGAAGCTGGTAGATCTTGGGCAGAATCACAGGGGCTCGTGGATTAGCCAACGAGCCATTGATAAAGTCGTTCTGAACGTCGATAATAGCAAGAGCTGTGTTTTTGTGCAGCTTGCTCGAGTACTATGTAGATGTAAGCTCGGAGGAGCGAAATTTTGTCGGTGCCGTCGGACTTACCGGAGTTGCGTATCCTATGCTGCTAAGCGCAAGCAAACAGGATAGGCTAGATGATCGCATCCTTAATTACGGTTTCCCAATCCTGGTTTGAAGAAGGGACATGTAATTGAGTGTATAGGATATGATACTTCAATCTATATTGCCTAAGTAGGTAGGTATCTATCTAGGGGAAAGTTACATGAAGTATGAATGTATTTTGTGCCAACCTTTTCTTCTCAAGTGTGGATAGCGGTAGGTATGTGTCTTGGGCGATAAGCACGGCGTATTATTCCAGGCTTCGCAGAAATGAATGAGGTCTTATCTATACCCCGGCAGAGAACTATCAGCCCAAGTTCCTAGGAGTTAGGACGCTGACAGGGCTGCGAGCTCCTTCAGGGGTTGTAATACCGTCATTATAAGCGGGGTTCCGATAACGACTATTCCAACCTCCGTCGTTCTATAAGTCCGATTTAATTATCAACTAAGTTGAAGAGATCTCTTTCTTAGAAGTTAATTCGAAGTGGGGAAATACAGGAATGCCCGAGTCCCTCAACATAAGTTATCAGCCTGGTTGGCTTGTCGGAGGCCTACCAACACTCCATTGATATTCTAGTTATGTGAAGTCCCATTGGTGCTTGCAACCTCCTTTGTAAGCCTATCACGTTCTACGAGTAAGCAATTAATTTGAAAGCTGTGGCTGAATATGCAGAATATTTTACACTTCCCATATGTACCGAAGTGCAAATGTAACCTACATAGCCTGCTTCTTCTACCTATGTGTTGGAGAATAGAAATAACCTGAACGCCCCAAGGAATCTTGGGGGCTTAAGCATTCGCTCTTCTATCCATATTGTTACTAGCGAGCCTCTTGCTACTTACTATTTCTCGCTTCATGATATGGGCAAAATCTACGAACTACTGCTTCTCAGTATTGGAGCTTACAGGTAGTTTACGTTCCAATATTAATTCATCAATTGTTGTCGCCCTTTTATCGGCGGTATGATTAGGTACGTAATACTTTGACAAAACCCACCGCCTACATCCCATTAACCATTGCCTAGATTAACTGACTTCAAGCCTTACCTCACCAACGATTAAAAACGTACACACGATTACCGGGCCAAATTTGAAAGCACATCTACATAGACAGAGATAGGGTCCGTCAACATGTCGTCTTCGGAGTCTAACGTGGACCCGCAAGAACCAAGGGAGAACGAATATACGGTTGGGTGGATATGCGCCTTGCAGGAGGAGTATGAAGTTGCGTGTAAGATGTTGGACAGAAGGTTCAAGGGCCCTCGAATGGCTCACCCGAATGAGGACAACACCTACGAATTCGGCCAGATTTCGGATCATTATGTGGTCATTGGGTGTCTTCCGTTTGGCGATTATGGCACGAATTCGGCAGCCGCCGTCGCAAAAGACATGGTACGCTCGTTTCCCAAACTTCGCTTCGCCTTACTGGTGGGCATCGGTGGAGGTGCTCCTACAAGAAAAGATGATATCCGGCTTGGAGATGTTGTTGTCGGCGCCGGGAAGGGAGTCCATGGGGGCGTCATACAGCTAGATGCCGTGAAAAGATACAAATCAGTCGATGGCAGTCTTTCTACCCAATTGTGGCGTCATTTGAACGGCCCTCCAAACGTGTTGCTTGGAGCACTACCGAAAATCCAAGAACGCTACAATGACCCAGACGAGGTCGATAAAATTGCCCAAAACATGGAACGAATGTCTAACCGTCCCGAGTTTGAGCGACCTTCCGATGACCGGCTTTACCGTGCTAGTTACCCGCATCAAGGAGGATCAGACTGTGAGAATTGCGATGCCGAGGAACTGGTGACGCGGGTTGAAAGGGCTGTAACTCACCGTGTTGTGAAGGTACACTATGGTACAATTGGCAGCTCTAACTCTCTCATGAAGATGGTCGACGAGAGAGAACTCTATGCTAATGACCCAGACCTAAGGATTCTATGTTTCGAGATGGAAGCTGCCGGTCTCGTGAACACAGTTCCCTGTCTGGTGATTCGAGGCATATGCGATTACGCCGATTCACACAAGAACGATGATTGGCACAACTATGCCGCATTAGCCGCTGCCGCGTACGCGAAAGAACTCCTTGATAATTTACGGGCAGAGAAGGTTACGGAGCAACCTGGATGGGGGAGTGTGCTTGATAAAGGTACGCTTATGCGTTAATTGACGTTCCAATGTTCCTGGTTTGGTGTTTACTCCTCTTAGCTTAGAAGACCAATTCCCTTCCCTTATTAGGCATCCATTATATATTATATCTTGTTCCTAATACTCATATGCCTTGGATCTATAGTCAAAGCTAACCTAAATAACCAAATATAGTGAAAGAGACAGTGCAAGAGCTTAACAGAAATTTTCATCAAGGTATGTAAACTAGCCCTACCACTTTCAGTTTGTTACTTGACTCGACTCTGCCTTCTTGCACGGGAATGCCTAACTCTTCATAGACCAGATATGTAGGAAGACAGGCGAGCTTTTTTCTTGGATTGCAAAAGAGAAAGATAAGAAATGGCACGAGGAAACCAATGACGACTATTATTCCAAACGCCATCCTGGAACTGGACATTGGTTTGAAAACCATCCCGAATTCCTGGCTTGTGTTGGTGGCCAGACTCGAACACTCTTATGCTATGGCCTACTAGGAGCTGGAAAGAGTGTGATTGCGTCTATCGCTATTAGATATTTACAGTCGGTACAAAACAGCCACGAGATAAAGTGCGCTTACCTGTACTGCAACTATGCGAGGAGAGACACTGCAAAGCAGACAAATAAGCTTCTGCTTTCCGCCTTGCTTCGCCAGCTTTGCGAAGTTATAGGCCTGCCGAATCTTATCAAGAACCACCCTCGGAACATGTGCTTATCTCTCGAAGATATTTCTGCAGCTTTATCCGATGTCGTCCGCGGTAACACCTGTGTCTTCCTGATAATTGATGGTCTAGACGAATGCTCGCCTAGAGTTCAGGAAGCATTGGTCAAAACGATGGCAGTCGGCTTCATGGCAACATCAAGAGGGGGCTTCCTGCCCATCAAAGGCAAATTTAGATGTGTTCTGTGATGCATATTAAAGCAGCGGCAGAAGATGTACAGGTTTTCATCAAAGACGGATTAGATGACATTACGCATCTTGACAAGAACTCCTTACTGAGGGATTCCATTCCCAGGCGAGTTGCTCAGACGGCTGGTTCAATGCAAGTAACCTGATTTTGTTGGTATCAATGACCTTAAACTGACTCTAATTAATTTAGATTTCTGTTAGCCAACTTTCATCTTGCAAGGCTGAAGGACACCGACACAGAGCAAGACATTCAAGACTGCCTGGACCAGCTTCCTATTGGACCAAAAAGGTTAGAAACAGTGTATGAAGAGGCACTCAAAAGGATAGATCGGTTGGATGATACTCAGCGTCGCCGCACTTACTGTCTGTTGTCATGGGTATTCCATTCTCAACGACATTTGACTCTATGCGAACTTGAGCATGCATTGAGTGTGACGGAAGGAGACACCCAGCTAAACCCAAGAAATATCCCCGATATTCATCAAGTCATTTCCCGATGCGAGGGCCTCGTAGACGTAAATAAGAAATGGGGAGAAGTCAGATTTGTCCATGCTACCGTGCATCAGTACTTTGAGGACAACCCCGACAGATTCGAAAGGAATGGTCTGACACCGAGACATATTGCCCTTGTCTGCGTCACTTACCTATCCTTTGACAAATTTCAAGAACTATGGGAGTCATATGGGGGCATCCCGAAGGCGTGGCCTTTCTATAAGTACGCAGCGCGCAATTGGGGCCATCACACTCGTACGGCTGGTTCTCAAACTGAGACTGACAAGCTGATCCTGGACTTCATTCAGAACGAGGCTAAGGTGTTAGCTGCCGCGAATGCCATGAAACCAGATGGATTCTACGATAATGACGTACAAAACATGAGAGCACTACACATGGCATCGTACTTCGGACTAGGAAGTTTAGTGGAGTTCCTCCTCGATAACGGAGTTGACGTTGATGCGGCCACCATTCACGGCAAAACGCCAATGCACTTTGCAGTTGATAACGGTCGAGAGAACATAGTACGACTACTCATCAAAAGGGGTGCTAGTATCAATTTCCCCTGCCAGGTTGAGCAAGTCCTACATAAGGCCATTAAGACCGGAAATATCAATATTGTCAACGTCTTAATCGAAAAGGGAGCAAATGTGAATGCACTCAATCAAAGGAAGAAGACACCACTATTCTCGGCTGTTAGATATAATGAAGAGGACATGATGAAATTGCTACTCCGTCATGGTGCAGACGTCAATTCTAGCAACACCGACGGGTTCACGCCGTTACATAAAGCATCATGCAGTGGCAATGAACGAATAACGAAATTGCTTATTGAGGCAAATGCTAATCCTTGCGCTCAAGACAAGTGGGGTAAGACGCCCCTATACGGAGTGGTGAGAATGTCATCGTATCATCATTTGAGTTCCAGATCTGGAGATGCACTCAAGGAAATCATAAAGTTGCTCATCAAAGCCGGTGCGGACCCAAATGCTAAGGACAAAGCAGAAGATCCAACTATGCTATGCATTGCAATCAAGAGTGGACAGAGGAATCTGGTTGAAACGCTTCTTGATGCAGGCGCCCATATCGACGACACATCGGCGTTTGACATGGTCGCAATGTGCAAGTGGGATGACGTCGCAATGTGCAAGCGGGATGAGATAGCTAGGATACTACTAAAGCATACCGTTAGGGCTCCAGGGCATATAAGTCGATCGGCAGAGTTAAAGGTATATGTTGTAGCCGTCGAAGGTCAGCGGGACCAAGTGAACTCACTGTTCACTTCATATACGGATATCAACATAAACGATGTATTGATTCAAAGCGCGCTCCTTCGCTCAGCTAAGAAAGGACACAACGCCGTAGTGCAAGCCCTACTTGACGCGGGCGTGAACATCGAGTCCAAGGATGCCACCGAAAAGACGGCATTGCATCTGGCGGCTCGGGAAGGCCACGAAGAGGTCGTACGCATACTGGTAACCTATGGCGCAGACGTTCTAGCGAAGAGTGAGAGTTATCACAGGGCGCTTTATTATGCTATACGGAACGGAAATGATGCTGTGGCTGAAATCTTACTCAACAACGGAGCGAGAGTCGACGAGGAATCATGCTATATATTTTGGGATGGCAAATTTGTCCAGAAGGGAGGAGGAGCCGCTCTAATTCAGGCATCAATGACAAGACAGGTACGGTCGGATATAAACTCCATGAGCGGCAATTTGCATAAGCTGACGCCTCTTTCGGCGGCAGCGGCTAACGGGGATGCGGAAGCAGTAGGTGTCTTACTCGAAGCAGGTGCTAACATTGATGCGTGTGTCGAGTGTGGTTGTGCTAATCATGATCATCCACCTGCAACGGCACTGGATTGGGCAGTGCGCAGAGAACATATTGAAGTAGTGAAGCTTCTGCTTGATAAAGGGGCTGCTGACCTTCATCCGCGGAATGAGTACGGTCATATAGCGCTTTACACCGCAGTCAACCACGGATCCGAGGATCTAGTATCCCTTCTCATTAGGAGAGGTGCTCGTGATGGTGCTGTCAACAATTACCTTAGGACGGCGCTCTATCACGCCATAGAGAGGGGCTACGAGAAGGTTGCTCAGTTGCTACTAGTTAACGGGGTTACCGACCCTAATGTTCGCAATCGCCGCCATGGATGGACAGCGCTTCACCAGTCAGTATATGATGGAAACAAAGCAATGACTAGTCTCCTAATTAGAAGCGGGGCAAACGTCAATGCAAGAGACGACCAGGGTCGAACGCCGCTACATATCGCGGCCCAATGTGAATCTGCGGCTATGGAGACTCTACTCCAGAGTCAAAAAATTGACGTGAACGCCGTGGATAACAACCGGCAGACTCCTCTACACTATGCAGCAAGATGCGGCTTCATTGATGGGGTTAAAGCATTGCTAGAATGTCGGGCAAGTCGCAAAGTAAGAGACCGTAAGGGACGGACACCGGGACTGATAGCTATGAAGAAGGGACATGAGCACTTGGCATCCTTACTCAAAGTAACTACTCTGCAAAACGTTTAAAGAGTAATGTCTAGTCGTCAGGAACCATCAGATTCATTATCATCTACGGACAGCGATTCTCCACCTATACCGAGGCCTGTTACCAGCCGCAGAGAGCGCTCTCCAGACCCTAGCGATGAAGGAGTTGATCAAGCGAGGGCAAAAAGAAGACGAGTAGAATGATGTTTGGAGACCAATATTGACTCAAGCGCACATCCTCGGAGATCGCCTGCTAGGTAGTTTGACAGTAGTGTTGCATGGCGCTGCATCTTATGTTAGAGGCATTATCATTAAGACCTCATAATTTATATATGACTGGGCAGTGCTTACCTAAGCTGCATATCTTGGTAGGTACTTTTATGTGGACGTTCAGAAGTCGCGTTGAACATCTAAAGTTTACTAATCACTTATAGATGATTTCGAACTTTATCTGATCTCGCCTCCCGAGGAATGAGCAACCTGCTGTTACCTATGTGTCAGTATCTACCTACATATGTAGTAGGTACCTAACATGTATCTGAGTTACATTACCACAACTTCTGTCATAGAGCAACTTTCCAGTTTGACCAATGCCTAAACGAAATCTACTCTTCATTAGTCCACTCCCATCCGGCTTATTTACGAGCGCGGCAGCATCGCAAGAAGCGGTCATTCTACCTATGACCAGGCTTTGAGTATTCCCATCCTTCGTCTCGAGTTTCCATATCAATGGACCCGTATATAGGAGGTGGGAGGGTACGTCGCAAGCCATCCAATCAGAATGCTACCGATGTCGAAAGACACCAGAGATGGAGAAGTCTACAATATGAGCCATATTCAATGGAAAGGCGACCCTCCTTCGGTCTATGGTTGAAAGTTACCTGGCTTGACATCCTTACCATGCTAATTGTCGGCGCAATAGCTCTTGGGGTAAGTCTGGAAAGTCGACCGGCAATATAAGGGTACACTAATAGTATGTAGGTCTATAGCCTTCCCCCTCCCGGGATGCGATGGTTCCCCCTTACCGTCATAGACGCACGCACCGGTACTGACACCGGCGAGGTGGTCTACCCTCAATTCGCGTATCCTTATCGCCCTCAAATTATTTCTTCTTGGTTAGACACCGTCCTGGCCATCTTAATCCCCCTCTTCCTCCTCGCCATAATCCAAATCCGCATACGGAGTTTTTGGGATGTAAACAACTTCATCATCGGTTTCATCTATGCCCTTGAAACCTCATCCGCCTTCCAAGTGATGATCAAATGGCTTATCGGTGGCCTGAGACCAAGTTTCTACGAAATTTGCCAACCCGATCCTAGTCTCGCCGCAAACACTTCCCTAAACGCCGTCGGTTATAGACACTATATGTTTACCTCGCAGATTTGCACGGTCGGTCAAGGCCGACCTCTATGGAATGCGATGCAGAGTTTTCCGAGCGGCCACTCGACCACGATCTGCGCCGCGGCGGTGTATATCTTCCTATACCTAAACGCTAAGCTGAAAGTGTTCGCAAACTACCATTCATCGATGTGGAAGCTGGTCCTGCTCTGCTGCCCCATCCTTGGAGCTGCCCTCGTTTGCGGGTCATTGACACTCGACGCATCCCACAACTGGTATGACATTCTCGCAGGCGCTATCATCGGTATCGTGTTTGCGTTTTCAGCATATCGCATGGTATATGCCAGCATCTGGGATTGGCGCGTTAATCATATTCCCTTGAACCGTAGCGCTGCATTCGTCCGGAACGGTGATTGGGAAAGCCCGGATTTGGTGTTCACGAACCGAGTTGGATGGAGAGCGAGTCGTCCAGAGACTGAGAAACAGACATTACCAGGACCTGTTACAAGAAATGAGAATACGGGTAGCCGTTCTGGAGGGCAACCTACCGAGGTTAACAACGGTGGTACTGCGGGACCTAGTGCTGGAAATGATGAGAGATAACCTCAGTCCCCATTCGGCATTCTGGGTAAAGACCTAGCCACCGGTATGAGTTGGAGCCTACACTACGATGACGACTTAGAGAATCGAATCGTCAATGGTGGATTCACTAGCATCAAGTTAATATTTTAATGTATAAATTTTATTCCTTGAAATGCTAGGTCCATTGTGACTTCTTATTGGAAGCGCATGCACTTAGGCTGATTTGCTTCTGACTGGTGTTGTTGAAGCTGATACTCTCCAAACGATGAATTGCCACCAAAAAAATCCTAGGTACTAGATGGGAGGTTACCTAGCATTCTCTTTTGTTCTCTTGGAGACTACCTATTCCTCATAAATCCGAGAGGTCAGTTTCTAATTTATGTGGTACGTGTAAGTCGTTTGTTGGCTTGCCTAGCACCCAAGAAGAAACCCCTGAATATGTATTAGTCAGCAATGCATTCTGCACCCCCTTACAGAGCACCATGATTGACACAATACAATTATTTCTTAATATTTATGGGCGAAACTTTATAAATCCATAAAGAAATAAAGGTTAGACAATTTGCTGGGGTACCCCGCTATTAGCTCTACATTATCAGCTTCTTGCTAGGTAAGATGACAAAGTGTAGTCCAAGACAACTAGCGACAGCTTTGTCACCGCAGCTCTTTGTACTATGACAACCTCGTTTCCCAGGTACCCATTCTCTTAAGTGAATTTCTGCGCACTGGTCACAACTTTTATACCACCACCAGGTAAATAATCTAGGAAAACAGCAATGGGTGTTGAAAGCAAACGTCGACACCAACAAAAATTATAAAACCATCGATCAATATCTACCCACCTAGGAAGTTACTTTTAACTCGTTTCGTTTCCCAGCGGAAACCTTCAGAGGTTGTCCTTGCATCGCATCTTTCCTACCTCCTATCTCCTACACTAGATTCTCCAACGGGAAACAATGCGACAAAGATGGCGCCCACTATCGACATCATCCGTCACGCAGAAGCGCACCACAACATCGCAGGCCCCGACATTCCAGACCCGCGCCTAACCCATCGAGGCCTGCGGCAGTGCCTCGGCATGCAAGCCCGGTACAAGAAGATAGACAGCGGGGCCAACATCACGCACATCATCTCGTCTCCCCTCAGACGCGCCATCGAGACCAGCCTGCACATCGCGGAGCTGGCGCAGGACGGCTCCGCAATCACCCTCAACCCGCACTTCCAGGAAGTCAACGCCACGCCCAGCAGCACGGGCACCGCCGCGTCGCAGCTGCTGGCCCAGTACCCCGGCGCCGGCCTCGACGCCGCGCGCGTCGACGAGCACTGGTACCGCAAGGGCCCCGACACGCCCTTCGCGCCCGACGCCGAGAAGCTCGAGACCCGCGCCCTGCGCGCCCGCTGCTTCCTGCTCGCCGTCGTGCGCGACCTGGCGACGCGGGGGCGGAGCGACGCGCGCGTCGTCGTCGTCACGCACGGCGAGTTCGCGCACTGGCTTACGAACGACTTCGCGGGCACCGGGTACGCGCGCAATTCTAGCTGGCACACGACGGAGATCCGGTCGTACCGCTTTGAGAAGTTGGATCCCGGGGCCGGGGACGAGGTCCCGCTTGTTGAGACGAGGGAGAGTTTGGAGAGGAGGGGGCTTGATGCGCCGGTGCTGGTGACGGATGAGGAGAGGGCGGAGTTGAAGAGGATTGCGACGATTCGTGTTGTGTCGTATGCGACGAGCTATGCGGAGAAGGAAAGAAAGGAGCGCGAGGCGAGGGTGCTAGCGGAGGATGAGGAGTGGGAGGAGGTGGGTGACGAGGAGGCGAATAAGGAGAATACGGCGCCGCCGCCTGGGTCGCATCCGATTCCGCGCCGTAGACACAGGCACGGGCCGTCTTCGCTTAGTCGAAGTTCGTGATGATTCGGTTGCTCCACTACGTAGCATCGTGGTGGGATAAACCTGGTACCTACATAGGTATTCAAATGAAAATGCCTTAACGTCTACGCTACCTAGGTAATCGGTTTTATTAATTACTTACAGTAATACCTCTACTTTTGTATACCCCCGAGTGCATGTCTCACTGATAGACATGTGGCGTTGTACTACCGATCAACCACTTTCCGAAATAGGGATCCGACCCATTTCTCATTGGCTGCCAGGATTACCGGGGGCGCATCCTATCCTGCGGGTAGCCGTTACGGTTATCTACAGTTATAACCGTTTTATACCCAAAACCCCCTGGAAGTCCAGTGAATAATAGCCACGGACGTATATATAACTTGATAATCACATTCTTCCTCTTTTATCAAGAGGAACTTTTCTTTATTTTAACTTTTCTTTATTTTATGATTTTTCTCTCTCTAGTACTGTCACCTTGTCGCATCCCAAAACACACGTAGGGAATTTTTACTTTTACCATTGTCGCTCAGTCGTAACATCGCCGCGCGTTGTGGCTCTGGAAAATACCAAGGCCGGTGCTCTGCGGGTTAGCTTTAAGAAGACGCGTTCGGCAATTTGCCGATGCTGCTCAGCAACATTTCTCTGTCCTCCATTATTAATGGCTGGAGTAGACCGGCCATCAGGATTGCACTGGGAGAAGATTCGAAAGAGCTCGCTTCCACAAGGGACCGATAACTTAGGCCTATTCATCGAAGATTAAGATGGGTCTACGGTCGAACTACACCCGTGCAACTCACTTTCTCCTGTCAACCAGATAGGCTGATGGAGCTCCAGTAAGGAAACGTGAGAGTCGAAGCTCAAGAGCAATTACCATTGGCGATACATAACGCGGTGCCCATCTTCGCCTCTCGATGCGTTTGTGGCAGAGAAGCTACTGCGTGAATTTCAATCCAAGTGCGAGTGAACCGGAACTGGTATGTAGAGACGAAGCACGACTTCATGATTTTTAATACTCTGTTTTTCCCCTCTTCCTAGAGTATAAGGGGTTATTTAGACTGGCATTTCTTGAGCTGGTCGGCTAATGTCGCCGAGTACAAGCTGCAAGAAGCCGGTTGCGTTTGACACTTGTTGATGACGTGGTTTAATAAACCTGATATCCAATCCCTGCAATAGATTTAGGGGTGGCAGTATCTTGCTTCAAGGGGGGAATCAATAGTAGCGTGTCGTCCCACGGGACGACCTTATATTCAGTAATTGAACGGAGGCAAGGTGCTCATGATCTGTACCATCATAACATAAAACATTACGCTGGACATAGGTTATGGTTGAAATGGCGTCTCTCATAGATACACGGCTTGTATGATATGATGAAGGGCCGCGAAGCGTTGAATAGAAATGGTGCAGGGTACAGAATACACGAATTTGCTCTTAAATCTTTTGAAAGATCTCAGTGATATGCTCAAATAGCTATCTTCCGACCAGATATGCTAATAGAAAGTGATCGTCTATGTTTGCGCTCGCAGAAGCGGAAAAGGGGTATATGAACGCCATGATACCCACCGCGTCCGCTAAACTTCCTGACCTTCCAGACGAAATGTTGTAATAGCATAAAAAGAGAGGAAGTACCGCCAATATATCCAGAAATTATTATGTTAGAGTAACTAATATCCATTCTCGCCGTTCTCCAAGCCCGACCCAAGCCGCTTCATCAACTTCAGCAGAGCAGATCCGAGAAGCAACGTGCTTAACAGGGTCCTCCCACTCAACAAGCAAAACATTTAGTCTCCTCTCCGCTTTCAAGACCTTAAGATTATCATCGTTATGCTTGCGCGACACTACGATAAAAGACTGTTTCCCAGACGGTTTCTGCATCTGGCTGGGCCAGAAAGGCTTCAATTCCCCGACCTCTTCTCGCGCGTCATTGTACATCTTGCCGTCCTCAAGGTCGAGCACCGCGTGGCTCGTCCAAAATAGCAGACGCCCCGAGTCTCTGAATTCCCCATCTTCATCTGTATGCAACAGGCTAGGATCGATCGAAGTATCCCCCTTCCAACCCGCCGAAGTGGTCCGATCGATGCCGCACATATCAAGCTTTAGAACAGACTTCAATTCCTGCTCTTTTGCTGAGCGCAATTGAGCTGCTTTCCCATCTAGACCGAGCTTCATAATCTCAAGCTCCGGCTCAACTAAGACTTGTTTCGGCGCCGCGCGCGTCACGCCCAGGACATTCTTCCACCCGAGCCAAGACCAACTCGGAAACCGCACTCTATGCACCGTCCCATCCCCCGCTCTCACACGATGCATCTCACATCTCCGCTCCGGCAAATCCTGCTTCTGCCACTCGTGGTCGCGATACCAGACGATATTCATCCAAGCCAGACTCTCATCAAACCGCGTCGAGACCGAGTGGCCCCAGTAAAACTCATGGCCGGTGTTAACCGCGACCCTCCTCAGCACGCCCGTAAACGCGTCCAGCACGTCCGCCTGCACGGTAAGCTTCCTCGTGCAGTAGCTGCGGATCATGGAATCCAGCTCCCCGAAGGCGAAGTTCTGGCCCCCGCCCACTTCGCCGAAGACCCGGTGCCCGGAGAGCACGTTGAAGATGATGTCGTCCGGGGCGACGGGCGTGGGGAAGGCTTCGAAGGCGATGGTCTCGCAGCACTTGGACGTCTCGCAGCTCCAGAATACTTGGTCGGTTGTGATGATGAGGATTCGCGGGGAGCAGAGACCTTCTTGGAATGTCCAGCCGCGCGTTGTCCATCGACTGTTTCCGTAGCCTTGGTCGAGGTGGAGTACGTCCATTAGACTGAGGTCTTGGGCAACGCGGGCTATCTTCTGGTTGATGCTGCGGCTGGTGCCGTTGATTCCGGCTAGACCGTCGAGCGCCGTGCCGCCTGCTGCTACGATCGTTAGAGCTGCGCGGGAATACACGAGGTCCATTTGTGGGATCTGGACCGCTTTATCGGCATCCGAGTCCTGGATGACACATAGTCGGTCGACCCAGAGGTAGTCCACGCCCATTTCCTTAGTCAACACCATTGCATCGACGATGGTCCTTGGCAACGTTTGCTCCTCGAGGTAGCCAGGCACCTTCATAACTTCAAGCTGACCCAGGAGCGCCTGGAACGGATCTTTCTCATCACCCCAGACGTAACTCAACGCAAAATAGGGGCACTCGTCCGGCGCCTCAACAATACACAGCGTCCGCACATCAATCAACCTCAACCTCTCAGGCCACGACGTATCGGCCGCCAGCCAAGTCGGCCTACTGCACTTCTCTGTATGTTTCTCATGACAAGTCCTATACCAGCGCCTAAGCAACCCAACACTAACCTCCTCCCCAACCACCCTCCCCGACGGAAACACCGCAAACGGCTCCTCGTCCGTAGCATACTTATCCACGCTCGGAACCGGGTGTAGACAAGGATGTAACTGAACAAACGTCTGCGCCGTCCACTCGACCGGGCTGATACCCGCTTGCACCAGCAACCTATTCAGACTAACATTCCTTCCCCTGCCCCTCCCACTACCCTCCGCGTCCTTATCCCGTCCAACGCGTATCCCCTTCGCCGCCAACTCGTCCAACAGCCCCTGCAGCACCAACCCGTTCGTCTTGTACCCGGGCTTCAGGCTCTGGTACATCGTATCCAGCGCCAAGCCCGTGTTCGCCAGGAACTGGCTCTGCAGCGAGTCGCCGAGCTTATTCCTCCCGCACCAGAACGCGCATGTAATGCCCTCGGGCTGGTCCAGGAGCTCGGCGATGGGCCACCAGGGCTTGAGGGTTTGGGAGGCGGTTGCGATTAGACTGCATAACTCGCACGAAGGTGAGGATCGGATGAGTCTGAGGTTGTGCTCGCCGCGCTTGAACGTGCCGTTCTTCAAGGGTAATTTGTGCGCGTTGAAGAGCCCCGTTGTGAGTTCCGCCCAGTCGATCGAGCGACAGAAGGCGCAGAGATGGAGGGAGTCGTCTGTATCGTCCATGATAATTCCTATATTCAAAAGGATGGAAATAAGTGCTTACAGTAAACTCTAACTTCTCTTTTCTGGGGATTCAAGAGCCCCGATGTGTATTTTCTACAGTGCGATTATTAATAGTTACCATTCTCTCGACTTCTGTTTAGAGAAATGAAGCTAGATATATACCCCAAGGTGAGGTCTAGCGGACCTTGGGGGAGGGAAAACTCAGCTGCGGCTGAGGATTTCATGTAGGAACATTCTCAACGCTAGCGTCGATTGAGGCGGTGTTGTTTGCTAGCTATAAGGCGATATCGTATATCTCTAAATGCCTATAAAGCTTCAGTATGGCTACATCAGATATCATTAGCGTCACGAATTTAGTATAATCAAGGTTATACTGCGAACTTCGTGAAACGGTGTGGGAGGAACCACCTATAGGGAAAGCATGTCAGCCATTAGCGCAGATGATATAGCAGAATGCCAAGCGGCCTAGACCTTTACCCTGTATCAATAGTATCCCATTGCACTTATAGCTCTAACTACCTAAGTGCTCTTCTTCTTGCTCTTCGCCTTCCCTTTACTCTTCTCCTCCCCTTTACTCTTCTCCTCCGCATCCCCATTCGTCTTCGGCTTCTTCAAAGACTTGGGGTCGAGACCACGTTTTCTCATAGCATTGTGCTTCGCCCGCTCCATATACTTCTCATCTTCCTCATCATCGAAACCGCCAAAGTCATCCTGCTGTCGAGCACCCTCAGGCGTGTCCTCGTCCGCCGCAATAGGTGTCTTATCAATAACTTCGCTCGCTTCTGCTTGAGGTGCTGAAGAGGCTTGACCAGACTTGTCCTTGATAAGGTTGGCGGGCGTGGGGCCGATCTTGTGGAACTTGGCGACGAAGAAACCATCCACGTTGTAGGTGTGCGGGTAGTATCGGCGTGTGAGGCGTAGGCTCGGATCGAACTTCTTGCCCATGTAGCTAGTGAAACCCTCCTTGCCGAAGGGGAGATCGGTGGAGACGAGCTTGACGTTTGGTCGCTTGTTTAGCGCATATTGGACCACTTGTTCGTTCTCTTCCACAGTGACCGAACATGTGGAGTAAACTAGATAGCCGCCAGTCTTGCTGGCATGATTGACCGAGTCGATAGCTGCTAGGAGTAGTTGCTTTTGTGTGTGCGGTAAAATCATGAAATCCTTCTCGTCCTTGTTGGTCTTTACAGAGGGATCCTTGGCAATAACTCCCGTACCCGAGCAAGGAGCGTCAAGGAGTACTCTATCGAAGCCACCCATAACTCTCGGAAACTCTCGGGCATCGTAGTTGCAGACGATAACGTTGCGAGCACCGAGACGGTGAATGTTACCAATAAGACCCTTAGCACGAGCCTTGCTGGGATCGTTGGCAAAGATGCAACCGGTGTTCTTCATCATAGCAGCCATGTGCGTTGTTTTACCACCGGGAGCAGCAGCCATATCCAGTGCTCGCTCGCCTTCCTGCGGGGCTAGAGCCATAACGGGCAAGAATGAAGAAGCGGCTTGGAGAATGTAATGACCAGCGAGATATTCAGGCGTGGCACCAAGGGGCACATTGCTCTCGAAGATCTGTAATCCAACCTTGGACCACTTGCCGACAGGTTCTAAAGTGACGCCGCGATTTATAAGGGCTTGAGCCAAATCTCGGCGGTGTGTTCGTAAAGTGTTTGTTCGGATAACGACAGGTCTCGCCGTTTCGTTAGCCTCGAAAAATGCGAAAGCTTCCCGGGGCGGGAATAGGTTCATGAGCTTCTCAGCAAGATACTCCGAGTAACCATAGTAGGCGCAAATGTCTTTCAACAATTGGCTGGTGTATTCGGATCGATTTCTGCCATCTTGCGCCAGATTCGAGAAGTCGTCTAATACACGGATTGTATCCGTAATCCTCGTTCTCAGCAGTTGTAGATCGGGTGCTAAGAGTGCCTTCGTCTTCAATGCTAAATCGTCTTCTTCCTCGTCGTCGAGAACGTGCGGTGGTTCAATGTTGGTCTGAAGTGCCGCTTCCTCCAATTCGAGCTGCGCATCAGCTGCTTCTTGTGCCATTTGCTCGTCCAATTTCCTTGATAGACCAGCGATGTTGGCTGCAGTCAGCTTCTCTTCAGCATCTGACTCGTCTTCGTCTTCCGAGAACATCGCTTTACGGTCATTTTGGGCCTCTACATCTGAATCGTAGACCTCGGAAGGTGGATCCTCGTCACTTAGGAAGTCGTCTCCAAAACCAACGTCCATTACGTCGCTTAAGTCTTGCCTTGAGAGTTTGGTAATAGGAGCATCGGAACCATCGTCTGAATCGGAATCTGACTCCGATTCGGACTCCGATGCGGGCTTTGGTGCGGGTTGCTTCTTCTTCGACTTCGTATTTTTCTCGTTCTTTTTAGGGGCTAATACGCCATTGGCACCATTGGACTTGGAGGTCGATTTTGTTGCAGTTTTCTGCTTCTTCGCCAGTGGATACTCTCGAGAGCGCGACGGCGGCGCCGAATAGACGACAGCATCGTCGACGAACGAATTGACTTTTCGCTTGAGGTTTGCGAAATGCTCCTCCGACAGTGGCTCAGGAGGGCCCTGCTTCTTCATGCGACGTCCGACACCCATTTTTGCAGATGGCGACGTTGTATGAAAGAAGTTTAGGGTATCGCTATAATTTATTGTTCAAGATGCGCCTTGAAAATTCACGACATTCCGCCGCTGAATTGACCTTGAACTTTTTTTTTCTGGCGATAAGCTGATAGTGATGCTGGTATCCACTTGGACAAGGAAGCGACGATGCAAGATAAAGTGGGACTTGAGGTACATAAGTACATGGACATATGACCTCAGCTATGGAGGTTCAGCCACAAGGTGGGACAGATTCAGTGGCGTAACTATTGAATGTGGGACATCACGATCGTCACCAAGGAGTTGACTGCAGCTTCAGCCGTTTGCGACTTAACTTTCTCACCTTCAACAGCTCCCAGAGCCCCCTAAAGCGAAAATGACAGAAGTCTCATTTGCCAGGTCTTTTCTTACCGCTCTGGACTCTCGTCCAATCAAGCTATCCCCCGATCATGTTGAAGATCCGAAGTCCTACCCAGCGCGCAGCGCCGTACGTTTCTCAAGAACAGAATATCTGATGTCTTACTACCCCGCTAACTCGCAACAGTACATACTCCCCAAGATGCCCAAAACCATGAGCAAAACCAAGCCTCATGCTGTCGCCCCGGGCCAGGAACGAAGCTTTACCGTCCTCGTCAAGTCTCTGCGCAACCCGCCGCTAGATGTCAAGCTTACCTCCCAAACGCCGAATACCTCCATTCTAGACATAAAGGCCTCGGTGTCCAAAGACTCGGGAATACCAGTGGATAAGATGAAGATTCTGTACAAGAAGAAGCCTACCCCGGATAGTAAGGTATTGAAGGACCTGGCGGGCGAAGACGAGACGAGTATCGAGTTCTCCGTCATGGTTATGGGTGGTGCCGCGGCTATCAAGAGTCCACCTGCACATCCTGATGTCGCACAAGGACTAAGTGGCGGCGAGGTTTTAGAGACGAAAGAGTTCTGGGATGATCTAAAGGGATTCCTACTACAACGCATACGAGATGAAACGACGGCTGGGGAGCTAGCAAGCACATTCCAGGCTGCCTGGAAGGCAAGATCATGAATTACGGAATAAGCAAGCAAACGGTCAGCATGGCGAATGAAAAACCAAGCAGACTATATACCTAGAGGTCTTGATGGATAATAAAATCCCTAATGAATAATGGCATAGACATTTGTTCAGGAGCGTGCAAGGAGAATGATCTACATTCCAATATGGCTTTTTTTCGGCTGTGTGGTGTATACCCTTGGCCAACATCAAATCTGGAGAATTCATGTCATGCCTCTAAAGGAAAAAAACGACTAAACTGGCCCTACTCCATAGTGAAATGGTAGGGGGGGTTTTATGTCCATCCTGCGGTTTCGTAGACATCGTGGATCCTTGGCACGCGAGTGCCCCATTAACTAGTAATCCTCAGCAACTTTCCTCGCTGTTGCTCCTAAAGTGTTCCAAGGTCGGATATGCTTAACCAGCCAAGCCTTTGCTGACCACCTTAAGTACCGTATCGTATTCGATGTCGTCCTGGTCGTTGGCCTGCAGTTCGTGGGCAATACCATTAAGAGAGCGCTTCAGCGCCTCCTTCGACGAGGCGTACACCATCTTGGCCTTTTGGGGAAGTTAGCGGTATATACTCTTATGCTTTTAAGGGGTTGAGTTATACTGACCATGACGTTAGCATCATCGGGAGACCATGCGATGAAAGTGATCTTGTTTCTATATAATATTAGCAAGATAATCCTGTTTTATTACATTCCTAAGAATTACTAACCGCGAGCCTTCTCCGCTGGCAAGGCTGTATTCAAAATCGTACACAGCGTATCGGGGTCCCTTTCCAACAGCACCCTAACAGCGACTTGTCAGGACAATGTCCGAAACGTAATACTATCGCAATATTCTACTACTTACGGACTTGCTCTTGGTGGTGGCGCTGACGAGCTTCTCGCGGAAAGCTTCCCAGTCCTTATCCGCCGAGGCTTCCTCAACGACAATCTCTCGGTTGTCGTCTGACAGCTTGAAAACGATGTACTTGTACTTCTTCGCAAGCTTGAGGTCGTTGTACGCAGTGATGCAGTCCTGCGAGACTGTCGCTCTGTGTGAACCCGCAAATATTAGTTCCTCTTTCTCTAACTCTAACTACTCCCAACTCCCAGAGTCATGCATCGTGAAGTTTGCATAATGACGCGCGGACGGCGGTCGCGGATAGAGAGGCAAAAAAACGGGAGGAGTTATCAGCTGGGTAGAGGGATCACGAACCCTGATTGAGACTACCACATTTCACCATTAGCAGGTAATTAGGAATGATTGGATTTTGAAGGCTTACCATTTTGGCGGTCTGCTCGAGCTACGATGGTACCAAATGAGAATCCGAAGACGAACTACGATGTGGGTTGGTTAGCGGGGTTCGAGAGAGATAGATCGTTGAGGAGGTGAAAGAGTCGCAAGTAGATTTTAAGAGGTAAGAATGATGCTGTATCAATGCGGTACTAACATTAAATAGATGTCTATTGTATTCTCACGAGCGAGAAATTCTCGTGATCAGGTTTGTAAGAACTTTGGAAGTTTCGGTGTTCGGGAGGGTACGGTAGAAAGGAGAGAGATTCCAAGGGTTGGAAAGATGTAATGTTTTTAGTGTGGGCACTATCGCAATGGAGGGGAAGGTCGGGCTGCGGGCTGATGAAAAAAAAGAGGCACGCACGACGAAGCAGAGAAATCAACACAGCTGCAACAATAAAGCCTTGGTGGGGTTCAATGTTTTGGGGAGGGGTTTTAGGCGGGTGGTAGGGGTTGTAGGGGGGAACGGGGGAATAATGAGCAGAATGAGGGATAAGGACGGCTAAGGGGGGTAAGGGGGGTAAGGGGGGTTGTTTATTAGTGGGGACTAGGCCGACCAAGTGGGAGAGATGGAAGGAGGAAAGTGGGCAGTTGTTGGCCATGAAATACGGTTGTGTGATGCTTGCTTGCAGCTCTAAGGACGAACTTTTTCTTGGCGGTAACTGGGTCACCGCAACAAGATTTCGTAATATTGGTACTCGACTCTTCACGTGATCCCTTTTATATTACAATAGTACATCGAACTTTTGGCTTCAGCACCGCCAATACCGCTGCTTAACCTGCTAACCAGTAACCTGCTGCCTCTAATATTACAGGATGAGCCACAAGGATTCGTCATCGCGCATCATAATAAGGCATCACCTTAGAAACCAGGCACGACGTACTGTGGTAAGATAAACACACAATAAACACACAATCTTGGAACTTGGTGCCTAACAAGGCATCAATGAAATGAAGGAGGCAACCGTATTATCAATCGTGTCGATTATGATCATCTACCGAGAGGTAGGTAGTTTCGTGACTCGTAGTTCTAGTATACAACTCTTTTTTTTACAACGCCGCTCAGGATATCAAGAGGTATGAACAAAGTATAGGAAGAGGGTAGAGGGTAGGTAGAGGGGAGAGATAAAAAGGATATGAGAGCCATCATGTAATCCGTCCGCATAACACCGAGGTCAATGCTCCCGAACCCAAACTTTTTTGATACATGACAAGAGAAGGAAGACGTTCATTCATAGACGTTTTACATCATTCCTCCCATGCCACCCATTCCACCCATACCGCCCATGCCGCCCATGCCACCGGCAGGCTTCTCTTCCGCAGCCTCAACGATGGCGACCTCGGTGGTGCCTAGTAGCGACGCGACACCGCTAGCATCGACTAGACCGGTTCGGACAACCTTAAGGGGGTCGAGGATACCAGCTTGGATCATATCGACGTACTCTCCCTTAGCGCTGTCGAAACCCTTGTTGAAATCGTTGCCGAACTCATCCATGAGCTTACCAACAACTACAGAGCCTTCTAAGCCGGCGTTTTCGACGATTGTTCGGGCCGGTCGGGTGATGGCGTTCTTGACAATGCTGACACCGAGCTGCTGATCGAAGTTGCCAGGCTTGACATCCTTCAGAGCGTTGCTGGCAGCCTTGAGGAGAGCAGTGCCACCACCAGGCAGAATACCTTCTTCAACGGCGGCACGGGTAGCGTTCAGGGCATCAACGAAGCGATCCTTCTTCTCACCAACCTCGACCTCGGAAGAACCACCGACCCTGATAACGGCAACACCACCGGAGAGCTTAGCAAGACGTTCCTGGAGCTTCTCCTTCTCATACTCGGAAGTGGTGGGGTCAGCCATGACGCCACGGATTTGTTCGCATCGCTGAGCAATGGAGTCCTTGCCGCCCTCACCGTTAAGGATGATAGTATCCTCCTTAGTAATGGTGATGGAGCCAGTGGAGCCGAGCATGTCAGGAGTGGCCTTCTCCAGCTTGATGTCGAGCTCATCGGTGAAGACGGTACCGTTGGTGAGGACAGCAATATCGCCGAGGATCGACTTTCGGTTGTCACCAAAGCCGGGAGCCTTGACAGCAGCAACCTGGAGCTGACCACGTAGCTTGTTCAGAATGCAGACAGCCAGAGCCTCGCCTTCAATATCCTCGGCAATGATAACGAGAGGTCGTCGCAGTTGAGTGGAAGCCTCGAGAGCAGGAATGATATCTTGTACAGCAGAGATCTTCTTCTCAGAGAGGAGGATAAGGGGCTTCTCGAACTCGACTTTTTGCGCCTTGGCATCTGTGATGAAGTAGGGAGAAACGTAGCCACGGTCAAATCGCATACCCTCAGTGACTTCTAGTTCATCGTTCATCGTCTTTCCCTCCTTGACGGTGATAACACCTTCCTTGCCGACCTTCTCCATGGCATTAGCAATCAACTTGCCAATGTGGGTATCTCCGTTAGCGCTAATGGTGGCGACCTGAGCGACTTCCTCGCTGGTCGTAATATCCCGCTTATTCTTCTGGAGGTACTCAACGACGGCATCGACGGCCGCTTGAGTACCACGTCGCAAATCCATAGGGTTGCAGCCGGCAGCGACATTCTTAACGGTTTCAGAAAAGATAGCCCTGGCCAGTACAGTGGCGCTTGTAGTTCCGTCACCAGCAGATTCGTTCGTCTTAGATGCGACATCTTGTAATAATTTTGCGCCGAGATTTTCGAATTTATCTTGCAAGCTGATAGCTTTTGCGACGGTAACACCATCTACAAATGTCTCAAGTCAGAATTTGCGATCGAAGACATATCTAAATCGAAGACATACCCTTTGTGATCTTGGGAGAGCCGTAGCTTGACTCGATCAAGACATTTCGGCCTTTGGGACCAAGTGTGGTGGCAACGGCTTTAGCGAGCGTCTCGACACCAGCAAGCAGAGAAGCCCGGCCTTCAACACCAAACTTCAATTCCTATAATAGGCATAGTCAGTAACATGTATAGGATGATATTACAAGATTCCGGTGAGATTGAAGCTGTTAGGAGACCATATACCAACCTTGTGCGCAAATCGAACCTGTTGCGAGAGTCCCGCAGCAGTTCGGTATTTCTTAGCAGTAGCCGATGATAGGACCGAAGCCCGCGCTCGGGAGGAAAGAGCCCGCTGCATTATGACAGTGGTATATGTGAATTAATTAAGTAGAGAAATGAAGTAGATACCACCACCTGGCTACAAATCACAGAAGGAAGAAGAGAGGTTCCTTAAGAATTGTTTAGGTGAAGGTGGTGAAAGTTTGAATTTGGAGACCTGGGGAAGAAAAGCTCCAAAAAATTGAATCGTCCAATGACGAAGGAACCGGCCAGAAGCCGAAGCTCGTGGGCGCTAACCCATTACGGTATAGCGGTACCGTAGCTAACGACCCATAGAAATTCGTAGAACTTAATTGCTTCAATTCCAGACTCCGATGTTGTGTTTGGTCGATTTGATTCAAAGTGTATTGTATCAGACATTAGATTGGCTATACAATCGGCGCCTATTTCTAATTATAATTGCACCTATTCGTTGCAAGAATGTCAATCTATAGGATGCTGCTATGCAGGTGCTAGGTAGGTCTTTAGGATCAGGTACCTAGTAGGTAATACCTACATCAAGAGGTACATAAACAAAGACGCAGGTGGTTTATTAAGCTATTAAACTTCCAGTAAGCTTCGGCTAGATTTGTCAGCGTCAACTCTGTCTTGTACTACCAGTTTACTACTTGGCTAACAATATTCCTGCTCAAACAAGGGATTGATATGTAAGTTAGACGGACTATAGCGGCTTTTAGAGCGTATTGCCGTGATTACATATACGCATTTAAAGAGCATATAACAAACTCGGGGACAGACAGTTAGGCTTTATCAACATCTCATTCTCTGTAGCTTCCCTAGATCCGCTTCACTCTTCATCATGGCAACAATCGCAAAGACTGTTGTGGCCACCGGGGCCACTTCAGGCCTGGTAGGCTAGACTTCCAATAGCACTCTTGGCTAATAAGCATTCTAACTCTTCTATCTTGTATCTGTAGGGGTTCGAACTAGTTAAACAGCTTCTTGCACAGACACAACCGTATAAGTTCATCCTCGGAGCCAGGGATGCCAAGACAGCCCAAGCAGCCTTTGACAGTCTCAAATATGACAACAGTAGACACAATTTGACCATCTTTCCGCTAGAGTTGTCGAATCTTAAGACTGTCAAGACCTTCTCTCAGCTAGTTCTTGATAAACTGGGACAAGACAAGGTCGACTACTTATTGCTTAATGCAGCAATAGCTATAAATGCCGACGAGCCTGGTCCCCACGGTTCGAAGTGGAGTGAACCCTACATTGTCAACCACCTTTGTTAGAAGCCATCCCGCAATTCGCCAAACACCACTGACAGGTACAATAGCCCAGCATTATCTTATCCATCTGCTTCGAGAGAAGTTAGAGGCATCGCGGTCGCGTATTGTAGTTGTCTCCAGCGGAGCCGTGCGAGGGGTACAGGATCTCAGTTTGCTAGATAACGACGTCAAAGGTGCTTCAAAGACGGAGCGCAGTGTTTACAGCGCCACTAAATTCATCCAGCTCCTCGGCGCTCACTGGTGGCGCCGCCAACTCCAAGGCAAATGCGATGTCGTTGCCGTCTCTCCTGGTTTGATTCCCGGCACTGGACTTCCTCGAGGCACCAGCATGCAAATGCCTACGAACCATCCAGATGCCAAGACCGTCTCTGAAGGTATGTTCGATATCAACTATTCTCATATTTCAGGAGTCCCGGAAGACTTACACAATTACTAGGCGCTCAAAGTATCCTCCGTGCATTCACACGGGATGATTTCCCTGAAGACCCCGACCAGATCTTTTTGACAAGCTGGGGCGAATGGTGGTCCAAGGATGTTTACAAGCTCAGTTTGGATAAGAACCTACAGGACAAGTGGTGCCCGAGTAAGGGTGAGATCGAAAAGGAAGAAGGCTTGACTGCGTAAAGTTCGCAGTCCGAATTGATAGGTTATTCGGGACCGAACGTTCTCGGCGATCTGGGCAGCACAGTTCCACAGTACCGGGGCCCATTCGGATACGGACATGGAGACATACGGCATCCACTTCATATGCTCAAATCCGTCCCCAATCCAGCTCATTACACCTGGTACCATTTACTTGCGGTATGCAAGTCAGTATAATTGCCCGATATGAATTTACAATATCTGTTTTCGATTACATCCGACACATCCCATGATTTTCCTGAGTGCTGGTAACAAAGCAAATGTCTAAGATGACCCGAATATAGTACAGTATTCCCCTATAGCCAAACACAATAATCCACCTCCATTACTTCGCTAATCTGCCATCGCTCCCTTGCCCCTTCAATCATATCCATTATCTATATCTTATACCGTAACCTTGTTCTTAGTTAGATTAGCTTTCTGAAGAAGTTTTCCTAACGTTATTTTTCGACATCCGGCGCCGTTTTCGATGGTTCTTTCATTCCGTACTCCGTCTCTAGCTCAGTTCGCAGCGGAATCTCCTTCTCGATGAAAACCAGCAACGCCGCAAGGCCACCAAATGCGACAGCTACCTCGAAGACCAGCTTTAGCGCATCCCGGTACACGCTAATGACCTCGCCTTGTAGCGGCTGAGGAAATGACTCCACGAAACTTGCCGAGCCGTACTGGTACGCACTGTGATCATCATTGTTAACCATACCGTCTCCAAACATTGCTACGACGTTTGAAATGTGTGAAAAACTTACTCGCCGTTGGATAGGAGCTCGCGCACCCCTAAATCAGAGACCCGTGGTAATAGCTCATTGATGCGATTATTGAAGATAACACTAGGGATAGCAACACCCCACACATTACCAAACGTGCGTATGAAGCACCAAGTCGCCGTGGCGGCCGCCTGGTCCGATTCGGGCGCAGGTGCTTGGAAAGCCGGTAACTGGGTGTTGAGCACCATGCCCGCTCCAAGCGCTGCGACCGACTGAAACACGCCCCATTCCGCTCTTGAGGAGTTTTCGTCCAAGTAGGCGAATAGACCGATGCCGAGAGTAAAGACCGCAAATCCGGCGAAATGTAAGGGTCGGTATTTTCCCCAGCGCGAGAGAGCGATTGCTGATATAGCGGCGCCGGGAATGCCGACTAGGGATTGGGGCAGAAGCGCGACGCCGGAGTAGGATGGGCTGTAGCGTTTTACTGCTTGGAAGTATACGGGCATGAAATAAACGATCTGGCGTGCGCGATGTGAGTAAAACGGTGGTTGACGATATTCGGATGTAGTGGATTAGAAAACCACTTACCCAGTAGAGCAGAGCAGAGTTGAGGAATGTGTTGATGCTCACGATGACCGAAGTGCGATTATTAAACAGCCGCGGCGGCATCACGGGCTCGGCCGACCATCCCCATTTCTCATATATTCCGAAGAGCCCAAAGCCAAAAATACCAAGGATAAGGGGTACTAGGACGTTCCACGAACCCCATGGATATTGTACTCCACCAACCGTCAGGGCCCACAGGATAGCAACCGTCGACGCCATCAAGATGCCGTTCCCCACCAAGTCAAGGCGCTTCAGCTTCTGCATGAACGACATTTCCTTGCTGTAGTTGACGTGGAGAGAGAAGTATAGCATGACCAAGGAGACGCCTCCGACCGGGAGATTCATGTAGAAGACCCATCTCCAAGTGGTCACTTCCACGATCGAACCGCCGATGAAGGGACCCAATGTGGTGCCAATGCCGTAGATAGCTAGGATTACGGCTATGTAATTACCACGCTGTCGCAGAGGAACCAGATCCGATATGATAATATCTTAAGGCTTGTAAGCGTCTGTTTATGTGATAATTCTCTCAAAATAACTCACCTGAAACCATGTTGATGCCCCCAGACCCGAGCCCTTGCACCGCACGACCAGCAATGAGCATAGCACCGCTGTTAGCGCCACCGCATATTCCGCTCCCGAGGGTGAAGATCGCCACGATAACGAGAGTCGTCCATCGTCGCCCGAAGACATTACAGAGCTGACCGAATAGGGGTTGAAACGCCGCGCTGTTCATCGGCTTAGTCAGCGCAGTCTCATCATATTCCGTCATGTTCGAAGAAGTTCCTTACCTGCAAACGAAGAACGCGTTCGTGATCCAGATATAATCAGCCCCAAGCCCTAGTTCGGAGACGATGAACGGCGCGGAAGTAGTAACGACTGTGTTCTCGAAGGCTCCGAGAAGGGTGGTGACGCCCAAGCCGATGATGATGGCCCAGAAGCGAAAGCCTCGTTGGAAATCGGCCGGCTCTTTGGTTTCTTCCATGCTGTTATCCAAGCTCATTTCGCGTTTTCCTTCGACGGGACCGGAGTGCGAATGGTGTGACTGATGGTCTAAGGGGCCTTCAGAAGGCTGGTCTGCGGCCATGGCGAGGGAGTAATGAGTGAAGCAGTGAAATGAAGTGGACAAGTCAAGTTGGGTGACATTCTTCTCCTACTTGGCATTGGTGTCTTCATCGATGCTCTTTTATATAAAATGCCTATGAACTGAATCTCCCACGCCGAAAAGTGGCACTTGATTCGGAGTCGGATGCCCCTTCGGTATCGGCATAGGATTGCCCTTTTTGGACAGGGGTCGGGCATGATGATTGGTTGGGTTGCTAAGTATTGATGTCGGCAGCACTCAATTTCAGACCAAATCCCAACTTCAGGTAATGTAGAATAAAGATAATTAGTAAGTATAAACGATATGAATGATCGAATAGTCTATTGTACCTGTCGTTCGTGATTTGAAATCCAAGGCTAATTCCATGATAAATGTGGGCCTATTAATGAAAGCCTCCAGGGCCATTACGCCGTACCGACCAAACCATAGGATATCTTCTATAATAGTACATCGTCGCATGCCTTTCGTGTCGCGCCTTTCGTGTCAAAACTCAGGGAGTGATTTTCTCGCGCAAGAGCTGCTCCGTCATGCCGAGAAACATACGCAGTGCCTTAGCGCCCCCTTTCCCGTATTGGGGTTGATACACGAGTTCCTCCTTTAAGATCATCATCTTGAGGGTTCCATTCACTTCCTCATCACTCAGCAAACCGCTACCGTCGGATCCGCGTGTACTAACTCGGAATTGCCGGGGTATTCCAAGTAGACTTTCCATCCTCTCGAATAGATTGTTGACAATTTCAATAAACATCGTAGCTTGAAGGTTGCCAGAGCCTGTAGATATGTTAGTGTATTGCTCTGAGAAGCATTTAGGTGTTTAATATGTATTATGTATGTATGAAGGAGAATGTGCAGACGTACGTAGGGGGATGTCGCCGAAGTCAACTCCGGGCAGAGCGCATAAAGACGGCTTTTCACTTTTAGAAATCTCTCTAAGACATTCATATGTATGTGCGAAGATGATTAAGAAGAGTCGCGTGACGTGTATATAGGAAGTAAGAATGAGCAGTAGCGTTGTAGCATCCAGGATTGTAGGCTCGTTAGATGACGTGAATGTAGCGGAAGGGTTGGCTAGTGTTAAGCTATATGCTGGGTGACTCTGGAAGGATTCTCCTGATTTTGATAAGATATTTCCATTCCCGTTGAATTCCGATCCCTGAGATCTTGAAGAGGGTCCCTCGGATGATGAAGAGGTCGCTGGTCGCCGGGTCGCACCTGAAAGGGCACGGAGAATGTCTATATACTCACGTGTCCCGTCCGTTATATTGTGAATTGGGGTCGAGGAATAGTCGTTCAACGGTGAAACGAGGGTTTTGAGAGACACTGCAGGAGACCCCTGGCCGACACGACCTAAGATCCTAGCTAGATTTAGGTTGATCTTAGAAAGCCGTTGTATATGAACTTCTCCCGGAATCGCGTTGCCGACTTGGTCATCTTGATCTTGGGTAACGATGACGCCGTCTGCAGAGAATGGCACGACATTATCCCAATGGTTCCCATAACATTGTGAACGTGACGTGCTTTCTGGTGACTGTTGAGGTTGAGACGTAGGCGAGTTGGCCACGACTCTAGGACGGTCATCTCTAACCTTGTCGACCTTATTCGCTGCGGCGTCAAAGAATGAGAAATTCCCATCAAGTGCATCGCTGGACATCAATCCATACATGGAAGGGTCCCATAATCCGGCTACCTCGGGAGAGAAGATTCCTTGACTTGGCGCATGACCAGGATTTCCAGTGGTGTAAGTAGAGAGAGAATCGTTGAATCCTTGGTCGGCATTAGGAAATAGGTGAGGGTGCTGCTCGCCGTCGTGTCGTGCCCGCTTGCGTGACCCACTCCCGGTACCGTCCGCCGAAACGTTACGAAAGCGTAAGGTTGGGGTAGTAAGACACTCAGCATTTGCTCGTGTACATCGATAGCAGCGCTCTTGTCCCGGGTCCCTCAGGCATCTCAGCTTTTGACCCTTACACCGGTCACAGGCGGATCGACGCGATGACAATCCAGACATAATCGTCCGCTCTTCCTGATGGGGATCCAGTATCTCTTTCAACGTGGCAAATCAGGATGCTAACGTCGTTTTGTTTTTGTTCAAGGAAGGCTGCATAGTTGTTGGATTAGGTGGAATTGGATCTTCATAAGCCTCTAGATTTGTGCGGCGCAGTCTGTGCCGCATTTGTGAAGCACGATGCCACCCTACGGCATAGGGCTGGGATATTAATAATCCATTTATGGTTGTATTTTGCATATTTCGGACCCCCTCGATTTGATACTATCTTCTGGGCTATTTTACGAGGGTAACTAAGGGACAGGATGAAGCCTTTCCTTTAGGGATGAATTGGATAGTCGTCTTTGGGCGCGATAGGTAGTTGTAACACCCACCATCCCGTCAAAACATTTTATATATGCAGGTAACAGCTGCATAAGTACCTCATTAATGAATAAAAAGAAGAGTTATGAATTTAAGCAGATGTCTACCGGCCATTACCTAATCTCGCTATAGTATATTAAAGCATTTCACTCTCTAGTAAGTCCCTATACCTGTTACTTGCATATGCTTACCGATAATCTGGCGGGACGGTGGATGTCCCGCCTTCACAGGTATCGTCCAGCGCGGGGTTACAGGACCTCAGAACGCGTCAGACCGCGGTGAGATGTGGCTTGCTTAGGGCCTACAAGTGCTGACCGTACTGAGGGCGGAATCTGTTTTCCTACTACCCCATACCTACTTGGATCCGAATCCATCTTCGCTCGGGATGTGGGCCGTAGAAAAGAACCCCGACGGGTTGGGCGGACTCTTCGATATCATCCGCCCTTCTCAAAATTGCTCAAATAGGAGCAATTATTGCGAGGCAAGTGTTGCATTGTGCATGCGCTACCATGCCGAGCTGAATCAATGGCGTGTGCTGCACTCAGGGGTCTGGGCAGGAGTGGTGCAATTTCAATAGTTGTAGGTGCGATTGCAGACTTATAAATCATATTTAAAGGCCAATATTCGTAGACTCTCACTCAAGAAGGTATGTGAACCAAACCATGATTCTGAGACTAACCCACCGTCACCATGTGTACACCTTCTACGATTCCATACCCGACCTTTCCAGGCATCCAATTCACATCACTTAGTACTTCGTTAGTCTCTAATGTTACCACTCAAATACCCGAAAGCTTCTATGTCAATAATGGGGCACTGGATGTCCAGGGCGTCAGCTATTGCCATGTAATCACTACCTACACCCATACTGGGGCTACCGACAATGTCACCGTGGATGTGTTTCTTCCAACAAAAGGCTGGAATGGAAGAATGCAAGGCGTAGGTGGTGGAGGATACTCTGCTGGAGGCCTTACGTTTCCGCTAGCAGCCTACACTATGCTTGGGGCAGTGGCCGAGGGATACTCCGCTGTGACCACCGATGCTGGCCATGCCTCTACAAACCCTTACGACTGGATCCTAACAAGCCCTGGCCATGTCAACTACCAGCTATTGGAGAATTTTGGTTCTACGTCGCTTAACGAATTGTCTGTCATTGGGAAGGCAATCACGAAAAGTTACTTCGGTGAAGCACCGCACCACTCCTATTTCAACGGCTGCTCCCAAGGGGGTCGGCAGGGCATGAAGCTTGCTGAGAAATATCCTACCGCATTCGATGGAATAGCCGCTTCAGCTCCCGCGTTAGACCTCACTGGGGTGGGAGTGGCTGACCTCTGGCCTCAGATCGTGATGAAAACGTTGGGCAAGTACTCGAAAAACTGCGAACTTCTTGCTATCACTGAGGCTGCGATTGAGTACTGCGACGCCAACGACGGACTGATCGATGGGGTCATTCTCGATCCGGATGCCTGCAACTTCGACCCCTATTCTGTCGTTGGGAAGCCCATCAGCTGTAATGATACAGGCATCCCTGAGACTATCTCTATCTCGACAACCGCGGCAATAGTGGCGAATGCGACTTGGACTGGAGCTCAAAAATCGGATGGTTCGCCACTTTGGTGGGGACTCAAGAAAGGGGCAACACTAGTCGAAGAGGATATCGGGTTTACCACCATACTTGGTCTTGCAACAACTACCTGTTCTCAGAATGGTACCTGCGTGGGGAAGCCGGCGGATGTTGTGGTAGAATGGATACAATTACTCCTTAAGAAGGATCCCAATTTTGATGTTTCAACTGTGACAGCTGCCGATTTTGAACGGCTGTTCCAAGCTTCGTCGGAAGAGTACAAGGCAATCTGCGACGTCGAACCTAACTTCGGTGCATTCCGAGACACAGGAGGGAAGATCATATCTTACCACGGTTTAGTAAGTATTAGACACTAGATATCTACTTGGATATTGTTTTGTAGCTAACGAATTATTATAGGCCGATACCGTTGTTCCTCCAAACTCCACCACACACTTCTACGACCAGGTCGCTGCCAAAGACATAAATGTCCATGATTATTATCGCATATTCGAAGCTCCAGGGCTTGCTCACTGTTACACCGGCTCCGGGGGATATTATCCTGCTGGGATTTTCAAGGCACTGGTATCATGGGTTGAGTCTGGGGTTGCCCCTGACAAGCTTCCTGCGTCAACTCCCGCACAGAATGGAACGGTCCACAATGGTGTTCTGTGCCCATACCCTAAGAAAGTACGTTACAATGGATTGAGCTCAAGCTCTATGAACGATGATTTCTATTGCTATGACGGAACAGACCTAATATGCGAGGAAAAAACGATGTTGTCGAACGAGCTTTAAGCCACTCTCGCCTAGGGATACGGTATACATATATGAAGAGTCTTTGCCTACAATCGTCCAAAGCTAGTTACTAACAGGTCCCCCATAGGCTGAACTCCGATCCAATCAGACATCTGAGAACTGCAAATAACATGCTTGCCACCAATTACTTAGGTAGACTGCTCAGGGGCGAGTCTAGTAGTGCACGCAGGTTAAGGGGGAGTTTTAGGCGAGAAAAGTTATGATTCCTACTAGCCATTCTAGTTCAACTTCGCCTTAGGGTAGAGACTTTCTATAAGATCTAACCTGGTTCAAACGTTAAGCAATATATACAATTTAATAGAAAAAATAAATGTCTCGACCAAGACGTTCGAGCATCTATCAGGGGCTTTACCCAGTGCGTGACTAAATAAGCAGCTGATTGATACTGTATGAACATCAAGCCAAGACTCAGACAGCGTAGTGATCCCTCCACTGAAACTTAGTGGAAAGCTGCGATAGCTCAGGGAGCTTAGCCGCCAAGAAAGAAGAGTAAATCACGGTGCGAAGCTACTTCTAGGCACACTGTCAGCCCATAAAACAGAGGTGTGAAACTTTCGGTTGCGACCTTCGCAATTACATATAATATCTTCGCTGTATATGTTCAATTCTCAATTATCCATTTTCGTTACGTCCTTGCCATTACTAACGTCTTTTCGAGGAACCAGAGGTAAAGTCTCGGTATGCCGAAAACATCAAAACCGCAAAGCTCTGGGCTTCCGGAGATTGAGTGGCAGGCGTCTTGTCGTTCCAGTCCAAGGGGTTGACCACAGGAGATAGCAGACCGTCACTATTTATCTTTCCGACGATAGTCTGCCTCTTGCTGTCTGCCCACGACGTGTAGGTCGTTCCAAAATCGGCTGGTTCAAGTTGCGCCATGCGGTACGCGGTAGCCGTCAAGAGTGTCGTGCCCGAGAGCTCGCCAAACCAAGTAGTATCGTTGAGGTAGTTACGTAGGAGCGGCTCGTTGGGCTCTACGTTATCGAGTACCATCGCGCCTTCCAGTATGCCTTGGATTATTCCCTTGATGTCCGAGAGTCCCGACTTTATGTCCTCGTTACTTGCGAAGCGCGACTTCTTCGCCGTCGCGTAAACTCGGCTCATCCCGGCTGCGGCCCATCCGTTTCCAGTACTCCAGATACCCAAGTCCTGGCTCTCTGGACCGATTATGTGGTGCCACAGTCCGCCTGCGTTTTTGGCAGTCCCGAGAACACCTAGCACCTCTCGGTATAGAACGCATTGCTGGATGGCGATACTCAAGAGGGTCGAGTTGTTCGACTGGATGGCCCAGTAAGCTAGTGTTGGTGGAGCCATGTAGATGAAGTCGGCCCATAGCTCAGCTACTGATTCGCGATGGCTAATTGCGCCATTCGAATATCTCGGGACGGCGGTGAGTAGGTGCTCGACTTGACGTTCTGCCGCCGAAAGGTAGTCGGGGTCGGTTTGGCCAATGAGAATGGCGGAGACACCGAGAGAGGCCGGGTCACCAGCGGCACCTATTGAGAGATCAGTTTACAGCCGCGCCAATGAAGCCCCAGGGGTAAGTAGCGTACCATCTCCGTCGACAAGTGTATCACCACTAGTCGAGATTTGAGGCTTCACGTACGAAAGCGAACGAGTGTTGGCGACCTGCAAAACTGGTACCTTGCCATCCGGAAATGCGTTGCTACCAAATACTGAAGAGGTCGGATTATGCCACTCTAACAAAGCCTCCGCAAAGGTGCCATACTCCCAGCTGTGCGTGGCAAGATTCTGACCCTGTGTGATGACGCTGTTTATGAGATCGGCCGACATCGTTCTTCTTTTGATGTTTCTATGATGGAAGAATTGATACTAGAATGTTGTCGAGGTCAACGTATAAATATCACCGCGCTGGAAGAACCAATCGGGCAGAACGCTGGTATGTAGATGGGAGTGGGAGGGGTTTTGTTTCCGTGATTCGCAACATGTCACTGTCTTTGGTGATACCCGACAGAAGTGCTACTACTTATGCTGAAGGATAGCGTAGAGATTACTATGCCAAATCGACTCTAGAATTACTCAGGGGCTCAAATCACATCCACATCAATGCTATTTATATCTCTGATATCCACATCGCGACCACATAGCATATTGCTGACGCCATAACATATGTCGAACCCAAGCCTTATTTCAATCAGCTCTTGAAGCTGACTATTGCGTCGAATTAGACAATTCTGCTCAAGCGAATGGGGTCGGTTCGCTTCTTGTGGACTAATATAGGCATCAATCAATCAATCAACTTATGGTGATTCTCATCGTATTTATGACCAATATCATCAGCATTCCTGTTGACAATTTGACGATTCTCTATGTGTATCTAGGATAGATCACCCTTGTCGTATTCCAAATTGTAGATGGTACTGAGATACCCAGTCTCCAAGTCTCAGGTCTCCTACCTCATGACTGTGATCTATTTCAAGAGTACTCTTAGACAAAACAGCAAGTAATAGAACAATATTTACGTGAGACGTTTGGCTTGATGTAAAAGTTCTAGGACGAAAGAACAGGACGCGATATAACCATCCACTTTGTTTATACAAAACCCCATCATCCTCTCGGCTTACGACAACCAAAGTTTTAATGACATGGGGCGCGAGTAGAGAGAATTGGGTGGTATGAAATTCGAGCACAGGAATAAATCATATCTACTTTCGCCCAACAAAGACCCTGTCACAAAGACTGAAAAGGTGGTAACATACAAATGTATATCATTATCTATCGAAATCGCTAATCAAAGAAACTCCTGCTACCCAATCTGACGTTAATCCTAACTTCGTATCCCATGGATCCAAACATCTCAGCTATCCGCGTTCAAGATCCTACTACCCCTGAATCCAACAATCGGCAACCTACTCTTCAAGAGTAAGCTACTGCAGATAACGCTCACGCTACTAAGCGCCATAGCCAAGCTCGCCCACACAGGATCCAGCCTAGTGTGTTTGCCGTTCACGACCAAGGGGTACAGGACACCCGCGGCAATCGGAAGAGCCACGAGGTTATATACCAGAGCCCAGGCAAAGTTGAACTTCACCCTCTTGAACACGGCACGGCTGAGACTGGTCAGGACGAGCAGGGTGTTAAGATTCGGGTTCACGAGAACGAATTCCGCGGCCGAGATCGCTACGTCGGAGCCTGATCCGATGGCGATACCGACGTCGGCGACAGTCAGGGCTGGAGAGTCGTTGACGCCATCGCCGACCATGGCGACTACGGCTCTCTGATTGATTGGCTTTGACCCGAATCCGAGGAACCTTGACCTAGATTTAACCTGACTCTTTTGAAGGTAGCTGATCTTGTCTGCCTTTTGCTCGGGTAATACACCGGCGATGATGTGATCGGGATCGATACCAACAAGGGCGCCGACAGCGTTTGCCGTCTTGGTATTATCTCCAGATAACATCCAGATATCTTTACCTTGGCGGCGAAGCGCATCAAGGACGGGCCTAGCCTCCGGCCGAAGAGGATCGGAAGTAGCGAAAATGCCGAGAAGTTTCCATGATGAATTTGCAGATGAAGTAGATCTGCCGGCCACCAATACGACTGACTTTGCTTGATCTTTCCACGTATCTAACGTTCGGGATGCTTCGGAAGTGATGGGTACAGCGTTATCGTTCATGAGCGTTTCGTTTCCGACAAGGATTTCGACGGTTCCAAGCGGAGACCCTAAGTCAAACGAAGCTTTCATCCCCTTGCCGGGAACTTCTTCGATTTCGAGAGCTTTGATGCCTTTGCTACCTCTAATCTCGCAGAAACCAACGCAGAAAGAAACGATAGCTCTGGCGATAGGGTGGCTACTATTCGATTCGATCTCCTTGAGGCAATCCATAATTTGTGGTTCAGACCAATCCTCAGATTCCGAAAGGAAGAATTCGTGATCGGTTAACTGGGGCTCGCCGCCTTCCGTCAGAGTTCCTGTCTTATCAAACACAATAACATCGATGTTGCTAGCTTCTTGGAAAGCTTCACCTCCGCCTTTAGCTAGAATTCCGTGCTTAGCCGCCAAACCGCCTCCGACGAAAAGAGCAGTTGGTGCGGCTAGACCGATACCGCAAGGACAAGCGATGATGAAGACAGCGATAGCAAATTGGAGCGACCAGAAAGGCCAACCGCCAACCGGAGTATCGAGATACGATTGCGGGAGTCGCCCAGAGAGTCCGAGCCCGAGCCAAATGAGCCAGGTTGATATTGCGATCAAAGTAACGACAGGCACGAAGTAGCTTGTAAGAGTGTCGGCTACCCTCTCAATTGGAGCGCGTCGCGCCTGGCCCTCCCGAACTACCTTGATGATTTGGTCTAGCATCGAGTTGCCCGAGGCTCCGGTGATGCGCATTGATATGGGACCGCCTTCGTTCACGGTGCCGGAGAATACTTGGTCCCCTGTGATCTTCTTGACTGGTTTGGATTCTCCCGTTAAGCTTGCTTCCGAAAACTCTCCTTTGTCGCTAAGAAGATATCCATCCCATGGTGGAGATCCGCCGTGAACGACCCTAACCACATCTCCTGTCTCCACCATATCAACGCTGACTTTTTCGTAGGTTTCGTCGTCGCCATCGGTGGAGGTTAGAAGGAGAGCTTCTTTCGGCCGTAGATTTCCCAACTCAGAAACAGCCTCGCCTGTTTTTGCCTTGCTGTAAGCTTCTAACAATCGTCCGATGAGTAGGAACATGGTAAGGAAAACCACAGAGTCGAAATATGTCGTGTTTTCTTGCATCTGCTCTCCGTCCTGTTGGGTTGCGGAGATTATGAGTTCAGCGATGGAACTGAAGTACGCGATCGACGTGCCAAATGAGATAAGCATATCCATACTGCCAAACTTATAGAACCGGCGGAGTATGGGAGCGGGGCTTCCGGGCCTCCATAGGGAGTACAACTCTTTGATCGCTCGGCGATGGAAGATATCGGCAGCGAAGAGGTACACCGGTGTAGCCATGATCAAGAGGGCCCATTCTGCTCGGGTCACCCCCTTTAAATGTTGCATGAGATACTGACGACCCGGGTTGCTCGCTGGCAGAAGCGCCATGTAGACAATCCCGATAATAAAGGCGGGGATAGCCACAGCGATTGATAGTAAGACTCGGTACATTATTCTTTGGCGAATCCTGTGGTGCATTTGTCTTGCACGCTCCTCGACTGTGGGCGGATGGTATACGGTGGGGCGAAATGCCGGGTCTGCAGCAGATATTGCTGCTAGGATATGGCGTATGGTGAAATCAGGCGCGCTCGGTAAATAGGAAATCGTAACGATCGGATCTTGTGGCGTGAGAGGCTTCTCGATTGCCACTCGGCCGTCAAAACTGTGAAGTGCTTCTGTTACCCTCCCGGGGCAGTGTTGGCAGTAAGTCCCCTCCACCCGAATCATTACGGTTCGTTCAGAATTCTCGGCGACCTCTTCTCCAACCTTTGTAGTGTCATTTATCGTTGCTCCGTAGCCAAGATCCTCGATGGTATTCACTACATCGTCCACATGACTCTTACCATCAACAACGACCGTGGCGCTGCCGGTAACGAGATTGACATTTACTCCTTCGACATATGGTAACTTTTCCAGAACAGAAGTGATGGCTCCTACGCAAGAGGCACACGTCATCCCCGTGATGGATAAGGATGCGGTCCATAAATCACCGTCAGAGCGTGGTTTGGGCGAAAGATCTTCTATTTGATCGATATGAGCTTCGTAACCGATATCTTCGATAGCCTCAACCAATTCTTCAGCATTGTGCTCGCCTTCATACGTCACGGTGGCATTCTGTGTGATCAATGTCACATCAGCAGACCGAACCCAAGGTTTTTCGCGGAGTAGTGTGGAGATTTTGCCGACACAGGAACTACAGGTCATGCCAACAATCGAGATAGAGGCTCTGAATGTTTTTGACGGGCCTGATTCGACGACGACTAGGGACTCGCGGCCTATTGTGGTTTGCCCGTCTTCGGAGGGCTTTGCCTCATCGTTTTCTTTGCGACATTGCTCGCAGTGTTCCGCGTGGCGCTTCCTACGAACCTCATCATCCGAGACCTTGTTGCCCCCTAGTAGCCAACGACCAAGGTGAGAAATCCACTGAAAGGGAAAGTCATCGTCAGAACTGCCATGCGAGTCGCTTGGGTTTATTTCTTCTGATGATGCCCCTCTGAAAATTGTGTCGACTTCATAACCGGCTTCTCCTAGAGCACGAGCGATTGAACGAGCACTGAGGGATCTGGGATGCTTGACCGTGACACTATGTGATAGAATGGAGGTTTCAACCTCTATCGGCCTTGGCCGTAGAGCAAATAGGAAGTTCTCAAGGAATGAAGCGCAAGTCGGACAGTGAATGCTTGGAATTAAGAAGGTCGTTTGTATGCTCTTGGGAGAACCCAAGCGATGGATAGCCATGGTTTGAGATATTGATGGGTCTCTGGAGGTTCGAATTGCTGGAACAAGATATTCGCCACTGGTATAAGATGTAAGATATGAGATGGCTAAAGAGATAATTGATCTTTGGAAAGGAATATGGCGACTTTTATTATCGTTCACGCTTCACGGTAGGCAGCCAAACGTCTTCGATAGATGACAGAAATCTTTATAAATCAAAGGCAGGCATAAGCGGGAGAAGCTGCTAGATATGTCCTGATTTGAGATAACAAACTCATTGTTAATTAACAATCAAAAAGATGCTGATGTTGCCTTGTTATTAGTGCTTCAGCGCCGTGATTGACTGCGAGAATTGTGCGTCGCGACTGGAGCCGACCCACTTGGATCCGCCCCCGGGAGGCCAAGTCTGGATTACGGCATTTGTGCGGAGGTCGGTAGCGTCAGCTGGCCACTACCAAGCTGCGGGAATTGTGCCTGAAAGCCTCGACCAATCCACTGTAAGGCCAGCTTTCAGTGGCGACTCTAAAACAAACCCCTGTAATTGAGTCTATTTCGCCCCATTCTGGCTGAGATCCTGGCCTACCAGCAGTTTCGAATATGACAGAGCCGAAAACATGATTCCCACTAACTTCACGTCATTTTTCGATCATGAAAACTCTCTCATCATATTTTGGTGTTTCGGAGCGTTCCGATCTAGAACGGGAATAATCGCTGTCTATTTGAAGACAGGGATCGAATATCTGGGGAAGCTGTACGACGATATGCAGCTGTTAAGTTTGTTAGCAAAGCAGCGGTACAAACCGCACACGTGATATCTTTATTTCAACCTGAACTTTCGGAACCTAGTGACAGCGGCATTGTTGGTCTAAGGGTTCGAATTGTTATTGAAAATGGCGACATCTAAAGGTGCTTGGTGATAATGGCTTTGTTTTCTTTGTCCCATAATCCGAATGCTGCGGTACGGGATCTATTTTTAGATATGCTGGCTAGTATGAGGGACCGCCTTCAACCGTAACAAATTTCTTGAAAATATGTCCATGTTGACCATAGATCAAAAAGCTGATGTTCAACATTGATAGTTGATACTCAATAACATATGAGAACAAGTGGAAGTGGGAATAAGCACTGATAGGAAAACTTTAAAAATTAGGGGTCTCTCATGGCTCGGGAATTGCCGCTAACTGCGTTTTCTTCACCGAAAAATTGAAACGACAATTTAAAAAGTATGCGACAGCCAAGTTTGGCCAATGTGATATTTATATCGTAAAGTAGGACGGATCATGCCGCTGCGGGAGGAATTATATCGGTCCAGAATTCAGATATCGGTGATCATTTTCCCTTTGGAAACAGGAGAATAAGGATGTCTGTAAAGTTTACCTCACTTGTGGTTCGCTTACCTAATCGAAGAGTTAAAAATCAAGCTCTTATCTTCGGGCGGCAAGCCCACAAATGCAACACTAGGCGGAGCTCTAGAAGAGCACTTATTAGAAGCTATTACTTAAACATATACCAATTTATATACTAAGGAGTAAAATATTTCACGCTCCGCGTAATCAAATAAAAAGAAGAGCAGCACGTTCTGTCGTTGTATAAATCGACTGGCTTTCACGTGTCTGCGTGTCTCGGCCAAGTCGGTCGCCGCCCCCTGACGGTCGTAGCCGTTGTTGTGCTACTTGCCCTATGCGGCAGGTGATACACGCCTGCAACCTGTGCGCTAACGGTGGTGCGTCCGCCTACTAGCCACAGCGCCGGAGGTCCCAATGCCAAGACGACTTTAATCCTGAATCTGGGGTTATGAGACAACCGGTTTTTGTAGCGTTTTTTCTCAATCGATGTTGTTCAGGCATTGCATAAACTTTTTGTCGATTAAGGGTGAGACGAGCCTCAAAAGTACCTGAGTAGGCGTTTGACATCTGGTAAATACGGATTTCGGTGATGGCGACGGAAATGCCTTGGCTCCTGCTCATGCTGACCCGTGCCGACCTGCCTTACTGGGCTGCCGACGGCTGACCCTCGCTGGTGGCCTCATCACCTGCAGGAAATCTCCAGCATACCGCAGATCCCCACGTGCCTCACTAGATGGCTGCAAATTGTGGCTGATCGAACGAAGATCCCGGCGCTAGAAGGCTCGGCTTTCCTTCTGGGTCCAGTTAGCGCATTTTACTGGTCAATATCGCCGTTATACGCAGTAAATGCAGGGATCTCCATTGGCCGCCCCCCTGAGTTGGGAGTCCAGGGGCGTCAGGGGCACGCTGCAATTCCAACGGCACAATGCAACTCGATCTGATAGACCAAAATAAAGCAGGGTATTTAAATGAATCGACAGCCCACCTGATGTAGGTCCCCAGTCGTCGTCTCATCGATCCGTGATCACCGTCGAGCCTCATCGTCAAAATGCGTGCCCAACTCCTTATCTCCGCTCTTCCCATTCTAGGGGCGCAAGGCATACGCATCCTTCAATCGAACGATGACGGCTGGGCCGAGCTCTACATCCGTTCGCTTAACGATGCGCTCAACGCCGCTGGTCACGATGTCGTCCTTTCCGCGCCGGCTGAGAACAAGTCCGGCTCCGGTAAGTTACCCGTTATCTCTCACATGACTCTACGTCGTCCTAATCTTGATTTCAGGATCAACCGACATAGAGCCCTCCGCGCGCACCAGCGCCTGCGAATACAACAGCTGCCCAGCGAATAGCGGGCCCATCGGCACCAACGCCACCAACACGCGGCTGAACTGGGTGAACTCGTTCCCCGTGACCTCAGCGCGGTACGGCATCGACACCATCGGGCCCCCCTTCTGGAACGGCGCCGCGCCGGAGCTCGTCGTGTCCGGGCCTAACGTCGGCGGCAACCTGTGGCTGCAAGTCCCGTTCTCGGGCACCGTCGGCGTCGCCGTGTTCGCCAGCAAGGAGCGCGGGATCCCGGCTCTCGCGTTTTCGGGAGCGGACGACACCAGAAACGCGTGGAATGTGACGCCTGTACCCGCGAGCAGCACCGTGTACGCGCAGCTCGCGACGCAGCTCACCGACGCCGTGATCAAGTCCGGCACGCCGTACCTACCCGACGACACCTTCCTCAATGTGAACTTCCCCAGCGTGTCGGGCGATTGCACAGACCCGACTAAGTTCAAGTGGGTGCTCAGCCGCATCAACCCGGGGATCTTGTCCGATAAGGACGTCGTGACCTGCGGCACGGACAGGCTGCCTACCGAGACGAGCGTTATTGATGCCGGGTCGTGCCAGATCTCGGTTAGTGTCGGAGATTCTAATGATAAGACGACTGCGGCGGCGGATAAGCAGGCTGTTGTGCTGCAGAAGTTGGGGAGTATGTTGACTTGTATTGAATCGTAGGACGGCATGTAGGGCTGTGGGAGTGTTGGGTAATGGACTTCTCGTGTATATTTCAGGATAGGAAAACTACATATGACCATTAATAGTTAGTTATGTACGATGATGATCGAATTAAACATTGCTCTTGCGGTACTTGGCTGTGAACCCCCTGTAAAGGACGTGCGCTCTAGTTTACCAAGGAGACGATTGTTGGAGAATCCGGGGGAGCAAACACGCTCAAGAGCATGGAACTCTACGCAAACTCAGTCGCCACACAGCCGGCCGGAACCGGGTTACCGTCTAGCTGCTGTAGAGCTATGATGTTTGCTAATTGAGATATATCCGACTAGTCTCCTTGGAACCCTTCGACGACTGGAACATGAGTATGACTGTGAAGGTATATGGAAGCCCAGTTTTATTAGCGGTCGGAGAAAGGGAGAAGCACGTTCTTCGTTAATTATAAGAGTATGAAGATTTTCGTAGATAATCGCGAGGAGTTATTGGAGGGTCGGCGGGGGTATCGATGCTTAGACGAGGTCCTGTAGTCGTACGATGGATGCCAAATCTATTCCGGCGAGCACCATTCTCTGTCTTGATTGCTGTTAAATCTTGGAGTACCTCGGCGGATGTTCGTGGGTAAGCTCGTGGGCGTGACCCTAGATATCTTGGACGACTATACCTCATAGAGGAGCTATTTGACAGCAGGAAATATGGTTAGCAGATGTCTAACTAGAGAGAATTGAACAAAGAGTATCAATACGATCATTCCGTAGCAAGAACTCCCCTACACCAGTCCCTTCCTTTCCTGGTAGAAGCCAGCGTGCTACTTTTAGTACACCCTATTCCCAAATCAGAGCCAAGTGCGACTCTATATGGGATCGTCCTTCGTCCAGCTATTCGTAACTATTTCGCAGTCATCTTCCTCGTTCCCATAGGACGTCGGATGTATGTTCCATGTCTGCTCGATCTCGAACGTAACGGTCGCTCCAATCTATCCTACTCTGTCAGCCACGGAATGTAACCTTCACCGAGCCTTTTCATAACCTGCCTCTATGATTTGTGATATAAGCTAGTATCCCTTTTTGGCTTGGGTCCCAATCACCTCCATGCGTGGATAGCTCAGCGAGGTTAGACCGATGGGCTACACAAGTGGAACAGCATCGTCGCGTATGTCGAGAAGGCGTACGGGGAAGGATAGTTGTACGTGACCTCGAGATTGTGTAGGTTTCTTGTTTTGAAGCCAAAGAAGAGGAATCTTATCGCTTTCTTGAGGATACTTTACACCGCGGCCACCGTGGGGAGCGACAGAGGATGTCGGGAGACCCTTTGCTGATTGCTGTGAGATTGATCTTGTCCATTATTATTGGGAGCAAAGCAATACACGAGTATTGTGTCGACATGGCGCTCGTCGCAGAGTTGTTATTGGGTTCTGAGTCGTTGCAATTGCAGATGTTCTCAAGGAAGGCGAGAGAAAATGACGGCGAGTCCGCCGTCCGTCTTGCTTATAATCAGCACGTACTATGTCGGGTACTTCTAGGGAGTGAGTAAAATCAGCTTTTTTGTGGGAAATCAGATAGACGTCATGGAAAACATGTTAGGCACTCTACTTGACCATATTATAGCTTTTGGGACGTCTTGCAGGGCGAGTTCGCGTATAGGAATGCCAGAGGAGGCAAATTGTACTCGGTATGACGGGAGTATTGTGTCGAGAGTCATGCGTGAAGATTAAAAAAAATTTCATACGGATCAGCGCTACGAATAAACGGCCCACAGAGATGTCGCGGTGCCTAACTTTAGTGTTTATAAGCACTGACACAGAACGACTAATAAAATTGAGCCTCTACGGGGTGTATGTAGGCATGAGCGGTCCATAGAGGCGATACTGAAGGCATGACGCTATGATACTGGGGCGTATCGTAGGTAACACCCTCTTACTAGTATAGATTGAGGTTGGTGGAAGACACGACGGAGCCTTAGAGATGGCAGTTAGATCACACATGTCACGCAATAGCAAGCATTTCATATCATGGGGGAATAACAGTTTCATTATGGGGAGTGGAGTGTATCTTAATGGTTACAGCCTTGGTGGCTAGTAACATTCGCCTGTGCCCGACTACTGTCTTAAACAGCCCTTGCCTATCCCGATGACCTCCTTCTGGTTATACCATTGACGACCGTAGGCAAATAAAGAAAAAACAAAGGAAAAAGAAGTTCAGGAACAGAGACGCCTATGCGCCATAGTGGTGTCCGTTATGCTGCAATGGAAAACGACACCACATCAATGATCCTTACTAGAGAGGCCAGCTTAGTGGCCGGACTTGCGGAAGCCCTTGAAGAGACCCTTGAAGAAGGACTTGATGGACTTCTTCTGGGTATGACCATTCTGAAGGCCAGACATACCACTGTGGTTGGCGAGAGCGGCGCTGCGGGCCTGGATAACGGCGATGATCGGGTTAAGAGCCGACTGGAGAACCTGGGGAAGCATCTCATCAAGTGCCTGCTGTACCATCTGAGGCAACATGTTGACGATAGTCTGGAGCAGACCAAGCTGGGTGTTCAGAGAGACGACATTGCCGTTAGTCGAGTTAAGAAGAGTGCCCATGGCGTTGAGGTTGTTGCCCAGAGAATGAACGTGGCCGTCGATAGCGTTGACATGCTGGCCGATAGCGTTCAGGTGCATGATCTGACCATCAACACGGTTGATCTGGCCATCCATCTGCTCGACGCGTTCACCCAAGTTCTCACTAAGAGCGTGATCAATCATTCCGAAGACGTCCTCAAGAACTGCTTCGACATTGACACCATCAACATTGTGAGTACGTTGATCAGCCATCTGGTTGATGGCAGTACGAATGCTCTTGAGCATCTCAATCATGTTCTGACCTGCGAGTCGAGCAGCTTCATCGCCCTTGTCCTTCTTGATCGCATGAGTAACCGCGTGCTGAACAATGCCGTAGATACGAGACTCAGTACCCACACCTTCCATCAAGTTGTTAACAAGAGTCTTGACGCGCTGTTCCTCGGTGAGATCGGCAGTGGTCTTATCACGTGCTCGAATCTCCTGAGCAATGCGAACGTGAAGCTCGACGACGTTAGGCATACGGTTCCACTCCTCAGGAGGTGCTGTACCACGAGCTTCATTGAGCTCAGCAAGACGACCAAAGTCCTCAACAACTGCACGGATATCATGATCGCTAGCAGTAGTACGAGGGAAACGACGCTCGGCACGAGCGGCGGCGAGCTGAGTGCCCATCATGGCAAGCTCATCGAAGGTGTAAGAAACGCGGACACCATCCATGTCAATAATAGCGGAACCACTCTGAGGCTGGTTGTTGATACCTAGTGGCGAAATGTTAGCATTTTTTCATCGACTCAAGATTTATTGAATTGAGGGTGTTACTTACGGCTCTCCATTGCCTCCCGAAGGGGAGAGCCACTCTGCAATCCAATTGCAGAGTCAGGAATGGCATTGTTGGTCATCAGAGCGCGTTGGATGACCGCCACTCGCCTAATAATTGAAGTTAGTCGATGTCTTCACGAATAACTATAGAGAGGATATGAGAAGGGAAGAGAGGGAAAGAAACTTACCCATAGCCGTTAGGGCTAGTGGAGGGCACTGCCGCAGCAGAGGTAGAGACGTAGTTATTCATCTCGTCGACCATGAGACGAGATCCTAGATGAATGCGTTAGTGAATGTTGATTGATGATTATTGGTGGTAATGGAAATGGATAATACTTGATGATGGGTGAAGGTAGAGTGATGGTTAAAAAAAATCACAGTGGAAGATGACGGTGTAAAATAATAGTTGAGAGTGACGGTAGATAGTAGTGTGGAAAAGTTGACGAAAATTATTGGGAGTTGATGCGAGGTGATAGGAAAAGATTAAAAGTTGATGGTGGTTGGTGGGGTGTGTTGTGTTTTGGTTGAGGTGTAAAAAATTGAAGGTAGAGAAAATCATGTACGGGAGATGACTCGTAGATGATGAATGATAGGTACAGGTGAAGGATGCAGAGTGCAGGTGAAGATGCGGATAAATGGGAACGGTGGATTTTTTTTCTACCAGTGTGTGGTGTCGGGAAAATAATTATTTGCAAATACTTACAAGTTGAGAAGATGATTGGTGTTGTTTCTAATGAAGATGACGGTTAGGAAAATGTGAAGTGGTGATGATGATTATACGCGATGTGTTGATGAGTGTTGGTGAAACGAGATGGGATGTTTGGTTGTGAGAAGAAAAGTTGGTTGAGTGAGAAAAAAAGTTGGGTGTGCGGAAAAAGAAGTTGAAGGTGGGAGGAAAAAAAGAAGTGAAGTCTGGAGGAAAAGAAATTGGTATGTAGAAAAAAAAATGTGGGTGGTGTTGTGGTGTTGTGCGGACGGTGATATTTAGCAGGGTGGGTGACGAATTTTGTTGGACTTACTTTTGGTCTTTGGAGGTGATGAGGTCTTGACCCGATGAGATGATCAATTAAAAGAAGAAGAATACTCGCCAACGGGATTACAAGCCGTTGGGAGAGATTGGATGATGGTAAAGTAAACGCGCGATGATATGATAGAGTGTATGTCGCAGGATCAGTGCTGTTGGCGTTCTGAAGATTGTGTTCGTTGTTGTAAGATGAAGGAAGAAGAGGTCGCAACAAGTTGGACCAAGAGTTCCAAGTAACAGTTGGCTTGGGAAGTAGAAAAAAGGAGGGGAGAATTGGGCGGATAGAGTCTGGTGTTATATAGGTTTTGGTGTGGCAGTAAATTTGGGCGGTAGGTGACGAACGGTCCTAAGATGCCACTTGGGCCACCCAGTTAATTCAGCTACTCGGGTACAGTATGCCCCCTACAGTCCCTGGAATCTTGACTATCGGCCAATAGAAAAAATGGCACAGGCTTCATCTACTAGTGGTATACTGTAGATGCCACTAGATCTCAAGATATTTTGACCAATGTCGCGTGATCTTGCAAGCATTGTCCAGGTGTCTTCCTTAGCTGAGGATAGCACGACAAGTGCAGACGGATCTTGCAGCTGCAGATTAATGATCTGATCTGGAATTTACTGGTTTCCATCCAGCCACTTCTCAATCTACGTCTTATTCTTACTGTGATTAGTTTAGTGCTCAGAACACACCGGGTTCTCTAGGAATAATTGGCCCTTCAGGACGAATCCAAATTAATACTGTTTAATAGTACGGTTTTTTTAGCCGTTGAATGCTCAAAATGACTTGATATTTTTTGTTCTCGTGTATGTATGATTTATGATGACCTTCTTTTCCTGGCTTCAGTCCAAAGTACAGTCCCCGAATGGACCATTTCCCCCATCTTCAGATACTATCACTGTGAATCTTATTGGGTGAGTATCCTCCACCTAATTGACGTACTGTGACACTAATATCTTCAACTTACTTACCTACGGGTGGTTGAAGGATCTTACTGTAATCGTTCCACTCAGTTGGTAAGATGATTTTCGAAAGAAGAATGAATAAATAGGAATTTACACATATCAAAGACGTCCGATCTCACTCTGGATATTAAATAGGCCGACGAAGTGCCCAAGCTCAGTATCTAGAGCTAGTTAGCCACTCGAGCAATCGCTCGACTGTGTGAAATGGGTAATGTGTAACTGGAAGAAATGCGGCTCAATGAAAGGACGTCGAAATTAGCGCAGATCCCACCGCGAAGGTTTGCAGATCATACCCCAACCCCGGCTAATCTGTGCGCCACATGGCTTGCAGAACCCCACATCCCGTCTAGACCGATCTCTTGGCATCAAAATCTGGGAAGATTTAGGAAGAATTGACCTTTTAACTGTAGGTACTACGTAAGGTAATTCAATTCAAATCGAAATAAAAGTTGGCCAGTGCACAATTGAGCAATTCTGCGCCACTCAATTCGGTTATTCAGCAACTGGCAGGACCTGTGCAGGGCGACAATTTCACTGTTCCACATCATGCGGGTGGGGCAGTGGCATGGATCGCTAGTGTGAGGAAAGAGCAGGATCCGTACAGTAAACGGTCAATCAACGGCCGTAAAAGTTTCGCGACATGAGATGAAAGTGCGATTCTGATGCAATGTCCAATAGGGTGCCAGTAATTTCTCCCATGATCAACTAAATAGAGCTCAGTCCACTTTTTTAAAAAGTCAATATGCTTACATTGGTCATGCTGCCATCGCGTCTTTGTTACTACCCAGTGCTTAATGGATGCTATGAAAATCTGTTTAGGGGATCGAATGCTGGTAAATTTAAACAGTTTTTCCTCATCGGCTGGTGGTATCGGCAGATGTTGCCGGGATACCATTTTACGGGTCCTTTTTGCAAATCAACTCCTAGGTATTCGCATAGGTACTCCGGGAAATTTCCTCTAGTTCTAATAGCTAAGATTAGAATTATGCGAATATATGCTATGATGTATTGGTACATATCTACAAAATTGACGTAATACCGATATGAAACTGTAAATGGATGTACGAATCCATTCCAGAATCAAAACGGTAGAATTATTGCAGACAGAAGAATCGTTCATGTGCTGCGACGTCATTCTTCACGATCTCTATTAGTTTTGAACATTTTTCGGATCCGAAATTTATGATATACTGCCTATGTAGTTGAGTTCGCCCGATCAGATTGAGGTTTTCCCATTTTGTTTACGCATTGGATCTATATTTCAATACAAAAGTTCGCGTCGACAGATCGAAGTTAAGCAGTCTCATAAACATTAATAAATAATAGATGATATTCTATCTTAAATGCTAGGATCCATGTAACCGCAAAGTATGTTTATCGACCTCGAGATAATATTCATCACCTCCTAGATACCTAATTCTTATTCGAATTACCATGCTTACTATCATTTCTCCTATTTGATAAGACAATCAAGTAGTCCAGCTAGTTGACTGGAAGAATTAGGATCATGAGCAACTTGGCTGTAGAAATTCATCCTCAATATAAAGGCGAAGCTTTCGTTAGGTCCCTCGAGCATTGTAGTTATCATAAGTCAGTCATGGTGGAACCTAATCGAATGTTGACTGGAATCTTTTGGATGCTTGGTCTCGATAATCTATTAAAGTCTACCCGGCTTAACGTGGATATGCTCTTTAAATTAAGTGTTGATGCCACCTCCAACTATATTCATACTACCCGGGCCAGGTATTAGAACCGCGTAATAACTAGTATTAAAAAAAAACAGAGGAATGCGGATGTTCTATGTAAACGACAACATCTCCTACTCAAAATGGTGGAAGCCCTTGAGAGCTCAATAGAAAACATTCTTCATATCAAGGAAGGGGTCCCACCATCATCCCTTATTCCCACTAGTATCCCCTATTACCGTTCAGGGTGGCGAGTATCTAGGCCGCTTCGCATGTAGGCCCCTGGCAGTATTCCCTGTTGTCATGCCAAAGATAAATTCATATAGTCTACATTTCCCTCGATGTGTTAGAATAGGGGCAAAATACTAGGACGGGTGTAGAGATTATCCAGATACTAGCATCGGTTGTCCAGAGCGAGGGAGGAGAACACATCAGATAGGGAGTTGAGAAGGGGCTCAAGTCATATGTAAATCCTAAACGTCGTAAAGAGAATATTGAATATGCTTAAGACACAGATGCATAGGATACACGCCCAGAAAAGGCGATGGATTAACCGAGAGAACCAAATTCTTACTACCTCATGACCTCAACTCGAAACCCATTGCAAATCTGCTCGAAGAATTATATTGCAGATCAAGCAAATTCGAGACGGCATCTAAGGCTACGGCATAAAGTCCCAGGTGATACAGAAGCCAATGCCGTAAATCGCAGGTATAAAATGTCACAAACGTCATGGCGTTAAGCTTGAGCAATTGAGAAAGTATCCGGCTAAGTCTACGGGTTACTCTACACTCTGCTCTCAAGGAAGATGTTCTGGCGGGTCTGATCGGCACTGATGAGCAATGCAATCACAGTAAGGAAGGAATAGTAGTTCGTTGTGATGAGACTTGATTCAGACTTATAGTCTGCCCCCTATGTGCCAAGCAAGTCGCGAATTATGGCAACTAAATGAATGTCCTGCTCGCGAGAGCCCTAATTATACCATGTAAGGCAAAAGCAAATCCTCCCAGTATTTATTCCTAGCTTTCATATGTACCCTGGATTAATCATCTGTCCACACAGTATTAGCGAAGATGTAGACACCAGCTCAACCTGTTAAAATGACATACCACGAGATGAGAGAAATGATGATTTTCACGTGGTCTCTCAAAATCCCAAAGGAAAACATGCTTGCTAAAGATAGTTGTGTGTCTCGTGGTGTGGGTAAATCCATGTGCTAGGTGGAAATCCATAGGGGTGAGAATTATGCGGAGACGACATCCTCGCCGTCGCCGTCGGAGTGGGAAACTGTTGAGGGAAACCGACGTTAGCAGCGTAATCAAATGAATGGATCCCCGGAATCATTGGAGCAGGCGAATGCGAGTGCGAATGCGAATGATGGTGACCGCCGCCGTAGACGGGGACATTACCATCATCACGCTTCTCCGTGGCGCAGATGACTAGGACTTCATCGTCATCCTCGTCGTTCTGTGCGTTGGTTGAAGGTGACGAGCTCGCCTGACCAACAGATGCTATTCCGTTGATAGATGTAGCACCGAGCGCGATAGTAGTCGCGCTGCCGCCATTCTCCTGCTCCGCTTTCACGGCGATTGAATCTTCGGTTTTGACTTCACCTTTGATCTCCTTCTTCACCGGTTCATCGACGTCTCCGGCATCTTCGTCAACCGCGGCAAGCTTGCGCTTCTTGCTGGGTGTGGCGCGAGTCTTTACTCCCTCCTTAGAGTCCTTGGACTCCTTCTTGACGCTGCTAGCGGAGCCGATTCCATGGGCCTTCATGAGGCGCTCGTATCTCTTGGCGCTAAGGGAAAAGTTAGCGTCAAGATCATCATATTGACATTGGGTATGAATGTATTTGCTCCGTGGATGGATAAGATGGTGGTAAAAAAGAAAGCAAGGGAAAAATACGTACGCGGCACCCTTGGTGATGATGGAAAGCTCCTTGGCGACCTCGTTAAAGTCGACCTAATTCGATTAGCAAAAGTTGTCATAAATTTACCCAGGGCGTATTGGCATGGTTGATGGTGCCAAAAGCAGTACTTACCTTGCCAGCAGTCGAGTGCTTGATGCAGGCGATGAGGAACTTGAACTGAGAATCGGTGTCTAGTGGAGCCATCTTGATGATACTTGATGGTGGTGAATAATTAAATTGTGTAGATAGATAGGTTGCAGAAAGATGTGATGAATGGAGGAATGGATTTGTCAAATTGATGTTGGGTGAATGAATTTTTGGAAAGTGGATGGACGTAGGGAAAAGTGTTTAAATGCCAGAGTGCAGGTCTATCGATGAGAAGTCGGGTGTCTCTCCGGTCGAGGTCAATCGTAGTTTCTGTTTTCTCCAACGGTACACGCCTTCCGGCCGCGATCGACGACTGCTGGAACTAAGGCAGGTCGGTTCCCCGAAGCACATTACACTTCGGAAGTTAGGGCAGGAAGCAACTGGAGTGGGGGTGGCGGTCGGTCAATCGTCTGGACTTGCAGGTGGCTTGCAGGTTACAACTGCTATTGCTTCTTAGAACGTCGTAGATATGGACGCGCCAAGGGATTCCATGGACAGTTGATGTCAGGAGCACCGGCTAAAATATGATAATCCTTTTACTCTACTATAGCTATGTGTCAGAAACTTGCCTTTGAATGTCGTGAATAATCTTAGATGGGACTTTGAAGGGTAGCTACAAAGATGGGAGGAGGGAGCAGCTTTAATCTTTTATTCAATACCATATACCCCATTAAAGATCTGAATATTATCTTCTATGGTGGCCTTTGTTTCCATCACAAGACTTCGCTCTATGTGCATGATATCATCGGTATGCATTTACTGGTGGCCAATAAGAGAAGAAGCTGACAGCCTCTCGAGCTAGGGTCAGATACCCACAGGAGAGGTTGTCGTAATTACGAAGAGAGAGCAGGGGCTGATCCGAGTCTCGATCATAGTTGCCGCGATGACTCCGTCGTTACTTACCAGTTGATTATTTCAAATATATAGTTGCTGGGCCGAGGAACTTACGAGAGGAATGCGTAGACGTGTCTTATTAGACCTAAACTAGATCGAGGCTTCTTTGCAATGTGAATGGAAAGCACAATGGAAATCTGTATAGTACAGTATAGATCCCTAAGGTAAAAGGCAATGCATGGTTATCGCCTTCCACTGACGACTCCTTGTGTCAGAAATTATAGGCAGCCAGTTGTCATTAAATTTTTCCCCTTAGATCTCAGCGTCGGCCTAGTGATTGTAGCTTTAGGCGAGCGAGAGTCAATCGAAGCTTAGGACTACTTGGACAAAGCGTAATTATAAATCTCAAGAGGTATCTTATAAGCATAAGGATTGGATAAAAGAAAGCTCACACTATACTTGTCGACATGTGAAGATTAGTCCGTCTATCTGACGTAGATTTATTGACTCCTTGGACCAAAATAGGAGAAGAGCAGATGTACTTCGGTAAGGAGGAAAGACATACGTTACTCTCTTTAAACATGACACTCCTAAATGGGACAGTTCCTGTCTACAGTGTCGTCAACAGTATCAAGCCCTAAGTATCTTGCGTTGCCATCCGCTCTAGGATTGCGCACGCCTCGAGGGATATGTCAACTACCTGTAGACTGTTAGTACATATATAATAGGTGAAGACTCCCCTCAAAGTACGTAGACCTTGTTTTCAACTCCACCAATTACTGCAGTCACAAGGGGGTATCAAGGTCAGAACTTAGATTGTTGGTGAGATAGTATGTAGCATTAAGTACTACCTAAGTCTGAGAAAACAAGGCAGAGGGACTTCATAAGGATAACATCGACCTAGATAGAAGAAAGCCTTCCACAAAGTTGCCATACCCCCAAGTTCCGGGGCTCATATGATAGATCAGATCATGTGTCCCCTTAGATGATAGATCTGTACTCTGTCATCCATCCATGGTCCACCTAGTTCTCGTCATCAGAAACAGCCTCCTTCTTAATGGAGCCGTTCTTGCCCCGGCGACGATCTCCTTTGATGGTTTTCTCCTTCTCATCATCCTGGGATCCGCCCTTGGTGATGCTCTTCTTCTCGTCGTCATCATCACCGTAGTCGAAACCCGCGGCTTGCTTCTTGGCGCGACCCTTTCGAGAAGCCTTGGCCTTGGTGGCCTTGCGGACGCCAGCCTTCGAGGGAGAGGTGGAAGAACTGGTTGCGGGCTGGCCAACTGCGTACTTGCGACGAATCTGTCCAAAGCGGTCCTTGAAACAATTAGCTATATATCGTCTATATATAATGGAAGTGACAAACCTTGGCGACACTAGCGTCCTTGTATCCCATCTCCTTGGAGAACTCTTCCCAATCCATGTCGATGCCCTTGGGAAGGTACTTGAACATCGTAGTAAAGAACTTTTGCTCGGCAGAGCTGGCGTTGGCGTTGTCCATCTTGGCTGCCATTGTTGCTGACTTTGTGTCCTTACTTGGAAATAAATGACAGTCACGAATGTGATTACTATGGTAGATCGAATTGTTAGTCGCGAGAAAGTAGGAAAATTGACGAAGTGACAGTGGTTACATAGGCTTTTATGAGATTAAAGTAGTTCGTAGTGCGTATCTACTATATCCTCGTAACTAAAGTAGGGTGATTCGATATGAAGGGGAGAGCTATGGTATAAGGGTATGGACGTAGACATCTGTCTATGATGAAATGATGGTAATAGTATGAACAGGATGAGAAGAATGAGAACCTCGACTAGGCATTGGGCAGACTTTTTGAAATGAAAGCAAGTGGCAGGAAATATACTTACATCAGAGACTGAAGTGTAAAATCAGACTAAATGAAGCCAGGAAACCGATATGTTGTTTGCCGGTCAATGATCGCAGAAGATGTTGATCTTAGACGTGGGGCGCGACGAATTAGGCGAGATACTACCTTAAGACTAGTAAGGTAGAGAGTCAAGGTTTGTATGGATATTATGGTGATGAGTAGAAGTCAAGAATTCCTACAACCATGAGGGAAGTATGGGTATAGCTGGGGGAAGTTCCGGGGGTGGAGGTCAGTTGTATTATGGGGAAAGAGAAGGGAGGACCAGATGTTCGATTCGAAATTACGAAAATGGAATCTAATCAACAGGCAAGAATGTCTCGAGTTTCCGCCCTCAATAAGAGCAGTTGCTACACCAACTATTGTAGGTCCCGTAGCATAAGCCGTTGCCCGGTAATAGTAACCAGGGAATAATACAATGCTATCGTATAACAGCGAAGACTGCGTCAACAACAGGAAACAGTACAGGATACCGCGCGGCAACCACAGAAACCATACACAGCTTAGTGCTCGAATAAAGTTGGTAAATGAGTGACATAGAAGGAAAATGGTAGTCTCACCTCCGTCTTGGTTCCAGATCCTTCGTATGGAACTCGTGGCAATTGCATTAGGATAATATTGTAACAGTGAACGATTCGCCAAATTCAAAGACTTGATAATCCATTCCGAATGAACCAGTAACGGTTAATATCAAGCGACTAGGTTAAGAAGAGGCTGTATCTTCCTGTATGTGATCCATCTATTCAACTGTAGATTCGATAAATGGAAACACCTCAGGGTTACTTTTCTTTATCTTTGAATGTGTTCCTGAGGTTGAAAATGCTAACTTCCCAATGTGTTTTAGCTTCAATTCTCCTATATAGCACCCTTTCACAGGACCGCCATTGTAAGACAGTGTTGGAATATCATAGTAACACCTACGGAAAGTTATCGATGTCTATAGATTATCGTACTTAGGAAGCCCCGTCATCAACATGACATCAGAGCGTGGGAACAGACCCCTAGACAATGTGATTGATTTCAAAGAATGACAGGTGACCCTATGGGTCAACAAATCGAGGCCTTAAATAGAAAAAGCAGACTAAGGAGATCTCTCCGGGATCCAATAGGGTCATTCGCTTATTGTCAACGCAGCCCTATCACAGTATCACTTCCAAATGAAGTAAAGCGTTAGTGATCTATATCCCGGTTCATAAATCAGGTCGAGAAGTAGGTCTAAAAGCAAATGAAAGTGATCGACGCAGTGTTTCTGCATTAGTTCGGTACAAGGCAAGAGTGTAGCATTTTGGTAGTGCCTACCTAGTCAGCGCAGTGCCAGATAATAAAGATTGTCTTCGTAAATAATGGTAATAAGCCTAGGTACTTAATGGGGTGACTATGCTTAGTCATACTAGATAGCTGAAATTTGAAATGCATTCCTTCTTTCTACCTATACTGTGTACTATGGATATCAGAATATGAATAATTTTCTTTGCGCTGTCAACACCAAATGCAGGAAATAAGATATTGGGAAAATGGTTCTGAATCTTCAACCCGCGCCATGTTGGAAGGGCATGCAACCACCGCCTGGCCAAACGATCCTTGATCGCCTGTTGCCAACCACATTTATAAGGCATATTATATGGGCAGTCAAGTACTTCCATCCTTCATATACTCTCTAATGCTTGCCAAAGTTCTCATTTACGAGAACATACCTGTAACGTGCCTTTCCTTCTTCGAAGTCAACAATAGCTTGGTTGGCTTCCTTCAAGGGTCGCTCTACGACCCAAGATTTGATGTTTTTCTTTGCTGCAAGCTCCAGCATCTCCCTGATATCCCGCGGCGAGCCAGTGTGACTGCCTGCGATCTTGGTACCACTCGGAATCAATACGAAAGCACTGACAGGAGGTAGAATGCCTCCATCAGGGGCACTTTATGTCGTGTTAGTTGAATTTGAACTCATATTCCTTCATAGGGAAGTATAATGGAAGTCAACTTACCCGACTTGGACCAAAGTTCCCTTCGTTCTTAGGAGAGACATATAGCCATTCAATGGCATCTTCTCGCTGGATACGGTGCAGATGATGATGTCCAGGGTCCGCGAGTGCTTGGCAACCCAGTCCTTGTCTTCGTCTGTGGCAATGTACTCATCAGCACCAAGCTTCAGCGCATCTTCTCTCTTGTCGGCCTTTCTCGAGATGCCAACAACCCTATCAGCGCCCATGGCTTTGGCAAAGAGGATGCCATAATGACCCAGTCCACCAACGCCGACAATTCCCACATTCTTGCCCGGTCCGCACCCATTTTCTTTTAGAGGGGAATACACTGTAATGCCAGCGCACATCATCGGAGCAACATTCGCTGAATCGAGTCCTTCTGGAATGCGGAAAACGAAATTGCCATTAGTACGGTTGTAATCGGCGTAGCCACCGTAACTCTTCCCTTCGCCGTTAGGGTAGATTGAACCATATGTGTTTATCAGCTCATTGTGACAGTAAGACTCGAAGCCGTTGCTACAGTCTGGGCAAGTGCTCTGCAGGCATGTTCGTGCTTGGGCACCCACACCGACGCGGTCACCAACTTTGATGTGCTTGACGTTCTCTCCCACACGTATGGCTTTACCGACAATTTCATGTCCTACAACGCAAGCTATGGAAGTATTAGTACGAGGAGGAAGTAGTAATTGGGGGGGATCATACGGTACGGTGTCGGAAGCCATCCGGACTTCATGACATGAATATCCGAGCCGCAGATACCGCAGTGGGAGATTTCTATGTCTACATCGTCTTCGGTCCATTTCTTAGGCTCATATTCTCCCCATTCCCTAAGTGATGTCTGATATCAATAATTATGTCTCGGGTGATTACTCATCAAAGAGTATAGGTTAAAAATGGACTGGCGACTCTCGAACACAACAGAGGTTACGGGTAACACCTACATCTTTCCATGAACCGCTTCTGGGCTTTTCCCTAACCAGCCCTGGAACTTTGGACTCGCCTGTGCTGCCATTGTGAGGTGTTGAATTGAGTAGGTAACTTGTATGAGAGGATGAGATAATAGTTCTTGATGATATTTCCAAGATTTTAGCAAGTTACGAGACTCTGACGACCGCCCAACCTGGACTTAAATATCGGTCAACAGGTTTTCATGTCTACTACGTAGGCCATTACTGATATGATTACTAAAGACAATTTCTTCGGAGTTCTTGGTATCCGTCTCAACCTGTTGAACTAAAACGCTAGGTGGAGATAGTGGTCCATAGAAGGGACGGGAAAAATACCACTTCTAGAGGACACGCGATCAACTAACCGTTCCCCTACAAGTTCATGCTGCAAGAGGTTACATGCCGAGTCTTTAGTCGGAATGTTCCACTATCTAGTTCGCCTCTCCACATTATATATACCGGCGTCTACATCTCGATAGATGCTAGTAGATCTGGCTTATTTAGAGCCCGAATGCCATGGAAATCTAGAAGCTAACATCCAAGATTCAACGCCATACGTCACCTATCATCATTCAAACCTAGCTTCATTAATCAATAGCAATTCTTCATGAAGACTGTCAAAATGGGAGTCAGTCAACGAAGAGATTTGCAAATTCGAATAATTCGTCAATTGCGAAACACTAAACATCGATCAGGCCATCTGGAAGCCGACTAGAACAGGTGGTATTGAACTCCATTGCCCCTGTATCCACTGAAAATTTGTCCGTTAGCCCACCAAGCCGGGAACATTTCCCTATCAGCAGTAGCCTACTACTTAGAATGACGTTGCTTTACGTTGACAGTCCACATTGCCACTATATCTGATGAATCTATGGATCATTAATCATGAAAACCCGGATATTTTCCCACGTCATGTCCAATTGAGCGGTAAGCAATTACTGATGAAACGTCGGCGATAACCAGCATACATATCTCCACGCAGAAATACAAGGGTTAAATAACATCTTCAGGCTCATTTTATGGGTGGTTTTTTACGTAATACAATTCTGTGCCGTATCAAGTTGTCCGACTCATCCTATTGGTCAATTGCATTGAGTGTCGTTGAAATATCTAATTGCGATTATCTAAGGCACCTTCATCAATGCTTTTGCTTACGTATGGCATCAAAATGAAGTTGCCATATATTTCGCGGTTTTGCGACGAGAAAAGCTTGAGATGTTAGTGAGTGAATAGGGGTACCCCCTATGTCCTAACCTAATGTGTCTTCGAATGGAATGTATAGATATAACAATTATCAGGTTAAGTAGAGCAATCAACAAGTAGGCTAGTGCTTCGAGACATCAATATGTAAAAAATAAGCTGTTTTCATTCAATTCAAATAGTTGGGAGGTATGAGGTAGCTTCAGGGGAAAATGTCAAATATTGCCTCTACTTCCAACAGGTTATCACCATCAACCTAACTGATAGATAGGATAGGGGTACGGCCTTTTCTACCATCCATCCCATACCACTACATGTGTCAGTCAATACTTATTAATTATGTATATATGCGAGCATTTCACAACAATAAGGGGTGGTGACACAAGTATGGTTACACAATTTTCTTGGGATATGAACTGGGCAGTCGTAATGGGTCAGTTAACTGCTTAATAGGGGGCAAAAATAGAAGTGCAACGCATCATAAGACCTAGGGCCTCATGTTCAATGTGAACCCAAGTTCCAGTTCACCCCCCAGTACAATTATTCTAGAGTAAAAGACCGTTCCTGGAAGGAACTTGCCCCAATTGGATAGTCACCAGATTATCACAACTCATGGCGGAGTAGCCAATGTTGAAGAGATCTAGAAGAAAACGTATGCAGGAGTGTCACCTGGGTAGAGGTGTAGATCAAAAGAGAAGATTCTCGTTCACTGCAATACAAACAGGCCACATAGCCCAGCTTGAAAATGGTCACGACCATTATTTCACCTTACTATCCCTGGTCTTATCCATGTTAGCTGGCCCAACAAGTCCAGCAGAGTCTGTGAATCCGAAGTTCCAGGCAGCTACTAACTATTCACTCGCATACCTAGAGTATACGCGTACGTCTATCGCCCCTAAGAAGACAAAATGCAACTTCGGTAGCTTGTAATGTTCACCGGGGAGCTTCCGAGGTAGCATTTGATGACGGCTGAATTCAAAGGTCTTCGAAGAGTGAAGAGTGACTCTGGACGTACTGTATACATACAATCCCTGGACTCACTCTAAGATATCCAGGGGGGCGGCCAGAACTGCAGGCCAACGATAGAAGTTAAGGGTCTCGACTGTGTACTTCTCCGCTCAAATGTCGACGAACATTCCCTCCACGTTTGAAGTCACGATATCGGAAGCAGAGGGCCGATGAGGTAACAATAGGGAGATGCTTCCTGCATGATCCGGAGTAACGATGTAAGATCGGCGAGATTCTTTGGCAGAGGGGTAGGTCACTGAAAAGGGTCATCTGGGCTGCCGGTGGAAAGTTTGTGCAACAACAAACCCCCATTACGAGGTTCACGGTTGATTGCAGCGTTATTCCCACGATCACAGACCGCGCATAACTAAGAATTCTTCAAGTTCTGAGGCTCCTATAGGTCTAGCCTTATCGCCACAAGGTGGGCGGCCGTCCGGGTTGCGTCCCTCACCGACACGTTATATGTTAACCGAAAAGAATTAAAAAAAAAAGCACGGCCTTTTTTTATATATTTTCCACGTAATAGCAGGGTATGATAACGAGGATATTAAATCCCTCATAGGCCTAGACGTTGCGAAGAATAAGCACTAATGAAGCCACTTAAGTTATAACGAAGGCACGGCGTTAACTAATTTCAGCCGTCGTGTCGGGTGACTACGCCTATATGCGCGTGTCAATGCGTGGGGAAAAGGGGGGAGAGTCCTACGCTCCTCGAATACTCCAATAAGCTAGCCGCTGACGTCGTGGTGGGGTGGGACAAGCCCTACGATCCCAGATCTAACGATCCAATATGCTTAATCGTGGTCGTCAGGGTTACATGCAGCCGTTCCTCCCGTTTCGTGTACCGGGATCTTGGGTCCGGTCCGGACGGGAATATACACTAGCCCACTTTTGCAGCCATCCGGAGCAACTGTGCAAAAAGAAGAGTGAATGCCCCTTTCCAATATGGAAGTATGGCTAGAGAATTACGACAAGGGTATACGTTATCGATACTATTTTGGCCATGTCAATGATATTCAATGGCTTGAGCGCGCGGGGGTTTGTGATAGTGGAGGCCGAAGAGGGCCAAAAGTGACCTGTCAGTATTTCAAGATACTATGGCGAGACCCCTTAACAATCCTAGCAGAAAATACCCTAGGTAAATGGGTCGAGGAATTGTCCTAGGTGTCCTTCAACTCCAAAGAATCCTTGTAGTACTCGCGGCTGATGCAATTACCCTTCCCTACCCCTGTCCACCTGTATACAACAAACCTGAGGCCTGTCGTGTTTCTAGAACCGCCAGTCTTTAGCCCAAACCACTCCGTTCCGTCAGCAACCTCAGATAGAATGTTTTCCACACGAACATTCAAAACACGGCGCTGTAGTGATCACACAATGTATTCAGACAGCACTAGCTTCAATATACTCCGACCTAATGGGTTTGATCCAAGTGTCTATGGTATTTCCTCCTGGCAACCAGAATCCAAGTACGCCGTGTGAGACGCCGATGTCGTTTTACCAAGTGACAGGACCGAGTTCAACCATGTAGAGTCACAGATACACGTTTGGAATAAACCACATTTTCATACCCCAAACGCCTGAATTTTGACATCAGTGAAATTGGAAAGACGAGCTCATAACACGTTTCCAACCCCAAAAAATACATTGCACACTCAAGATCCTATTAGAAACCAACTTATTCCCTTGGTCATAATTCGTGAGGTCATGTAGACCAATAGCGAGGACCAATTGCCTCGCCCACTCATATCTTCAGCCCGTCATTAAAAGTCGTCCCAAGATGCCTCACGTTTCACGTCCACCCAATCCTCGTTAGGCTCAATTGGCTGGCTCGGAAGCCCTAGATGAACTTGCGGATGAGGATGCATCTGAGGGTGTTCGCAAGGTCCAGCTCCGTATTCGTCAAATGGGTAGGTTGGTGAGTAGGCAGCAAATGATGGAACGCTCGGCCACATCGGATCGTTGTGGTCAGGGCATGGCGACGCACGGTAATCGAAAGAGCTATGAGCAGTGATCATATCGCTGTTAGGGCTGGACATGAGGCTCGGCGAAGGGGAAAATAAGTCAACATCGCTACACGGTGTAAGAAGTCGAGGCTGGATGACACCAGACGTATGATGCATAGGAGGCGGCATTGAACCAGGTCCTGGAGTGAGGCGTGGAGTGAGGCGACTCTCAAAGCTAGGATATGGAGACTCCTGCTTGATTCTCGGGGGAGGTGTCTCAATTGAGTCATGAAGCTCAGGAGAATCTGGAGCGGGCTCCGATTTGACACTCTCGTCTTTCCTTGATCTCGGTTCCTTCTTCGACTTGGAAACACGAGATTTCGGCTGACCTGTTCGATTTCGTCGGGTCGGCTCAAGGCCTAGCATAGCAGATCGGAAGCGCGAATATCTCATCCGAGCAGCGTGGCCATTGGTGATCTTCTTGCCTTCGCCCAAGACTGGATCGTGGGCGACTTTAGTCCAATCGATCTAGATCATACGTTAGCCGCTTCTCGAGAAATGCGACATACATCGCAAAGGTGGGTCCAACTCACGTCCTTGAGGTTCTTCTGCTTCAGAATAGCGAACAGGAATCGAGTCATGGCGTTGTCATTGTTGCTAGCAGTCATGATGGCGGCGTTCTGCTAGGGCAATTGCTTGATGAATAGGGAGAAGATGGGATTCGAATGAGGCGAGCGTTCTCAATAAGAAGTGCACAGCGAAGTGTAAGGCAATTTGGAGACAGCACTCGAATTTAAGAATAGTCTGAACAGGTGGAGTTGAAATGTAATGAGTGAGTCACGGAGTAAGTAGATGTGAAAGTCGGTGAGGGAGGACGAGTGGAATATATGCCAACGCTTCTAGATAAAGCTCCTAACAAGCCTGAGAAGTAAGTTTAGGGATCACATCAAGCCCGTCGATCGAATATGGTGAGCTGAGGTATGACGAGGGGGGTGGGGCTAAACAGTGGCAAGACGAAGCCGTTTGATACCGAGATAATGGAGCCAAAGGAGTCTAAAAGGGTATATTTTTATTGTAAAAGATCAAAGTCTAGGTCGAAAGAGGGAGAGAAATGCATCTAGTTCCGTCCTGCTGGCTATAATGTAGATTAAAAAGGTAAAGATAGTTCGTAACAAGGCAGCTTTTAAGTGCTTGCATGAAAAAAGCACGCTTGTTCACATTGGTATTCTATCATCAACGGATAGATATGGAGGACAGTATGAAAGACACGGTTGCCTAGCAACTCCGGCTCCAACGAGGCGAGCATCATCGACAACTTTGTCTTGGCCAAGGAGGGAGATCAAGGGGTAAGGGAACGAAAAGAGCCAAAAGGGATGGTGGGGTTTACGCGAAAGTGGGATGGTACGCGGCACACACCGCGTAAAGTGGTTTTCCATCCCCCCTGTCAGCCGTTAAGTACTATCGTCTTTTCTTGCCGGGGTCTTGGGGGTCTTGGGGGTCTTGAAAGAGTCGCGGCATCCTGGCTTTGACCAACGTGAGCAAGGACAGGGAAGAGTGATAGTTGAAGCATACAATACTAGGTGCAGCACTCCCATGAAGCCACAGTTACTTAGCAGTCTAAGTAGCTGATATGCATAATGAACAGCAAAAGGATTTTTTGTTGAATCTGGCCTGTATATTGCCTTCACGTTTCGGTTATTAGAAGCCCAACAGAAAAGTTGGTATTCTATTTTGCCTTCACTGAAGGAATTCGTCTGCCAATCAAGCGAGGCAAAAAAAGAGAATGTAACACGAAGCTAGCTTCAGGAACCGATCCCCGAATGGCCAGTTGGTGCCACACTACGAACCAGAAAGTGCCGAAAGAGGTGTGTGAAGTGGATATGGCCCCAGAGATTCGGAGGGGAACCGAGGGGTGGTAAAACGTGTGAGTCACTAACAAATAAATGAGGAGGCTGGGGATCTGAACTGAGTGGACTCGACGACTTGCACATCGAGGCTGTCGCTCCATGTACCTATAGCATGATCCCTCAGTTCTACCTCTAAGCGACTTGTCTTACTTTGCCAATTGGCAATGGTTCCATAATCCTTTAGTGGAAATTGGTCGCATATCTAACAATGCGACATTCAGTCCAGGAACAGCGTGCTCTATTTGGAGGTAGCTGATGACTTTGCAGGCGACTAGCAGCAGGTATGGATAAGGCCTGGTGAGTTGGAAAAGAGGACTGCTGCACTCTGATACATATGTATTTTCGAATACGATAGATTCCGGGGTTGTTCGCTGGCAAACTGGGGGAGATCCCTCCTCTGTTTAGATTGGTTCTGCAAACGAACCAGGCGGTCTCGAGGTATCTAGATGTATTTTGTACTTGTACTTGCTGCAAATAATTTGTTTGCTTTTTTTATTCCTTCGATCGGGTGACGACATGATGCTAAGCTGATTTGGAGTACTTGGTATGATCGGATTGTCCAAGATTAAATACATGCGTAGCTCATGGATATTTGATGTACATACATAAAAAAAAGAAAAATAAGGGGCTGGGGTTGGGGACGCGTTGGAGTCGAAATCGGTGGTACAGTGTGTACAGGGGTCCTCACGCTCAAGTCGCCTTCTCACGTGACGTTTCAGAGTCAATTGCGCTTTTCCATTTCGGGGGTTAAGTGCGTGCATGTACTATCTGATTGAGAAGTACTACGTACCGCTTCCCCTTGAAGAAAAAAAGCAAACGCTCTTTCCCCACAAGTGAATTATGATCATTCTCGGAAGGAACGGAGAGATCCCGTCTTACCATGGCGGGGCAACTGCGTTCCTCGACTGCGCGTGGCGTGATGTGGCAAGCTCGACCTGCGTAACTCTTCGGATAGGTACCTATCTACTTACATACGTGAGAGCGTGTTGCGCTGTTGCGTTGAGATGCGAGTTCACGTGATTCCGGTCCATTAGCTCCAGCTGGCTCTAGGTACCTAGGTAGTCAATCTAGGACAGTCTGGGAAATCTTGAAAGCTACTTAGGTACTTCGCACTTGCCTTGATATTACCGTACCCCGGATCATCTTATGAACCGTGCTCCTGGGTGGGTTTCCATCAGACCAGATCAGACCTAAGAGAAATCAACTAAGCGCCGTGCCGGCAAGGACTCGACCCACCAAAAACCCACTAAGTGCTTCGGACCGCGTAATTCAGGTAGCTCCAATTCAAGCTCCCTGCCCATTCTTCTCAACCTCTCAAAAGCTCCCATCTCTATCAATTTTCGTGATTCGCACGTGCAGAAGCGGCTTATTGTTATAGTCGTTCCCACATCTACTTGTCTAAGTACCATCAGTACCGTCCCTCCAGCTCTAGCCTCGACGGCTCCGAGCTACTCGAACGGTCCAAGATGAACAAGAATTGGAACGACAGAGCTGACAAAGACCTCTTCTTCACCATCCTCTCAGTCAAGAACATCGGTGTAATAAGTGGCGCAGAATGGACTACCATTGGCAACCATATGCGATCCCTCGGCTATGGCTTCACTAACGAAGGTTGCCGGTAAGTAAACCACGCATCTCTTATATTTCAATCTCATATCTTCCTCTGTCTGCGCCATCTCATGATTTCCCTAATTTTCCAATTGACCCTTCTCATCCGAATTATCATTTTTCAACCGAGCCCTCGTCGCGCATCTGACAACATCCTGGGTTATCTGTACATGTCAGATCCCGTTCCAACCCCTCGGATTTACGCCGTTCGTAGGATTCCAGCTCGCCCAATATGATTTTATACATCTCTAGTCCCCTGTAATTGAAGCAAGGTCTTCGTTACGTACATATTTACCTACAATAATATCCCATATCTTCAGTACTGCATGCAGGGACTAACCGACTCAAACTAGTCAACACTTCCAAGGTCTTCGCAGAGCTCAGCATAAAGCCGAGTCAAATGGTGATAGTCAGCGCCGGTCTGACCCTACTGAGAATCCTATCACGCGACGTCCCGGCCCAGGCCGTGGCCGACCCAGAAAACAGCCCCCAGCACCTATTGCCGGCTCAGATCAAGTACACTCCTCAAAGCCATCCAGCGAAGCCCATGAGGCTGACCTAGATGATGATGCCGCACCTATGGATGCGATCCCGGTCGAGGAGACGGACTCCTTGGGTCTAGCGCAAGACGACTCGGCTCTCGATGAAGAACAACCTTCAAAACGACAGCGTCTTGAGAATGACGACCAGACTGATGACGATGCGGCAGTTCTAGCTCTGGCAGCAGATGGATTACCCGGACCTGACGATCATTATGGCCCACCCGAGTAAGTCCCACTTCCTTTTCTACTTAAATAGTCTGACATACTGACACTCAAAATCAATAGGTATTACGGCGAGGCATAGTGATTGCGGCCTTGAATTCTATATGAATTTTCTAATCTTAGAGGTCTGGACGGCAACGATGTGCCAAATTTATTTTCACGCCAAATGCCGGTTCGTTTGAGCTGCGTCGTCGTTTGCCTGAAGCTATTAGAGAACGAGAACTCACGTTTGCTTCTCCTGGGAATATGAGACGAGAACGTCTCCGGGAAGCTTCTGTACAACATCGCAGCATCGCGTTGATCGGTAGTCTGGAGTTTTGAGCGGGCTAGGTATTAATCGGAATAAAAATTCGTGGATAGTCAATCAATCCAATTATCGTAAAATTGAGCTCCTACACTGATTCCTCATATTTGCAACTACCTAGTATACAGCAAGTACTATGGATGTACGATGCCTCCTCGCGGTACTAGAAGAGCATATCCGCCTACTAGGAAAGTAAATACAATGACTCCGAGTGACCTGCCGTCCTGATTTACAGGTACAATGGAAGTCCGGTCGATGTCAAGATCCGATTATTACATACCTATGGAAGGGTTAAACGTCCATAATGTGTTTTGAAGAAAGAAAGAAAAAAAGAGTGTTAAAAGTAATGGTTTCGATGCGAATCGAACCTACGCGGAGACAAAAAGACCGGCGTAGGGTAAGATATGCCTCGCTGCAGAGCACCAACCAATTCCGGCGGACTAGCTCAATGAGCTAATTCTTCGCCTTGGGAAGGGAATCTAGACAGCCTCTCTTAGTGCGCCACTGCTAGTTGCTGGAAGACAAACTTTTAAAAATGCTTATAAGCTTTGTATGTCAGGTGTTAGGTTGGCCATGGCAACTATGAGTCAGTGACTACTTATATAATCAACCCCTGCCTCCTGGTGTGGTATTACCCTAGTTACCTACTATGTACTTATATATACTAGGTAAAGACACGATCTAAAACGCTTTATACCAGAGTAGATAGGCAGTAACCATAGCCCCTATCTACCATGTACACGATAGGAAATGAGTGAGCTTCCTTGCGCAAGGAACTGTTTAATATCTTGTTCCATTGACCAATCACCTAAGAGTACCTATCTTGTAGTAATCTTCTTGTGAAAACCACATACATCTTCCTTATATAGGTACTCAACTACATCACCACCATTCCCGTCGACAGCTTGTGAGTCAAGTATCCAGGTACTTAGTTGACAATTAGACGAACGATCAGGTTCGATTATTTCCTTGATTGACTACGATAATTTTCTATGTCAACATGGACGTCCTTCCATTTCTCAACCTCTACCTACTCCCCCCCCCCCCGAAAGAATTACTCAAAGGCTTCTTAGCACTTACTTATTCTGTGACAAAAATATTCAAAAAATCCTTTTTCGTTTCACCAATTACGTCCCTCGCGTTCATCTTAACAAGATTATACGCTCGACGGCATCCATTATCAATTAATGACAACAATGGCCCAGGAGCCTGGTTTTTACACCGATTTTTTAAAAGCTGCTCTTCAAGTGGGAAAGCTCACGCCACGACAAATTGAGGCCATCGTGGCCCAAATGAACCAATGCGGGCACTCTATCTCTGGAGGAGATTTACTGTATGTTTTCCTTTTCTACTACTCTCAAAAATGCCTACCCTATTATCAAATACAGTCTTTCAATATAGTATATCATCATCAGCTTAAGTAAACCCAGTCAATGATATTTTCCTCTAGAACACGCTACATCTTCAACCCTCTCACGGCGGAAGCGGAACGTCTCCCATACCCTCCGGTCAAGACTAGTAGTATGGCGGCATCGGTGTTGTTTTCCTGTCACAATTCTCACATCAAACCACATGCTCATACAATATATGAATCAAAACAACCTCCTTATCTTTTTCCAATACCGACACCAACAGAAGAAATAACCGAAACGTCATCGGTCATATCGAACTCAACGGATCCGAGACGGCCTAAATTCACCCATGATGTCCCAGCTAACTCTTACTTAGTCAACATTGTGAAAACCTTACATATAGCACTATCCGTGCATCCGAATCGATGAGAAGTAGCACAGAATCTTCTCCAAGAGTCCACCCGACTATTGGACTACTACGTCCAGCCAGCCATGGGCGCACTTCGCGCCATGGCTCCAAGAGACCCAGACCGAAGGGCTCAGGCGAAAATGAGGACTATAGGTCCCCACAAGCAAAGACACGTCCAGAGAAGTAAGCTCATTTTCCATTCCATCCTTTAAATAAAACGATGTAAACGGTGGAACTAACAACTAGAATAGGGGCACATCAGCCGATGCCAAGGACGAGCAGGCGACCACCCCGGAGGATGATGAAGATGTTTAGGTGATTGTGTATCATCCGATTAAAGATGTTGAAGACATGAATTCATCTGAACCTGCTTGAATTGGTTACCTTAGAGTTTGTACTTGTAAGGTTACTGATTCTAAGTACTAAGGGGATGTTATTCACACAGATTCAGAAGAGTCGTCGTCAAAATAAATCAATTTTCGGGACTGTTAACGTCCAGTTCCCATTCTAATCCAATTCTGCAACTGGTATAAAATTCCTTGTGTTGATGTCTGGTAGGACTATCTCGACATTATATATCAGCATGAGAGTAAATCCCTAATCTAACTAATCGAGAAGATGCGCAGTATTAGAGGCCGATCTTCCTAGATCTCTTCAGCGGATCTCAGCGGGAGCTTATGATTAGTGGAGAATACGGGTGGTCCGTCCAGCCCTAGCTTAGCGTTCCGGTCGTTCGGTATCTAATACTATCACGACCCGGCTCATATTAGTCGACCGTCGTCGTCCAGATTAAAATAACATGTCGCATCCACTGACTTTCAAAAAGAACAACGCTTCGAAGAATCCACCGGTGGAAGTTCTCCTTTATGCCAGCCCTGTCGCATATATTTACCTCCAATGATAATTACGGGTATACGCGTTCGTCTTTAGTCTAACCCCTAACGTATCAGATGAAACGACAAGGACAGCCCCGGTGGGCTCACGATGCAACTAGTGATCCACCCAACTACCGTTATAGGAAATCTGCTCCTTGAAAACCCGTGCGATTCAGTCTCTCTAGATGATCTGCTCAGGTGGTGTTAGCTTACTATCCGTGCGGTAACCTCGTCAGCTCTTCGGCGAGGACGCAGTTTTGATCTCCTAATAGTATACCCAGTGCAGATCAGTACCCGCACGAATAAGACTTGCATATTAATTCAGGGGTTCATGAGTACTCCGCAATTACCTTTCAAGACGACGGCTTCGGGGGATCATCGTACCACTAGTTGAAAGAGGTAGGTGGAATGGGTTCTATCATGCTGAAGTATAAGTTGTCGACGACTCCCAGAGCTCTGGTGGTGATACGATGCCTCAGCACCTCAACCAGGGTTCTCTATTTCCTCTCGAGGTTGATCACTCGTTTATATTTGTATATACCTTAGTCATTCAGACATTCGTTCATTCGGCAGAGCCTGTTCTATTCTACAATGCATTCAAATCCGCTTCTCACCCTTAGCTTTGCTACCCTAGCCCTTGCGGCCCCAAGCAAAACCATCAAGCAGCGGGCTAGCTGTACTTTTACTACCACAGACGCACTGTCCTCGGGCAAGAGCTCCTGTACAGACATCGTGCTAGATGGGATCACCGTTCCCGCCGGAGAGACTCTTGACCTGACTAAACTGACCACCGGAACCACCGTCACATTCCAAGGCACCACTTCTTTCGAATACGAGGAATGGGAGGGCCCTCTTATCAGCGTCTCTGGCACTAGCATCACCGTGAAAGGTGCCACTGGCCATGTCATTGACGGCAATGGCTCACAATGGTGGGATGGAGAGGGCAGCAACGGAGGCAAGACCAAGCCGAAGTTCTTCTATGCTCATAGCTTGACCTCTTCGACGATCACCGGTCTCAATGTTAAGAACACGCCGGTCCAAGGCTTCTCCGTCAACGGTGCGAACGATCTCACCCTAGATAGCATCACCATCGATAACTCCGCCGGTGATTCCGCTGGTGGTCACAACACGGATGCCTTTGATGTCGGTTCGTCTGACGGAGTGAAGATTATCAACGCCAACATCAAGAACCAAGACGACTGTCTCGCTATCAACTCGGGCAGCAACATCGAGTTCACCGGAGGCACATGCTCAGGTGGCCACGGACTGAGCATTGGCTCAGTTGGTGGTCGTGACGACAATGATGTTAGCAACGTTATCATCTCCAACTCCAGCATCCTCAACTCGCAGAACGGCGTGCGCATCAAGACAGTGTACGACGCCACTGGTTCCGTTAAGAACGTCACCTACTCAGATATCACTCTGAACAACATCACTAGCTATGGTATTGTCATCGAGCAAGACTATGAGAACGGTAGCCCGACCGGCACTCCTACCACCGGTGTTCCGATCACCGATTTGACTCTAAACGGCGTTACTGGTGCCGTTGCGGCAAGTGCCACGGATGTGTATATTCTCTGCGGTGACGGATCTTGCAGCGACTGGACTTGGACGGACGTGAACGTCACTGGAGGCAAGACAAGCACCAAGTGCTCTAATATCCCCACAGGTGCAACCTGCTAAGCTGGAAATTACATAGCTAGACCGATACATTCCGTAACCTACGATGAAAATAAAACCTCAGATTGAATCAAGCTTCCAAAGTTTTGTTGTCAAAGTGAACAGCCCCCTTATTAACCAATCCTCTTATAAATATACCCTCCTGTCACTTTACCTCCGCGTATTCCTATTGGTATTTCGAATATCCTTGATTGTTCGCTTATTCTCATAGTCGCGAGCTAGGATTCAGCTCCATATGGGTCTTGGTTTCGTCACGGCCCCCAAGCACCAGTCAAGCGACCATAACACTAAAAGGTCCAGGGATTTCTAGACCATTTAAATCCCTATACTATAGTTTAGTCATTCAATCACTAGATTGATAATGATATCCAAAAATAACTACCATGATATATCCAAGTAGTTACCCCTGCCAACCCGCGCGTTCACATGTTGCGCCGTCACCTTATAACTGCGCCCACTCTTCAGCTATCCAGCCAACATCGACTTCGCTTCAATAGTAAGAGTCGATAGAGAACTGGAACTTTCTTCAAATCGAACATGGCTAACATCTACGATCAAGTACCTCTAAAAGCCCAGAATAGTATCAGACTCTTGAAGTTACTCCCAGCTTCTTCAACTAAAGATCAAGTCAAGTTCGAGCTTTTAGAAGCCACTTTGGATCAATGCCCATCCTTCAAAGCTGTTTCTTACTCTTGGGATGGCCAACGTCCTACAGAAGAAGCTCTGTGCTCGGGACAGCCGATTCGAGTCACATTAAACTGCAATAATGTGTTGCAACACCTAGCGGCGAACTCTGCCGCGCCCTCGTTGGTATGGATTGACGCTATATGCATCAACCAGTCCCCAGAAGCCGTAATCGAGCGTAATCAGCAAGTGAGCATCATGGGGGATATCTATACTGCCGCGGAGGAAGTAGTCGTGTGGCTTGGATCGAAGATAGAGCCGTCCTGGGAAAAGACGTTTCTCGACCTTGCCAAGTTCGCCGACGCAAACCTATCTTCTGGAGACGAGAACTATTTGGAACATCTTCTTGACTTAGCTAGTACGATTGACACTAAGGGTAAGCTCCCTATACAATGTGTCGTCTTGGAGATACTTACACGAACACTTGTGTTATACTAGCTCTCAACGATATATTCTGGGGCATAACCTGGTTCAGTCGAGTCTGGGTAGTCCAAGAGGTATCCCTAAGTCGCAAAGCAACTTTCATATACGGCCGAGTCACCCTCAAATACTTCAACCTAATCAAATCATGGTCCGACCTATACAGCACACAAAAAGGGGTCAGTCTCGTACAGAACCTGAACCAGACCCTATACAACGGTTTCGGGACCCACGTCGTATCTCTCCAAGGCCCAAGACGCGCACTCGCTATCACCGAAGGATACGACACAATAGAAGAACTCTTCCGCCAAGCATGTCGGCTTTTAGCAACCGAGCCCCGGGACAAGGTATACGGTTTGCGCGGACTGCTAGTTAGTTACGGCATCTCGCTTCCAGACCCGGATTACAGGAAGCCGATAAACAGCATATTCATGGAGACTACTAAAGCCATCATGAAATTCAACAAGCGTCTGAATGTGGAGAGTTGTTACTACATCTCCGACGACTGGCCCTCCTGGGTTCCGAACTGGGCGAACTCGCTGCCGCCTCCAACACCGAAAGGGGACTACCACGCCAACAAGGGCTCAAGAGCTTGCTTCGACTTCGTCGACCTCCCGAACGGCTCTACCGGTGTGCGCACCACCGCCGTCATAATCGGAAAGGTCTCATCCGCTTTGGGAACCTGTCTCCTAGGCCGCTACCGCACCGCCGAGGCCCTTAAAACCGACTCCATCCTGACCCAAGTCGAGCAACAAGTCGCTCCCGAATGGAGGCAAAAGCGGCTTCTCGCAGGCGACGACATCGCGAAATATCTCGCCGTATACAATATCCGCGTGCTGCGCCTCGCGCTCTCGTACATGGAACACGAGAGCAGCGGCTACGACACTTGGCGCGAGGACCTGTACCAGATCGTCTTCAACCAGGCGTCGATGGACGACAAACTCGACATGCGGAAGCCTTTCTCGCAGTGGCTCGACGTCCTCGGAGATCTTCCCTCCAATCTCACAAAGCAGGAAGTTTCGAGCATCGACGACACCCCCGAGATGGAACTATACAATCGGATTTCGGCAGACGACAAGATTTCGGAACTACATGAGCTGTTTACCGCGGCCACATATTTCTGGACCTTCTTCAAGACGGATTCGGGGGCGTTTGGGGCCGGTGCGTATGGAATAACGGCTGGGGATAAGGTCGCGCTGATCGCTGGTACGTGTATGCCTGCGATAGTCAGACATGTTCACGGGGATAATTACCGGATCATAGCTCCAGTCTATATCTGTGGGATCATGCAAGGAGAGGCTTGGCCGAAAGACCCTACGAGTCTAGGGAATATCACTATTATCTAGCGTTAGTATGCAGTACTCATGCCGTCATCAGTTTGAACATAGATTATTAGTCTACGGGCTCTACTGAATCTGGGTCAGATGAAAATCTCCTGATGTTAGCAAGAGCCCTATTGAGGCAATAAGGAGCAATACCTACCATGAAAACAACACCCTTATCAATACTTGCGAGAATCCCTGCAAATGTAGTCGAAGCCGTTCAAATCAATAGCACCCAAGCACCTCAGCAACATCCCACCAAAGCACGAGAATATCATGATCATCATATTAAGCTACCAAACCCTAGTCGCAGTACCTAGCAACTCCATAAACGCCTCGTCGATGTCCTAGTTAGCTCACTTCAGTTTCACATCCCGTCACGCCTAGCGTCCATCCAGTCGGCGTCCCTCATTCGCCTTCTTCTCCGGCGCCTTACCCTTTCCCTCGCCCTCATCCTTCCGCTTGACCACTCCCCTAAGAGTTTGGCCCTGTCCCGCGAAATGCGGTCTGGCAGCGTTCTCCTTCTCCGCCTCCTTATCCGCGTCCGTCTTGACGGGCTTGATCTCGTAGCCGAAGAACAGCTTGTTGGGGGGTAATCGGAGCGGCATAGGACCGTTCGTTCGTCGCGGCGGAGCGGGAACGGTGTTGGTCGATGCGCCGGCTACGGGAGTCGAGGGTTTGGGCGTCGGGGCCTTGGATCCTTTCTTAGCGTTCAGCTTGTGGCCCTCGCTCAGGAAATGCGATGAGACGGCTCGGGCGCCGGCCGCGGCTGTCGTAGCGTTGGGGGCGATAGCGTCGTAGTTGATAGACTGGGCCATCGTGCCTTGGGGATGCATAAGCCCGCCGGCAGGTAGGCCGCCTTTCGTACTTCGCGGTGTGCTCGTTCCGCTACCCTTCTGTGGTTCGACGTATCCCACCGGTGGGGCGAATTCCACAGAGACATCCGTCTCAATCATACAGACACCCATCTTCTCAGTCTCTGGCTTCACCTCTAGAACTGCTACCTCGTAGACCTCGTCGTTATACTCGAAGTTGAAAACGTCGCCCTTGGTAAGCGTGGCAAAGTTCCGGAAGGCCTTCTCTAAGACCGCCTTGGGGTCGCTGATGTCGAGGAAGTTGGTTGACTGCGGTTGTAGTTTGACCATCTTGGCTAGCTCTAGGGATGTCGTCTTGATCTGGATCATGTCGCCGACGTCTAGTTGTAAAGTTTGCATCATCTGTACTCGTTAGCCACAGTCCATAACCCTCCTGGACCTTGAATCAAACGAACCCATTGTGGTATGTATGCTCTGCCCTCCTCCGCTACGAACTCTAGCACACCTGCATGAGTCAGACGTTCCTTCTCGCCGTTCACCAACTCCATCATAAGGGGCCACTGCACGTGCAGCTGTGAGATCTTCTGAAGTGCCGAAGGTGGTAAGAATATCTTGGAACCGTAGTTCAAGTCCGGTCTCTCGGCTCCGGGGGCCATGATAATCGGGTAGCAGCGGAAGTACTCGTCGAAGCGTCGCGCGGCAGCTCCGCGCATCATGCCGGAACGAGCCATGTACGCCATGGCTGCTGGGTCGTCGGCGTCGAAGGGGCTGAATCCACCGCGATACTATAAGGTGTTGAGATTAGAAAAATGTCTAGAAGTTCGGAGCATAGAGCCGGTTGTGTAACTAACCATATTGAAGGTGGGGTTATTCGGTGCTTTGGGAGGTTAGTTTGTAGATTTGGGGAAGATAAGATTAAAAGAGACGTGAAGGTATCGTATTTTAAAAGACTGGGTGAAAAACGACCAGAGTTCTAGTCAGAAGTCGAAATAAGTTGTTCGTGTTAGAAGCTTCCCTGACGCAGCATACAAAGCTATTGGACTTTTCTTAGAAGCTACAGTCATCTACCCGAAGGCAACTACACTTGATGACGAAAGTTCGGGTGTGATATTATTCCGCATAGGGTGGCACCTTCTACATTCACCCGCACTGACACCCGACAGCAGGTTAGGTACGAGCCAGGGGTAACGCTAAAAGCTCCACTAAGCGACCCATAAGATTCCCTAAACGTGCTGTAGCTTCCTGCCCCACCGATGAGCTGCAGCTATGTACAATCGAACAAGGGCAAATTTCAACGTCATTTTCCAACCTGCCAATAAGGCTCTACATATTTCATTTCATACCTTCCACAACCCATACCTACTTCGCAAATAACCCGCGACCAGCTTCATCGTCACAACCCAAAATGTCCTCCCGATACAGCGCGGCGCGCCCCAAACGCGCGGGCGAGAACTACGCGCGAGCGCATCACGCAGAGCCGAACTCCAAGAAAGTCAAGTTCGACGTGAGGAATCCGTCCGCGCTCGCCCCCGACGCAGGCGACGACGAAGACGAGGACGATAACGACGTATTCTTACAGGCCGATGCCGACGTCATCCGCGGAAGCGCCGCTACTAAGCGCGGTGCTGTAAATATCGACGGTTACGACTCGGATTCCGACCGGGAGGATCTGGGCACACTACACGCGTCGAAGTCTAAGTCGAAGAAAGAGGATGAGGATATGGACGACATGTTCGCGGCCGACGAAGACGTAGATGAGAAGGATGATACTGTGGACGACACCACTGGCAAGAAGAGCAAGGAAGTCAAGTTTGTGGATACGGGAGATATCGACGGCCAAGTAGCAGAGTCGAAATCCGGAGGGCACGTACGACTAGACGATGAATCGTCCGGAGATGACGACGAGGAGACAGTAGAGCTCGCAATACAAGAAGAAGGGATCGACGAAGAAGTTGGTGCCGGAGGACTGAAGAAGCACGCCCCCAAGGTCGAAGCATTCAACCTAAAAGCCGAGAATGAAGAAGGACGGTTTGACGAAGCCGGCAATTTCGTGCGCAAAGCTGTGGATCCCGATGCAATTCATGACCGGTGGCTAGAAGGCGTTAGCAAAAAGGAGATGAAGAAAGCAGCGGAAGCCCACGAACGGCGCGAGGCCGAGCAACGGCAGAAGCGCAAAGAAGACGATAGCGCCCTAACCTCAGACCTCCTCAAATCCCTAATTCTACAACTTGAGCGCGGCGAAACGGCATTAGAAGCTCTTGCTAGGCTAGGTCGGGGCCAAACAAAAGCGAAGAAGGTTCCGAAGTGGAAGCAGAAGAAGCAAAAGCCAGACTCCATGGACGTCGACGGCGAGAAAGCACCAGAAGACCCGGAACAAACCCGCATCAAGGATGCCATCGACGCCATCACCGAGGCCGCGGATAAACTGCTCGGTAGAGACCGGCCGGATATCTACGATAGGGAGAGGGAGCGTTTGGTTCGGGAGTACACCCGCGAAGCAGACGAGCCGTGGGTAGAGCCGAAAAAGAAGTCCGAGGAAGCCCCTGCGAATAAGATGTGGGAGTTCCGGTGGACGGACGGCAGAGATAACGCCGACAAGCAAGGGCCTTTCGACGGCCCAACCATGAAAGCATGGCAGGATGCCGGCTATTTTGGAGAGGGCGTCGAGTTCAGGGAAGCCGGTGACGATAGTTGGAGTCGTGTTGCCGACTTTGTATGATTAAGAGGTCCTGCAAGACCGCAAAAGCGATACCACTGGCGTGTCTAATGACCGCTCTATGAATACGATCTAGTACTTGAACTTGATGTATAAACAATTCCATACAGAGATCAAAAGTTGGCATTGCGCTTAAGCAGACCGATATATCCTAACCATGTCAAAAAGGGACATCATGACGTGACACAGATACCCGGAGTTATTTTCCCCATTCTTCTATTTTGCTATAACCACAATACATGGCTGCTTACGACAAGAATAGATCTACCCATCTTTAGAACCCAATCGTGAGAATCCACCCGAAACGACGATATCTCAACCAGCCTACAACATAGCACAAGCAAATTATTCACATTCAAGAGAAATCGACACAAGTTCGGAAATTAGACGTGGTAATCATTCAAAAGTACCATTTTGCTCGGTCATGCCGGCGGGATATCATCGAAGCAGCGCAACCGCTGCCGAGTTGGGAAAATACACAATAGCCACCGATTAGGGGCCGATCACCTCCTTTGCTTCGCCTCCACCCCTTCTCTCTCCACTCCATATATGAAATCACTCCAATGCATCTAGCTTTTTTTTACTCAACTCTCTCCTCGCTTAGACTGAATTTGCGTATGAAAAAAATCAATCAGTAAATCCTGTATGTCCTAAGCCTAAACAGCTCCGTAGGATTGCGCACGTAGATAAACCCCCTTAAATTCCGTCCGTTCCAGCGAGACGCCGCATGCCAATTCCAGGTCGCCCTCGACCATGTCTTCACATCTCAGATACCCAAACTCAGAAGGATTGTTGCAGACGCGGAAATAATAAAGTGTTCTGGTATCGTGTCATAGGAATCATGGTTCGTAATATACATAAGAATGCAGGTTAATGCCGCCGCAAACGCCGTATATCTTGTTTGGTGGCACCGATTCTAGTTTCAGTTCGATGTAGCAGTTCCGTTTGTTACAGTATATCCTATTTTGGCGAGGGCGTCGACTGGTTTCCATGAGCTGTTCGCCTGCATGACCTTTCGTAGGATATCGAGAGTGATCGGTACAGCTTCTTCTGGTGTCGTCCAAGGCCCAAGTCGATCAATAAGCTTGCCTATCGAGCCCCCGTCATCTGATTTGGAGCTTCCGTCGTATACGCCCATGGCTCTGCGTGCGCTGTCGGCCTGTCGCCAGGTGTCTTGCTGCTCCTTACTGTTTGTGAGCATCAGATTCGCGAACTCCTGGTCGTGAGGATAGGACCACACTATACGGCCGATATGTACAAGGCAAATACCTTGAAGGCGCAATATTAACGCAGTCAAGGCATTGTGTCTGGCACAATCGCTTCTCGTCACTCGAAATAGGGGTAACAATTCCCTTAGTGACCGAATCGAAGCAGGTTTGCGTTCCAAGTCAGCAGCATCGCTCTGCAGTTTGAAGCCGAACAGAAACGAGACCAAACACTGGATGCCAGCGGCAATAGCAACCTGGCGCTCGCGCTCCGAAATCCCTTCTGTTTGCTTCTTCAAGACGGCATCTCGTTCATGTTTTAATTTGATGGCAAGTTGTATTATACTCGACGACCGTGACTGTAACTTATGTAACTTCTCCGGATCAACAAACGGGCGCCGTCGTTCGGGTGGTTGCGCGGCGGGGGTGAGGCCATTCGTAACTCCCGGAGTACCAGCTTGTGAACTATTGGATGCGACACGAGTCATTGCTGATGATTGTCTTGGTGGTGTTGTAGGGCGTGTATTCTCCAACGTCTTCGGCCGTTTGATCGCTTCGCTAGCATCCGCCGCTGGGATGGGTCGCTTACGTGCGGTGCCGGGTTCTAAGCTATCGGAACGATCACGAGCTACAACAGCATCTTTCCTCAAAAGGTCGATCTTCTTCCTCCCAATGGGAGGCAGGGCTAGAAGTCGTTCTACCCTTTTCGCATTTCGTTTCTTGTACTTCAGAGTAACCTTAAGCGACTCCCGCTGTCCTTTGTTACTATCCACATGGATGGTCTCTTCGCGCTTTGAAGGCTTCGCCGCTTTCTTCTGGCCATTAGGAGAGTCCGAAATTTGACTACTTCTTTGACTTGAGTCCTTTAGGTCCTTTGACGGAGTAGATTTGTTCGTCTTTGCCAACTCTTCGAGTACAATGGGTGGGAGTGTCGGGGATAGGAGTGGTGGTATTTTGCGCCTCTCGGAACTAGGTGACGGTTCGCGATCTTCCCGGCTCTTCTTCGACGGTGGCTTTAGGCTGTTTGAATCTGCCGGCTTCTTCTTGGGGATGGAGCGTGTTGTTTTAGGGTCATCATCTATGTAGTCCGACATATCTATTGGAGATAGCAAAGGCGGCACATATGGCGGCTTCGAATTTGAATTGTTTTCCGTCCTCTTATCTGCTATATCTCTGGTTTTAGAGGACTTTTGGACGCCGTTCGTATGAGTGCTAGGTTTGGGAGAAATGCCTTTGTGCGCTGTGCTTGCTAGTGCTGATCTACCATTTGTAGTTGGAAGAGTTTTCGAGTCTCTGGCTAGCTTCTTTTCCGAAGATATCAGCCGCTCAGACTTTTGTGGCGTGTGGTCTTTGCTAGGGCGCGAGCTTATAGGGTTCGGTGTGGCATTCTCAACCTTGCTTCGCTTCGCTGGCTTGGAATCTTGGTCTATTTCTGCAAAACGTTTTTTCCTCTCCGGTGAAGGGCTGCGATGGCGACGCGCCTCAGACTTCAGGCTAGCCTTTATGTCGGGTGCCGCCCTCCGGCCATCACGGTGGTCGTCCATCTCCTTTACTACCGGATCCGGCAGTTTCTTCGTAGGCGCATTCGCCTTGGCGGGCTGCGCAGGTGGTTTAGGCGGCTCTTCGCCGTCAGGAGACTTCTTCCTGTTCTTATAATCTTTTAAGGACAGTTTCGTCTTAGGTTTGTTAGGATCGCTCTTCTTGGGCGTCGGGGTATCTGTCGCATTGGCAGAGTTTACAGGCTCTTCTCGTACGTCGAAATAGGCTCTCGTAAGGAGAATTCCACGCTCGGCGTCACTGATGAATGTTGTGTATTGGAGAGGCCTGATGATTTCTTCTTCTAATCCCTTCTCGTCTGTTTGTTCTCTGTATCGTCGCGTCGTGTCAAGCGATAAGTAGTGTGCTTTGAAGGGCAAGATGTTTTTAACTAATGTTTCAATCGTCTTGGTCGCTTCCTCCATGGTTTTCTTTGTTCATGCAACTGCGAAACGTTGCACGCGAGCTTGGTGCTAGGATCATGAAAGAAAGAAAGGAAAGCGCGGTTACGGGTTACGGGTTACGGTTCACGGGTTGGTTGCTGACTTAGGTACGAAAGGACGGCGTTGAAGATATCATCAGGGTTCGAGATGTTGCGATAAGGAATTTCTGCATTTTTTTGAGTTCAGCACGCCAGTTTCACCTCGTCGCTATAGGATGAGTATAATGGGAAGATAGTAGACAGAACAACATATGACATTAATACCCGAAAACATTATAATATGTAAATATTCAAGAAATGGTAAAAGATAGTTCAATTACCTGTACTGCGTAGATAGGGATTGGTTGAATTGGGAAATAATGGAGATAGGTAGCACAGTACATTGTAGAAAAATAATATGATTATATCCAGGGCATGGGTATGGAGTATGGGGATGTATGGATGTATAGATGTACCTTTTGTTATGAAGAGGTATTGTGGTATTGCGGTATTGAAGTATTGGATGTATCGACTGACCTCAAAGTTTCCAAGGTTGGGTGCGATAGTGACGCTGGCTCTTGCCCTGCACACCGCGCACTCTGCACTCCGTACGGCACGGTATAATACAATGCAAATGTGTAGCAAATATGTAGATACCTAGACACAGGCTATTGTTGTCGCGTACACATCATCTGCTGTCTTATCCAGCCTCCAATAAATCCTCGCGACATTCGGCCCGGCGCATCGCTCATCAAACTGTGGCTCGCGTCGGCGAATGATTACAAGAACAAGAAGAAAAATAAAAGAGACCAGGATTGCGAACCGCGGATCGATGTTTTGGCGAAGGGGAGGAGCAAAGGGAGAGCCAGGGGTGGTTTGAGGTGAAGCTCGTCGGAGAAGGAAAAGAGAAGGAAAAAAGAAGAGTCGGGTTAGGAAGCCAGGTCAAGATAGTGTGCGTGCCGATAATTGTTGTTGCAGATGATGCGTGATGATCGGCAAGCGGGAAGATGTTGGTGAGAGTGCAGGTGGTGGAATACCGACCGCAAGTAGCAATCGTTGTAGGTAATCCGTAGTGAGGTAGCAGACAAGGTAGGAACGTCAAGCGTCAAGGTAGAGAGAGGTAGCGGCACGTCTACCTTGACTACACAACAAAATACAGGGATGTTCCAGTATGCTAGTATGGGTGGGTTGTGGGTTGTTGCTTAAGCCTTAAGCCTTTTGGAGTCCCCCTTTGTGAGGGACCGGAAGGTGGCAGAGTTGGTTCGGAATGGAGCAGGACAAGCAGGGGCGGGCAAAGATGGACCCCCAGTTTTAACCCGTCGTCACGTCGTCACGTCGTCACTCTCCAGCTAATGTTTGCTTGCCGCCTGCTACTGTTGTCACTGTTGCGGCTGGCAGTTTCCTTCGTTACGCTGACACACTTGCACGCCGGGTTATAACGTTAGCGCTAATGGTGTAAACTGCCAGGTGCCAATGCCAAAGTGGGATTTGATGTGGCTTTGCGTGGCTTGCCGGTTCAAGGATCCCTACACAACAGGATACGTACTGCGTAAGCGTTCCCATGCGTCGGGATGAATTGATAGGACAAAAAGGCAGAGATAGACCATTAGCATCACATCATTCACACCCGACTACTACCCTATCTATCCAGGTGTCTACAGGCATCTAGGTGCACCTAACCGATTATGGCTTACAGCAACGCAGGACTAAATCCAGCACATGGCGCTGCCCAGCAGTGTGCTTCTTCCTTCTACCGAGCGATGCATTTCCGACATGTACGATAAATCCGTTAAGCGAGAAATGTCTCTAGATGGGAAGCACAACATGCGATTTTCTCCATTGTAGATCTTTGGTAGGATCGCTTCACTTTTAGAATGTTCCACAATCACCATCACTGGACTTGCTCTTCAGATCGAGACAATTTGCTGTGAATATGGATGGGTTATGTCTATAATTAGAGCCGCTGGCAGACAAGGCTGCAGGGGTTGGTACAGGTAACTTTCTGATTTTTTGGGTAAGGCAAGGCTCGTGTGGAACACCAAAAGCTAACGTGGGGTGCTTCATGTCGCGTATTGCAGTAAGATTCTTAACCCTTTTTTTCCTTGTTTAATACCCTAGGAAAAAAGAACACACAGCCTCGCAGTTTGTCAGCCTCATGTTTTCAACAACAAGGTTCTCTGCAGGGATTTAAGCTGCACAGCTCCAATAGCTATACATATTTCTCCTTTTTCGATTTTTACAGTTTTCAAGTGGAAATTCTTAACCATAGTGAGAATATCACAAACTGCAACATCAAAGACTTTCTGTGATCGTCGAGAGCACGACGACTCAAGAACTCTTCATACCCCAATATTCCCACCACATCCGACAAGATGGCAGACAAATCAAGCAGCCTGCTCCTAGCACCTTCGTCAATGATCGTCGCCACCAGCATCGTAACCTTTCTAACAGGCTTCATGTTCGGCGTATACTCGATCCGCGGCTACCTATTCGTCTCCCCAGCCCTAGCTTCCGAGCGACGAAGCAATGTCGACGACCCGGTAGAGAGCGAAGAGTCCGACATAGACGATGACACGATACTTGACCACGCACCCAATTGGGCGAATGGGGAGGACGCCGACCAACGAGACGGGCTGAGGATGCCTAAACAGAAGAAGTCTAAGAAGGCTACCAAGGCAGAAGAGAAGGATGACAAGGAGGATGTCATCCCTCTAGCAGATGCACCCGCAAACGAGGAGTGCAAGTTGGTACTAGTTGTACGGACAGACCTAGGCATGACAAAAGGTTCGTCTACACCCAATCCACCCAGAAGCAGCTTGTCCATTACACCTAGTTTCCTTCACTCCCTCATCCCCACAAGTAGCCACCCACTAACCTCCTTTCCCACAGGCAAAATCGCAGCGCAATGCTCCCACGCCACCCTCGCATGCTACAAGACCCTGACCAAGGCCGCAAGCCGCAACCCCTCGTCCCCCGAAGCCAAGCTCCTACAGCGCTGGGAGCGTCGCGGCCAAGCCAAGATCGCCGTGCAATTAAAGTCCGAAGACGAGCTCTTGGAGCTGATGGGCAAGGCGCGGAGCCTAGGGATAACCGCTGAGGTCATCCAGGACGCCGGGCGCACGCAGATCGATCCTGGCAGCTTGACGGTGCTCGGCGTTGGGCCCGCGCCCAAGAGCTTGGTAGATCGGGTTACGGGAGGGCTCAAGCTATTATAGGGTGGTCTTAGGATATGGATTAATAAGACACGAGGGGAGCATGGTCGGTAAATAATGCGGACACGACAAGGCAAAGCATATAGACATGGGCATGATAGAGCGCAAAGGGCTACGAAAATACATCCACGGGCGGCACGTCTGAAATACAATTAATGATAAACTCGATGTTTTTATATTGTCGTGTTTCCAGGGAATTCCTCATTGTAGCAAGATCCCTCAGGAGCCAGGATACTTGCGTCTCATAATTCGAAATCAAGCGTCAACTCCATGAACACACATTAGACTCCTTATTGCCAGGACCTATCCGCCCACTGAGGGACATTCCCTCCCGACTTCTAGCCTCTTGTCACTAACCTTCCACCATTTTCCCATTCCAAATACTCTCGAAGGAGCAACAATAGCAGCATAAAAGGGGTATTTTGCAATGCATGTCTAAGGCGATAACTCGAGTATTTAGAGGTTCCCATATGTACCCTCACCATACCGAGAACCGCAGTCCACGGTATATCACTGTCCTTGTTGATACGAACGCCAAACCATAAGCATGAATAGACTGAGTTTCGACGCCTTTTCGGCCACCTCACACCAGATCTTCGCGAATACATGAATTCCAAAAACCCAAGCCAAGAGGGTGATAGCTGCCAAGAAAAGCCGCTACAGTCGAGCAGAAATCATAGATTATAACTGCTGCTGCGGTGCTGTTGAGGGGCGAACTGGCCGTTTGAGCCAAGCTTCCGTTTCTTAGTCATTAACTCCTCAGAAGGTGACTCGGAGGAAGCGTGTCGTTTCCCATCAAGTGGAGAATCCTTCATAATTTCGGCAATTTTTTTGTCCTTATATGACGCGAGAAGTTTTTGCTCAACTTCAAAAATCATGTTCTTCAGTTGCATAAGCTCGTTCTCAACTCGGGCAACCCGTGCTTCGTTCCGTTGTCCGTACGGATCCAATTGCTGAAGAATCCTCTCGGCCATTTGTTTCGAGCTGAGATTCGACCACTGGCTATCTAACACTCGGACAGACAGTTCTAGAGCGTCAAATCTCTTTTTAGCGTTGTCTATCTCCGGTTTGATAACCTTGACGATAGCCTCGGTGCTAGCAACTCCATCATAGCCGTTATTCTCCTGAATACCCTTAACCTTCTTCTCGAGCTCCACAAGGCCGGCGTGGACACGGACAATCCGTTCACCAAGTCTTTGGCCTTCTATCGACTCAATACGATTTTCAAAGCGACGCAGGCTCTGACTTTGTTGATCCGTAATTTGCTGTAGAGCGCCGATCCGCGTCACCATATCCGGATCTTTTGAAGCAGCCACTGTTAGACTTAAAGTATTGACGGTTGTTTGAACATTGTCGATGCGAAGTCTCACTTCATCAACCATCTCGGCACAGGCATCACCAGAATCAGCGACCACCTTCTGTATGACCTCGTTGAGAGAGTTAAGCTTCTCTTCAACAAAAGCCATGATGTCTCCTGTTGCCTGATTGGCTGCTGGGGGTGTGGCTTGTCGTGCTTTTTCTAGGGCCTGGAGGGCAGCTCCTGTCCCCTGAACCGATGTTTCACTCTTATCAAGCCGTGACGTAGCTGATTCTTGAAATGATTGGAGATCTTGACGTAGGGCTGTGATCAATGTGTCATGAGAAAGTAGTTTGGTTTTGAAATCGTGATCGATCCACGTTTCAAGAATTTCATTGTACGTCTCCATATCGAGATCTTCAACCTTCTCCATAGAGCCACGCACCTTGCCGTCCACATCATCTACCTTCGTCTTCAAGGATAGTAACTCTTCAGATAACTTATTCACCTCATCTTGAACTCGCTGAACGAAGTCTTTGGTGGACTTGAGGTCTGCAACCTGCTGTCTAAGTTCCGAGTTTTCGGATTTCAGGGCGGTGTGATCAGATTCGAGAGTGGTGTAACGAGACTTCAAGGCGGTGAAATCTTGCTCTAATGCGGCCAAAGTCTTATTGGATTTGTCCCGGTCGTTGAGTAAAATTTGTATCTGCACTTGTGCTTTGCCCATCTGCTCTTGTGTTTGAGCCATCTGCCTTTGTCCCTCAGAAGCTTGTTTCTGAAATTTCTCGAACTCAGCTTCTAGTTTTGTTAGCGACGCTGCTTGGTCCGCTGCCTGGGGATTCGTAGGCGTATGCGATGATATGGCGCAGACAACCTTTTCCAAATCTTCCGCGTATTGATCATCGAGTTCGGCAAGCCGCTTGGAGACGTCGTCGCGCTCTGCCTTCCCACTTTCTTCAAATCGTTGCTTGAATTCAAGATATGGTGCATAGTCGTCGACTTTACCACTAATCTTACTCACTTCCGCCTGACGTCTCTGGTCCTCACGTAAGAGTTTGGATTTCCGCAACTTCAAGAACGTGCGTTCTTCTGAGGTCTTATTGCATTTAAAAACAGCGTCAAGTACATCTTGCAACTTAGGGTCTTTTGCCTTTGGAATGATAGGGGTAATTGCAGAATTGGGTAGGGTGTTTGGGTTAGATTTTCCAACTCTATTAGCAGCTATTGGGTATGTTAGAATGGTGAGTTGTAAGGTGGTTATCAGGGATCGGAACTTACCAGGTTCAGTGGGGACATTACCAAACGCACTCATAGCAGACCGAGTTGAGGATGATGACCGAGGCCCATCGACAACCTTCGTGTCTATGTGAAGCCTTTTTGGCGAACCCAAACTACCCTTCTTGCTAAGGTGTGGACTTCGCGGAGGTCCTCTGGGCTCGCGCGGGTCTCTCATGTCCCTCGAATCGCGTCGACCCTGATCCATGTCGCGAACTCGGTCTCGTTCAAAGTTGTTATTGTAATCGTGAGGTTGTCCTCTATCTTCATTTGGCTTATAAGACTCGTATCCATTGAAGCGAACTCGTTCATTCTCATAGCTGTTGACTCTGAATCGAGAGTACGACATGATGAGGTAAAATTGAAATAAGTTTACCTCGCAACCCAGATGAATAAAGTTAACCCGCCTTTCGGCCCCAGCCCCGATTTCTGAAATTTACAATGCGACTTCCTGGTAGCTCAGTCATGTATGGTAATAGCATTTCCTTAGAAACTTAGGCCACTTCCAATCTAGGTAATTGGAAAGCTTATACGAGACCCCGTAATGTTTGCGCGCCTAAGATATTGAATCGAGATTGGATTCGATCAAACGCTTTTTGTATGTATGACAAGTGCTATTAACTTTGGAGGTTGCGTTCGGTGGGATTGGACTCAGACGGAAATCACCAAATATTTCACCTCGAAAACTGTACTCGAGTATTAAAAGTACATTAGAACACTTGAGAAGTTTCGGACGAGTCCTCTTCAATAATTCAAGCGAATCGCGTGAATTTTCAGCTCGAATCATAAGCTGTAAGGGCGAGGGTTGGTCTCTTCAGATGAAGAATTAGTCTTGAATGTTTGATTTAATAATTGATTAAGAGATGAGTAGGTGAGTGTAAATTGGGGTGGTGGGTGAGTTGATATAAAATAGTTGGTAGTAACCGGGACCCTTAGTGGAATTAGCGTTTAGTATTCGGTGTGTGCGTTATGGACTCGACCGTTTCAAGATAAACCCTGCAGTTAGCGACTGACTTGGCACTTCAAGCACTAGGTAGGAGCGTTATGTTTAATCCATCCATTGAGAAAGAAGGTATGGTTAAGATAAGAAGAGATGGAAAGAGCGCGATGGTAAACGACCGAGTATTTTATGTTGTTCTTTCCTCCTATCAGGTTTTTATGTATCGTAACTTAAGGCAAATATGGGTCATGAAACACAAGAGTTGTATGCATCCACATGTCTAAGGTGGATACTTGCTTCCAAACGAACGACAACTGATATTCACTTAGAAAGGACGATATAAGAACAAGAAGGTAGATATGTCGGAATACATGTGCATCAAAGACTGTCGCCGTGGAAAGAAAATACAGGTCGACATTATCATGTTTAAAATCGAAAGAGCTTTGAAGCGCTTATTTAGTGGGCAGGTTGCCCCGGGATGCGAGTACGGGTTCTACACGCGACGAAACGTGACAGACTGGCAGATTAAAAGTGGCGAACAAGCGGGAAAATTATATGTAATTTAAAATTGCTTTTTTAAAACGCGTTTACCCTAGGATTTGGTATTTCAGCTCGATGACCATGCATATAACATATTATACTTGAATAACGAAGTCCGATGCACGAGTGGGGTCAGGCACGGATCAGGTATCATTGCATCAATTATTATGTAGCGTATAACTTGATACTCCAATCAGAAAACATTTTCAGTTTTAGGGTGGTCTGAATAGTCTTAATTGATTGGATTTACTCACCGCTTAGAAGCCACTCGAAGCGCCAGTTCCTTGGGAAAAAAATCCCATAGGAGGAAGCTGTGATCAACCGTTTTTTGAGCCACACGCCACATGCCACGCAAGCCACTTATACGTACATGCATCCATGTAAGGGAATGCCAAGAGTTCCGATAAGAAAGTGATAAGGAAAGTACGTACCTCGTCCGCGCATGCAACCTTGTAGCGCGTTCAATTTTCTAAAGCTAGGATTCGCTGTTGCTCTTAGAAGCTCTATTCAAAAAATCCAACCAGCAAGGCTGACAAAAAGGGACAACACCGAAAAAGGATAACGTTGGAAACCACAACGCGAAAAGGGAGACAACGAGCTGTGAAATACTTACGCCAAAGAATTGAACTGATTTTCTACCATGGCTGCTGTAAGTACCCGACTTTTAAGGAATTGCTGGTCTACAAAGTGCAAGAAAGGGAAGCTCCAGAAGCTAATCAACATCGCCTAACAATGCAGGCCGTCGTGACCGTCGGCGAGACCAAAGAGCTGCGAGGCCTCAACCTCATCGCCGCACATTCGCACATCCGAGGCCTAGGCGTAGATGCCGACACGTTAGAGCCTCGTACGGCGTCGCAGGGCCTCGTCGGCCAGGAGAAGGCGCGAAAAGCAGCGGCGGTGATATTAGAGATGATCAAAGTTGGCAAGATCGCAGGTAGAGCTGTTCTCATTGCCGGGCCACCGAGGTAAGTCAAGCTAGCTACACATGCGTGCTACCTTCATCGCTCATCACGCAATCGCTACACAGCACCGGCAAGACGGCCATAGCCATGGGCATGGCGCAATCGCTCGGCCCCGACGTGCCCTTTACGACGCTCGCCTCGTCGGAGATCTTCTCGCTCGAGATGTCCAAGACGGAAGCGCTGACGCAGGCCTTCCGCAAGTCGATCGGCGTGCGCATCAAGGAGGAGTCGGAGATCATGGAAGGCGAGGTGGTCGAGATCCAGATCGACCGCAGCGTGACGGGCGGCGCCAAGCAAGGCAAGCTGACCATCAAGACGACCGATATGGAGGCCGTCTACGACATGGGCGCCAAGATGATCGACGCCATGACCAAGGAGCGCGTCATGGCCGGCGACATCATCAGCATCGACAAGGGCTCCGGCAAGATCACCAAGCTCGGCCGCAGCTACGCCCGCAGCCGCGACTACGACGCCATGGGCGTCGACACCAAGTTCCTGCAGTGCCCCGACGGCGAACTCCAGAAACGCAAGGAGGTCGTGCACACCGTCACCCTGCACGAGATCGACGTCATCAACTCGCGGACGCAAGGCTTCCTCGCCCTCTTCAGCGGCGACACCGGCGAGATCCGCAGCGAGATCCGGGACCAGATCGACACCAAGGTCGGGGAGTGGAAGGAGGAAGGCAAGGCCGAGATCGTTCCCGGCGTGCTCTTCATCGACGAGGTGCACATGCTGGACATCGAGTGCTTCAGCTACATCAACCGCGCGCTCGAGGTGGACCTGGCCCCCATCGTCATCATGGCGAGCAACCGCGGCCACGCCAAGATCCGCGGCACCGACTACCGGTCGCCGCACGGCCTGCCGCTCGACTTCCTCGACCGCGTCGTCATCATCCAGACGCAGACTTACTCGCCCGACGAGATCCGCCAGATCCTGACCCTGCGCGCCACGGAAGAAGAGATCGACGTGTCCGCCGACGCCCTCGCCCTCCTCACCAAGATCGGCCAGGAGGCCGGCCTCCGCTACGCCAGCAACCTGATCACCACCTCGCAGCTCGTCTCCGCCAAGCGCCGCTCCAAGCAGGTCTCCGTCGACGACGTCCAGCGCAGCTTCAAGCTCTTCTACGACCCCGCCCGCTCCGTCGCCTTCGTCAACCAGTCCGAGAAGCGCCTCATCGGCAACGACGGCGCCGTCGACTTCGCCATCACCAACGGCGGCCACGGTGACGCCATGGAGATAAGCTGAATTTGTGGGCGTTGAACGACGATCATTGTTTGGGTTTGGTTTAGAAAGCCAGCCTTCCCCTTTTTTCTTCTTCTCGATGGCGTTGGGATGGGGTACCAAAAACCAGGTAACGAGGTAGCTTAGGCGAAAAAGAGAGAGATCAGACAAGCTACCGCTACTTACTCCTTACTACTGGACGAGTAATTTACGAGATAGAAGAGTGTATCATAGTTACATCGGCGTAAGCGGAATTGCAATAACGAGTTCTACGTTTCGACCTCTGCCTCAGATATATGCAAGCCAGACGTACAGATGTAATGAAGACTGGACAACGTATCAACATCTGAAATGCCTAAATAGCCATTGTGACATTATAGGACATGACCAATCACATAACCAAACAAGAGCCAACGAAGAGCATAGATATTTTTTTTGTATTCTTTCTTTACGAGTACTACTTGTGTCATACAGCCCAAACCAGAGCCCAGCCATGTTCCTCAGCCTGTATTTCAATGATTCAATGAAAGCCGCCCGCACATTTTGACGCCGCCAGAGCTTTCATTCATTAAAGTCTAAGTAGTTCGGTAATTTACTTGCCGGCATCAACCTTGGCAATATAGGAGAGGAGGTCAAGGACACGTCGGCTGTATCCCCACTCGTTGTCGTACCAGCTGACGAGCTTGACGAAGTTCTTGTTCAAGGAGATACCAGCCTTGGCATCAAAGATGGAAGAGTTGGTGTTGCCGTTCAAGTCGCTAGAGACAACATCGTCCTCGGTGTAGGCGAGGATTCCTATGAAATGTCAATGCCTAGTTCATACTTCCAGTTCATTGATTTATAATTGAACTCACCGTTGAGGGGGCCGTCAGCGGCCTCCTTGATGGCCTCCTTGATCTCATCGTAGCTAGCAGCCTTCTCGATACGGATGGTCAAGTCGACAACGGAGACGTTGGAGGTAGGAACACGCATGGACATTCCAGTGAGCTTGCCGTTAAGGTCGGGGATGACCTTGCCGACGGCCTTGGCGGCACCGGTGCTGCTGGGAATGATGTTCTGAGCAGCGGTACGGCCACCTCGCCAGTCCTTGTTGGAGGGACCGTCGACAGTCTTTTGTGTGGCAGTGTAGGAGTGGACAGTGGTCATGAGACCCTCAATGATGGTGAACTTGTCGTGGATGACCTTGGCAAGGGGAGCAAGGCAGTTGGTTGTGCAGGAAGCGTTGGAGATAACGTCGGCCTTGCCGTCGTAGGTCTTCTCGTTGACACCCATCACGTACATGGGGGCATCAGCAGAAGGGGCGGAGATGACGACCTTCTTGGCACCACCCTTCAAGTGAGCCGCGGCCTTGTCGGTGGTGGTGAACACACCAGTCGACTCGACGATGTACTCAGCACCAGTCTCGCTCCAAGGGATCTCATCGGGGTTACGCTTTTGGTAGAACATGACCTTCTTGTCGTTGACAATGAGACCATCGCTGTCGTAGGAGACGGTTCCCTTGAAGTTGCCGTGGGTAGAGTCATACTTCAGCATGTATTCAGCGTAGTGAGTCTCGATGAAGGGATCGTTGACAGCAACGACCTCAATGTCATCGTGCTCGACAGCATTGCGGAAGACGATACGGCCGATACGGCCAAATCCGTTGATGCCAACCTTGACGACCATTTTATCTTATCTAAGTTTTATGAGAATTATGTTAGCAAGAATTTGTATTTCCTAGTAAATGAAGTATAAAGTATAATGTCCGATGTAGATGAAAGATGCAGGTTTGAGTGAAGCTTTGGGAGATGCCGGAGAAGAGGTATTTCTATTCAGCAGATTGCATGAACCACGGCCTTTCCGCGGTCATGGGAAGTGAATCGCCACTATTAAAAATAGCAAATTCGAAATCCCGTCTCATCTCGGTCCTAATGCTGAGTAAAAAGACTCCGTGCCCAAACAAAGCCAAGCGATCCAGGTTGGCGGGGCAAGAAACGAGAGCTCGTCGATGTGACGATGTTTCCCCCATGTAACAATGCAATGGCGGGGTAGACAATTGAGCTGTTGAGAGGGGTGAGCTAGCTCTTACCTGGTTCAAGTGTGAAGATGGAATTCGTTTAATAGGACTCTGGTAGTATCTCGAGGTTTGATCAAGGAAAGATCACTCGAGAGAATTGGAGGGACAAGTAGGTAAGATTAAATACAATGTTGTTGAGAGGAAGAGAGGGAATTTGGAGGGGTAAGAGGTTGATGATGGCATATGAGCGACTAAATATAAACGGTTGAGAGACAAATACCAAGAAAAAATTATGATGCAGCTAGGCGGATGGGTAGGTGGGGTGCTCATCCCTCCTACGGAATTGGCCCCCTACAGCTCCTGCCCAGGGCGATTCTTGGAGGGGTAAAAGCAACTTCCAAGGTTCTTTTCGGGGAATTCCTACTGTACAAACTGCTAAGCGGTACTTGATAGTTACATCCACCATTGCCCCGCCGAGATCTAGAGAGGTACAAACAAAATCACGTCTAATATCAGATGTTTCTCCCAAATATGACGCGTTAACTTATATGGCGAGAGACATGAGCTGACTTCAGGAAATCAAACGAGGCGAGAAGACAATCACAAGATAAAAGTATTAAAATGATATAATATATGACGAACCTAGTCAACTATGATGATTCTTTTTTTCTTAATTTTTTATGATTGCTTTCTTCTTCTATGATGTTCTAATTAATGGTCTAGAATAGGTACCCGTAACGGCCGGACTACACGGACAAAAAGCTTCGAGCTGTATAGAAAGTACCGGTCTCGTAACTCCGGCGAGCTCCTAAGACAGTGCGTATTACGGGCTCCGTTGACATCACACAGACCCAATTCAGTGTTCATCATATTCTTGTCAGTCTCAACCCTTATCAATGAAATGCGTCTCATGAAAAATAACTCAACTCATAAGGAAGTTTTCATTATATTCCTCAGACTGAAGATCTCAGGTTTCGTTTCGAAAGGCCTCAGGCAGTTTCAAACGATCTTCAGCAGCCATGTATATTCGAAGTCACTCCCATACAGCCGAGGAATTCTTTATCACTGTGCAGAACGAAAATGGCACGAATGTCTAACGGGTTCTCGGTCATGGTACGGGACACAATTCACGATTCTATCCGATCTAGCTCGGCTCTCATAATGTGCCCAATTGGCTAGGACGGGAAAGTTGGAATCGTCTTTCTCGCAATTCCCATCTTGAATATTTCAAGTTGGGAAGATTCCAATCTGCCTCAAAAGTCTTAGCATAGGATATGGATGGCGATCCACTAACTTCTGCGGCGGGCGGCTCCCCGTCTCAGCTTACACATGCCACATGCGGGCAAAACAAAGTCTCAACTTTTTAGTTCAGGGTTGCCTTCAGGGTCCCCCATTACCTGCATCTAAAGACCGCAAGGTACCGGAGTTTGAAAGCAACATACTCCGTAAGGAGTGCCGAGACAATCCATCCAGTCGTCTCCGCCGCCCATAAATTGCTATCAATGCTCACCATTCAGCTTCTGCTGATTATCACGCCCTTTCTCCTGACTCGTGAGTCAAGAACGATTCCCATCCTACCAATCCGACATCGCATGCGTGACAATAACCTTCGACCTGGCCGGCCAGCCAATGTGGACGAGCAAGGGATCAACGTGCCAATAAAGCATACGCAAGCCCTAAGATGCCAGTAAGCAAAGCAAAGCTTACGAGCATACCTCCACTTGTCAATAAGCTTAGAAATCTTTTTTATCGAGGTCGTGACCGGTCGTTGGCAGCGCCACACAAGGCTGGGAGAATAGGCCCGAACGTTGGCTTGATCTTGTCCACGGACCACGGCAACCTCCATGTTACCCAAGGCTAGCTACTAACCTAGAGCAGTAGTGGCGATCTTCCTCGCGCCGCTTAACTGCTTTATACTCTGCATTGTGCCACTGTCTAAACCAACTCAGTTTCGGGTGGAAATCTAACTTCTTCTAGGCCTTCGACCTCGGAAATTTCGTGGGTCTTGACCCCGCGACCTGCGCCAATCATACTCTATATTGAGTCTTTCAATTATAAGTCGGATCTGTATACTCGAGACAACCAACAAGGTGTTACATGATCCAACAACGAATAGATCTCAGTCAATTGTACGGCCGAGTAGTCCTTCAAAGAGATTGGTCTACATAAAGCGCAACAAGGCAAGCGAAATATATCTACTGCTCCGGTTCGCTGATTCTGTTCCATGGAGCCTTTCTTAGCGCAGATAATATCGAATAGGGGAGATGCCGTAATATTAGTGTGGAAATAAAGGTAGTATACTCCCACACTATGCTATTAATGCATATATCCATGTCGTTTACAACCTATACATTTCATGTGACAGCCCTGAAGTTGATATAAGGAGTTATGGCCCATTATTGAACTGTGATCGATTGTGGGGGGTTGAAGAATAAGGACTTCACCGCTACGAGCGCCACGTAGATACAACGTTGCCGAGTCGAGAAGTTAGCCGCATTATAGCAATTGTACCAACACAATAGCCTTATGGCTTTTGGTAACACGTCGAGCATGTTATGTTAAAACAATATGTAAATGACGCCGAGGAACAAGCACCAGACATTCAAACATAATATATGGTTCGGCTAAGATCTTTGGAATTAAGACAATATCCTTTCTATATAATAAGTGCTTTATACTACTCTCCAAAAGGGCCAGAGTTTCAATTTTGTATTTAAACTAGTTACTTTCATCACTTAGTTGTAACGACAATTGATAACATCATACCATCTTCTTGATAGCTATCTTTCATAACTTTGATCTATTTAGGACGAAAAGAGGTATGAAGGGGCAGTATTTCATAGTCAATAGTCAACCCCTGAGCGGTGGGGGGATTACTTAGAGTATAGCAAGACCCCAGTGGAATTACGTCCCTTAGGAACTCAGAAGACGATATCATGAATTGAGATTGAAAATAATATATATCATCAGTCACTCCAGTGCAGTCAAATATCAGTCTCAGTCTCATTCGTCATTCAGTATGCTTGTCCTATATTGTACTAATACAGCTAGTTGGGTATAATCTCTGAACGCCACTTCAGCTACAAGTTTTCTCGCCCAAGGGAAGTACTGCCATCCAAGAACCGTATTGGTCATAACAAAAGGAGTCTCAATGTCAATCCGTAGGTCTCCGGCAAGTCATGTCTTGGTGATCATGCTAAGTCCGTAAACGCCAATACAATGCTGGCATGAACCCATCTTCATTTGAGTCCAAATCCCTCGCTCTCGTTTACCGCCCGCCACAAACATTGTTCCAATCTCGCCCTCGAGGCATAGCGATACAAGGACAGAATATTGAAGCAGGTCCTCGCAGAAGGGAAGCGCCCTTCGTCTTCACCCAGGAGGTTGATCCTAATGACGAGAGACGTCGCACCCATGGCAGGAATACGGTCACTGCTAGTTATGAAAGATAACAACCGGCGCTGATCCGCAGGTGAAGCTCTTTCAAAGGCGTCCCAGAACCACTGCACTATCGGCTCTCTCCTAGGGTTTACATTCTTAGGCCAGCCTGTATAAACGGCAACTCCCCGCAACGAAGCAATATCTAGCGGCTCGTCTGAACCGCGGACGAGGAGCTCAATCTCCTCTGGTCTGAAGAGCGTCAAGGCATTACCCGCACATACGGTAAAGAAACCTCGCTTGAAAGGTTCGAATTGTCGGCTAACCGAAGTGTCGAGTAAATATCTGACATAAAGGTCAACATATTCCCGTCGATTGGAATTTGTCACCATCTTCGTCTCGCCTCCTGGGCAAAGGGGCACTCGAATTCTAGTGCCATACTTTTCGACTTCAATCACGAAGTCAAGACAAAATGTAGATTGTACGTCTCCCTCAAAATCTAATAGTTGCCGAAGTCCCTTTGCAAGGACTGGGCGGAATTCGGCTAGGTCGTCTAATGTATAGTTCATTGTCGGGCGTGAATGTGCAGGTGCGCCGATGGCGGGAGGAGGGGCAGACGCCAGCAATTTTCGAAAAGCGAAAGGGGGGAAGGCGACGTCTAGTATCGTTGAGTTATATATGGCCAGCCCAAGCAATACTCCAACCAAGAAATATTGGTCAGACGTTTCGAAAGTATTAGGGTTGAAGTAACAAAAACGCGAATCTTCGTCATAAACAAAGAGCCCTAAAACGGCTAGGTTAGATATCATCTTACAACAGAGTGAGCAAGGCACTTACCGTGGTCTGGATTGAACACTTCTCTGACGAGAAGGAGAAACCATTCCTTCCGAAGCCCCCCACCATCGACGCCTTCCTCTCCTTGAAATTCTATACGCAGACCTTTTTTGATATCCTCACTACCACTACCGACGACTTCACTCACTTTCTTGAGACTATCCTCAACCAGGCAATCTCGACGGATACTAAGAACAAGGTATTGCGCATAGTTTTTGTGCGTCAAAATGCTGTCGAAGAATGCCTCTCTCGCTTTTCCAGCCATCTGTCGTTTGGCATCAAACTCCAAAATCTGTATCTTTGCCCAGATACTGAGAAAGAATGGATATTGGCAAAAAGCGAACCTGCCCCTTTTCGATTCCCATAGCTCAAAATCGGCTTTGAAGTCTAAACAGTCGACTAGAGAATTGTAAAAGTCGCTCGTTGACAGTAGATGACCGTGACCACGTCCATCGGGTCTATTATGTCGAACATAGGTCAAGTTGTTGGCAGAAAATAGGAGTGCCATAACCTTCGCAGCAGCTCTAATTTGCCAGTCGTCTGTATATGCCGCGCGCTTTGGTTCGATAGGTTGCTTCTGCTTCTTGTTTTTCGATGCTTCCAAAGCAGCGTGCAGCGTTGCCGGTGTGTTTCCGGAACGGGTATTGGACATTTGTGGGATCAATCCACCGGTCACATCAATTTGTGGCTCTACTTTCTTTTCGCTCTGCCGAGTTAATCGATAGGTAATGAAACCACTGATGAGATCCTTAATTTGAACAAAGAGGTGCTCAGGCAATCTCGAGAGCCATGTCACCAAATGGTGATGGCACTGCTCTGAGGAATTCGCTAGCAGACCGAGGATTCGTTTGATGATCCCAGAGTGTCGCCCAGGAGGTGATTTAGCCAGTTGTTCTGGGTCTTGTTCTGTAGCGGGGCCTTTTCCCTTGCTCGGACGCTGGTATTGACCAGTATACGACTTGGATCCTGGAGCGAGGAGAGGATTGGCCAACATTAAGAGCAAGAAGCGAACAGCCTGAGGCTCAATCATTAATCGTCCAGGACGCTTCAAAAGCGTTTCCGTACACTTCAGGAGTACCCGCTGAATATGATCTTGAGCCGTAATGATGAAGGCCTCGAACTGCTGGACCCTCGCGTCTCCCAATTTCTGAGATGGATCAAGTTGTACCATCTCGGCATATACTTCCGGCCATAACTCAGCGGCGTTGATGATTGTATGATACCATTCAATAACCACACCCCAATCGATCCGAGGAGATCTACTTGTTACAATTGAAGGTACACTCTCTTTCCGCCGATGGGAGCTTTTCGGAGGTATAACTTCTTCTTGGCTCCCAGTCCACCACGTGCCATTCTCCGCAAAGTCGCCTAGAAGTAGAAGTTTGGCGTCGAGTTCTGATATGGCAGGTTCGTCACGAACCGGTTCCTTCCTGTTTACCACAACTCGCTTCTTGACAGCCTCAGGGGGAAGCCTCGAATTAGCGCTCATGTGTCGGGTCACAAACGAATTATTAACACATGCATGGGAACTGAAGCAAGAAATAAGATACTCTTCCAGTCTCTTGAAAACCCTCTTAGGCTCCAATTCCGAGACCGTGACAGGTGGATTAGGGGTACGCCCACCAACTTGATTAGCAAGAGGAAATGTTGTACTCCTGGTATCAGGGTAAGAGGTTGAGTACGATCTAGCCGTAGATGCAGTACTATTCAACGGGTTTGGCTCAATGTTTAGCCCGGCGGGATCATCGAATGCAGCATTGTAGATATAACTCGGCGGACTAGCAGCTGAGCCGGGTGAACTGTGCTGTTTGCTCGGAGATTCGTTCCGTGCGAAGTACTCATTAGATGGCCTAGACGAGGCTCTGCCGGGCCAATTTTCAGCGAACTCTGGGTCAGGATGCGTCGACATCCAAGACTGCAACGCCAAAAGCAGGCATTGTTTGATAATATGCTTCGTGCGGTCAAGTGATATGGAGTTTACTACGGTGGTAAGCAAAGGCTATTTCTTAGGATAAAAGAGAACATACGAGGCTGTTGAAGCGGCCGCGAGGGCCCAGGTTCAGCCCCATTCGACGGAACTGAGCCACTGGCATTAGGCTGCATACCACCATAGACGGCAGCAGAATCGTGTGGTTTGAGATCATTTATCGTCAAGCAGATGGTACATCGGAAGACATGGAGTTCCTTAGGCCATCTAACCAAACTAGCACATGTCATGCAATTTCCGGTCGAGAAATCGGCTGGCCCGCGTGGTATCCTCCTAGGAGCGGCATTCGGTTGCAGGTTCTGCCGTACGTTTTGCTTGGGACTCACGTCATCGGCGGAGTCATCATCTCCAAATTGATCGCCGGCTCGGTCACTTTTCTTCTTTTTACTGGAGAATAGCGAGGGGAATGGATGGCTCATTGAACGAGAGTGTTGGGCAGGACGCCTCGGCCTTGAGATAGGTATATCGTCGTCGGAACTCGAATCGATCTGGACTTCGGGAATTCGTATAGGCTCGTAGTCGGGAAGTCTCGAATTGGCCCTCGAACGGTTATGTGATCCGTTTGTTGGTGGGTTACGAAGCGCGGAGTCATATTGGCCCAGAGAAGGTCGATTAGGACGGGACATATCGTTCGTTATTACGGAAGTTGGGAAGGTTAGCAGCAAGAAGGGACATTTATCCCTTCATCTGTACGATTGCACTACCTAGGAATATCTAGGCAAAAGGAGGTAGGTACGAAAGGTCTGGCCTAAAGAAAGGTAGGGAAGTAGGAGGCTCGTGACGATTTGGATGTCACTTGAACTGTTTAACAGCAGCAATTCCTACCCACCTAAACAGATCTTGGCGGGAACCACGGCTTATTCAAGAAGGAATCAAGATCCACCAACGATCTTGCATGTACGGCCGTCAAAGAAGACATAGATAACAAAAAGCAGAAACACTGTAAAGGGAAGGACTGTGCGTAGGGCAGAGTAATATGATCTTTGAGTTTTGGAGATTGGGAGTGAACAAGTCGAAATTGCCCAAAGGCTCGTGCCGCCTTTGGAAATTACAATGGTCTACAGAAAGGAATGAGCCAACCAAAACGCTTCCCGCTTCCCGAAACTCCCTTGATTTTAGGCCTGACAGGAACCTAGCGGCTCTTGCGGAGACGGTGGGGGGAGACATGCGTTACGCTAGAACGCTACAGGGTCCACAGCGTGGTAAGATATGACGATATGTTAGCGCAGGTACCTCGCTGTAGGCGGGTGCTACGCTGACGATTCCTGTACCCCAGGGCTACCTTAGTACCCTTTTATTGGGTTCAACCAGGGAGTAACTACCGATTCAGGTAACACAAACTCAACCACATAATTTCATAAGCCTTTAAGTCACATCTTAAGTTTCTAATCAATCACATACAACATTGAATGGCGAATAAAACATTTGTTATATTGCAAAGACTAAGAACAATCTTAGTAAACCCCCTTCGTGTGTTCCTCGAAATGAGACAAGATACAGCAATATAATTACTAGTCTTAAGATCCACACATCAAGAGCAAATAGCCTACTGGGCAACAAACTGTGTATAGGCTGCAAGACACGTAAGCCCTTCAACCAAACTGCGGCATTCACGGAAGACCACTCATTGTTTACATTGTTGATCTTTGATGTGTTGTATGCGACAAATAATCGATTAGGCTATTATTGTATCTCTACTGTCTCTTCTCATCCACTCCTCTAATTCAACTCCAGTATTTAACGAGTAGCGAGTACAGACAATCAATTATTCAACACTAGAAAAACCAAGATTTTTCATGCGTGGCTATCATCCAGGAACTTCCCAATTGAAGCAATCGAAGGGAATGCCATGAAATGGAAACGACGTGAAATATGACGGCGTCCAACTCAAGCCTAGCTACCGTTTACTCGTCCTCTCACTGGAGAAGGGCCACCATGAGGCTACTGCACAAACTTCAACATATGGATCTTATTGACGGGACATCAGACGGCGTGAGGAGGATATTTCTCTCTCACGAGTGATGTCCGAATAGAGCTTATCTATCAAAGCATCTTCCAGAGGTTTATCGCCATTCGTTTCCAAGTTGATCGGAACTGCGTTTCGCAAAGTAGAAGCACATCTAATGATTGGAATCAAAACAGACGACCAGCTCAAAAATAGGCTTTACAGAAAGGGTAGATGTTCACTAGGTATCTTCTTCCGCTGCCACGTCGTATTCCCCATAATATCTGGCGCTTACTACAGTCGTGTTAGATGTAGTCCATTGTAGGGGATCGTGATGCCATGTACGGCCGTATAGGGGAGATGATGGCATTCAATAGATACCTTACTACGCTTGCCTTAAGGCCAGTTGGCATTATGAGTACCTGCCGGTGGTTTTGTCAACTACAATTCGTTGACCGGTAGGTGGTCAGTACTGGCTTCCAAATACAGCAATTTGATGTAGCGATTTAATATAGTCAGGGGATTGTGCTTTCATACATGGTAGGTAAGGCACCCCATTCCAAGCGGATGAGAAGATGTCAACTTGACACTTCCTAGATTATATTCGCTTTTATATGGTGAGCTCAGGTTCAAACAACTTAATATTAAAATGCAACCGGCCCTTATGTTCCTATCATTGAGTACTTGTACCATTAGCCGTCCTAAGTCAAGCTTACTTGAAAAAGGAGTAAATTTCCCCTAATGTCTTAGCGACAGAGCCCCTTTTCAATAACTTAAGGAAAAGCATCTCGAGATATCTAGCTAATCTATTCAAAAAGGTCTATCCCTAAGTTCCAACAGAAGGCTATATAAAGAGACGGTCTAGCCTGATTCCCAGGAGCTTTGTAAGGCGAAGGCAAGGTTATCAGTCGACGATTTGACAAGCCTTGACAAGTTACCTTTATCGCTACAATGAGAAAGCCAATTCTATGTAATGGTATGAAGACAACTCATCATTTTTGTGTGAGGACAATACCGCTCTTTTATGAGGGATGATGGCTTTATCATCTGTTCTGTGCAGTATCCATTCGGACGGCTTCATCCCTCAACGTGTGAAACGACCATGACCAGTATGGCCCAACAGATTCATATCTACGAATCTCCTCGACGTGATTCCCTTCACCGTCACGGCAGCAATCCAGTCAAAGTTTGCAAGAGTCACACTCACCATGGGATGCGCCCAACCACGCAGCATTTTGTGCGCAGCACAATCACCAAACCCGAACCCAAACACGCCTTTTCTTCCCTTCATTGGCCTTCCTTTCAAACCACCACCATTCACGCATGAGTAACAGTGCCAAGTTTGAACCCAGCCAAAAAAAAAAAAAGAGCCCTCTCCCAAAATGCCCAAAGGGGCCGTCAGTGGCTGGGTTCTTGGAAAGATTGCTTCGGTCATGGATTTCAGCTTCCAAGGTATCCTCGAGCAGCATACGCAACACATGGAGATCGGATTTAACTACGTCTTCGAGGCTATCCTCAAACATAGCAAGCTGGACATCACCCTGATCCGTATCAGCAATGTAACCGAAGCGTAAGTTTTTCTCTTCCGTACCCCTAATCTCCCTAACCTTCCTTCCCCCTTTCCCGCCATCATTAACCCGAAAAAACATAGATCCTTCCACGTCTCCCTCGAAGCCCGCGCCACTAACACCGGCCCGGCCAAAGCCACTCTCGCGCCCATGACCATCGACCTCTGCGGGCCCGCAGGCCGCTTCGGCACCATCACCTTACCAGAATTCCACACCATGCCGGGCGGCGCGTACATCGCGATCCAGAACCAGTTCGTAGCCATCACCGACAAGGCCGCGCTCCTATCCTTCGTGCGCGAAGTCCTGAGCTCCAAGAGCGCGACCCTCTCGCTCAAGAACGGGCAGGGCGCTGTCACCGTCGCCGCCTTCGGCATCGGCCCGCGCTCGCTGCCGTACGAGCGCGACGTCCCCGTCCCGGGAATGGCGCTGACTTCCGTCGCCGTCAAGCGCGCCTCTACCACCGCGCGCCCCAGCACATCCAGCAGCCTCAGCGCCTTCGGCGCCGCGCTTTCTTCGGGAAGCACGACCCTGACCGTGACCTTCCACGTCAAGAACCCGAGCCCGGTCGAGCTATCCTTCTCCATCTGCGAGTTTGAGATCCGCAGCAACTCTCACGACGACCGCGCGGATTCCAACGACTCCGACCACGACGGTGGTGGAGGCGGAGATGAAGGAGTGGTAATAGCCGCGCTCAAAGGCCGCCTCGACATGCGATCTAAGGACTTCGATGTCACGCTATACGGCGTCGCGGACAAGCGCGCCGCGGCGCTAGGCCTCGCGGAGGGCAAGGCCAGATTGGTCGGCAAGCGATGCGCGGGCGCCGGCTGGTGCGACGAGGCCGTCAAGGGGATCGACGTGCCGATCGCGGGCGTCTGGAAGCTGCGCAAGGAGCTCGGCCTCACGTACGAGGAGCCGAAGCCCGAGTCGCCCAAGGTGTTCCGCTGGCGAGGACGGTGGTTCATGAAGGGCAGCCAGGTCTGAGGCATCGGCAGTTTGGGGGGTCTTGAAGAAATGGAAAAAAGGGGGAGGGGGATACGTTTAGGGGGTTATCAAGGAGTTTTGTGGAGTTTTAGGACGTCGGGCTACGTTAGGAATTGGGACAGATTTGTTTTGCCCTATTCGAATACTCAGAAATATCCAGGTAGTTTCGTTGACAGGTCGCCATCAGAGGCTTCCACTAAGTAATGAAAAAAGAAATCCCCCCTTAACTATGCCTACTAATCTCCCAAAATTGCAATTTATTCCCCGCAGTTTACCTATAACCTACCACTCCAACTCATAATCATCCCTATGCCAAAACCTCCCCGTCTCCTCCAGCCCCTTGTTCTCCAGTACCCCGTGCAACTTCTCCGCCACCTCCTCCGGCCCCGCCGCGCTCTCGATCCCGTCCATCCCAGCCGTCATCCCCGTCCTCGTGATCCCGGGATGCATGATCACGACCGTAACCCCCTTACCCCTCAGATCAACCGCCAGGCTCTTGAAGATAGCATTCACGGCGGCTTTGCTAGCGCGGTACGAGTACGAGCCGCCGGAGGAGTTATCCGCGATGCTCCCCATGCGGCTGGACATGACACCTAGCTTCGGGGTCTTCGAAAGGAGCAGATTCGGGAGAAGAGCCTGGGTGAGGAGTAGCGGACCGAAGGTATTCACGCCAAATACCTTCGTTAGCGTGTCGTGTGAAACAGCCGACAACGCGTCCTTATCATGGGGCACCGAGACTCCGGCGATATTCAGCAGTAAATCGAGAGACCCGAAACCGTAGTTGCTTTTAAACGCGGCGATTGAGTCGGGAGATGATACATCCACTTGTGCGGTTGCGCATCCCAGCGACTTGATGTTATCACCGACATTCACGTCGACGGCAGTGACAGAGTAGCCCTTTAGATATAGTTAGAGTGACAAAGCATTAGGTATCTATAAAACTCTAGCAGTATATCAAATACCGGAAGTAAGCCCTGAGGAAAGAGACATGTAAACGGGCGATACCTTTCGAATAAGGAGCTGGGCGAAGGCAAAGCCGATGCCCGAGTTAGCTCCCGTCACGACAGCAGTTGGCATACTGGGCTTAGGCTAAGTTGGAAGACTCGGTAGGAGGCCTGGGAAAGAATGGGGTAGGATTGATTAATATGGATGTACTTTACACCTGCATAAGTGACTGTCCCAGAAGACGGGGTCGGCCATCAAGGTCGTGGGGTCCTCGATGCTTATATAGACGACAGGATGATAGACCTGACGAATGACGTGCTCCTGACATCTCAACTAGTTACTCCGCTCGAATTCCGTATCCCCATTTGGAAGATATAGTATCTTTAATTGGCTGGTGCTAACCGTGATCTTAGGCCCCGTCGTCTACAGATCTGCATAGAAGGATGGACAAGTGGGACAACGAATCGGAAATTTTGTCTTCTATTTAAGATAGAGCCTGTTTTGACTACATTCTATCTAGCTGGTGTCCTTCACCATTGGTATCTTTATTTTTTATTTTTTGAGACACGCCCTACGACTTCTACTTTAGTCGAAAACGATGGCGGCCTTGATGGCCGATTTGTTCCGGATGCTCTCCAGAGCCTCACCCCATTGCTCAAGCTTGAAGGTCTTGTTGACAATGCCTTTAGTCTTAACCTTGCCGCTGTCTAGGTAGTCAACAGTAGCTGGGAACATGTAAGTCTCGGAGAAGGAGCCGATGATGGTAATTTCTAATTTCAATCAGTCTCAGTTCATAACAAGCATTTGTACCATCTAGCTTACCGTCACCGAAGATCTTGGATGGCGCCCAAGAGACGCGAGCAGAGTTGGGGTAGACACCGTAGCAGACAAGCTTGCCTCCTCGGCGGACATAGTTGATGGCATCTTCAAGCACCTTGGAGCTACCACTGGCCTCAACGACTGCATGTGTGTTAGTGCGATCATCACCACTAATATTTCTCTCTTCACTAACCGATGTCGAAACCATATGGGTTGTCCTTCTTGATCTGTTCCCATTGCGGAGCCGAGTTCGATCGAGAGAGAGGAACATAGAAATCGCCGGCGTCGAGGCTTTTGGCTAGTTCCATCTTGGAACCCTCAGGGGCCGCAATAGTTAATTGCGAAACACCGCTGTGCTTTCTGTTGAAAATTATTAGAAATATTCCTTGGTAAGGGTCAATTGCCATCCATACAGGAATTGTGCCATCATAAGACCGGTGGGACCAGCACCGATCAACAGAGCGTGGGAACCGGCCTTCGGGGCAATCTTTTCTAAACCATGCATGGCACAAGAGGCAGGTTCAATTAGGGTAGCGTCGACATCGCTAATGTTCTTAAGTTTAAAGAGACGGCCTTGGGTGTAGGAAGCCTACATTTCGGCAAAGCCAAATTAGCGAGTTGGATGCTATGCAAATGGTTAGGAGCGCGTACATATTCAGCGAAACCACCATCAAGTCCAAGAACACCGTGGGCCTTGAAGTCTTCACAGAGAAGTTCCTGTCCTCTTCGGCAATAGAAGCTTGTAGGTGGCAGTTAGCAATGATCTCTGGGTGAGGAACTGTATAGCATTCTACTTACCAGTGACCACAGAGCTCCGAGTTATCAGCGGCGACGCGGTCGCCCACCTCGAAGCCTTTTACGTCATCGGCAAATGCTAACGGAGATTATTAGTTTCCTACTTCACAATACACTCTACCACAATTAGGAACCCTACCAACAACTTCGCCAATGGTTTCGTGGCCAGGAATTAAGGGGAATTCAGCTATGAATTCACCCTCATGGATGTGTAAGTCGGTACCACAGACACCACAAGCCTAGAGCAATTCCACGTTATCAGAACTGTTTGTGGTCACGAAGGTAAGACGAATTGACTTACCTTGACCTTGACTAGAACATCACCGGCCCGTAGCTTAGGTAGAGGAACCTCGACGATGCTCCAATCTTCTGGCTTCTCATATCTACGAAGGTTATAGCTGTTAGTGGACTACGCACGTAAAGCAGTTTTAAGAGAGCTTAGTGAGCTTCCCCAAGTAACACGTTCTGTATTTGAGAAGCTCTAAGCAGAAAAATGGTGCTTACCGGAGAGCCTTCATGGTCTTTGGGAGTGAAGCCATATTGTTTGGTAAAGACTCTAGGTCTATCGTGTGATGAGGGGTATTGAAACAAGAGCTGTTTACAAGAGAACTCTAGCAGAATCAATGTCACGGATAAACACCTGACGGACAAAGAAGCTTAGGAGGGTGGGTGGTATGTTAAACTGACGTAGACAATTTCTTTGTAATATGGTCAGGAAGGAAGCTTGGGAGAAATACAAAATTCGGGGAGAAGGTCCTCTTATTAGGTATCATGCGGGAAGGAGAAAGGAACGAGCCCCAACCTAGTATTCACAGATTGGTGGTTCCCATGATGGGTTTGCCTGTACGAGGCAGTGGAGGGCAAAAGGAGGGGCATTAGTTCAGGCCTTCGCCGCTTCACCCCGCCATGGGCTACAAATGCGTTCACCACGCAGGTAACTTGACAAGCTAACCCCCGGCTGATTGGGTTCCAAAGCTTGACTAACCGGAAGTAGGACCCACTGGAGTATAGCTCGATAGAACAAGTACTCCGTGATGTCTTGGAGATGAGAGCGTCACTGGCCCCACTCAAATAATTTCTACTTGCAGAAGCTGGCTAGCCTGGCCGGAGACACTGCCGTTGAAAAAAATGGTCCGATAAAGGTGTGAAAGAAAACAGCCCCTCTATAATGTTGATCGGATCTAGACGTCATCCCGCTTGGCTTCTGTAGCGTCATCACGATTCTTTGCAAAAGGTTCTGTCTTAACCCTCGTCTGCCGGTAATTCGTATCTCCGTGTTGAAGACTACGGCTGCTTATACCATAGGCCAATGGCATTGGCATTATCAGATGACATGTTGAAGGCTGAATAAGTTTCAATTTCAATCTGTTGTCGGATGGCTCGGCCAGCTTTCTTAACTCAGAAAGCTCTGGGTTGTCACTTGACCCCCGCGGTTGATGACTGGATGAGGATAGAGTTCGTTGCAATGTAAGATAACCCCTCATATTAATCGACCATTGTCGAATAATATGCGTGATGGGGCTGGCGTGTTCTGGAAAGTATCCCGCCTTGTCCCGCCTTCAGTCCGATTAATTAATTAACCTCCGAAGCCATGTGTTGAAGGATTGGATATATGTAGCACCGCGTTTAGCGTTAAGTGCCTCGATGTCTTGGAAGTATCACTACACTTGTAGTTTGTTCAGTGACGAATTCTCGGGACCAAGCATGTCGCGGTCGTGTGCCAGCTAATATTTTATCTAACCACAATCCAATAGGTTGTGGTTGATGTATCATGAACACAGCCCCAATTCATTATATATCATCTGTGATATTGGAGACGATCATGGCGATACTTGAACGCACATCTGTCTACGCAGGTACACTGTATTCTAATTATTGTTAGTAATGGTTTCAGATTTGATATGCATGCGGTTCAATGTTTGGGGAAACCGTATCAATCTGCGTGTGCCGAATTAGCTGGTTCGCGGCGACTTACCTGCTTACGCAATTTATGTTTGCTCTACATATACAAGTTTCATGCCATAATTGGTCGGTGTCATATTCGGACCACTCCGGATGGCTTGGCACATCGATGTTGATCGATCGGTGGTTAAAGGATGGGACTGGCCAGAAGTCTCGCCGAATATCGAATATGAGCGAGTTAGGAAATGCTACATAGGTAGTAGTCGAAGGAGACCGCCGTTTCCGTTTTACATTAGCCAGTCTGGGGCTGGCGGATATCTCCGGCTTATAAGTCAGGTAGCAGAGCAGGTACGATACTGGAGAAACATTTATACCGATACCTACCTCCTAGACATAACCATCCGTGGATAGCGATACCTGTGGCTTCCTCATCACATACATACCTTCGATTTCAAGCCGTTTACACATAATTTGTAAATGTAGGATGTTGCCACATTCCAGGCTGGACAGGCTGGAGGGAAATAGATGGATGTGCCAAACGATCTCTTATCCAACCCCTCTACAGACCTTTAAGAAGATCAATTCTCTTCACGTCGGTAGGTTGTAGTCTTTTATCGTATAGACCATTAAAGTCTTGTCAGATTAAGTATCTGCACTCTCGATCGACCTATTTCACCAAGCCAGAAGCTGCTTCATTGGGGAAAGCGATTTTTTTCACGGCAAAAGCATGTCCATAATTCATTGATGATTCCCGAGGATTTAGCCCCCCTAATAACTCCCAACCGTGCATCCGAGGTTCCTCCCACGAGTTTCTATCACGCGAGCAGAAGCGCGACCATGCAGGTGCTCCATTCCTTAGAGTACATGTCCACGCCGGTCGTCATGTTCGTCCAAGGGATTTTCAAGGGTAGTAGAATCTCCACCCTACGAGGGGGGAGCGCCACGGCCACGACCGAATCCACCACGGCTGTAAATAGTTATGGTAAGTATGGGGATATCAAATAGGTGTAGGTTCGTTGGGTAACTCACAATTGAGGGTTGAATTCACCAGGAGCACCACCGCTCTCCTTGCCGCCCTCACCAGCATCTCGTCGTCGGTAGCCACCCTCACGGTCACCACGGTCGCCACGGTCACCTCCACGGCCGCGGCCGAATGGTCGGCGTTCGCGCTCACCCTCACCCATCATTCCTCGGGGAGGAGCGTGCGATCGCTGTTGCTTGATGTGTGTGGCGGGAACGATCTCGGCGGGGAGGTGAAGCCATTCACGGAGGTAGTCGAGACCCTCGGGGGTGAGGGTGTAGTAGTAGTATTGCCACGAGAATTGAGTCTTGACGTAGCCGCGAGAGTTCAGGGATTGAAGGGCCTTGACAACGAAGAGGTTCTTAGTGTCGATGTCGGGGTGCTTGGGAAGGTTGAAGTCCTTCTTCGCGACGAGGACGCCCTCACGGAAGAGGTACTATGCAGGAAAAAAAGGTTAGCTTGCCGATTCCTATATTTTGACGAAATTAATTAATTATCATACCTCGTGAATCTTCTTGCGGTCAGCCTTGGGAATCAGCATCTTGGCGGTTTGTTATGTTGCAAGATGTTGAACAAGGTGGGTAGACGTGATTGATTTGGGAGACGACAGGCTGATACTTTTGCGATGAATTGAAGTTAGGGAAATTCTGGTTGTGCGCAAAAACCCTATGGTGGAGCAGGAAGCGAACTAGGAATTTCGTGGGGCTATGTGGCTAGGGTGCATTTATGCACTCGTGCACGGACTCATTCAAACTTTTAAGTGTGGCTCAGAATTTAAATCTCAGGTAAGTACGATGTACCTAAATATCTAAGTACTTCGTACTGATAAGTAATCCTTGGCAGCATCTGATAAGGTCCACTTTAACCGTCCAGCCATCTAGAACGCTCAATCCGTCACCTAGGCAATTGCCATCTTTTATAAATCTTAACTCCAGACTTTTTGCCTCACAACATTTCAACGTCAACACCCGTCCGCATAGAGGCATCTCGGATTTCTCCATCTCATCGTGCGAGGTAGTAATCATGGCGCCCAAAAATATCAACGTCTTTGTTACGACCTTCTCAGGCTTAGGCCTACCTCCTACTCTATCATTCCCCGTTCCGCCGACTACTACTTTCTCCGACCTCCACGATCGCATTGAGGATCGATTACCTCAAACAGACACACGACTCATCTTGACCACTCTTTCAAACAAGCAGCTCCTCCACAGCTCTAATGAACTAATATCTAACCTCTGCAACGGCGATGATTCCTTTGTCTCTCTCCGATTATCAGTTCCGCTATGCGGTGGCAAAGGTGGTTTCGGCTCCCAGCTTCGAGCTGCTGGTGGCCGAATGTCCTCAAAGAAGAAGAAGAACCGCGGCGATGAGAACGGATCTAGCAGAAACCTCGATGGACGTCGACTGCGCACAGTCAACGAAGCTAAGGCGTTAGCCGAGTACCTGGCAATCAAGCCTGAGATGGAACAGAAGGAGAAGGAGAAGCGACGCGCACGATGGCAGCAGATCGTCGACCTTGCAGACGAGAAAGAGCACGAAATTAAGAACAGCACGAAGGGTCGCCTAGATGGCAAGTGGGTTGAGGACAAAGAAGAGGCTGCTGAGCGAACGCGCGAGGCGGTTCTAGCCGCTATGAAGGCAGGAAACTACAAGGACAACCTTCTCGGCACATCGCATGGCTCGACCTCTACAGAGTCCATGAAAGAAGACTCTTCTAGTGAGGAAGATGAATCCGAGGAGGCTAGCGACTCTAAAGCCACCAAGTCAGCGACAAAAACGACATCAAAAAAGCCAGCTTCGGGAGTATTCGCTGGTTTTGATGAAGATGATGAATTCATGAGTTCCTCGGATGAGGATGAGAAGTAGGAGGAAAGCAAATAAGACAGCACTACACCCACACTGTTAATGATACCCACGAAGACATGATTCGATAGAGGCTCATGTCTAAAACACGCACCCCCTCGAAACATCGCTTTTCCTCCATTGGATGTAATTCCAGTACGACTATCTCAGGAATTTGGCCAACGAGGGTATTTGCATACGCATCGGTTCGTAACCCCTACATTCGCAACTGTATGGAAGGAAAGGACAATTTTTGAAAGGATGAGTTCAAGTTGTGAGCTATGGGATGTTCGATGGAGGCATTCAAATTGATACGGTTCGCATGGAGTTTGGCCTTTGAGGAGGACACTACCTTGATGGGATCGCAATCGACAGACATCTTGTAGTCTTGAGTTCGTAACTAGGCTACGAAGAATATAACGTCGACATTTATGACGCAAAGGGGCCGATACTACGATCTGGCAAGGAAAGGCATACCGGAAAGGCAAGGAGACCTTAGCCAGTCTCAGTGTTAGTTCCCCCGTCTACGAAATTGCCATGTTGTCCTTGCCTTCTGTTGACTAGGGCTAGGGATGATAGGTACTTTAGGGAATGAATAAGACCAATGAACCCAAATATGAAGCAAGATTAAAGACTGATGTGACGTCTAAGTTCGTTGAATTTTACACTTTACACGTTTCGTAATGCCGCCTACTCCATGAAACCTCGGCGTCTATATCATCAGACTCGGGAATCTCGTAGATAACCGCTTATTTCACCAACCTCGCCATCTCCTCCGCGTCCTTAACCCCCATCGCACAACTAATATCCCTACACTCCTCCAAATCCGCCTTCACCCTCTCCACCTCCGCCATAACCATCCTCCACGAATCGCGCCCAAGCGGGACCCGAATCGGAATGCGCCGTCCACTCCCCACCACTGTGTAAACCCCCTCCGCGACCTCCGCCGCGCTCGCAAACCCCTCATGCATCTCCGGCGTATCCATAAACTTCAACATCCCCGTCGTCGCGCTCTGCGGGTCCTCCGCATAAGCAGGGTGTCTAGGCATCCTCCGCATATTCTCGCCCACGTACCGCGTCTTCGTACCCCCGGGCTCGACGCACGTGACGTAGATATTCCACTCCGGGCTGACCTCCTTCGCGACGCTCTCCGCGAACCCTTCTAAAGCGAACTTTGTCGCGTGGTAATACGCGTTGCCCGGCGACCCGAGGAAGCCGCCCATAGACGTCACATTCACGATAACACCCCCTATCTGTCCGGTCTTAGGGTTCACGTCCCGGAAGACGGCGAGCGCGCGCTTGGACACGTCGACGGCGCCCCAGAAATTCGTGTCCATGAGCAAGCGCGGACCCAGGTTACCGGGCGGAGAGGCTTCGGCGTCGCCCATGAGGTTGTAGCCCGCGTTGTTGACGACGACGTCCACGCGTCCGAAGCGCGCGACGGCCGCGTCGAAGGCGGATTCGACGGCGCTCGGCGAGGTGACGTCGAGCGCGACCTTGAGAACGTCGGGCGTGTCCGGGATGCCGGACGTGGCGGCGGATAGCGAGGCCGGGTTGCGGGCCGTGGCTACGACGCGCTGGGAGGCGGTCTTGTTGGCGATGTGCTGGGCAAGGGCTTGGCCGATGCCGGAGGAGCATCCGGTGACTTTTGAGCGTTAATTCAGCCCTATCCAATATGAAGCTATCTATGTGGTTAGATGGGTGACCTACTGAACCAGACTGCATTCGCTGGTAGGACGTAAGGTTTAGGGGCAGTTTCGTCCATGTTGAATAGGGCTTCTAGCAGGATAAATGTCACCGCTTAGGTACTCTAGGAGACATGCGTTTTGATACACTTAAAGTCACTATAATTCTTGTCTATTCATTTCTCTGGTCAACTCCTACGAAGAGCAGCTGTGGAGGCTTTATAACAAATCTTCTTGGTCTATATCTGAATACATCAACCCCTATCCATCCCACTATAACTTTCAAACGAAGCTAGCTTAGGAAGCAGGGCTTCGTGTCAATATGAATCATCGTTGATGAAATCCTGCTGAAAGATAGATGATGTTGGTAATTGGTGATATTGTACGACCCTTTTTCTGCACGATTCAGTTCCTTAAGCCCTAGCGCCCCTAAAGTCCGTCTAGCTCCGTTGTGCCCGGTACTTCTTTAATTTGTAGGGGGATTCGAAGACGGTAAGCATACGACCTCTAGTACATTATAGTATCAAATCGACCACACGGAGGTGAATGCTCTTGTAACAGAAAAGAGCATGGTTGATTTCATCATAGCGCACATCTTACTTGAAGAACACCAAAAAGCCAATCGTGACATATACTACTTCAGGAACACTGCCCAGAATTCTAAATTTTGAATTTCAGTGGGTAACCTATCTATGTAACCACGCTCTACTTATAGCCGTCAACAGTTTTACTACTTCATGAACCATGATAGCTCATCCTCGTCATGCTTTTCGAAAACGTCAAAACGTCAAAACATCAAAATTTGTATGGATTTGGCACGACCGCAATGGTCTTAGTTCGTGACCTTGCTCATCTGGACCAACCTCTTAACACCGACCTAGATTCCAATTAGTAAGAGTACTTAATGCTAATGATAGAAGCGGGTTTTACATACCATCCAGTTGCCGCATTCTTCTGTCTTATCCCGTTGGATCTCTACCTGAAGACGTTGTGCTTCTGGGTAGTTCTTGGCTTCCAACGCTTGAGCCAAAATGGTCAACTGCTCAATAGTATCTGGCTTGACTAATTCCTCGTTGTTGAGATGATCAAACAAGAGACCCAGTCGCTTTTGCGTATCCTTGACCTGGGGAGCGAATGAAGCCGGCGCTTTGCCTGCTACCCGTTGCATGTCGCGGCTCAGAATGTCGACTAACTGTTGAGCACTAGGAGGAATATGGGAGCGATCACCTGCGGGATGTCGAGCCGGTTGTGGGGCGGCTCGTGGCGGAGGTGGTGCCGGTGATGTTGATGCAGGTGGACCACCGCCACTCACTGACGGGGGACCGGTGGAGGGTGGTCCTTGAGACACTGGTGGAGCACCGTAAGGGGACGGGGCGTACTGGTTGTGAATTGGTGCAGCTTGGGGAGCTGGAGCGTAAGGGTTCGGCGGGGGCGCTCGGTTGCCATGAGGGGGAGGACCTAAGGGAGGTTGCTGGGAAGGATTGGCCTGAGGCGGCTGTACTGGAGTGTATCGGCTCGTAGGGGGAGTAGACGCTGGCGGCGGGTTGTAAGGCGAGGCCATTCTAGGGACGACATGACCCATCGGAGGCGGAGGCAGGCCAGGGCCACCACCTGGAGTCTGAACACCAGGGGGAGGCGCGTACGTTTGCGCTGCGGCAGATCCAGGTCCAGGCGGAGGTGGTAGTTGTCCGGGTTGTGGAGGACCGCCTAGAGGAGACATTACCCTTCCGGTTGGTGGGCCCTTAGGAGGAGGCGGCGGTGGCGTGGCTCGTTGAGAGCCGTAAGGACTTTGCGGTGGCGGCATCACCTGGTTAGCGAAGGGGGCAGTGATAGGAGTCGCGCTTGGTGTGTTTCTTCGTGGGGGAGCCTTCGTTACCATAGGGACGTCGTTCCAGTTTCCAGCCTCGGAAGCTCTTGGAGGAGGCTTCGACGACGGGGTAGATGACCTTGGGGGGCCTCCAAAAGAAGTTGGGGGAGGGCCATAACCCGGATGCTGAGGTGCTTGAGCAATTTGTGGCTGTGGCGGTTGGTACCCTTGAGGAGCGTACGGATTGCCGGCGGTTGGTGGAGCATAGGGATTTACCGGAGGGGTTTGGACGGCCGGAGGTGCATATGGGTTAACTGGGCTAACACCGGTCGCAGGTTGAGGCGGTTGATATCCCCCTTGTGCTGAGGCGGTTCGAGTGGAAGCACGTGCAGCAGCCGCGGGTTTGTGAACCGGCTGCCTTGTAGCAGGCTGGTGGACCACTTTCTGCGTTGCTAGTTGCACACGTTCGCGAGCCATGTCCGCAGCGTCATACTTCGCTGGCAGAAGGCTCAAGTATTTCTGAGCAACCTCAAGTTGGCCATGAGCCGCAACAATATCCGCATACTCGATATATTTGTCGTAGAGGGAGGAGAGCTTCCAACCTGAAGGAAGGCCGGTCTCCGTATCCTGGAATTTGGTTACGTGACGGAATACCGATACCTTCTCGATGAAGTGTTGGAGAGACCTTGCGTGGATTGAAAAGGTAGAATCATCGGCTTCGGCCAGGCCAGCCTTCTCGGTTTCCTCTAGCTCTTGAACCCAGATATCGACAACTTTCTCAAGCTTAGAGCCGACTAAATAACAGAAGGAAGCATCCTTCCTAGAGCCCGATTCGATGATGCGATCACCCAGGGCTTCACATAAGTCTGGAAATTCGGTCGGATCGGCAAACGTGCAAAGCGTCACCATAGTCTCCTTCCAATCAGCTAGATCGGCGTTGTATACGACATCCCAAAGGTTTTTAACAATAACGGAGCCTAAAAGTCGCAAATAACTTGGCATCCCAGTCTTCTGGGATAAATAGGCAGATTGGACCTTGTCAACAAGTTCTTTTCCGCTGCAGTTTGCAATCATGAAGGCATCCGCCATACGGCCTTCCTTTAAGCAGATTTCGGTGGCATTCTCAAATCGCCCCAACATTAACGCTTTTGTAATCTGCTTTTCAACACCCGTATCGCTATCGGGGAATAGATGGAAGGGGTTATCCGTTTTAGCACCCTTCGTAGCCGAAAGACTCGCTAAGAAATCCTCCTCGCCTTCAGCTCCATCGGAGAAGAAAGTCGAGAATGTTTTCTTGTGTCCCTTTCCTCCCTTCTTCGGCTTCTCGGGCTCAGCCTCCTTTGTCTCGGTGGTCTCGTCCGTCACACCGTTGGGTGGCTCATCCTGCGTTTCCTCCTCGTTGAATCCTAGATAATCAACAATTTGTTTCCGCGGGTTGTCAGCAAGCAGTGTTTCCAAAACACGCCAGTCAGCCTTCTCTTCGTCAGATTTCGCCTGTTCTATATGCGATTCGCAAATAGCTGTGATGTCACCAGATTTCAGGGACTCCTCAAACTTCTCGGTGGCGGTTCCAATGTCTGAATCAACAGAAAACTGGGAGATTTGGATCGTAGAGGAGCGTTTTTGACCAGGTTGGTGAGGGTTTTGCTTAAATATGATTAGTTTACCACCGAATCCGAATGAGACTCCGACGGGAGTCTCGAGCCACTTTGGGGCTTTTAACAAAGAGAAAGCGGCGCCTTGAGGCTGTCTCTGAGCTTGGGTGAAGAAGTCTTCACCATCCAAGCTGCTCTGAGTCGTACTCTGCACGGCCGAGGGGTTTGTATTCTGCAGCGTCTGGATGGTAATCTTCCCATCGAATGATGCAGTAGCCGACAGACTCGGGTTATGAGGGTGGAACCGGGTTGAGAATGTCCAGTTGGTGACTTCAGGGAATTCTCCATAACGTTCTCCTGTCTGAGGGTTCCAGACCAATGTCCTGTTATCCTTACCGCATGAAATCAAGATATCGCCATCTTGTTGGCACCACGACACTGACAGAACGCCCTGCTCATGACCTTGTAGGGTTCTCTCTGGTGCGTTGGAGTTTCGTAGGTCCCATAGCAAGATGACGGGGGTTGTATCATCGGGTGTAGCAGTTAACAACTTCGTGGAGTTGTTTGGATCCCAGGCAATGGAACTGACAGGCTTCCGGTTGTTATTAAGTGTTAATGAAGCCTTCTTGGTCTTCAAGTCCCACACAGTGACGAATCCACCAGATCCACCAGTAGCGAGAATATGAGCAACCTTTGTATTCCACGCTACGCATTCCAAATCATCTGATCGAGCTGCCGTGGTGCCTAGACGGAAAGCGTTTTCGGGGTCGTTTACGTCATAAATGAAAAGTTCGCCCTTGGCGCCAGCGGTAGCTAGGATTTGGGGTCTGACAGGATTGAACTGCAATGACTTTATGGAACCGGTATGCTTCGATGTTCGCGATATTAAAGCATCAGACTCGCCGGCAATGAGCTTCTCGGCGTCCCAAAGATCGAGCGACCCGTTCTCGAGAGCACCAGCGATGATGCCCTGGGGGTAGTCTTCGGAGGGCTGACCCCAAGCAATGTCGTAGAACCTAGTAGTAGACTGTCAGCAAACCTTGTATACTCACCACCGTGATCCTCATAGCTATTTACCTCGAATCGGCGGCAATACTTGCAATGGGCTGGAGCTCAAGCCCTTGCTCTTGGCTGTCAAGGTTCAAGTCCCATAACTCCAGCTTTGTCTCATCGGAGAAGTCGGCGTCCACGGCTCCAGCTCTAGTTCCAGTAACCAACAATGGCTTTTCAGCACCGGGCGACCAGGCGAAGGCCGCAGTACGCGAGATCTCGCGCAATCTGACCATGTTGGCTACACCACGTACACCACGTATACTACGTAGAGGGGCAGCTTAAGCTAGTCAGGGTCGATCGATTCGAAGGGATGTAGGAGAGGGTATCCAGAGATTCTCAGGGGATTAGCTTAAATGCCAACTAGCATTGAGCACTCTAGGCCAGCTAGGAATGTTGGCAGGGACCCGAGATGTAGAGAGATATGTTCGTTGATTTGCTTGCCTAGAATAGAAAGGCGGGAACACACGAATTCATTATGTTGCCAGATAATACGATCCAACGGTCCCTGTAGGTGTGGGCGCATGAGCTCAACAGTCCAAACCAAATCAAGAATCGAGGACGTGCACTACTGGAATCTGTTCCCTTTCGCCAAGTTCCAACTTGTGGACCTCTGCACCAGCCACACCTGCTAAACCACTTTCACGTGATAACAGCCGAGGAGGTATGACGACGCCCTACCCACCTTATGTAATATCAAGTGGAAAGTATCTAATTGAAGCTTTTATGGTCGAGTAAACGTATACGATTCACATTAACATGAAATCTATAAGAATTTCCAAATATTATATTTACAGGTACCTATGTATGAATATGTAAATCATGGAAGGAACTGACAAATCATGAAAATATTCATGTAACGAGTCAAAGGCTTAGTCTATATTGATATGCTATGTAAGGACTGGATTATATGTGTGGTTTAAGTGAATATATTCATTTACATGGATTGAACGACATGGACTTTCAACTTTTCGCCGCAACTAGCCACACACCAAACTTCCTGTCAGTTGCATATTATTCGCCAGATCTTAAAGCTCATGCCAACGCAGCTCACCTACGAAATAAAATATCCTATCGAAACTGCACATCCCGGGATAAAACATAAAGATGACAGACGCTGCCCGTTGGAAAGCTACGGTTTATGTCGGAGGTTTAGCCTCTGTCGTCACCAGCGTAAATATTCACGACGCCTTCATCCCCTTTGGTGAAATCGCAGATATATCTCTGCCCAAGAGCGATGCGCCAAACGCAACTGAGCCGCATCGAGGATTCGCATACGTTGAGTATGAGGATGCCGAAGATGCCAAGGAAGCCATCGACAACATGGATCAATCTGAGTTATTTGGCAGAGTCCTGAAAGTCTCGGCCGCAAAACCTCCCAAGAGCGCGGATGAAGGATTAGGTAGCAAGAAGGCAATTTGGGAACAGGTATGATATTTCCCCCTATTAACTATATTCATTCACAATTGGGTACTTGGATTACTAACAAGTGAAACAGGAACGATGGCTGGCCGAACATGCAGTCAGTGAAGAAGATCGTGCTACAGCTGAAGCACCTAAGAGTGGCGTAGACGATGACAGACCAGATGACCCTATGCAAGGACTTGAAGGGCTAGACGTTGCCGGACCCAAACCGGAATGAGGGAGTCGCTTGAACTTCTCATGGGGGGCCTACTTGGATTTATCGCATAGCGTTGGCGTCAGGAATGGATTATGGGACACGAAAAGAAGTGTTTAAGATAGGAGCTTGCGACTAATGTCTATACCGCGCTCAATCTCCCTTATTTGCCATATCCACCTCCGGTGGTCACATGTACAGTGCTATGCTTCTCTGAACGAAAACGCGCCCTTCCCTAGTGAGCCTGTTCCGACTGGCCAAATTCCAACTCCATCCCCCTTGCCATGACGAATTTTTCTAGTGTTCGGAGTGTTCGGCGTGCTCGCCGTGATCCGAAGGCTCCTCCTTGCGGTTTTGACGGCTAAGACGGAGGTTCTTGTCGACCCTAAACTTGCGGAAGCTGGAGTAGCCGGCAGCGAAAACGGCGAAGCCAACGACAACGCCTAACATGAAACGCTATCAATACAATGCCCAAATAGAAATTTGCATTAGATCTGGACCGTGAGGTGGACTAACCGAGCGGGAGCAGCTCTGCTGGAATTTGTCGCAATTTTCGCAGGCGTTGAGACACGGTGTGCGCTGTATTATCGGTCAATATCTAATTTGTTGCCCAGTAGTATTTTGAAGAATGCTTTCGGAAGCTCGGTATATATTTTGAAGCGTCAATGGGTCGCGATGGATGAGAACATACCGCTTTGGTCCTCCTTCTATTATGAGTTGTTAGTAAACGTCATAGCTATGCGAAGAAGGGCCTAAGATCGTACAGGAATAGGGAACATCATGCGCCTCGTGGGCATCATTCTCAGAGCTCGAGTAGCATACATTTTGTCGAATTGAGCGGAGATTTGTGTAGGCGTTTGGGATGTGCGTTATTGAGGCTCTAGCTTTCGGCTATCGAAGATGGATTTATCAATGATCTTGGATGTTGTTGGAAGGTTCTGGGGGGGAAAGTAGCTTCGGTAACTTGGATTCAAGCCACAACCAGTAAAAATGTAGAAAATAATCGTAGTGGGGCCCTCCTCCCCCAAGTGCCCACTGTATCATGCCACCAAGTGCCACCCAAAAAGCCTGAGGCACCTAAAATGAACGCTTGTATGATTCGATTCGGCAAGAACCCCATTATCCGAAAGCTCCTTCCAAGCATTCACTCTCAATAGTCTCATAATCTCGTAATACATCATCATTTTTACATTCTACAACAACCGAATTGCCATTGAATCCGCCAACCTCGCTCACCACCCAAACCAAACATCCAAGTCGCTAAAATGTCTGACGACGAGCGTGAAACAAAACCCTTCAAGTTCGTCACTGGTAGGTTTCTACTCCGAATCCCCTCAAGCCATTTGAATCCACATCCTTTCTTCCGAATTCTGACAGTCAACTAATTATTATTGTGATTTAGCTGGTAAGAAATACTTTATTCCATAATGCGATTGAATCGGGAAAAAATATGCGACGATATCGAACCCTCGAATAAACACAGTCGTCTAACCCGCGCCGTTTAGGTGTCGACGCTCGATTTCCCAATCAGAACCAGACGAAGCACTGCTGGCAAAACTACGTTGATTACCACAAGTGCATCAACGCCAAGGGCGAGGACTTTGCCCCATGCCGTCAGGTACGGCTACCAACAATCTAACCCCTATGTACGGAACGGATATGTTAACGGTCCTAGTTCCTACTTGCCTACCGATCTCTATGTCCGAGCGGATGGTACCAACGGTGGGATGATCAACGAGGTCAGTCCAGTAACGAAATAACGCAAGTGGGAACTAGATCTAACATGCTACAGAGGCTGGAAACTTCCCCGCCAAGTTGGATGCTTAAGCGTATCTTATGACTTGCATATGATTTTCAGAAGCATCGGCCGAATCAGCAGTGTTGGGCTATCACGATGTAGTACATAACCTGAACTTCCTAAGCCAGCCAACAATTAGAGATTGGTTGCAGAGATACATATGCTATTTATATTTACCTATCAAGTGATCAGTCGGCATTCCTCATTGCTTTCTAAACTAAATAATGAATATTACCTTAGCTAAGAGCAATATACAAGGCTTGAGTCTTTGCGTTTCCCTCAGTGTGAAGTTTATGGTTCCAGGACCTTCCAGCATATCCATATAATTATCATCAGGCTTCAAGGATCACACACGTTCTCATTCCAATTCCCTTTGAAGGATGTTAGGAATGGTGTTGGATATGTTAAGACAGCATATATGTCACTGCGCAGTTTAATGTCGTTATAATAAGATGTTTATCGCATTCATCTCAAATCGTAACTGATATCGTATCAAACCTCCAGTAAGCTTCCTACACAATGGTGCACCTTCAGCCTGCCACCTTTTCAGACCTTCCTACCGAGTTACGTTTGCAAATCTGGGGAGCCTTCTTAAACCAGGAATCTGAAAAGCGACTAGTGGTTATTCATTTCGAGCATGGCTCAGTGTATCCCATGAACCAGCTTACTTCACCCTTATTAACTATTAATCGCGAGAACCGAGAGATATCTAATGCTTTCTATAGCCTCGTCGTTGACGTCCACCACATGACGACCTCAAGTTCAATATCATTGTCTTGCAAATATTGCGAGGCATTCCCTCTAGGCCGACCCCCCGGAATACTACGCCTCAATGTCGACAGAGATATTTTCATTATCGGCCCAACCTACAACGTTTCTAGAGAAGTGCGATTTGAATCTCATTCCCTTTCTATTGATTGTATAATACCATTTAAATTCGAGACGAAGCCCCTAAGCGAAGAAGGCCACAACCGCACCCAGCGTGTATTTAACATGACATACCCCTATAGGAAACGAAGGACAAAACGATAACTTAACAACTAAGCTATTACAGGCAGACGCCTAACTACTACGTTCTCTTAACCATGGATAGCATATATATCTCGCTAGCTATGAGATATGGGAATTTCTATATATTTACAAACGTCAACCTAGGCAATTTAACCTCACCAGGGCCTCTCTTGAAACTGATAGGCCTACTAATATCTGCTTGCCTCCTATTACTGCGCGTATCTCGTCCGTCCTCGGTGATAAGAACCTTCGTTCCACATCGGGACAATCAGGACCAGTCTTGAGCTCCTCCCGTTCTTCATGCCCTGGTTCAATCAATTTCCAGATTTCATCATCCAGAAATTTGAGAACCGTGGAAAACTGCTTCATGTTTCTCGCTTCTCCTTCAAAATTTGGAGGTAACCATCTTGGATACACTTTTAAGTGAGACTGTCTCCTCGTGAACTCAGGGGCCATCCTAGTTAAAGCATGATAACAGAGCCAACAAGGGCCTTTGCTACCACCAATATAATTGAAAAACATCGAACTGTCTTCTTTTAGCAATACCTCTAATATATGCATCTCACAATGCACAAATGATAAGGCTCGACTCCGTGTTTCCCTCAGGGGTTTCGGTAGTGACGAATGCCATGGCTTCTCTCGGGAGGTCTTTAGGTAAGCCGATATGTACTGTTTATAATAATGATGTATCTTGATACAATATGCTTCATTCCCTACCGTTCTTAAGCTCATCGGCCTAGGGAATCTGCCTGACGTTACTAACTCTATTTTCAGAGTGGCATCTCTATGATCCATCTTAAAACGGACCATATCATACCATGCTCTACAGTATTCTGCGACAATGTAGATGAGCCGCCTAAATTTTTCTAGAAACGATTTTGGAAACTGTATTGTGTTGTTCTCGGTTTTTCTATTCTGGGGACTCTGGCAGCATCGCTCAATTAGTTTTTGCATGGGATTCTCATAGGAATCCAATAGCTCATAACATAGGTTCGTAAGTTTGTGCATAAGATTAGTATTTATGCTGGTAATCTCTTGGCCTTCAAGCTCAAAAACGCCTGGCTCAACCAAATTATAATCGCCCAAGTAGTATATGATATCTAAAATAGATAACAGGCCCTTCGCTTGAGGGGGCAATTCTCTATTGGATTCGGTGCAGGCTTCATCGAAAATCAAATCGCGGACAAATCGGAAATGATAATCATCTTTGTAGGAAACACTTCGTAGCGTTGCATAGCAGGCTTCGTATATTGACTTCCTGATGTTTGGATAGCACCTTTGGAGGATATCATCCCAGAGGGCATTTCCAGAGACCGGATAGTCAACATGATTATCTTGAAGTCCTTGAGAACCTAGGTCTCTCGATTCAAACCACTTTTCGATGCGCCTAGTTAGACCAGAGAATGAACCATTCTGACCATAATTCATGGCCACGTGTAGAACATATGCATGTGGTCCTTTATCGTTTCTCTCCATGGCGGTTGCGGTAACTCCGCCAGGGCCGGATTGAGCGAATATTAGAGCGAAGGAGTCAAGAAGATTCTTCCCCAGACCCTCTAGGTCCTCTCTATCATGCGCGCCCTTTGCAATTTTTCCAATGTTGAGGGGTTTCGGTCCTGAGCGATTGTCCTTTAAGGTTATGCCCGGAACCTTAGCCTGTTGCATGTTTATATCACTAAGTGCAAAGACCTTGGCGTGAAAATTTGCAGGATTCAACTGAGCATACTGAAAAATGTCCTTAGAGCCACCAGAACCTGCGGTTGAGATAATATTACCTTGAGATGGCATGATTCAGACTCAAAGAAATTGCGTATTTCCCAATGATTTCCAATCCTTGAGAAGTGAAGATAATGTGATGAGAGATTCTTACTCACAAATCGGGAAATTTAGACCTCTTATATACTAGAGTAGAGTTGAGTTGACTGTTACGAGCCATCTCGTCGAATGACCTGAGTCAAAACGCATATATTGTCATACAAAGAACTACTGGGATATACCATGCCAGTCAGATGAAGTCGTATTTTCCTCATGACGTGGTATTTATCTCTTTGAGGAAGCTCATAAGAATTCGTTTCATGATGATACATCCCGAAGCTGTCCTGACCTATCCTGGCATTTAGCATGTCCTAGTTCAACGATGCCCTACCTCTTGGATGAGAATCTTCTCTAAGAAATGTATTATCTGGAGAGCTATTCTTATCCATCATCAAAGATAAAGTGATCCCAAGAGTTGAAAAGTTCAAAATTACAGTTTGTTGTAAGAATGAAGTCGATAAAAAGGTGTGATTAGGTAATAGGGGTTAAGTTTACTATAGCGATAATCCCGCAATATGCATCGGAAAATCTCGATAACCGGCACTAAGCAGGGGTCCCCGAAATTTCAATGCACAGGCGATCAAGTCAGAGCTATCCATTTTACCTCTTCCACCTCGCGCCAGCCAGATTGAAAAACTTGATAGCGAGCCAAGAAAGCTCGCAGGAGGGTTGTCGAGATGGTGAATCCAGGGAAGCGTATGCACATATTGCAAGAAGTAAGTTATTTCCTGTCAATTTGTCCGCACTTCTCTAAAATAAAGAGTATCTTCTTGTCGCTCAACAGACCCTTCGTTATACGAGATATGAAATGCACTGCTAACATACCAATCCAGAAGGTAAAGCTTTAAGCCAGTTACGCCCGAATACACATTCTGACGAAGGTTACGACCTAGTTGCTAGCGATACGGCATGGCCCAGGCGCAGCGATACTACCGCCCGAGATCACGCGGATACATCTAGACTTCGCCAAAAGATGGAATAATGGACACTTCGGGCCCAGGTACGAGGAACTGCCTTATCTCATAACCCTCCAATGCTCTCTAGCATCGATCTTGTCCTTGAGAATATAAAATTCAGCGACGACCCTAGCTATACTTGACTAACCACCATGTCTCTTCCCCTCGCACAGGAAATTCTGGAGAGACTGCCTACCCCGCCTGAAATTCTGGAACCCAGCAGTCCCAATGCTCGTCAACCGAACAGAGGACCAAACAGCGCCGGCGAAGATGTCGATATACTTCCGGCAAGCGGCGCTAGACTCCAACAAGCCGTCCGTGCTAGTCAGCAAGTTCAACACCCTACCGCTCGCGCAGCAGCCGCGGTCGAGCATAACGAACGAGTACCCGGCGCCGGAGCCGGAGGAGGGCGAGCGCGTCGTCACCATCGACATGAAGGAGGTGCACTCGGACGCCATCCTCGAGGAGTTCCTCGCCAAGACGGGCGCCACCAAGGTGGAGCCCACGGCCGACGAGCTGGCCGAGATGGCCCAGGTCGAGCGCCGCCACCGGGAGGCCGCCTTCGACCGCAGCATCAACAAGAAGTACATCGACGCCCAAAAGCTTGAGGAGCGCATGCTGGCTATGGCTCGCCAGGAGGCCGAGGCCATCAAGATGGCTAACCAGTAAGGGGGGGGGGGGATTCCGGACTACCGGATTCCAACATTTTTAATCCCGGCCTACGGATCGAGGGCCGAGGAAAGGTTTATTTTTGCTACGTTGGACTCTAGCAAAAGAGAAGGTTAAGTGGACGGGGCTGGGGCTGGGGATGGGACATGAGCGACGACTTACTGGAATGAAAACGAAACGAACCTCGCCTCTTCGCGCTCGCATCGTCGCGCTATTTTGTACCAAGACGTGTATCATACGGAGACACCAGGCGCATAAAACTACAGAAGGGTATGTACATGATGAAAGGGAGTATATACCGGGCCTTCCGCGAAAGACGGGCGCCCACGACAGGATGCCTAAATGCTAGGTATTGAATGAAAAAAAGCAATTCCAATCAACGGAGAGGAATCTCTCTCCTCCCTCTTATACCACCACTATCCCCTTCTACCCAGTCCTTCGTTATATACGAAGAACTCCTTGCATACACTCTGAGATATTCTGCCCTGATCCCCATGGCTTATCTCAATTTTGCGTCAAGGAAGAACGAACCCCAGGGCCACTTTTCCTATTCACTGTGCCCTTCTCCTTTTGCTCTAAAGGTGCATGGTTTATTTTGTTGGCCTACATTCCCTTCGTCTACGCAACCAAGACGCAGTGTTGTCTTTGGGATGCTATCGAGAATTGTTATGATATAGTATATTGTGAGTGCCTGCTTCATAGCTCAAAAGAAGAGAAAGTAATTAGCTCACTCGACTCATCTTACCCCTATTTAACCAAGAATAGAACTCTGTTGGCAGCGAGATATAGTAGAATATTATGCTTTTATAATAATTACTTTAATGATGATTTCATAATTCAATCTTAACCAAGCCCAATACCGTGTAAAGTGCCCATACAGTAATATTAGCACAAGCCTAGTAGCGTACATGCCCGTTCCCAATCCTCATCCTATCCTCGTAGACATTCATACGGCATAACATAACAAAAGAAACATCTCCCCTTTTCCCTTCAACGAGCCGTGCTTACACCTCCGTCTCAACATCAGGTTGTCGCCCACTCAACGCGCCCATATGCGTGACCCTCCTGATCGCGAACTTCGCCTCGTCCTTGGCGAACTGCGCGTTGCGCAAGGGGCGCCACTGCATCAGCCCGCGGTGCTGGCGATGCAAGTCCCTGCTCCTTTCTTTGTAATCCTTGTACTGCTTGATTGGGTTCTTGCTGCTGCTAGCCTTGCTCTTCTTGCTCGAGCCGGAGTTCGTCGTGGTCTGGGTCAGCGCGCCGCCGCTCGTGCTCGCGCCGGGGCCCGCGAGGCCCGAGGAATCTGTAGCTGCTTCTGATGTGGCATCGTTAACTCCTAGATCGTCCGAGTAGTTCGAGGACGTAGAACGACGTTCGAGAGAAGGATCGTCAACAGGTTCTGAGTTCGAGTCGGGTTCATATTCAGGCTCATCGCGGCCCTCGCGGCCAGTCATCAAATCTGCTGGGTCTTGGCCGAAAGCTCCGGTCCAGTCTGTACCGTCTTTTGATAACCACTTTCTCCGCTCTTCCTCGGGAGCCGTGGCAAGCACATCTCGTCCTCCCGTCAGCGAATCGTCGTGTAGCTTTTGGATGGTAGCGGGTATCGACTTCGTAACTTCTTCCTGACGGACGCCCTCTGCGAAGCAAGCTTCCCATGTCTCGATGGTCTCGCGAGAATCGTTGTCGCTTACGAAACGGAGATGGTCTCGGTCCGTACCGGCCTTGAACCTGCCACTGAAGCGGAGACGTCCTACCTCTTCGATCTTGATATCTGGGATCGTGTTGAAGTTGTCTTGAGTGACGAAGTTTTGCGACAAACGCATCGCATTATCGCACTTCCACACGGGAATATCGAATGACTTGTCCTCGTTGTCGATGAGTTCTTGCAGCCAGATCGCCGCGAAGTGCTCGACGTGGCGCCTTCCGGGCAAGTGGAACTCGAAAAACACAGGAGAGCGGTAGCGGTATCTGACCGGAAGGCGTGGGCTTTGACTGTCAGTCACGCCACCAATGGTCCATTCCAAACCATCACCCTCTGTTTTGCAGTATTCGCGTTTGATTGTCGCGGAGCTACCTCCAGTTCTCAGGCGGAGCTTTACGTGGCCCTTACCTGAGCCAGCAAAGGTCGAGGAAATTTTGTCCGACGTGAACTCGAACGTCCCTACGTCCCAGCCCAGTTGGGGTGGTGGTAGCTTCAGTTCGACAGAGCGGAATAGTAAGGAGACACGGACGCGGCCGAAGCCAATTCCTCCATCCAAGGGATACCATCGTGTTACCTAGCCATTCAGTGTCAGAATCTAGCCATAGGTTAAGGATAAACTAAGTGTCCAACTTACTTGGCTGCTGGTTTGCATGAGGTCAGAGAGCTTCAAGGGGATAACGCCAATGATCGGGTCGTGCTGTCTGTTACGCGAATCGCGAACCGCAATAGTAACGATAGCGGATCTCCAATCTCGAACAAAACGCTCGGTACCAGCGTTGAAGATGGGTTTGGAGGAAACGACTTTCGTTCGAGTTTTGTATACCTATAACAATGCGTTAATATGGGATGGTCTAATTTCTGCTAGAAACTTACCAATTCGTCATTGAGCAACATGGTACAATAAGCACTCGGCAACCTCTTGCTCGACTCTTCCTTAATCTCGCCAGCATCACGGGCAGGCTCGTACTCTTTACCTCCGGTGCGCTTTCCGCCTTCGGAGCCCTTAACATTTGCCAACTCAAGGTTTACGATCTGGTGAACGACAATGCTAAGAATGCCAGAAGGCCATAATGGATCTGGAGGCGTATGGACAACGGCATCTTCTTCGTCGTTCTGGATAGTTCCCTTCTCATCTTGCAACACTTCGTTGTCCCGAATCTCTTTCGGCAAGCTGAGATCCTTGCCATCTGTCCTTAAAGCAGCTCGGAATTGAGTCTTCCCGAAATAGCCCACTTCCCAATGAAGTTCGCCCGGCATGGAACTTTCAGCCTTGACACCGCGAAGCTTAGAAACTTGTTGGTACATCTTGCCGGGGTGCTGAATGAGCTTCCTTAGGGAGAGCTCAACTTTGCCGACCACATCATCGGCGCTAGACCGATCACTATCCCACAATTCCATGGACAGTTGCTCGTCTGCCTTGATAAGGTCGGCGGTAACGTGTAGAGCACAGGTCTCTTCGAAAACGGGGTTTAAGTCATCTTGGATGACACGAGTACAATACATAGGTTTACCGAATTTAGAGAAGCTAACTGTGATGTAGGGATCGGAGCCGCCACCTTCGGATCCTCTTCGGTCTTGCTTTGACAGTCCTGTGGCCTTGCGAATGCGGATGAAAAGGATACCAAGAGCACTTGTTTCTTTTTGGATATCGTCTCCCGTCAACATCTTGCCGAGGTCGAGTGTTAGTGATTTTGGCGCAACATACATGCCAGCGGCTGCCTTGATAGCCCAGTTGACGAAGTTGGAAATCACTGGCAAGTTAAGGATGTTAACTCCATGTTCAATCATTGGTGTACATCCAGCATCGACCTTGGGGATCCCCATAAGTGTGAAGGTAACTGCTTTCAAAAACGGAGGTTCGGGAGCCATTTGAAGTCTGAGACGCACAGTTCCTACCAAGCCAACCAATTCGACCCCTATATATGATTAGCGACTATACGTGACTTGGTAGGTGAAGGAACTTACAGATTGGCAGAGGGATTCCAAATAACCCTTTGACACCGAGGTAGAAGACCAATTGCATTCCCATGTTTTGCGCTTTCCCCGACGCGGTTTCGGACGCAGGCCTCGCGTGGTATGCAAAGGATGCTTCTAAGTTGTAGTAATCACCTCCCTCTTCATCGGCAGCAAGCTCTTGCGGATCCTTGATTTTTTGGTTCTCCTTGTGCATCTCATCTTTCAACTCTTTCATGTGGTTGTCAGGGAGAGCTCGGAGACTCAGAATCCTAATGGGGTTATTTCCCTGGTTGATATCGGCTACTTTGACGTTCTCGATGATTCCAGGTACCGATGCTTGCATGACATCCTGCTTGTGTCAGTACGTATAACTATGTCAACGATATACCAAAAGCATACCTCTAGAGTGTCAGCGACAGCAGAGAACATATCCGGGTTGATAAGGCCCCAGACGATTCCGAGAAGAGTGTTCATCCATTCAACAGATTCGGGGATTAGATTAGCGACGGCAGTCTCGCCACGCTTCTGTTCGCTGGACCATTCGATGTCCCGGCCTCGTCGAACCAAATCCTTCATCCACAAGAACACACCAGAAGAGACACATATAGCCAAAGGGACCAAGCCCAGTAGTCTGCCTCCGAATAACTTCCCCATGAAAATGATGGCAAAGAAGACACCTGCACAGAGCACTGTAGCTCGCTGCTCGATGGCAGCGTACATGGGCTCATAACTGACAGAAGGTGTTGGGTGGAAGAGAATATTTGTCTTCTCGCCATGAATTGGCACATCCGAAGTGGCTCCTGTGGCTATTGGATCCGGCGGTGCTGTTATATCTTGAGCCTCTCTATACTCTTCTCCTGATTGTGTCGGCTCTGTTTTTACTGTCGTATCTTTACCCAAGTTTGCGTTCGGCACAGAAAGCTAAGCATAGTCTTAATTAGGAAATTATTCTTCACTCTCTGGCTTGAAAGAGATACTTACGATAGGATTTTTGGCGGTCTTCATGAAATCGTTATTTACATCGTCGATGGTGATTTCATTCCCTGTGACGGGATCCGTGACGACTCTGCCCCGACCCTTATACTGCTCAACCTGATTCTTATGCTCCTTGACGTCTCCTCCATTTTTCTTATTTGCTTTGAGTTCGGAGTCAATCTTAGCATCTCGCTCCTTCTTATCCTTATCAAGCGAAGCGACGAATTCTTTTATATTAGGGACTCGGTTAAGGCCAGAATAGTGACCGCCAGGGAAGCGGTGGTTCTGCTCAGAAGCCATTGCGTAGGATACTATAGAGAGAAGTCTGGGAAGTTATAAGAAAGAGTAGGATAACTTCCTTTAAGAGATACTATAAATAATTGTTATAGGAAAGTTGCTGAGAGGTTTCCTCTACCCTCATACCCTTAAGCTATGGGAAAACAATAACAGCGAAGGAAGCCTCATAAATTCTTGCAACTTACGAGCTGAGGATGGGGAAACACAGAGGAGACGAAAAGCTATAGGACAAAAGAAAGCGAGCTTAAAGGGATTAGCTACCTAGTAGTTCAATTGATTACATAGCTGCCCTAAAGCTAAATGTATACAGTCAGACAGTTTACATCATATCGCCAAACTCGATCTTTTTAGATGAATCGTAACGTAGGGAAGGTGTATGACGTCGGTGGAGCCACCAATTCTTTGAAGAGCTGGGGTACTTCCCGTTTGTACTGTCCAATTCGGCATCTTTGCTTCCAGGTTATTGGATGACAGGGATCTTGGTGTCCCCACCCGAGTCTAGCCCATTGCTCGAATTCCAAGGTTACGTTGCGACTTCCCAATATTGCTGCGTATCACAGAGTCAGGGAGACGAGAACCAACGGACTGGGACAGTTCATCGTTGTCACGATCTGCAAGGGTTGTGCTACCCACTTCAATATCGAAGTTGCCTTGTTAAGGAGCTGAGCTGAGTTATTTAAATTTAGCATTTGTGTAATACATGTAGTCGCTCGCTACATAAATCAATTGGAAGGCATCTAACAGCTTTCGATTCGTCAGTTCCCGCCCTATAACAACTCACATAACTACTAATAATCATGGGATGAACCACGATCGTCTAAAGATCTCAGCCCTTTCTGATGGATTTTAAAACAGTGATAATAGTTGGCAGATTAGCGAGAGAAAACATGGCGCATCCGTTGTAACCGTGGGCTGGCGGGGACAAGCACAGACGGGATCATCGACCAGGATCGAGAGGCTTGCGTCATATGGCATCTGGAACTTCGACGTCTGTGCCGACGAACCGGGCCTTGCAGTCCTTGGTAGCTTAGTTTGTGGTAACTCACGGTGTTTCAAAATTACATACTTCCATCTTGGAACAAGTCATTGTGCATTTGTGTTTGATTCATTTACATTTTCATTTTCATATCCATCGTGTCCTCGTGTACCTATCCGTTCATATGTAACCAAAGCACGAAACCCGCTATGCGATGGTATCGAATAACGCCTATGCTAAACAAGCCATGCCGCCCAATGCACCCGTATGCCTTGCGGTATGCGTATAAGTTCCTGTCATTTTCCATTGCCTTGACCCCAACTAGACCGGCTCTCATCCCCGATGAGCCATATCATCCATACTGTAACTCTGTCCAACAGAATTTGATACCCAGGTCACGATTGTTCGATATTCACCAGGTCTGGTGGGATCGGTGTGTCCCTTCTAGTGCCCGTCTCGGGATCGATAGGATCCACAGACCCAAGCCGCTCTACTTTTGGCACCTCCGTGTTAAGCGCCAGCGCAATTGGTGTCTTCATATCTAGATCGACGCTGTGGGGTGTCGTAGCTCTACTCGAGAGCCTGCTTTCCGCATCGGACATCTCAACATCCATACGATCGACCGTTATGTCCGATTCTGACCCGGTAGGTTCCACGCTAATTTGAATTGCTGTGACGGGTTCTGGTGTAGCTGCTTTCGCCGGCGCAGGCGCAGGTATACGAAGTACGGGGACGGACGTAGGTGCCAAGTTCTTAGGGGTAGAAGATTCCGCGGCAGCTTTGAGAGCAGCTATCGCACCACTCTCAGTTTCTTCATCATCCTGGCCAATAGTCCAAACCCACTTTCGTCTCTTCTCCTTTCTCTTACGTTTATGCACCCCGCGACCACTAGGTGAGAGGATGGGCGAATCTGTACCCAATCCATTCATACGCCTTCGCATTTCTTCAAACGGCCCTGGTGTTTCTCCGCCATTGCGCGTCTCATCTCCCGTGTACGCCATTGCCAGATCAAGTATCATGTCCGAGTCTTCTGCAACTGGTGAAGGTGTGTATGGAGATGCATCGTCTGCGAGTAGGTCGACGTGAGACTTAATGTATTTCTCGGTCGTAATGGTCTGCGTTAGTGGGGACACGTAGCCCACATGTCTATTGGCTTTTTCTTGCAATCGACGCGATTGCCTTGTCGGCGTGATAGGCGATCTAGCGCTTTGAGGTGGTAAAGGCGAGTTTCGTAATATACTGTGAAGCGACCTGTCACGAGTATATGGCGCTTTTGCAGGTGTCCCATAAGCTGTGTAAATTACTCGACGTCGACTTTGGGCAGGGGAGTACGGGTATGCCTGTTTCTTCGAGTCGGCGTGGGCGAACGTGAACTTGCTGGGTTCGGATGACTCAACTGGCCCGGCAGACATAGGGGGAGTTGCCGTCATACTGCTCGGAAATATTATATCCATCTGCTGGGCTGGCGAGATAGGGTTCGCAGATAATGGAGTATCCGGCAAAGTTGCAGTGAATGGCGTCTCTACTCTAGACTGCCGAGCCTTGAGAGAGTCTGGGTCAGTTTGAAGCTTCAATGGTTGAAGAAGATTAATAGCCGTTATAGGAGTCGACTGGACTGGTGTCGACCTTTCAATGGCAGTGACATATTTATTCGAGAGGGTATTGAAAGACGTCGGTGACCTAGGATTAACATTTGGCAACGCCCTCGCTGATCTAGTGCTTGGTCCTGGCGAAGGCTTCGTCTGGAGAGACAATTTCGGTCTCTTGGATGACTCAGAACCCGCCATTTTGACGATTTTCGTATGATATGCCTGCTTAGACTTATCCCTTTGAGGCTCTACGAAAGTAAAGGCAGGTAGAAAGAAAAGAGAGGTTGTTGAGTATGCCACTCGGTCTGTGCTGCCAGCAGACGAGGACTTCTAAACAACCCCCCAGCCGGCCGGGATATATTAGGGGCAGTAAGGAGAAAAACTCGATGTGTGTGAAATATGCCGTTAGGTGGAACACAGCGGCTATATAATACTCCTTTGGCTTCAAAATTCCGAAGGTACCGGTGGGAAGGTAAGGAAGGGAGGGCAACCTGATAAGTCAGGCGCTTAGAGTAGTATGAGACTAATGCAAACTGCAGTGTGAAGCAACAACATCCTAGGCGTAAGATGAGGGGGGGAGGGATTATGAGTGCGGGAAAACATCTGTAGGTAAGAGATCTGGACCATAGAGATTATTAAAGTCAGCAGAAACCAGAAGGTAAAAGAGACATGGAGTTAACCTGATGTGGGACTGTTGCTGCAGTGAGATGCAGCCACTCCAATATCCGAATATCTGGTTGGCTATAAAAAGGGAGGAGGGCTTAGAAAGCGAGGGATGATTTGAAGACGCAAGCGCCGACGTATCCCTGTTTGTCTGCACGATCCTGGCTATAGATAGCCAATGGCTCACAGAGCGAGGTCGGCTAATGGGCCACTTCGCGCATAACATTACCGCCCTCTGACTTTCTTGTGGCGCCTATTCTTACGAAGTCGATGGCCAACCGCATTTCCCCGCAATTCGGAAGAATTATTATATCTTGTGGACATGCTCCCAAACTTTGAATCTTTTGAAGCGGTGAATTATCTTAACGATAGCCTTCCAGCTGAATGTGTTATTGATATTCAGCATGCATGCTAAGAAGAGCAGGTGACTTCGAGCCACGCAGACCGTGCTGAAAGGATTCTATCCTTCACTCGGAAAGCGGGTTGTTGGTCCTTGCAAATCTCCTATTGCATACGCCACGTTTTTGCTCCCACATCCGCTCGGCAACGGGAACTATCTTTCAAAGATGAGAAACCTGGACGGACTTCTTCGGAGGTAGATGGCATCATCGTACTCGTTATTTTCCATCTCGGGAGAGATCTGGTCGTAACCTTGCAACTTGGAATACCCTCGCGGGTATGACCGGTGATCGCTCCACTTACTAATTGGGTATCAACTTTCTTCTATCCTATATAGAGAAGGCAAATTGTTTTAAAACACGTCAGTTTCTCCTAGTTTTTCCTAGGGTTTCCTTTCGTTCGCTCGAGTACGAATGTGCGAGTGTGCGAGTGTACAAAAATAGTTACTTTTGTTCGGCCCCGATTGTACCAGGCCTGTGGTTGGTGATGCATCTCTTTTGATTGCCACAATTAGAACAGGCCTTGGCTAGCGGTGAGCCGAGTCACTGGAACCAGCTAGGATGAAAATAGTCCGTGCTGCATTTTTAATTTCCTACCAGAATATCGATGCTTGTTTGAAATGATACGCAATACGAACGGAACTTTTGAAGGGATAGGGAAAAAAATAGAAACCAAATAACTAAGTTAGATATGGCATGAAATATGATATTTGACTCTTGATAAGTTATGAAATAACATTAAATCATAAATGCTGACGTCAGCAACGCTTACCAATTAGTGTTTTCCTTAAGCCACAATTACATAACGTCTAGCACATGGTGGCTAGTGTCTTCAGGCAGCTACCTCCCGGCTTATAAGATTCGACCAGACAATTATTACATAAACGTCTTCGCATTTGGACCCACGTGATATTAATGCATGTTGGCTCTATGCTAACCTCCAATGCCGAAGGACGAACATACAACCCTACCCGACCGCGTGGCCGTTCCTAAAAATGGAACAAGATGAGGGTAACAGCGCTGACGTCTGGACTCGCCAAGACGACCGCTGCCAGGACGCCACGGAGGAGCGACGACCGCGTCATCATACATTTTGTTCGTACATCTCGCTTTTTTCCTTTTCTTTTTCTTCCAAAGCCAGCATTTCACCAGCATAGCATCTAAAATCTCACATCGAACGTGCCAAGGTAGACGCTAAGGTGGAGAACTAACGCCATGACGCATAGGACTACGACTGCTTCTACGCCAGCGTCTTCGAGAACGCCAACCCGGCACTCAAGGGGCTCCCGCTGGGCGTGAAGCAGAAGAGCATTCTGGCCACTTGCAACTACGCGGCGCGCGCCCGCGGCGTCAAGAAGCTCCAGCTGATCTCCGAGGCCCAGAAGACGTGTCCGGACCTCGTGATCGTCAACGGCGAAGACCTGACGCCGTTTCGGGACGCCTCGAAGAAGTTGTGGACGTTCCTGCGCTCGCACTCGTGGAACGGCCGCGTCGAGCGCCTGGGCCTGGACGAGGTATTCCTCGACGTTACCGATGTCGTGGCGTATAACCAGGAGTTGCTTAATCGGAACGCGTTGCGGGACTCGTTCTTCCAGCTCTCGAGGCAGGACCCCGAAAGGGGGTTCAACTTCGACGCCTCCAGCTTCTTCGGATGCGTGCAGCCTAAATTAGACCCGACGAGCGTTGACTCGGTGCTGGATAACCCGGTATGCGTACGCTTACTCCTGGCCTCTCACCTAGCCGGGTACCTCCGGCTTAAGCTCGAAGAAGACTTCGGGTACACGTCAAGCGGCGGCGTGTCCACGAACAAAGTGCTTGCAAAGCTCGCCGGCAGCGTGAACAAGCCCAAGAACCAGACCACGCTTCTCGGACTCTACGAAGATGATATCAAGAACTTCATGGATGGCCACAAGTTGCGACAGATCCCAGGTATCGGCTCGCGCATCGCGCAGCTGATCCAGGATCACGTGTTATCGACGAAAACAACCGCCGACCCGCACGACCTGGAGATCGGCGCCGGGGTGACGGTGCGCGAGGTCCGGATTCACCCGGGCATGTCCGCAGATCAGTTGGAACGTATCCTCGATCGGCCTGGCGCGGAGCGCGGCAGCGGGGAGAAAGTCTGGAATCTACTCCACGGGGTCGATCCCTCTGAGGTCAAGGAAGCGAGCGATGTGCCGACGCAGATCAGCATCGAGGATACGTACATGTCGAAGCCGCTAAACGCACCGGCCGAGATAGCGCGAGAGCTACGTGCCTTGGCTACCTCGCTCGTGAGACGTATGCGTGTGGACCTTACCACGGTTGATGAAGTAGATCCCTCAGATCCTGCTTCGCAGCATCAAGGGCAGCCACAATTGCGTTGGGCTGCGTATCCTAAGACACTTCGGCTGTCGACGCGCTGCCGACCCAGACTTACCACCACGGGCTCCACCCCCACTCCGGAAAGCTTTAGTCGGAACTCCCGCAGCCAATCACTCCCAAGCTTCGTCCTCAATTTAAAAGATGAAAGCGTCGAGAGCGTTGCAGAGCGGTTAGCTTCGGAACTACTCCTTCCCCTATTCCGCCGCCTGCACGTGGAACGGCAAGGGTGGAACCTGGCTTTGATCAATATATGCGTAACAAACATGGTCATGGTAGCTGGCTCTAGTGAGTCAGCAAATGGCGCAGGAGCGGGAGGAGGTCGGAACATTGCGCGTATGTTCCGGACGCAGGAGGACAAATTGCGAGAGTGGACGGTTTATGATACTGCACCTGTTCCTGATAATCCTACATCTCCCTCCACGCACGACATTAAGAACGACGTTCATGGAGAAGAGGGAGAAGCTACGCCAATGGAAGATCTTGTGGAAGCAGCTGAGACAGCAGTAGTATCATTGGACTCGGATGCGGACGCTTGGGAGGAAGAGGACGAGTCCCAAAGATGTCATATCTGTGGACATGCCATACCTAGTTTTGCATTATTAGCACATGAGAGGTTCCATAGTGTCGAGGACTGACAAGGTCCCTTATCGTCGTTTGCATTGCTACTAGATAGTTCAGATACCCCTTTTGAAATTTAACATGATACCCAAACACACAACGCACATATCTTCCAAACCACTTTTTTAGTGGACGATATAAATATATATGTCCATTCATTCGATTTATTAAAAATGTAGCAAATTAGTGTTAAACATTGACCGTAGGGGTATGGGTAATGCAATCGACCGTTAACCGTCATTCAGCTCGTTTTTTTTTTCACGCTCTCGAGAGACAAAAGCCCACCCGCAGTTCCAGTCTCTGCAATTCCCATATAACATCAACTCCGGAGGTATCAATAACCAAAAAATGCACCTTGGTAAGCTTTAGAAGATCAGAATTCCACCCACCGCTACCCGCCCCTAGTTTTTTTTTAACTCATCGCCTGCCTGGTTCGCTGTAACCCGAACCCCAGCCCAAGTAAACTCCGGCCTGAAAGCAAAGACCGCAGGTCCTCCAGACCATCCAGCCCAGCCTCCTCATCACAGACTAGGAAGAATACACTTATCAAAACACCACTCGTAATACCGATGGGATCATAATCGTTCCAGCTCTTCGTTACCTTTCAACAGGGCCTCAAGCCACTCTCCTGCTATTGTAAGCATGGTGCTCTTACTATATCCGCCTCCCTTAAGATTTGGGACGAGTTCACTAAGATCATCGAAGCCTTCTTTGATTGCTCCTCTTCTCTTTTGCTCACTCTTGATGTGATTTTCCCTCTTCTGAGAATCCGTCAGGTTTTCTCGCGGCGCTTTCCCTGAATTCAAAGTGGACTTCCTCCGCTTTCCAGGCGCATCTGGGGTGGCCGAAGGGGTGTCTGGAGTTGCCTTTAGATCTGGTTTCGATTTACGTTTTCTAGCCACAGCCTTCGATGGTACAGATGTTGAATTTTCCACGTCGTCAACTTCTAGCTTCCCTTTGCTTTTACTCTTACGGCGTTTGGCAGGCGGGGCCTCGACGTCGAGCTCTTCTTTGATATGACCATTTGCATTGATATCAGGTCGAGCAACAGATGACCCTTCCCCATTCGTCGAAGGAGACGGTGGCCGAGTTGTTGCGGCGCTGTGGCTGATGGTAAGAACCCTTAGAGCACCTAATCGTTTCTGCTCAAGCAGCTCGCTGGATTCGTGGTCGGGTGGAACATAACCTTGTGTCCTGGCAAAATTTGAGTCGGAACCCCATTGCAATTCCGGCGCTTCGATTGGTCGTTGATTCACGATGCCGTGTGAGTTCCCGAACACCATATCGGTAAAAAGCGTGTCAGCGTCATTCGAAGTATGCCTACGGTGAATAGTATTGCTTTGGTCGGGAATATGGTTTCGAGGCAGTGGCCTCATCTGATCAACATGGCTACCGTTGTGTTGGGAGGGCACAACTGGTGCTCTGTTTATGCCATTGGCACCGGACTGGTGTCCGTTCTGGTGGCCATGGTGAAGAGACGTCAAGACTGCCGCCACGTCGGCGTGGGCACTCTGCTCAATCGGCGTGTGGGGAGTCGGGGTATTATGGTGCTGATGCTGAGTGTGTTCGAGCTGCAACGATGGTTGTGATGGGGTCGGCGGTGGTGGCATCATACTTTGGCCAAATGTAAATACATCTTGATACGTGGTAGCAGGCATTCCGTTCATTAGGGAAGCGGATGGCTGCTGAGGCTGCTGCCCAAACGATGTGGTATGACCCAAGAAAGCTGGTGGGAGTTGACTTATCCACTGCTCACTGAAATTGAGCCCTTCGCCATATGACATACCCGGATAATGGTTGGTCGTCATATCTTCGAAGAAAAGATTCAGTGCTCTATTATCGTCTTGGGTGAGTAGAGGATCTCCTGGGGGTGGCGTCGGAGCCCTAAGGAATAAGAAATCTTGATCAGATACGTGATCTACGGAAAATGGTCAGTCCCTAGGGTCTAAACAGGGCCGGTGCAAGTTGCTTATGAACAACAAAAAAGACATACAGCCAAACGGCGCATTGCCGTCAGGCGCTTGAGAAGAACCCATTTTGGGACGTTGTATGCACGCGGCGCTCATGAGTGCTTCTTGTGACCGGTTCGATCGCAAAATGAAGAGAGCCTTGTGCAAACGGGTTCAGGTCAAGGTTCGACGACTGAGAGCGGAGTGTCCAAGACGGGTTCTTGTTCTATGTCCCAGCAGAACTAGCAGTCGGTTCGTAATAGTGGTGTCGATATTTACGGGGCAAGCGAGGAGTAGACGTCGGGGTCTGTTAGGCATGCGTGACATAGGGACTGCAAGACAGTATATTCGAAAAATGGCATAGGCCTCCGCAGCGGGGAGGAAGATTTGGTTGATTGGATATGGTAGGAAGGATCGTCGTTACAACGAAGTGTGCGGTCCAGACTCGCGACAAGGCCGTTCGGTTGCGGCCCGGGTCAATGGTCAAATGAGGTATAGTAGCGGAGTTGTCAGAGAACTTCTGCAAATCGTCGGATGGAAAGTATGACGGCCCCTGACTATAGGAGCTGAGGATAGCTTCGACATCGATTTAGACTAAGGAAGCAAATCTATATCCCGAGGTCGATGACGCATTGCGGGAAAGGATCGTCAATGCTCCATAGATACCCAGAAGTAATAGTGGTATGTATTATAAGAAGTAGGTTAGATGAACCTCAAGTTGGGGTTGACTAAGGTAAATAGCAGACAGGTGAGGTAAGGTAAGGTAAGATCAGGTAAGACGTTGTAAATTATTCGGTATCTGTGGATGTGTGGATGTGTGTGGAGAGTGGTCAGTCTAGTAGCATGTCAACAGGTTAGTTTCTGGCATGGTTGTGGTTGCGTGCATGTTGCAATTCGAGGAAATGAAAAATAGAAATAGAAAATGGAAGATAAAATAAAAATTTACCTAGTAAAAAACTAGATCAAAACCTGCAAGAATGACACTGCACTGTACTCGGACAACACCATTGAGAACTTACTTAAGGCAGTGTAACACCTAATAGGTAATTGGACGGAAAGAGGAGAGAATGACGAGCAGGAACTTATTCGAAGTCTCAGACTATTCGCTGGTGAAAACCGACTCGATTAACTCATACACACCTTCCTTCCTTCCTTTGCTCCGCAATAGTTGCTCAGTCACCTGCCAGTTACCTACCTACATAAGTAGCAAGAGGCAACCTAAGAGGCAGCAGCAAAGCAGTAGCAAGCAATCCAAGAACCTAGCACCTAGCCACGCTACTTTCTTCTTCTCTGTTTTTTCTACCAGGTAGCAAGTGCGCTAAAACTAATAAGGTAATCCATTCATCCTTACATTAGCTAACGTAGTACGGCGTTAAGTACCGGTAGTGAAATGAAATGAGGGGTAGAGAGAGAATTCGAAGCTATGAGCCTATCGATGGTCTTCCTTTAACGGGCCCACCTAAGCACTTACAGCTATACGCATAATAGATGTAAGTCACCAAGTCACAAGAAGCAGAACAAGGTTATTTTCTTGATGATCGAACAGTTAAGCGAGGATTGCCAATAGCTCCTTCGCAAAGAGAACAGCCCCGATGATAATTCCTAGTATTATTGTTCTCCATTAATGAAACCTCAGGATATTTCACCTACGTATTATCCACTCAAGCTAGATAGGCCTTTCTCCAGGTTCTCGAATACCGTACTATTTTAGTTATTTTAGCAGCTTGTCAGGGATAAAATGCGACAAAAATGGAGTATAGTAAGGAAGCGGAGATAACTTGATATAGCGATATTTCCTTAAAGACCGTAGCATCTGGCCACCCGTTACTTGATTGGGTTTAGGTGAGCTAACTACCTAGTAGTATCCCTACCTAGTACTTGACTCGAGCGTTTGCATTGCATAAACGTTTCTTGCCTTCCATCATCGAAATCCACCGTTATTCTTAATTCTTGGCAGGGGAAAAGCTCCGAGGTGCAATCACATGTCAAATTCTTTCCTTCTTTCTCTTCAGCTCTCTTGTCTTCACCACGAAAAAGAGACCACCATTATCATATTGCGGCCCCTATCTCGATCGTGTCAAAATACTATGGCCCCAAGAAAGAGCTAGTCCTGATACCATCGAGTCAGGTCGAGCTACTCATCCCAGAACGAGCAACCCAAGTTCCACTATGGCTCATTTATCACCCAGTTGTCGCTTCAATCGCCTTGCCGTTGCGCACACTTATACACCGTATTGCCAACGGACCCATGGACGAAGACAGGGGTTATCTCCGATTGTGTCTAGTCCATTACGTGCGTAGGTCCTATACGGATACCTGTACATTGTTCACGGACAACCTAAGGCTCTGGTAGATGCGTGTGCTATAATCACCCAACCTAGATGCATGGTGCCCGTTGCAGTAGCTTTAACATTCTCTCCCTCGTCGCAGTACTACGTACTACCACGCGCTGGTGAGAATTACGTTGTCCTTGGACATAGATCCAGCTACCCTTAGAAGGCATCGATCCAAAGGAGAAATTTCGGCCGAAATAAATGTTTAGTTGATCCTTAGATGTCAGCTGCAACATCCTGGGGTTCGCCATTATAGATTATTTCGGTAACGGATTTGGGTACTCATTAAAGATTATTTAGGCCGTCTTGCTCCCTACAGTTGTGTAGGATCAACCCTACGTCGACGGGTCGATACCGAACAGGACGGGTTGCATGCATGCATAAACCTGAGCCTAGTTTTATAATCTGAGAGGCGTGTGGCATGACCAGAGATTCCTTACTTTCTTGAACAACTAGACCTGCCAGTCTTGTTTCTTCGGGCACCATCGATTCATACCTCGGCTGAATCGCCGAAGGCGACTAGTAACCCAAATCCTCCTTGGCGTACATACGGCAAGGGGCGGTACTGTCAGGTATTGTTTTATTCTTTTCTCTATACACCGGTTCAAACACCGTGACTCCATCACCCGGCTTTTGAACTTCACCATGTTTATATCTCGGCACGTATAGCGTCCGATTGCAACCTTCTGCCGGATTTCTTTATCATAACCCGGCTCGCCGGCACTTCCCGTGGCGCCAATGAACCCCAATTACGCCAATTAAGATGCTATTGTCTTGACAAGGCGTTTCCGCCGAAGCCACGCAGATCTAAAACAGCACGGACGCTCCAGGGGCGCCGCATCTCAGATCCATCGTAATACATACCCGGTCTTTCAGCCCCTTTCCATCATATTTGTAGCAAAACAAGTCAACCTCTTGATTCGAATTACTCTTCGGACTCCGCGGCGCACCGTCAACTCGACATTCTGAAGATATACTATAGTACAGTAAACCTTCATCGCAGCCAATTATCCCTTTGATGGATCGTCGATAAGTATACTATTGTTAAACACCGAAGTCTCGTTACCAAGGCCGCGGTGTGTCGCGTAGTGGACGCGATACCCGTACCGGGGCGCTGTAACGATGACATCTTCCTTACTTCCACCAAGCACCCGGCGGAAACTGGATGAGTCTATACCACCCCTACTCAGACCTCTCATTCGGGCCTATGTCCTAGGCTACGCTTCTGCTGTCGCACCAAGGCTCCTCACGTTGGTTCTACAATATGTAACTAGAAGGAGGAAAAGCAAGGGTGTTGCGAGTGCCATTCGGCCCCACGACTCCTTCATCGCATCCCTGCAACGTATCTTGCGTGGGGGACTAGAACTTCAAAGATTCCCAACCTTCTGTGCTGCCCTCGTAGGCGGAACTACGTTACTAGAGGCAAGACTACCTGTAACCGGTTCATGATTGCTTATTTTGTTCCTTTTTTTTTTCATCTGCTTCGAGGAGCATGTATGGATAGCGTTGTCGTAAAAGACTAAAGCTAACTTATTCGCTCTGAAGGTTTTGCTTGGTACGGCTTTTAACCGTCTTCTATCAAGAAGCCAACTTACAGAGTTGACCCGAAAAAGGCAAGTTCTGAATTCGATAACAACTCTCGATGTTTCATTGGGAAAGCTTGGCATCGGTATCCTACCTTGGCGCATATATCTTAACTCTATCGCCACTTAAAACACTCAACTAACCTTCGTCCAACTAGACTTTTAACCTGGTTATCTTCTTTCATATCAGCTTGGCTAAGTCTCCGACTACTACAGTCGAAGGAGAGTGATAGCTTCGCGGAGACTATCGGTATCAGCCAAGACTCGTTGGAAAACGCTAAGCAAGAGACGATCCGGTATGCTGGACGAACTTTGGATCTGACGCTATTCGCCTCGACTAGGGCTCTTGATGTGATAATTGGGGAAATATGGTCGCGGAAGAGATCTCGCAGAGTGGCGGCCGAGAAATGGACACGGGGTGAATCGCTAATATCTAAGTTGACCGACCCCACGATATTCGCAGCTTCGTCCGCATTAATCATGTGGGCGTGGTTTTATTGCCCGTCGAAGCTACCTAAGTCCTACACGAAATGGATTAACTCGGCCGCATCCGTGGACTCACGGCTCATCGAAGCGCTCCGGCGCTGCCGTAGCGGCGAACTCATCTACGGTAAAGAGACCGGACAAGCAGGGCTGCTCCAATCCATGTGCGCGGACTTCAAGTGGCCGCTCGACTGGGGCGATCCGGTCAAGGCCATTCCATTTCCCTGCGAGATCGTACACATGGGATGTGGACCGAATTGCGAGCACCATGCCTTATCCCGGTTCTATCGATCTTTCCAGTGGGCCATGGCGACATACCTGCCCGTCAACCTATTCACCCAGAAGAGGGACGTGAAGGGTATTAAGGCTGCCGTTATATCCGCGGCGCGCTCCTCGTCGTTCTTAGCCGCGTTCATCGCGCTCTTCTACTACGGCGTGTGCTTAGCGCGGACGAGGATCGGCCCGCACGTCATCGGCAAAGACGCGCAGGCGAGGCAGAAGATCGACTCGGGCGTGTGTGTCGGGTCCGGCTGCTTCCTATGCGGATGGAGTGTTCTAATCGAGAAGGCCGCTCGGAGGAAGGAGTTGGCGCTATTCGTTGCTCCGAGGGCCATGGCTACGCTTTTGCCTAGGAAATACTCTATGGATAAGCAGTGGCGGGAGACTTTTGTCTTTGCGTTCAGTACGGCGGTCGTGTTCACGTGCGTACGCGAGAATCCGCAGCGGCTGCGCGGCGTTCTGGGGAAGGTGTTGGGGTTCGTTATGGAAGCGCAGCCACGATGATTTATTTTCTCGAGTATCCGGGTTTTAGCCCGGGTGTGCTTTTTCTTCGACATGTTCATTGTAATCTGTTGATCTGTTCTGGAGCGTTTTGGCTTGTTTAACAGGAAAGGGAATTTGCATTGGGTTGGACAGGAGCATCAACCGGAATACACGTGGACTTAGGAAAGGGGCAACCTGGCTCTCTAGTCTGGAAGACAAGACAATGGGGACAGACTTGTGGCATTTAACAACTTCATATGCTAGTAATGTAATGTCTTTTGAAATCCATTATTCTTTCTAGGTTCGCCATTTCTTCTTTTTTATGATTCGACAGGTAGGCTCACCAACCATATCTACGACAACAGATTATGGTGACCAAAAGTTACCTACAGATTTAGACCATTTTTGATTACCTAGGATACCCAAGATCCAAGTCCTCGATTTCATTTTCTAACCCCTATCTGTGTTTGACCGACCCTATGACGCGCGTCTAGAGGCTGTATAGGTATGTAAGTAATCACCAAATCTCTGTGCTACTGACAACACAACGTTTCTCAAGATATAAGCTCTTTCTAATCTGGATCCGGTATATTACAAATCTACCTGTGTCACGGAAACGTACGGCGCTTCACAGTGTATAGCTGAGATCTTCATTGTGTGGCACTTGAAAAGGGATGGAGGGACGTCGAATGAAGGATACGTTACTCCCTGTTACATATATGTACGTATACGGCACAGGAGATCAAGCATACCTGCCTAATCTTGTACGCGCCAAGGAGAGAGTTGATATGTCATAATGGAGAGATGCTTATATTTGCATATATTCCCTAATTAGTCAAGTTACTGAGTGTCGTGGTGGTTGAAGATTTGGGGGCCTCGTTTGATCCCTTAATATAGAATTTACCACTCTAGACAGCATCGCCGAATCACCAGGCCCTTCGTAGGAAGTCATAATATTACTACACATCTACCATCATCCATAAAACCACATATCCCTTCATTACCAATCTCATGATCGTAACCAACTACAAACCCCCAGCACGAAAACACAAACCAGCGCATCGCTCCTCACGGTGCCCAGGATCTGTCCGTACCTCAGCGCATGCTGGACGTATGCCTTAACCCCTCCTGGCAAGAATCCGCTAACAGTCCACATCCAACCCTTGGGGGGCTCGCGTCCCTTATCCAAGAAATACCGTGACGTAAGTAGTATGGCCTCGACGGATGTGAACACGTAGAAGAAGTAAGCGCGCGTCCGCTCGATATCATCAGTATACACCTGGCCATCGCCATCGCTGCTGCCGCTGCTGCTGCTAATAGTCGAATTCTGGCGCTCGATAAGCGAGCCCGTGAACGTCGTGCTCAGCGCCACATACAAGCCCAGACCCAGCGCAAACACGGCGTGCAAGATGCGCCATAAATTCGCCGTCTTATTCGTCGCGGCTTGCTGCGCCTGCTGCATAGGATTCGGCATGCCGTTACCTCCGCCCAGACCTCCCAAGCCGCCCATAAGTCCCTCCATCGGCGTCCCGGCGAACGGGTTCGCGCTGCCGGGGCCGCCGCCGGGCATACCGCCTCCGGACATCATCTGCTGGAGCATCTTCATCATCGGGTCCTCTTCCATGCCTTCCATGCCGGGCATGGGGCTGGGGCTGTGGCTGTTCATGAACGGGTTTGCGCCGGGCGGCGGCGTGCCTCCCATACCACCACCACCCATGCGGCCGAGCAGGAGCTGGCGCAGCTGAGCGTCGGAAATGTCGTCGGGCACGTCGCTGGGAGTCTGCTGGCGGTTGGTTGTAGGCGGCTTGTAGAAGTGCTCCGAGATGTCGACTTCCTCCGGGTCGCCATGTTGCTGTTGCTCTGGAGCCGGGGCGGACGTCGCGTCAGCAGCCGGTGAAGGTGAAGCCGCAGTTGTCTGCTCCGGCGCCGTGCTAGTTTCCGGCGAGAACTGGGGTATAGGGTCTGGTCACGAAGGTTAGAGGCCGTATTCATAACGTTCTATTTAACAGACAAGTATCTTACCTCGTTGTATGCCTCCTCCGAGCCCCGTAATCTTGTTCAGCCGGTCGGCTCCGCCAAGCTTGATCTTAGCCTCGCGGCGCTTCTTGCGTAGAGAAGCTTGCGATGCAGCACGCGCAGCAGCGGCGTCTTCAGCTGATACAGGATCTTCCGTCATGGTCCAGGCAAAATAGAGACCTTCGTAGATGAATATTGTGCAATCAAGATGCGAGTGTAAGTTTGGGTGCGTTGTACCAAATGTACAGAAGGACAGCTGTGTCGAATAATACAATTGACGTAGCAATTCCAAAGTTAATGGGGCCTTCCTCTTTATCGATAACCTTACCATTAGCGGGACAAGGGTTGTAAGTCTACCTAGTCTCAACTCTAACGTCACTGGCTGTCCGGGATACACACTACCAACTAGGTTTAGCGTACGCGCCGCTTTTACTGTTAGATGAAATTTCTATGTGGCACTAGGCAGCATTAGGTTGGAGACGTTGATGCGCCGGTTTAAAGCGGCGTGGCTCTGGTTCGCGATAGCTTATTGCTCATGATTTTTTTAAAATCTTTTTTGAACATCCATCAATGCGATTCAATCATTTTTCCGTTGACGAGGGCCATACAATGCACGATGCACCGTTCCTTCTCGTCAAAATGGCTCAAAGGTGCACTCAACATCGCAGAACATCCAAGGCCACTTGAGCTGCCTTTATTCTTATATCCCTCTATCTATCGCGCATTGCCTCGTCGAAGAATACGTGCCGTCGCATTTTCGTCTCAACCACAAACTTCAACATGGAAAGTGCAGCATCGTTGCTTGCATGCGCAGGCGGCTGCAGAGGATCATTCATCCGAGTATGATACTCAACAGTCTTCCCCCACCCAAAACCAACCGAACGTGCGTCAGCTACCGAGACAATGTCCGGGTTGCGGCGCTCTATCACAAATAACCTTACCCGGTTATGCTGGATACTTTGATCTCAATCGCAAATCCGTTATAGAATATCTTCAGCCCAAAGGCGTAAGCCTTTCGCGACAAGAAGATATTATTTACGAACGTGCGCTCGATGGCTCCCGTTTGGAAGAACTGAAGGAGAGAGGGGTTGACGTGGATGCGCTTCTAGAGAGTGTACCTCCCCCCGAGATGGATCGACGAGAGCCCCAAAAAAAGCCCGTTTGCGAGAGATGCCACAACTTGCAACATTATAGCACCGGAGAATCGATTTTTCACCCTTCGATAGATTCAATCAGGGATACGATAGCCGAATCACCCCACAAGCACAACCACATCTATCACGTTATTGATGCTGCCGATTTCCCCATGTCCTTATTGCCACGAATCTCTGACTTACTGGATACTACGCCCCTACGAACCAAGAACCGTCGATCGAGGTCGGAGAATTTCTACACCAGTTGGAAGACCGGATTGACCTTCGTAATAAATCGTTGCGATCTTCTAGCACCGCAGCAAGAGCAAGTGGAAAAACTATTTCCATATCTGCAAGAGGTGCTCCGAGACGCTCTTGGACGAGCGGGGAGGAATGTACGTCTAGGCAATCTGATAGCTGTGAGTTCGAGACAAAACTGGCGGACTCGGAATTTGAAAGAAGAAATATACAAACGGGGTGGAGGTACTTGGCTAGTTGGCAAGGCGAATGTAGGCAAAAGCAAATTGGCCTCAGAAGTATTCCCGATGGGTAGGATGCACAAGTTTCCCGGTAAAGTAATAGCGGGTGAAAAAGCGACGTCAACAGAAAGAACAAGATTCGACCTAGAGCCGGCACGAGATGATACAAGTGCCCAGGTGATAGAGGGCTTGGAAGAGAATATTGATGAATATTCACTCCTGCCGCCCGCACCGAAGGAGACGGACTATCCAGATTTGCCACTGGTCTCCGCATTACCTGGAACGACGGCATCGCCAATCCGGCTTCCGTTCGGTAATGGTAGAGGAGAGTTAATCGATCTCCCTGGCTTAGAACGAACTGGCCTTGAACAGCATGTCCAAAAGAGCTATCGTTCGTCTTTAATCCTAAAAAGACGAGTTGTGCCTAAACAAATAACAATTACGGCAGGTCGGTCCTTGCTCCTTGGTGGCTTCATCCGCATCACACCAAGGGCACCGGCACCGGTCATGTTGATGTGCTCGTTTACGCCACTTTATCCGCACGCCACAAAGACCGACAAGGCAGAGGCCATCCAAGAGCAACGTGCCAAAATGTCGAATTTACCATTCGACAACATAGCAGAGCCAGGAACGGGCGAACGGACGAGACTTGCAGGTTCTTTCGAGCTGAAGTGGGACGTGACAAAACAGCGTACGGGTCCATTGATGAGGAAAGGTGCTGTCGGCTTGAACATAGAACAGCTACCGTTTCGTGTTCTGTCGACCGATATCCTGATCGAAGGCGTTGGGTGGGTAGAAATCGTAGCTCAAGTACGCACAAAAGACCTTTTTGCGCGAAAGCCAAAATCAGAGGAATCTCCAATGGAGGCGCCTGAAGAAGAAAAGAAGCTTTCAGCTTGGGAAAGGCTGGAGGCTCTCGCTGAGGATCCAAAGAAGAGGAAAACCCCACCGCCAAGTCCTGTCTCAGGAGAGCCTAACTGGCCTATCGTGGATGTGTATAGTCCCGATGGTAAGTACATCTCATGTCGTCGGCCGATGAACGGTTGGATGTTAAACAAGCCTCTGGAATCGAAGGCTTTCAAGAGATCAAGGCCAAGGAAGGGTATGAAGGGTGTGAAGAAGCTCGAGAAGAAGCGCAGGCGAGAAGCCGCCCTTCAATAACTCAAATATAATCTCGACGACTCCAGAACGTGAAACTATGTATATTATACGAATGTACGAGATTATGAGATGAATTGTTGGCTTTGAAGTGAGTTTCGTCTATTATTTTGACTTTACGTGAAATCAAAGTACGTATCTAGGTAGACTACCGGTAACATGAGGTTAAATACGATAGATCGAAACCCTGAACCGGACTACCGGGAACGTACAACTACGAGGTACCTAAGTATGTCACTGCCAAGGTGCCCAGTGAAGCTCAGCTATGACTAAGCCCACTACATCATACCCACATGGTTTTGCATGCAAATAGGAAGTATGACGCGGGGCTAGTGGGGCGATATTTAGGTCATTCAATCCCGGTTATTTTTCTCAAAGTCAATCTCCTTAAAGCTTCAATACTGGACTTGAGTGGTAAATGCAACGCTCCTTGCATCGCGAGGACTTATATCGATTTGTTAAATTGATCTAAGGGTCCTCTGGGGACGAGAGCGGAGAACTGATAAGCCTGAATTCCCCTTGGCCATCCCTGGATTCGTCCGCATTTATTGGTCTTCTGATAATCTGCCCACACACTTCGGCTTCTCATACATACATAGCTACGTATGTATGTACATCCATGATATTACCCCGAATTTTATGCTCCTTTCGTGCTTTCTCCTGTGCGCGACTTCCTGGGAGTAAGAGAGGAAAGAGCGGGGGAAAGGACGGGGTCAAGCAACAATTAATTCGAAACTTGAAACTCTGAAAATACCCTACTTACATACATATATATACAACACAGTACCTATAACTTGCCTACCTTCGTGGGCAATGTCAATTATATCGCTCATCCCATAACATCCGCCTCGTCACTCTACAAAAACGCGCAAACTTGGGGAAGCGAACCCTGGGAAAGGAGACTAAGAGACCAAAAGAAAACAAACCAGACAAACAAAACGACCAACCAACGCACCGGTGGCGCCGCATGGGAACAAGAGCCCGTTGATCCATGTTGATCCTCGACCGTTCTAAGGCCTACACGTATGCATACATAGGCCGATCGCTCGAAGCTCCTCACTCCCTCAACCAAGCGAATCTCCAGGCAAACGGGCCTTGGTCCAATACCTGATTGAGCCGTCGGAATACTAGATTTACACACCTTTCTCCGCCTTCGATATTGCCTCGACCGTTGGTACTCCTCTTTTTTCCTTCGCACATATCATCGCAACGCACACACATAAGACGACACATCGTCCCATCCATCCCATACGTAGGGCCAACCGCAGCCATGTCCGGACCAAACCCCCTCTCGAATCAGCGGCAGCGCGACCGGCCCCAGGGATCCCAGACCCAGGTCCAGACGGAGGCGCCCACGGGCTCCGGAACCCAGACCGGCACCGAAGCCCCGGCCCCGGCAGCCCCCGCCATCCTGCGCCTGCGCGGCGCCCACCCTCCCTCCGACCACCGCGTCCAGTGGGCCGAGTCCGTCGTCGACAACGAAGGGTTAGGCCGGAAGCGATCTAAAGGTACCCAGTCCCTCCTATTCTCCATTCTCCATTCTTCCGTTACCCGTAGGTACTATATGTACTAATATGCGTATCTCTAGTATGCTGCATATACCACGCGCCGCGCCAAGTCGGCGAATCCTCCGACGAGTCCTCCTCCGGCGACGACTCCTCGTCATCCTCGGACTCGGATTCCGACTCCGGCGGCGGCGTCCCGGACGATCCGCGGGAGAGGGCGATGGCAGCGCGGCGGAGGCAACAACAGCAGAACCACAACCACAACCACAACCACGGCCATAACCACAATCACAACGACCCCGCTTATTCGGGCGGTGGCGGGAACCAGCGCAGGCGCAGGGCCAGTCCTAACGCGTACGAGCGCCAGCCGAAGCCGAAGCCCCGGCCGAGTCCGGGAGACGCACGCAATCCGAGCGGTCGTGGATCCCCTGGCGCCGGGAGGGGGGCGCGGTAGAAACGAAACCTGAACGGGAGCTGGGCGGAATGGTTGGGGTACCCTAACGCTACCCTAGGATTTAATACGGGATCGTGGAGGTATTGTATTTCCTGGAGAAAAAGAGGGTAGTATATAAGGGGGGTTCGCGAAGGGATAGCACGCTATTGGGAGGGAACGATACGATAAGCCGGCTTTGGTGGGACGAATGTTTCTGGAGGTCGGAGGGATTAAGCAGATCGGTCTGTAATGGGTACAATCTGAAGAGTAGACGACATCAAGTTGTCGCTGCTGCTGCTGCTGCTATCAGTGAGAGAGAGGGGTGGTTGAGGGGCATACAAAAGGCACAGCACGGCATGGTATGGACGTAGTATGGATGTATCCAATGAGTATACCCAAATCGCAAATAGGGGGGAAAGGGCTGGATAAATGCCCGCACCAAAGTCATTCCACAATACCAAAAATACAACAGAGGCAAAAAAAGAGTTACGCATGGCACAACCGCAGTCTAAATTTGATGCTAAACGCAATTCCTTATTCTTTGCGTGATTCGTTCATATCAAGGTCCGCTCGCCCACGCAATGCTCCTCCTGTCTCTTTCTCGTCTTCTTTGTAAATTGATCGCGATCTGCCTATCTCTGCAAATAAGTCCAACCACTCACTCACTCACTACATATTCAAGGCCGGGTGGATTTCTGCCCTGCTACTCTTTCTCCCCCCCTTTTCATCGTCCCCTAGGTCTTCTTCACCTTACACCCTCGGTCGATAAGCAAATTTAGCTAGACATTATTTCCTTCCTCCACTCGATAGCGCGATGCTGTAGGATTTCGGTTCGGAACGCGAAATGTCGACTGATTTCTGGATATTCGGAGGAAAAAGAGGTAAATTAGGGAACTTTTGTTCATCTCATGTTCCCTCCCAGCTATAGTACAATCAAGGCAAAGCATACCACCTTCGTCCTCGTTAATATTACATTCTAGTAGGTTGTCCTTGACCTGGTATGCAGCCAACACAGCTAACCCGATTTATCGAGACTCGGGAGAAGAGGGGGAGGCCGGCGTGGGAATCATCATGCTAGGAACTTGTTTCCTCATCACCCCTCTTCTACGTTGCTCAGCTCGTGGCACACCCTGTATGGCACGGGGTTCCTTCATCAGCGAAGGGTCTAGCCGTGCCGGTGTTCTTGTCGTCACCGATCGGTAATCGCCTTGGAACTTGGCATTTGGTACAGGCACACAAGCCGTTCTCCAAATGTGATCAGATGTGTCTGTCAAAAATGGCGTTTGCTTCGAATTCCTGGATGGGATCTGAAGTCCTGGTAGAGAAGCAGAGACGCCGTGAGAGGCTCTTATCGTCGAGAGACGGGATAAGCCTGAAGACAGGCCGGATTTCCCTCGAGCCTTTTTAGCGAGAATTATCTCGTCGAAAAGGCGAATCTCGGGGTCCGTGCCCGGGTGCGTTTCGCGTTGATGGATGAATTCATTGAATGCTAGTTTATAATTAGTAAATGTTGCAAGTATAATAATGACAAAGACAGCATACCTTGCGTTTCTTTCATCATGGTAATGTACTCCTGTTGATCGTACGGCAAGCTCCTAATAAATCCATTCATATCGAACCCATATATTTGACCGCTGTTCTTTTGGTCCTTCGTCGGCCGACCCAAATGCTTGCGATATGTATAGAGAAGACTCGCAAGGCAACGTACGAAAGCAGCGCGAATCTTATCCTCGCTAAAGGCGACTGGACAGACGATACAGACGCAGCCGAGACAACGTCCGTGTGAGACTGCCCCGCACCCTGCGCATCTGTACCATCCATCACCCTCACAACGCTCATCGCAAATCGTGCAGGTTAAGGAGGTGTCATTAGCACCGAAATTGAAGCAGTGTCCTTCAACCCACATCGTAGACTCGGTATTCTCTACTGGCTGAACGAGCATGTTCGGCATCACCGTTGACGCGGCGATAGTAGACTGTGCGTACGTCGACGGAGCGTAACCCCCGTACGACGACTGTGAGTCTATTGAAATGGCAGAGATGGACAGGTTCGACTGGTGGCCGTTTAAGAATGGCGCGTGAGGTCGGTGAACCGGTGCATGGCCGAATGAGGAGCTGCGCCGACCCTTCTCGTCGAAATGCCCCGATCTCTTCTCTCTTAGCGTAGAAGATAGTGCGAACCCAGAATCGCTTCTGGAAATAGGTGTCGCTGGCATGGGCGGGAAATTCACCGAGACAGGCGATACTGACGACGGCGGGCTGGTCTTGTTTGATTTGCTGGTCGTAGGCCGTTCGGATCCTCCCGGCTTCGCATGCAAGAATGCATTAAACACGGGAGGGCTTGCTGTACCTGCAGGCTCGGGTTCCCCAAAAGATGATGAATTCTGTGCAACCCATTTGTACAGCGTACTTGGCGCAGCCTTCTCATCAAAAAGGGCGCCATTTTCGGCAGAGAAGGCGTCGTAAGGAAAAGATTCGATCGCATATGGAGGCGGTCCTGTCGTGACACCGAATCGTAAACTGTGCGGTGCCGCATATTGCAGGAGCGAGAGAAGTTTTCGTCGGTGTTGTTTTGGGAGACGAACCGGCAGCGTCGGTGACTCGATAGTATCTTTATCTAAGTCGACCAAGACATAATCGTCATCCGGAAGTGCGACATTGTCGTACCTTCGCTCAATGCCGACAATGTACGGACAAGGAGCATCAAGAGCAGATATCAATCGCGCCGGCAGAATGGGGATAAATATGCTCGCCCAAGTCAACGGATACAACAGACTAGCTAGGGCGTGAGAGGCGAGGTGAAGCATCGCCGTATGCGATGAGAGGAAGATAATTCGCGATTCGGACATGGCATATTCGAAGAGAGTGACGATATTCTCGAGTGAGAGACATCTAAATAACGCATAGAGGTCAGTGTTACGTGAGCCGGGAAGCTCGTTAATTGCTTCTTTTCGCGCATATAGACGTAACTCGCGCACGCCAATCTCGACCTGAGTTTTAGAGCTTAAGGGGCTGAACGCCTCGGTACATAGATTAACCACGTATCGTTCTAAAGGTTGCCAGCGACCGACTCGTGGAGAGCTTGGAGGTACGCGTAAAACCCCACCGTCCGTCATTGGCACTATGACGGCTCGAAGCCAATCCTTCCAGAAACCCATTCTTGTAACATCTCTGCCAAGAATGCCGTACGCTCGAGGCATCCAGAGACCACTCTCGCCGGCAGTCAAGCCATCAATCTTCGATGCAGCCCCATGTCTCAGAGGCCTCAGCATTTCCGTCATCAGGCTAATTTTCTCCTCTACCGCACTGATCTGGTCATCTAGCGTCTCTCGAGCAGACGACCCAGATGCTATTGTAGGAAGTTTCGCCAGTAGCTGCGAGAGATGCGCACGTTCGGCAGCGAGACGTGCTCCAAGGCTGCCTGCAAGCTCTCGTTCTTCCTCAGTCATATGTCTCTGTCTCCAAAGTTCGCAACGCATCTCGATATCCTCTGCTACATCTGTTGTGAGTGCTGTCCATATAATGACGGTTACTCCATAGAGCTTAGAATTATCATCCGATGTCATGGTAAATCCATGCCACGTCGATCTCGGTCTTTCATCCGATGACACAATCTGAATGTCGTTAGGGAAGGCGAACATGGGTACATAATCCGGGAATCGGCCTCTCTTGCTGAGGCTTTCCGTATCGTGTCGGGGAGGGTATCGGTCTAGGAGTTCGGGTTCGAAGCGCCGTTTTAGGGGGTGCATATCAGGGTCGAGGTTAAGAGGTTCGGGAGGGGGAATGACGGAATTGTAGCTGCTCAGTCTCCTAGTAGTTCGGATTGAAGCTAGTTTGCAGAAGTCAGTACAGAACAGAGAGTTCTTCTTGCAGTCATGTTCGAAAATTTCCGCAGGCAGTCCTTCTGCCACTTCCTTTAAGAGGGACCCTCCGCCTAAATCGCGAAATGGGGCCATACCAGGTCTCGGGGTTGTTGGCTGCTTTCGCACGCTGTTCATGTCCCTGAAGCTTATTTTCCGTCTTATGCTGCCTCTGATGCTTCCCCTGATGCTCTTCATCGGGCTCATCCTTCCGCCCGAGGCTTCGTCTGCCTTGATCTTGTCCGTCCGTGGGTTCACCATCGGTTTCGATTGCGTCTTCGCGCCGGCTGAGAAGCTGAGGTCCTCCAGGAAGTTCTCCCTCTCTGCCGCGAACTTGACCAAGGCCTTGTCGAAATCGAAATCCATAAGAAAGCCGCCGCCATCCTGCGGCGCTGCTGCGGGGTGAGGGTTAGGTCGTATTGTAGCACTGCTTCTGTTACTTCTTGTGTTCCCGTCCAACTCCTCTAGGGCCTGGATCGAAGCGAACGATGCTTTGGAGAGTCTGTTATTAGAGTTCTGGCGAGAGTGTCTCGCAGAGTTCCTGTTAGCCGAGGGGGATGGCGTCGGTTCGGGATCGTCGTCGGGTTCGCCATCTTCATCGATGGTGCCGTCTACCTGGGTAGACGATGCTGAAGTTGGAGGTGGAAGGTCTTGGTAGGATATGGACTCGACGCCCGCAATCCAGAAATAGTCCGCGAGCGGCGCTGAAGGGCTATCCATGACATCGCAGGCCTATGGCGGTGTCTATTCCCCCTTATTTCAATCCACACTTATAGCTCCGTTCGCCGAAGAGAGAAACTCAATTGAGATGGAGAAAACAATCTGAATTTTAAGAAGTTATGTCCAGGTGACGTGCCCAGGGGTTTGCCAGGCACCAATCAACGGTTCGAACCGTGCGAGTTTGTTCTGTTGTTGTTTTCTCAGTCCCGACTTGTGGATATCGGCAACTTTGTTACCAGTGCGCCGATGCATATATCCCGTTGCACAAGCGAATGTTGGATGGATTAAAAAGTTGTGTGATTGAACAACTGACTGGTTACCGCCAGATAATTCGAGAGACTCCAGCAGACTCTAACAACAGGGTCTACTTTGCGGGACGTGCTCGAGGGGTCGGGTGGTTGAGGGGGGGTAAAATGTGGATGTATCGTCGGCTACTAAAGCAAACTATTTTAATAGACGAAAGGCAAACCAGCCATTAAGATGAGATGGGTGTCGCCAGATTAGGTATTTTCGACAGACTTGTCAGGTTGATCGATCCTCCGAAAAAAAAAAGATCTTCTAGGTAATCTTTAAACTACCGCGAGACACTTGTTTTTAGAAAATTGGTGTGTATGTAGATAATGTCCGGCCTATATCTTTTTTTGGTAGTTGTCTTATTTTCGGGCAGAAGCAGCCGATGTGCTGTTTATGTTCGCCTTTCCTTTTTTTTTTTCCTTTAATCTTTTTTGGCGCCGGGTAGACACGCACGATCTATTGGGTATGCAAATGCTTCCAAAACAGCTCTGAACAATTATGCGGTGCTTGGATGCAGATGCATGCCCCTTTGCGGCGTTATCGTTCGGGTGGGAGGGATAGAAGGGGTTGAAGGAGGGCCGTTCGAAGAGGAGTACCCAGGTAGTGCTAGGTTAAGTTGCGTTGCTGTTGGATACGATCGACGGGTGAATATGTAATGGCAATTTTGACTGGACGGAGAGAAATAAGCTCCCCCAAGCTAGACTGGCCCAAAAGGATATGATGTTCAAGAAAAACGAGTGTTTTTGGAATGCCAAAGATCGATCCCCAAGTTCATGCAGATTCAGTGAATGAATGGATGTGGAAGAAAGAGACTACTGCATGGCACTGGAGGCGTTGATGAACATGGTCGATTTTTGGTGGAGGAGAATATTGAAGATGCAGTCGGGCAGCCGGGTTGGTTAATCGGTGCTTGCGGTGGAGCCAATACCCTTGCCTACCCCTGCTACCCCTGGCAGTTTGGCTGACTACTAGTCCAAGTACGTACCTTTGTAACCCCACCACTTTTACCCAAGCCGGGATTAGCTGTAGTGGGATTTTTACGTATCACGTATCGCACGACATACCTAAGATGCTAGGTACATAAGCAGCTCCAGTTGCCCAGAACTTTAACCCCTGTTCCGCCTCTCTTTACAGGGGTTGACGAGCACTGAATCGGCAAGCACCCACAATGCCACTTACATAGGTACCTGTAGCGATCTGGCAGCCACAAAAAAACCGACTCCTGAAGAAGGCACACCCTTCAGAAAAAGCTTCATTGCATGTGTCAAACTCAATACCTATAAATTTTACTATGTGTGACTTCCCAATATAAGATATAGAGTGACAACCATGATGAGAAAGGCCCGAGTCAGATGATTCCCCTTTTCCCCTTTTCTTCTTTTCCATACCTACTAGTACATCATAGTTCAAAACTTTCGAAAGGAAAAAAAAAAGAAGACCCTCGGCAGAACAATTCACTAGAGACAACATGGATGGCTACTCATATGCGGTGAAACGGCATCTTGAACAACGCATACAACGCATCTACAATAAAAATATGCACCCTCGGACACAAGCCTAGCCCTTCATCTACCTGAACTCTCGAACTCACCTATCCACGTAATGTCTGATGACTTTGCCAACAAGAAAAGGGAAAACCCATTCTCTAGCGTTACGTGTTTAGTTTAAGCCCACGAAGACGAATACCATGCAGCTATTCTTAGCGAGGATGTTTAGTGCTTCCTCGCACTACGCCGTTCAACACATGGTCGAATTCCCAGGCTTTTGGAAGACGCGGCCAATTTTTTAGCCAGCATCTGGCGTCGAAGCAAACCTCCTGGTCCGGATGATTTGGTACCTTGCAGGCAATATGGACCTATGTATCCATATACACGCATACATAATACCAATAAGTAGATATGGATATGGATTAATATGTCCATGACACGAAATTCGGTCCACTACTTGGTCATATCTATTCTCTTCCCCCCCTTTCTGACGCTTCCTATCCCAGATGGAGGGGAGACGTAAGGGTTTATCGGAGGAATTGGAGGAATATTTGCATGTTAGGTCGCTATGTTCCTGCATAGCCTACCAGATAAGGGGCATTACACCCTTTCCCCCCTCTCGATTTCGACGAGTCAAGAGACTTCTAACCCCTTGATTCCGGGATATGAAATCCAGCTCGTATTTGAGCTGTCGGCAGCAGCTTCGCATTTCTGTACATACCGCCAATAGGTACAAGTAACGAAGCAAGCAGGCGATGACTATCTATTTCGAGTATGGCCCGGCGGACTCCATGGGTTACGGGTTTTTGCACGCGGACGTACATACAAGCTCCACCAAAGTCTTCCCTACCTGTAAGCCGGCTAGCTTAGCGCCTACATGGCGGCCAGAGCTTCACGCCCTGGGGTCGCTATCGAGATCACTAACGAGGAACTAACATGGCCGCCGCCGGGATTGGCGCACAGTCACAATTGTCCGTGGTCGTCTACATATCAGACCTTCGAAAAATTCCCCGTTGCCTACAGGTACTTGGCTGCGCATGTATGTCGCTGCAATATATTATCAACAACGCAACTCGCGCGATCTTATCGACCAATCGAAACACGTTAGGTATGTGATCGTGGAGAGCGAAGGCCAGCGTGTCAAATCGACAATGAGGCGACGCTAAACCCCGTCCAATAATGCCAGTAATATCACCCAATTTATTCGGGTTACAGTCAGGCACGCACCAAATGGCAGATGCTGCGAAAACATTCTAAAGGTAACGGTCAGCGAAAAACATGGTCTCCCATGGTTTGTAAGGACGCCACTGCAGATATCCAGACGGACATCAGTCATTACGTTTCAGACGTGTGGGGTTAGTCGTGGGCTCGGTCTCTAGACGGCCGAAGATGGGAACTTTATCGAACTCGACTTGTCTTTTTTCAGAAGTTCGAAACGCAGTCGACCTAAAATGCCGTGCCTATCATCGTCCCATCTTTGGCAAACGACGGTGAAGTGACCGCTCTTCACAATTTACTAGCCTCCGCTAATCTGGTCCATCTGGCATATCAATTCCTTTAGAGTTTCTCTCTGCATCCTATTCTCACGAAGCGGTTTTTCCTATTATCGTGAAACGTACCTATCTAAGTGGACCTTGCTTGCGCGAGAAGAAAACCTCTCAAGGCGAAACGGGTTTTACGAACCGCGCATCTGACGAGCTTTTCCATGATTCTTGTTAGAAAATTCCGGTTTTCAACCGGGGCTGTCTCTCTTCAAAGGAGTTTATTCGTGATTGACAAAGTCCGTGGAATCCTTGCAACCGTTCGTGGAGGCGTAATCCACTTGATCCATGTTTGCATGTCATGTATTGTCCTATCCTAGCATCAGGCAAGTCAGGGACCAGGAACCCATTACGGCATCGCCCGTGCCACGGAAGTGACGTAGCTGGAACAAACGCTCGTCAGAACGAACTTCCTACGTGTGTTGGCCGACGTGCTTGGTGTACCTAAGCAAGCTCTAAGCAGCTGAGGTCGCTTGCTCAAATTCCAATTGAGGTCGGGTAGGATTGTCACACCGGAATAACCACAATAGTCAACAACGACAGATATGACCTGTTACGGGAGAGCGTCAGCAACAATACGGGCCGTCACCCGTGTTATCAAGCTACCCGAGTGTCACTTAAGACACTTTTGTTTGAAATTGATTGTTTCTTTCCAAACACGGACTTATACAAAAGCCACGATCTTAGGGAAAAAGGCGATTAATTGAAAGATCGGCCGCTACAATAATAGGTACCTGTATGAAATCATCAATGTTTACGCAATTGGTTATCCATCCGTTCCAGATATTCGGTTATCTCCATCGCCCACCCTCATATCTTGCTAGTGGGAATATGCTAGGATATAAAAGGATTCTGATATGGTCGAGAGTCCGATGAAACCTTCCACACCGGAAAGCATTTGTGCAGCCGCACGCATAAGAATAGAAAAGAATTTCGCTGAAAGGGTAGCACTCTAGGAATTCCAGGAATTTCTCATCTGGCGTCGGTAACCATTTTAGGGGTAAGACGATTATTATTTCGAGACCGTGCCTGAAGGAAGAAGCGGCTCATCCGCGCCTTTCTTCCTGATAAATAATTGCATCTTCGCAGGCGGCTCTTTCGAACGTCTAATGTCAGATTCTTGAAATGATGAATACGACCTTATACTACTATTATTAACACGAGGTCCGCGCAGTTCTCCTTCACCGCTCGGAAATCGAAAGCGTCTAACATTTCCAGGTCCTATTTGTTATCCTACCCCTTTCATCTTGAAGTTCAGAGGATGTCCTTGTATAACGTTCACCTCGAATTCTTTAGATTCGAACTTGTATTCACACATCGAATGTTATATCTGACCTAGAGGTGTCTCGATATTGGGAGTCGCAGGCGATGGCCAATAGGGTATAAACCGAGAATCTCCAATCTCACTACATTAACAACGATTATGCCAGACTACTAATCCATGAGTCGATCTAATTGCATGAATACACAAGCTGCCAAATTGGACATGACAAACTTGCATTGACCATGTCGATCATGTTGCTGAACCAGGCTGTCAGTCTGACATCTCACATCTTCAATATATTGGCCAGCATGGATACCCAGGCACGAGGCTTATTCACGATCCATTACATAAACGGGCCCATTTCACGAATGAGGGAATCAATAGTTTGAGGCTTGCGACAGCCTAGCTTTTTATAGCCTCATAAAAAAAAAGAATTTACGAATATATCATATTTGGATCATGCTTCGTTTCTATTAAGATAAATGCTTACTCGACGTGCCTAGAGTCTTGTAAAATCCCCCTTCCCCGGATCGCCTTTATGAGACTCGAGTTCATGTCCCGACAGTCATGGCCCCATATGTCTTACAGACACGTTCGCGGAATGGCGATGATACTTCCGTCCTATACACCGCTTCACGCAGACATCCCGTAATCTCAATGTGCTTTAAATCACCGTCCTGGCCGGAGTAGATCCCGTCCTTATAAGTGCTTCCGTGTAATGCGTACGCTCAAGCATGAATCATATTTCTGCTAGATGTCAAATGCGGGCCTCCTAGTAAAGCCAGCTTAACGTGATGTGACGCGTCAAGAATCGCTTTCGTAGACCGGTGAGCTGTACCTTGCGAGACAAAAATGCTCTCAAAATTACGTGTTCCCTGATATTCGTGCGTTCCATCAGGGAATCAATCACCTAACAGGTCTCGTGCCCAACTTCCCCGTCGACAAGAACCCCTTATTCCCCATCTCGCTCCTCCAGCCAATCCCCAAGACGCCAAACACGATCCTGCCATCCTCCTCCTCTTCCACCTCCTCGCCGGGCTTCTCCTCGACGACGAAGCAGCACTGCTCCACTTCGCCAGGGTGCAAGACGGGCCTCTTACTCTCGCTGACCTCCCAGTTGCAATCTCGGTACTTGAGCCCCTTCTCCAGCTCGAGCCCCACGCGGTACAGTTGCATGACGTCCTCGCTGCAGTTCTCGAGCTGGGCTTCCATAACCCACCTCCTGGCAATTTTGCTATTGCTGTTGCCGTCGCTTTTACCAGTGATGCAACCAGGCGGAGACAGCGGCAGGGCGCCGACCTTGGTCCTAACGATCAGCGACCCCTTACATATGAACTGGTACAGCTTCCTGAACGTCCTCGTGCGGCCCGACGTCTCCGTCGCCTCGTAGTAGCTCACCGTGACCGCGAGCACATGGTTGCCCTCCTCCTTCAGGTCGAAATTGACGATCCGCTGGAGCGTCTGTCCGGGCTCCAAATCCGTCCCAGTACCCCCGCCCCCGTTCTCATCATCATCGACGACCCCGTCCGGCCCCATCAACGGCAATTTCAGCGCCCCCGCTGAACTCGGCGTCTTCATCTCGGCCTCGATCTTGACGTCCTTGGTGAACTTCTTCTTGGGCGGGGCGCCCGGCGGCGGCGCCGACAGCGGCGTCAAACCGCCGATGCTACCGCTAGCACCCCCAACTCCCGACGCTGCTGCGACCTCGCCCGGCAGCGGCACATCGTGGTTCGCGCAGAGCGTGCAGCTGAACGTCTCGCCGACGTATGCGGACCCGAACGAGGGCGGCAGCTGGAGTATGGGCGCGAGCAGGAACGGGCCGGGGATCGAGTCGGCGGTGGTGCTGTACGCGAGCGAAGCCGGCGTCGGCGCGTCCCTCCTCTCCCTCGCCCTCTCTTTTTCCGCTAATACCGGGGATAGCGGAGACGACGACGCGGACGGCGGAGGGGAAGAAGCGAGGGGCGGTGGGAGGGGATGTTGGACGACGAGGGAGGGGCGCGAGAGCCTGTGTGTGTGTGCCAATTGAATTAATTATCTTAAACAATCACATATCTCAGCCCACTTAATAACTTGTAAATGTTGGGTGTATCCATGGACGCAGAAGGAAACCGACGGGTTACCTACCGTAAGACCTTCAGGGAGACGGAATGCGGTTCTTTGGGATCGATCGACGGGTAGCGTTGGTGACTCATTGCGTCGGAGGCTTCTAGAAGAACAGGCTTCTTGTATTCTGTGTCCCCCAAAAAGGTTTGACCATACTATTGAACTTCAGCAAAACCCGTCTACATTGCTTATATGATGATATGTTAAGGCTTGACCTTTTTTAAAGCACATGTTGAGGACGTTGGTGATATCTACTAAACTGACGTATTGCTATCGATAAGCTTTAATCGAATCTACACCATCGCGGCTTTACGTAAGCAGAGTATCCATTAAATCGGTCGAGTCGTAGAGACCTTAGTAATGCCCGCATGTAGTTAATTCGATAGATATTCAAGTAGTCACTTAAAGCAAATGTATAGGAGAATATTAGGAAAAAGCCAATGTCAATTATTGTCGTCATTCAGGAGCTATGTAGTAACGACATTTGCACATTGTCCCTGTCCAATGAGATATGGATTTAAGAGGCCTCTGAACTCGATCGACGTTGTGCATGGCCCTTCTCAGAGCCTGCATCACATGAAGAAAAGCCACTGTCCGCAAAAGCTCGCGTACAGTAGAACATAGAGATCCCGTCAAGCTCCTTTACAGACAGATCGAGTTGCCAGCCTGCAAACTTCAGAACATCGAGCTTGATCATAGGCCAGGCGGAGGAGGTACCTATTAATAAGGTTGGTTAGTTCTAGCAGTAATATCAAGAGCTCACAGAAGATGACTTACAGCACCATAGCTTCCTGCTCCAGGAGGGGGAGGAGGGGGAGGTGCAGATCCGCCAGGAGGAGGCGGTGGGGGAGCTTCGCTAGGCGGAGGTGGCGGCGGCGGAGAAGCTGAAGCTCCTGGTACGGGAGGCGTCGGGGATCCTTGCTGAGCGGCTTGCGCAGCAGCGTAATACTGCTGGTAGTACTGCATATACCTGAAGCTGTGTTAGCGATTATGCATCCTCCCTCGTTGCGATATCACTTACGCCGCGTAACCACCGTATGCAGCATAGGGGTCTTGACCAGCACCGTAGTACTGCGCGTATTGTGCAGCATAATCATTGCTAGCGGTAGAAGGGCTTCCTTGGCCAGGTGGTGCAGGAGAGGCCGCATTTGCGGCGGGGTTTGGCGAGTTGTTGTAACCACCATATCCACCATAGGAACCCGAACCACTGGCCTGTCGATCACCATATCTATCACCGCCGTAGGATCTCTCTCCATACGATCGCTCTCCATAACCGCCGCCATTACCACCGCCGTGGCCACCATAATGTGGACGGGGTGGCCGACTCTTGAACTCCTCGTACTGTTCCTTCACGTTGGCAATGAGATCTTCACATAGCTCTTTGGCCTTATCAACCATCTTTGGATCAGGGCCACTAGGAATTGCGTTAGATAGTTAGGATAGGATATCGTTCGACGCATACTTACGCGACATGGAGGTACATCTCATCATCGCTCTCGCGATTCGTAGAAGCCTCGAGATATCCTGAGCCACGTCCCTTAATCTGGACACGACAACCGGTCTCTTGCTGAATGTGCTTCACGTAAGAGCCACCGTGTCCGACGATTTGGGCTCGAAGATTAAAACCGCGAATTTCTTCCAGGCCAATGGGTATCTTCGCCTCCGGCCATTTACGCTACTTGCTGTTAACAGATACGCACTGTAGGAAAGAGAACCAAAACTCACGCGTCCAAACTCATCTCGCTCTACCTGTTCTTGGTCTCGGCGTCGGAAGCGTCGCTCATCAACTAGATTGGGCAGCTCTTGCTTCATCATCTCCTCAATCTTGGCAACCGCGGCCTCGAGGCCGGTTTTCGAGGTACTCGTGATGTGGAGGAACAACGGGGGATTCTAGGCTCATGTAAGTTGTGAGATCTTTACTACCAAGGCGGACATCTCTTACCGATGGCGTCGCCATGCTTTTATCGGGGTAATAATTTCCTCGAGTCGTGACATCTTTCAAAGTCAACCATGATTCTACACTTCAAGTAAATAAATAACTGGGAGGTGTTTCGTACCAGCTCCGGTTTCCTCTTTAATCTAAATCAAGCAGCGGAGGTCAGCAGATGCCACAGAGGGGATTCGTGCGCGAGCTAGCACGCTTCTATGTAAGCAGAACCGTTCGCAACACGAAGATAACACACTGGAAGAGAACCACCAAGTCTAGGGGGTTGAAACTCTGGTGTAAATCAGTAGGAATTGACCAAAGGGCATTATTTACCATCTTCTGTGTTGAGCTCTTCGTGAGTAGGTATCGGTTGCGCAAATCGTTCACTTCGATATCCTTGATGTAATCGCCATCAGCGATGTACATTTCGCCGTTGATGTTGTTGGATCCATTGCCGCCGGGCGCGCTCGCAGAATTGGGGCCGGGAGATGCAGATGACGAAGACTTGATCGGAGGTACGTCGACATGTTGAATTCCTTTCTTGGCTTGGATCTGGGCATTGATCTTGGCGGCGGCGGCAGCTAGTTATGTGTATTAGCATTATTTTCCATGCAATGCCATTCCTCTAGCTAGATGCTTTTATATAAAAGTAGAAAAACATCTAGGAATGAGTATGTATACCTGCTGCAGCAGCCGGGTCAACTGGGCTTTTCGAGTCGGACGCGCTCTTCTGCCCATCCTTGGGCAATGGGCTACGATCGCGACCATGATCCGACCTCTTAGCTGGAGGTGAACGCGATCTGCGATCAAAACGGGAGCGTCGCGGCTCGGGTTCGGTTTGATCGAATCGAGAGCGTTTCGCTGTACGTCGTTCGGTGTCATCCATGTTCGCGTATGTTCACTGCACCTAGTAAGAAATATGTTGAGTAATGAAGCCTATGGTGTTTTGCAGTAGAGTAAGGCGCAAATGTCAAGAAGCTAAAAGAAGAAAGAATTGTTGATTGAGGTCTTACAAGTGGAAAATTGATTAGCCTCGAATTGATGGATCAATTTGATGCTAAAGATTTCTAGCCTAGTTCCAAAGGTTGAATTGGATCGGAAAAAAATAATCCGACATGGGCCGTCACCTAAGTCAAGGTATCTAGGTACATATGTACTATGTATTGTGCACATCATATGCCCACATGGTGGTCTGTGCAGAGTCTGGAATCACCCCTCGCCTCAATCTGCACGATATGCAATATGTGGGGCTATGTGTGTACCAGCTCCGAATTTCGCAGCTATAGTTAAGCGTTAGAGCATGGAATTTGCTGTCGACTAAGCGGTCACATTTTTTTTTATCTAGTGCTTTAGTGGTGAGTCAAGCTGAAAGATTCTTTTACCAATTGATCCACGCCAGGCTGTTGTCAGGCTTTGAGGATTGCCGATTCTGATCAGAGAGCTTTCGAGTTCTCATTGATGATCAAGAACAATGGCGTCCCGCACTCTTGTCCAATCCAATTGCTTCAGGGCTGTCGCCGCTGGCTTGCGAGCCGTTCCACAGACATCAACAAGATGGAGCTCTAGTAGCAGTTCTACTTCAGCCATTGCTTACAAAGCCCTTCGCCGACGTGCAGCTCCTCTTCCAACAAACGATACACCACCATCATGGTCTGCCCAAGCAGCCGTTTCCAACATCCTATACGAAACCCCTACGCCCTCAATGGCGCCTCCGAAGCGTCATGTTCTTAACTGTCTGGTCCAGAACGAACCTGGCGTTTTGTCCCGAGTTTCTGGTATTCTAGCAGCACGAGGCTTCAACATTGACTCTCTAGTCGTGTGCAGTACTGAAGTTGAGGACTTGTCCCGTATGACAATTGTGCTTACGGGTCAGGACGGCGTCGTCGAGCAGGCGCGAAGGCAACTGGAAGATTTAGTACCCGTATGGGCTGTGTTAGACTATACCAATGCCGCTTTGGTGCAAAGAGAACTGCTTCTCGCCAAGGTCAACATTCTGGGTCCGGAATATTTCGAGGAATTGTTAGCCCATCACCGTGAAATAACGGCCGAGAGTGACGCCGGAGAAGTAGGCGAGAAGACGCTAGAGGATATTGCACAGGACTTCCACCCGAGTAAAATGGTAGCCAGTCAAGCTCTGCGACTTAAGCATGAGCATTTGAGATCCATAACCTACTTTGCGCATCAATTTGGGGGCAAGGTACTCGACATTAGCACAAATAGCTGCATTGTGGAGGTGTAAGTGATTTTCTGCTAGTTAACTCGATCCATACTAACAACTTGTAGGTCTGCTAAGCCCGTCAGGATCGACTCGTTCCTAAAACTGATTGCACCGTTTGGTATCTTGGAATCGTCGCGCACAGGTCTCATGGCGTTGCCTCGATCTCCCCTCTACGGCCCTGACGAGGAGACAATCGTCAAGGAAGCAGATGAGATCGTCGATGCTAGCCAGTTACCTCCCGGATAAGCTATACATTCGGGTTTGAATAAAATGGCGTTGGTGGTCAATCAAAATCGTCTTGGCTTGATTGGGATTGCTACATTGTAGACGAAGGTCATCCATGGATTAGTGCAAACTACCTCAATAGACATTTAGTAAAATCACTAAACCGTTGTTGCGATTTTACTGCCGTTTGGCTATAGGTACGGAGACTAAACTACGTCGGCCATGCGAAGACGTTTTTGAGTATTCATATTCTTCCATGCCAGTCCACCTTTTCCAGACCTCGCCGGATCTAATGATCAATCCTTACTCTATTTCTCATGCTTTGAAGTTTAAATTCCAAGCCATGAAATCAGTGCCCTACTTATTAGCTTTTGGTTTAATTATTCCCTTGTCCACAACAAAGGCCTCCAGAACAGCTATAAGAAGGTTAGCATGATAGTAGTTCAAATCGAAAAACAAAACATACCAAAAGCAGCCCATAACCTGTTCTCCGCTTCAGGGAACACAAGAGATCGATCAGAGTAGAAGACGTCGTCTTCGACCTCCTCCTGATGACGAGGCAAGCAATGCATAAACTTCCAATTTGCTTTTGCTCCGCCGCGCTTCGCTAAGTCGTTGGTGACCTGAAAGCCGGCAAAGTCCTTGAGTCGTTTCTGGGTTTCCTCCTCCTGACCCATAGATATCCACGTGTCGGTCACTATGAAATCGGCATCCTTGACGGCTTCCTCGGGGATAGATGTTTGGTTCAAGACACCGGGCCTCGCTGTAGACGCAGCTTGGCTGGTGATTAGGTCCACCATCTCCTTAGGGATGCCATAGCCAGGAGGCGTAGCGACTGATAACTCAATCCCTGTTTTCACACAAGCGATAGCGAAATCAAACAGTACATTGTTCGCATCTCCAACCCACGCTATCTTTAGCCCTTCCGGCACGATTTCACCAGGGCGGGCATTTTCCGAGGCTTGGGTGGACTCGTGGATTGTAAGGAAATCCGCGATGATCTGGAGCGGATGGAAGTCATTAGACAGCGCGTTGATAACGGGTACGGCAGAGTGTTCCGCCAAACCCGTAATATCACTGTGAGGACCGACTCGAGCTACGATGCAGGAAGTCATGGATGAGATGACTTTGGATGTATCTAGTAATGACTCATTCACCTAGACAATCAATTGAGTAAATAAACAACGACTTCATGCTAGAGCCTCGAATAGACTCACTCCTAGTTGGATATCATTCTTCCCAAGGAACATAGGGTGAGCCCCCATCATAGCTGCAGCAGCTTCTGTCGAGACTCGAGTCCGGGTGCTGAGCTTGCTGAACATCATGGCTACCGTCTGCCCAGCCAACGTCTGACCCCACTTACGGGGAAATTTCCCATCTTTAGCAAGACGTTTAGCTAGCGCGGCTCTGCCCACCAAGGTTAAGAATTCATTGTGTGTTAGATCGCTGATTGACATGAGATGTCGAACTGGCGTAGGGGTCGTTGAGTAACTCCTCGTCTGAACATAGCGGGACGTGCTTTGAGCTAGTCGAAGAGCCGGTGATCTCATTTTGAAATATATTTGAGATGAGTGCATTGTTGTATAGGTAGTTCCTGTTACCCAGTTAGTTCAAACCGCTGATATTCGAGGTCAGCAAATAAAGGTACACATACCTGTTTATAGGTAGACAATGGCAATTTGGTGTATGGATTGATATCTAATATCGACGCGATATATTCATCTATCAAATAGTTGTTGAATATATTCACCTTTATAATAGCAAACAGTTGTTCTCTTTCCCCTTTGGAATCTAGGACAGCATATTCCAACTATGCAAATTTCGAATTTGAGTCACCAACGAATAAGAGTCACTGCCTTATCACGCCTTTGCTGTGACATCCACTTCGACGATTGTGGAGATGAAGTCGATAGGCGCAAGTTTATAGCTATCGGATTAAAAAGTTATCTGCCAACTGTTTGTCAGCTGTTAGTGAAATCAGAGTTTTAATTAAGTTGAACCGTTCCTGTCTATCTGCAAGCTGCAAGAGAACCCTGCGGCTTCTGCACGGGCTTCCCCGGACGGCGCTAGTCTATAAGTGGAGATGGGCATTTCTTGCTCGTACCTTGAAGCAAGGATGTGCAAGGTTGTGTTGGCTTCGCCTCAGCAAGAGCCCTGAGAGCCCTGTCTCAGCTTTTGTGTGGGTCGTAGTGTTGTCAGTTTGATGACGACTACCTACCCGCCTTCCCACGGTTCATCACTTAAAAAGTTTAACTGACCAAGTTATTGATCAACTCGACTAAATCCATCATCTCATTATCACATTCACTTTTTATTATGCATCTGGTGATAAAGGCTTGGATTGTTTGATAAACCAGAAACTCCCGATTTGATGATGCCTGCGTCTTCTTAGTCGACCAGCCTTTCGTTATCCGCGAATGTGTCATCTCGTATTCATTAATCTCTCAACCTAAACCGTTTCACCTTCCCATCCATCACCATGCCGGAAGAAGAGACGTCACCTTTGCTTTCAGCGGCGATGAAGGGGAAACAAGCGTCTAATGAGCGGGCTAGCTCTAGCGAGTCAACTCCGCTCCTCTCGAATTCTACAGATACCCCGCGTTATGATGGAGCTGCCGACGAGCACGATGGAGATGACGCTGTTTCTACTCGATCCCAACCTGCCGGATCATCTACGCCTCCTCGTTCGGATCGAAAGTCGTGGAGATGGGCGTCGTGGATTGCGATGGGTCTCCTCGGAGCATTCGTCATCGCTATTATTGTTCTTGCATTCATCGTGCCCGAAGCAGTTCAAGAGTATGCTCAACAAGCTACCGTTATCGAACCCACCAACCTCGCCCTCGAATCCATCACAACGAACGGCGTTCGAGCTCGGATACAAGCCAATTTCCATCTAGATGGGTCGAAGGTTAGCAATGATCATGTCCGAAGAGTAGGAAGGGCCGCTACGTGGGTGGCGTATCAACTTGAGAGCGCTGAGACGAAGGTCGATGTGCGCCTTCCCGACTATGATAACGTACTACTTGGAAGCGCTGTTATCCCATCTCTGCTGATCAACTTGCGAGATGGCGATGTGACCAATTTTGATTTCGTTACGGAGATCTCGGCTGGAGACGTGGAAGGTATCCGCATAATTGCGAACGAATGGTTAGAAGGCAGACTGGAACAGTTGCGCTTGAACGGAGCGGCCAACCTCAGCCTCAAATCCGGCTTCGTCCCTCTCGGAACCCACGCCATCTCCGAGTCGCTTGTATTTGAAGGTCAATCACTCTACCAATCCTTCGCTGCCCTCTATTTTGGAAAGAAAGCCTTGTTCTAGCATGTCCAAACAGCTAGGGGTGCGCACAGATACTTGAACACGCAATATACTAATTCTTCGAATAGCGAACAAGATTCCTGCAATGCCAAAGTATAATATCACTCGTTTTAACGTCGAGGACGGCCCGATGAACGGATCAATGCTAGCTGATGTATCGTTGACGGCCTTGAACGAATATCCGGTCGAACTTGATATACCCGAACTTGCATTTGATATTTTAGTACCCGGTTGCGCCATCTCGGATCAGTCTATCCTAGTGGCACAGGCGGCTACGAGTGATGTTCATGTCCACCCACACTCCGAAGTTGAAGTTGAAGTCAAAGCCGTAATCCGCGAGCTACCTGATACTTTAACCAATGTTTGCCCGGATTCTACTTCTTCGCCGCTAGACAATTTGCTCCGACAGTACATGCATGGCGAACCTGCGACTTTCTTTGTTCGCGGGAGCCATCATCCCGATGGTGATACGCCAAAATGGATCGCAGACATATTATCGAGTGTTACTGTTCCCGTCCCATTTCCCGGGCGGACTTTAGACGGCTTGATTAGGAACTTTTCGTTAACCGATGTTCACTTCTCTCTACCGAATCCAAACGCCGGACCCGATGACCCAGACTCAAACCCAATGGTCTCGGGCAATATTTTAGTTACCGCAGACATTCCTTCTGAGATGAATTTCGGCTTAGACGTGACGGATGTCCGCGCTACGGCGGACGTGCTCTATAAATCAAAGAAAATGGGAGAGCTTAATTTACAAAAATGGCAGGCTGCTAATTCTACTAAGGTCAAAGGCACGGAGGACGAAGGACCTATGCTGAAAATCCAATCTCGAATTATCGATGCGCCCCTCAACGTAACCGACGGTGCTGTATTCGCCAGCGTTGTTCAGGCACTGCTATTCGGCAGTGCACCTATCCGCTTGCATGTCGACGCCTTAGTTGATATCAAGGTGCATACCACGCTAGGTAACCTCACGCTAAAAGAGGTACCTGCGGAGGGCAAAATCCCAGTAAAACGTCCGTCTTCGCTCTTCTGATCTTGTGGGTGGCTCTCTCAGATGGACCGTCTTTCAGGACGGCTTATTTCTTGAGGTGCAATTCCTTGCCTTTTATCATATCATAGGCTACGACACAGGCTGACTGATTCTCAGCCCTCCCGAAGGGCACCGTTGGTAGTATCGCTCCAAAGGTCGGGTCGCTACGAATTCTGGATACGACATCGGATTCAATAACGTTGCAAGCCTTGGTCAATGTCACAAACCCAACACCGTATACAGCCCATATGCCATATGTCAACGTTCACGTTCTTAATAATGGATCAATCCTCGGGAGCGCTACGGTAGAAGATCTGGATATCGTGAAAGGCCCCAATTCTAACCTACTCGTCACTGCAAAATGGAATCCACCGATGGGCGGCGATCACGGCCGAAAAATTGGGCGAGATTTAATATCGAAATATCTTTCAGGTTGGAACACGAGCATCACACTAAGGCCTCATCGACATAGTATCCCAGGTCAGCGCATCATTTGCGATGCTTTGTCGCAATTCAACGTGACACTTGCCGCCCCTAGACTGGACCTGCCTGGCGACACACCCGAGGAAAGGTCACACTTTATTAGAGATGCCACCTTCCACTTCTTTTCGTCGACGGCCACATTTACTCTCGTTTCGCCACTACACTTTAATACTTTGTACCTAGACTTCGTCAACGCTACAGCACTGTACAATCACACCGAACCGATAGGACAAATTGTCTACGACTTGCCATTCTCCGCACCTCCTGGTAAGTCGGTGACGCCAAAGTTACCTGTTGACTGGTCGCCCGAATCGGTGGGTTACGATGCGATTAGGAAGGCCATCGGCGGGACATTAAAGCTGGACGCATATGCCGACGTCGACATGCGTTTAGGGAACTGGAAGGAGACGTTATGGTACCAAGGCAAAGGTATCGGTGCCAGCGTGCAGTTATAGTGTTTGACGAGTCGAGGTCTGGCGTTTTAAAAGGGACTGGCAGGCAGGTTGTTAAGACGGATTGGATGGGAACGGCGCAATTTGTTATTTTGTGACGAAGACAGTATGAGAATTTATATGAAATGCACATATATATCGTACATAACTGATCTCATTTGGCGTATGGTTTGGAATAATGGTTTTATCACAGAATCTAACAATGCTCTTGCCATCCTCTCAAGGAGAATGAATGATTAAAGGAGCATAGCGGTGTGCTGACTAAGATCATTATGACATAATTTGGCATACAGACCCTGGTACTAGGTACCGATCTAAAAGCTCAATCTCTGCAATTGAAGCAGCTTCAACACGTTCAAGTCACGAAAACTCTAATAAATCTAATACAAAACATTAACTGATAAATCTGTATCCTTTGAGATCTTCAAGATCAAAGTTCGAAACACGGGATTGGAGTCTCTTAGCTCTATTTCTTAAGTTGTCTTCAGCTGTCTTACCTACTAGCTGCGTACACTTCATTCATACGCGCATTCTTATACATTAGGTACCTGGGTACTTCATATCACCTATTATGCCGCGTTTGCCAAAAATCCCATCGCCATACGGCCCGCGACCAAAGCGGTCAGCGCAGTTAGTCCTCATTTGGATGGCTATACTGATCATCGCGTTCATCGTGACGTTCTACCTCACGTCACGGGAACGCGACGCCCCGTCTTCATACGCGGGTATGCGACTCTCTGACGATAAGGAGCCGGCGGGAGGAGGCGTGAAGATGGCGAAGATGGTGCCTTAATATTGCCTATATAGGTCGCCGTTGGGAGGTCTTCTAGGCGGGGCGCTTAATCGCAGAGGAACTTCGCGCTCTGAAAACTCTCAGCCATTTTCAAGACTACCCATGAGTTGAAGTGGGAGGAAGCGAAACTGATAGGACCGAGACGTTCATTCGTCAAGACAAATAGCAATTCGGTCCAGGATATTAATAAATCGGGGATTTACTTTACATAGTAGAGAAGCTTGTATTCTAGGACCGCGATTACGTACAAGACCAATTAGCAAACACACAGTTCCGAATAAGCGCGTATTCGCAGCCAGCCTCACCAATCTAAGGCACTGTCTACAAGCTAAAATAGTGCAAACATCGTCGGCCAATACCCAGCGGCTTATAAGCAGCCAATGATAAAGAATAATAAAAGCGCCGAAACAACACCAGCACAGCCAAGTCCTGTGGATGTCCGGTATAGTGTAACGGCTAACATACCTCGTTTTCACCGAGGAGCTCGGGGTTCGATTCCCCGTACCGGAGTATTGATTTTTCAGTTCTTTTTGACTCCTTTTTTCACATTCACTCCAATACACACTATCTTGTGAGAAACATACAAATTTTGCGGTGAGAAAAGCTAAGTTATTATTAAGAGCTAAGACTCTAATGAGTAAATGGAAGGCGAACACGCCTAGCTTACTACGCCTTCATCAATTAACCGCGCAATTTACCACGACGTCATAGTAATCCCCGTTCAAGTCCACCTACAGTGGCGAAGTCTCTCAAATATATCCCTATCCCAGCAACACAGCCAATCAAAATAACAGCTATTGATTTCTTTGCTGGTGAGATATTTTCCCAGTCCCTCATGTTTCATACGTTGCCAGAACTCTTCGTCGATCGCATCAGGGTCCGGCTGGAAACGGGGCTGTAATTGGACTTTGTTTCCCAGGCATCGTACAGCATCATCGTACGGCGTTTCGATCTCTTGCCACTCCGTGTTCAGCCAGGAGCCATTACGGAAAATCGAGTTGAATTCCTCTATAAGGTCGGGCGCGGGGCGAAGCAAAGGGCTTTGATTCCATGTGTAAAGCTTCTCTAGACCGATTAAATATGCAGACCTTTTACCAAGCTGGGGAACTGGACGATGATTTTTGAAAATGTTTTCCTTGGCTATCGGATCTAATTAGCATCCTACGAGATAACACTACCTAGCCAAGAGGGTCCTTGGGATAATACGTACCGTATTCGAAGCGACCCGAGTAGTGCGGCTTCGTCTTTAATACCACCTCGATCTCGGCGTGCGAGAAGACTTCCCAGTACCTATCCACCCACTCGACGTGCGGAGCGCGCCGAAGGGCCTCGCCGTTCTTTCCCGGTGCGCGGTAGAATAAGTTGGTCGCGGTCTCAATCATAAGGAAGGTGCGGAGCACCCGAGCCAACTCCGCGTCAGTCGGGGGGATACCAGAAAACTCGCGCCACAAACCAATCCAGATGCGTTCGAAAAGCAGATTCATACACCCGTAGAAGAATGGCAGGGCGGCGACCATTTCCATCGTGATATAGGACGCCGGCCACGGCTCAGCCCGCCAGATGTAGCTGCGAAAGAACTGCTCGACGGATTTCTGGTCCCTAGGATCGACGTCGCGGGAGGCGACGGCCATCACCATGAGCTTGACATTAATAGGGTGGATGGTGCGAAGGAGATGGCTTTTCGCGATGGCGCCAGCGTGCTCGTCGAAGATGGCCTTTGCCCTGCGGCAGGTGCTGAGCGTGGCCTTGACATCTCCGATGTCATTCATGCGCTTGTATATCTTGACGATAAGTTCGGGGGGCATACGGTAAAAGATGTGGTCTGGTTCCATTTTTGCTATTCCGAAGTAGGTGTTCGACAATGAAAATTGGTGTCATGGAAAAGAATACCGCAGAGAAAAGGAGAGATTGACGACGTTTAAATAAATTGTAGTTCGACTACAGAAGTAAAGTATAGTGAAATACACGTTAGCAAAGAGAGAAATTTACCGTGACTCGCAAATTCTAAAGCATACATGATAATCTCCCTGATATCGGATGCTCTTACTCTTTGTAGCCAACCATATCCTACTCCTACCCTCCAAACAAGGAGAACGTCTGTGAAGTAGTTCTATAACCCTTAATTCTTCTATGATTAACACTCCATTACAAGTCACATGCCCATAGTGTCTATCCTACTATGCCCCTTTTGAGTACCCCTTTTAATCACACGTTTAAGTGAACATCTGACACAAGACCAAACATCTGAAGCGTCTTGACGACTGAATTAACTGACCTGTGATAAATCAGTGATTATATTTTACCTCGTCATAGAATAGAGGTTGGCTGTCACATGATTCATCTTAAATCCTCGAACTTGGGACATCGTGGCCTAAATCTCCTGAATCGGGATCTGGAGACTTAATGTTACCCCGACTATGAGAAGGTCTCTTGGCAGGCATGGATGACAGGGGAGGGTCTGCTTGGGCGACTGCTGGTGGAAGAGTTTCAAGAAGAACTCCACTAGCATCGTCCATCCTCTCAAGCTGACATGGCTGTGCGAGGGCATCGCGAGCTTCTCTGCCAGCTTCGTCGTTAATTGGATTTCGAGATTCACCAATGACCCCTCGCCCGTGGGCTCCCGTGCGATCCCTTACTCGTGCTCTGAAGTTGATGATTGCAATAAGCGTTGTAATGAAGGCAAGGCAAAGGCTCAGGGCAGCAAAGACGGTCCCGATGATGGTGAGAGGATACGTGTTCTGTTGTGCCTGGGTATCGTTGTCCTGGGTAACATTGCGTGATTGGACTAGATTGACACAGGGTTTAGTGCTTTACACGACTGTGAAGAGCGAGACACATATGTATGTGATATAAGATATAAAGACCACTGGGGCTTTAGAAAGCTGTAATGTAAGATCACCTACTATTAGGAGACGAGAAGCTAGCACTACTAATGACCATGGCCCCATAATAATAATAAATGAAGTTGGTTAAGATGTGAGATGAATGCTTTATACTAACTCAAGCTTGTTGGTATGGGTGAATATGCGTTGACGTAAGATACAGGAGGCTGTATAGTTTTAGCTTCGGCGTACCATTCAGTGCAGAGCTACAAACCACAGGACATGCTACTATGTCCGAGATATGGAATAGTAGCATGACGATAATGGCCATTGTCCTTGATAGTATGGTCCGCGGCGAACGAGAAAAATAGATTGCCGGGAGGTACATTCTGATACAGTGGTTTATCTTGAAGGAAAGAAAATGGATGATGTATAATAGCTAGGAGTTTACTATGCAAAGGACCAATCCCAAATTGGATAGATAGGAGGAGGAGGTCAGCTTATCTTGTTGATTAAGAATCGGCAGCATTCACGAAGAAGGGAGAGCTTTTCGTCTTGGTGAGAAGCCATGTTTTTATAAGTAGGAAAAAGCTACCCAAAGCAACTGCCAAAGCCATAGCTACTACGAAATAACGTGCTGAATACAGAGTTGTAGTAGATGGGAGATAAAAATCATGCGATGGCGCAGCAAATGGACATTTGGAACTCGATCTCATGTCACAAATTTTTAGACCCCCGATGTGCCTTGTCACAGGGCTCTCCTTCCTTGCCCTGAGAAAGGAAGGACCTATTAGCTGTGATGAGGAAGGGAGGATGGACTGTTAGCTGAGAGGGGTAAAACAGGGCTTTTTAGCATCAAGATAGTTAAGAAAAGACAACTCATTTCGCTTCACAAAGATTCGTTGTTACGATCGCTTGTTATTGTTGTTGTTGTTGTCTATTATTACGTTCGTCCTCGACCAGGACGTGACATGCCTCGCACAAGCAATCTAAGAGTATGATTGGATATCCGCAAGGTCTGATCATGCTGGTATTACTGAATATGGCTTGCGGCGGGCAGTAGTAGGCCGGCCGATTAAAAAGACCACCATGTTTACGTGAGGCCACCCCGTACCCGGGCAGTAATTTTTGGGCTTCTGTGTTTGTGAAATGTGTGCCGCATTAAGTAAACGTTCTTTGTTCATAACAAACAAAGCTTATTGTGTCTTAATAGATATAAATGAAATAAAGCAGGACATTAGAACAATGTATTGTGCTGAAATAAAGGAACAAAGTCTTGGCTTCCGAGAGCTAATCCCAAAGCCGTGGCTGGCATATAAATCTAGCGACGAAGAACTTGCTTCCAAAACTTCCTCTCACCAAGCATCCACCTCACTCTCCTACATCCTGTCCGGTAAGTTCTCTTCCCGGGCTCGTTTCGCAGTTACAATCTCGCAGAGATATCTTTAAACCACATCTCAGTAGGTCTCAAACCCAACTCACCAGCCATGTCCTCTACCCAGCACCGCACCGGCCGCGTCCACAATCTGAGCCAGCACTTCGACAGTCTGGTTCAGACAGAGGTCCGCGACGAACGCTCCTCGCCGACATCTCTCGCCGAAGAGTCTTCGAGCCCCAAAGCTCTGAAGACCGTCTTCACCGGCGAACACCGCGTCCCGCTCCGCGAGCGCCTGCGCGCGATGCGCCAGGGGATCAACGGGCGCAAGGAAGAGCGCCGCAAGAGCGCCGGCTTACCCAACAACCGCGAGGACATGGCCCTACTTCCGACGCGATCGCCATCGCGCACGCCCAGCCCGCTGGACCTGGACTCCTCCTACCCATCCACCTCCACCTTCACCACCACCGCACCCCCTTCCACCCCGCGGCGCTCGCGCCCCTCGCCCCTCCCCCTAGTAGACTCCTGCCCGGGAGCCCCGGTCAAATCGAAGAAGTGGCTCGACCTGCCCGCCAGCAAGTCAGGCACGGACGCGGACGACCTGCTGTTCGACCGGCGCGCTCACCCGCGGGCCGCCGTCGAGATCGCGGCCAGCGCGGACAAGGCGCGCGAGCGCCAGCGGCGCCGCATCACGACCCCGGGCGCGCCGTCGCCACTGCGCTCAAGCTTCAACGCCGACGAGATGGCGGAGCTGGCCGCGCAGCTCGACGCCATGCGCGCCGAGATCGCGGCTAAGGAGGAGGGCCGGGAGGACCTGTTGACGCCGGAGCCGTTTAAGGGGTTTGAGAGGTTTGCTCGTGACTAAGTATCGTCTTTTGCCTACCTTTTGATTTCGCGTAGTATATAGGTAGCCTACCTATTTGGAGAGGTGAGTTAAGGTAAGCTGGAATGGACATGACCTAAGTCGTCTCGTTTCCCTTCGCTTGTCATCGTAAGTATACATCTAATTACCTACCGTAGGTAAGTATATTATAAGCAGACTGAGTAAGCAGTAGTTCGCATAGCTAGTCTATCTGTAACATTAACAAATAAAAGTCGTCTTTGAGATTCTCATGGGTTTATTTCATTGTTTACATATATACCGAGTGCGAAATGAAACTAAGTGATAATTGCGAATGAGTTTGTTTCCAATGAAGTTGTGTTTAGCTTTAGCGAACGCCTCATTACGTCTGATGTACAATGAGGTGTAGTTGCCTCTCCTGCGGCAAAACTCCGGTCTTTTGAATTTGCGCTATGTGGTATATAGACCCCAATATCCGGCCCGACCTATCAGTTGTTCCTCGCGGGAAGTCCACTTCCTCTGAAGAGTAAGGCAAAACCAGCCACACCCCTTGGTGGTCTAGTTGGTTATGGCGTTCGGCTGTAATTGAATATTTAATTGTTACCGAAATGTCGCTGGTTCGATTCCGGCCCGAGGGAATTTTCACTTTTTGCCTTTTTGTGTTCTGTTTACGTATATAAATTTTAATTGTTCAATTTTTTAAATGCCTGAAAAATGTTTCAGTTAAATGTTTTTGGCTCTAGTAAAGACCTGGGTCGCAACGTGTTGTTGCCAAATATAATCCATTATATTGGTTACAACAATCGAACCAACCATAAAATCTTCATGCATGCGATGCGACAATACAATACAATATTCATTTCTATGCTAACCTAGGGACTGTATATACTTCTGCAAAATTTCATTTTCATAGAATTAAGCTTTGTGCCTCTAATTACGATGTCAACTGGAGATGAGATACCATTGAAGTCTCATTCTATAGGTACATGAAGGCACAGGTAACTTACTAAATGTGCGTCTACTCTAATCAGGAACGTCTATTGGTTGGGATGTACCTTACCATGTCACTGAGGAATTACAATGCACATAAAATGGAAAAGAAGGTAAATAGGATATGACTTCATATCCTACATCATCAAAGATGCCGAGCCACTTGAACACGGACTTACAGGGGTGGATTTCATGACACATCACGAGAAGTAGAAGACTTGAAGACTAATGTCAGCATCAAATTACTAGCTAATCAACGTGTACAAAAAAGGGATAAGCACCTTTTCAATGCATTCGATCTGGAGTATGACTGCGCGGCCGATCACGCAAGTCGCACGCCGGCCTCCTTCCGCTTCTTCGTCTGCTGCGCGGTCGCCGAGCTCATACCGACGTTCTGGCTGGCGTCCAGCATGCTCTGGGCCTCGCGTCGCTTCTCGTCCTCGATCTTCTTCAGTCGCTTGTCGGTCTTCCCCTTTCCACTTCCCTTGCCGTGGAACTGGTGGCTGAGGTGCTTGAACGCCTCTTTCTGGTCTAGTGAGCGGCCGAGCTCGTCATGGTACTTGAGCTCCACGTTGGGCTTGTACCCCTTGTTGAAGAGGTCGACGAGCTGTCGCGATGTCTGCTGGTCACGCATGTTGTTCTGCTGGCGCGCCCACTCCTCTCTCTCTCGGATTGACATCCTGTCGAGTCTTCCGCTGTTGCGATCCCGTTCGCGCTGATCACGGGCCTGCTGTTCGATTTCTGCTAGCTTCCGCTTCTTCTCTGCGAGAAACAGGTTGTGCTGGCGCTGCGTCTCGTTGAGCTCGGCCGCACCCGAATCCTTTAGAAGTCGACGCTCTTTTAGAAGCTGCAGCGCCGCACCGATACCAGTCCCGATAGTCTTCTCTTCATCAACGCCGATGATGGCCGTCTCTGCCGGAGGTGATTCTTCGCGCTTGACTCGGTCATGCTCGTCGTCGTATCCATCCTTCATGGGCTCATCTTCATCGGATTCATCTTCCATAGCTGTGATTTGAGCCTCTTTAGGCGACTTTGGCTTCCGGGGTTTGCGATCTTCGATATCTTCCTTCTTTAGACCCGAAACGAACTCCGAAATCTCGTCTAGAACAAGACCACCCTCTTCGGCGTCGCCTGTCTCATTGGCGTCAGGTGTCTGTGCCTCTTCTCGTAATTGCCTAGCTATGTCCTCCGGACGCGTTCTCTTCCGTTTCTTCAAGGCCTCTCTCCTTTGGGCGGCTAAAGTAGCCTGAAGATCTTCGTCATCGACGAACGCCGCATCATCGGTTTTACGCTTTCTGCTGACAAAAGTCGCACCTGAATCTATGTCCATAGAATTATCTTGATCTGCTTCTGGTGGAGGGAAAATATCGTCTTCATCCACTGGTCGCTGTCTTGTTGACTTCGACTTCTTCTTTTTGGGCTTCTTGATCTTGACCTCCGAGATATCCATATAATCCGAAGCCGGCTGCTGATCATCTTTTAGAAAATCAAGATTAATCTTCTGTCGTTGTCGACTCTGCGCTTCTAGGCTGCCTATATCATTCTTCTGTATGGTATTTCCGAACCCGTCTAGTGTGAATCTTTTGCTCTTCTTGCCAACGATTTCTTCGTCATATTGAGCGAGAAGGCTTTGTTCTCCCGTCTCATCGATTGCGTTGGGGTCATATACAGGCTTCTTCTTTTTTGATTCGAGCTTTTTGTCAAGCTTTTCTCGCTCCCTGAGGTTGATATTCTCCAGCTCGTCGCCTTCTTCGTCGTTGTCCCCCAAGACATTAGTGTCCTTGAGAGTTAAAATTTGTTCTTCTCCATCTTCAAAAGATTCGATCTCATGCCCGACTTTGACACCTGCAAGATCTTTCGACGTGTATTGAATTGCCGCAGCAGCCTCTGCTTCAGCTGCGGCTAATTCTTCCTCTAGCTTCCGCACCTTATCGATTTGCTTTTGGCGCTTCTTCTGGCTGATCAACCAAGCCTTAGTATCAAGTTCACCCTCGTCGGCGTCACCCAATCCTTTTCCTTCCATAACCTCGGAGCGTTTCGCGGCATCGCGAGCCCTTTTGATGGCGGCGGCCTTCGCTTCGCGTTTCTTCTTGGCTACTTCGGCATCTTGAATCTTCTTGTAGTTATCGTAGGCGGCCGCTTCTCGGGTTTCGAGGGTGCTCCCAACATCTTCTTCCGGTGTTGACGCCTTTTCTTTGAACTGAGGTCCGCTTGCGCCGGGAACGGGCAAAGGTTTCATGCCTAGAGAGACACGGAGACGGTTCGTCTCCTCTATCTGCGCGGCGTCCATGATTGATAATTACGACTCTGATCCTCGGAGATAGTTATTATGCGATTGAGATTACAAATAGTTCTTGGGAAATAATTATCTGATCGTCGTGATAGTCGAGGTTGGCGACTTGCGACTTTCGCAAATACAGTACATACAAGGCAAGGCAAGTTGAAATAAAAAGATAAAAGGCTGTTGAACCTCACACTGACACAGTACCTTGTGGCTAAAGTTTGTGGCGCAAGCCGGATCAGTGCAGAAAACCCAGCCTCAAATGCCCCGCTTTTACGCGATCGTTTCGCAGATAAATAACAAAATTTTATCGCAACAAAATTTTCTTCCTTTCCTTTACACATCACGGATCTGTGCCCGATCGTCCTTTGCTCGCCCAGCGAGTTCAGAGTCGATGATCGAGGCAGCTCGAATCACTTATGGAATCATCTCTACTTTTATGGTGTCTATCCAATCGACAGGTCCAAGAGTAAGAAGCAGTCTGGAAAGCCTGAACTCGCCGTCAAAAGCTGAGCTCGGTGGACCAGGCTTGCCCAGGCCTTATATTCCATCCCTCTTTTCCGAGATCATTGATCTATGAGGTTGAGGAAAACCATAAGAGCTCCTACATCTTGTTACGTCGCCAGTTAATTATTAAGTAGTCTCGTGTATAGTCTCGTTGAATGTCGCCCGGAAGCGCTCGTAGGCGAAGCAGTCAGTAATGACGACAAGAGCCTTGGTAATCACGAGCTGCCGAGTTTGTTTGTTTAGTGTCGTATTAAATCTCATGTTCATGGAGTAAGCGGTTTTATGTCGGACGTCTCGTGCGCGCCTTTACACCCTTTAATCATATTGCGCCGTGACAGGGCATTGCAATAGCATAATAGCGCAAATTCTTCAACGAAGAGAGGGCCTAGCACGCTTTACGTCGGCCTGATCGCGGGCAGACTAGTCTCGAGACAGGTCACGATGTTTTTCTGAAGATGTTGGCAACGCCACAAACAGAACAAGGACGAGCTAAAACGGCACTTGCCGTTACCATTCTTTTGTCAAATTCTTGACTTGCGGGATTCGTATTAGTCCGGTTAGTACGGTGGATACTAAAAGCCGGCCGAGTCTCTGGGGTCGCATTGACTCCAGAAGCACGATCGAGACTTTTCACAGGGGTCCGAGATCTCGTCCCAAGATATACTGGTCTTCGAACAACCTGTTATTTCTTGGCTATACATCCATGGGATCAAAGCTATTAGAAGCTTTATAATAGGGCTAGTCAATGAGGCTGAGACGCGCCGCGTTCCTCGGCGGGCCGATATGAGAATAACACGATCCGTATGCAAATGAACAAGAGCATAGTCTCATCTCCAGTTTCCCCAGAGCCGTATGCATGTGACAGAGGGTCGACCAGGGCTGTCTGTTGGTTAGCTGAATGGCGTCAGAGGGATTCCGCTGCATTCTTGATCTGGGGTAGAGGGTAAGTAGGTCCGAATATATTCCAAGAGTCTTGTCGGCATCTGGCGGTCCTATCCGGACCTTGGTATTTCATAATGCGCGCGTGGGGGTTGTGAAGATTTATGAACATCTAAAATACCTACCTACCTATTCAAATATCGGTAATTATCAAAAGTCCGAGGAACTGAGAAGACATTAAGTATACCTACCTACGAACATCCAATGCACAAATTCTAGAACGGATACAAAAAAGGGGTATTTACGACTCTACATCCTAGACCCGTGTGGGTGGTAAGATATCTCGATAACCGCATGATGTTTAATTATTAGCCGCTTCATCTTAAGACGGGTTGCTATAGGTGGAATAGGAAAAAACATCGTGGGAAGCTTGTGAAAATGGAACCTATGGAACCTTCGGAACTTCAACCTGCTCCAACTCAATCTAACTCGTCTAACCCCTAATAATGCGGGGACGTGAGGCGAGGGCTCCCCCGCACTGGGGTCATTTCCAACGCATATGGGGTTAGGTCTCGTTAGGCCTCCTTGTATGCTTAAGTCAAATCCAGCCTCATAGTCCGAGTGTATTATTATCTAGACTAACAGACTAACCCAAGGTATTCAGGGGTCGTTTACCGAATCTGTTCACCCCGTACGCGCTCGTATGCACGCCAGTTGCAGCTGCTGGAGACCTACCCCCCCTAGAGCGGCCCGATTCTAGATTCCCCAGGTTGTCGCTTGGTTGGCTGCCGTCGACAGCGTAGCTCTTGGGCTATACTTCTTCAGCACAAACGTCATCTTAATTTACGGGCGGAGCTTGCTTCTGCAGCGTCGCATCGGCCCCGTTAAACGCCGCTGGGTTGGCTTACCTAGTCACGACGTTTTGACCGAGAAGTATCGCCGCAACAGGTCTGAAATTCGGCCCTACCCGTTGGCTCAGTGTGGGATCGCGGTCAGCTGTCCAGAAGAGGCAAAGAGCTTCGTCGCGATGCTCCTGGAAAGCTTCGAATAGATTACCGATTACATATAAGAACGATCGAAGATGGACGTCTTGCAGATCTCGAGTTGGAGCATCCTCTCAAGCAACAGCAGCTCAGTCATACTGCCCATCATGCAAGGATTCACTTCTCTGCTCCTCCTAGGCAGCGCTGCCTTCCAGTCCGTCTTTGGTCTCCCTGGCCTTTCCGAGCAGGTCCGACGAGACCCTCACATTCTCAAGAGGGCCGTCGATGATTACTTGACCACCGAGGAGCCTATTGCTCTTGCGCAGCTCTTGTGCAACATCGGATCCGGTGGATGCCACTCCGGCGGAGTGGCTAACGGTCTTGTCATTGCTTCTCCGTCCACGGACAGCCCTGACTGTAAGAAATTCATTAGTTCCTTGGCACATCTAAACCCTTAGCTAACAGATATTCAGACTTCTACCATTGGACACGTGACGCTGCCCTTGTTTTCAAGTCCATTGTCGACCGATTCGCCAACAGCTATGACGCCTCTTTGCAGACTGAGATTCAGAACTACATCACTGCCCAGGCCAAGCTTCAAACAGTATCTAACCCCTCTGGTTCGTTCTCTGACGGAACGGGTCTAGGAGAGCCCAAGTTCAACATTGATGGTAGTGCTTTCACCGGTAGCTGGGGTCGTCCCCAGCGAGATGGTCCGGCTCTTCGAGCCATTGCTTTGATTGGATACTCCAAGTGGCTGATTAACAACGGCTACACCTCAACTGCTAGCAGTGTCGTCTGGCCCATCATCGCCAACGATCTCGCCTACGTTGCCCAGTACTGGAACCAGACCGGTTTCGACCTTTGGGAGGAAGTCCAGGGAAGCTCGTTCTTCACCGTCGCCGCCCAGCACCGATCTCTCGTTGAGGGAAGCGCCCTAGCTAAGAGCCTCGGCAAGACCACCACTTCCTACGACGCCATCGCTCCCCAGATTCTTTGCTTCTTGCAATCTTTCTGGTCCCCATCCGGAGGCTACGCTTTGGCTAACATCAACGTGAACAACGGCCGAACCGCCAAGGACGCGAACGTCATCTTGGGTTCGATCCACACCTTCGACCCTGCTCTCGGCTGCGACGCTGCCACTTTCCAGCCTTGCTCCGACCGAGCTCTTTCCAGCCACAAGGTCGTTGTCGACTCCTTCCGATCCATCTATACCCTCAACTCGGGTATCAGCTCCGGAGCCGCTGTCGCCGTCGGACGATACCCCGAGGATAGCTACTACAACGGTAACCCGTGAGTAATGCCCATTCCTAGTTAGTTTCTCACGAGCAACAATCTCTAACAGTTATATAGGTGGTACCTTAACACCCTTGCCGCCGCCGAGCAGCTTTACGACGCCCTGTACGTGTGGCAGACCACGGGCTCCATCACCGTCACCTCCACCTCTCTCTCCTTCTTCCAGGCCCTTGTCTCTGGTGTCACCGCCGGCACTTACGCCTCCAGCACCGACACCTACACTAACATCTACAACGCTGTCTTCACCTACGCCGACGGCTTCGTCAACATCGTCTCCAAGTACGCCGCGACCAACGGCTCCCTAGCCGAGCAGTACGACCGCAACAGCGGCGTTCCCCTGTCCGCCCGTGACTTGACCTGGTCGTACGCCTCCCTACTGACCGTCGCTGCCCGACGAAACGGTGTCGTTCCCGCCGGCTGGGGATCCGGTGCTGCCGCTACCTCCGTCCCCGGCACCTGCCAGGCGACTTCGATCGCCGGCTCCTACTCCGTTGCCCCCACCCCCACTTTCCCGGCTAGCCAGACCCCTGCGACCAGCGGCACCAGTGCTACTACCACCTACACCAAGCCCACCGTCACCGCCACCGCACCAACCGGCACCAGCTGCGCCCAGGCTACGGCCGTCGCCGTGACCTTCCAAGAGCTGAAGACGACTACCTATGGCCAGACCGTCAAAGTCGTCGGCAACATCGCCGCCCTCGGAAACTGGGACACCAGCTCCGCCGTCGCCCTGAGCGCCTCCTCGTACACTGCCAGCCAGCCGCTGTGGAAGGGAACCGTCACCCTGCCCGTGGGCCAGGCCATCCAGTACAAGTACATCGTCCAGAACACCGACGGCTCGATCACCTGGGAGGCCGACCCCAACCACTCCTACACCATCGCCGCGACCTGCTCCACCTCTGTCACCAAGGACATCGATACCTGGCAGACCTAGATAAAAGGGGTAAAATGAAGATATGATTTGACGAGATTGTTAAAAATCTAGACTGGAGGAAAGCATATACGATGAAGAAAAATGACATATGTGGTATCATGATAGATTAATATGGCATCTGTGGCATTTTACTTACATTTACATATAATTTCTTTATATATAATTTAAATATCAATCAATACTTGGTTCATGTAAACTCGGTGATGATGCTTTAACGTAGTCTCATACCACCAAAATCTTCAAACGCACCTAGAAACGAATTAGACAACATTCTCAGAACCACTTAAACAAGGATCATAAATCAAACCTCTCACCCAATCTACCCCCTCCCACCAAACTCCTCTTCTAACCGCCTCATCACCGAATCAACAGCCCAGCCAAACGTCTCCTCCATATCCACATCCTCGCCGCGTCCAACCTGCGCCTCGATGCCCTTCTCCTTCAGCACGCGCTCATCCAACCTGCCCCCCTCCACATCGCCTCCCTCGAACAAGCCCGCGTGCGAGGCGACGTAGTTCGGCCATACGATCTTATCCACGTAGCCCGGCGGATCGGTCCAGAAGCCCTCGAGCGTGACGTACCCGTCGCGCCGCTCCCGGCGCTGCGTCGCCCGCTCGCGGCTCACGAGAAGGAAGAGCTTGGTGTCGAGCAGTGCGGGGACGCCGCCCGCTTCGAGCTCGGGAGAGTACAGCAGGAAACCGTCTAAGATGCAGATACGTAGAGGGGATGAGGGGGAGTGCAGGATGGAGTGTCCCGGCTGCCCGGGAGAGGTCCATGAGCCGACTTTAGCCTTCGCGGCGGCGATGGCGGTCTCGGAGACGGGGCACGCGCCGATGGAGTTTTGGTCCTCTTTTGAGTCGACGAAGGGCTGGGAGAGAGGGTTAGTTTGTGTGTATGTATGTATGTAAGCGTGTGCTGCGTAAGACGGGGTGAGTAAGCAGGATGGCGTTGCGCCACTGGCGCGGTGGCGTGCATAATCCGGCAGAGGACGAATATTTGAAATAGGTAGAATGCCTTCTTTCTTTCAGGGAATCCTTACAGGAAAAGTACCGTGTTCCCGAATATGCGCCAGCGCCCGCGTCATATCCGGGATGGAGATAGCCTCGGCGCAATCCCAGTCCAAGAGGCCATCTCTAGAAGGGAGCCTGTGTTCCGGCGTTAGAATTCATTCAACGATTCATTTTCTCATTCAGGTTTGTAGCGAAGAAAGACGATTATAAGCTTACTCGGTCTCGGGCTTATAGAAATCATCCTCGTGCAATATAAACGTGTTGGGGAACACATCGCGCAGAAGCCGGGCGAGGGTCGTCTTGCCGCTGGATGAAGCTCCGCTGATGCCCACGACAAATGCTTTTCGGCCCTCCATATCGCTTTGGCCAGTATGGCCTCACGGAATTCTGTTTGGTCCTTGAAGCTGACGAGGTGAAATGAAGTAAAGTTACAATCCGGCACTCGTTTGTAATCGAAGGTGGAGATGATGCAATTGCGCTATCGACGGGCGGAGGACTTAAGTCGGATCGGCCCGGGCTGAGTCAGCTAGTTGCCGATGGTCTCATTCATGTTACGCTTGATACTGTCGCTACTACGCTAGACAAGGTTATATGGCTTTGGGAGGCGATAGAATGAATTTCGATATGGAGATCAAATTGAGAAGGAGTATTATATTTTCACAGCGTCTTGCGTTCTTCTAGAAGCAGCATCTTCATTAATTATCTCCTCGGGTAGGTACTACCTCTCAAATTCTAATTAAAGCTTAGAATGAGCTTTCCGTAAATGTATAGAGTAGTCGTGCGTAAAAAAGGGGCTAAACAGATGAATCATTCATCGTCCATATTTTGCGTTTAGCTTCTTCATGATTGACATCGCTCCGCTCCTATAGCCCCCACCAAACAACGCCCAGTGATTCAAGTGATGATATCTGTTCAATTGTCAGCCTAGCAATTCCATGACGACCTTACACTAAACAAAGGAAAATCTCGAGAGGCAACGACTTACAACTCATAAAGCGCGACTCTATCCTCCCATTCCTCCTTAGGCTCCGCCTTCGGCACCAAGCTCTCATACTCCTTCCAAAACCCTCCCCCAAACCCGCCAAACATGCGCATGATCCCTAACTCGTACTCCGAGTGTCCGTAAACAGCCGACGGATCAAACACAACCTCCTCAACCCCACCCTCCCCCGCGATCCGTCCGCGCCCATGATTCCCACTCCACAGATCGCCGTGCACGACAACGGGGTACACGCCCTTAACATGCTCGTCACCAATCAGCCTCGGCACGACCGTACTCGCCGTCCTCTCCACCGCGCTCGCCAGCTCCGGGTCCGCGCCGTTGGACCTCACGCCCTGCTTCAAGATAGTCCGGAGCCGGTTGTTCGCGTAGAAGTCGGCCCAGCTGCTCTTCCAGCCGTTGTCCTGCGGCGACGACCCGCAGCACGTGGTCACGGGGAACCCGAACATGGGGCGGTCGAAGCCCTCGGGGATAGGGGCTGGCGTCGTGTGCAGCTTCGCGAGCTTCTTGGCGAGGGAGTCGCCGGAGCCGCCCGGCCGCGAGGACCCGAGCTCGAGGAAGTCCGTGGCGAGGAAGAACCGGTTGGGGTTCTCTTGGCAGGCCCCGTTGGCGTGGGATTTGGGGCATAGGTTTGGGACTACGTTGTGGATTGCGTTGAGGGAGGCGTGCTCTCCTATGTTGCGGTTAGTCAAGTTCCTACAAGAGTTACCTTTGCTGATATATGGCGAATCCATCAGGCCTTACCTTTGAACATAAGTTCAGAATCTGCCCCTGTTCCGGTCTTGACGAAATAGTTCATCTCTTTCCCATTTACTGTTGAGCTCAATTTGAAGGTTGAGGCGAAGCCGGAGCCGCCGTGTGAAGCTATCTTGGTGACTTTAGGGTCTAAACCTAGAGCTTCGAGGATGGCTGAATCGACCCTTGAAGCCATTGTCGTCGCTTTCCTAAATAGATGTGATATATGTGGGTTAATCGATGCGCATTTGAGCCCAGTTGTAATCCGCATTCACTCTCTCTTATCGCTGAGTTAGATTCTTGTACGTTGAGTTTTTACCTACCTGATCCAAAGGATCGATGCTAGATATTATATGAGATCGGTGACGTCACTTTAATCAATTGTCTCAAACTTGGCACTTCTAACCAATCAATCGGGTAATTCCCAGTGGTTTGAGATACGTGATAAGATTCCGTGTTAGTGTAAGTGTAATTGTAAAAGAATCAATTTTAGAGGTAATTCAATGCTAAGTTGGGGTATCTTGTTCGGACCTTCCGCTGAGTGAATAACACAGAGCTGGAGGTCGATCGGGAAGCAACCATACGTACCACACCGGCAAAGGGGGGGTTTCACAAACGGTTATCGGACGTAAAAACGATGATCGCCATATGTATGATTCAGTTGGAGGCAAATGGTTTTTGACCCAAGAACGGTTTTTGATTTGCGAACGCAAACCTGCCTCGCTCTGATTGGTCAGAATAAGTGGGCTCACCCAAAAATTCGAAAACGGTGGGAATCGAACCCACATTCTCTTGCAAGAGCTTTTATTTGCATTATTAGTTTGTATTAGAATTTGATGCATTTATGAGATCACTTTATACTGCTTTAAGGTATATGGAATTTACTTTTAGTCATTCTTACAGGTCGCTTTTGAAGGTATTATCATAATGAAGTTTACAAGCTTTACGGTTGAGCTAAATGGTCTAGCCATACTACTGAGGGTTTAGCTCTAAACTTAATTATAAGGCTAGAGAGTGTCAACCAATCAGTCAGCTTTTTCCAAGCAGAGTACCCACTTTATAAGCATTTCAAAAACGATTTTCTGCCAATACAAATGATTGTTGCCCTGCAAATGGTTTTTGGCTGGGAAGAACGGTAATTAGCTTGCAACAACGGTTTTTGACCATCAAATAACCGTTTGTGACAACCACATATTGCCGGTATGGTAAAGTGTGGTGCCATGGCGGAAGCTTTATCGATAAGCCACAGAACGCCCTTCCAAAACTCCCCCGACCAGGACAAAACTCGGCAAGCTCCAAAACTTTCTAGGGTTCTTTTTTTTTTATCGCCTTCCCATTTTCTCACCCTCATTACGCCACGTCCACATTTGCTCTATGCCCTTTTCAGTTCTTCCGAAATACACGACCAGGTCTTAACAATCGAATATCAGAACTCCTCTGCGCCGTGTTTTCCGTCTATGGTGTCGTTCAATTAGAAAATTGTCGTTGCAAGGATGCATAAGGCGTCGCCTTAGCCCTGACGATCTTTTGGCATGGTGCCCAATTAGACTCCTAAGCTGCACTCGAGACACTCGTTCGCTGTGATGACGCCGAGCATAACGGAGCTAGATCCGAAGCCATACTTGCACTGCTTGGTTTTCGGGCTAGGCCGCTGGCTTGCTTGTACCATGTCTTCTCGACAAGGGTTGCCTTGATGTTGTCCTCCTTCTCGTTCCATTGTGGCTTCGGCTTCTCGACAGATGAAGAGGTGGCCTTGCTTTTTCTAGGCGGTAGAATCTCTCCGGGGTCTTTTGGATTCGCGGATACTTCTTGGTCGTGGCCGGTACCGTTGAAACACGCCGCGCATGGGCAGATAGGCACGGTGGGCTGAAGACGGGAGGGATGTGCCGTGGGCTGGGTACGCCACCAATCTCGAATCTCGGATTTCCCCATTGCTTGAGATGTTGTGATGCAAGTACTTAGGTATGTATGTGGGTTCTCTCGTATGTTGTCGTCCGATGCGGTGTGCAGTGTGTATATGTAAGTTGATTTGGAGTGTTAGGTTGAATTAGGACTAGGAATTAAGGATTTGGGTAGGGTTGGCTGTCAATATTTTCCAAGGTATGATGAATGAAAGATGGATTCCGTTGGATGCCGGTACTTTGAAAGAAGTTTGCTTTAGTGAGGGAAGTAAGTTTCGTTTTATATATATTTGCTTGCGCTGAGGCTCTGCGTCCGTATGATACCCGAGCCATCCCGGCCGTCGCCACTAATCGTACCAAAACCTCCTTAGCCCCGAACGACTTACTCGATTCTGCATGGGTAGCTGATGCCCAAAATACGTTAATGTATTGACCTGAGTAATTTCTTACCTATTCATATCACTTCTAGATTCATGGATAGAATCCTTCGAAAGTTATAGACAAACTGACAAGGCTACTACAACAGTTTGGGTAGTACGGAAGCATTCCTTCATGTTTGCCTACATATAATGGGGGCTGAATAGTTAAAGATGTGTACAACATTGTCACCTATATTTCGTACTCGCTTCCAAGCACGGATCTTTGTGCATCGCAGACGTGAGAGACGTTGTAACTACCACCTTCGAGGATTTTATCCATTGCCGTTACTGGATATAATGAATGCCGTCCGTTACACGCGTAGGCACGTCCCGGTGAGCCCCCACCTATATATGCAGGTAAGTAAGTACCGGCGCGGCGGTGACCAATACCACCTTAGGTGTTTCGCATTAGCTCAGTGACAATGTTACCTGTTTGCTTGGGGTCCTGCAACTGTAACATCGATTCAAAAAAGAATTCTAAATTGGTAACGGTTTGAGATTCGTGACTGACATTGATCAATATTTGTCCTTGCGGCAGCTGTGCGGTTGGGTACAGGACAATGGAAACGGGAAAGGCTTGCGACGCTTCCAGAAAAAAACACCTCGTCGGGAAGTCCGCGGATTTAATTCGGAAACCATTGCGAAACCAAAACAATATTTGACAGGGCACACAGCGTGATTCGTAGAACCTGACGATTAAATTCTCCGGTTTCACCGCAACGAAGGTCTAGGCAACGAATGGTTCTATGTAAGGTAGGAATCGCATCAGAATTCTGGAGCGCTTACGTTACCGTTAATTCACTTAAGTATAGGTAGTATATACGGGTATCCAGTAAGTATGCTTAGTCATCATTGCGGATATATCTGACGACACATCTTGCTGGTGTAGCCTATTGGTTCAACGCACGTGGGTTTACAGCTTGGTGAGGCTCGACTAGTACGCGGAAAGAAGAGTGAAATGCGTCTAACACCGTACTTCTTTGAATGTATGGTTGGTTAATGATGAGTACTTAGAGGGAGAAGCCATTGTCGCGACGCCGTAGTTAATGATACTAATACTATTGCTGAGATTATGTGCAGCCAGTGTTCCATCATATACGCAGGGAGGACTGTAGCCCAAGTTAGACGACGTCTATCTGAAGTCAAATTATTAAGATATCCATTGGTTGGTATCTTCAGATAGTGATTCTTGCGTGTGCAGTGTGGCTTGTCTGTATGAGTCTCCTTATTCTGCCCGGCTTCGTAACGACATGGGGTTGTAATGAAAAAGAAATTTAAAAAAAAAAAAAAAAAGTTCGTTGAACCGTAGTATTTACCCAAGCTGGAAGCTTCTCAAGAGTCTTAATTATTGCATTGTCCCATTGTTGCAGGCGAACATCTAAAACCTCCATCATTTTGTCTTAAGTGGGGAAAATACCGGTGAGAGACACGGTGGTGATAGCTTCAAAAGAGGGAGCTGGAAATTCGGAGAAGAACTGCAAAGACAGATCGTAGGTTGATCAAGTTGCCTTTTAGGTTGTGAATATAGTACAACGACGATCCAGGCAGCAGGACAATGGATATAATATTGAACTTTGGAACCGTGTTTTAGCGTTTGTGTGGCTTTTGTAGAGATTTAACTTTTTGGCGTTTTCAACAAGAGGACGATGAAATACGCATGATCGTGACTCAACGGTATCGTAGCGAATTAAGCTTGTACTATTTTTCAAAAATGAGCCTCTCTTTTCCTCGTCCCCGTCCTCATTCCTATTCCCTTCCACTACACTCTAACTGACCTTACACTTTTCTCTTCTGCAATTTCACACACTTCTTCTACACACAACTTCTTCTTCCAATTACCTGCTTCTCAAGTTAGCAACCGTACTTCAAAGCAATTTCAATTTCTGAGGCGTTACCTTCACAGCCAATACTACACTCCCTCCATTCTTGAACCCATCAATTTACCAATTCTCCAGTTTAGTACTCATCATCTTCGAAGGCAATAGCTTCATAGCTGCCTTGCATATTTTCTAATTCTTCCTTCTTTTATCAAACCAATCCCTCAATCTCAAATTACTTCACTCTCTTTACCAATCCTCAGGGCAGTTATTACCGCCACCATTTACCGAAGAGGTACCATACCACCGCCGTATCTGAGCCAGCTATCAAACCACCAACTCAAGATACCATTCTTCCGACTTACTACCTCTTTCCATCAACTTGGATTTTGGTATCTACTTTTACTCAGTAACCAATTCGAATTCTTCAACCATAAATTTTCAACGCCCATACCATTCGCAACACCACCACCACATATCTAGAAAAGTAACAACATCCATCTTGCACAATCAACAACCGACAATTAGCGCCGACAACCAGCAATCACCGACAATCACGACTCAGCACTCAGAAACCAGTAATTATCAGCAAAACTCTACTCAATCCATCATATTCCCAGTGAAAGTATAACCGCCAGCAACCGGTCTTCACTGTCACCACCACCCTTACTTTAAACAACACGCCAACAACAACACACCGACCCATCAACAAAATGTCCACCACCATGTCGACCTACACCCGCCCCCAATACGCCCCCTACACCACCCCGGGCGTCTACACCGAGCGCATCCCCTGGCACCAGCGCCCGACCTCGGCGCACCACCGCCCCCTCGGCTCCTTCGCCGACGCGCGCCCCTACACGCCGCCGCACCTGGACTTCGTGAACCTTCGCCGCGAAGCCGAGCACGCGCGCGAGGAGGCGCGCAAGGACGCCGAGTGGCTCGAGTGGCAGGGGCGGATCGCCACGACGGGGGGACCTCCCACGCCTTCCTCCGCCGGAACGGACGGCGACGGCTACGGCGACCGCGACGCGTGGGGCAAGACCAGCTTGTACGGCGCCGCTTGTGACCTGTTCTACGGTATCCGACTCGTCCTGTTCGCCTGGATGGTCGTCTTGACGGACGCGCACAAGCACTACTCCGTCGTCTTCGATCGCTGGTACTGGCTTCGTCTCACTGCATACCGACAGAGCCAGTGGCCGCTCGTGCTTCGATGCGTTCGCTACTGGATGACGGTCCTACTCTGCGTCGTAGTGGCGGCTTTTGTCGCCAAGCTGAACATCGACGAGTACCTCGCCTCCGAATCCGAACCGGCTATCGTGTATCGCACTCCGCCAGAGTACCACGTCTGGTCTGTGACGGCGCCCCGATGTGCGCCAGACTGTTGCAATCGTTCGAAGGCTACTTGGGTTCACGGACTGGAGAATTAGGAGAGCGAATTTGGAAAGGCTTTTGGTACTGTGGTTAGGAAACCTTAGGCCTGGAGCACTGGTTTTATTTTCCCTTACGCCTGACGATGATACCTATCGAACTGGTTAGTCATTCGGGCCTATGAAGGGGAGCTATGCAAGCGGCTGGCACAGATTGTCTCTAATCTGTATTTGTGTAATTACTGTTAAATAGTCACGAGTGCAATAAAAGCACCAATTCGTCTAGAAATGCAGTTCCATTCGGTGAGAGATCGCAAGGGGAAACATCAAATGCATGCAATAGTTAGTGACAAACCCGCCCTTGCTCTATGTAACAACACCTCCCTCCATTATCACAATATCCGGGGATCATTCCCTGGAAACGTTAGTACAGTTTATCAGACCAATGTCTATACCGGACGTCTCTTAAATACCCAAACTGAACTCGACACCAACGTCAATATCGCGTGCTATACAACTATTAGCCTTGTATTATCTTAGAAGCTACATTCAACGGTAACATACCCATCTTTACAACTTTAGAGAGCTGTACCGACTTCTCTGCGGCGCTTTGGAGGTCGTCGATGGAGAAGATCTTCATCCCCGAGTCGTTGATCAGTTGATGAGCTTGCTCCATGTTGGTTCCTTGCAGACGGGCAATGATAGGAACCTTGAGGTTAAGAGTCTTGGCGGTATTAATGAGACCGTGTGCGATGGCGTCGCATCGTACAATACCACCGAAGATATTCACGAAGATGGCGGTAACCTTGGGGTCGCTGGTGATAAGCTCGAATGCCTCCTTGATGGCGGCAGGGGTAGCACCACCACCGACGTCTAGGAAGTTAGCAGGCTGACCACCGTTGAGCTTGATGATATCCATAGTGGCCATGGCCAGACCAGCACCGTTGACAAGGCAACCAATGTCGCCATCGAGCTTGATGAAGTTAAGGCCAGACTCGGCAGCACGAACTTCCTCAGGGTCTTCCTGAGTAGTATCGCGCCATTCGAAGATCTCCTTCTGCCGGTAGTCGGCGTTGTCGTCGAAACCAAACTTAGCATCCATGCACATAACCTGGTGGTCAGAGGTTTCGGACAGGGGGTTGATCTCGATCTGAGTAGCATCCTTCTCAGTGAAGATCTTGTACAGCTTCTGGATGGTATCCTTAGCCTCCTCGATGCACTGCTCGCTGAAGCCAAGCTTGGTCGCAATATCGCGAGCAATCTCGTCAGTCACACCTTGCTTGATGTCGATATAGTTAGTGTTGATAGCCTCGGGGTTCTCCTTGGCGACTGTCTCAATGTCCATACCACCTTGGGAAGAAGAGACAATGACGGGGCCTTGAGAAGCGCGGTCCATCAGAATAGCCAGGTAAAACTCCCGGCGGGCGAACTTGCGCTCGCAGATGTAGACAGAGTTGCAGAGGCGGCCAGCCGCACCAGTCTGCTTGGTAATGAGCTTGTGGCCGATCATTTGTTCGGCGAACATCTTGGCCTCGGTAGGCGAGTAGATGACACGGACACCTCCCTTCAAACCATTGTCGAAGCTACCTTTTCCTCGTCCACCAGCCAAGACCTGGGCCTTAATGACCATATCCTCACCACCAATTTCCTTGGCCACCTTCTCGGCCTCGGCAGCATTCTTTGCGTTGAAGCCTTTCGGAACACCGATGCCATACTATAAGACCGTGTTAGGAAATTTGCGCATCATAGCATTCAGCGATATTGATCCATGTACCTTTCGCAGAAGGTCGGCTGAGAGATATTCGTGGATGCTCAGATTTCTTCGCTGTTGTTGGGCGATCTTGGGGAATCTGGTAGCGGGAGAGAAAGCAGTCTAGCATGAACAGGTGTTATATTAGCATATGTTACCGGATACGTATATAGCTATGGATCTTGGTGGATATCTTCGTATCAGCAACTTGGGTCAACTTGCCTTAGACGACCGCAGGGCAGTAGCCGCAGCTCTGCTGCGAGCGAAGTTGAACATGATGAACAGGAAAGGTCCAAGCCTCAATTGGCTAAATAGCTCAAGGAAAGTAGAGCGCCAGTGGTTAACCCGAAGAGGGGGATAAGAACGAGGTGTTTTATTGCAGCTGTGATGCTATCGTCAAATTAGAAACAGTTGGTCCCGGCCATTAGGGAGAGCTCTTTTCCGGCAGAAAACGGGAAAATCCGGTCAGGATTGTTTGTATGACCCACTTTTCACGGTGAACTGCAGCCCAGATGATGTCGGTGCATGACCTCAGCGGCATGTGCTTACGGACTGGAATAAGATTTTGCCGACACTCTATTTTGGACTCTCTGAAGCAGCCATGTGTAAACTGCAACCATCTAAAATTAGCACTGTGTCACTATCTTATCGTTTATCGTGGGTTCATCTCGTCACTTTTCCTTTCCTCATCTGGTGCATTAAGCCAGTCGCGCAATCCTGAACTGGAAGCTTACTGCGCACACCATAGACACTATGATCCGACGATAGCATTATTCAATCCTATATGTACCTCGCACCATACATCACCACACCATGGCACCTCCCACCGAATCTTCTGCCTCTGCGCCTACCTCGAAGGGCGCCAACCCAGCCCCCGAGTTCACCGTCAACATGAACCGCATCCAGACGCAGCTCGAAGCGCGTCTTAAAGCAGCGCGCCCATTCCTCTCCTCGCTCTCCGACTCCCGCACACCTAAGTCGAACCCCGATTCCGGCGGGGGATCGTTCTCCGCGCTTAGCTCCTCCGGCCCTCAACCCACCACCTCCCGCTCCTCCCATCCCCAGTCCCAGTCCCGATCTACCGCCGCAGAAGCAGCAGCGAGGCGCGCAGCAGCCGAAGCCGAGTTCGCAGAAGACCGAAACCTGGACCCTAAGGTGGGGATCGGGGTCGTCCGCTCCTCGAGCGGGAACAGCGACACCAACGGAAAAGACCGGAACACGGCTCAGCTGCGCGGACGACTGCTGGGAAAGCGCGGAAAAGGGGGTAACGAGGGGGCTGAGAAGCGATGGGTGCGGAGGGAAGACAGCAGTGACGAAGAAGCGGGGCGGAGCGGGCTTGGACGAGTGAAGAGGAATGGAAACGGAAATGGAAATGGAAACGAAAGGGGGAAAAGGTCACGGGCGGAGATGGAGGAGGATGATCGCGAGGAGGAAATAGTCGAATCGACGACACCGGAGGTTAAGGCGCTTGATGGGGAAGATGTCAGCGAGAAAATTGACCAGGCTAGTGATACGAAGGGTGATGCGGAGAACGTAACTCCTAAATCTACGGAGCAGGTCGGCCCAAGTACGTCTGTTGAACGGAATTCTAGAAAAAGGCGAAAGAGGCAAAAGAAAAAATTGAATAGGGAAATCAACAAGGCTTGATATTTTCCGTCATAACTTCATCTCTTCTGGATGAGACAATAGATTCCTTGATACCCCTGAGCATACTATCGATCACTTCAAAAGTGTACATAGATTAAATTGATTGAAGAGCCGTGATGGCCCTTTCCCTACTTGTGCGTTGAAGCATTTGCTCCGAAATTGACCAACCCGTAAGAGTACATGATTAGGAACTCCGCGAGCGCAAAAGCGCGTAGAGCATTGAATCATTTTACCCCTTAGTTCCTATCCTCCCCCTCCGAAGCGGCAGCAAGCTCATGTTCCGTATTGTACATACTCGTGGTAGTCTGATTTAGACATCGAGTTCGAAGCTCCCCAAATGAATGGTAAAGTACCTGGTTTCGCACCCACTGTCACCGTTACCAAGACCATCCCTAGTAATATTCAAATAGCCAATGCTTTTGGTATTTTAATAAGAAGGCACAGAAATATCGAAATGGAAATATAATAGTAAGATGAAACGATTTGTGAATTAGACACAAAGGAGATTCGTCATATGCGTAATAGATGTGTCGTATAACGTCGCCATGGCGTGTCGTCTGCTAGCTCCTAAAAGACTCGTGTATTCCGCATCAATCGTTCTATACAAAAACAAATGGCCCACCGCTTATGGTATAATGTGCGACAACGCTTTCATGGCACGAACTGTAGGACATTCGGGGTCCTATGATGTAAATCACTGCATCCGCTTGCGCTTCCGATCGTCGTCCCCCCGAGGATCATCTTCGTCATCTCGCTCTACCGTGTCGGTAGGGTTGAGGATGTGCGCCATGCTTCCTCGTCTCGTGGGGGGAGCGGACATGTCTTTAATCGACAGATTCCTATTGTCGCGACCGGCCGAGTTCCAGGACCAATTGTTTAAGCTTTCCAAGCCGTTTCCTATGTTACCATTTGAGAAAGGAGCTGGCGGGGTAGCGGGTCGTGACAGCGAGTAATGAGGTGGGGGGTCGCGAATCCGCTGCTCTTCTTGCGCTGCCCGACTAGGGGAAGATGGCCAGTGAGCCGAGGGCGGACCTGATGAGACGTACGGCGGTGGGTTGGGCTGCCATCCGTGAGCTCGGATATCGGCTGAGGTATGCCGCCTAGGCAAGCCGCTTGGCGGTGGCTCGACGGTCGCGAGTGGATGCGGCGCGGCAGGCGGCGGTGGCGCCTGAGATCGAAGAGGGGATGGTGACGACTGAGTTGTGCTTCCACCAATCGACCCATATGATCGACGTGAAGATGAAGTTATCGAAAGCCCAGAAGGAACTGGCGGTCGATAGAAATTGGCTCCGCGAGATTGATGTACACCTAATCTCCGTTGATCGTCCTGGGCCAATTGTCTAGGAGATACAGGGGGATTGTCAAGGTTTGCAAAAAGTTGACGGCTGTTCGGGAACGGCGGCTCATGCGGTTCGTCGATGGACCGGACAAATTCAGTTTGGCGTTGAATTTCCCCTTGCAGCGCAAGGACTGCAGCTGTATTAGACTATCGGATGTCCCTTGGTCTGTGCAGGAAACGAAACTTACCGTCTCTGTGGACTGGATTCTCAGGTGGGACCAAACTGAGAACCGTTCTCGACAGTTCCTGGTTCAACTGAAGCAGACGGTTCATAGCATCCGCCATCGCCTGCTGTTTCACATTCATATAATGTGCATTTTCTTCGCTGCGTTGCAACCTAGAATTTAATTCGTACAAGGTTTGCTCGAACCCCGCAAGCCGGGGATCTGAGCCGTCGTGGATAGGTGGCATGGGCTCCGCCGGAGTGCCGGGTTGCGACGGGGTGGGTTTCTGATTATTATATTCCCGGTGGACCAGTGCGTGACGGGATGCTCGTCGTTTAATTTCACGCAGCCCAACTAAGTCACCCCTTTTGAAGTTGCCGTTGCCATGCTTAAATTCCCACAACGCGGTTTCTGGGGACCCCGTGTGAAATACGTCGCTGACTACAACGCCCACATGGTCAGCCAAATGAAGTTTTTAGCTAGCAACAACCAACATATCCCCGCATACCTTTATGAAAGCCATACATATTTAGCTGTCTGACAAAGGAGGAGATGTTCGTATGTTTGAAATATTGGCTGTTATCCGATTAGCCTCCTTGCTGCGCCCACGCAAAATCAAGGACGGACGTACGCAAGGACTTTTGAGAAATCATGCGAAGGCGACATAACGAAGCTCTCGGCAGTACTCGACCAACTGATCAAGTGTTGTATATTTGGATCTTCCAACATGCTGTGCCATAGTTAGTACTACGCAGACATACGCAGACACCATATCCAAAATATTCGGATTATACACACTTGTAGAGTTTGTGAATAAATGCAGTCTGCACTATTTTTGGCTGGTGGACAGCCGCGGCAGCAGGCGCAGGCATCGTAGTCGAGGCGGGGTTTGAATTATGATCCCCCGAGAGCGCGATGTTTTGGCGATCGTTAGAATCGCTGCCTTCTCCGTCCGAACTCTTACGAGCACTCTGCGGGGCTGAGGAATTGGTAGGCGTGGTGATCTCCATAGGTTCACCTGATGGCGAAGGTGCCGACATCTTTATGGTTGGTGTTGGTGTAGGTGCGGTTATGATTGGGATTGTACGTGCGCCCATGCTTTCATCCGCTTTATTACTGGGGGGGTTTCGCGGCGCACTCTCAGTCGCAACGTCCATCCGGTCTGAAGACAAGATAAATCAGATTAGCAAGGTCAAAAAGAGAACAATCGAGACAGGTAACAGGTAACAAAGGATGACCCAAGACCCCGACGGTAGGAAAGCGGATCGGATTTCTAGAAAGTGCGAAGAGACGAAAGGACGAACCGCATTGCTTCGACTTCGCAATTGTGCACGATTTAGGGGGCTTCTAAGGGATCTCGATTCTAGCTTCTGTTCGTAGTTGAGGTCTAGCTGCTGGCTGCCGAACATCTGACATGGGGTCCCTCTCGACGTAATTGTCGCGGCAGTCAGCCTTGCAGGTTTTTGGCTTTTCGGCCAGCTGCTTGTCGCCGCCGTTATTCCTGTCGATGGTGGGGGTTTGATAAAGACAGGAGGTTTTGATTGTGGCCTCGCAATTTGATGCTCCGACCAAGATTGAAGGGGGGGAAGTTGGGGCCAAGACGTAGAAGCTATTGTATGCTGGTTAGAAGGCCGGCAGTATTTGTGGATCTGGAAAAGAGGTAAAAGGTAAGATATTCCCAATTTGCGAGCGTGTGATGGATGTAGATAGAGAGAAAAAGTAGAGGTACGTATATTGACAGGCTGTATGGATAGATGTACGCATGTACTACATTGTATGGTGGCTCGGGTCGTATGTATGTACGTAGTTGCAAATGGAAGGTAGGTGTGGCCCCCCAGGTGGTCCTTCCCTTTGGCGACCTCGGGAACAGGGACTAATAATGTACCTAGGCAAGTTCAGCCCAGACCCGGCTGGTCTGTGTGGCACCGGGTTGGCCCACACTTCTTTTTGGGGGGAAATATAAAGGTACAATGCCTAGGTAATCCTGGAGGTAGATACATGATACCTCCACTTCGATATCCACATACAAAAGCAATCAGACATGGAACCATTGATGGAAGCAGACAAGGGAAGGATCGGGAGTTTCAACGCAGAAACTTGAGATGAAGTGAGCCCTAGCTAGATATTGCCAAGGAACATGTTGTACAATGCAACTCACCAATGGCGACCTGGCAACGGCTGACGCAAGATAGGTGCATTGCATACCCTTCTCTCAATCATATGTAGTATGTGTAGCCTGCTCTCGTAATAGAAGTCCTAGGTGGCCGAGGCGGTTGTTAGGCAAGAGAGGTGAATGACTGAAGAATATTTCGAATATGATGGGTAAAATGGGCATGTCTCACAGCTTTGGCCCCCTAGGGGGATATGTACATGTATATCCATGGATGTCGTATGCATAGTTGAATGAGTTTTTCTCTAGAAATCTAAGTCGATGCCGAGCCCTGGTTCCGCTTTGGGGGGTTCTGCTGGATCCTGGATCCTTCAATTCTGATGTCTTGGCCTAAATCGACTAGACAAGCTAGTATTAATGTACGTATGTCTATCTGTTCGTATGTATATGTGTATGCTAGGAAAATATGAAGATAGGGGGGACCCTGACCGGGTAAGAAGCTCGGTATTACCTATCTATATTCTGTATCATTTAATCGGATCTTCGGATCGTTAGTTGTTAGTTCGAAGCGTCGGAGACACCAAAAAGACGTTATAATAATGGATCATTAGATAGCTGCTAGCTGCTTGCTGACCCTCTTAAAGAGGAGGAATTGCAAATGGTGGAACAATCGGTCGAATTATCGCATAAGTAGTTCCCCTTCTAAGTTGCTTCTAGACTTCTAGAAGAGTTTTGGTGTGAGCGGGGACGAAGGGAATTTGCAGGCTGTTGCATGTATCGCCTAACGAGGGCGTGTTCCGTGCGGTACAGAGTTCCAAGGTTAGTATTTTAGCGATAGATGCAACCTCCTTCACCAAAGAGATATAACATAGAAGCAAGATAGCTACTTTGAATATGGTGCAATGTTTACTTGAGATTGCCAAGAGAAAAAGTGTTTATTTTGCGCGTTGGAAGTTGATAGTAGGACCGAGGCAAAGGTTCAAATAATTAACATGGTTTCCTTCCTTCCAATAGAACGTTAGTTAAATGTCGATAACATTAGAAGTACACAATGTACATTACTGAGTGGTCCGGGAAGAACCCCCGACGATACTTGTTCAGACCTTCCGTTTATTCTATAATCGCTTTGCGCATTGACTTAGAAAGACTTGTTGCTACTAGTCTAGAACCCATTTAGAACCTATTAGAAACTCTCCGGGCGCCATTGAGACTAAATAGGTTTAGACACGATGTTAGAAACAGTCTTGACTCTAGATGTTTTCAGAAGGAGTATCATGCGCAGAAGGAAAGCAATAGTGAAGTACCTCCACGGGTACCAACCTTAATGTATAATAGGTAGTAGCGGCCGGGCTCTAAGGGCGCTAGGTGGCATAAGCGGAATCTGGTCCAAGGAAGGAACCACGGCCGGTGTTATTACTCACATACGGCATTCGAAAAATCAGTTATTACATACAGCACTTTAAGCTATTATCAGTTTGACTTTAGATCTTAGATCAGATCAGATCAGAGGCTAAGTAAGGTAAGTATGTAAATTTGCCCCCGTCATTATATTCTTTTACTCTGCGCTGATACTTCGGCATTTTGACTATTGTCTCATGAACTCAGGGATCTTATATCCTTATTTTATTCGGGCGAGAGAAGCGGATAACAGACCGAAAGAATTTCGAAGATCGCATCAAATAAGGATTTGCAAGTTTGTTAATACCCATACACTCGAAGTGCGCGAATGAGATCCTGCTAAATGACGCCACGGTTAAGTCGTTACTCACCAAGATGCAAGATGACATTTACATGCGGATGCTTCAGCAAAAAATTACCTGCTCAGCCTGCTCTACCTACCTACACTACGTACATTAGTTTCACTCGGACAACCCAACACTAATTGGAATGAATTATAGCCAGACGATCATCCCCTCCTGGATACCCTAGATATCTCTTTTATTATGCGCTTAATCTCAAGGCATATACGTACGTACGTATTATAGCTAACTCTGCATAAGATGAATCGGGGATCATTCCAATCTACTAGGTTATCGGCACGTTCCCACGCCAATGAGACGGCAACGGAGCTTCTCGCGCTTTTTCAAACTTAGGCCAGGCAATGCAGCTCGGGGGCGCCATGCCACTAGAATTCAGCTCCTCCAGCCCACACCACTGAGACTATATGTCCAATTCGCCATTCTGATTGGTAGCCTGTTAAATTCCTTCAGCTAGGTACAATCTCTTCGTGTTTAGAAAAGAGTGCTGTCGAGGATTTATTACTGAAGAATACGGCTTCCAATCAGCTTAGCGACCCCACGTTTGACAGGGGCTCGCCATTCCGAAAGATGCAAATTGCAAGGATACATGGATACGTTTAAGTCTCAGTCTCACTGAAGGTCATTTGAGACGTACAACACGATAAGCCCTATTGATGGACATGGGCGGAGTCCAGAAGCCAACAACATTCCAAGATCATACCGTCTCAGTCTAGGACAACTACCACAACCTGGACCCCATGTTTCATAAACCTCTTTTCGGCAAGCTTGTGGCCGACTAAAGATCATGACGATTCAACTCCAAATCTTACATCAGTTATTACGGTGTACGATCCTTAGCTGGTTAGCTGCTTAACTGGCATCGATACGTCAAAGTAATGCGCACTGACAGTCGACACAATTTGCAAAGAAACGTCGATCGGACAAACAAGAGAAGTTCGTGGGGTTTAGCATGACGGGGATCACAAACCACTGATGCTATTGGAGTTTGGTACAATGCCGATTGTTCCAAGCGCACCTAATAGCAGGATGTTCGATGCTTCTATTCCAGGCCTTCTACCCCTTTTCCTTACTTATCAGCCTCTTCGGATCCGTACATATTTATGAAATACAGGCTTCGAACCTTGCAGTTCATCAGACAGTCATGATCCTGGCCTCCAAGTTTCTCCGGTAAACCCCCAATCCGCCCCCAAGTGGAGGGATTGCATCTACACGCCACACGTATACAGAATAATTCTCGACATTCTAAGAGCGATCTAGCAAGTTTGTTCGGGAGTCTCGGTTAACTAGTTCTGTGACACTGCAGAGCTGACGCAGGTTAGGTTACTTATTTATAGTTGTGTCCTTCGTTTCCGTTTCCTCGTCATCCACCTCATTGGCCTACTTTGTTTCAACGACACTTCACACTACTACCTAGTAGTAGATAGCTCTAACCGATGCGCTCGAATCTTAGATAAATAGTAATAATATGTCTATTATAGGACTTTCCCCGGGCCGACGCGCTACCGTTTTACAGCATAGAGTTGATTCTTACCGTCACGGACAAAGCATGCAGGCTTAAATCCCTGATCCACCCATGCTACCCAACTGCGTCTATAGAACGAAGCGAGCTTGCGTGTTCACGTGCGTCGCCGTAGGCCCGCATCTTGGTCCGCCTGCAAGTAATAATTTGCGACGAAAGCGGCGATAGTTCTCGGATGTAGGAGGCTTTGTGCCTGCGTTAGTTCACACATGGTTGATGTTCTATGGTAACACCTTTCGATTCATTCCAAAGTCAGCGCTAAGTTGGCACTCTGGCCACTTTTGATTGCAATAGTCTAAGCACCTCTAATGTAAGTCTTACTGCCTTGCTTCGTCCTTGCTCTTTGACTTTTCATCACGATCCCAAGCCATCTTTTCTCCCGCCTACAACTGCTATTATTATTCGGCCAAGACTGTCATGTCTGCATCAATATATCCTACGGTTCCATTGTCAGTCATCCTGTGGGGATTGGGTAGCACAAGAAGGATCCATACGAACATATAAGCCCGAGAATCAGGCTTGCGCGCTTTTATTATTACTACTGTTACAGCTCGAGGGATCTCGACGCAGGTACTTGATGTTTCACGTTCCACTCAATTCGGGAGAGCTCCACGGAAACGAGTATCTGCGCTGGGGGTCGTAGGAGGACTAAACAAGGTGTATTTACAACTACAGATTGAGTATTCAAGTACGTGGTAGATCAACCAATCCTTGATACTTGCAGTCTGCAGCTATACCTTGGATCCGAATGGCTCATCTGCTACGCTATCGTTTAGCTACTTCTACGTAGTCGCACAACAAAGCGCCCTGCATAAGGCTATTCGGCATGGGAAGAAGATTGTGTCTGCCAACGAAAAGGTTGCTATCATATTTCGGAACCGTCTTCGACTCGAAAGTTGCTTATACTTAGACCGTGCCAATCTACCGATCCCGCGTCGATATTGGCATCTTTGATGATCTTACCGATGCGTTTCTCTGCATCAAGTAGATCTCCATGGATTTCTGCATGATATACCGCAAGTATCTAACGTACTGTTCTAGTCATCAGAATTTGAGCGTGACTTTCATTGCCATCTACGTCCAAATCACAACGTCTAGCCAATGGTTTTAGGACTTGAGACCTATCTAGATTCATGTTAATGTTGCACCCAACCTCCAATTCAGTCATCACGTCAAAAATTTATCCTGATTAGTGCCAACCAAACTTGGGTGCGGAACCGGAACTTTTGGGGGACACTTGCTAGTGTGGTCGAGTTGTCGTTTAACCCCATGGGTCGCGGCTCGCCAACGAATTAGTAAAATTGGTAGGTTACTTTTAACGCGGCTTAAGGTAGTTCGTGACGCCCACGTTCCCAGGTATTCCATTTTCGTGGCTATCATAGGAGATATTCCAACAGCAACGGTACAACCTGACGAGACGCAGGGGCGCATCATCGGTAATGCATCCGTTGCGTGACACCGTAGTACCTAAATACGTCCTTGTTTCAGTATGCGCGATGATCTAGTCAGGTAGCTTATCATTCAACGTCCCGGCGCGGTTATTGGCGCTTTTGCCCCTTGGCCTCGTTTAAGGTTCTTTCCCGTCACTTTATTGTTACACAACTTGCGGCACGGTCCGGCGCGGTTATCGTGAACTCATGCGGAACGGCACCATTTATATCATATCTTTAAGTCATGCTGGGAATTCGTCTAGGCATGAATATCAGAGCATGCCATTAAGTATCACCAGTGAAGTGAGGCTGCGGAAATGTAAGGCTAAGTTCATACGTGAGACCCAAGTAATCTCTATCTACCTATGTAGGTACAAGTGGTGTTAGTCACTATTGTGATATTTGCACATAGCTTCTGCGTTCCTATCACATTACCCCCAAAGTGGTAAAGTCTTACAATCAATTTGGGTGTTCGAGAGCCCTTCTCCACGTCCACGCCGCAGACCTTGGTGTCTACGCCCCTTCCCTCAATTCCAGAACCATGGTGTTTTCAAGCCGCGACTTGCTGCAGCATTGGATAACCAACATGCCTCATCGAAGAAATGCAGGGGTTGTGATGTTTCGACTTGGGCGAAGCTCTAATTGGTGACCTTATCTTTTCGGCACAGTGATAAACCAACCCCTCGACTCTCGTCTACCAATGTTCGTCATATCGAATTCGTCAGGAGATTATATAGTCACATCCTCAGCCGAAAAGTAACGATAGTGCGTTTCTTGGACTTCCCGAGATCCCTTGGGTTACTCTATAATTTCGACGATCAGTTGTCCTGCAGGAGCGGGCTAGATAGAGCATTGACACCTCATCTAGTTATTCTTGCCCTAAGCAAGCACCAAGCCAACAATAAGGAGTCAATGTTGTTCCAGATCTGCAGCTATCCTCGCCTTGACAAAATGCCGCTTCATATGTAACCTAGATAAGGCAGATTATGAAATTTCTCGGGATTTGAAATAGAGACATGGGCTACAAAAGGTGCATCTAATGTTGGGGGGCACATGATATAGGGGTACTGCAGCTAACATAGTTACGGCCCCATGAAACTCGAGGCTCTGGAGCCTTACAGGATTTCAATAGTCTGGAAGCATACAACCTCAGTACCGGTGGATGGTGAAGGATGATATCTAACCCTGACAGCTTAGAAGTATGTTATTTCCAACCTAGGAACTTGTATTGCCACAAAGTGCTACTTTGTAAGGATTCATATATTCCTCACACGAGGCTCTTAGAATTAAGACCGAGAAGCCGAGGCTATGGAAATAGCCTCGATAGACTACGTACCTACTTAACGTGGATAGACAGGCGTGTTCTATATTTACCTACAAAGAGAGAAAAAGAGAGAAATACACAGTATTAAAACTGTCAGGAATCCTAGAGATTTGATAGGCAAGAAATACGCATTCCCACGCGCTCTTCGGCTATTATTTAACAATCATAGATGTTTATTATGCAAGAGATGTAGGGTCACATAAACCATCTCCAGTGAAGCGGTTGGTGAACTTGTACACTCCATGCCGACACGCTATATCTTAGCTCATAACATGTAATACCTAACATATTTCTCCAATTAGCATAAGTACATAGGTACCATTTCGTTGGAATGATCGTATGTGAATATTCAGGTCTCATATCTCCAACGTCAAGAAAGTTATATGAAATGTTGGTTTTACAACTATGATGATATCCATGTTACAGAGACTATTGCAATTGTATTTTGGGTAATGGGCGTGCACGCACTTGTGGTAACAGTTGGGAAGATTCGAGAGGGGGAGCAAGAAAAGGGGGAGAAGCTTACAATATTTCAACAGTCAACGGATCTTACGATGCTCTTAAAATATGTTATTCGCGAGTGCCTATCATAATATCATGAAATTTTGTTTTCTTTTCCCTTTTCCTTGCGGAATATGAAACGTTCATTTGGCAAGTGTTCGGTTTCTAGGCAAAATGGCTAACATTCCTCGCTCTCTAGCTAGCCATCTAATGCTCGGTCAGGATCAGCCAGCCACTCTCGAATCCTATCCAAGCCGAAAAGATCATGCTCCTTGTCGGAAAACATCACTAGCTTTTCGTGGTTGCACCAGCCGGGCGTTCCCCCTTCCATGAGCCTTCCACCAAACGGTCGACAGGATCCAAAATCAATCAGTACTGGCAAATTATCTTTATCCAGCAGTATGTTGCTTGGTTTCAAGTCATTGTGGGCCAATCCGGCCTGGTGCAGGTGAGAGATTGCTGACTCAAGCTCCTCCATGAAGCGCTGTGAGTCTATAGTGCCATTCTTATCCTTATCCTTGTCCATTTGCCACATGAAAAATTCAGTGAGACTGCACTTGTGACGCTCCAGAACGATTCCCGCTAGACGTCTACCTCTCTTTAGGCAGCCATAGTACTGAATTATATTCTTGTGCTGGATGCTCGAGACTTGCTCCATGATCTGAGCCTCACCCACTATATCAAGCAGAGTCAATAAGGGTGTTTTGAGAGAAAGAGTGGCGAGACAATCGGCATGCCAGATACTTACAGAAAACGTCACGAATCCACTCGCGGGGATGGGAGGTCTCATACGTGAGAAGGGAAGGTCTCTTGATGTATAACTCGTTATCCGGCTTTCCAGTTGTTGCCATTTCCTTAAGGCTAACTCCTTCAGGTATCTCTGGGTAAATATCCGCGTCTGGGATTCTTCGCATCGCTTCTTTTACCTCTGCAATGTTGACATCGGGCCTAGGCTTGAATATTTGCGCGAAGTATGCCTCTCCATTCCGATAGAACTTCCAGAAAGTAGTATATTCGCCATCAGGCTCACCCTCGTTATGTACTCCCGTCGCGCCGTCGAGATCAGTGAACGCTTGAATGTCATGAGGAGGGCTAACATCATCGTCTACAGTTGCCATGGTCTGGAAAGGTAAGGGAGGAAAAGAGAGATTTATGTGGAGTATATCAAGGTCGAGTGTAATGCAGGCTGCTTGAGGGTTGGTAGAGAAAGTCAAGATTGATATATGGAAATGAAAGCTTTAAGAAGAAGGGTGTTGTGAATGATTGTTTCATTTGTAGTCTGCTAAGTGAGGCTGAAGGTCAGTTGAATAATCAGTTAAGCCAGTCCTTAAGTCGGGTTAAAAGTCTGTCCCTAGGTCAGCCGAAAAGTCAGTTTAAACTCAGGTCAACAGTAAGTTGAACAGTCAGTAAACCAGTCCCTAAGTTAGTTGAATAACTGGGCAGTCCTTAAGTTAGTTTAAAGTCAGGTCAACAGTTGGTTGAACAATCAATAGGCCAGTCCCTACGTAGGTCCTTGAGTCCGATGACTAAGCTTCCTAAAGGGATGCACCCAATCAAATGCGCGGACGAATTTAAGGTGTTTGCCAAGGCGCTGGCTCTCTAGCGCGATCAGGGGGCCAATTGATGCGCTTGACAATTCCTTATCAGTTTCTTATCAGTTAGATAGGGAATTCTTACGTAATCTCTGACTAAGCAGGAAGTTTGGGCGCAAAATGTTCTTCGGACGGGTAATATATTCATTTCGGACCATATTTTAAATGTTTAAGCAAGCCACGTTTTATGTAGTACGTCTCGTAGAGAAAAAAAAAGCCCAACAAGGGATAATCAATTAATCTCATGCCCGTCGGAATTTAGTACACACCGACACATACGTAAGTGCCATCTATGAAATCGTTGGATCAATTAGATTGGAATTTATGTCTCACATACTAGTGGCTTGCATGGTGACTGGTGTGACCGGACTAATCGATGGGAAAATGATCTTACAGTTATGTAAGGGGCTGAATTATTTCCCAAGCCGTCACTTTTCTTAATCTGAACTTCTGGAAGTGGACTGGACATCCGTTCGAATAAGACAACTCATTACGGCGTTATTAAAATGGCCTTACTAATGACAGTGCCAGGTCGACGGGATATGCTAGATAGTTTCTTTTGGTACGATGAATATGCCCAGAATGATGAATCATTCCAGAGATGGAGAATGATTGTCGTGCAAGATTGGTTGTAAGCTGCTGAAGATCCAAGTGAAGGAATCGATCCAAAGAGAATAAGTTGTGAAGGAGAAAGTTTTAATGTTTGATAGGATAAATCTTATGATAATAACTGGAGTCTCGAAGTCTCGAAGTGATATACGCGATCGTTAGAGACGGCCAAGTCACGACTATCGAATGCGTTCACTGCAAAAGTGAGTCTGCCTGTGTTCAAGGAGGGCGGCTTTATAAAAGAAATTCTGGATTTTCGTGTTGTCATGGAGTGGCAGGGTACAAAGGAAGGCTAGACCGAAGAACATAGTCCGGTGATACTTCCAAGGTTGATTGGGTATGACAAAGTTCTGCTACCCGATTACACGGGACGATGAGATTAACTCGTCAGCCAAACAAAGATAAAGTTAAAAAAGCTAAAATTTGTGCCGGCCTGCGGTCGGATAGTTAAATCTAACCGTCTGTGAGTACAAACTCTATGGCATCACCACTCCACACAGTTCATAGGTCTAGGCCCACTTTTGAGACTTTTGAGGCTTGAATACTTGACGCCTTCGACTTATTGGAACATGGCACTTACCAAGATGAGAAGCAATGTCTGCAAGTGCAACTGCCTAGCACCTTAGGACATAGGTAGACAGTACTAATAAGTCGTAAATACAAATAATAATTGGGTATTACAAACAATTATCGATATTTTATCGAGCCCGAACCCCGAGCCGCGTTCTTAGACACCGGGCGCCGACATGTGCAGGTTGTTTGCTTATCCTATCCTATTATTCTAAGCCGTCCATTTCTTTGATGCCTCTATCTTCCCGCCAGACTTGTTTTCTTGCGCCAATGTATTTTACATTCTAAATCACATTCCTTTCTCTTTCTTCACGACGTCTCTCACCTTAACTTTCTTACTTTCCTTACTTATTACACCTTACCATACTTTACCTATAATGCCGTCTCCATAGATTCACATCTACAACACAAGTAAGCACATACGCGTCAGAATTACGTGTCTCCCTTTCCCAGGGCGTGTTGAGGCTTCTCGTTCTTGACTCAACATGGACGACAGTAAACTCACTCCGGCAAATATGGATGTGCCTGGTGGCTTCCCCGAGACGCCCTCTCGTACCTCGCTTCATCAGCAAACCCCTACCGGTAGAGAGTTCTCACTTGCACCAAACCAAGGATCCTCTACTTCGGCTACCAGAACTCAACATGGCAACGATGAGACTTTCAATTCTGCTCAACTTCATCGTCGGTTAAACGATGCACATGTCGATGGCCCTGCCGAGGCCTTTTCTGGCCAAATTAATAGACCGAGCGAAGCTAGTCCCTCCTCATCTGGACAACCTGTTACTACAAACCCTGGTGAATCATCATCTGATGAATCCGAGCAGACAGAGGTTGAACCTCGCTTCGAACCTATTAAGTCGACGGCAGAGCAACCGCATCTGGAACGCAAGCAGAGTCATGCTAGGACTGAGGATGAGATTTTTCAGGTACTGTCGCGGCGTCGAAGTACCGCCTCCGGCGCCGAGTCTCAGGAGGATCATGATGAAATTGAACGACTAATGTCCCGTATGTTTGGTCAAGCTCGTCAACAACACAGCGAAGAAGAAAAGACGAGACATGCGGGTGTAATCTTCCGTAATCTCACGGTCAAGGGAGCTGGCCTGGGAGCCAGTTTGCAACCTACGATTGGAGACCTCTTTCTCGGACTACCCCGGTTTATGAAGAACCTGTTGACCAAAGGACCGAAGGCTGCTCTCGCCAAGCCTCCTGTACGGGAACTCCTCAGTAACTTCAATGGCTGCGTCCGACCAGGAGAGATCCTGCTTGTTCTTGGCAGACCCGGTTCCGGTTGCACGACGTTCCTCAAAACCTTTTGTAACCAGCGAGCGGGTTATGAAGCAGTCTTAGGCGATGTTACCTATGGTGGTACGGATGCCAAGCGCATGGCCAAAGATTTCAGAGGGGAGATCATCTACAACCCGGAAGATGATCTGCATTATGCCACATTGAAAGTCAAGGACACCCTCACCTTCGCTCTCCGTACCCGGACTCCCGGGAAGGAGTCGCGAATGGAAGGCGAGAGCCGGGAGGATTATGTGAGGGAGTTTCTTCGAGTAGCTGCCAAGTTGCTCTGGATCGAACACACCATGGACACCAAAGTTGGTAACGAATATGTTAGGGGTGTTTCCGGCGGAGAGCGAAAGCGTGTCAGTATTGCTGAGGCTCTCATCACCCGAGCCAGCGTTCAGGGTTGGGACAACTCGAGTAAGGGTCTCGATGCATCGACTGCTGTCGAGTACGTCCAGTCGTTGCGAGCCCTTACAAACATGGCTCAAGTCTCGACCGCGGTTTCGCTATACCAAGCTGGAGAGTCTCTGTACAACCTCGTCGACAAAGTGTTACTGATTGACCAAGGTCAGTGTCTGTACTATGGTCCTTCCGATCGTGCGAAACAGTATTTCATCGATCTCGGATTCGAGTGCCCAGAACGATGGACGACAGCCGACTTTCTTACCTCCGTTACCGACCCCCATGAGCGCAGTGTCAAGTCCGGTTGGGAAGATCGGATCCCTCGATCAGCTCAGGATTTCGCCGATGTTTACAGAAAAAGTGAGGCCTACCAACTCAATCTTGAAGACATCAAAGACTACGAAGTCAAGCTTGAAGAGGAGCAACGTGTCCGAGCCGAAAACCAATCGAAGAAGACCCAGAAGAAGAACTACACTATACCATTTCACCAGCAAGTGACCGCTCTCACCCAACGTCAAGCCTTGATTATGTTGGGCGACAAGGCTTCACTAGGGGGTAAATGGGGTGGCATTGTGTTCCAGGGTCTTATTGTTGGCAGTTTATTTTACCAGCTCCCAGGTACAGCAGGTGGCGCCTTCACACGAGGTGGTGTCTTGTTCTTCATCTTGCTGTTCAATGCCTTGTTAGCTCTTGCGGAGCAGACATCCGCATTCATGTCTAAGCCCATCTTGCTCAAGCACAAGAACTTCTCCTTCTACCGGCCTTCCGCTTACACACTAGCACAAACCGTTATGGACGTGCCGTTAGTCTTCATCCAAGTCACGTTGTTTAATGTCATCATTTACTGGATGGCAGGACTATCGGCTACCCCATCCCAGTTCTTCATCTCCATGCTAATTCTCTGGATGACAACAATGACGACCTACGCCTTCTTCCGCGCAATTTCAGCAGTTTTCAAAACCTTGGATGACGCCACCAAGGTGACCGGTGTTGTCCTCCAGATCGTCATTGTCTACACCGGATACCTTATACCGCCAAAATCCATGCATCCATGGTTTGGATGGTTACGATGGCTCAACTGGGTGCAGTATGCTTTCGAAGGTCTCATGGCCAACGAGTTTTACCGACTAGAGCTAGACTGTGTGAATCCATATCTTGTCCCGGTGGTCCCAGGTGCTACAGCACAGTATCAATCGTGCACATTGGCAGGCTCAAAGCCCGCGCGCACCAGTGTCAATGGCGCCGATTATATCGAAGCATCCTTTAACTATTCGCGCGAGCATCTCTGGAGAAACTTTGGTTTCTTATGGGCTTTCTTCCTCTTCTTCCTCGCAGTAACAATGATCGGAATGGAAATGATGAAGCCCAACGCGGGAGGTGCAGCCGTGACAGTTTACAAGCGTGGCCAAGTACCCAAGGATCTTCAAAGGTCTATCGAGACTGGTGGCCGCAAGGGCAACTCTAGCGATGAAGAATCCGGTCAAAGTGGCGAGAAAATCCCTTCCGCTGAAGATCCTTCTGCGGCACAAGGAAGACGTGATGAAGAAACAATGAAAAGTGTCGCAAAGAACGAAACAGTATTCACGTTCCAGAATGTCAATTACACAATTCCCTACCAAAATGGAGAAAGGAAACTTCTGCAAGATGTCCAGGGTTTTGTTAGACCTGGCAAACTGACAGCACTGATGGGAGCTTCTGGAGCTGGAAAAACGACACTGCTGAACACCCTAGCGCAAAGGTGAGAAATCCCAACGATGTCCTAAAGTGAAAGAGTACTAATTTCATGTCCAGGATCAAGTTTGGTGTCGTCACTGGCGATTTCCTCGTGGATGGAAGGCCTCTTCCTAAGTCATTCCAGAGAGCTACAGGTTTTGCTGAGCAACTGGATATCCATGAACCAACGGCAACCGTTCGCGAGGCCCTTCAATTCTCTGCACTCCTCCGTCAACCGAAAGAGGTTTCAATAAAAGAGAAGTACGAATACTGTGAAACGATTATCGATCTACTTGAGATGCAAGACATAGCCGGCGCAACAATTGGAACAGTAGGAGAGGGTCTAAATGCGGAACAACGCAAGAGACTCACCATTGGTGTCGAGCTTGCATCTAAGCCAGAGTTGCTGATGTTCTTGGATGAGCCTACATCTGGTCTTGACTCGGGAGCAGCATTCAACATTGTCCGATTCTTGCGAAAGCTCGCAGATGCTGGTCAAGCCATCTTATGTACTATCCACCAGCCTTCTGCCGTTCTGTTTGAGATTTTCGACGAGTTGATCTTGCTCAAGTCTGGGGGCCGTGTGGTGTATGCCGGCGAGCTCGGCAAGGATAGTCAGAAGTTGATCAACTATTTCGAATCCAACGGCAGCCATAAATGTCCTCCTGATGAGAACCCAGCCGAGTGGATGTTAGAGGCTATTGGAGCGGGCAATCCTGATTACAAGGGTCAAGACTGGGGCGACGTTTGGCTGAACTCCAAGAATTACCAAGAACAGTCCAAGGAAATTGAGCAAATGATCGAAAAGCGCCGACACGTAGAGCATTCGAAGAATATCCAGGACGACCGCGAATACGCGATGGACTTGTGGACCCAAACAGTCGCCGTCACGAAACGTTCCTTTGTTTCCTATTGGAGATCTCCCAATTACATCATGGGTAAAGTGATATTGCACATATTTACGGGTCTTTTCAATACCTTCACGTTTTGGCGTCTAGGATCCTCCACCATCGACATGCAATCTCGTCTATTCTCGGTATTCATGAACCTCACTATCGCACCTCCGTTGATCCAGCAGCTCCAGCCCGTCTTCCTCAACTCGCGGAATATCTTCACGTCTCGTGAGAACAATTCCAAGATCTACTCCTGGTTCGCATGGACTACTGCTGTGGTACTTGCAGAAATTCCTTATGCAATTATTGCGGGAGCCGTCTACTACAATTGCTGGTGGTGGGGAATAGGGGGTTACTCAATGTTGGGCTTCCGATCCGGTTTTGTCTTGCTCCTAACGATACTTTTCGAACTGTACTACGTCGGATTTGGTCAGGCCATTGCAGCCTTCAGTCCTAACGACCTACTTGCTAGCTTGCTCGTCCCACTCTTTTTCCTCTTCGTCGTCTCCTTCTGCGGTGTCGCCGTACCCCCGGGCCAGCTCCCGTACTTCTGGCACTCATGGATGTACTGGCTCACTCCATTCCATTACTTAATGGAAGCCTACCTGGCAACTATTATCCACAAACAGAAAGTAGAATGTTTAGAAGACGAGTATGCAGTCTTTAATCTCCCACCAAACCAAACCTGTGACTCGTATGCGGGTAGTTATGTCCAGCAGGCTGGCGGATATGTGACTAACGGCACAACGCCGGACACCTGCCGATACTGCCAATACGCGACCGGAGATGAGTTTGGAAAGCAGTTTAGCGTCTACTACGAGAACATCTGGCGCGACTTCGGCATTGTCTGCGGCTTTATCGCTTTCAACTACATCGTCATCTTCATCTCGACATGGTGGCGGTTCAGGGGCAAGAATCCTTTCAAGGGACTGCAGACGAAGCTAACGCAGATGAAGAAAAAGTCGGGTTGACAATAAAAAACAGGGAGTTGTAGGAATAGGGGGCTGGATCCGGTTGGACAGGGCTTATTAATTGCATTACATTCACTAATATTACACGTAGGGGTAGGGAACGAATGGATAGATGCGACAAATGATCGTCGCGTAGATAGGCTTCATGAATAATTAGTCTATTCTGTATAAATGTTAATTTCCTCTATATACCTATGTGATCTGGTTTGGCTTTCGATATTGGATTCAGCTAGCTGGCTGGCGCATAGGCGATTATGAAATGGTTCATTGAACTTATAGTGACAGAGATAGGCAAATGGCTATTCAAGTTCAAGACATAACACAAATTTCAAAGGCAAGAATAGAATCGTAAATCAAATTCGGGGGTATCAAATTAACCACAAACATTACGTATTTCGCCTCTCATCCCATCCCATCCCATCCTGTCCCCTTCCCACCCAGTCAAGCACCAGAGCTCACGACCCCGTCAACCCCATCCTTCCGGGTCTCGTCTTCTCCGTCCTGGCACTGCCACTGCCAATGCTATTGCTGGCGCCGCGGCGCAGAATACTAGTATCGCTCCCCACGCGCGCGAGCCGCAGCCGCTCCTGCTCGCGCTCGAAGCCCCGCTGCCCCTCGGACGAGACGCGCGAGCCGGCGCACGTCTCCTTGTCGTGCATGCCCATGTTCGGCGGCACCACGCTGCTCAGCACGAAGTCGTCGCGGTAGTGCTGGCCCAGCCCCATTAGCCCCCCTCCTCCTCCTCCTGGCATCTTGGGCAACGACGGCTTCGGCGTCACGCGGACCACGATGGCGCCATCTCCACCGTCTTCCTCCTTACTACTTCGAGAGAGCGATGCGGCGGGCGATTGCAGCTCGTAGTGTCCCGGGGCGACGCCGCCGGCGCCGGGGGAGGTAATATCGTACGAGGAATCGCCGGATAAGCGCCGGTGCTGGTGCGTGATGTGGACCTCCTGCGTGACGAAGATGCTGCCGAGAAGCGTCTGCGACAGGTGCGGCCAGAAGGTCGGGATCGAGGCGCATATGCTGGCCAGGTCGACCTCGAGCGCGGCGAGGATGATGGATTTGGGTCCGTACCACGTCGGGTCGAGGACCGGGTACGTGCCGGCTTTGTGGTCGACGATGGTTTGCAGACACCATATGCTTATTAGGAGGACGCTGTGGGGGTGGGTGTTAGTGTAAGTTTTGGAGTTAGGGAGGTAGGGGTTAGGGGGATGGGAGAACAGGGGAAAGGGGGCAGAAAATAGGGGGAAAGGTAAGAGAGACATACAGAACGCCCAGCAGCAAAAGTAGCCCGATCCCCAACCTCTGCTTCCACGCAGTATCCTTTCTAAAATACAGCGGGACGACGATACCCAGTACCAGCACGTCCAGCGCGACGTTCGAGCCCGTGTGCGCGGCGAACGTGCCGGCGATCTCGGCGGAAACCTTGGACCCGAAGCCGTAGCACCGGGCGGGCGTCTCCCACTCCCAGAAGCCGCGGACGGGGAAGCAGGGGAACAAGGCGCAGAAGGAGAAGCCGAGGCCCCAGACCGCGCTGACGCACAGCCCGACCCAGCAGACGGCGCGCAGGCGCGTGCCCCGCTCGTAGATGCGGAGGTACTGCGAGAGCAGGCAGAGCTTCATGAGCGTCGTGGAGATGGTGTAGGTGGCGAGACAGACGTAGAATTTCTGAGGGGGTGATGATGTTAGTGGCTGGCTGGCGGTCGGGGTTAGGGTTTAGGGGATGGCTGATGATGGCTGAGACCGGAGTTGGGAGAGGGCGGAGAGTGAATTAGGGAGGAATAGAACTTACTTGTTGGAATTTAGCGAATTTGATGAAGCCGATTTGGAGTATGTGGTCTCCGAAACCGTCTTGTAATGCTGTCGTTTCTGATTAGTGGTCGTGGTCTGCGCCCGTAAGGGGCAACATATCTTACCGAGACAGAGAAATATAGAACCAATTGTTGCTGATATCTACATGGAGCTTAGTCCGACATACTTCTCAGGCTATACGATTCTTGGGAGACCTACTCTGAAGAGTACAATTAAAAGATCATCCCAACCTAAACAATGCAACCTAATTCTTGAATATAATCGCAAGGCTACACATATGGAAGAGACAACCTAAGTCGATGTATGAGTGAGTAGGTAGTCAGAGAAGCACGGTTTCATAGTCGCCTTGCTCACCATGAAGGGAATAACCAAGCCATACACTGTCGCCGGATAATTAAACGCTGGTCTCGGTTCTTTAGAATTATCGTACGCCGTCATCTGACGGACGAGTTCCGCTGTATCGGGCGACGACATGATTCGAGTCTTCTGAGAAGAAAGCCCTGCCGCAGACTCCGGGTCGATAAGTAGTTCTTCCTCTTCTCCCCTTACCAATCTCTTTCCTTTCTTCCTTTTCTTCTTCCAAGCTGTCTTCGACTCTTTCCGTGATCCCAAGCCGACTATCCTGATCCTAGCCTTGACTTTCTCTCACCATCGCAGCAGCCACGCGGTGCTGGAGTTGTCTTAGTCGAAGTTCACGCCGGGCTCGGCGGACTCTTCGTCGCACAGCTGTAGCGAGGCTTCCGGGGGGGCCGCCAGCTCTTGTAAGTAGAAGGATTTTTGGAGATCTGCGCCGTGCTGACGCGCGCTCCTACTGTGTTACGAGCCGTTCTAGTTTTCTTCGGCCCCTTCTACGCCCCGGACGGACCCCAACATCGATAATCGTACTACGTGCGTTAGCCCCCATGATATGCTTCCTATGCAAGAGGGGGGCCAAAGAATTTTGTGCAGTGTAAATTTTTCCTGGTTCGAGCCGTTCCAGCTCTCCCTGTGCGGCCCACCGATACCACTTGATCGATGAATATACCGGACCTGACACGCGGTTTCGGGAGATGGTGGATGGCTCCTCGATGATCCTTGTACTTATGTTAAGGCACGTAATAGGATGCAATTCTAACCCATGTAAATGTTCCTAAGCAGTATGGTCATAGGATGCCACGATATTGATTAGCCCGAATTAGTGTAAGACAGGTACGACTATGCAGCTGCTATGGTATTTGAAATATGAGAGACTGCGCAATGCGGTAACGCTCAGCGGCACAGCTCAATAGAGCTCGTGGTGGACTTGATTAACCCTTTTTGTTACTATATTAGGAACGGCGCCGCGAACGAAAGCGACAGGAACGGGACTATAATCTGACTGTCGTCCCAACTATGCGGTTCTAATTACCTACATATAACATGACAGCCATGGTAAACTCGGCCATGTTTTCTGTAAGTAGAACTATTCGACGAGCTGGGAAATTCAAGCTTAATTGAAGCTAATCGAGATGTCTGATGCCTTGAAGCATACTATCGTCTAGGTATTTGTCAACAAGGTTGTGCATGATATACTGCTGAGTTCGGATATTGCCGTCTCCATTCCAGCCATGCTTGACCGGAAAGCTATTCCCGACTCTACATAGACATGAAACCTATCAACGAATTAGAAAGGCTATACCAACCATCTAATAAGACATACTCTAGTATAGTCTGTATTAGAACTTCGGCCTCGCGTGATTTCGGCCGTAGCCTCGCATCTTATGTAAGTGAATCCTACCCTGTCCTGCCCGTCGTGCAGGAGTACCTACTAGAATGGCGAACTAGTCGAGTCGAACCGTTGCGGATCATTTAACAAAGCATCTTAAAACGCAGCGATATCGCTCGTCTATCCCGCATCTAGTGCACGTCCGTTCCCGTCTCGACAATCCTGCGCATCTCATCACATCGCGCACTGATGACAAACGTTATAATAAGGTAAGTCTCGAATGCTACGTCGAGGACAAACAAGCTTTCGAGTCATAGCACAACGTCGCTTGAGGTTGCATTCGATGAGGAACCTTTTATCCGGGCGTCCGCTGCTGTCAATCACGTAAATCACACCCCGATTGTGATATCGAGATGGCCACGGCCGGGGGGTTGCCAGTGATATACCTCGTGGCCGATTGTTGTCTATCTCATAAACCCCCGGTTCTTCAATCCCCTGAATATCACCCACGTGGGGGAAAGCAAACGAGGATGTCGTCACCTTAAAAGAGACGGGATATTTATCGGCTTTACTTCCTCTTCAAGATGGGACGTAGCCCTGTCAAATTGACGGCGACAAGGTTTAAACATTGCCTAGACCGCAAGATTGTGAGAATCGCCCGCTATTGACAAAGTGACAGGTAAGATGACTTCCGCTGAAGGATTCGGATCCGACGGCCGTGACTCCCGTTTTCCAACGTGATGGTAACCCTTCAATGCAGAAATTCGTTGAAGAATTTTCCGAAGTAGCCTGGCCAGCTCTGGCCTAGTAGAACTGCTGGCGGGAGGGAGGAGCACAGATCTTCTCGGGGAATAATTTAATTTGCGGTGGGCTAGCTTGAAGAGTCGTGATATGTTTCACACGTTGGCGCGAATGCGAGTTGCGTCCGTGCTGTCACTTGTTGATCATCCCCTAATCAGACATACCTTGGCATCTTGATAATATCAAGATAACAACATGGTGTCTGTGTTTGAGATCGTTGCTTATTTTGGAAACGTGGCTGATAATATCCATGAACACCTAGGTAACGTAAGGTAACAAGTCTAGTATATTAAAGGGCAATTAGTGAGAGCGGGAAATGAGGCTTCAATGGGTTATGTTACAAACCCCTGATTTCGTGACTTATCAGATCGTCTGCTGACCTCAGTCCAGGGGTTTCGTTGTGCTATTGAAGATAACCGACGATGGATTCACTGTTATTCATTCAATATCTAGGCGTAAACCTCGATAGTAACCCAATAGTAAACCTGACATTATGTAGGGTATGTAGGGAGGTACTCGTGGTCATTAGAAGTTTTACAGTCCCATTTGAGAGGAAGGCCTTTTGCAACACCAGTAGAATCCAGCCGCTTTTCAAGATCAGATCCTTGCTCCGGTCCAGTGCAATTCCAAATACACGCTCTAGTAGTAACTAGTAGTCGTCATCCATAGCATTAACCCTCCTCTCCCCAACCTCGCGAATTTTCTCGCCCAGGATCGAGCGGCCGTACCTCTCCGCCACCTTGCCCGCGGCCTCTACCATACGACCCGTTCGGTCACGCATGAGCTCGACCAGCTCCAGTGCACGCATGCCGCGGTCCTCGCCTTCACGACACTCCACCGCCAGGAATTGCAGCAGCGTCTTATCGATCTCTAGCTCCAGCCTAGCTAAGCTAGACCGTTGAGTGTGGCTGCCGCTCGTCGACTCCACGAGGTCCTGAAGTTGTGCCGCCGCGATGCCCTTGAGCAGGAACTGTTGCTCGAGCTTACGCGTCTCGGACTCGTCGTCCTCCGCTTCCGGCGAGTCGTCGTCCATGGCGTCCGGGTTCGCGGCTTTAGACTTGGGAGGCTCCGAGGTGAGAGGGATAGAGAAGTCGAATTCGGAGAGCAGCGGCCGTGGGAAATAGGGGTATTGGTCGCCACCCTTGAGGATGATACAATGGAATTTGTCGTCGGCCACCGCAATCGGGAAGTATGTCTCGGTCTTACGTCCCGAAGCGAGACGTGGGAGGAGTTTGGTGTCCAAGAGAGGTATCCAAGATGCCCTTGATGGCTGGCGCCAATGTAATAATGTTAAGAGTGTACCCGTAGAGTCGTAGATGCATGGGTCCTATCAACAGGTAAGCTTAGGTTACTAGAAATGAATACATCTCACTTACGCCATTGTCAGAAAAGAAGACGCTCTTTAGTGTGGCGCCTTCTGGGAGCGCTACGGTGTCTTCGTTCTGACAAATTTCATCCCGCTTCACGTTCTCAATGGTGTATAGGAGTCTGGTGTGTCCGTCCGCACCAACAGGGCCGTTGCCAATGGTCATGACATAGTCCCTCCAGCTTGCGCAGGTAACCGTCGGAGTGCTCTTCGGTCGATAAACTCTATACGGTATTCCGAAAAGCGTATAAACTCTGACGTAGTTCGCAGAAGTGGTGACGGTTATGAATGATTCGCTCAGGGACATGGCAAGAACAGCCTCCCCTTTTGGTAGTTGTGTCCTCCAGTCCGTACGGTTAGTCCACGTTTCATGCGGCCTATAGAATATAGTTGCTGGTGTATCGTCTTTAGGCGGGCATGAGAACAGAGTGCCGTTTTCTGTCAAGCAAGCTTTATCGTACAGGAAAGTATCGGTGAAATGGAAATCTCTGTGGAATTCGTGGTCGTAGAATTCCACAGTGACGGTGTTATGTCCATCTTGGTCCACGGTCCAAACGAAGCCGATAAGGTTCAGGCAAAGATACTTCCGGTTGCCTCGCCATGGTGTTGATCCGGGCTGGAAAGCCTCGTGGTACTCTGGTTCGATATGGGGACGTTTGCTCGCTGGTTCCCCAAAAACATCATAGTCGTCATGTATGCGTTTACCATTGCCGTTAAGCACATAACCAGCTCCATCATCATCTACCACAAAGTCCTCATCCTCCTCTAAGGGGCCATCCATAAGAGAATCATAGCTGGCAGCTCTCTGTCTCTGGGGCAATACTGAAGTTGAGGCCCCTGCACCATTTCCCAGGGGTCTTCTAACATTCGTCGACTCTGATAAAGGGTCATGAATGAAAGGCGCAGGCTGCTTCGCGAGTTTTAATAAGGGCTCATATTGTTCTGGTACGAAGTCAGGATGAATGTAGACCTCGCCGTCCGAGTTTGTGAAAGAAACTAGATTGTTCTCGGGATGCCATGCAATATCTATGACATTGGCATAGTCGAGCCTAGCAATAACGCTTTGAGTCTTGGTCTCCCACAGCAAAATCCTCTTGTCTTTGCCGGCGGAAGCCAATATGGCACCATTGGGAGACCATGCTAAAGCAGTGACGTCTCCATTGTGGCCGTTCGCGAATACTCTTTGCTTCTCCCAATCATTTTTCGAGATAACCTGTATATCTCTTGTTGGAGTGGGTACTGCAAACGCACGCCCGTCTGGGTGCCACGAAATCTTCGAACTGGCGTCGGACTCAGTATCCAATGCGCCAATGACGCCGTCGACCTTCTTTATAAGCTCCGGCTCGTCAGAGGTCAGAGAATACACATATACGATCCCGTCTGTGCAAGCTAATGCGACAGTAGTTCCCTTGGTATCGAAAGACAGATGTTTCGTAGATTTGTTGTGCTCCTTCAGGTGACGTATCTTCGTATTGTCGTCGGTTCGAACCAGCTTCACAGTCAATTCGTCGCTAGCTACAGCACACCACTTTGAGTCGGGAGAGAGTGCAACATCACGGATTGGAAGAGAACATCTTAGGAGGAACTTATCGAAGGTAGCGTTGGGGATAGAGTAAAGACTGACGGTTCCATCTTCGGAACCAACAACGAAGAACTCATCAGAAGCGTCTACGCTCAGGTTCTGTTCTTGGCAGTCGTCGATGTTGATAGGTTCACCATCAAAGCCAGTCTTGTATAATCGGATGGTGTTGTTTGAGCCTACGGTAACCAGCTTCGAGCCGTCAGGGGTATAGGCGCAGTGTGTCGAACCCTGAGTATGAGCCGGCCTTGCTCGGGGACGATGGGGTGCTGTAGATGTCATTCCGATGTTTGTTTCGATGTCTATCCCTCACTTGTAGTCGAGGTCGAGGACAATCGAAAGTGAGAACGGGTTTGGTGAGAAATTGGTGTAAGTGATAGACCAGACAGAGAACGCGTCGCGTGCCGAGAATTAATTAAGCAAACGCGTTCAGGGTGAGCAAGGATTCCCCTCTTCCATTGGACCAAGCGCCACGGAAACCCCCACCTTACCCCAATTCTCCAAATTCGGCGATAACGCGATATTGTTACCTGGTACCTAGGTACTCGAATCACATCTAAATCTGAAATCTCTTGTTAGAAGACGAGATTCTCATAGAAACACTAGTAATATAAATTCTGCTGCCTATAGCTGCCTAAATAGGCAGCCGTTCGCCTGCATTTGCTACATCGTGGGAGTAGTATAAGAAGATTGATGAATGTTGGCGAACAAGACGAAAGATTCCAAGCTTCAGTCTCACACGAACTTTTCTTATTCCAGCAGCCCCTGAGCGTCATCCTTCCTCACCGTCGTCATCATGCATAAAGGCACATCCGCAGACCAATTCTTCCAAACCGAGTAAGATACCTCAACAAATATGGAATGTAAAGCGTATACAGCTTAACCAAATTCTTTAGTGCCGAGCAAGCCAAGATAGAAAGACGGGCGGCGAAGGCTGGCAACAAGAATGGAAACCCCATTGTATTGAAATCAAAGTTGTTGGCTGCTATACCAGATCCCACTAGTCCATCATCTGTCTTCGTCGCGGAGTCTGCTGGCTCTGTTCGTAGAGTAAACGTTGATGTAAGTTATGAGGACAAGATTTCGTTGAAGGCATGAGTTTTAACTCTACTACGATAGACAGGGGACACAAAGCATGTATTCAGAGGTCCGTCAGCACCGGTAACGTGCGTTGCCATCGGCGGGCCTGGGAACCAAACACTGTTCGCCGGCTCTTGGGATAAGGATGTCTGGTCCTGGAACCTATCATCCAAGACACCAGGTCGCAAATACAGTGGTCATACAGACTTCGTCAAGGCCGTCGTGTCCACCAAGCTTGGTGGAAAGGACTGCTTAATAAGCGGCGGTGCGGACAAGAAAATCATGGTTTGGGATATTGAGACGGGATCTCGTCTTCATGTATTGCAAGACCAGGCCGTGTCGATGATGGCTATTCAAGACCTCGTCATTGATCCAGTGCAGTCAGGTCCTGATGAGGTCATACTCGTCAGCGCAAGTAGCGATCCCCATATCCGTCGATGGCGAATTCGGCTGGACGGTTTCGAACAGATCAAAGAGGCATCACCTGATGAGCCTGGTGCTGTACGGCATACCATCTTGGAGCACGATACCACGGTATACAAGGTGGTATTCGATAGTGAAGGTGAAGAAGTCGACCTATGGACATCAAGTGGGGATGGTACAGCTAAGTGTCTATCACGTCTCAAGGGCTTTGCTACCGACGATTCTATCCATCATGGTGACCATGTACGAGCTGTCGCTGTGACGGATCAATGGATCATCACCGCTGGGAGAGACGAGGATATCAAAGTCTGGAATCGCTCGTCGGGGAAACTTTATAGCACTTTGGAGGGCCATTACGACGAGGTCACCGACTTAGTCATTATTGAAGGAGGTAGAAGAATCGTTTCTGTTTCTATCGATGGTACCGTACGGACATGGTCACTTGACCAGGTCGAGCTCGACAAGATCAACAAGGAAAAAGAAGACAAGGCTAAGGGTATCGAGGAGGAAACCCCAGCTGAACCAGAGAAGGGGTTAATGACCGCTGAGGAAGAAGCTGAACTCGCTGCAATGATGGAAGATGATGATTAGCTAGCCAACGTCTACGTCCTTGGGCAGAATGCCCCAGACTAGTTTAGTACCAGGTATCAATCTGATTGCTGGAGCTAATGCTGAAGAAATGCGAAGAGAATGAGACACGCATAAACAACCTGCGTTCCTGGAATCCTTCATGTATAGGGCTAAAGATATGCGGCTGTCGGCCGTACGAGCGGGAGGCTAGTCTCACCTCGAAGAACCTTGGAAATGAAGGCACGTGTGAAGTTTGGTGGGTTCGACAACGCGAATAGCTCGACGAATGTCTCCTGAAACTTTAATCTCGTCCTACCCGTTCGAGTTCCAGTTGTCTGACCTACACCGAACGCCCAAAGGGTTACAGAGTATGAGATAGAAATAGAGACAATCAAAACTTCTGTCAGGTCGAGGCGCCCCTTAATATAATTTCGGTATTCCCTCGCCTTAAACACAAATGGTTCTATGTCATTACTACCGGCACATCTACAATTGTGTAACAAATCTATCTTCAAAGCTGATCGTATCTCTAACTTGCTTTGCTAGGGTTATTATGATGAACTATCTCTATCACGAGCATGATCTATGTGGAAACACGCGTGCCCCCGTGATTTCCGCAGGGAACCGTTGATCTGCCGCGAACCGTATTTCTTGTCCTGCCGGTCAGGCCGAATGAAGCAATAGTAAACTTGAATCTCGGCTTGAGGCTTCCAAGCATAGAAGCTTTCGCCAACTGGCTGAATACGAAAACCTAGGTGACTATGTGGGATATATAGTGCATGATCCACGTCGTTGGTTGAAATGTAGATAGCTCGTGTGGATGCAGACCGAATAGCCGGAATCTCTCTTGCTTTTAACTAAGGATCTTGCCGTTTACGTCTTGGCATCGGTGGCTGATATGATATAACAAGTACCTGTAAGTATAGGAAACCCCAGATGGAAGGGAAGCCAATCTACATTGAATACCCAGTGGCGTTCATAGTCTGGCAATTCGTAATATATATTCTCGGCCGTTAGTGAAGACGCTCCATGAAGGAAGCCACGGAAGAAGCAAAAACCCCACGATCCAATCAAAGTAAAAGATGTTAGAAGGGGGGCCAATAAATGTAAGGCAGCTAGCTATACGCCCAGCTTGTTATGATCAGTTTGCTACCCTGACAGCCTAAATGGGCAGCCACATAAGTTTTATGCGGAAGGCCGTTCGTCTGAATGTGAGAAGATGACTCCCGTGGCGAACAAGGTTGATTTTAGCCTTCATGAACATCAGACTGTTTCTTATTACCCATTGGCGCTAATCCGGTTTCGAATACTAGGTATAAGTCGGCGCCCGAGGAAGTTTAATTCTGGGGTTTTGGAGGGTTGGAGGTTGGTATGATGTGGAATTGCTTTTCCTTCCCTTTGCAACCATAATGTTCTCCTGGCAGGATGGAGTCACCGAATTATCCAATTGGCTTTTCTCAATGCCCGAAGAGAAGCAAGATCAAACTTCATGATTCGTCTGAACCTTGCCACACAGGTATTTTCTTTATCTCGCGTCGAAATACGCGTACTACCTGCAACCCACCTATGGTGAGAATGCAGTCATCAATAATGAAATTCATGTCACTATTCACCGATTTGGAAGAAGCCTAAATTCGGATATATGTGGAAATAGCAAGTAATGCTAACTATATCATTTCTTATTCCTGCCAACAAACACAGAACTGCGTTTGTTTGTCCTCCCCAAGCTATTTCATTTTATAGTATCGACGGCAATCCACGTCAATCCGCGTCGCCTAGGCAGGTATACGTAACTCCGAGTAGCCGTTGACTTGTCATTGTTCTCATCCAGCGCCAAAAACGCCAAAGTTTATCTTCATTAAACTGGCATCTCGAGTCCAGATATCCGGACCTCCCTTTCGGTCTAATTCAATAGTCTGCAGTATCTATCACTCGGCTTACCAAGTTAGGAAGAATTGTAGGCTGGTTTCGATTATAGACATTTGACCTACCTCTGGGATTCTTACCTGCTAGCCATGCTGCATTGACATCGCTCTCCATGCCGCTACCCGCGATCCCCTCCACCCCCGTATGGGATGTACATTAGGAGCCATGTACATAGTTACTTGTCTAACATCCATCCACAATGCCTATGCCCTGAGACACAATGTGATTTTATGTCCTAGTGTACTAGGTACAAAGTTCGAAGATACCTCTTAACTAAGGAATGCCTAGGCACCAAACAGGGAGGTATCTACAATACCTAATAATTTCCTCACGTTTAACTTTATGATAGTTTCTCTACTCTTCATCCACATATGCATTCTTCTATTTTGGAATCGTATCTGCCTTTTCGGCCGTACCTGTAACAAGATCCCCCACGAACTCTCTATGTGAGAACCGGAGTCTCGATCGTTCCCATGTCTCACCAGAATTCTTCACCCCAAAACTAACACTGGTCATGTTGATACCCTGAGTCCTATAGGCCGATCCTCTCACCACAGCCACCATTCTGTTCGGATAGCCTACCCCGAGTCATCTCCTCTCCATGTTGGTCTCTTAGACCTTCATCGAAGGATCGTACTTAGATACTCTAATTGGTCTGGCTGTTGTCTAACGTGAGTAGTATGCGAGCGACTACTGGTGTTTTCTAATAAGTCTCATTCAGACTACCAGCCAGCACCTATAATTCTTCACGGAATTATTCCTATCGATCCGAGCCTACGGTGAAGTCTACGTTATGAGACTCGTGGGGTGTCTCGGACGTCACGATGGGTACGATATCTCAATATCACGGTAGCTTGGTTGCCTTTGAGGGGCCCCAGGATACCGTCTCAACTCAACTTCGACTACTTCCAAGCTCACCAAACATCTTGATTATACCGCCACTTCGATATTTCTTGAAAGAAGAAAATCCCGAGGCTCCCTTCGACGCTAGGTCGCGAATCCTAGCAGTGCATAAAGCATGTCGTGATAGAGCTGAGATGGCGCATGCATTCTTGCGCGACTCTACACCGAGTAATAAGCGGCTAGTTTTCATGAATGGGGGCACGGCAAGTGCTCAAATGGAATGTGTATCCGACATCAGTGAATACATCACTGACGGAGATTTCACAAAAGCCGAACGTATATTTATTAAACTTGTCCGAAATGGGGTCGCAGGGTTATCTAAACGGCGTAAAGCGAGTCTGAATTTCAAGCCCTCCCAAATAGGGGTCACCAATCGACAGCTAAAAGGAAGAGATGGGGGGATAGCCAACGACCCAGTCTCTGAGGCTATGAGAGCTGCTGAGGCTCTTGATCTTCAAACCGCATTCTTGCAAACCAACACCGAAGTCGACCTCACGACTGGGAATCGGCCCCGGAGCTCAAGCACACCGATTTATCGAGTGGTCGATGACTACCAGAATTCAACCCCTTTTTATATCTTTGGGGCCCGAAAATGGCAGAGAAGAATCTCCTTTGATCCGGACTTACCTCAAACTCCTCGGCGGAGCCATACAACACAAGATCACCGAAAGAATACTCGGCGAACACTGCACCCGGTTGGATCTCGAGTAAACGAGCTAAGAAGTCAGCCGAACTCTCCATTTCAGGTAGGAGAGGAGCATCCAGGCAGGCTGTCGTCGCATGCGACCATTGACGTATCGAGCCCCCAGTCATTCAAGTTCGATTCGACGCCTAATACGCCAGCGATATGTGAAGCTCTTGTCGTTGATGTTCGACATTCGGTCTCGGCCGCCTCCCATAAGAAAACAAAGTCGGTAGACCGAATCTACTCCAGCGCTGTACGAAACCAAGACATTCTGCTATGTAGTTTCCCACAACCGCCGCGTTCGAGACCTACAAGTACGATAAACAGCCCGATATGTCAAGGAACGCCAGCCACGCCTTTACCACGATCACCACTATCTCCACGATCTCCGCGTCAAAAGTTCACAACCGATATCCCTAGGCCAACGTTCAGCACACCAAAACGATCCATGGTCAGGCGGAATCCTCCATCTCCGCTCAAACTGGACAAAGCACGACGACCACTGTCTTACGTCGATGTTGGTACAAGTACCACGAGCAGCTACGTAGATCGAGGCACAACTACTGAACCCGAGCCCGAGCTTACTATCCTCATATCTCCCGAGGCAAACATGGAGGACTCTTCATCCATCGATTTTAGTGACAGTTTTGAACTCGACCCCGATGTGCCTCATGAAACGGTTCTGCCAATGGTCGAAAATCTAGTAATACTTTTCAAGGCCGAGCAGCCGGATTCACGGCTAGAAGCGATGATTCAAGCTTTTAGAGAGGGTGAATACCCAATATCTACGTCGCCATACGAGGCAGCAGTTGAGAAGAACTCTGATCAATCCGGTAACTTGAACCCACGGAGCATTCCACTTGTTGACCGGAGACGAATAAGCTACGTCAAGCATGCTGAAGTATCACCAGCTTGTCATCTGGATCCAGACGAGTACGATCCCTTTGCGTATGGGAAGTACCCGTGTTCATCTCATGGCTTATCACCCAAGCATGATAGACATGCCCACAGACCTACCACACCACCGACCCCGGCCACAACCCCGCCATTAGCTACAAAGAAGCCACAGAAATGCTTCCACGATTTTACGACGACAAACTGTAGAACAGCTGTGGGCATGCAAAACTCGCTACGATCCATCTTGAACATCTACTTCCCACCAGAAGACGCAGGCTATCACCAGTTTAACTTCCCCTTGCTCCCAGAGCTCAGTAGTCTCTGGAAACCCGTATTCCGTGAAACAGACTCGGGGACTGTCATACACCGAAAACGAAAGGTCGATCTCATCGTCGCCATTGGAGCACAGCAAGGCGTTGACAAGGATTTTCTCGCCGCGATTAGTGGTTCCTTAGAAAAGCTCGGTACAAAGCCGAATGGTGTGACCCGGAGCGGAAGACTAGATTTGAGGTTAGTAGTCAATCGACTGGTGCGTATCATGTTACTAACCAGATTATAAAGATTTCTCATCGCAAGCGCTATGCAAGCTTTCACTTCACAGCCCCTGGCGAACCAAACTCAAGACAACCCCTTCACTAACCCGCTACTCTTGGCGACGTTAATTATACCTCATCTAGAGACGTATATGGCCGCTCATTCTGCAACTCGGTTTCTTTTGCTCGAATATCCCCCTGAACACTTGGCAACTGTTCTCTCGTTGCAACGATTAGTAGGCTCGGACCTCTTAAGAGTCGCAGGGATCCTACATTCCGAAGATATAGAACCAAAGCTAAACTCCGGGGTCAAAATCCCCACGCGGAGGAACACACATCTTCGCATGAATTCGAAGTCTAGAATGTCGACAATTAGTACAAGGACGGGCGCAACCCTCCACACTCCTATTGAAATGAAGCAAGAGGCGCCCTCATTCTCGAAGGCCAACTGGCTTCTTCCTTCGTCGGCTAGCGAGTCCGAGATCGCAACTCTGATCTCCACGATCTGGCAAATCCTTATTGATATTTCAACATTCTACATTCCGGACGGAGTAGCCCCTAGGGCCTCGACCCAGATCGACGGGGAGTTAAGGCGAGGCTCTAGGCGCGAATCTCGGGGCAAACCACTAGTCCAGACGCCCCTAATCAACCCAAATCAAGACTCCGCTCCTCTGTCTAACGCGGCCGCTATCATGGGCTTCCAGAAACAGGTAGCCGAAGCCTCGGCGCAATATGAGGCCACTCCACCCCTACCTCCTCCCAAACATAAACATCGAGCGGTAGAGTCAACGCGAGACGCGCCGCTCAAGTCGTCCAAGGGGTCCATATCAGAGACCATTAAGAGCAGCCGGACGATGAAGTCGATGAAGAGTCAGCGGAATAAGCTACGACATATGCTCGGGAGAGAAGCGGACGTGGACAACGCCTCCAATCGCGCAGATACGACGTCCGTATACCAGGACTACTGGGATGAGGAAGATGATTACTTCGCCGCCGAAGAACGCAAGTATATGCCCCTATACGGCAGGCAGAACGGCCCAAGGAAGGGCAATAGTCGGAAGGCGTTGAAGTGGCTGGGTCTCGCAACTTAGGTAGAGAACCCTGCTCTCGTGGGGATACCTACTGGCTAGGTACTCCCATGCAATTTTTCTTATCTTGATTTTCCTTTTCTATATTTTCAACGTCGACCCTCGCGACACACTCCCGGGTTGAAAGTGTTATCATATAGGTATTTTATTATCTCGATCTTATTCTGTAACATAGTCATTCGTGTACTTCAATGGTGTGTAAGAAGGGGTTTCTCATGTACATCCAGAAGGAGACAGGATCTCCGACTGACGATGATGATTCGATTGAGAAGGAATTACGATTTGGATATCTGCCGGGTACAAGCCCTTGTTCCTTTGTATGTGTTTTCTTGAAGCTAAAAAGGCATAAGAGCATAGCTTTAGCTGAGGTCTTGTCAATCGTGATGACTTAAACTCGTGGCTCTCTAATACCTAGCTTAAGATTCTAAGCAACTTTGAGACTACCCTGAGAGAAATTTATACATCCAAGGTTTATGATGATCATTTGATAAGTGATATTATGTAGAATAGTAAATATGATACAAAGGATATGGCAAGGAGAAGAATCTGATCTAAGGGAATAGACTATATGCAGACTTCGGGGATCTACATAAGCGAAACTCCCCGCTATAATTATCTCACGTCCCACCACTTACTCATCTCACTTCACTTAGAAAATAAACTCACTCAAGCATAATCGCAAATCAGATAACTCCGAGGTCAACACCATTCGCCGCCTCACTGTTATCTATCTCATATATCATAGCATTGTTCTGTTTTCTAACGTTACCAGTGAAATGAAGAAACCAGACGCTATCCAGGAGTTATAGCCTGTTCTTTAGCCTCGGTAGTTATTGAGAGGCGCGGGAGTGGCCCGCAATCCTACATATTACTTCCGCACATCACCTTTGCCATAGACACCTTCGTATATCTACCTAGGTATACCCAAACTACACATTATGGCAACGACGCAACTCAAACCAAACAGTCCGCGATTCTCTCTAAAATTCCGCGTCGTAAGCGATGGCCTCGAAAGCGCCAAGGCGCAGGCCCTCAACCGAGCCGGCGTCCACGCCCACGGCGGCTCATTCCCACTTTTCCCAAACCTACCCCCGGAACTACGCCTCAAGATATGGGAGTATCTCATCGCGCCGCGCATCGTAGCCATCGCCTGTCTAGACGCCGAAGCGCCCCCGCCGTCCGAAGAGCCAGAGGAGCCATGGACCAGCTTCCCGTCGCTCTCCCAATCCCCTACCGACCCCCCTCCGGCCACTATCCCCGTCCTCCTGCTCATAAACCGGGAGACGCGGAGCCTAGCCCTAAAACACTACGAGCCGGCATTTAGCTGGAAAGTGCCACACGTGCTCCTCTCGAGCACGCACTCCATCACGCCCTTCCAACCCTTCACGTCACCCCCCTCCCTCTCCTCCCCTTCCCCCTCCTCTTCCTCACGCTTACCCCATTCTTCCTCATCCTCCAACCCGAACCCCAATCCGAACTCCAGCCCGGGATCCACCTGGTCGCCCCCCAGCGCCTGGTTCAACTTCGCCCTCGACGCGGTGTATCTGTTGGGCGAGCTGGAGCCGTGCGACAGCTTCGGGTTCAACAGCCCGACGGCGTACTTCCTGTCGCGCGAGGAGGCGCTGCGGGTGCGCCGCCTCGCGGTCGCGTTCGCGGCCCTGGGGTACGGCGAGAGCGGGCCGCAGCACATCTTCGGGGCGCTTTTTCACGTCGTGGACCGGTTCGCGGGCGTTGTATCCGGCGACGGTGGGGGTGGGGGGAAGGTGTTGGTTGCTGTGGCGCCGAGGGATGAGCTTACGCATGCGCTTGTTGGGGGGGAGGGGGTGTTGGTTAGGGATGGGGATGGGGATGGGGATGGGAGGAGGGGAGAGGAGGTTAATGTCGTGCAGAAGATTTGGCGGGACTGGTATAGGGGCTCGATAGTCACGTCGTCGTTGGCAAATGTGCAGTTTGAGTTGGTGAGGGAGCCGGATTTGCCAGAGCATATCGCGAAGCCGATCAGACCTGTTAGAAGCGATTTATAGGTAGACATAGCATTTGCTAGACGAATGATCGCGAGTAAATTTACTTAGAGCTGGTTCAAAATGGTTTACTGATTTACATCGTCTATATACACTGCCCTCCTTTTAGGTTGAGTGGTGACTGGCTCATGCCAGGACGATATTTAATACTACATATGTACATCGCAGGCTTCAACGACTCTAAGACAAGCTTCCTCGGGATTTTGGGTCATCAAACTCCCGTGTATTACCGCCGTGATCGTAATCTATCGTGCGTTTTTTCTGTCCTTACCAACAATACTGCATAACGCGGGGGCGCCGCTATCTGATCGCCCCTTAATGCCGCCTAGGAGCCAATCCGTCAAGCCGACGACCCTGGCGCCCAAGCCCCTTTCCCAATCTCCATGCTCGTCTACATGTTCGATCGTATGGCTTATGACTCGCGCATCCTTATCGAACTCGAAGATGAATAGGCCGGTGAATGCCATCTTTTCTCCGACGCTCTGGGTTCCCCTGAGGGTGTCGTCGAGCTTGTGTTCGCCATCTTCTTTGATGGTAAGGGCGGCGTCTTTGGGCTTGCTATCGGCCGTCCTCCATTTGACGACTAGCTGTTCCCCGTACGCTTCGGATCGCTTGGGGGAGGAGTAATACGGTTGGCTGACCATCCGTTCCGACAGGATTTCGAGCTTCACGTTACCGATTATAGGCACTCGGTTCCAGGCTAATGGGGAGGTCCATAATGCTGCTATATATGCAACTCTACCCGATACCGTGGGCAGGTATGGATGTGTCGAGGGAAATAGGTGGAGAGAGATATGAGGGGATAGTATCTCTTGCGGTAGCGGAGATTGTAATAGGGTAGGAAGTCGTTCTTGGAGGATGCGCAGAGCTAGAAGCAGTTAGTCTAATGATCACATATTGAAGCCACAGGGAGAAAGCTGACTTTTTCCTAATTTCACCTTCCGTTCATCGCTAGGATTCCCCCCACTTGGAGACGGGAGATTGTAGTTCGGAAATGAGGAATTGAACCATATCGGAGATAATTCCTGATGTGATGATAAGTTTAAACAGGCGGCGGAAGGCCTCGATGCTATCGTCGGCGTTGTGGCGCACACAGAAGATGCGGATGCAGCATACACAACAGGTGGGAGTATGCGCAAGTTAGCTTTGCTCAAGGCGTTTGACTGCGTTCGAACGACGCTGGTTGATAGGGACATGTGTCCGGGGCCTCGATGGCGGGGTTAGGAGGGTTGAAGATTCATTAATTCGATCTAGGCTGGTTCTTGCGAGCTTGCGGTTGATTCGCAAAGGGTCGGGTGCGAATATGAGGGTATGAGGAAATACATAATAGGTAGAAGATTTGGTATGATGTAAGTGAAGCTTCTTTGGGGATGAATTTTTATGTAGGCCCTGGTACGGTAGTACGGTAGTACCGATATGCTGAAAATAGCGGGGTTCCACTAAACCTGTGCCGAAGACGTGGGAGACAGGGGGTCCACACTGTCCTCCTCATTCTTCTCAGCCCGGAACCCACCGACCTGTTACTTAATTCAGCTGATGTCTCTGATCATTATTTTCTAAATGCAGGTCTATCTCTTCCTCGGCTGACTATCTGCGAAGAAAAAATCCATTAAGTACTGTTGGCGTCTTGGTACAATGATCTACCTAAGTCTGCTAGGTATAACATTCTAGAAGATCGTTTCGGAGGGCTGATAATAATGACGACGAGTTCATTGGTAGCACGGAACCGGATCTTGCCGGTCATCTCTATCATAATTCCGGGATTCTTTATTTTCCTCTTTACTACCTAGGTATTTTATGCATAAACTGCATAACTGACTACCATATACCTGATACTATGAATGTGCTGTTAAGTTACACATCCAAGTGTTCATTTTATAGTGGTTGAGATATTCTTTGTTAGGATGCATGTAGAGGTAGAAACATTTGAAGAAGATGGAAGAATAGAAACATTAGTTAGGGGTCGGCTGAAAATGTTGTCACTTGCCAATCATTCATTGTGCACTTGTCAAGTCTATTCCACTGGTTATTGCCTTGAAACAGACTAAGGTGCCGATGACGCTTGGTACGTGAATGTATCCTAGGTACCTCTTAAAGCTTGCGCCTCGTGATTAGGTCGGCTGGCTAGACCGACTTACGTTAGCAGCTGGCATGTCAAACCCCAGCGGCTAGAAGCTGCTACCATGGCCTGTGCACTGTGAACCTTGGAAACATTGAAGTCGCTACTATGTACCTAGGTACATTAGATACGGTGAGCACCTGTGGCTGCCGCCTGCGGCTTGTCTTAATTCTCTTTCTACATCTACCAAACTAAACTACCAGAACTACTTACTACCCATTTAACGCCAACGACGCATCCTTCCTTTTACATCATCTCAAGTCCTGATCTATTTCGCAACCTCGCAACCATCTTCGTTCATCTTCATCTATTCAACTCTAGCCTAAGCCTGTCTACTTACCTCTCCTCGCTTATCAGCGACCGCTTGTTCCGAGTCTATTGTTTGTTGTCTTCTTGAGGCAGCGCATTCACTTCCGCCAAGATGAATCCTGAGTAGTACGTTTCCCCCTACACCCCTTCACCGTGTCGCCTGGCGACAACAACTTCGAAGACGGTACTGACAGCATGACTTTAGTGTGCAACCCTCCCCTGACTCATTTCCTAGCAACCAGCAACTATCCTTTGATATGCATTACCCACGGACCTTGATCAATAATCCAAAACCCATATCTGGAGCACTTCAAACATCTCAGCATCCTCGATAAATATGGCATACTACCATAATCCACAAGTCCATGGCCTTCAACCAGCCAACCAAGCCAAGCTTGATCAAGTCTTGCATGCTCCTGCACCCCGACTAACTCGCCGCCCTCGCAGATACGATTATCTCTTTAAGCTCCTCCTCATCGGTGATTCCGGTGTTGGAAAGTCTTGCCTTCTGTTGCGATTTGCCGACGATACCTACACCGAGTCGTACATCTCGACCATCGGTGTTGACTTTGTACGTCGACTCTCAAAAGATGACATCATTGTCTTAGTGCTAACTATATATAGAAAATCCGAACTATCGAGCTTGACAGCAAGACTGTGAAGCTACAGATCGTAAGAGCAGCCTCAGCCTCGTGATTTTCTCTACTTCTGCTAACTGTGATGTAGTGGGATACCGCTGGTCAAGAGCGATTCCGAACCATCACCTCGTCCTACTACCGAGGCGCTCACGGTATCTGCGTCGTCTACGATGTCACCGACATGGACAGCTTCAACAACGTCAAGCAGTGGCTGCAAGAGATCGACCGATACGCTACCGAGGGTGTTAACAAGCTACTCGTAGGTAACAAGAGCGATATGTCGGACAAGAAGGTTGTCGAGTACACCGTTGCCAAGGTACGTAATCATACACCACACTAATCCCACAGCCTTGTCAGGTGGTCGTCTTTGGACTGAGTAATCAAACTATATATCACGTACTAACCGAGCCTATAGGAATTCGCCGACAGCCTCGGTATTCCATTCCTCGAGACCTCGGCCAAGAACGCTTCCAACGTCGAGCAAGCTTTCTTGACCATGGCCCGACAGATCAAGGAGAGAATGGGATCTCAGGCCACCACAAACACCAAGCCTGGTGTTCAAGTCGGTCCCGGACACAGCGTGTCTAGCGGAAACAGCGGTGGCTGCTGCTAGAGCGGCAAATTATGATACCCTCGTACAATCAGCAATCCTCACATGCACTTTTGATTTCCGATTTCCTGGGACGGACTGGCAGTAAAGGCATGATGCATATGGTCAGGATGGCAAGGAGGCGGGATGTGTTAACTTTTCGCTTTTGACTGCGGATAGATAAATATTCACTTCACTTGGATCCTAACCTAAGCGCCGAGATTGCTCTCCAGGTTCTTCCATCCCTCAGGAAAACCCTTACGAATTATAGCATGTGTGTGAGAGAGAGCGGGTTCACCTAATGGTTCGGGGAGGGCGGCTTAACAGCAGCAGGCAGCCTTCTTCTGGTCAAGTTACGTACTAATGCGATATTTCTCTCATGACTACTCGGGCGAAGCCTGTTTGTACTAGAATCTATGTGCGGTTGCTTCTTTAGAAACCTATGGCATTTTCCTGCGGGTGGAGAGAATGAAAGAAAGAAATGAGTTTTACGTTTTGTGTGTATTTTCCATGACCGGCTGGGGAGGAATCGAGAGAATGATGGATAGTGGAGAGTTATTTCGACATATCATCACGACTATGGTCATTCACTCTCGTTTTTCCTCTCTACGGTGTAACGCGTTCTTTGCTTGCCAATCAAGGGGGTACTTAATCATACAGACTTGTGCGTAGAATCTAGGATATATCTATCAATGATTTTAGACTTGTGCTTCTTGATGTAGTGTCGTCTGATCGTTCGGTGCCTGGGTAAATTTTGTAAGAAACATATCAGGGGTAATTATGGCTGCTACGGGTATCTAGTCTGCCTTAACCGTGACATCATATATGCATGAATACAATATTTGACGGTACCTATATTAGGTAGGTAAAGGAATATGGGTCCTGCAGTACATGTTCTATTTACATCGTCTTCTATCTTCAACGATAAATCTATTCATTGTATAAAACAAATACATTGATAGCCTAGTTGACTGTGCCACTGGTCTATATGTCGTGGCGACGACAAGGTAGGAGAACGAGTGGAACGAGGTAGGCTATTTTGAAGGTTTCCAATGCAGATAAATCATATTGCAAAAATATCCTGTGATTGAACGATTCAATATGCTATGAGGTAAAGCTGCTGGTGATTTGCACGGATTATCGTTTGGTTGACATTGAAAAATGGATAGGACTTTCGGTATGGTGGGCGGCGTTGACAGTGTGCATCACGATGAGGGTGGGAAAAAGGCAAAAAGAACGAAAGCTACCAATCGTCCTCAGGGCCCAGACTCAGGTATTTGGCTCCTGAGCTACTGCGCCTCCAGCTATCTTGGATATTTCTTTGCGACTACCTTTTCAGGCCCTGGTTCTCCCAGGAATCGAACCCTAGAACTCCCATTTCAGGGAGGCATTTTCGGGTAAGTGTCGTGTCTGAGGCATCAACCAAACCGACCACTTGGTGATTTGAGCTGGTGAGCCGCCGAATTCGTTGGAAGTTAGGCATCATCTCACAGTATATAAGTTTAACTTCGGAGCTGCACTGTCGCCTTGACCACCTGACGCGACTGACGCGACTGACGCGTCGTCCTGATAATAGCCGTTGTACGATATATGTCCATTGTGATCATGAGTCACAGGTAAATCTATCTTAACGTACTTGCCCGCACCCAACACTCCTCTTATAATTGTATAACAAGATAAACGCCTTGGCTCTTAGGGTATCATAAATCGAAAATGTCCCCAAATATTCCAGTGTAGCAACAGATTCTCAACAAAGTGTCCAAGTTGCTCCGAGTCTAATCAAAGCGGTCCCGATACCTAAGAGGCTCTGTACTGCTCCTCTCCTCCATTTCTAAACTGACGTTTTCTTCCGGATGGGCCTTCCCCTTTACAAGGGCGAGTAGATAGCTTCCGTGGGTTAAGTGATGGCCAGATTCTTCAGCGTTGTCCTCCTTGGAAATGGTGACATTGCCTAAGCATAATGAAGCAAGGATACACTGTTTCATGAGTTAACTTTGCGAGCTGATGGAAGGCTGAACAGCAGTAGTACTCACGATGACCATGAAAGGGGTCAATGAGACGAAAGCCCAGGTGATACCGTTCTTTGCGACAGTTAGCCGATCTGAACCATGAATATGGGTAGGGGTAATGGCAACGAGAATTTACCTTAACGCCATCGACGATCCGGAGCTTGACTTCATCCGGAAGGGTCTTCAGAGCATCATAGTTTTTCGAAATAGGAGAATCGCGTGTTAGGCCCGACGTGTTGTTGAATACGGCAGACATGACCGTGAGAGCCAAAGTACCACCGAATGTCGTAGCTACACCCATTAAGGAAATCACAGTAGCAATGTGATTGGGGAAGAATCCGACGGCATGGAGGGTGCCAGGAATGAATCGCAAGCCCGTACCTGCGCCGGTAAGCGCCATCATCCCGTAGATTGTGGCGGTGTTCTCGAAATACAGAGCCCATGCCATCATGCCGACACCAACTGCTTCAATGACGGATCCAAGAAATAGGGGCAAGAATGTCTGGCGAGGCCAAATATTGCAGAAGATCATCGAGAGATATATACCAACTATGTATGTTAGCTATAATGTGCATAGTAGAGGCCTGATTGTACTAACCTCCAAGTCCAGGGGTATAGAATAATATCTGGACGCCGGCCTTGTCGGAAAGGAACCCCTAAAGAGTTGTTAATGACCTGACTATACACAGCTGTCCTGTCTGGAGAATGGCAATACCTTGACTATCGTAAAGTAAATGTCGACGAAATAGAGGACACTGTACATAGCCATCCCCGTAGCAAAGTTGATGTAGCACAGAAGGCTCACATTGCGATTCTTTACCACATTCCATGGCAACATCGGCCTTTGAAAAGACAACTTATGGGACAACGCGCCCACCGACATTGAGTGCTCATAATACAACCAAGCGCACGCCAGCAGCACACCAAACATAAGGGGAACGAGCACAGCAGCATCACTCCAATCGTATGTCGCACCCGCCCAAGTCAAAGCCAGGATTATCAGTCCGAACCCAAATAGGAACAATAGCTGGCCACCAAAATCGATCGTCGCTATACGTCTAGCAAGCCGCTCCCTGCGGCCAGCCTCCGACTCATTGAGTTCAGGGATAGGCTGGGGGCCCAACAAATCCTTCCTCAGGAAAAAGAAGACGATCAAGACGCCGAGGAACGCGATGGGCAAGTTGATGCCGAAACACCAGCGCCAGTTCGCCGCGGTCAGGTACCCGCCGATGACGGGGCCGACGCCGTAGCATATGCCGCTCGTGAAGGCGAACAGAGTCCAGTTCTTGGCGTTTTCCTTGAGCGAGACCTTGTCGGCCATGATGGCGCGGATGACGGTGTTGAGACCGGCGCAGGCGACCCCTTGCAGGGCGCGGCCGAGCAGGAAGGCGCCGAAGGCGGTGACGGGGACGAAGGTGCAGAGCGCGCTGCCGGTGAGCATGGTGAGCGAGCAGAGTTGCAGGGCTAAGTGCCGCCAGAATATGTCGGCCATTTGCGCCCAGAAGGGGATGAAGGCTGCGGAGGTCAGGTTGAAGGCGGATATGATCCAGTTTAGTTGGGCGATTTCGCCTGGGGGTGTGTTAGTCTGTATGTTCATGAATGGGTAAGTTATTGGATAGGGGGTATAGAAGAGATAGGGGTTCGTACCAAAATCGGCAGCAATCCACGGTAAAGCACTGGCAATACTATTGCACATGTTAGCCTCCTAATGATATATAAAATAGAGAGGTATCTCATACATTGTAACGTCGAGCGCTTGGAGAGCGTAGGGGAGAATCAAACATAAGATAAGCTTCCATCGGTACTTGTTGGCTGCTTTCTCCTCAGCCTTGCACTCAGGACAGTGCTTACTCCTATAAAACGGATCGGTAGGCTCGCCGGCGGTGATGGTAGTCGTGACATTTATTTGGGTAGCTTCTACTCGTTCTTGTCGTAACTTGTTCCTCTCGTGTATACATAGCCTCGTCTGTCTAGAAGCCCTTTTGGCCGCTATATCAATCAACATTTTGGTTAACCACAGCTATACAAGTTCACAAACATGTGTCGTATAACCTATAGATCCACTATAGTCTTATAAAGTGGCTTTAATTAGAAAGCATTTATTATACTATGGAGGGTACCTAACACAGCGAAGTGACCGGATTGTCATATATATCTAAGCTGTAGTTATTAAATCTGAGTCGACGCCGATTTGGGCCCCGGAAGAGTTGCCGAGGACGAGCTGTACATTGTGGGTATGATGCATTGATGGAGGCCATTCCCGCTTGTTTTGAAACCAATGCGATGCCTTTGGAGGCTGAAGGCATCTAGTGCCTTTGAGTAATCAGTGATGCCAATGGCTAGATTGCTATAGTAGAGTTGATCCTTAGCTAACAATGGTACCCTGCGCCTCCTTTGCAGGTGGGTGTGAGTGCCCAACGGCATTGAATGAAGAAGTATAAGCGAGTGCGAGGAACATTCGAAGACGATTCGTTTGAAACAACTTTGAAGGAGAATTCCAGAAGCTCGAGCCTCACCTTAAAATCCTACACAGGCAATAATACCCGCTTTATACGTTTAATGGTGGATGTGGCTGATGTAATGATAAACCTAATAGGCTTATGCTGCATAGTACCCAGGTAGTACTTAACATAGCCCCAAACTTGAGGAAGCTACTACCAAACTCTTAAGGTTCTTAGGGCTGTTTCGATTTGTCTCTTTTGGAACTCTCGCATTCGCTTTTAGCACTTATCAATTTGCAACTTTCAAACTTGGTGCTCCAGGGAGGGGATATGTCCGTCATGCTATAAATGCAGTCATCAAGACGCAGGTAGCTAAAGAGTTGCAACGAACATACGTATTTCGGTCTTATTTCATTAGTTGGCTGCCTCACTTGGACCAACTGTTTCTGCGAAACACTTAAGCCACCGGATTATCTTCATGCGCTATCACAGGATGGATTCTCAACTTACGATTGTCAACTTCTATGCATCTTCGAAGCAGTTCTTCGAAGACTCTTTAGGATGTTTCAAATAGAAACTTATCCGCGGCAACACATCATTTACCTCGGCTTCTTGTACAATATGGAAGTTGGGTGTTTCCTTGGACACTAGATCATCTGAGCGATGATTTCATCAAGTGATGGATAACTCAAGCCACCATATCTCACCACCTTGACTCTTCCGGTCAGAAGTTATTCCATTTGGACCGGGGCTTCAACAGAATATCTAGGTAAACCGGAATAACCTAGCTTCCGTCTTATGTCGAGTTCGTATAGTGTGAACCTCGAGCTACCAACCAGCAGCGAGCCAACACACCTGACTAATGGACTAAGACGTCCGCTAGATAGCTAGCCGCACAGCACCGAAACAATGGAACGGTTTGTCGAGGTCCCACATAGATTCTCGCTACCCCGCGATTGGGAATTATATCATTCGATAGCTCTGGCGCATCATTTCGGATGGTAGAACGGCTAAGTCTTTCATCCATTGGTGACTACCGCGTCACTTAACAGTCTTAACCTAGCCTCCCATCTATGTATCGACTAGCATAGGGAGAGCCTCTTTATTTTAGGAGCCGGACACTAACATTAAGTGCGAGGATCGCCGTGGCAGTGTCGTCCGCTTGTCCGGCGACTCAGCGATTAAGATTTCCGGTAACAACGGAACCCCCGTCTTGAAAGAACTTTCGCCCGAAGGTGAAGGACGGTTAAGTATTCGGAACGAGGCGCGAATAAAAGCCATTGCTATCCGAAAGCTTCTTGTCCTCGGGTATATGATGTGACCTTCCATTTCACTCCTGAGGTCGCGTACGAAGTCAGTCTTACAATGACAAAAAGAATATCCGAACATTCCGTTATCAACACCGATTTTGCGGTTTCACGTGTTTTTTTCTTAACCAGCAGCGCGGATTTACATCGTCATTTATTCGTTCTCGACATAGACCAATAACACAAGGGCCTTTACAGTAGGGCCCATCAGATCCATTGGATCCGTTCTCGAACATCTGCAGGTCTAAAACCAAAACAGGTTGTTACTTTAAAGATTCCGGGGGTCACAGCAAACCACAGGCAAACCATAGCGAAGCCATAGCGCTATCCACATCGAAACTCCACCTTTCTCTTTTCGGATACCCCAAGATACAGGACTGCATCATCAGCTGGGGTCACATTGGTCACGTTCTTCCAGCTCTATGCCCGTAGTATATTATATCAATATACACCTCGCTACTCTAAACGGAGTGTCCTCTGTCGCTTTGCCGATGAGCATACTGGATCATCCATCATAATCTTCGAATCGCAGCCAACGACGAACATTGCACAAATTTTCCTGAACAAGAGAAATCCATCAATTTCTTTCGGGCAACGGTAGGCTTGTACTTCTTTTTGTACCTTTAAGTGGATTGCTGTAGTGCCACTACGATCCCGATCCCACGAGAACTACGAGGCGCCTTTCCCCCGACTGCCCAACCAGAATCCATCCACTTGTCCGAAATCTACCCCACGACCTAGAATCGTCGCCTGAATTTCCTACTCACGACTTTGCAACCAAGCCTTAACCCCGTGGGGTTGGTAACTTTAGTCGCCATTGCGACAGCTAAGTAACCTTGGTGGGTTCTCCTCGAATTATGTACTTTCTTTATCGTATTCCATGTTCCATGTCTGACCTCATCCCTTGCCTACCCCTGTCTAGCCCTTTGCGCCATCGCTGCCACCCTTCGATGTAATCTCTCATGACTCTCTGGTAGACATAGGTACTAATACAATTCTATAGAAAACGTCCTGTGACAGGTTACAGATTTTGTCATCGTTCAGACTATTTGATTAATCGGAATCTGCGACATATATCGCACTGTGGTAGCTGACAGAACTCGTTCGGGTTGGCCGTTGGCTGAGACCTGCTGCCCTGGTTGGAGGTATGTGAGATTCCGCTTCGTCTCTAGTACCTTTACCCAGTCTTGCCCAGTCTTCTCGGCAGATCGCCATGTTTCTACATTCATATTATATATCGTCGGTCTTGCGGATGAGTTTTTAGTTTACTTCACTACGCAATGGCCAATCACGTTGCTTTTCTGTGACATTATGCAAAGGATGGTACCCCAATCTGGTAGTACCCTACCTACATGTGATAGTCTATGCACTTGGGTCGACATGGCAGGTCTCCGATTCCCTTGCCATAGATCCACTTCCTCGTGTGTCGACTTGGGCAGTCTTCTCATTCTCGGCTTCCGGGATGATTTATATATTCTCTCTCTCTCTTCTATATTCTTCTATAGTTTCCTTAAGATGCGATTTCATTCCCATTCCTGTCATGGTTTAACTCAAGTGTGATGCCACCCTACTGTCTCCAAGATTGCCACTACTTCTACCGCACAGCTTTGCGCGGCCTTAGTATCAGCACTTCCGTTTCACCATTATACACTTGATACGCCCGAATTTGACTAATAAGATGCCTACTCAAGTCCGTATTTTTGCTATGCCAAAGTCTCTTGGCGAGACCCTCAGTGCCAGCACGTCAACAACACCCACGTCTTTCCCTACACAAGAATACAAGGCCGAAAGACCGGTGAGCCCTGAGCTCAAAAATCGCCTTCCCATAATGGAGACTATACCAGAGAGGCCCAAGGCCGGGGGAATCACGTTTGCTAGCCAAGATAGTTTACCTAAACTACCCATACCTGAGCTAGAACATACGTGCAAGAAATATCTAGCAGCCTTGAAACCACTACAGGGGCCAAGAGAGCATGCCGAAACGAAGCTTGCTGTTCAAGAGTTCCTGAAGAAGGATGGGCCTGAACTTCAAAAGAAGTTACAAGAATATGCTGCTGGAAAGACAAGCTATATTGAACAATTCTGTATGTATCGTTCTTCTGCATGATCAATGCGTTGGCTTACCTAACTACATATAGGGTACGACTCGTACTTGAATTTCGATAACCCTGTCGTTTTAAACCTGAATCCCTTCTTTCTATTAGAAGATGACCCTACTCCGGCAAGAAATAACCAGGTTACCCGCGCGGCATCTCTTGTTGCGTCAGCTCTGGAATTCGTTCGTGCAGTGCGCCGAGAAGAATTGCCTCCCGATACGGTTAAGGGTGCGCCTTTAGATATGTATCAATACTCTCGTCTCTTTGGCACTGCTCGGGTACCGACAGAGAATGGTTGTCAAATCGAGCAGGATCCCGAGTCTAAACACATCGTTGTGCTATGCCATGGTCAATTCTATTGGTTTGACGTCCTCGACGATAACTCCGATCTTATTATGAGCGAAAAGGACATATCTATAAACCTTCAGACAATAATAGACGATGCGGCTCAAACACCGATCCAGGAGGCCGCCAAGGGAGCCTTTGGCATTCTTAGTACAGAGAACCGAAAGATTTGGTCCGGCCTGAGAGACGTTCTTACTAAGGAGGAGGGATCAAACAATGCGGACTGCCTCGGAATTGTTGACTCGGCCTTGTTCGTGCTGTGCCTCGATTATACAGAACCGGCTACGTCAGCTGCCCTATGTCAAAACATGCTTTGCGGTACGAATGACGTGGTGAAGGGGGTACAGATTGGTACTTGCATAAATCGGTGGTACGATAAACTTCAAATCATCGTCTGCAAGAACGGAAGCGCGGGTATCAATTTCGAGCATACCGGTGTCGATGGACACACCGTGCTACGATTTGCTAGTGATCTCTATACAGACACTATATTACGCTTTGCAAGAACCATCAACGGTCAAGCTCCTAGTCTGTGGAAGACGACGAGTCCAGATCCATCAAAACGTGATCCTGAGAGCTTTGGGGACGTCACCACAACCCCTCATAAGTTAGAGTGGGATATATCTCCTGAGCTTAACATTGCCATACGGTTCGCCGAATCTAGACTTGCAGACCTTATCAGCCAGAATGAGTTCGAATGCTTGGATTTCAGCGGCTATGGGAAGAACTACATTACTTCCGCAGGGTTTTCACCAGATGCATTTGTGCAGATGGCTTTCCAAGCAGCTTATTATGGACTATATGGGCGAGTTGAATGTACTTACGAACCAGCCATGACGAAGACTTTCCTCCACGGTAGAACTGAGGCTGTACGAACTGTATCAGAAGAATCTGTGAATTTTGTCCAAACTTTCTGGGCGGATAACCCGGCGGAGGTGAAGGCAGATGCTCTCCGTAGGGCGTGCCAGCAACATGTCAACGTCACCAAGGAATGTTCTAAAGGACGAGGCTGCGATCGACACCTCTATGCCCTGTTCTGCGTGTGGCAGAGGTATCTAGATGAGGAGAGCAACCGCTCACCCAGCAGCATGGGATATTCAAGCCCGGTCGAGAACGGCTCAAATGGTTACGGCTCGGACCAAGGCTCCGTTGTCGGCAGCCCTAGCAGGGAATCGGTGTCATCAGGCGAGGGACGAACGCGCCAACGCGGCGACAGCACGAACTCGCGATGCTACGACAATCAAGTACCCGCCATATTTGCGGACAATGGATGGGACAAACTAAACCACACGATCCTTTCAACATCCAACTGCGGAAATCCCTCCCTCCGCCAATTCGGCTTTGGACCTACCTCCGGCGGCGGGTTCGGAATCGGATACATCATCAAGGACGAGGGCATAAATATTTGCGTATCTAGTAAACACAGACAGACGAAGCGCTTCGTGGATACACTCGAGAGCTACCTACTAGAGATTCGAAGGATCTTGCGCATCACGAACCGGAAGACCACGAGCTCGAGGCAGACGAGGGCGAGAGAGATCGATCCAGAACGCCCGAGACCGCACCATCATAGGGCTAAGACGAGGGGACGCATGATTACGGGTACGGATAGCTTGAGGGCAATGGCGGCGAGGTCAAGCACGGGGACGAGGAGCCCGACGGAGGAGAGTTTGATGATGAGCGAGGATGACGAGTTAGGTGGTTGTAAGTCTTTCTGCTTTTTTACAATATATTGCACAACGTCGCCTTTAATTAATACTAACTATACCTACAGACGGCTTCTTCGACGCAGGCATGCTCCTCCAGGCCCTGAAGGCGCGGGGCGAAGCACTCGAACAGCAAGGCGAGGCGAAAGCTTCGGAGAGGGCGGCGGCGAATGCGAGGAGGCGGGAGATAGGGAAGAAATTGAGGTTGGTCGAGTATTGACTCTTATGAAGATCTACGACGCAACGTCTTTGCTTATACCCAAGCGAAAAACCGGGGGAAGGGCGACAAGCAGCACTGTAGGAGAGCGTGTGTCCAAGGACTGTGATTCGGTATATGTTTTATATAGCGTGATTGTGTACGGTGTTCTTATAGTGTATGGGTCTATCGATCGAATGCTTATGTATTTTACAAACCTGCTTATTTCGGACCAACTTATTATCATGATTATTCGGATTCTAGGGACATTGTTACTCAAGCTTACTCAAAACGTACCTGCTATTACTATCACATTTTCAACATTATATTTAGCGATGATTGACTTATGATTTTACTTTATTCTTCCACTCTAAGTAGTACCCATGGCTATGTAAGTTATATATAAAACTCCGCAATGCAATGCCGCGTGCTCCCAATTACCTAATATGAAGATATATGAGACTCGGTACCTATGTATTACATCCCCCGGTAACCCAACCATATCTTATGTAGCCAGCCACCCCCTGACCTCAACCCAACTCATGGAACTGACCATGATGATTCGCATTATAATCCCGCTCACCGACCACATTCCCACCAGCCTCGTGCACGGTAGGCGGCACATTAGGCTGCTGCTGCTGTTGTTGTTGCATCGGGTATCCTCCTGCCATATTAACGCCGTTCTGGCCCTGCTGGTGTTGCCAGTTCGAGTTGATCGTCGACGTCGGGCTCGTGGGCGGCGGCTGCATGCTTCCCGGCCGGTTGACGCTGTCGAGCTGCGACACGGGGCTCGTTGAGCTGTTCCGATCCGGCGCCTCGGCGGCCACCGCGACGAAGCCGCCCGGCTTGGTCGGGTCCGGGTAGTACGCGGTCTGCGGGCCGAAACTCGCCGGCGGCGAGCCCGGCTGCGACGGGTATTGCTGGCTGTAGTGTGCGTTGTACGGTTGCTGGGCGGGTGCTCCGGGGGGTCCTTGCTGCATTTGCGGTGTGGTGGCTGCGGCGGCTGCTGCTGCTGCTGCGGCCTTCTTCTTTTGGCTTTGGTGACGGATGAGGAAGAATATGCCGAGTCCGATTAGCGCGAGACCTGCGACACCTCCGACGACGCCGCCGACGATGGCGCCAACGGGTGTGGATTTGGAGGATTTAGAAGAAGAGTTGCCCGAATTCGATGAGTTTGATGACGAGCTGTCATCGTTGTCCGACGAGGCGGTGCTCGTGCCGGTTGAGCCCGCGGCGGCCTCAGTTTCGGAAGAAGCGCGTGTCGTGCTCGAGTCGTCGTCGTCGTCTAGCGTAACGACGACCGGAGTAAATGTCCGTCCGGTCTCGCCGCTGTAGGTAGTGTACAGCTGCTGCGGCGTCGAGGCGCTATCTGTATCGCAGAAGAAGTCTGAGATGCCCGAGAATAAGGTCACTGTGCCGCAGTACGGCGCGCTGGCGTGCGTGCTGGAGAGCTGTGAGTTCTATGTTCTTTGTTGCTAAGCAAGATCTATTGTTACTCACCATTTAGCTGTATAGGTATCTGAAACACAGTCTTCGTCACACGCGCTTGAATATACGAAATCTATATAATCAACACATGTGACTCGGAGACCGCAGTCGCTGCCGTCGCAGCAAGCGATGGCGCCAACTGTTGATGTGGTGACGAGGGCGCATGTGTAGTCCAAGCCGTTACAAGTATACGCAGAGCCTATGACCAAGTTAGATAGACAGCCCTTGCCTAATTGACGCAGAGTTTCATACCGACTCGCCCGTTGACGTATCCGCACGTGTTGTCTGGTGCCACAAGTACCGTCTGTCCAGTCTGTCTCCTAGCCAGCTCGTGAATATCCGGTCCAAGGGTGATTTCGGGCATCGAGAAGGTAGGATTCGGTATTAAGCCATCTGTTGGCTGTGCGGGCTTTCCATCAAAGGCCAATGCCTGAACGGCGGTGACTAACACCGCGGCGGACAGGAGGCTCGCCATCTTATTGTTGTAAGAGAGGGCTGGTACTAGGGGCTGGGCTTCCAACTCTCCCACGTCAAGGATATCGAGGCGTTACGGAACTTACAGATAATGACGGTCACCTAGGAGAACGAGGGAAACACGGCCGAGATCGCGCGTGTAGAGACACCCGCTCCCTTTTATTAAAAGACGAAGGCCACTGGCGGCATGGCAATATACTCCGAGCCTATCCACTACATCTAAGCGAGTTGGAGTGGCAACACAAGGCGCATTTCGCCCAGGCCTAGACAAGCGCTCTTTTACGTTTATCGTTTTTCTTCTTTCTTGGTCTAATAAGTCGAAGACTCCGTTCAGCCTTGAGCCATACCGTTTCCCACAGGGGGAGATTAACTAACAAGCATCACAAGCGGTCGTAGCCAATGGCGAGGCAGCGAGGTCTGGGATGGCTTGCAGGAGCTGAAAGTCGTCTAGGGGCTTTCGGTGGCGGCGCCAAGAAGCTATAGGAGCTACGGGGTATAGCTTCGCACGAGACCCTCGAAGAAGGTTGGACCTCTTCCTATATCGGTTTGGTAGGGCGGAGCTGTCTGCTCTCCATGCACAGGGAATAGTATGTTCAACAGATATTTGACAGGTGTGTACCTCATTCTTTGCACAAGGAGCGAGTTTAAACCTGGGAAGATTTAGCGGTTACTACCGTAGACAAGATCCGTGATAATTGTGCGCTCTCGCCCGAGTTGTGTGTTGTGTTGTATTTTACTATCCAATGTTACATTTGCGGCTGATAGGCCAAGCAAATATTTTATTACCCATGCGTCTCAGCTCATATCTCAGCCGTATTATGTCTGATTTCTTTTACGGTGTAACCGTCAGAATAGAAATCTGAAAAATCAGAGTAGAGAATGAGGTGCTGGAGGCTTGGCTGTGGATATTATTTTGTAACCATTTGTTGACTCTTCAGTCCACCGATGAACTCTTTGGCAAGCAAGTTGTCAAGGATGACCCGATAGCCAGCCAAAAAACACATGGCCGGATACGATATGGGTCTTCCGACCTAGCATTAGCGCATTAGTGTAGGAGACTAATATAGCGCAGGGCGTAAACCAGAGATTAATACTTCGGAATCTCAAGCGTAGGTGTTGTGGATCTCGAAGCTCAAATGGCTACATGACTTCCAGTCGCCACTAGATAGTGACAACCTTTATGGATCCAGAAGAGCCTATTTAGATAGACCGAAAGCATCATAAACAATTGTTACATCGGCCGTCATAATATGGTGTGAAATCCGATGTATGTAAGAGGTTGAAATGGAGCTCGGCATATCAGATTGAAGGGGTTATAATCAAATCCGTGCAGCGGCGGAGAGAGGGACTTTAGTCTCTTATGGGGGGATCTAACCCTGATGAGGCACACTTAGGCGAAATATCGGGATAACGAAGACCACTGATTGGCGGTCAGATTAAGCCTTGCAAGGGGCTATTTGATTGGTCTACCGGATGTTACCTAACAACCTTAACTCCAATCCATGCATCCACCGCTACGGTTTCCAGGCCCCCACCCTACAACAACTCTAACCTTCCCTGAACTTACATTGAAGTCAGCTGATATCGCGACGTTAGATTCGATTACCTGACCGAAACCGGGACAAAGTTCGCGAGAGAAGACGCGGTTACATCGGATCGGCTTGGTACGGCGTGCTACTGTGCCATACAATTTACGTATACATACATATGTAAAGCGTATGGGATATATAAAGTGTAGATGCAGATGCAGCAGCCGATCTCATGACCGATCTCTCGCGGATCCTGCCGGACTTCCCAACCGCCCGGTATGCGAATCTGCTACCCACTATCGAGAGGGAGGGCCTGACCACCGCCGACCTGCTCACTCTCCAGGTCCCGGATATCGGCAAACGAACCCAGTTACCGCTTCTCGATATTAAACGTTTGTGCGCTGCCGTTCTCGAGGCTCTGCATCTTGACCTAGGCGTTTCGGACAAGCAGCAACAGCAGCAAAAGCAACCGGAAGGTGATAATGGCGGGAAAGGGGCGGAGAAGGAAGCCAGCCCAGGAATCCTAAAGCGTACCGGCACCGAGCTCCTTGCCGAACCAACCCGCTACATCAGCACGCTAGACCCGGCCCTGGACCTCGCCCTCGGCGGCGGCGTTCCCGCAGGCTACATAACCGAGATCACGGGCGAGAGCGGCGCCGGCAAAACGCAATTCCTCCTAACCCTGCTCCTCGCCGTGCAACTGCCGCCACCGCACGGCCTCGGGCGTCCCGCGCTCTACATCTCGACGGAAGCACCGCTCTCGACGCGGCGGCTCTCGCAGCTGCTCGCGCACAACCCGTTCTTCCGGTCTCTCCCTCCCGCCGCGAGGCCGACGCTCGACAACATCGTCGGCACCGTGACGCCGGACCTCGAGTCGCAGGAGCACATCCTGAGCTTCCAGGTGCCCGTCGAGGTCGCGCGGCGCGGCGTCGGCCTGCTCGTCCTGGACTCCGTGGCGGCGAATTTTCGCGCCGAGTACGACCGCGGCGCGGGCTCGGGAAGCGGCGCTAACCTCGCCGCGCGCAGCCACGCGCTCGTGAATTTGGGCCTGCTCCTGCACGAGCTGGCGCGGAAGCACGGCCTCGCCGTCGTCGTCGCGAACCAGGTCGCGGACCGGTTCTCCGGCTTCTCTGCTTCTAAGGGGAGCAGCGTCGTCGCGCCGACCCCGCGCCACTCGCACCCGCCGTTCTCGCTACCGCGCGTGTCGCAGGAGAGCCCGTTAGCGAAGCGGAGTAAAGGAGGCCCGGTCCACCTCTCCGGCCTCGGACTCGAGCCCCCGAGCAGCAGCAGCGCGACAGACCTCGCGTTGCGGTCCAGCATGCCGGAGCCGCCGCCAGAAGAGGCGCCCGCGCCCCCCGCGCTGCTGCTCGATCACCAGCAGCGCTGGTTCACTGGCTGGGGGGACGCGTATCCCTACGCCTCCTCGTCGCGCCTCGGCGCTTCCGAACACGACCTCAAGACCCCTAGCCTGGGGCTCATCTGGTCGACGCAGATCGCCTCGCGCCTCGCGCTGTGGAAGCGCCCCGTGTACGGGCGCAAGGAAGTGATCGACGACGAGGAGGGGGAGAGCACGACGACGCTGCGGAACTGGAGGCGGTGGATGAAGGTTGTTTTCGCGCCGCACGTGGCGGGCACGGGACCCGGGTTGGATGGCGCGGTTGAGTTTGAGGTTACGATGGGTGGGGTGAGGGCTGTTGATAAGGATAGAGGGAAGAAAGGGAAGGGTAAAGGGGAAGTGAAAGGGGAGGAAGAGGAGGTATGAGATTGAGGACCCCCCTATACGTATTGTTGTATAGTATGAGTGAAGTGGTATACCACGGGCAGGTTGGAGGTTCTTGGCATATGGATTTTGGTTGGAGTAAATCGCAAGAGACGGAATAATGCATATCACGTAGACAAGAATAATGAAAACGTTTCTAAATTCGTCCGGAGCATCTTGTGAACGTATGGGGTATTTATCGTATACAGCTACGTTCTTCGGATGGTCTGTCCATTCCTACTCGTAAATCAATCTCAACTGCGTAAAATTACGCAGATGCCATACTTTTCCGTCCCAAATCCACAAGCAAAACTTATAGCAAGAAGTTGCGCCGCCCAATGCAAATGCCGCATAACATCATCCACTTGGCCCTCTTTTTATTACATTATCTCGGGTGTGGGAATTCGTCCTCCAACTGCAACCGCACACCGACGTTCATACTGATAAGTTCTTGAATAAGAAGCTTCGCAGCATACGGCATAGTCATACGAGCAACCTCCCGGCTGCTTCGGCAGGTACTGCAATAACCCTTGTACCCAAACAGGCCGCACCGCTCGCAGATATCAATGTCGGTCGCATCCGAACTTATCATGAGACGCTCAAGAAGAAGTTGCGAGGCACCGTACGCGATTAGACAATCACGTTCCATTTCTCCGAGACGAAGACCGCCATCTCTTGATCGACCTTCCGTAGGCTGCCGAGTGAGAATAGCCCGGGGACCGCGTGAACGGGAATGCATTTTATCTTGTACCATGTGCTTCAGTCGCTGGTAATAGATAGGTCCGTTGAAGATGTATGCTTGGAGAGGCTCGCCGGTTATTCCAGACGTGAAGTAGTCCTTCCCTTCCCAAGAGAACCCCGCGTTGACCAACTCCTGGCTCATGTGTTCTAGTGGATGGGACCTAAAAGCGTCACCGTATCCATATTCCTTGTGTCCTCGGACGACTGATGCCTTGCCTGTTAAACATTCGAGCAACTTGCCGACTGTCATACGGGACGGGAAACCGTGAGGGTTCATGATAATATCGGGCACAAGACCTGTATCGGAGAATGGCAAGTCCTCCTGATCCACAATAATTCCAACGACACCCTTTTGGCCGTGCCTAGACGAGAATTTGTCTCCCAATTCAGGCCTCCTCGTCTGTCTGGTCTGGACCTTGACAAGCTGTGTGTCCCTCTCCGTTTGGGTAACCATGACTTTGTCGATATATGCCGGGTCTGGGAGACGATATGACAATGACGTCTCACGATACTCTTGAGCCTTTTTAGCTCCAACTCCAACTACCGGGTTAACGTCGATGGGCGTCTCTTTCCTTATGAGAACCTCGCCGCTGCGAACCTGGCATCCTACATCAGCCAACCCGTCGTCACCCAGGACAACATTCTTTGCCTGTGTCGCGTCCTTATCGCCAATTCTCTCGCGACTTCCGTTAGCATACTTCTGAAGATCAGCAGTATACTTTCGGAACACCTGAACTCGCCCAAACCCACGGTCACAAGATGCTTTATTTAGAACCAGGGCATCTTCAATATCGTAGCCTGAATAGGACATGACGACAACGGTCGCATTTTGTCCTGCAGGCAATTTGTCATAATGAATAAGCTCAATGGTCTTAGTGATGACCATCGGCCGTTGAGGATAGACCATAGTATATAGAAGAGTATCGATACGATTGAATTGATTGTAAGCAATAGCTCCGATAGCTTGCTTACCCATAGCGCATTGATATGTGTTTCTGGGAGACTGGTTATGGTGCGGGAATGGAATCAAGCCAGCTACGGCCCCAAGGATCGTAAACGGCTCAATTTCAACGTGCGTTGTCACTTTCGTGATGTCCTTTTCGTAGAGAGCTACTAGCGTGTCGTTTTCTTCATTGACGTCGAGATACTCGACAATACCTTGCTTCAGAAAATCATCGAACGTGGCTTTGCCGGCTTGTAGTAGTCTCAAATGACTATCCTTAATTTTCGCTTCGCCATTTTTCACGATGATATAAGGACGGCAGATTCGCCCTTCATCGGTCGCGATATGGACAGCTGAAAGATGGGCGTTGACGTTGATGCTGACGAATGGAGATATCCATCCCCGGCGCCTCATGGTGCGAAATTTAGCCGCGAACCGCTTCGGGTATCGAGCTAGAGCAAAGGGGGTACCATTGATATATACAATGTAGGTACCTTTCTTGTGCATCTCAGACCCAGAGAAGTATTGAAGAGGCTCAACTCCGGAGTCCAGCGTAAACGCCCACCTCTTGACTGGGTCTTCCTCCACGTTGGTTGTAATATGTGTCATAAGAGCCAAATTCTTGATTAAACCACATGCTTCACCTTCAGGTGTATCAGAGGTACAGAGCATACCCCATTGTGACGGCTGCAAGGCGCGAGGGCCGCTGACTTTTCTCGTTTTCTCAAATTGACTACTTATGCGGGTCATCATTCCGAGAGCGCTGATATAACTGAGACGGCTCAAAACGTGCGTAACACCAGCTCGGTCCATCTTGAATCGCTTGACGCTCCAATTTCCGGTTTGGATGGCACGGTTCATGCCTTCGGTAATATGTTTCCCCTGAGCACCAACTTGGACCAGAGGATCGATGGCAATAGCACGATTCTGCTTCCTTAGAGAGTTCTCAACGGTCAATTTCAGTTGATACATGAAATTTTTGAATAAGTCCTCGAAAAGCAAAGACAAAAGTTGCCCGGCTAATTCCAATCTCTTGTTGCCCACGAAGTCTCGATCATCGACGAGTTTAGGATTATAATGCGCCATAAGCACTCGGCGGACCATAAGAGCTATGTAGATAGCTTTCGGGTAGAAATCTAAACCTTCGACCGGTATGTGCGCAATGATAAGATTCGCGAGGGCGTCGAGGCCTTCTTCAATCGTACTTCGTCGAGCAGTTGGAGGACCGCCTGGCTGTTTTGCTCTGCCTCCCATTTTCACTCTTGCTCCGATATAGTCTAAAGCCTGATGCTGAGTGAAGACGCCAACTCTAGTAGCTTCTTCGAAATTAACTGCGAAGTCGTCCTGGAATCGCGCGTCAGGACCAGCAACCAGTTGCATAATCTCAAAGTCCGTGAGACCACCAAGAGCCTTGAGGATGATAACTATAGGTATAGCCTCGACAAGAACATTGTGTTGAAGAACAATACGTTCCTTCTTTAGAGTGACATAGGTTTTCGACTTTCTCTCGTGGGTAGAACTGGTCACAGAGGCCGTGATGATACTATTCTTCTCGTCGGACTCTACGATGACTCGGTTCTTGCTTAACTGCTCTTGGACAAGGATGACCTTTTCCGTTCCATTGATGATGAAGTATCCACCGGGGTCAAGTGGGCATTCGTTCATAAGTTCCATGCGAGCGTTGTTGGCACCATGTAGTCGACATTTGTTGCTTCGCAACATAACAGGCATACGGGCCAGCTCAACATTTCGTCGGATGATTTTCTGCTTCTCGCGAGTATAAGCGATGTCAACGAGAATCTTAGCAGAATATGTCATATCCCGTAGGCGGCATTCCATAGGGGTAATATCATTCTCGATTCTAAACTCGCTGAAGTCGGAACGGTCCGGGGACACCACCCGGATGTCGATAAACTCGATCCAGAAGCTACTATCGACATCGCTTCTGAGCGTGCGATTAGCTTTGACGATTTCCTTGATCTCATGGTCGACGAAGAAATTGTATGAATCGATATGTCTACATTTCCAGGTTAGTGTCATCGAGCATAGACATATCGCAACTCTCTGCAGGTATTTCATGCAAAAGACATACTGTTTCACCAAACCTGGTGGAATAATGTTAGCGTACTGAATATAACTGGCTTAATCATCATGCAGATCTCATACACACCTTTCACCTTCAAGAATGCGGGAAGCAGTTGATTCTTGTCCTCCACAGTAGAGATGGGGTCGGTCAACTTCTTGCCATTGTAAAACGGCTCTAAGAGCGCCTCAAAACCGTCATCGATATAGGGCATCGTGGCGGTCTAAGATTTCCATGCTACTCAAAATGCGTAGATAGTGAAGTCTGCGATGGTTGGTTGAGATGACTATCAACATTCAAGGTGAGCAAAGTCTGTGGCGGCTCTTGCACCCCACTAAAGAAAAAAAAAACAAGGGTTGTTTCGATGTAACTACGTACTGTACGTAGGGAAATTGATTACGTAAGATGGGGGTATCAGGGGATTAAGTAAATTTTGAAAGCGTTTAAGTTCGATGTTTTTAGTAAGTACCTTAGGTACGTACCGATTAAGAGACTGCCACACACAAATCAACAATTTTTCCCTTGCTAGTCCGGAAAGCCTTCAACTTTAAGCCAATTAGAATCCTGCATTTTTCAGACCCCAACGTACCTAAGTATTCGGCAGACTCCATGGGGAAATGAGTTGACGATGGAACCGATAAAATAGACAAACCGGAGATTTTTCAACCCTATTCTGTACATCCACGGACGGTTGCTTGGAAATCTCCCCACCCCTCTCATTCCCTTTATTTATTCAAATGTCTTCATGCCTAAATCTTGTAAAATCGACGTTCCAATCAGAGGAACTATACATTTTTGATGAGGGTTAGCTTACAGGCCATCGCATCATATAATCGTCCTTTTTCCACTAGTACCGGGAAGGGTGATATTCACTCCTTTAGTTGCCATCGATAGAGCTCTCTTGCTGGTCGATGCCTATGCACACTCCCCAATCGGGAAACATCTCTATTTTTACCCAAGTATGGTCATCCTAATGTCCATCAGGGACGCGAGTCCAGGACGTACATGTACGAAGAGTGCCAACCAGAGGGCAGATGGGGGTTGGCCAAGTGCCAAGGAACAAGCTCGTTCATCTTAATGAGCCATTTCAGCCCCTCTTTACCCCTCCATCGTCGTAGGTAGAACAGTTGCTGCCCCTCGTCTCTACTACTTCTGCATCTTTCCTGCAGATTCACTGCAGGAGTCTGTACGCTGTGCTGGCAGATCGATCCGTCTTGCATTGACCTGTAAAGTCGCCTCATCTTTGAAGGCTGGACGTTCAGAATGAGAGACTTCATAGGTACTTCGTGCGGTGACTGCGAAACGAATAACAATGCAGCCGTTTCGTCATATCTCAAATCACTATCTAGCGAGAGAAGCATGCAAAGAGGGGTCAAGAGGCGGGGATATGCGAATGGAAATTTTTCGTCTGAAAGGAAGCCTGTATCCTACCTGCCTACTAGCCATGTATCCTGGATCGTCGATATGCCTACCTAAAACTCCTCCGTTAGTAATCTCATCGACTCGCCCAAGCCAGTTCCAGACCTCATCCGACTCAAAAGATCGCCGAAATTTTACATCTAGACCATCGTATTTCTGACCTACGTGACCTCGTCTACAACTTTCAAGATTCAACCATAATCTCCGAACGGTCGAGAGACGATGGTATGTATATATATTGCTCGTTGGTCTATAGGACGGTTCACATACTAGTTGACTGGGTCCAGTATATATGCAAGCCACAACGCACATCGTGATCCAAAGTATCCGGGGAAAGTAGCTGATTCTCTCCCGGGGCTGGCTGGTTGGGTGACGTGCAGACTCACTAGGGCAGGTAAGTCCTCCGTGTCTGGGCAAAAAGTCGGTGAGCTGAACAAGGATAGGCACTTTGTGTAGCCGCCCAACCCGTTTTGTAGGTAGGCTCGAAGGCAAGTAGGTAAGAGTAGCTAAGGGACTGTCCCATCGTAATGTCGCAAGTCGTAACCTACTTCAGGTGGCTTTCACCCTCGCCACTACGGTAGCTTGAGTTGAAAACCAATGACAAATTGTACTTGGGTATTATCTTAGGCACGGCGATCCTCGCGCCAGGAATGATATAGTCTCGGTTTAAGGTCGTCTTTAAGGCTGGGACTTACTGGCAGCAAAGTAACGAATTTCAGAGTGACAATAGTGACGGCAATTAAAGAAAATGGATCATGTATTGAGAAGTTGAGGGAGGAGAAAAAAAAACGAAAGGCAACGTTCATCCCAACAACAGGGGGTCATCCCTTCAACATTAGAGCCGCGCTAAGAGCCCGTTAAGTGCGAGTAGATCTAGGCTCGATCCGAAACTTTCAGGGAGGACCCTAAAGCATGTAAGAGACGGACAACAGGTTATAGCAAGATGTCAAGTGGTGTTACATGGTGAGGCGTTGCTTAATATTCCTGAGAGTCGTAGATCGATATCATCCTCGGGGTAAGGACGGGTTGAATTTGGCTCGGGAAGAAGTAGCTTCTGCAAGAATATGCATCACTCATAGTCTAAGTTACCAACTGGAGAGGATGATCTGATGAATGTCGAACAATGTCTCAGAATTCGCCATATAGTACCCAGTAGCCAGTCCAGATCTGGTTTCGCTACAACTGACCCGGGAAGCTACCCAAGCTACTCGTGAGAACTTTTTGGCCCAGACACCCGTCCGCCGGGTAAATGCGCCAATTCTAGAATCAGCAGAGCCAGAGGGCAGCTCGCCAGTTTCGAGACTCTTTCGAGACTCCCCAAAGACTTGGTATTAAAGACCTATGAGAAGCCGTCTCGTAGCAAACTAGACCCGGGAGTGGATGAGGGATTCGTCCAACCAGAAGCCGTTAATGTACAATACCAATTTATACCTGTGTTCTTGCATACATAGTGCCCATGTGGAGTCTGCTAAACCGGGAGAGAGAACGCACATATACCGCCCGAGGATGATAGACGCAGAGGCTTGGGTGTATTTTGCTGCAGGTCGGCATGACGGTATTGGATAACCGAACAGAAACAAAAGATGGAAGGATGAATCATCTTACAACGTCGAGTTGGGCCGGAGTGACTTGAGCGAGTCTAAAGGTGTCTGAATGTATCCATATGATCCTATACGGAAAACATCGCGGAAAACATCACGGGAATGATGAGCTGAGTCTCTATCTGTCGACATCCATTGCGGCAGATAGGATTCAAAATCGGATTATTTGCAGTTCAGATATTCTCCCCGCATTGGCAGAGGGCTAGGAGGGATGTGAATAGTCCGCATATCGGCCATGGCTTGCGCTGGCGTTTGGAGCCAAAGAAGACTTGGACCGCGCTGGTTTGTTCGACGACCTTTTGGCGACAGGTAAGGTTCCGCTCACCGCTTCCCCCCTCTAGTTTGAACAAGCTATTCCCAGCTACCAATCCTGGCACTCGACGATGCCAGGGGTGGCCGGGTACCTATGTAGGTCAACCACTTACCATAAAGGGCATATGAATATTCAAACCCGTCACAGCTGGCCTACGTGCATATGTGATGCGCAACCATCTTCCTGTAAAATTGCTATCAACTATCTTGAACAATTGAAGCAAGTTGATCCATTGATGTCATGGGAAAGGGGGATTTTGAAAGCGGCTGAGCCTTAGCACATAAATTGAAGTAATTTGAAGAAGTTACTAACATAGAAGACGTTTCCCTTTTTTTTTCTTCTTTGCTCGTTTAGGTTGGACCCCTCGAACCCCACCTAGTTGATTTCCAAGCCTTTGGTTAAAGTTTGCGGCCAGCACCGTCGCCATCAACTCTCTCTTTAAGCCAATAAGTTGAAATAGGGGGGTTTAAAGGACCTGGACCCTGAAGAACTAGCAAAGTCTATCGCATTGAATTTCAGATACTATACACTAAAATATATCTCCTTTTACCTGTTAAGTAAGTAGTTGATCACTAAACTGTAGCTCATACCTAGTGCCAGATCTGTCTATTGAAGTTTCCGATTCTTCTGTAACAATATCGAACCTACTCAGGTACATATGTAGGTAGGTACCTTGCTGTTTCGTACCGCCGGTATCCATGAGATACATGCCTAAGTAGGTACATCTGTGGATGTTCGTCGTATATGTGTAATCCATATTTTACAACGTTTTCTTAGGCGCCATTTTTCGTGGCCATCTTGTGTACCATCTGGACAAACGTTTCATATTCCAATGTATTCGTCGTATTGCAAGTAAGCATCAAATGCCGTAGGAGCAGAGCAATAAGGATACTAGGTAAGATCTCATCAGCGATACCGAAGGGATTACAAACCTCGAGCTTTAATATGAAGGTACGAAGAATGACCGCAGCTAGTAGGTATTCTGTACACGTAACGTTAGCGTGTTAGGCTCTATTAAGGTGGGTAGAGAGACCAGGGGTAGGAGGGGCCAGCAAGCCAAAATGTACTGCACAAGGACTTGGAGTTGTCCACCGTAATCCACCATAGCGCATGTACACAATCTGTACCTCCCACAGCACATGTGCACTTATCCCGTAGGCTATCGCTTAGGACCCAGGATGTATCCTGTATCCTGGGCAAAGTTGTACGTTGTACGTTGTACGTTGTACAGGCTGTACTACCTCCAAGAGACTCGACTAGGGTGGAGGGAAAGGACGGTTTCACTGGATTGGAGCCAGGGAAAGTATTGAGGAGCAACTGGAGAGCAGCAAGAAGGGTTGGTTCAAGGTTGCGCCTTTGTCCTAATTCTAACCTCCTCCCTGTGCCTCGCCTCATCCACTCGCAGCAATTGAAACATTGAAGTCTCCTTCTCTTCGCACAACTCCACACTCTTTTATTATTATTATTATTTTACTTGGGATTTTGCGATTTGCAAAAACCTTCTTTTCCTTTCTTTTCCTGTACTTGCGCTGCCGCTCCTGGCTCTCCAGGGCCGCATTTTTGCGTTCTGTGCTATAGTTGTTCTCATCAAAGGTGAGTGAAGAGATCAGTTCTGCGTTGTCAACAGCCGAAGACGACCCTCTCCAAGAAAACTCAAACCCCCCCTTGAGACATCGTCAACCTGCCCTACCCGCGCAAGTCGAGTGCCGAACGAGGGATAAGCAGCGGCGACACAACGGGAACACGGGCGCAAAAAAACAAAAACAAAAAAAATGTTGCTAGTTGATCCTCCTGAGACCCCTCATTGCGTATCTTGTATAGAGGCAGCAAACTCGCAACCTTCCCGAAATTCGTACCTTCAGCTATCAGAAACAATGCTGACAACTAGTCTTCTCAATCTTCGCAGTTTATAGAAAAACCCGGTGGTTGCCCAATTTGGCCTGTACGAAAGCTTTTGGTGTTGTAACAACAGTAACATGGATGATTACCGTTTTCGCGCTCAGCAATCCCCAAGAAACGAAGCGCCGATGAATTCTCTTGTCTCACCGCAGAGAAATGGCAGGCCTATGCCTCAGCCAGTCTCGCAAGATCCTCGAACAACTTTGCCTCGACGATTCACCACCGACTCGGGGCGTGTACCAACATTGTCCACTATATCCACGCAGCGATTGCCGGAACCCCAAGAATATACTGCCGTGAGTCTTCCAAGTGTTTTCCAATATCCTCCCAAATCAGACCAAGCGCTAGCCGTAGTCCTCTGTCGGTGCTGAAACTATCTCGACCAATGTCTCAATGCTCCTAATTGCATGTCTTGCTTCTGTGAAACTCGCAGCTGACATTGGTCCATCTTAGACCCAGTATAAAGTACAATTGGTAAGGCTATCCCTCTGATATCTGGCATTTGCCGTCTTGGGTCTGCTTCCACGTCACGCGTCCGTGCATGCGTTCGATGCTAGCCATCTGCTTGCACTTTCCTCTCATTTTTTTGATATAGTCGAGTTGGCGCTCATGAATTGTACAGTTAGAGAAGAAAAAAGTCGAGTATGAAAAGCTTCGAGAGCAAAAACGGCGATTCGAAGCCGAAATGCACAAGTTAGACCAGCAGCAACGGCGGGATGAATTCGATATTGCTCAGATGCAGGAAGATTTAGGTCGGGGAAATGGGATAGGCATGACGGGTCACCAATCCGAGCCGACGACGCCTCCCGAGTATAGAGAGACAAGCTCGGGATTCCCTACTATGTTCTCTCGTCCCAATCGTTATTCCACCCCGAGCCTCGGTCTCGTCTCTCCGCCGGGACTTTTCAATCGACCGGGTAGATCTGGTTCGCAGCTGGCATCTCCCCAGTCCGGTCTTCTTCAATCCCGTTTCTTTGACGATCCTTTACCGTCCCGTTCCGTGCCGGGATCGCGTAGAAATAGCGACGAGGATGAGAAGGAAGAGGCACTTCGTCAGGACCCCACGAGTCATCGATCAACTAATGCGTAAGTTCAATATTTTGAAACCACACTGTTTATGCTTCCTGCACAGTATATATCTACGTACAGTTATCAGCGAACACGGCTGCTAGTGTCAGTGGTGAGCTGTGCTCATTCCATTACACGTTCGTATCGATACGCGTTGCTAGGAAACCAGGTTTTATGGTGACAATGGGTCATATAACGTCTGTTCGAGAGGGTGACAGATGGCAGACGGCAGGGTATTCTCAAAGTGGCCGTTGCTTTACTGTTTGCCCTTACTGTGCTGTGCTGCCTAGTGGCCTGCCAGCTGCCCTGACAGACGGACCGCTTGGTTGAGCTTTGGGCATTATCACAAACATTCTCGTCCCTGACCCTTCTAACTGAGTGACTGATTCTCCCACAACACACAACGTATAATAACCCAACTTCTATTCTCTCTCCCAAAAAAATTTCACTCTCTCCTTCACAACAACTTTTTCACTCTCTTCTTCACACCAACTCTTTTTCCTTAACCTTACTCTACCCAGAACTTTCAACCTTGGAAAATCCATCAGCAACAGCAACCAGCACTTACTCTTAAATATTCACCACCACTTGGGTAAAGTTTCTCAATTATTTCCCAGCTACACACACCCCTTACCTTCTTCACTCCTCATACTATCAATTTACATCTACAACTACCCTTTATTTCCCTTGACACGTGAGCCGCCTACCTTAGGGTTTACAACAGACGTCACTTCAAGTTTTCTTGACACACATTTCCTTTTTGTCCTTCTCACTCTTCCACCACACTGCCAATACGTGCTCGTGGATTACTAACCTAGACATCCATCTAGTCTCAACCGATATTCTATGCCGGTTACTCGTCGTGGTAATCTTTACGACAACCTTGATCAAACCAACACAGCTGGTTTCCTGTTCAGGGACGACGAATCCTCAATGGACTTGAACAACTACGCCAGCATCGACGCTGGTGAGGATAATTTTCCTCAACTCTATGCCCAGAAGGGCAACCCCAACGTGGTAAGTAGTCGCGCTAACACGGATTTTTACTGCCGTTCCTTCCATTTCTTCACTTGTTACCATTTACCTTTTGTTCTGTGCCTTCCGTCTGTACCGTTGAATTTGAAGATTTTTTGAACTGTGCTTCAAAAAATTTTCCTATACATGTGTACACCGGGTGCACACTCGTCCCCCACCTCGATATAAAATCCAACTTCGCACAACATCTCCTTCACTACCCTTCCCACACCACATTATCTCCCATGCACGACACAACACAACACAGCATAACACAATCCATTCTTTCCACGGTACCTTTTTTTTTTGTTCCTTTTTCCCTTCCATGATCACGACTCATATGACTCTTCAACCCACTAACACATTCTCTTCTCAGCTTTCTGCCTCGTCTGCCGCAGTTGACCTCGCATCTCAGCGCGCCAGTGGTGAAGCCACACCCAACAACGGTTGGGGATCTATCACTCGTCACCGACAGCAGCAAAGCCTGTCTACCCTAGGATCATCTCAGATCAACACCCCCGATACCATGAGCCAGGCTGGATCTACTGAGGCCAGCTCGGTCACTACTCGCCCTTTCCGTCACTCTTTGGACATGAACCAGTACCGAGAGGCTAACACCGAGGTTGCCACTACCGCAACCATCCCACCTTCGTCCGCCCAAGTGCTGTCTACTCCCCCGAAGTTGCAGACTTCATTCTCCGCAGGTGATTCTTCTAGCAAGAACGTCTCTAACGCTACCATGACTCCCTCTGGCAACGCCAATGCCCATGCTCAACAGCATTTTCATAATCACAACGCAAGCATTGGACGATACCCCCCTGGAGCAGTCAAACGCCATAGCCGTGAGTTATCAAGTGACAATCTTACAGCCGTCACCCAGGCCGGTGCCCCATTCCCTTCGATCCAGTCGCAGCTACAGGGTGGTGCCCCTGCATTTGGGCCCATCGCCTCCAGCCAGGCCGGTATCCAGTCACCTGTCTCTGCCGGCGCATCCTCCTCGTCGCCATCCAGCATTAGCCCTTACACTCAATTTTACAACGGGTACGGTCCACAGAATGCTGGTAACGGCTATGGCATGAACATCTTGGCTTTGGGCATGCAGGGCATGAATCTGGGAAACTATCCCCAGAACTATCCCGGCTATGGTCCGGTTTACCAAGGTCCTGGCCAACAGAGAGACTCTCAACAACGCGTGATTCAGCAACGTCGTGCCCAGGAAAATGAGGCAATGAATCGCTTTGCAGGTATGAGCATCGAGTCGGTTGTTGGTACTATTTACAGTCTTTGCAAAGATCAGCATGGCTGTCGATTCTTGCAGAAGCAATTGGAGAATAGAATCCCCGAGCAGGTTCATATGATTTGGTTAGAGACTAACCAACATGTTGTCGAACTTATGACAGATCCTTTTGGTAATTACTTGTGCCAAAAGCTTCTTGAATACTGCAACGACGACGAGCGTACCGTGTTAATCCAGAACGCCACTCAGGATATGGTTCGGATTGCGCTCAACCAGCACGGAACGAGAGCCTTGCAGAAGATGATCGAATTTGTCAACACACGTACCCACATTAGCCTGATCACCGAGGCTTTGCGATATCGGGTCGTCGAACTTATCCAAGATCTCAATGGCAATCACGTTATTCAGAAGTGCCTGAACAAATTCAGTGCGGAAGACGCTGATTTCATCTTCAATGCCGTTGGCAATCACTGCATCGAGGTCGGCACCCATCGCCATGGCTGCTGTGTTCTCCAGCGATGTATCGACCACGCGTCGGGAGAGCAGAAGTTGTGGCTGATCAACAAGATCACCGAAAATGCCACTCGACTAGTGCAAGACCCATTTGGCAACTATGTTGTTCAGTACATCATCGACTTGAACGAGACTGTGTTCACGGAGCCTTTGATCCAGCAGTTCCGGGGCAAGATTACTCAGCTATCTCGTCACAAGTTTAGCTCGAATGTCATGGAGAAGTGTCTCCGTTGCGGCAATGATGACTCTCGGGATATGATGGTCAAGGAGCTTCTCACTCCAGGAGAGATGGAACGCCTTCTCCGCGACAACTTTGGCAACTATGTTGTCCAGACCGCTCTTGACCACTGTACGCAGCACATGAAGATTCCGCTTGTCGAGGCAATCCGACCTATCATCCCCACTGTGAGAACCGCACCTTACGGCCGACGCCTCCAGGCCAAGATTCAACAGCACGATACTCGCAGCGGTAACACTGGTGGACAGACCACGCCTACCGATCCGACCGGAGGCCAGATCACAATGCGTCCTCCCCAATCTCGCCCACTCATGAATCAATCCATCGAGGCACCAGCTGGCGCTTACATGAACGGCTCCATTCCTAACGGCATGAGCGGTCCTCGGGGTAGAATGGCTTATCCATCTCACAATGCCATTACAGTGCCGGGTGTCGCGACCAGCGCTCCTCCGCAGCCGCCTAGACTGACGACCTTCTCCACGTTCCCTGGCGCTGGCGGCAATCCCGAATTTTTTTAGACATGCCCCTTGCCTATGGCGGTCACGATCCTTGTAACGGTATGATATACGAATTCGGACGATAGTTATTTCGGGTAGCTTTCTACCCAGTCGTCGATTATACGGTCAGTGGCCCTACGCAAGAACGAATGAGACGTTTTCTATGAGCTTGACGACATTGCGTTTCCTTTCTTTATAACATTACGACATTACCATTTTCTTTCTACGCTGGACATTACTGCGCAACTTCATTTACGTTATCGAGAGTCGACACTGGCGCCCAACGTTCTCTGGGTAACTCTGTACATTAAGCACTCGATGATTCCCGACTCTCGATACTCGTCATAATCAAGGCTAGCACGCTACAGTCACATGACCCTAATCGTGGCCTGCACCTTTGTACACCCAACCCCGAAGACACCTCAGCATAGATTATTTTCCTTACACTACGGATTTCTCTTTTTTTTTCCCGGACATAATCGTCACTTGGGTTGTAAACCCTTGCAAAAAACTGGTCTATTGGTCACCCTGCTCGCAGATTCTGTATCAAACTCGACAAATCTGTATCCGTTCACTTTCGATCCTTCAACGTACCTGGAATTGCAACTTTAACTAGCTGCCTTTTTGGGAGGGTTGTTTCAAAGGAGCTCCATGCAGATCGTGATACGATGAGACCAACGAGACCTATCGACTCAGCTACCGGAATCATTGCACAACATATTCCAGAATTCCGGATATCTCTCACACCAAGTACCAATGATTCACAGAGTATTGAGGAACAGGTTGATGGGAATAGGTTATCCAGGCATAGTCATCTATTTTTCGACATTAGATGCAGACTGGGGTATACTGGATACCTGCTCTGGGTGGATATTATTGTGCTTTGCCTCGACGTGGCTATCTATCAGCATTTCTGCGATGTTAATCCGCACGTCATCACCGATATCGCTTATTTCACGGGTTTGACCTAGTTTGGACGAGATGTCCTAGGTCTCGGCCTACGTACGTACTGGATCGTTTTCGTCTTGTATGCAATAGGCACACCTAATAAGAGGCATATCCGCATTTCTCATGGTCTTTTTGTGATTTGATTAATCATGGCCCTATGTGATTCCCGGCTTTGTGATTTTTCACTACCACATTAACGTAGACAGGCTTTAAAATTTCTTATTTGTAGAGGATGGCGTGTTGTCCATCAAATTCATGTAGTCGGTTATCAAGTGTAGTAAATTGGTAAATTCTCGGCCAGTCGAAGCAGGCGGTATACTTGGTTCGATAGAGCGGGCGTATATCACATTAGGGCACAGTAAACTTATATATCGGGACAATGGTCAATCTTTCAACAATTCTCCAAGTACTTGTTGGTACGAGCAACTTAGCTCAGTTGATTAGCAATGCGTAAACCGTGTGTGTAATGCCGGGGTCCAAACATCACAACTGAGCTGAGGGTTCGAAACGGGTGCTTGGAGACTTGTTTTTGCTTTTTTCCTTTGTCATGAATCCATATAGGGATTAATCCTTGGTTACAGCAACTGAGCGTGGGTATGTCTAGCACTGCATTCTATAGGAGCAACGCTCCCTTTTCTTAATAGATCATGCCGTTCACTATGCCAGAGGTCCGGCGCCTCTCCTTTCTAGCAGCTGCAGAACTTGTCTTGGTCAAGGTATCAAATCCATCACCCACTCATCCCATGTTCAACATTTCCGGCATAACCTTTACCACACTTTACCTACCGGTCATCCAGCGCGAAGTACCCCCACCTTACCTCTTCTGTAACATAGTCAGGTATCTACTGAATGGAGAAGACTATTCTGGAGTTGAATGGCAAGTGATGCCCATGCTATCACATCAAAAGCTAGATAGACTTTACTTCATGGCACGGCTATCATGTGTTACATCTACTAGGTAGTTACGATATCTGATGTCGGAAGCTCGCGTATGACTGATAGATCGACTATACTTACTGATACGTCAAGGGTAGAGGCACATTAAAGACAATATGATGTGCACAAGGAGTTGGTTCTTCGACACACCTAAGCCCTTACCTGCCTATATACCCATCTACCCGCTCCCAAGCCCGCTGTACGATGTCATAGTAGAGATAATCCTAGACTTCAAGATGCATATGGATGTGTTTTTTTTTTCATAAAAAAAAGAATTGCCTTTCCAAAGAAAGTAGAATGGATATCAGCAGATGTAGACTAAGATCAAGGAACACGATAACCTCGACGTTGGTCTCTTCAATAGCACAAGAGCTAAGTTATTTGCTGATAGAAGAATTCCTCAAGGAATATCTACAACCCATCGTTAAAACCCTTCCTTTCCTTCTATCCTCGGCCGTGGAGCTCAAGTCAAGGAAATAGGTAGAAACAGACCCTAAGACTAGTACTTCTCATTCGCCCCAATGTCTGCTATCTACTCGTAACCTTTCTTCAAACCTCCCAACAAGAAGGGAGCTGGAGAGTGGGTATTTCTTCTATATTACTCTGTTATGGTGGACAATCGTGGGGCTAGTTGGCATTGGCAATTCAAGGATGATCTACATGTAGCAACCTGAGCTGAGGAATAATATCCAGTATTCTTACAGAGCCTGTTCTAAGTCTCACGACAACCGACCTAAGCCAAAAGATCCACGGATGGCGAAAAGGGGGTCCAAAGTGTACTAGTAATATGAGCTCAACCTAAAATTTAGAAGATGGCTTGTACGTATTTACGACAAAGACAAGAATATATAACCTTTCAGAAGAAGGCGACTCCCCTACATTGCAGATAGATCTCTACGCTTCGAGTCACATCTATAGACATGGAACATCACCAAGATATAGTAACTAGAAATCGAGGAATGCACTTTAATAAGAAATCAATTTTAGTCCCATGAAAGAATTTTATTCCTTGCTCGACTATTTAGCAACTCCAGGCAGAATTCATGAGCCATACGCATGCCCTATCGACCGTGAAGAAAAGTGTCATTGCATGCCGTAATCGCGACCAAGCCGCCATCACCACCCACACCCTAGCTGCTGCTGCTGCTACCTCCTCCTTTAGCAGCATACGCTTATCGGTAGCGCCACAGAGACAGGGTGTTGTGTCTCTTCCAGGTCTTTCGGCGACCGGCGCGGGTCTTGTTGTAGCGGTGACCCTTGTTGAGACCACGGGACTTCTTGCCGGTGGCGGTGAGGCCACGAGCCTCGCGGTGCTTGTGGACGGGGTTGACGATCCAGTTGATGCGGGGATCTTGGCGGATGGCCTTGTGCTGGGGGTCGACGAGGATGACCTCGTAGTACTTGTAGGTCGAGTCCTGGTTGATCCAGTAGGAGTTGAGGACGCGCAAGTTGGCGCAGCGGCGGCCGACACGCTCTTCGGCGGTGGCCTTGAGGGATCGCTGGTACTTCAGCTGGTTGACACCCTGGTTGGTGGGCTTGCCTGTAGTTTTAAAGCGGTTAGATATTTGCTTGCTCTAGAAGTCGGACATTCCTTCGTAATAGACTAACCATAGGTGGCACCCTTGGGCACAGGGCGCTTGCGGCCACCACGGCGGACACGCACTCGGTAGATAACATAGCCTTGCTTGGCCTTGTATCCGAGGCGACGGGCCTTGTCGGGGCGCGAAGGGCGCGAGGCACGGTGGATGACGTTCAATTGACGAAGCTATATTAATGCACTCTCAGCTAATGTTCAACGAGTGTATAGCAAAGACACCTTCTCTCCTCGCCCGGGAAAAGGCGAAGAGAGAAGAACAGCGTCCACATAATCATCCACGCCAGTATTGAAGACTCTTGTAGATTTTTCGTGTGTATGCTTTTCGTGTCGAATAGCAGAGGATCGCGAAGGTTTTCAACATACTTCCCAGCAGCGGACTCGGAGGAGGAATCGCAGGACATCAGACTGCTTCTTCTTCTGAAGCTCTTCGACGTATTTGAGGGCACCCATCTTGACTATTGTTGAGAGAATGTAAATTAGTATTAGGATTAAAACCAGCGAAGTCGAGTATGGTAGAGGGATACAAACCAGGTTGGGAATGAGAGCCTGCAACAATGGATGGTCGTGTGTCGTTAAGTTTGTGGAATGAAGAAATGCGAAATCTCCAATTGAGTGTGGAAATTTTTGGGTTAAGTTGTGCGAGTGGGTTTTGGCCGTGAAATTTAAGCGATGCCGCGCTAGTCCAGAAACAGTCTGGCGTTTTTGTACGGAGCACACTGACCACTTTGGAACGTCGTTCCTTTTGACTCCACAATACCCGTCTAGACCCACTATTATTCAACGGTGATAGCTTCATTTTCCGTGAAATCGTTCCAATTGCGCCAGCTAAATGTAGCTATTTGCTTAGAATACGCATATACACTTTAGTAGCTTATCTTCTCTTCCAGACATTCTCCGTCAAAATCTAATAACCTCAACTCCACATATTAGCAGGTAGCTAGGATAGCTGTATGGCGTAATGTATATCGTCCCAAATCTCACGAGCTCGCCTATTCCCTTCAAGATCGGTATTTGGATCGCTCTACAGCCTTGATGGGAATGGTCTTGGCAACAGCAGATAACTTCTTCACCTGGTCTGCAGCAATCGTACCCCAGCTGTCTCCATCCGTTGCCTTGCCGCTGTCCTTGAAAAGCTCCGAGACCATATCATTTTTCTCGTCTGCCTTGTACCTATCAGGATGGGGAGACGGATAAGAATCCGGGGCGAGATTTCTTTCGATAAGTTTCTCTCCATACTCGCGACCGCAGGCGAGGAGTTCTTTCACATCCCGTCCATCTTGCTTCCACTTCGCTATGGGCAGATCGATCTTGAAGTTCTTGAGCTGCTCGTCTGTCTCCTTGAATTGCTTGAGAAGAGAGTAACCTCCCGAAATGACAGACTGGGCGTCTTTGAATAGGACGTGATCTTCCTTGCTAGCACCAAATGTTCCAGAAGAGACAGCCGCAGTGGAATAAAGCCTCGCGAAAGCTCCCACAAATCGACCTTCGCTTTCGGCGCTACATGAATTAGTTACCCCTTATTCACTTTCAGCAATACAACGAAATCCAGTGTGCTCACAATTCCTTCTCTCGTACTTGCATGAATAACCGCATACAATCATTTTGCTTCTTAATCTTCTCTCCGAAGTTCTTCATGAAAGTCTTGGATTTCATCATTTCGCCTTTAGTGTTGCTTTCGAAAATCTCGGCCCATCGCTGGAAATTTCTAAATGTAAGGGATATATATTAGTATATACGCAGCTCGAAATTCTGCATGCTGTTCTGAGTTCGATCCTCACCGGCTACCTTCCCGGCCCTCGTCCTTTTCGTATTCGTCAAGACGTGACAATCTCTTGTTTGTATCACCGAGTTTGTTCCGTTTGGCGTTATTGTCCTTGATGAATAGGCCATCCGATTGGTCCGAAAGCACTATTAAACGTAAATATATGCACTACAAGATCAAGTCTAATTGACTCAATACAATCCTTATCTGCAAGTTACTCACGTTGAAGGCCTGGCTTCCTTTTCAACCCTCTCTTCGACATGTTGACTTAGGGTAAATGGCAATGTGGTAATGTGAGCGTGGCGGCTGTCGTTGGTCCTCGAGCCTTGAAAGAATATGGAAATAATTGGAAGACAAGGTTGGCACATTGTGAGTTTAATTGACGTAAAATCAAGTGTAAGAGCTGGAGGTAGAACCTGCCCCGACCTTGGATAGGTAGACAGCGCCTTCCTTAATTATATCCTCCCATTGAGGGTAGGAAGCAGGCGTGCGGATATCCAGCAAATCAACCAATGCTCTTTCCACGACTTGAGAAGCTATTGCCGCCATTTCGGTTGGGGATCTGCCTGGGTACTCAAGCACCTCAATTCCAGAACCTCAGGGCTTACCGATACCTGCATCCTACCCTTTAAGTTGAAAATTTCCGTCGTCGAAAGATTAAAAGAGCGAGGAGAAAATACCAAGGGACGACTATAATGACCTTAAGCCTAGTGGCCTAAAAGCACATGGTAGTTACGTGCTTATAGGTGGGATTATTCTCAAGTCATACCTGACGTCCAGCATAGCTGGAGGTAAAATCACTTAAGACACTCCCAATATCCAACTACAAATGCCCATCAAAAATCTTTAGCAAAAGCTGGAGATGTACCAGCGTCCTCAATTTTGTCAGCAATATCAAAAACTACCTAACCTGGGTGCCGCCCAGAATGCATCTCTCAAAAAAAGCAAAGTGTAAACATTCATGCGTGAGAAAGTCTTTTTTGGTCGTACAAAACTCGTCCAGTCGCCTAACAAATCGTTCAAAGTTGCCCGCCCCTTTTACCTAACAAATTACACCAATTCTCGTTTAGTAGGTCTATGGTCTCATTTGTGTGGCTGATGTTTCAGGTGCTTGTCTTATGGTCTCGTCGTGATGTAATGTAGGTCGTTTAATAAGCAGTCCTCCTTCCTGTCCCCTCTTGTTTCCGCGCGATCGTTTCAAAGTCTCCAAGAGATGCCGACGAACGCCCAATAGTCTGATTATGCCGTCTTATGTATCCTTCTGTTAGTGATCGCCTCGCAGGCCGTATAAAAAAAAAGATGGTTGGTATGGTACGAATGAACTATGATACGAGAATCGAACATGTACTGCATTAGCGTGTTGAGGTTGGATAATGGTCAAGTCTCGAAAGCAGGACCTGGCAAAAGCTGGTCCTAGGGATGACGTCTTGATAGTGGACTGGATCTGCGAAAGAACCAATAGGCTTGGTGGCTAGCGTTACCATATTCAACGAGAGTTTAGAGACAGTCCCTGAAATGTTGTGACCCATTCATTCTGTCCTGTCATGCTAGGTACTGCCGGATCGTGTGGAGAGGTTGCGGCGTGAGGACTTGGAAAACGTGCCCTTATGCTTGGGGAAAACTCGCCGCCCTGAGAGAAGCCACTGGGATAGCCGTCCATCCCCTGTACCACACCCGGGACATACGACACTCCACCGGATCTCGGAGCGCTGCTGAACGCACCATAGGCGGAGTATGGAAAGCCGGAGGAGGGGTATGCGGAGGTGGCTACTGACGGGCGATCTGGTCCTCCAAATGGTTGAGTGAAGGTGGGCTGAAATGATCGGCCTGGCCCACCACCGCCGGGAAAGGCACCCTGGGATTCCTGAGGTGGGTTAGATCTTCGCTCTGCGTTGGTAGATCCACTCCCTCTTCCGAGGCCGACAGCACCTGGGCCGATGCCGCTGGGAGCCTGCAGGCCCAAGGTCGGGCTGGCGAATGAAGCGGGGTTGATAGCCGACATCCAGATTCGGGTTTTGTAGATCTTGAAAAGGTCGGTAACGAGCGAGTTGAAGTTGATGTAGGTGTCGGCAAAGTAGTAAAATGTCAACTTCTTCCAGTCCCTTGGATCGGTCAGTTTCGCCATTCGAAAACCAAGGGAGACAACTTACATTTGGAACTCGGCATCGAGGATCTCCATGTTGAGGCCATGCTCCTTTACCTTCTGCATACACATGCGCTTAGCTTTAGCTTCATTTCCCTCCTTCTCTCTAAGACTGTGAATCTCGTGGCTCTGTGCAAGACGCTTAATAAGTTTCGGCTTCAGTTCGCCTGCGTTCGGCTCCTGCATGTGGTGTTGGCTGGGCGGTCCCATCCCGCCAATTGCGCCGCCTTGTAGACCGTTCGATGCAGCCATCAAGCCGGCGCCAGTTCCCTCTTGAGCAGCTGCCGCGTTTTGAGAATACATCATCAGCCACTTGTAGTGCTCTTCGGAATAATGTTCTTTCAGCTCTTTAGCCGTCTGCCAATCCACGTTATCGCGAGCTACAGTGCCGAGATCTGTTCCTCTATCTGCTTCGACGATGACAAGATCTCCCGGTTTGACTGTGAGACCAGTTCCTTCTTGGATGTAGAAAACGTCTGCTCTTGAACATTTGAAGAGGACAATGTGCAGGAGCTGGTTGTGTCTGGGCTGACTCATTCCAAACATGTTCCTGTGAGGTGACTGCGGACGGTTGGCAAAGGTAGATGGAATACCGTACGCCTGCTGATAGGGGTTTCCGTAAGCCGAAGATGCGATGGCCTGGTGAGCACTGGGAGCAGTGGCACCACCTGGGTAGTAGGAGACTGTAATACCGTTAGCTTTAGGCGTATATTTATTGAATAAGATCGACTTACCGGGGCTGGTAGTAGTAAAACCCGCCCCATCGGGAAATCCGCCGAATTCCTGGGACTGAGCTGCGTCCGGAGAAGCTGCCTCATGATGAGAAACAGACTCTCCAATGGAGCCAATCGAACCTTGCCGTGTTGGTACGTCGGCGAACGAATGTCTACGGCTTTGAGGGATGTCAGCGATGCCGCCAAAACCTAGAGAACTCTGCCAATAGGCCTTCTTGACATTTTCGAGTTTTCTATTCTCCAAGGGGTAAGGCGAGCGAAATGATCCCGAGGCATACTCGCTCATACGTCTCGCCAAACCTCGTTTTGAAAGGCTGTCTTGGCCTTCACCAGCTTCGTCCAGTTCATCAATAGCAAAATCAGATTCCTCGGGGACTGTTCCGTGGACGCCGTATCCATTGCCTAACCCGTACGTAGCAGCGGTGGATGCACGCGGTCTGACTCTGGAGTTGTGGTACTGCTGCTGCCTAAGCATGGCATTTTCACGAGTGAGCATCTCAATTGTCTTCGCCTCAGCACTTTGTTGGTGGTGGACTCCCTGACTCGAGCCACCCGTGCTCTCGTCATCATCGTCCTCAACTTCTTTAACTTTGCCCAGCATAGCACCCTCGTTGGACATTTCGCTCAGCATACTGGGACGTGAGGGTCTGTGTTGTAATCCCGGATGTCCAAGAGGAGCACGTGGTCTGCCGGGCAACGCCGACGGGGTCGGCATGGTAGGGGTAGTCGCATCTGGATCTAATTGCCCCACCGAATACGATTGAGAACGATATGTCTTCGGCGTTGGGTGCAGAGGAATTGCAAAGGGAATCTGCGGATTGGAACCTTGCTCTCTTGGAGTGGGAGACGTCTGTGTCAACGAGCCCTCTCCAAAGAAGCCGCCGTTAGGGATAGTGGAAGTTGGCGAAGGGAGGACTTCGGTCAAACGAGACGGGGGTTCCTTACGCTCCGCGTTCCAAATGCCCGTTCCCCATGGAAAAGACGACGGTCCTTGGTGTCCACGCCCCATTGTTCCGGATGCTGCGGAATGGGAACCCCAAGCTGCCGGACCAGGGTCCGCAGACGGGGTAGTTGGGTGAGAAGTAGTCGGCGACATAGAGCTACTCGCAAATGATCCCTTTCTCGGGTGGGGTAGCGCTGTTTGTGATGTATCGTTCAACCATGAAGCGCGGCGTACCGGCTTCTGTGGTTGTCCTAAAGGCTGTTGATGCACCTCTTGTCGAGATGCTGGGTCAGGTTCGTCGTCCGAGCTCGCGAGAGCTTCTGAATCCGGCGTAGACCTTCGAACGTTCAGCTTCTCGAGTAGAAGTGACTGATTACTTGGTGTGACTCCTGAAAATACACTCTGACTGGCTTTTGTGGTTGCAGAACCACTCTTGACGTTGTTGGAACTCATGGTCTGCTGATGGAGAAAATATCCTACCTAGTCGCCGACAAAACACACCAGAAGCGCAATAGTTATACAACGCCAAACCGAATCTTCGGCAAAAGGACGATAACAAAAAATGCCTAGAATTCACTGGTGATTGTTAAGGAAGTGGCGTGTCTATGTTGAACGTATAAATCTGCATGATATGTCAGCCTTGCTATCCTGCGAGGGCCGGAACTAGAGTGAAAGAAGAAAAAGCAAGGCCAAGGCCGCTCCGCCAAGAGCAGATGCTACTGGTGATATAAGTCCGGATGAAGGAGGTATGATTGACATTTCTATCTTGAGAAACCAGCATTTGGCGAATATATCTCCACACACCCTTTGGAGGATAAACCGCAAAAAGCCGGCGCAGACCAAAATACCTTCTCAGAGGTAGCCCACCAAATTGAAATAGAGGAGAGTTGTAAACAAAAGCTGCTTACCAATTTCGATTTTTCTGAGAATTATGAGGTCTATTCGTGGGTATCGAAGAATCCGCGTCTAGGAATCGATGGAAAGAAAGGAGGCCACAAGCAAAAACAATATAAAATAGAAAGCAGGCCAAAGAATTCTTCAAAGTACCTGTGGCGGTTACGTCTCCAGAAACGCCACCGTTAAACCCGTTCTTGAAGTGTTAAAAAGTAAGGACCGACAAGTTCTCGTCTCAAGAGATGTCTATGTAGTCCAATGTCTTGTATAAAATCGGAGGCGCAATTGTTGGTATTTTCGGTTGGTCGTGTCTTGAAGCGGAAGGCAATCTAACAAAGCTTTTTTGTAGCTTTCTTACAGGGGGGTAAAAGAGCTGTTTTATTCTGAGTATAGTGTTTTGAACGTATTGCGACAGAGTCGGCGTAGCTATTTGCAATAGCGCATCGTTATAAAGGAGTCCAGGATGGCGGTCGCAAATGGTTATTAATCCACAGGCGCGTATTCGCAATATTCGCAGTGTTGAAACCTGATCTCTTTCCTTAGTTTAAAGGCACCTCACCCCGATTATCAAGTCAGGTAAAAGTAAGGCACGAGAGCGACGTCGACGGCGATCGCTATTCCAACGCACTCGAGAAACCGGTAAAGAAGCGTTGGTGGTTTTTGCGAGGCTCGGCAATTGCAGATTTGAGGGCGCAGGGCGTTGAATGGAGGTGTTGAAGGGGTGTTCAATAATGAAATTGGAAGAAAGGGCGGGGAAGAATAGTACCTAAGGACCTAAGGCAGAAAATAACCCTGGGCTGCAGAGGTAAGGTAACGCAGCTGGTAGGGTTGGTAGGCCTTCGGTGCCAGCAGTTGGACGTTGCGACACGAGACTCTCGCGTGAGGGAAAGTGGCTAGTGGAGAAACGGAAAGCTCAAGTGCTGGGCCTAGAGAGCACAGGACAGGGATGCTACAGTAGCGGTAACCCTATCCACTAAAACTCGGGCGAGGCACCACTAGAAACTCTTTAGAGCCGTTTTGATGGCGAATAAGCTCTACCCTAGGGCCTATCCAGACATGCAAATCATAGAGAGGACCAGCAGCTGTCGGAAAATCGATCTACCTCGTAGACTGAAGACAAAATCGAGATTTTTAGTAGGAGGTACGATGGAGACTGAAACTTGAAGTCCGCCTTTTATATCACCTGGGCATTTACAATAACGGATATGAGCCACGTGGTGATAGGTAAGGTAGATTGGGCGGGTGATAGAGTGGAGGAGAGAAGTAAGAGTATCTAGACAAAAGGTGGGAGAGGGAGAAGAAGTTAGGTATGATCAGGTTATAGAACGGAATAGATTTGCGAGGAAAAGAAGAGGGAAAAAAATGAGAGCTCGCAAATGAATCACAGGATGATGCTCGTCAAGTTGATCCTGAGCCCGTCATGGACTGACGATGCTTGTATGTACGTGTTGTATGTGTATGTGTGTATTAGGTGTGGACTGGTGGGCTTGTGGACTTGTGGATTTGAGTGGATAAGCGGGTTTTGGTTGGATGTGGAAAGGAGATGGATGAGGATGGGACGATGAGATGCAAGCTGTCTGCGGAGGTCAATGTTCGTGCAGAAAGGTTGGTATGTATCGAAGGAGAAGAAGGATGGATTTGTCGAATTTTTACTGGATCGCCATCAGTTGGAACTTTCCTTGTGCAGTGCTTGTGGTGAACCTCTCCAAATGTTCCCATGTATCTACCTGCCTACTTCCCTATTAAACATGGCCTCAGCGACAACAGCGACAAGAACGACCACTTGCCAGGCACTAAATTAACATTGAACAAAGCATCGACCCCACTTGGCCTATCCTGATCAGGAAAAGGCGGGTCTAGGAATTTGGGTTGTCTGGGGATGCCTGACTATTTAGGGTACCTAGATACGAGTGGGTCCCCAAGATGGATTTTTTTATTAATTTCCAGCGGACAAAGGAAGATCTTCGGAGCTTAGCCCGAGCCGCCTAGCATACCTACCTAGGTACCTCGGATGCTCTAGGAAGCTCAGTGAACTAAGTAGCCCTGGACGTGCCTTCCCCTAAGGCAGCCGGGATGTATGGCATTGTACGTACCTAGTAGTAATTTGAGGAATCCGAGTCCGAGTCGAGTTCTTTCCTTACTCTTTCAACCATGCAACACATCGGACGCACACGACTCGACTTTTCCCATCAAGCTTCTAGCCGGAAAAGGCTGATGAACGATGAACGAACCATCTTGGTTCCAGCTTCTAACTTGGGACATAAAATGGGACATTATGTAAAAAGAGTGTGGGGAAGATTTGATCTCGAGCTATCGAACCGGCAAGAAGTCAAGCAAGAGACATTTATTGGCCCGAGTCAACGGTCCAAGCTCCAGCCCTGGAAGGGTTCTTGTTTGCTACGGGTATCCTGGCTCGTCCGGGGAGATGCATGAATAATGGCCAATAACATGTCGGCTTTGTTATGTTAGATGTCTTGAACGGAAATCTTCTCCAATACCGATTTCAAGATCCGTCCATATACCCCTTCAACTTCTATATTTCATAACTAACTCGCCTAGGACAACATTCACCTTGGAATAAGCTGGCAATCAATCTACAAATAGGGACTCGAAGAGCGTACCTATGATAGGGTATATAGAATAGCACTAACATACGTACACAACCGCCATGTCGAAACTGTACATACGACATTGCTCTTCTAGGGCCAATTCGTTTCCGTCCTAGAAGCCCAGTTCTTTGTCTAGCAAAAAGAGGCCGTGTGGCAGCTTAGCTGGTGTTCCTCCAAGAATTGCTATTAAGCTATACACACACCGAAGGTTTCGTTCTATAAAGGTGTGCATAGGCCAAGCCAATCAAGATTCGAGAATGAATATGTCATTTCTTTGCGATTGAGGCCACCGTTGAAGATCTCTCAACGAAACCCATCCTGTATAGCGAATAGGGCCTTCTTATTCAGTGCGACACCCTATCCCCTCTCCTGGCCGAGTACATGTGCTGAGGCCCTGCATGGATGTGAAGCTTGCGGCCTGCAAGTCAGTCCCCTATTCAAAGTTGGATGCATCCGTCTTAACCGGACTTGGCCAGCTTCCATTTCCTCGCACATCTGGGGTGGAACGCCGACGAAAGTTGCGCCAGCTCTCCTGCATATCTGATTGATGCACGCACTGCACGTCAAAACCGCTGTGACCTTACTTAACGATGGACTCCGGGGTCAATGTTACTTAGCTAAACTGTTCAACAACCAGAAGAAGGCCTGTTGAGAGACAATTGGGTCGAAAGAGGAACGAGGCGCTTACCTTTTGTCATTTCGAAGGCTCTTCGTTATGCACACGCCGCGTCTCCATATGGAATACTAACGAAATGGGGATAGGAGGATAATTAGGTGGGATAACGACAAATTGTGGAGGTGAAAAGAACCTCTCCTGAAGCTAGCCGATCGTGAGGCGACAGGGGGGGGGGGGGGGGTACCGAACCTTTTCTCCCACATCCAACAGATGCACCGGACGAATCCTGCATTCTCATTCGGCCCTCCCAACTATAAGAGCTCCTATATATTAGCGTAGTGTCGTGTACTCTAGAGGACGCATATCTAGAGTAGATGAATTTGGAGGCATATCACGAACTTCGAATTTCGTTTGTCTGTCAGTCTTGCCCCCCTTCGTTCGCACAGTTAGACATCAGCATGAAGAAACTTGAATTGCACCACATCGTATTCCCTAACCGCTCGTGCATAAACAGACATCGCATTTTCCTGCATACCAAGCATACCTTAAGCGACCTTGGCCGGGGTGTGATGGAGGGGTTATCACCCTCTATATATCTAAGAATTTACTTCTGCAAGCCTCAGCCTAAATAGGAACTTCGCCTTTTAAAGATGAACTCCACGCGTATTAAGCTGGGATGGGGGGTTTTGTATAACATAGGCAGATATTTGATAATATCTGATACCCAGGTAAGTTATATTTGATGTTCGTCAACATACCTAGGTGCATAAAACTGTTACACGCCAACGACTTATCGACTATATGTCGTCACAGGGCTTGCCTGCGGAACTTGGAGGTGGCGCAAGCTTCTTAAGAACCCGTACCCAAAATCGTCGCACAAGCATCTTCAGGGGCGTTACCCCGGATTTTTCAGTTCATCCTCTGCCAACCCTATCTGCGAACGATCAGCCATGGATTACGAAGGTTGTACGGCTGTAAAGCAGAACGAGACTCGTCCGTGATCGAGAAACGTTGATGAAGTTTGAGGCCGGCATCCTTGATCAAGCTGGCCGCAAAAGCAGCAGCTAATTCGTGTGATCCACGGCCCTTGATTGGCACGAGCTTACATGTGTTTGCTAGGATCTACGACGCAATCTAAGGGACTAACTACGGTGTATTCTAGTTTCCTGTCTCCCGTGTAAGGCGAATGAAGGATCTACCTGTTAGCCGTTCGATCGTCTCAGCACATGTACCCAACCGGTCACTACCTACCTAGGCACCGTCAACTACACAGCTACATAGGAAACCTAGATCGCTAGAGTCTTCAACGGGCTGATGATTTTACTAAGATAGATTATCGAGACCTTAGCAGCGATGATCCATCACCCTTAAACCAATCAACGATACAGCTGCCGGTACATATAACATGAAGAGATGACCATATAACCTACTATTCGACGATGACCCTGATGGATTCGCAAACCTACCCGACTACGGAAGAGAGCGAGAAGTGCGTTGCCGACCTTACACAACATCTGGTACAAGCATCTATATGCACCTACAACGATATCTAATACTCCATGCGCAATCTGGTGTCTCACTTAAATGCCTCGTGACTCAAAAAGGTATACAAAATCTCGGGAGACAAAAAGCTATTCAAGATGATTTTTTTTCGATGCTACTGTTTTCAAAGGGGTATCCCTCATTGCCAAGTTTCTACACTGGCGCATGTGACTTTTATATCGTAAACAAGGTGTAAACATGACATAGGTAGTAATATAGGTTCGGTACGTATATGATCCACGACGAGGAGGGGATCCAGAGCGATCCAGATGCTAAATTCCTAAGAACTTACCTAGGGCTGCCTAGGTAGGTAAGGTTAGACTACCAAAGGCACTCCAAGCCTCCCCCAGAGTAATACATTAGGAGAAGGTCGGTGGTAATAACGCTCGGGAAGAAAGCCATGCTAGACCAAACTTGTTCATATTAGGGACGGTGGTGGCTTGCCATGCAGCTTGACGTACGTCTCTGGTCGACTTTTTGCGGGGTTGGAAGTACTGTAACCACATTCAACCAATGCAACCGGGCCCTCCCCATCGTGCATAGCTTCATGGGGAGATTCCGTAGACACCACGCTTGAGCTGCAAGCTAAACCCCATGTGACCTTAGCCATCCCTTACGTCCCATCGCCACACCGGTACGAATCGCCGCCCGCCACAGTCCAGTGCGAATCCTCACTGCCATCCGGTAATACGACCCCCTTCGCCTATGCTCATGAGAGGGGAAGAATCTATACGATTCACCGATAAAAAAAAACTATCTCCCGCTCGCCTAGTGCCGGGACTTGGTCAGAAAAACGGGGATGAGGCTCGGGGAACAACGCAAGGACGATCCTGGCGACTCTTGGCTGGATATGCAGCGAACCTATCACCTAATGGTTGTCGAAGTTGACACTTACCCAACTATCAAACGACCCTATGACGGATACGGTTCTTTCCTGAAAGGAATAAACCTAAATGTCAGATATTACAGAATAACGTTGGTAGACCGGAGACCGCATTAGCTCTCGCTCTGGATGTTTCTGACCGAACTCTGCTCAAGACACGGGATTGTCAAAAACCTAGCTGATTTGGTGACCGACGTTGCATCTCAAAAGCATCAGGGTATTCTCATTTCTTCTAAAATGACGTACTTGAGACGACGTTTTTAATGATACATCGGATGAGGCACATCTCTGGCTCACCCGGGGACTGAATCTAACGAATCCTTCCCGGGCGTAGTTGGAGCTGCATCTGGCCCCTTCTGTTGTCGGAGCTTCTCTTCGAACTTCGCAAATTCTTGTATCGCGATCTCTTCTTCTGGGTCCGTGATTTGGTGTACCCCTTTAACTTCCTCGATCTATAGACATAGTTAGCGTCGTTGCTCGTCTTCTGAAGAACCATTGAGACCAAAGGGGTCCATGGAATCTTCGAGCCAAAATATCCCACAGCCCAACGACTGAAATGACGAGATGTACTCACGTAATGCATCAACATGCCCTCAATTCCGTTCTTCAATGTGACCGTACTCGAGTCACAAGTTCGGCATGCCCCCCTGAGCTTTAGCCTAACATATCCATCTTCGAAGCCCCGGAATTCGATATCACCACCGTCATCCTGGATCGCAGGTCGTATCCGAGTCTCGAGCAATTCTTTGATCATTCCTACGACCTCGCTGTCGTTTTCGTTGTAACTTAAGGTATCCTCACTCGCCTCCTGGCCTTGTTCCTCGCCCTCCTTTTTGCTTACGTTGATAATCTCGTGCCCCGCTGTAATAGCTTCTGTGATCAGACTGAAGACCTCCGGCTTGATATGTATCCAATTCGCATCTGGGCTCTTCGTCACCGTTATGAAATCTTGACCATAGAAAACGGACGTCACTCCATCAATGTTCATCAGTTGCGCGGCCAGTGGCGAGGGATACGGCGGCGCGATCGTACTCCGCGGGTTCATATACTCGACGAAGGTAGTTGGGAATCCCGGGGGCAGTACCGGGTGGTTCGGTAAGAACTTCAGCGCATCGGGGTTCGGCGTGGTTGCAGTTTGTATGAATATACTACGGGCACCTAAAGGCGCTATCGGCGGTAACCTGGAAGATGGTCGTAGTGCTGGTCTGGGTATCGCTGATATTCCCAGCGATTGTGAAATGGTATGCGCTTGTCGCGCTGCCTCGTAGAATCGACCGCAAGTTGTAGGCTTCACCCTCTTCGTCGACGCGGACAGTAGAGCCGCTGCTGGCCGAAGAAGTCGGTTTGAAGGCATGGTTTCCTTCTCAGGTTTCCAAGTCGCTCGTAGCGGCAATTGGTTGGGAGAGGTAGAAGAGTGAGTCGTAAAACCGAAGATATTTTAGTATATAACAGCTGTATGTAGTGAAGAGAAGCACTTGGGTGTGCTCAAATTCAAGAGCGATTTATAACTGTAGAAGATAGTTTGTATCGTCGATGAAATTGCCGATTTGCGCCGATAAGAACAGCCAACAAATTTCGTCGCTTATCAATCAGTGGCAATGACGCAAATATCAAAGACAAGTACCATTCACCTGAATCTGATTGGTCTACTAGCATGGGGCTCTTTCCGGAATTGTACCGATCGGACCCGGTTCCACAGAGACCCGGACTTTTACAGATCTCAAGCCACACTTGGATAATCTCGTCCCTAACTTTCAGCCTCACTATTGATATTCAGCCGCGTCTATGACCTTGAAAGATTTGCCTAATGTACCTATCCAGCACTTTATTACCTGGCTCCCGATACTCACTGTACAAGCGATTATAACACGCTCGCCAATTAGTGATAAACACAGTTCTTGGTAATACTGACATAAGAGCAAGGCGCGAGACCAAATGCCACCAGACATATTGCCTTGTTCGCATTGTATAAACATATTATCTTCATGATTATATTGATACTATAATACCTAATTTCGATTTTGTCATTAGTCTTTACGACTCCTTTTCAAGAGATCTTATACGATAAACCCTATTCCGACGTCTTCCAAGATTAAGACTCTGGCGAAGTCAGACTCGGTCCGCACAGCCTTCAAATCCTTGGTACCCGCCTGCTTACCTCTCCGGTTGTCCATCAAAGGACTCCGTGGACTACGATAGGACGTCGATAGGATTCGATCTATCCTTGCTAAAACTGCCAACTCTACCTGAGTTTGTGCGTTCATTTCAACTATGGGGCATGTTCGGCCTCAGTGTCTCGTCTGCGAAGCAGCCGAAGGCAAATATAAGTGTCCTCAATGTAATTTGTACACGTGAGTGTGATTTATATCCCATTATATTCGCGTTCTCACACATTACGTAGGTGTTCGCTCACATGCTTTCGCGAGCATCGTGATAATCATCCACCCGTACAGTCTGACACAGCACCGATCGGTGTCAATACGGGCTCCATAAACAGTGCAAACTCTCTAGAAGAATCACATGATCAATCGCATACTCAAGAGAGTACTGCACTACCTGCCACTATTGCCGACCTCCCGGAATACAAGACTCTCATTCAGAGATACCCAAACCTAGAGCGTCTGCTCTGGAACATTGCCGCAGCGACAGACCCACCGGATACTAGCGGTGGGAAGAGTGGAACCCTGCCTGGTTCCCATAAAGGTCATCGTAAGGCGAACCAGCCATGGACGAAGGATGTGGGTTATGAGAACGGCGTGGCTGTACTCCGTCGAACAAGAGACAACCCTGGTGACGATAGGGACGCCCTTAGGGAATATTGTGAACTAGTCCGAATCTACTCCGCTAAAAGAGACGCGGCGAACGCGGAGGCCGATTTTCGACGGCAGCTCGCAAGAGAAGATGCCAAAGCCATTGGGGATCTCATCCGTGCTGAGAAGTCTGAAGCATCCAAGTGATGGTCTTTCCTACCAAATCAATCATCTCAGGGTAATGAATATTATGACCGCGGGACGCGTTATTCCCTATCCCCCCGCACCACCTACCTAAGCATGTAGCATAAATCCATTTGGAAATGTAATATTTTACTTGGTAAGTAATGATTCTGACGTATCGAACATGCCTGGATGAACCCAGAGCAGGTTCTTCGCATATATTTTCTAACCGTTATTAGACTAGTCTTGCTCACCAACAATGAGTTGGCAAGGATGCTGCCTTGCTGTCTGGCTTGTATGTAGGCAGACTGAAAGCGGTGGGTTCGTAGTTCAGGTCAAGACCCTACAACGCCCCCAACACATTCGACGGCCAGGGTAACTCTTACTTTCTTCAACCAATTCTCCCAGAAAGCTATTGTGATAGCAGGGGCAATGGTGGTTAGCCATCGAAAACTCATCTCTCTTCTAAGGTTCTAGCAGTGGCTATTTGGAACTGCTAATTGTGAGATATAGCTGACTATGGATATGCTGTCTGAGCCTGAGTTGTATCACTTAATGAATAATTCGATGTCACGCTGGTTAATTGACTTTTAGAGACTTATTAAGGCAATAATATGACCGACTCTCCTTTCAATAGAATCTCAGAATCGGCAGCGGTAAAGTCAGATAAAACTCACTCCAGACTCACCAGTTTCAAAGAGACCAACAGCAAATGTTGCTCTCGCTAATTCGATGACGGGAAGGCTTCAGTTCCAGTATTCCAAGGAGATTCGCAAATCTATTACCCTCCTTTTCTTCATTCGCGAGTCTCAGCCCATGTCTAAACTTATCCTAGACGCAGCAAAGCCATTATTTGTCTTGAGAAACTGTAAATAAGACATGCATTTGTAAAATGATCAGTCAGATATTTAAGTCGAATAGGAGTTACTCTATAAAGAGTTCCCGAGCCGTTCTGCAACATCCCGACGTAGTACAATAGGCCACAACACATACCAAGGATTGTGGCTGCTCCTCGTTTGCAGTGCTAACTTACCTTCTTCACACAATTCTGAAGAGATTCAAACTAGACTGAAAAGACTGGACGATGGAAATACAACCCACAACAACTATGGCATGTGCTAATTGGAAGCATGGAGGCGAGAACTGTCCTTCGGAGGGCAAGTTTGCTTGTAATGGCTGCAAGTTGGTCTTGGTGAGTACCTGGAAATGTTCACTCAAGCTTACCTAGCCTTAAGTCCTAACGATCGGTTACTTCTAAGTACTGTAACGATCGGTTACTTCTAAGTACTGCGGCCGTGACTGCCAAAGAAAGCACTGGGGCGAGCATAAGAAACAATGCAAATCTTACCTCAGAGACGAAAATTGGACTCCGGCTTGGGATCGAGAAAACCGGCAGCCAGCTTGGGCTCGCGGAGAGGAAGCAACCAATATGCACAATCCATTCGGGATGGACAGGCACCTCTGGGGCAATACACCCGCGATAGATGTGCTTCGACTACATGAGAATGAAGGCCAGGGTTACAACAAGAGTCTGTCGATATTGTTTGCGGGTATGTGCTCCTTGACACACAATGCCAAGCAAGACTCGCTAACAAATTCTAGCATCCGGGGACCTGAGGAATGTGATCAAGACCCTCCAAAGCTTTGACGGCGACCTTCAGATTACCATAGCTATCAATGACAGGGACCCAGACATCACGGCAAGAAACGCTATCCTGCTACTTCTAGTATTAACCTCTTTAGACGATGAATCCGAGAAAGCTGATATCGAAGGGGTGGCTGAGGCCGTACTGCACGTCTGGTACTCTGCCATGCTCACCAAAGACACTCTATCTCAATTGCAGTCGAAGGTTAAGCCCTTAATCAGCGAAGTCTGTAAAGGAATTTCCACAGAAACATCGTGCCTTTATGTAGGAAAGGTGTGGCATTTTAAATCAAAGTGCAATCTTCGCCTGACTCTAAAGGAGAAGGACTGGGTCCGAGCCCTGAATTTCCTCGAGATACCTAAACACCTAACAGCGACAAAAGCTCAAGAGCTACGACATGCTGCAGTGCTAGCTCCCGAAAGGAAAGACTATCGAGACAGGTGGTACTTCAAGGATGCCTCCCCCTCTATGAGAATCGCGAAGGAGAGATTCCGTGAGGATGGCCTACTCCTCCCTTTCGGCCATCCGCGTGTCGGTTTCGACTATCCTAATCCGTGAGCCCCTACCAAATATACCCCTTTTGACTTTGAGTTTAATGTGCGACAGAACTATATTCCAGGTGACTCATAGCTGGCCGCTGAATGACCAAGCAGACCCTCAACGTGGATGGCCTATTGGAGAAGTCAAGTTGACACCGTGGCAAGCCTCTGAGGATTTATACGGAAGGTTGTACTCGTATATCCGTAGCGTATTGTGCGCTTTCGTCCAGAAAGTTGCTACAGTGGAGGTACACTTTGAACTATCCGACAACGACATTAAAGAACTGAGACCGTTCCATCTTGAGAGATATGATAGAATCGAGGTAACTACTCTACCTATCACCAATCTCGAATCACATAACTGATCAAACAGGCATCAAATGTTTCGGACATGTGTTGGCTCGGAACACAAGAGACTCTAAGATCCCTGTCCCCTTTACTGAAGTCTCCGGACGTGAACCCTCACGCGACGCTCATCACTGCGTATCTAAATGCAGTCATGGAAATGGTCAAATGGGATGACGATCAGGAACCCAAGAAGATTAGCAAATACATGCCTACCATTTACGAATACTTAGAAAGAAGGACACAGCTCGCGAGGTTTCTCAAAAACCCCCAAGGTGCCGAACTGTATCGCATCTGGGACGCTAGGGTCCTTGTTCTGAATGCGGCGGAATTCTTCCACAGGTTCGTATCATAACTATCTTCAGAGTCGAGACCGACTGACGATACATGATTAGGTACACGATCGTACAGGGCTTCCCGCGAATTGCAGAACGACTAGGCGTTGCTATGAAAGAGCAGAATACAATTGGCGATCCGTGGCCTATAGCCCTCAAGATCCGTCGAGGACAACCTGGTGCCCAGGAGGAGTTTGATGAAATCCTGGCCTCACCTTATTCGGGAGTTGAACGATATGTCGAGTGGAAGAGAGTGAAATAGTGCGGAAAATACCTAGAGCCATCTAGGTTGCGAGCTTTCTTAGGAGATGTTGAGATACCTAGATAATGGCCTGCATATGGACATAGGAGTCTGTTAACAAAGCATTCAATTTAACTTGTTCGCTCATTTGAACCTTGTATGACCTGGTCTGTGTACCTACTATACTTTCCTTGAAGAGTCAATGGTTTATTCTCTCTAGGTAGTACGGACAGAACTTGCGTTATACACAATAGCTTAAGGAAACCCGAATTATTAAGACATAAACACGTAAGCATAAGGGGAAAAAAAGGTGAAAAGAAAGATGCGAAGACGCAATCATCTAAGAATATGTAAAGATAGAAAAATAGAAAAATAAAATTGATTTCGACGCAGGCCTGATTCGAACAGACGCCCCCGAAGGGATGTGATAATCTATAAGATATTCTAGAAATTCTAGTCACACGCATTAGACCACTCTGCCACTGCGCCGATGATGGGTGTGGCTTGACCATGTTGAAAAATGGCGTTTTTAGTGCACTATATTACAAAGAACGCCGGCTCCAGATGAGGAAAAGATTTACCGGCGCTTTACTTGAATAGGAGAGGCGTTGACCGGGACCAGCTGAAGGCTTACACAGCCAGGAGTTTTCATCTCTAGCTCTTAAAGATGCATCATAGAACATTATATCTATACTTCATAGTTTTTATATACTATGTTTTCCTAATAAAGCTTACAGCGTTACTTCTTTAACCAAGGGAAATATGCATTGGAAATCAGCAGCTGATGAATCTCGATCCTAAGTGGCTTCAATGAAAATATTATGTTGTTGCTCTCAACCGCTATTCAATCCCATCAAAGATCGTTACGCCATTGATTCGTCAGTCGAAAGCGTATAAGCCAAGAAACCGCAATTACTAGGAACATTACACTGTTATTCTGACTTGACTTGCGTTATACACTACCTGTCTGAGTTAACCTCTTAGATAAGCAGGCGGAACAAACAATCGAGCCTAGGAGATAGTTCGAAGGATGGTTTGACGAGGAACGGCTCGGTACGAAATTCCGCGGGCAACGAAACTCGACGAGTCTACCTATCCAGCTAGCTACAAAAGAAAAAAGATGCTCGCACGCATCTCTAGGCATGACATTCATTATTAGATTCGGTCATTAGTATGTTATATATACTCGTCAGTATCGTGAAAGTTGAGTTTCCCCCCTTTCTCTCCCCTCCCCATTGACATCTCAACATCGACATCTACCGCTTAAACTTAGTCAAGAACCCAAATCTCAAGAACTTAGGCGTCGTCGACGCAAAACCCCCTTCTTCCTGGTGCTGCTGGTGCTGCTGCTGTCCCTTCTCCCCCCGGAATACTCCTCCCATCTTATCAAGCCCGCTCTGCACACCCTTACCACCAGTCCCAGCCCCAGTCCCAGTCGTGGCAATCGAATTATTCCTCCCCCCACCACCACCACCACCACCACCCAACCTACCCTTCAAAGTCCACAGCGAATCCGCCTTCTTCAAAAGCGGGATCCGGGACGACATCGCGCGCGTCTTCCCGTACGCCGCCGCCTGCGCCGCCTGCGCTTCGTCGCTCTGCGTCCAATCGACGCGGTGCTCCGCCGCCGTCGCCGCATCAACCGGAACCCCCGCCAGCGTCTCCTCCGACGATATCTCGTCGACCGGCATCTCCGCCGGCGCCGGGTGCATTCCCATCCCCATGCCCACCGTAAACGTCTGCATCGTCTCGTCCTCGGCGATGTTCCCGATCGCGCTGCTCCGCCGCCGCGCCTTGACCTGCGTCAGACCGATCACGCTGTGGCGTCGGAAATGCGGCGCCACTTCTTCTAGTTGCTGTTGTTCCGAGCGTGAGGACGAGGACGCGGGACGCCCGTTCTGGAACGGGTTCTGGAAGTGCGGTTTCTCGCGGTTGATGTGACTGTTACTGGGCGCCCGCTCTAGGGCGGCGGCCCGGCTCTGCTGTTGCTGCTGATGTTGCTGCTGCTGTGTCGGGTCGGGCGAGGCGCGGTCCTTGTGTTTGAGGCACGCTTGCGAGATGCTGTGCGCGAGGTTTCGCTCGCGCATGCTGTTCGCCGTTGTCGTCCTTTCGAACTGCGCGGCTGCGGACCGGGGGACATGGTGGTAAGTCGGTACCGATGCTTGGGTTTGCGTTTGCGTTTGCGTTTGCGCTGGTGCTGTGTTTTCTACTGTCGAAGTCGATGGCTGCTGTTCCGCTTTCATGATGGATTTCCGTCGTAGCTTGTCTTGGATGGACTTGGACATCGAGCGTCCGGTTTTCGGTTCTGGTGGCTGGGTGCCGCTTTCCTTCGGAGGCGGAGCCGGGTCCGACGCCATGGACTTGCGTCTCGTTACCCTTGCCGTGAAACTCGACTCGTTAGGCCCCGGCTTCGTCGATGCCGGTCGGCTTATAGGCGTGTCGTTATCCTTGCTCTGCGTCGATGCCGATCCCGCTTCTGCTAGCCTTTCCCTTCTTTTCCTCTTCTCTTTCGCCGCCTCTTGTTCCGCGATAACAATGTATAACCGTCGACGCAAGTCATCGGGATCGAAGGGCTGTGACTTGTGTCTATGCTGTTTAGCGAGATTCTGTCTATACGGATCCTGCTTAGCGACGACACTTTGCCTATTCGAACCGGACTGCTGACGGGCATCCGTAGGACGGCCCATGGTAAATTGCATTATGTTTTATCCTCCTCTACTCAGACAAGTAAAATTCGATGAGGTGAGGTAAAGCGGATCTAGATTCTAAGGGTATCAAAGCTCGTGGTATCGGGCGAAGGCAAAACTCTATAGTCGGAGTCTGGTAACTTGTATAAGGTTTTCTCGAAGTGCATATAAGCCGGGTGAGATTATAGAGGCTATGCTAAATCTCAACTTGTCATGATTTAAAAGTGCCAGTGTCTTATCTGCGTATGCCGGTGTGGCGCGTGGTCTGTCTCACGAGACTTAAGCTTGCTCACGGATGCTAGGGCTAAGACGGCAGCGATAATCGATGTAAGACAAGACGTAAGGCAAGTAACTAGGTAGCAGAAGGATCTAGGAAGCATGTGAGGGAGAACCTTTCACGAGCAACATCTAGGTTTTAAAGAAAGTAGGTTACATCGGCTCCGCGAGACAGACGAGGCGATCCATCTTATACTACAATAGGGAGGTTGAGCCTTCTTAAATGAAAATCCGGGGCAAAGCAAGGCCTGCAGAATGCGCCCATCTCGGGCAAGTGAGTGAAGCCTCCTTTTAAGGTAACATGGGTGGTACAGGGACCCGTCTGACCCGTGGACGGTAGCGAACGGGAATGATCCGTCACTTGACTATCGGGCTTCGTTAGCCTCAGCTATCAGAAGCTAACAGCTAGCCGTGCTAAATAAGAGGGAGCGAAACCACTAACGATTCCCGGCGAATGCGTGACCTCGGTTCTCTTTGTTGCCCTTAATTTCTACGACTCTCCGAGCTCGAGGCTTCGTGGCCCGTGGGCTACGCGGAGCCGAGGAGTCAGGACGCAGTTCTGGTGTCATAATTTACCCGTCTCTGGATCTGTGATGCAGTGCAACGGTCTCCTGTAGGAGCCAAGGAAGGCGTAGGAACCAAAGGAGGCGGTCTGCTGGGATGGCGTAGGTATGGACACATGGTAAGCACGTATTTGAATTTTGAACAGGAGGAGCTCTATGGTGGATTTGGAACAAATGGGACAGATGGGGGGTGAACGGGGTGGGAGGGGACAATGGCGGTTGGATCCTTGTCATCGATCCTGGTCGTACATAAACCCCAGCCTATGTAGCAAGGCTCTGATCGCATATTGGTTCGTGCCGAAGGGCTTATGCACGTACCCTAGTGGCTTTTCCCCAAGGGGAAGAGGAGAGAATTGAACCAATATGGGGACAGGGACAGCGCCCTGCCATTCCAAATTCCGCGAAAGGAGGGTAAGATGTAGGTAACTTGATCCTTAATGTAGGAAGTTGCACGACGTCTTGATCGGTCTTCTTCCGCGAGAAAGTCTCGGTGTTCTAATCTGCACTTCCCGTAGCACTACAGGCAATGGTACCGGATGCCATGTCCCTGGCGGGATTGGTTGCATCCCATGTACGTATGGTGATAGCTACCGCATCGACCGTACGACGGCTCGGTCGATGAGAGCGTGTTCATCTAGCTCGGGTGTCAAAATATCATACCCAAAGACATTCCAGTCCCGTCCAGTCTAGAGCACCTAACGATAGGTACATTTGTAGGCTTGGCTTTCACCAATATTTGCCCACAGTCGGGCCTCGCCAACCGGCAGTTTAGGATGATACGTCGAATCATACCAGCAATCTGCAGGTTAGCGTGCAGAGATCCTGCCGTAAAGCTGCTAGCGATAAAGGCTATGTAACTCTGCATACGGGATACCAATCAGTGACTGCGGCTTCGAAGTAATAATGAGGAGCCTTCGACTGGCTGTCCATTGGCGATTACATAGGTTGAGGAGAACTTTGTGTTGAGGTAAACACGTAGCTCCTGTAAATAAGCACTCTAACTGTCGATGAGCTAAAGCAGGTGAACCGTGGCCTTCGAGAATCTGGTCTTTATACTTTGACGCCAGTCGCTCTGAAGGCTATGACAGACATGATGATGATCAGAAGAAGCTATCGAATGATAATCGGTATTAAGGAGATAACTTGGCTGTTTGGAAGGATAATTCTGCAGGGATAAGTCGAAGAGGCTCTCTGTCAGGTCCACGGCCAAGTTTATGGTTACAGATTTGATCCATGGATTGCCAACAAACCACACTGTGATTAAGCCGCTATCCTTGTCGTACTAAGTATGTAGATCCCGTCAGGCATAAGCACGGATGACAATACATCATGAAGAACATTCCAAGGTTCTAAGAGCTTAGCCGCTGACAGTTAGATATGACTACTAGATATCTCCCAAGCATTATTCTTACCTAATACATACTTGACTAGGCCAAGACATGCATTTGTGGGTTTAATCAATACGAAAAAGTAGCAGCCGTGAGAGATTGTTGCGGTTAATCTAGCCGAAATCGACATTGCACTTAAAGCCGCGCTACCGATTCAGCTAGAAGAATGAGACGCTATCACCAGGTTGGCGATATCAACAGTGGTATTGTACCAGTCGTAGGATGTAGATAAAACGTGAGATGACAAATTCGGAGTTTTTACAGAAGAATTGTCGATCGACAAACAATCCCTGATCCACGGGCCGAGCGTCGAAGGGCCGGGTCTTCGGATGGTACCGAATACTGATCTATAATACGAGCATCGGAGCAATAAGATTTCAACTGTTGTCACATTGACAGCAAACACAAAGACGGCGACTTGCTTCGCAGCCGTATCGCTTAATCAGGGATGATCATCGAAAGTAGCTTGATATAATAGGAAAGGAGGTTATGGTTCATTGGGAACGTGGCCCGTGAGAAGTTGTCTGGAATATAGCAATAAATTTGCAAGCGAGACAAATGTAGAAGGGCTGATAATTGACCGAGTCGGCCAAGCAACTTGTAGAAGAGAAAATTTTCATATAAGGTGATGACCGTTGAATTGCGGCGCAAGTTCAAGCGGTCGAATTAAGATTCGAATAAAGTGACACATGGCCAAGTCGGCTTTATTGGAAGAGAAACCGCATCTTCAACACCCACACCCTCAACAAAAAAAGAAGGAGCATTGGTTACTTGACTACGAAAAATTACAATTGTTCTGAATTAGGACAAAAAGTAAAGTTACGAAGCTCTCGATCGGGGAATCGAACCCCGGCCACCTGCGTACTTGTTCGATGACAAGCAGGTATCCTGACCACTAGACCAATCGAGATGTGAAAGCATCCTGCGAATGCTGATGTCGCTAGCGGGTTATTGAGAGTTTCGCCTGAAAAATAAACCTATATTCCTGTTGCAATGTGGGCGACAATCCAATGAAACTCTTTGATAAACCCCGCTAGTTCTTAGATACATGAAGATGTATGGTCTTACCTTGTAGATATTAACGATACTCACTTTAACATGGAATATTTACTCAAATACTCTATCATGGTAGAGTTCAGGCCACATATCTAACTGAGACAATAGCTTCTATAGCAATTCATCTCAAATAGAGAAACCATCATGATACCGACTCGAAGTACCTATTCTTTCCCTAGATCTCAGCAGTGGGGTTAAGATCTTACTCCAATTCTCCACAACGGAGACGATCAACTGCCCCTCACCACCGATAAGATATCGCATTGTAAGGGGAAGAGAAGCTAGTAACGGCTCTTGGGTGAGCAAGTATTCGTTCTAGCCTTGTCTTGGGGGTCATGTGAGAAAGTGCAAAGTGAAGAAAGCCTCCCGTAGGATACCTAAACCAACCTGTAATTAGTAAACCAAAAAGCAATTCCCTGTAACAATCCAATTCTGCGTCACACCCCGCAATGGCAACTCATTCACACGACGGTGGCTTGACGAGCCATACTCATTCTCACGAATTTTCAGCCGCCGAGCATGGCCACTCCCACGAGATCCTCGACGGGCCCGGGAGCTTCCTGGGGCGTGAGATGCCCATCGTGGAAGGCCGTAATTGGAACGAGAGAGCTTTTACCATTGGTATAGGAGGGTAAGTTCTAACCCATATCTCATGTAAGAGAGGGGAAGAGGGAAGAGGCAAGAATGGGATTTACAGCCATAACTCATACCTCCAAACCAATGTTATGCCATACCATACCAATCTCAAAACATAAAGTCATACAACTTCATAGAACAAAACTAACATAACACTCCCCCCAGCCCCGTCGGCTCCGGCAAAACCGCCCTGATGCTCTCCCTCTGCCTCGCCCTACGAGAGCAATACTCCCTCGCCGCCGTAACCAACGACATCTTCACGCGCGAAGACGCCGAATTCCTCACCAAGCACCACGCCCTCCCCGCGCCCCGGATCCGCGCCATCGAAACAGGCGGGTGCCCGCACGCCGCCGTGCGCGAAGACGTCTCCGCGAACCTCGCCGCGCTCGAGGACCTGCACGTAGCCTTTGGCACGGACCTCCTCCTCATCGAGTCCGGCGGCGACAACCTAGCGGCGAACTACAGCCGCGAGCTCGCCGACTTCATCGTCTACGTGATCGACGTCAGCGGCGGCGACAAGGTGCCGCGTAAGGGCGGGCCGGGGATAACCCAGAGCGATCTGCTGGTCGTGAATAAGACGGATCTGGCCGAGGCCGTGGGCGCCGACCTGGGCGTCATGGAGCGCGACGCGCGCAAGATGCGCGAGGGCGGGCCGACGGTGTTCGCGCAGGTGAAGAAGGGTGTTGGTGTTGATCATATCGTGAATTTGATCATCAGCGCTTGGAAGGCGAGCGGGGCTGAGGAGGTGTGCAAAGCGAGAGGGGGGCCGAAGCCTACGGCTGGCTTGGAGACGTTGGGGTGAGGCGGTGGATTAAGTCTAAGTCAAGTCCAAGTCGTTCTTACGGGTTACCTATGAGAGGCCACGGGCTTGCTTGTTACAATAATATGATACCATGAAATCAAATCTTCACTTATAGAAAAATGTTGCGGAATAAGGACGGAATCAAAAACATTATCATTCATTTCGTAATAATCTGAACAATTATGACGTTCCAAAGTCATGCGCAATGGTCCGTCGTCTTGGTCATTTATACGTGACCAAAAGTGGACGTGCTCATGATCTATCTATATTTGCACGTCTATTGTATATCCTCATCCATAGCCTCATTTTGCGATACCGAGGCTCCTTCTGCTAATAGAGGTCCCGCAAATGGTACCGCGTTTCGCGGCCACACCCGCTTGTAAAGACTAACGCCGACCGCATCTTGCGGGTTGATTCTTCCGTCAAAGTTCGCCTTGAAGTACCCGTGAGTACCAAGTGTCTCTTTGATATATCCGGCTCTACCTCTCTTCGTCCATAACGGCAATGCCTTGAACCATTCCACATCCTCTCGGTTGAAGAACATGTACCGAATGGTAACAACCTTCTTGTGGATGTGGTACGGGTGGCCTGTCAGGATGACACGCTTCGCAATGACCCTCGACGTTGAAGGGGCACGAGCGGTGCCGGTTGCCACTAATTGTAAGGGGAGACCATTCCCGTCTTCCACGCTTGTCCGTTTGAAGAATAATGTCGGCACGGATCCCCAAGTAATAGGGCCCGTGAATGTTGCAATAGCAGACTGGCCGGGGTGAAGGTACCGGCAGTACTTGTGGACATCGTTATCCGTGTTACCGGGAAGCGAAAATAAGGGGTTGACGACAAATCGTCGAGGTCCACACTGAACAATAAGTTCCTCCTTGCCCTTGATAGACTTCTCGTAGTCTTCCTTGTGTGTGATATCAAAGTTCAGTGATGTTTTCTTGTTTTCGTGTCGTAACAGGGAGAAGAGTGTCACGGGTTGCGTAGGTGTGTATGACTTCTCTAAATCTCTAGGGACGTCTTTAAGGTGAATGTGGACTCTCGTGCCAGGGGCTACTCCGCCAACCAAAGCTTCTCGTACTGAGCGATTTCGAGAGGACTGATAATCGGAGATTTGTAATAATCTTGACCACTCCTCTGGCTGGAATGGTCTGTCTTCATCCGTATTCCAAGGACTTGTTCGTAGGCTCTTCAATCCTCGGTACTTCGCTAGACGTTCCCTGGCAAGAACATTGGGGTGTAATTCAATTTCGTCGGGGAACTCCTTGTCATCTTCTGCTTCGTCGCGTTTTCTAGAACGATATGCCTCAAGTTGTGCAGCATCATCATCCTCGTTTGGTTCAACAAACATCTCTGACTGAGGGTATTCTGACATAGCAGCCTCAGTAGGCTCTCTGTGTGCAATACCTTCCATGCCATCTTCCGGCGCTGCAGGCAGGTTCACCTCTTGAGCATCTTCCATTTCTTGGTCATCTGGTTCTGATTCCGAATCTGAAACATCGTCTAGGAACCAAGCTGCTTGGTAGGACGATGTTCCCTTGGGTAATTTCTTTGGCGCGGTGTACTCTTCCCGTTCTTCTTCGGAGAAGTAGTGATGGTCGTCTAACAAAACACCCTTTTGTTTTGCAGGTTCTCCCATATTTTCCTCAATTCCAGCGTCATTCATTGTCACTTCTTCTGGGGCTAACTCGGCAAGGTCATCTTGATCCTCATCGGGAACTTCTAGAATGTTCTCAGCTTCTGCTTCCTCTATGGTCATCCCATCACCTTTCCGATTCTTAGTCGGGAGCGGTGCGGCTGTAATCTTCTCGATTTGGAAGGTTCCCCAGTCTCCAACCTGAACTAGACGGTCGGCCTTGAGTCCCTTTCCCCGAACGACACCAGTCAACACTGTCGACTCGTTTTCAGTAGACGGCCACTGGATCTCATCAACAAGCATCCATGACCGCTGGTCCCTCCAATTGATTCCTTTTGGTGTTGTAGTGCATAGCGACCGCATGAGATTCGAGCACTCTTGTCTTGAATCAAGGTTGTAGATCTTGTCTTGTCCTGGATGGAAATGTGTCATGAATGAGACGAGCGACTTTACAACGTCTGGACGAGCCTTCGCAGGTTGGATCTTATCCAAGTTCTGTACAACTGTGAACAGTGTTGACATGCCCTGGTTCTCGATACTCCGAATGATAAGTTCGCCCAAAGTGTCAACCTCGACCTCGGAAGATAATACGAACACGACGTAGTCTGCAACTCTTGCCGCATCCATAGATGCTGTAAGGTCCCTGTTGACCGGCACATATTGAAGTTTTTGCTTGAATCGATCGACAGGTACTCGGAAACTGCTTTCGGTAACATCGCATTCGATATCGAGACTATTGTTGAGGCTCTGAATTGCTGTCGAGACATTGACGTCTGCGCAGAGTGGAACAACTGCAACTATCCTTGGCGCAGCGTCTCGTCCGGAGAAGATTGAAGTCTCCTTCTGGTGTTCCTTGTGTTTGGCTAGCTGGCGCTGCTTTGCCTGATTGCGACGATCGAATTTGGACATGACTTGTTGGTGAGGAGTTTTCCGTTGGCCCTTTTCGTTAGGTACTTTGCCTTTGGCTTGGTCTCGTAGAGCGCCTTTGGTAGCTTTCTTAGACTTGAAAGACTTTTGCAAGACCTTCGTCGTCGGCCGATGCGAGTGAGTCGCTACCGCTGAAGGCATTTTTCCGTCGCCTCCAGCCTTAAATCTAAATGGTAGAGTAGCCAGGATGTGAATTGCCGTTACTGTTGGTTGGTTGTAATGTATGATCGTACGGTATCTGCGCCGATGATTCTTGTCGGCCTGCGTTGATTCAGAATGATGGAACTTTTGGAGGGGCAGAGGGCTAATCTTTATCGTAATATTTCCAATGTTTTTTTCCTGTGGTTATCGTCGTTTATCGGAGACGGACCCACCGATAAGAATTTCTTATCAGCTTATCACCTCTTTCCTCAGAAATTTTTGGGAAAGTTCAATGCCTCGAGATTAGCTTGGCATTCATTGGCCATTTTACAACTTTTGAATTTACAAACTGCAAACTTTGAATTATTATTTCAACTTGTTACACGTCGCGCTCCACATTCCCACGAATAACAGATCCAGATCCAAGATGGAGGTCGATACCACATCTGTCGACAAGTCGCCCGAGAAGAAATTCGACAATGGCGCCCGTGTTGTTAAACGAACTAGAACGGAACTTGTTTCGAAAGAAGAGCGAGAGAAGCGCCGGCGATTAAAGGAAGCGCAAAGAGACTACGGGAGAGGGAAAAAGGTCAACGTCAAGGGGATTAAAGATAAGAAGTTGCGAAGCAATCTAAAGTCTCTCGAAAACAAATACCAGGAGGCTACAGTGAAGGCGAAAGATGCCGAAATACTTCTCGAGAATACCAGTGGCTTTCTAGAACCCGAACACGAATTGGAACGGACATACAGAGTGCGACAAGATGATATACAGGACGAAGTATCCGCCGAGTCAGCGAAGAAGCGATTTGAACTGAAACTTGACCAACTCGGACCCTACGTTTTCGAGTATTCGCGAAACGGCCGAGAATTATTACTAGGAGGACGTAGAGGCCATGTTGCTACTATGGATTGGCGCGAGGGAAAACTTGGATGCGAGTTACAGCTGGGAGAAACTGTTCGCGACGTGCGGTGGCTTCACAACAACCAGTTTTTCGCCGTAGCGCAGAAGAAGCACGTCTACATATACGATCGTCAAGGAGTCGAAGTGCATTGCTTGAGGAAACACCAAGAAGTGACCCATATGGAATTCTTGCCATATCACTTCCTATTGGCAACATTGGTGAGTCAGATCGATTGTCCTGTATTTGGTTCGATGGTTACTGATTATGATATTAGGGCATGTCTGGTTTTCTCAAATATCAGGACGTATCTACTGGTCAACTCATCACAGAAATACCAACAAAACTCGGGGCTCCGGTGTCTCTCACTCAGAATCCTTACAACGCAGTCTTGCATACTGGCCACCAAAATGGAACCGTCACATTATGGTCCCCGAACTCTCCCGAGCCGTTAGTGAAGCTGTTAGCACACAAAGGACCTGTCCGGTCTTTGGCTGTTGATAGAGAAGGCAGATACATGGTATCAGCGGGACAAGACTGTAAGATGGCTGTATGGGATGTAAGAATGTTTAGAGAGGTCAATAACTACTTTACGCGCCAACCGGCCTCATCTATTGCAATATCAGATCGAGGGCTGACTGCGGTGGGATGGGGAACGAAGACGACTATTTGGAAGGGCCTTTACTCGAAGCATGTAGCCGAGCAAGAAAAGGTCCAAAGTCCCTACATGACTTGGGGCGGTGAAGGGAAGCGCATCGAACGCGTCCGCTGGTGTCCATTCGAAGATATTCTCGGATTGGGCCATGATGAAGGCTTTTCGTCGATCATCGTCCCAGGTGCAGGAGAACCCAACTTTGATGCGCTCGAAGTTAATCCATTCGAGACTGCCAAACAGCGACAAGAAACCGAGGTCAAGTCGCTGCTGAACAAGTTGCAACCTGAGATGATCGCTCTGGATCCTAACTTTATCGGAAATCTGGATCTACGTTCCGATAAGCAGCGCCAAGCGGAGAAAGATCTTGACGCTAAACCAGTGGATATCGAGACAGAAATTAGAAACAGGGCTCGCGGGAAGAACAGTGCACTACGGAAATACTTGAGAAAGCAGCGAGCTAAGAACATCATTGATGACAAGCGGCTGAAGGTCGAGGAGCTCTGGAAGGAGCAGCTACAACAGCGGGAGCAGAAGCATAAGGAGAAGGAGGTTGAGCTTGGCCCAGCTCTGGCAAGGTTCGCTAAGAGAGATTAACCAGAATATAACACGAATTTGGGGGTAACCAATCCAACTTCGAGTTGCTGCCTTACTGTGCCATTTATTGACTTATTAGTTGGCGTTTCGAGTCTGAAGAGTTGGGTGAAACAAAGGAGAATATCGACGTGGCTTGATGGTAGAGGAACCTATGTTTATACCCATAGTTGTGATGCGTTGCTGAAATTCACATCGAATACTTATGCCTGGATTGTCGGTTCCTGCGTCGTATTTGGAGACAACACAATATGGTGTGACTATAAGACGATTCATTGGAAAAGCGAGTCCTACTTATCCGAATTACGTATGACCTATGTACATTCAGCTCCTAACGTTAAAGTTGAGCTGGCAAGCTGGCAAACCCGATAATTACAATTACACAAGCTGATGTGTATGATGATTGGTATGGCTGTCGGATAGTTGCATTTGCGCATGTGCACAGGCCAGCTGACATCATCTACTTATCATTTACTTATCAAGATGGCCACCTTTCCCTCCATTGGTGCATGTGAGTGGCGCCTGTCACGATTTCTTAGCGTTCTTAACAGCTGTTGAGTTAGGCTGTCCAATCAGATGACATGCCCGTCGAAGGTCGTTATGAACAGGGATGTCCTGGCCGGCTCGAATTGTCATTTCTACACCTACACAACTTATTAATCCCTATTCTTTCCTTGCTTTCAATGTTCAAATGCTGTTAGGAGATGGCCACCTTTTCCCTTGATTGATAACTTGGAATTTGTACATATTTCAGATCGTTCCTTTAATAGCTTTTTTTCCAACATGAACGGTCATTTCTCTTCTGTCGGCGACCAGCCGGCCAAAGCTCATTACGAGCATGGCATTCAAGTTATTGACGAGGATAAGGAGTTCAAGTAAGCTTCATCGTGTTGCCATAGCTATTTGTCGCATTGTGCTCAGCACAACCGTCGCTAACCTATGCGCTTCCAGTTCGAACATCAATTCCTACTTACAAGCAACGGATGTGGCCGATGCTGGGTTCAACTATCACCTAATATCTGTATTTGGATCCCAGTCTACCGGAAAATCGACGCTTCTCAACAACCTCTTTGGTACGGAGTTCAATGTGATGTCTGAAAGTGAACGTCGCCAAACAACGAAAGGAATATGGATGTCTAAGAACAAAAAGGGGTCTATGGCCGACAATATCCTCGTTATGGACGTAGAGGGCACGGATGGCCGAGAAAGGGGCGAAGACCAGGACTTCGAAAGGAAGAGTGCACTATTCGCACTAGCAACCAGCGAAGTGCTTATCGTCAACATATGGGAGCACCAAGTCGGGTTGTATCAAGGAGCCAATATGGGCTTATTGAAAACTGTCTTCGAAGTCAATCTCCAAATATTCTTGAAGGATAAACAGTAAGTTAAAACAGGGGCCGGGCGGATATCCCGGATTGAAGGCTAAGCTAATGTGGCACATCTAGATCTACCCCTAGATCTCTTCTCTTTTTCGTCATCCGAGATCATATTGGCCATACTCCCCTGTCGAATCTTCGAAATACCCTAATTCAAGATCTCACTAAAATCTGGTCCTCCATCTCGAAACCTGCCGGTCTTGAGAAAGCACAAATAGAAGACTACTTCGACTTCGCATTCGCTGCGCTACCTCATAAGATCTTACAACCGGACAAGTTCGAGAGCGAAGTCAAAAATCTGGGAGGCAGGTTCGTCGCTGGAAACAGGAACTCCAAGAATCAGTTGGAGCATGGCGAACAAGAGCTCGCAGGGGGCGTCTTCTTGCCCGAATATCACCGAAGAATTCCCGCCGACGGTTTCTCTCACTACGCGGAAGGTATCTGGGACCAGATTGTGAACAACAAGGATCTTGATTTGCCAACGCAGCAGGAACTCCTTGCTCAGTTCCGTTGTGACGAGATCTCGCGAGAAGTTCTCTTAGCTTTCGACGACGCCATCAGCCCGTTAGAGGAACAACAAGCAGAGGCCACTCGCAGTGGAAAGCCAGTTGTCCTACCAAATCTTGGTAGCACGGGTCGCTCGACTAGGGAGAAATGCGTCAAGTCTTTCGAAACACAAGCCAGTCGTTACCATAAGAAGGTTTACTCCCTCAAGCGAACTGACTTGGAAACTAAGATCGACCAGCGTCTTAAAGCACTATACCAGGGACAGCTATCCTCTCTTCACAAAACTGGCGTGACCACGTTTAGCGATGATGTAACTAGTGCCGTGAAAGCGGGCCAGAAGTCCGGCGGTGCCTACGAATTTGCTGATATCGTGGAAACGGCGAAGACCAAATCTCTAGAGATATTTAGGAAGGAAGCGCAGGGCCTGTTAATCGAGGGTGTGGCGTGGACCAACTTTAAGCCCCAGTACGTCCTCTTCGAAAAGGAACTCGATCAAGTTAGTTCTCGCTTGCGAAAGGAAGAAATGCGAAGACTGGCGACTCGAGTCGAACGTTGGGTTAAGTCTCGCCTAGGCGATTCCGTCGGACTCGAGTTCAACAAACTAGGATCAGGAAGGGGAGGTTCTGGAGCCCCCGAGACCGGTGAGAAGCCTGCCACCGAAAAGGATCTCTGGGATCGTATCTGGAATCTCTTTACGTCTATCGTCAAGGAAGCCGAGGGCCGGTTCGCAGAAAGAGCTAAGAGTTTCGAGGCAAGCGAAGAAGAGGTTCAGGTCGGATTATGGCGTCTGCGAAGGAAGAGCTGGATAGCACTCCGAGAGAAAATCGAGGAGGAGGTGATGGAAGGGAACATTCTCCTCAAGCTTAGAGAGAATTTTGAGGACAAGTTCCGCTACGACGAAGCAGGTGTTCCCCGAATATGGCGACCTGCTGATGATATCGAGGGCATCTACACGCGCGCTCGAGAATCGACGCTAACCCTTATTCCGCTCCTTTCGAAGTTTAAGCTTCTCACAACTTCCTCTCCGCCGGATCTAATAGAGTTCATTGGCACCCAACCTCCCGGGGTTGAGCCTGAGGATGAGGACGACCTCGCACCCATCGGCGGTATTGACGAAGAAGATGGAAAGAGCTTCGAAGAAGAGGTGACTGTCTTGAGCGAAGCCAAGCGTCAAGATTTGGTTGTCAGGTTTAAGAAGACTGCCGATGGTGTGTATTTGGAGGCCAAACGAAGTGCGATTGGTGGAATTACACAAGTTCCTTTGTATTTCTATGGATTACTATTGGTGTTGGGTTGGAACGAGATTCTAGCTGGTAAGTTCCATTGCATAATGCTACTACAACCACTCGTGTACTAACTTTCGATAGTCCTGCGTAACCCCATTCTATTCATGATGCTGATCGTCATTGCCGGCGGGCTCTACATTTCTTATAGCCTCAACCTCTTAGGCCCCATGATGCAGATGAGCAGTGCGGCGTGGAACCAAGCCATCGACATCGGCAAGCAGCGTCTCCGAGACTTCCTCGAGAATAACCAGACCGCCAGGCAAGCTATCGGGATGCAAGGTCGAGATAGCGACTCGATCAGCATGGACACTCTAGATAGCAGGGGCAAGAAACAATCGCGAGCGGCCTCGGCGGATGACGATGGTTTCTAGTAGATTTACACGGTATTCACAAAAGAAAAAACACTAAGGGGGTAGGATATAGTAGTAAAGGCACTTCCCATCGGATAATTCCCTAATCAATAGATACTGATTTTCAACAATTGCCCCCGTCCAGACGCCGTGATCCATGCTTATGCAATAATGTCGTCTTAACGTTTTAGATTTTTATACTCAAAAAGCCTCTAGACCCGCGGGTGTTCCAAACCACGTCCCTAATTCGTCTACATCTTTATCCTTATCAGCGAAGTAATCGGTAAGTCGGCTATTCTCATCCTCCTCATCTACGGGCCACTCGACCTTAACACCACCCTTCGCCTCCAACATATCCTTCGCCGTGCCCCAACTAAACCGACACTCGGGGCCCCAGCCGAAGACGGGGTGCATGTTCCGCCGCAGCCAGGCCACGCACCGCGCATCGGACGGGTACCCTGAGCCCCAGCTCAGCTCCTCGGCCTCCTCCGCGTCGGCGGCCGAGTTTCCCTTCTCCGCTAGCCCGGCCGCCGCGCGCGCCTCGTAGAGGACCTCGAGCGCGGCGTCCCGCGTCACCTTCGCGCACACGCTGGCCGCGCTCACGCACGGGTACAGGCTGTCGGCCTTCTTGGCGACGGTGATCCGGGTCCCGGGGAAGACGCGCGCGAGCTTCGCCTGGTACGTGGCGGGGGGGCCGACGGTGTCGACGTAGATCTCGCGCACGTTGACGCCGCGCTCCAGGACGCCTTGGATTAGGGTTATGGTCGCGTCGAGCGCTTGCGCGTTGAGGTTGTATGCTGCGGAGGTGCTCGGGCGCAGCATGTTGGAGCCGATGTCTCGCGCTGATAGGCAGGATACGGCCCAGCCGCAGGACGAGTGCAGGTCGCTCGAGGCCGTGCATAGGGTTTGCATGAGCGAGGATCGGACGGCGGGTGTGAGGACCTTGGAGTCGTCGAAGTGGTGCGTTTGCTTTAGGAGAGGGTCGGATTGGTCGAGGGGGAGGTAGAAGACCCCGTACACCATGGGCCCGAGGACGGGGCCGCGCCCGGCTTCGTCGACGCCGAGGACGCAGGGGGGCCCGGTTTGTGAGGGCGTTCCGTCGGTGGTGGATGATGGGTTTTGGTCTTGGGCTTCGGGGAGGAGAGAGGGAGGGACGGGAGAGAAGTGCGTGTATGTTTCGCCAGCGAGAGTGGCGGGCTTGTGGATGGAGGGCGGTACGAAGACGTCGGTTGCTGGGGTATCGAGGGCTACGTTGCCCTCGTCCATTTGTGTATCTTCCATATTCCTGAGGCAATTCGGTTTGGAATGGGTTCTTTTTCTAAAGTAAAGCCTCAGTAAGGAAAGTATAAAGATGTTTATGTATTCGGTATATCGATATTTGACTATTAATCGAGCTGTCAAGGCAGAAAGGTCCAAAATCTAAGTAGAAGCTGCCTCTGGAAGACGCGTGCCAAGCGCGTTCTAGTGCATACATAAATACATAAGTACCTGAGTATCTTTAATGCTCGGAAATTTTAACCAATGATAATTGGGCATACAAGGGACAAGCCCCACAATAATTGCTTGGGACGTGCATCAATCATTGGCAACCACCGGGAAGGCACAACTCATCGAGAAAGTAAACATCAACGTTGTTCCCCGCCCGCAATTCTTGGTTTTCTCATTTCCCTATTTACTTTCGCGTTTATCTGATTCGATTTCGAATGCGCCCCTCGCCGCCATATACCAAAGTCTCCGTATTATCTAACTGTCACTTGAGCAATTGGTAAATTGATCCGCCCGAGTCATCGCACCGCCACCGCTAGTAGCCGTCGCTATGCCGCCGAAACAATCGTCGCAGCGGCGCATTACGCAGTCGCAACACGAGGGGGTCTACGAGTTGGGAAAACAGGGAAGGTATTTGTTCTACTGTGCTTGTCGGATTTGGATTGAGGCTGATGTATAGGTGGTAGGAAAACGGGCATTACTCTAGAAGAGCGTGAACGCGACGAGCATGGCTTCGAAAATGTCGATGCACTATTTTCATCACCTGAGAAAGACGTCAATAACGTCACGGCCAATGGGACTAATAGACGGGGCCGCGACGAGTCAGACGAGGAACAAACGATGGAGATCGATGATGGTATGTTGCGCACGACAGTAAACTTGGCCCTGTCCCTGTTCTTGTACGCTGATAGATATAACAGAATCTCAAATGGGCCCAGCTACCATTATGAAGCAGCGTTATAATCGCCCTTCGCTACCGCGCGCTCGATCACCTCTAAAGACAAACCTCCAGTCTCCAGCACGCCAAAATCCACACCTAGGACCTACTTCTTCACCTACTCGAGGTTCTATCGTCCCTGCACCAGAACACAGCTCGCCGAGGGCGGTCAACCGGAGGCTGGACTTTTCCCAAGGCCCCTCTCAAAGCAGGATGAGGCCTCCAGTAAATGGAGCTTCGAAAGTGAATGGCACGAAGGCTAGGACCGGAAAACTTACCAATGGTCATGCTCGAGCTCAGGAATCTGACGAAGACGACGATGCTATTCTACGAGGAAGACGAAACCAACCTCGAGAAGAAGAAGAGGAAGAGGAGGAGGAGGAACCAGAGGAAGATATGCAAGGCATTGACGCCGGCGACGATATGGATCTAGTGGAAGAGGAACAGGATGACGCTCCCATAGAACCCGAGCCTGAGCCCGAACCCGAGGAAGAGGAGGAAGAACCTATCCCGCCGGCTAAGAAGCGCAGAGGTCGGAAGCCAAAGTCTCCTGTCGTACAAGAAGAAGAGGGTGAATCTTCGATGGCGTCCGCGCAAAGTCAAGAAGCCGAAGCCGAACCTGTGAAAAAGAAGCAAAGAGGACGGCCAGCGAAGGGAGCACAGTCGAAACAATCTCCCGAAGCTGCAAAGCAACCCGCGAAACAACCTGCGAAACGAAGAAGATCCGACAGAAATTCAGGGAGCAGCAACAGCAACGTCGAGGAACAAGGAGAAGAAGAACAAGAGGACAATGTGGAAGAGAGGGAGACAAAGCGCCAACGAAGCGACAAGAAAGAGGATAAGGCTGCTTCATCGAAGTCAACCGCAACAAAGCAAAAAGGAAAGCCTGGTCGCAAAAGGAAGTCATCTGGAATAGGAGTCGACCAACCCGTCGTCCAACGCGGTCCTCCTCTTCCCAAAGGCCGCGGACTCGTCACATTGCATCGAGAAGAAGAAGATAACATGCGCACTACACGATCAGGCCGACATTCGTATAAGCCCGTAGCATTCTGGAGAGGCGAACAAGTCAAATACGATATCGGGGAAAATGATATCTTCGAAGATAAGAAACAGCGTTTCGTGATACCAAGCGTAGCGGGCATCATACGCAAAACCGAGGTTGAAAACGAACCGCGAAAACGCCGTCCCGGACGTCCTTCCAAGCTAGCTAAGAAGGGCCGCCCATCCGCGATAATAGAGGAAGATGTGGAGCGCGACGACTGGGAGTACGACCCCGGACGCGTGGCAGGCGAGTGTATATTCTGGCGGCCGGACCAAGAGAACCAACCAGATGACGGAGAGCTGGAGGTAGCCGAGGAGGAGCTGGCGATCTCGGAGGCGGCGATACAACTCAAGGACATCAAGGACGCGACGTTCCGGTTCGCTAAGACGCTGACGATGCCGTTCTTCGGCTCGGGCATCGTGGATATGCCACCCGGCTCGGAGAAGCGGACGAAGAACTCTAGGAAAATGCAGATGGTCTTCTTCGTGCACGCCGGCAGCGTCGAGGTCACGGTCGCGCAGACGGAGTTCAGGATCGGAAAGGGTGGGATGTGGTTCGTTCCTAGAGGTATGCTGATTCTTTTTGAGTCCTGTGTTGGAGAGAATATGGGATAGAAGTGCTAACTCGTTATGGCTTAGGAAACCACTACAGCATATTAAACAACAGCTCGATCCCGGCACGCATCTTCTTCGCGCAGGGCTGCGAGATGGTTGCTCAGCCGGAGGGCTTCGAAGGAACGCAGGAATAGGTTTCCTTGCAAACCAGTCCTCGTCTTCGTATCACATCCTCTACGTAGTTACGAAATGGAATAAGGAGAGGGTTTTCTGTAGAATCGTGGCAGCATCGTTTACTTGTTTGTAATTTTTGCTGTTTTGCGAAATTATAATGTCTAAGGGGTCCCGGAGGGCGGTTTTCCGAATCCTGTATGTCTCAGATCCCCATGGTTAAGGCGGCATTGCATCATCCTCGTCATTGCTATTCCCATCGATTTTTCACCGCCACTACATCTCTCTTTTCCGCTCACGCAGGTTCCCGCCGATCAAATCATACCGGCGTTTGAAGATTTCCAATTTCCCCAATGGACTTAAACAGGGTTGAAGGGGTGTCGGGGATGAGCTTTTTTAACACATATGTATCTATTACGCCGGGGGTTGCTTTCTGTCCTACCCAAGTAAATACCTAGGTAGAGTGAGCTTCTCATCGGGCAGGCTCTGATTAGGAGCTTAGAGCTCGAAGTCACAATACTTGGTCGTTGGTTGCTATTTATGATACCAAATCAAAAGTTCTTTTCATCTGTTCTATTCATCCATCTTATCTGTTCCTGCTGATATTTGCTTGTGCCGTGTTCTGCTCCATAGACCAAGGTAAGCGTAGGTGACAGACGAGTTTGAGTCGGAACTATTCTAGTTCGAATCAGGCCTATTGTTGTAAAGTGTGATCAAGTCATTATATACCTGAACAAGAATCTAGCAACTGAGTTGGGTATCGAATCGTTCCCCGTACGTACAATCATCCCCCCGCGTACCCATTTCCATCTACCTATAGAACAGCCTTCACCGTTCCCCTTTTGCTTTTTCCTACCAACCCTACCAACCCCCACCTACGCCTTTTCTTTTTGCTTTTCGTATACCCACCCCCGACCTAACCGCCAAGCCTTACATATAATCTACTCTAATACTCCGTCCCCAAAACCTTCTTCAGCCCCGCCATATCCCTCTCGTAGCCCTCGATCCTCCTCTGCGCGCCCTCGAGCTTAGCCAGAAGGTACGCGACCCTTGGCCCCGTCTCCCGCGGCTGCTTCGGCAAGCCGCCCAGCAGCGCGAGTTCCGCCTCCGCCTTCTCGATGGTCTTGACCTCGACCTTGGCGAGCTCCGTCAGCAGCGCGAGGTCCATCTTCGCCGCCAAGGCTTTGTCTTTCACGAGCTGGCAGAACGCGGCCTGATACACGGGTTTGCCGGGCGTGATGCTGCCCGGACGCCCGTTGGCGCTCTTCACCGTGATGAGCTCCGCGTTCGCGAGCCCTTCGAGGGCGGACTCGCCGTCGGGCGCCGTCGTCGAGGACGCGAAGGCGCCGTGCAGGAGGACCTCGTTGTAGCGCAGGCCGTCGGCGCCGGCCGCGGATAGGGACTTGACTAGGTGCCAAGCCTGCTCCACCGACCAAGCGTGCTCGCCGTCATGGGTTGTTTTGCCTGGTAGGAGGAACATCTTCAGGATCTCGGAGGCGGACTGCTCGGTGATTTCGGCTACGGCTTGCTTAGGGCTCTGTCCAGCTTTGAGGCGTCGCGCGAGCGACTCGAGGTCTGTCAGTCGCCCGCCAAGGATGTCGATACAGGAGTCGAGGTCGGTTAGGTCAGGCTGAATGAGGGGATGCTTTTCGGAGGGCTCCTTTGAATCGCCCGTTGCTTTGGTTGGTTGATCCTCACCATTGTTAATGTGGCCCAGGATAAAGCGTTTGGCGACATCAGGGGATAGGTCACCAAGAGCGGCCTGGCGGAAGATACGATCGGGTAGGAATTTAGAGAGAGATTTCGAATAAGAGGTATCGTTAGTTAGGAAGATGACGTGGGCGACATTAGATTGGACGAGAGCAGCCGCCCATTCGGCAATCTTTTCGTAGACAATGGTGTTAGCGTCGCCTTTATGGAGGAAGTTGTCTATCACGACCACAGGTCTTTTCTCGGCATGTGCTTCAAGATAAGCGTCGACAGCGAGTGAAGCATCAGGGTCATTCTTGCTGCGGTCCGCGACACCGATCTCTGTAAGGGCACTGGCAGTTGTCTGCAGGATTTTCTGAATTTGCGACTCCAACGTCTCGGAGAAACCAGCCTTTACACCAGTCGTGCTCTGGACAGCTAGCTCGACCATGCTGCTAACATTGTTCGCCCAAGAGAAGATAGGACGGTAGCCGACGGAGGCAGCCATGTGCTTGATCGTCGCTGATTCGCCCCTGGCTTCCACGATTGGCTTACAATCGATGACGAGAACGTTGCTTCTCCCCTTGAGGGCCTGGTCTAGCACCAATTCCTCCTTGCCAGAACCACGAGGCCCTTGGACGACAATGAAGGTTCCAGTGGTTTCTAAAAGCCATTTCTGGATCTGATCGATTAGGTCTTTTCTATGAGTCCAAAGTGCGTTCAGTCCTGCCTGGTCCACTTTCTCCCTTTTGAGGCTTAAGATATCAAATGTTCGTTGCCGAAGCCATCTATATAGTCTGCTGTTGCTGAGGCGGTATTTCTGTGTGACGTGGGCCTTGACGAAGAAAGACCGGATAGGGTCGAATATGATGACGGTGAGTCCGGTTAATAGTGCGACTATAACAGGAATGACGATCCTTGGGTGGCTCGATATCCAGTCCCAGAACCGATGTTGCCTAGCTCGCTGTTCATAGGACATCTGAAGTTTTGTTCCGAGCTTGCCGCCGCCGAGCTTTTCTGGAACGACGAAGCCATGCAAGCAATTTCGTGCCATGATGGCGTCCCTTACGAGAGCAAAGTCGACATGGGCGTATCGCGGGAGAACCTTGGAATCCCAGGGCTGTGAACTAATCTCGGCAATCTTGCCATACCGGCGGAATAAGCTATACAGGGTCTCTTGAGACAATTCAACTGCTTGTTCGCCAGGAACCTTGGGGACAAACTCGACCCTCAGGCGATCGTTAGGGAATCTGTGCAGATCCTCCAGCCAGGGGACGCCTTGGACCAATCCAGCCTGAACTCCTCTCCAGAAACTGAAAAATGGCTTCACAGGTTTCTCCTGAAGGGATTTGGTTATGGTCGATTCGATCTCCTGAACAGGCACGTTGGCCGGATAAGTGAATTTGACGAATGCACCACCGTCCTTGAGACGAGGTAGAATTTCCGTGATCTTGACTGGGGCTGTCTCGGGAATGGCACGCTTGACTAGATTAATTGGATCTAGCATACCTAGCGATGAGCTTTCAAATCTCTCCATCAACTTGGAAAGATCTTCGTCGGGGCTCTTCCATGGTGCTCGTAACAAGCCGGAAAGTCTCAGGGGAAACAGATCTGCAGAATATGATCAGCCATCTACCCATGCTTTAAACGTAGTTCATAGTATAGGCAACCATACTGTCGATCCATAGAATAGACTCATTCGGAGCTGCGTCAATATGTCCGCTCTTCCCTTCCCCCGTTGTGGTACTCTCCCAAGCTCTCAGTGCTGGGGTCCACCTTAGCTGGTAACGTGGGGTGATGATGGGTCTGGGCCTCAGTATTGAGCTCGGAGTCCTCAAGCCAGGCAAGCTCCTGGGGCAGGAACTTGCGAATCGTGAGATCATTGTCTGGCAAATTCGAACCCGTACCCCATGTCTGAGTGTTTTAGTAATACAGGAAGCAAGTTAAAGAAAGAATTTCTATAAGGATGCAGGTGTGATGAAATTTATTGGTATTAGTGCTCGGTTAACTCTTCTTCTCATTTCCTATAGGCCGATGAGGTCATCGTGGGTATGTCGGGTAGCTTTGCGTACCTGAGTAGCCACAATTGGAGGGGAAGATCAAGAGCGCCACAATAAGTCAAGCCACACTAATATGTTTCGCCGGAAAGAGCTTGAAGTCTAAAGCAAGGGAAAAAAGCAAGAGCAATAGACGAGGATATTGATGTACAACGGGTTATACGGATTCCCCGAACCGTGTATTAGGCTTTAGCAAGTAGATACTTGCATATCTGAGGTCACAGTATCAGACCATTCCTACGTCCGTAAGAGGTTAATCGTACCACGACCAGGGCCGTAATCAGCGACTTCGTCATTGGTCGATCCAGAAAAACCCATTACCTTCAAGGAAATATATCACGGACCAAATGCTACGATACTGATACTGCACCCCGCGCCGATGTCAATCCCCCGCATTGATCTCCCCTATCCTTCCAGCCTTCCACTCTTCTGAGCCTTTTATCCCTCTACATTCTTCCGGACTCGTTTCTTTGTTTTCTACGAAGACATCTATTCAAACGTCAGGGCTCGAAATATCTACATTTACAGACTCTCTCCGACCTACACGAACCTATACGAAGCCAGTTATTCAGATATCCATACCAAACCAGCAAGATGGGTTGGATGTGGTCATCCCCTCCCCCCCAGGGCCCCAATTCGAACCCCAACTCGTCCTTAGAACAGTCCAAACCCTCTCCGTCGACAAAGCAAACCGAATCTCAGTACGGCGACCCCGAAATCGCCAAGTTCATGGCCCAGCTACAAGAGGAATTCGGCAGCAACAGCAAGCCCGCCGAGGCAGCCAAACCACCACCACCACAACCACCCCCCTCTTCCTCAAACTCCGCTCCTTCTCCTCAGTCCACATCCACATCCACATCCTCATCCTCCTCCTCTTCATCATCATCATGGACCCGCTCCCTCTGGGGCTCCTCCAACAAATCCGAACCCTCTCCATCACCATCCACGACACTTTCCCAACCCAACCGCCAAACCTGGACCCCCTCGCGCCTAGACCCTCTCTCCGAATCCCTCCTGCCCACAGAAATGTCCTGCCGCCAAGCCTTCGACACAGCCTTCCACTGCAACTCGCTCGGCGGGCAATGGACGGCCGTGTACCGCGAAGGCAACGTGCGGTCGTGCTCGGAGCACTGGGACGACTTCTGGTTCTGCATGCGCACGCGCACCTTACCCACCCAACAAAAGGAAGACGCCGTCCGCGCCCACTACCGCCGCAAGGAGTACCTCAAGTACTTCGCGCCCGACCGGCCCTCGAGCGCCGACGTCTGGGAGCCGCGCGACGAGAAGCTCGAGCCGGGCGCCGCCTTCGCCGAGCCCCTCGAGATGCCCGACGTCAGCGACGAGGAGTGGCGGAGGCAGGAGATCGAGCGGAGGAGGAGGGTGAGGGAGATGCTTGCGAAGGATGAGGCGTGAGTGAATTGTATAGATGCGGATAGAGAGTGTAGGATGAACTGGATTGGGCTGGACTAGGCTGGAGATAGGTTGCATTATAATTTACATTTTGTGTACTAGTAATTACAAGCTGTAATACTCCCAAAGAATATGTCCCCAGGAATTACAGCAAGATTGAGCCGTCGTCATGCTCTCTGTGTACAGTAGATATATCAACATCAACGTCAACCTCCTTTATCTTCTACGAACTCGTTTCACCAAGCCAACGGTGGTATCATACTAGTTAAGGCCTTATGGCCTTTTAATCACACCCAAGGAACTCAAGAATCACATATCACATAAGTTTCAAGACCACATGTTTATTTTATGAATTAACTTCATTGCTTCGTGTAAGAAGTAGGATCATTCCTGCCTAGAATACATCCATGCAAGTCGTAAAACCGCAACTTTTGCCCTTTATCATTACCAGTAAAACTCTAGTAGTGCAAACCCATGAGAAATCCGAGACCGCCACTCGGTGCGTCATAACACCACACCGATGGGAAAACGCCGGGAAGTAACAAAGACAGAAAGGTCATTGAAAAGAAACCGTTTAGTCAACCTCCTCGACGGTGGGGCCGTCATCCTGACCAGCACCGGGGGCGCCAGCACCAGGGAAGCCACCAGGGCCACCGGCGCCGGGCATACCGCCGGGCATACCACCAGCACCGCCAGCTCCGTAGAACTTCATCATGATGGGGTTGGCAATGCCCTCCAACTCCTTCTGCTTCTCTTCGTACTCCTCGCGAGTAGCTTGCTGGTTCTCATCGAGCCAAGAGACGACCTTGTCGATCTCGGTCTTCAGCTTCTCCTTGTCACCAGCGTCGAGCTTCTCATCGACCTTGGAGTCGGACATGGTGTTTCGGAGAGAGTAAGCGTAAGACTCCAGGCCGTTCTTCGCGCCGATACGGCGGCCCTCAGCCTCATCCTCCTCCTTGTACTTCTCGGCTTCAGCAAGCATACGCTCGATCTCCTCCTTGGACAGGCGGCCCTTGTCGTTGGTGATGACAATCTTGTTCGACTTTCCGGTGCCCTTCTCGACAGCGGAGACGTTCATGATACCGTTGGCATCGAGGTCGAAAGTAACCTCGATCTGGGGAACACCACGGGGTGCGGGAGGGATGCCAGTGAGCTCGAACTTGCCGAGCAAGCTGTTGTCCTTGGTGCGTTGACGCTCACCCTCGTAGACTTGGATAAGCACACCGGGCTGGTTGTCGGAGAAGGTGGAGAAGACCTCCGACTTCTTGGTAGGAATGGTGGTGTTACGGGGGATGAGCTTAGTCATCATGCCACCAGCAGTCTCGATACCGAGAGATAGGGCAGCAACGTCGAGAAGAAGAATCTCGTTAGTCGACTTGGAGCTGGTGTCACCAGAAAGGATAGCGGCCTGGACGGCAGCACCGTAGGCAACAGCCTCATCGGGGTTAATCGACTTGTTGGGTTCCTTGCCGTTGAAGTAGTCCGTGATAAGCTTCTGAACACGGGGGATACGAGTAGAACCACCGACAAGGACGATCTCATGAACCTGAGACTTGTCAATCTTCGCATCAGCCAAGACACGGTCGACGGGCTGAATGGTGGATCGGAAAAGATCCTGGCAAAGCTCCTCGAAACGAGCACGAGTGATCGATGTGTAGAAGTCAATACCCTCAAACAGGGAGTCGATCTCGATGGAGGTCTGAGCAGAGGAAGAAAGAGTACGCTTGGCACGCTCGCAAGCGGTTCGGAGACGTCGAAGAGCACGAGCGTTGGTGGAGAGATCCTTCTTGTGCTTGCGCTTGAATTCGTTGACGAAGTGGTTTACAAGTCGGTTGTCGAAGTCCTCACCACCCAAGTGAGTGTCACCAGCGGTAGACTTGACCTCGAAGATACCCTCCTCGATGGTAAGGAGGGAGACATCGAAGGTACCACCACCGAGATCGAAGATGAGAACGTTGCGCTCACCCTCAGCCTTCTTGTCAAGACCGTAGGCGATGGCAGCCGCGGTGGGCTCGTTGATGATTCGGAGGACGTTCAGGCCAGAGATGAGACCGGCGTCCTTGGTGGCTTGACGTTGAGAGTCGTTGAAGTAGGCTGGCACAGTAATGACAGCGTTGGTGACGGTGCCGCCAAGGTAGGACTCGGCGGTCTCACGCATCTTGGTGAGGACCATGGAGGAAATCTCCTCGGGGGTGAACTGCTTGTTCTCACCCTTGTACTCGACTTCAATAATAGGCTTGCCATTCTTCTCGATGACCTTGAAGGGGAAGTGCTTCATGTCGGCTTGCACCTCAGGGTCGCTGAATTTACGACCAATCAGACGCTTAGCGTCGAAGACGGTGTTGTGGGGGTTCATGGCAACCTGGTTCTTGGCGGCATCACCAATCAGACGCTCAGTGTCTGTGAAGGCAACGAACGAAGGTGTGGTTCGGTTACCCTGGTCATTGGCGATAATCTCGATGCGGTCGTCTCGAAAGACGCCGACACACGAGTAGGTCGTGCCCAAGTCAATTCCGACTGCGGCAACCATGGTGAAAAATGTGATGGAGAATTTGAGATGTCAAAATAGTAGTGGTGGGGTAATGCGGGATGTGTAGAAGTGTGCGTGAGGTTGTAGATGTGAAAACGCAAGAGAATTATTTACCCTAGTGGGGTTGGGTATCTAGAAAGGTATTATGCGTTTACTCTTGAAGAGAGGAAGATGTTGTTTATGATTGAGTTTGAAGATGGAAAGGAAGAAATTGTTGCTTGGGATTTCACCTGGAGTTTAATACAATTGCAAGTGGAAGCTATGGTGGGGCCAAGGAATCTTCTCGAATTGCTGGAAGATGGTACCCGCTTCTGGTACTTTCCGCCTAACCTACAGATAGAAGAGAATAGTAGGTTCCTGAATACAGAAGAGCACACTAGACGATAACAGTGATTTCTAGGTACATATCACTCTGCTGTGACACCAGTTTTTGTACGGTCTACACCTGACAGACCTGATAAATCAGTAATTTTTAAGTTTACAGTTGACCAGTCACTGGTTCTGTACTTTCTCAAGAGCAAAAAATCCCTACCTGCAACTGCAACAGCTGTAACTAGGTATTCCAAAATATCTGGTAGGTACCCACAGTACCAAGATACATGATGGAAGCCGTACCTACCCCGCCATGCTCACCATGTTCATGTTGACATCACTGCCTTCCACAGGCAGGCGGTTGCCCGGTCTATTCAGCCCGCCAAGGCCCACAAAATCTTTCACTCTGTGGGCGATTTACAAAATCTGAACGAAAAATGCCTAGGTACATATCTAGATGTACCTTTCTTTGTTCGACTTTTCCTTCCCATATTCTTCTCTTATCTTCTTTTTGCCTTCAGACATGAAGAAACCGGTTGTTGAGGCAACTTCCAGCTGTTTCGTCTAACTCTATTTTTTTCTGCCTTCCGGTTGCCTGCTTCACATTACAATATGTACAAAGCCGCAAAAGTACATACCTGGATTGTTACTGTAAGCACACCCATTCTAGAAGATTCATTAATTCCCCTTGTATTTTTAACTTTTTGCACATGTGCATTTGTATTTGGAGGTACAAGTTTCAAATACATGTGGTACAGCGCACTGGAGATCTACTTTGTACACATTTGACATGTTCCAAGTTCTGATCAGCCTTATTGTATTATTTCTTATTTACATACAAACCTATTTTGTACGAGTCTTCCAATGAAACATTTGAAAATTCGTTAATGCCTGAATTTCGTATATTTCTCGCCCACGTAACATGTATGTAGGTAGCTAGCTCGATGCAGGAAGTTTTAATATCTGCATCTCCTGTGTAATTGGTACGAGTGGAGGCATTTTCACGCTACATGTACGTCACCCATCTAAAGAGGCAAGCCACAGCAACCTTCGGTATATAAGCAGCCAATTGCTCCGGAAACGTTGACGGTTTGAATTACCGGCATGTCTCAAATTCGAGGGTTGCGGGCAAATCAAAATTAAGACCCGTTCGCCAACGCCTATAAACGACCGTTTCTGACCCGCCTGAGTTTCGAGTAGATACCAAATTATCAGATGTGTTACACATCTCGATCTACCTACATATCCATGCATGATTCTCGTGAATTCCGTGGCCTACATAGACGTGAACAACACATAATCACTATCTCGGGGCAATAATCTGACATCTGACATCTTGGATATTTTTATTCTCGGCATGCTCGATACAGGTTACCGACAAAAGACCACTAGCAGAAATGCTCGATCTCCTCAGGCTTCCCGTCCCTCGGCCCTAAGTCTGTCTTTAGGACTCGGTTGAACAGCTCCGTCAGTACCTCGAAGCAGATCTTGGTGATAGCCGGATCGTATCGGCCTTTGCTCAGCTCGTCACGGATGAAGGCATGCTGCGCCCACGCGAACTCGTAGAAGCTAAATACTGTCCCGGAGCTCCTCATCTTCTGCCGAATCAGATCTCGGCCGTCATCCGGGACGTGGGTGTCCTTGATACCGAAGATCATGGCCACCTCGCCCTTGATTTCTCCGAGCTTGTCGATCGTGTGGGTACTATTCGCCGGACCGTCGAATGACTTATCAGCCGCGGTATAAGGACCTAGCGTGCGGCTGTGGACATCCGTCGCGAAGTAGGAAACGCCTGCGCTTATCCGCGGATCCAGCTACAAGACTCGTCAGTAAGCAATACGTCCTTCGAAAGGGAGAGTCATACGGTAGCTCTTAGAGCAAGATGACCACCTAGACACATTCCAGTGGTACCTATCCGTCCATTGCATGTAGGAAGACTGAGGAGGTAGTCGACAGTCTTGCGGGAATCTGCGTCATACGATTGGAGAGTCTGGCATGAAATTTTGTAAGCCCTCGCTTATTCACCGGGTCGCATGAGGGCTAATAGCTATACTTTGGTTATTTTCAACTCGTTCCCTTTGTCAGTGCCTGGAACATCATAGGCCAAGGCCTCTGGCCCAATGAAGTCATGATACGACGAAGGAGCAGCGACAATGTAGCCATGTCCTGCGATTTGACGCGCAAATCGCGCCACCGGACCAGTTACTGTTCGATACGCTAGTCAGCAAGCTGCATGGTCGTTCGACTTGCTTTGTCTGATGTCAAGCGCGTCAAATGAAGATGGTACCTTGATAGATCTCGCTGAATAGTACGATGCCAGGGAATCGACTGCCAACTCATCAGCAAACCTGTATCGAAGACCCGAATAGGAAGAGAGGATCAAAGCTATACGCATTGGGATATTGCGAGATGGTGGGATGGAAAGTAAAAATTCCTGCCCAACGTTAGTGCCTTGAGCTGGGACCTGTGTCTGGCCGTATAGGGCCTTCTTCTCACTCATAGACGTCTCCTTTCCATCCACGTTTGTTGTGACATCGACATGGTCTTCCTTAAGCAGCATCTTGACTAGATCTCCTAACACCAGGAGCAAGATGATATGTAGAAGTTTGTATCTTGATTTCGAAGTGGAACACGGATATCTTAAACCAGTTGGAACCCCGCGCCGGATAATGGAGCTTTAAATGCGGGGGACAAGCTTGAGCTCACCAAGCCACGGCTCCGGCTTCGAATCGGCGTTCTTCACGGATCCTCAATCGTAAGTTTTCTGTAATTTGGGGTATAGTGTGTGTGATCTTCAAGCGATAAAGGCAGGTCTCCTGCAAGAAAGCGACTCTATATACAATTCTGATATCATGTGCTGCGAATATCTTACGATAGATTACTAAGTAGACGCATCATCTCCAAACAGCCGTTCGAAAGCGGAGGCTGTTGTGATATATAGGCTAAGAAATAAAGGAGTATTGGCATATATTAATTACTATACCAATGGTATGATTCTATTGATCATCGCGCCTGGTAAACGCTATCGGCCGACTCACATGTGGGGAACTTGAGAGCTCTGTAGTAGCAAGTTGACGATACTCAAGAAACCTTCTCCCAAAATAAAGCCCTGGCATTCATACATTAGTTATGATCTCGGGGAATCACTCTAAGGCCCGGGTACTCGGTACTCACTGATGCGACAACGATGAGGGGCGTGTCCTCTTTTCGTAGATATACCCTCCAGTACCAGTTTAGAAGCCCGCCTATCGTCCTCGCCAGGGTAAAGGATGGGACGTTGTACATTCCTATGAGCATTGTTAGTGACGAATAAAGGTCACGAAATATTTCTAGACAGCTCTTACCAACTGCTACGGCGATTCCGCCAGGAATATAAGCATGCCAGCTCTTTCCAATTGCCTTCGTCCGCAACGCAGTAAAGAAGGCGAATATGACCGCACCACCGATAGCGAACTCCCTCGCCATATAAGGGAGCCCCTTTCCAGTTACCAATCTCGCGGTGAAGATCCACACAAAGCCAGTTGGTACTTGGAACAAGTCTCCGGGAACCTCGTAGACGGCCGTGTAGAGTCTATAAATCAGTGCGCTAACGACGGCCCCCACAGTTGCGCCGATGATCTGACCCCAGAATTGCGCTTTAGGTGCTGCTCCCAGTAGATGGCCTGTCTTTAAATCCTGCATGAGGTCACCAGCTTGTAATGCGCCAGCTTCAGACACAGCGCCGGCCACCAAGTTGATGAGGACGCTGGACTTGTGGGTCTGTGGAATAATAAGGGCGAAGAAAAGCTGTGCTAGTTTGCTAATTCCGGAAACTGGATTGAGGTCTGTCTCGCCTAATGCTCGAACACCCATGATGCTTAATATCATCGCCATAAAAACCGCTATGACGGTTGCGTATAGGGGAACTAGGTTGCCGAATGTAATGTGTATGCTGGCGATGCAAAAGAGAACCGATATAACGAGACCGATGCTAACAGTCCTGTCCCCAACCAATTGTTCAGCCGGAGCATCGTCTTCGTCCCAGGCTCTCTGGGAAGTAACCGGATGAGTGTTGAAGGGGTTCCTACGTTCAAGTATCGGACTTGGTAAGCTGTCAAGGTCCTCGGAGTTTCGCGTTCCAGCCGAGGGCCTCGAATCATCCTCGTTGGCCTGAACAGCCACGTAACCGACGGGTCTGCGATTAAAAAGACCCTTAAACCCATCTTGCTGGTATCGATGCTTAATAGTTGCGATAAAGGACGGAGCACGCTTGATAACAGGGTTGAAGGCAATGTAGCCCAGGCTGACAACTGCATCTGCTAGCATAATGGCAAGAGATGTCCAAACAATCCAACCCTTGCTACCGGTTTCCCAATCATTGATCGAACCCGGTGCCCAACCTCGATATTTAGCAAGGGGCGACAGAATTCCCCACCCAACAACAGCTCCGACGAGCATATGTATTGTTGTAGAGGGCCCCATGATGATACCTTGGCCGACGTACGCGAAACTCGGGTTCAAAGTCCATAGCCATGTGTCGGCTGCCACGGTTCCAAAGATGGGAAGGTTTCGGAGGATGGGAAAGAAGTAAGTCAAAAGAGTGTAGAATCCGGATACCCCAAAAGTGATTAAGAGGAGGCGAATGTTAGAACGCCAACTATATTGTTTCACTGTCTCGACGCGTGGGGGTTCGTCGGTTGGATCGACGGTCTCATCTTCACCACCACTACCTTCAGCTTGAACAAGCGGTCTACTGTCAAGTGCTAAGCTCCCGAACGTCGCAGCCTTTGAGGTATCTAGAGCACCACCATTTTGACTCTGCCCTCTTCCGTGCAGGACGCCGATTAGGACAGCGGTACTAAATCCACTAGGAAACTTCAGTTGCTCTCTGATAATCACTTGACGTCGTCTAGGGAAATTAGATATGATTATAAAACGAGTCCAGAGAGCGTCAGTAACTTACAATGGAACAGCAAAGACGACGCCAAAGTAGCAAAGGCCTAAGGACCAAATAATAAGCTTCCACATGCTCAGATGTATCGGCCCTTGTTCCGACGGTTTCAACAGATACTCCATGGCCGGAATCTAAATCATGAACAGGACTAGTTAATTCAATGAATCCCTTCTTGCCGGGTCTCGGGCTACCTTACCACACCCACAAATCCACAACCAAGAGGCATGATTGCCATGCCGCCGGCCACGGACTGGACGAGGACATTTTCAACGGGAGAGAAAGGGAAAGACAAGTGACGCGATAGAGTCTTGAAGATACCGAAACCCAGTAAACTAGAAGGCATTGTCATCATGGAAATCCAACCGGTCTGCAACCCAAAGTACATATTGCTGAAACATATTCTACAATGACTAGTTAGCAACTGTATTCTTTACAGATCGCCGAGTCACAGATAGGGGTCATGGGCTTGATATTCCGGATTTTACTACGAATAGGACTCACATCAGCCCGACGAGCAGACCGGCAGCGACACCCCGGAGCGTGAAATGGCGGCCCTCCGGAAGATACTTAACATCATCTCGGGATTCTTCTTCGGCGTCGGGTGGATACGGAGGAGGCAGATCCTCAATAGTCCCTCTGTCGGGAGACATAGTAGCTAGTGGGCGGGATGGAAGTGGAACGAGGGCGGAATGTGATAGGCCGTAAGCTAGTAGGAGCTAATAATAATCACATCAACCACACCTAGTTTTCATCTATAAATAACAGTATACGCTACTCATTCCATCATATTGAGGCTGACAGATTGATGTCAAAGAGTGAGTTGAGCGGATGAAGTTAAAAGAATCAAGTATCGGCAAGAGTTCAGGGTTGTACTGATAATGGCCGCTGACCAATTCGGAGATATCAAGAAGCTGCTACCTAATCCGATAAAGGCTAATACGGAACTCCACATTCCCAAAACTCATTTGCCAAGACTTCGCTGGAGTCGAGTACTTGTGTACCTACAGTTGTACCTATGAACAATAAACCTACCTAACATATTAACTAAATCGACTTTATTGTCTTTTAATTACCTAGGAGAAGAAGCAATACAGAAATATAATTGATAAAAAGGAGATGAACGATAGCGACCTCCATGCTGCAGCCACAGTTGTACCAGATATGAGGAAAGGGGGTAACTCGCAGTTGATAAAAGACAGGGTGGTTACACACTAGGTATGTACATGTAGTTAGCCGTCGATATGACGACATCAAGCGGTATCCATTGGTTTATTTCTGTGTAATATGAAGAACATCAGAATTCCCGTACCACCTCGAAGTAAATAATGGCTTTTCATTTTGCAGTATAACTATGCCACTGATCGTAATATCAATGCCAAAAGAGGTTATGGGATCAACCTCTCCGGAAGATTCAATACAAAAAAAAAATTTGGAAGATCTGACTTGGAGATCTAAGAAAAGAAAAAGATACCGAGTAAGGAGATTGTCCGGGTTTAAACGTTTTAACCAATCGAATTGTTAGCCGCTACCCCTCGCGACTAGCTCGTCCAAATGTAGCTAGCGCGGGGTAGAAATCATGTACCAGCCGAACTCGCTCGACATATTTTTTTTATTTTTCATTCTTCGCCATCTCCAAGTCTTATATCACCCTTCAAGGGACTTGGAGATCGCTAGAATAATACACAATTGCCTTCGACACCGTCGACCCCCAAACAAATACGATGTCGAACGGAGTGAACGGCCAGACGACAGCTGATGGCTCGTCTGAGTCTCATATTTCCTCGCAACGGTATTTGAGCACCAGAGGCGATGACTACGACGTAAGATCTATACTAATCTGACACTTTGCACTTTGTGTTTTGCAATTGTTCTCTATTGACTATCCTTACCAGCTTTCATTCGAGGAAGTCGTTTTGAAAGGTCTAGCATCTGACGGAGGCCTTTATATTCCCGAAGAAATCCCCAAAGCGGAAAATTGGGAGAGCTGGAAAGATCTGTCCTTCCCCGACCTGGCCCTTGAAGTCCTATCCTTGTACATTGCTCCGTCTGAGATTCCGCGCGAAGACCTCAAGGGTATTATTGACAGGAGTTATTCCACCTTCCGTGCGCCTGAGACCACCCCCCTACGACATCTCCACGACAACCTATATCTCCTAGAACTTTTCCACGGCCCTACATTCGCCTTCAAGGATGTTGCTCTACAGTTCCTAGGCAACCTATTCGAGTACTTTTTAGTGCGTAAGAACGAGGGGAAGTCGGGCAGTGATCGTCACCATCTCACCGTGGTTGGCGCTACAAGTGGTGACACCGGGTCAGCAGCCATCTACGGTCTTCGCGGCAAGAAGGATGTGTCCGTGTTCATTCTACATCCTAAGGGCAGGGTCAGCCCTATCCAAGAAGCCCAGATGACCACGGTGTTGGACGCCAACGTCCACAACCTGGCTGTTACCGGCACCTTCGACGATTGCCAAGATATTGTGAAGGCTCTGTTCGCCGATCCCGATATCAACTCAACCCTTAACCTCGGAGCGGTGAATTCCATCAACTGGGCCAGAATTCTCGCCCAGATTGTTTACTACTTCTACTCTTACTTCTCACTTGTCAAGTCCTCTGGTTTAGCCTTAGGTGAGAAGGTCCGGTATGTTGTGCCTAGCGGTAATTTCGGCGATATTCTAGCCGGGTACTTCGCGCACAGAATGGGTCTTCCTACAGAGAAATTGGTCGTCGCCACAAATGAGAATGACATCCTCGATCGATTCTGGAAGACCGGAAGATACGAGAAGAAACCTGCCTTCGGCCAAGAGGCGCAGGGAGGCTTGGCGGTTGATGGTGTTAAAGCGCACGAAGATGGCGTCAAAGAAACCCTGAGCCCTGCCATGGACATTCTTGTCTCAAGCAACTTCGAGAGACTACTCTGGTTCCTGGCCTACGAATTTGCTTCTATAGCCGGCATGGACGACGAGTGGAACAGAAAGCAAGCTAGCCAGGAGGTAGCGGCCTGGATGAAGCAACTAAAGTCGAGCGGTGGTTTCGGCCCAGTTTACCAGGACGTGCACTCCAGTGCTAAACGTGACTTCGAAAGCGAACGGGTGAGCGATTCGCAGACGGTTGATACAATCAAGGACTACTTCAAGAAGATCGACTACGTCCTAGATCCTCACTCAGCCATTGGCGTGGCTGCTTCATTACGGTCGCTAGAACGTTCTAAGGCACCACATATTTCGCTTTCGACCGCCCACCCGGCCAAGTTCGCCGGCGCAGTCGAGATGGCCTTGAAAGATGAGGCCGGATTTGACTTCGAAGAGAAGGTGCTCCCGCCCGAGTTCCACGGCTTAGAGGCGAAGGAGAAGAGAGTTACCGAAGTCGTCAACGACTGGAAGACGGTTAGAGAGATCGTCAAAAAGCAGGTAGAAGAAGAGTTGAAGGGCGAAGCATAAGACGGCGTTCAGAATTTTGGATTTTGCATAAGACACATTCATCGACCATGTGCATTGAATTTGCGCGCGCTCGTGTTCGCTCGCAGAGATAAATATATAAATCAATAAATACCCTCTTACTCATCTACGCCGACTCCTGAAACTACTATTTTCTATGTACTATCATTATTCGTACAATGCATGTTGCACAATTACTCAAGTATAGGGGGAATAGGAGAAGTATCACACCGCGCATGCGCATATAAGAGCGATTAATACATCGAATTTTCTCAATTATCATCGTCCCATATTCAGAACAAATTCGTGGAAATTCATGCCATCATATATATTCATTACAACCAGGTGATATGTATATATTACTCGTCACAGTTCCCACCGGGCCTTATTACATTTCCTGTATTCACTTTTCCCCCCATCGCTAAGATCCTTCCTTATACTCTTTAAGAAGGCAGGGTCTGGACAGGGTAGCTCTGGTCAGGAGTAACGACCGTTCCGTTCACCAACTGCGTATCTTTGTACTATAGCACTCAACGTCAGCAAATATTTCCTCAGATCATTAGTATCTATATAGGTATACTCACAGCAGGGTACACGATCAGCCCCTTATTATAATCGATGACGCTGAGGGTGGTGAAGCCCTCGCCCTCGCCGAACTGGCCGCTCCAGGTGCTGGTGACGGTGTAGTTGCCGAAGGTCTGGGCCTCGCCGATGGCCTGGGTGGCGGGCGCGGAGTCGCTCGCCTTGACGGTGTAGTTGGACACGCTGGTGGTGGCGACGCCGTCCTCGCCCGTGTTGATGCCGAACTCCCACACGCACGTCGTGTTGCTGTCGTCGCAGGTGCGCTTCAGCGACTCGATCGTCCACTGCGCCGCGTTCGGGGCCGCCATTGAGAGAGGTGCCGCGAGGGTGCTTGCTGCGGAGAGGAGGAGGGTGGAGAGGAAGGTTGTTGTTGTTGAGAACTGCATCTTTTCTTTCGTTTCTTCGTTCGCTCGTTAGGTTTATTATGAATTAAGTATTAGCTCTAGGGTTATAGAGCTTAGGTTTGGTATGGAGCTGGTTTGAGTGTCGGCAATTCACAAAACGAATGACTAGAGAGAGATATGCGGTGGATAATGATATTCCCTGTGGAGAGCAAAGAATATGGACCCTGAGAAAACTGAGTTGGCAGGTTGGAAGTGGTGATGTCTCTGGGAGAGGCTCCGTATATTTATGTATGCACGACCACTTGTCATGAACCGGACAAGGCACGCGTGGTAGGATATACGTTGTATGATATGACACCCAGCAACGCAAATAGCTACTCCGCTCTCCTCACAATCTCCAACCGACTATCCGTCTGGAATTTTCGCTGCGTCCATTCATGTGAACTGCGCCGTCCCTTTCCATGACATCGCGCGCCTCCCTACATGCCTACGACGTTTCGTTTCAATCAAATGCAATGGCCATGCTTTTCGAACCCCGGCCTCGTATCCAACGACCTCTCTCCCGCCAAAAAGAGAGTTTTTCTATGAGATCGAATCGACCAGACGTTTACCGGCCGCATACTCGACGTTCCATCCGCGACTCGATACAGTCAGACGGTCAGGACGGTATGGTCAATAGTGGCCGGGTTAGGCATGGTCGATCGCGTTTGTTTCGAGATCTCTGATCACGCAGTGACCGGTAGGCGGCAGATGGGTGGGGAAAACGGGATCGACGGTGCCAAGCTTCGTATTCCACTGCCGCGCCCCTTGCAGATGGTAGGACTCGCTTGAGTCGGTAGGTCGTGTGGAGAAAAGGGACGAAATACCAAAGCCGCGTAAGGCCCGCACCCGTTTCGCTGCTTCTTTTCGACTTTGCAGCCGTCGAAAGCAACGTTGCTATAGTACCTAGCTTCGCTCCCAGTAGAGAGTGGCAACCATGTCCATTGGGTCGGACTATTAACATCATAGGGCGGCTATGCTAGCCCGTAACCGCTTGCTGCTTTGTGACGAGATACGGTAACATCGTATGAATCAATTAATATGTGACCAGTTACTCTTAGGAGGTGCGGGGCTCTCTGGTTCGTCCATTCGTCGATCTGATCCCAAATTAGGAAGGTTGTACATTCGGAGTTAGTATGCGGGTAGCTAGAGGAAAGAAACGGGCCTGAAGGTGATGGAATGTGCAGGATATAGACCCCAAGACAAATATATTAAGAGTAAGCTCAAGTGTCTAAAGTTTCGAAAGATGACATAAATCCCTCTAAATCTCCTGAATGTAGGCCCAAGCGGCGAGACCAATATAAATGCCACGCTCATGACCGTTCTATAGTAAGACATACATATACGGCTTCTCGTGTTACCTACTTCTTCCTTCTTCGGACACGGTATAGCCCACGAGCGCGACTTTATGTCAGTCTTGAGCTCGTGGATTGGTGAGTAGGCGAATCCACGAAGTAATTCAGGCTCAGAGTCGTTCTTGAAGAGGTCGCATCGTGCGAGAGTAAACTTTCATGTACAGGGCTCGAAACTAAACGCGTCAACATCTAGCATATACGAAAAAGTCTAAGAATCTAATATGACTTCTAGTTAAAAGCAGTACACGCAAACACTATATAGAGGACATTCTGTCTCGATACACGACTATGGTGTATGGTGTATTTCTAGATCACAATACCTCTCTTAGCCCAGCCATCTCGGCCTTTCCAGGCCCAGAGGATCATGACTGTTCCAACCCATATACAAATTGTCATGGCCCAGAATGTGGACGCGTAGCACTGCTTGCCGAAGCAGAATACATCGTCCTCATCACTTCCTGATGTTAACGAAGGTGAATCTCTAGCACCCGCTTGGTAGACTGCTGAGTAAATGAGTCCCCACATCGTGGATCCTAGGGCTGGTGTGAGAGCAACGATGCCAAAATTAGTGCCAAAATTCTCTACTCCCCAAATCATAGTAATAATTATAGGTGTTAAGCTGAATACGGCTCCGTACCCAGCTCCAATCGAGCTGGAGACGATCCAGAATCGCTCTCCGTGCTCCTGGACTACGCCAGATGCCAGCACAAGTGTGCCAATGGAGAGGATAATGGCAGCAGCAACAAATAGAACAACACGCGAGACTGATAATTTTTGCCTCAGCTCCGGAAGCGTAGTCGGAAATCCTGTTTGGACGTGTTGTGTATGCGGGTTAGGCGAGAGTAAGTCACTTAACGACGCTGCGAGTAGACGAGCAACGGTGCTCACCGCAGCCATGATCGAAACATGTGTTGCCGCCGTGGTTTCGTTCGATTTCGTATTCGGAGAATATAACGTCCCAATAACAGTACCGAGATTGTTAATGAAAGACTCGCCCGGTCCGATGATCAACCAGAAACCAAGCGCAAACCACCACATTGTGTGATCTGTAAGAAACCTTCGAGTCTCGGCGTTGAGGAGCCAGGCCTTTTTCAACCTGGCATTGTCATCATCCTCATCGTCATCCCTAGCCGGGTCCATGACGCCAGCATCGTCGTCGATCGCATCGGTAGTACCATAGTCACGATCGGCTCGGCGGCGGAAAACCGCGCTTCCCTCGAGGAGCCCACTCCTCTCAAGCTCCTCTACCGCTTCGTCTATGAGGTCATCTTCATCCACAACCCGTAATGAGAAGGTGCCAATGAGCCCAAGGACGGATAGGATGATGCAGAGGAACAGGAAGAAATGGAACACATTAACGTCTCCTCGGCCTCCGCCTGGTTGTGTCTCGTAGAGGATTCGACTACCAATCTGGCTGAAAACCATTCCACCAAGGCCGAATGACGCGATAGGAGCGACCAGCATCAGGCCTCGGTATTTTCCTTTGCCGAAGTTCTTGGCGCAGGTTGTGATGGCACTGATATACATGCACGAGGTGCCGACGCCAATAGCCACGAAAGCAAACACCATGGGAGGGAATGTGGCCCTACCGCCTTTACTACCATCGCTAACTTCTACAAGCCCCTTACGATATAAGCCAGAGGCTAATCCGTAACCCCCTCCGAGCAGGACCGAAGACAACAAAGAGAGAGGACCAGGTCCTACTCGGTCGCACATGTAGCCAATCACCGGGACCGGGATGTACATAGATATGCTCATGGCACTTGCAATTCCATTGATTTGGAACTGTGTATAGTGTAATCGAGATTGGAATAGGTGGCCGTAAAGGGAGAAGACGGTGATGGATCCGGCGCAGAGAGCGGCAATGATGGATACTACGAAGGCAAGAGCGCGCACAGCACGCGTCTTGCGTCTGATCTTCGCAATGGATGCGTCATCGCTGATGGAGGTTTGCGAGGTTGATGAGGCTAAAGTCGAGGATGAGGCCGATCGTAGGAGCGGTGCCAGGGACGGATCGGAGCTTGACGACGTCGCCATGATCGCGAACGAGAGGCAGCTCGTTTGCCGAGTGACTTCTATGTGTGATGCGATGGAATCAAGTATATTGAAAACCCTCTATAAAGTATTAATAAGGTTGAAAAGAATGACGGGAAGATGATGTTTCCCATCTCCTTCCGCATGGAATAAGGGGAAAGAAGTTGGAGAGTTTGGTCATTCAAAGCCTCGACTCTGACGTGCTCACAGACGGAAGCAACGGCCGGCCTTATCTTATCGCAGGCTTCCCAAATGATGATGATGCACAGCACCTGCTGCAATGCAAGATCCAACTGGTGGCAGGTCAGCCAATCAAATGACAGGGGCCCATATCCGAAATCGCTTTTACTTAAGCGCATCCATGCTAGCACCCGCACGTTTTAGGGAAGCTTAAGGGATGCTCATGACCAAACGTACCTATTTAGACGGTCATCACCGTATCTTTACAAAACAAGTAGGTACCTAAGAATAGAGTTCTCGAATAAGAATATATCGAGTACCTACTATTTAGAGCAGGTTTAGATGGTTAAAGTTTGAATAGGTACCTTAACAAATAGGCGGTGATTATAGAGGTAGTAGGTATCATATAGGTAGCCAACAGTGCGCGTATTATACGTCTGTCGTACACTCTTCACCCCCTGCCCCATACATCTAACCAACCCTTTCCCTTTTCCATGCAAACATTGGGATATACATCGTTTTATGCGTTTATTCTTACGGCGGTCTGAGCAGGAAATCACTCAGCACTCGTCATAGATAGCATTCCAAGATGAATGCGCAAACTTGCCCATTTGCCTTTTTTAGAGGGACGACCAAAGAACTTTTAGTATTTAATCAGACATCGACACCTCGATGTCAATGTCTTCTCACCGGTCGTTAAGGTATTTCCTTTCTTTATTTTATACTGGGCTATAGACTAATGCCCTGTCGTATCCAGACCACCCATTATGTATTCATATATAAGCACTACCTCATTACTTCGTCTAACATGACCTCTGGGACAAGCAAACTTGCCCTGCACGTCTTGCGGCTCATATTTTCGCGACAGAGATATGTTGTACCAGTATTGCCTAAACCCACTTAACTGGGCTATTGGCAGAACTTGTGGTTCCTGTCAATGGCATCAACAAGAAGACTACCGAGACGAGAAGGCCCTGCATGGCCACTTCTCATCGCGATGCAGACAGTGCAGGTTCTTGGCGCCATCGTTGGCATCTTCATGATCCATCTTATTGAGATAACCAGTGATGGACACAATCCCGGCATTAGCCAAGATCGCTTCAGCAATACTGTGGGGCTTGTATCGTCCAGAACGAGACGCAAAAACTGGACGATACACTCACCAACCGGTGTGCTAAGCTACGGGCCACCAAAGTACTGTGCCAACGGGATGCCGGTGCTTCTCTAACCCTATCATGGCGTTACCAGTTGAATTACCAAAGGTCAGTGCGTACCGAGGAAACGATGGTCGACGTCAATCCTTTATGAACAATGGACCTAATCCTGGACGATCCTGGGGTGGAGGCAGACGAGATGGAACTGGAATGCCTTGAATATGCTGGAATTGTGGGATAGAAGGGCACACATCCCATCTGTGTCCTAAAGAATCCAGAAGGGTGAACCATTACCATCTGACCTCAGATACGATCTCCCAGACAAGAAAGATATCCAAGAGCAAGATGGGAAACGAGCAGTTCCCGTGAACACTGGCCAGGTGATATTGAAGAGTACAGGATTGCCCAACCCCCTGGTCTTGAATTAGATTTACTAACAATAATCAGTTAGACTTCCCGTCATGGCAGACAGCCTAAGGCCGCACTCGGCAACCATCAAGGACAATAAGAGTGTTGCAAATAAAGATCCGTCGCATAATACGATGGGCTACATGGCAATGAAGCCCAAGTTTCATAACACCCATTGACCGTGAACGTCATCACGGTTAATGGATGGAACATGGTTGCGGGGAAAATGGAAGGATTCACCAAAGGCCAAAAGGCCAGAAAACGACGTTGGTTCCGTCCTAATTTCCTTCGACTTGCTGGCAAGAGCCCAGTGAGATCCTACCTTCCAAGGTGAATTCTACAAGTGAACGATTAAATTCTTCACTAGCTTAGAAAAATGCGACTACGACGACTACTATCCTACGAGAAAATAATAACTAAGGGGTGGCTCTCATTCGGGAATTTCCTGATGATCATCTTAACAATCATCACAATCATCATTCCGCCTTCTTCCTAGTGTCCCTTCCCGTCATATTCTTCTACGGATAGTCAAGACGATGATGTGGAATTTGACGAGAATTTCTATGCCGATTCAGATGACGAGAATTGGGACAAAAGTGGTCTAGATGGCGAGGAAGGTGACGGCGATGAGGCACCAGAAGAATAGGAAAACATCTACTATAATATATACCAAAACGGCCTTATTAATTCACCGCTTATACTAAATACCTACGGCAAATACATTAAACGCAAGTCGTTGCCTGAAGACATTTCGATCGTACGAAATCATTGAGGAACACCCAGAACGACCAAATACCCACATATTGACTCAAACTCTCCCACGCCTGGACAGGTCAGCGATGGTTCAACACGGACCGACTCAGGAAGGACCCGATAATTCCCGTGCCCGATCAAGATCCTATGAGTTCGAGGGAAATGGAAGAAGCCATCCACTTTTTAGCTTGCCGGTTCGGAGTGAGACAATCAAGAAGCTAGAGAGGTCACCACAAGTACACGCCCTAGCTTTGGAAATGCCAGCCAGCACCATTCCATCACTCTCCGAGAACGACAATACGATGATGGACTATGGTGCCGCTGACCAGTATTCCGAAACATTCTCTGGGGATGATTACACAGCACCTAATCATTTACCAATTTGCTCCTATTCCAAGAGACTCGTTACTATATCCGAGCAGACATCCAGGCCATGCAGTGTGGGAGCAGACTTGAATAAAGTCCGTATAAAAAGACGACGAACACCATCTCGGACACCAGTTATGGCTCAAATTCAAACCCAAAGTCCTTCTAGATTAGTAGTTTCGTACTGCTGACCCTAAATTCTTGTCCATGTTACAACAGCTAAGATTCTATCTTTTAATTCTTGTCTATTACTAATGCCGCCAACTTCGGTGATGTCAATCGACCTCTTTCAGGCTTTGTTGCTGTGGAGCTTGGTGGCTAACTCTAACACTAACGGCTATCTTACTACTCCGGTTTACCTAACAGTCACCTGGAGGTTTCAAAGAGGGAAATCATGAGATAAGAATTGAAGATGTTTTTATTGTTGACTTCGATCATGATACCTGGATATGTAGCTGTGGTGGCAATGTGACTGGCACTGGAGGGGGTATTGAAGAACTTGGTTTATTAGATCACTTGAGAAATCTCTTATTGATTACTGGATTCCTTTAATCGTTTAACCAAATATAGCGAAGTTTGCATCTGCTAGTGTTCTCTCCCACTTTGTAGGTACTATTTGGTTGTCGTGGTTGTCTTGGTTGTCCAGCATAGCGTCGGAAAAGCGCAGACAGTGCACGTGTGCAGTAAAATACAATTGATTATACCCGGAGCTGCCCAACTTATACTCATTTCCACTATGATTGGCATGAGACTGTACACTATATATTTAACCGTCGTCGTCGTTTTAATTAGCACGTGAATGTTGGATCCATGAAAGTCCCTACGAGTTCTTAACGTACCTGCGTACCTAGACCACCTGCAATTAGGCCCTGTGCACAGACCACAATATTAACCCTATGTACTAGTGTACATCCCCGCCGAAAATTTCGCGAGCCCACACCAAACTTCTAAATTCCATATTGAATTTCGTTCAAGAGCCTCTTTCTTAACTTTCCATTTTCGCGAACAACATTTCGAGCGCTCCATCACCACCCACCAATTCCCGTCTCGATTGCCAACTGATTTAATCAGGTATGTACTATCATCGCGAATACTGTTATAATTGAAGTCAGCGACATTATCCCTGAAAGGACGGTGATAATTCAGCCTCTCTTCATTTATATCAAAAAATTCCCGTATTTTCTACTTTCCCCATCGCCGTTCTTCACCTCCCATCCAGGCTAACTTTTCATTCTATCCTACCAGAAACTGCAATCATGGGTATCTCTCGCGACTCTCGCCACAAGCGCTCCGCATCTGGTGCCAAGCGCGCCTTCTACCGTACGTGACTACCGCATTCGTGTCCTTGAGATATATACCCTCCCCAAAAAATATCGAAAGCCCGTATGCAGCCATTGTGTGCAATGATCATACGTTCTGACCTCCTCACCAGGGAAGAAGCGCGCTTTCGAGGCCGGCCGACAGGAGGCCAACACCCGTATCGGTCCCAAGCGAATCCACACCGTCCGCACCCGCGGCGGCAATCACAAGTACCGTGCTCTGCGTCTCGACTCCGGTAACTTCGCCTGGGCCTCCGAGGGCACCACCCGCAAGACCCGTGTCATCGGGGTCTCCTACCACCCTTCCAACAACGAGTTGGTCCGAACCAACACTCTTACCAAGTCCGCCGTCGTCCAGATTGACGCTGCTCCCTTCCGTCAATGGTATGAGTCCCACTACGGCCAGCCCCTCGGCCGCAGACGTCAGCAGAAGTCTGGCAAGGAGGAGGAGGTCGTGAAGAAGAGCAAGGCGGTCGAGAAGAAGCAAGCCGCCCGATACGCAGCCCACGGCAAGGTTGAGAGCGCGTTGGAGAAGCAGTTCGAGGCTGGTCGCCTCTTCGCTGTTATTGCCAGCCGACCCGGCCAGAGCGGTCGCTGCGACGGATACATCCTCGAAGGAGAGGAGCTGGCTTTCTACCAGCGCAAGCTACACAAGTAGGCGAAGGTGTCGGGGGTGATGGGAGGTTAGGCTTTGTGGTCACTGCAAAATATCATGAGCAATGGCACCGGTGTTTATGGTTGCTCGTTTTCGGCATGGAATGGGATAAAACCTTTACTAGGTTCTGATCAATAAAAGATCAACGAAGACACTTGCAGTGCCTCCTACGACATAAACGTTTTACTATGTGATGACCTGATAAATTCATTCTGCTTTGCCAAACGTGACTCTCACCTATCTACATACGATGCTAGACCTCCGTTTCCTTTCCAGGACGTACAACTAAGCTAATGACATGCCATACAGCTTTCCTTACAAACCACAACCACTCAGCTAATATCGAAGTTTGATATAGTACATCATAGATCATGCCTATCCCACAACGGTCACTCGGCCCACGTAATGCTGTATCCCTATCACGACATATAACCACAAGACGACACAACACTGGCCATGACAGAATTCTGGTATTCATCGACGACTGATCGGACATGCTAGTTCTGATTCTATACAATGCTCCCCTCCCATTTCCATTCAGGGTCTCTCTGCGTAACATTTTTTGTTTTTACTTAGGTTCCCCTCCCCTTAATGCTCTTTCTTTCGCATGCAATGCACCTTATCTCAACGTATCTCATCTCAGGAATGAGCCATGCTTTACTCTTCTCCTAAGCAACTAAGCAGGCTTTTACTATCTCTCTTTCTTCACTCTCTTCCCTCTTCGTGGAGCTTATAGTGCTCTCCTTCTGTGCCAATGTAGTTCGGTTTAATAAAAGCCCCACCCCATTACCGGCAAGAATAACAAAAATAAGGAAGAACTACCTAGGGACAGAAATATGATTCATTCAGCCTAAGCCGAACTAATGCTATGCTGGGCTGAGCTGAGCTGGTCTGAGTTCAGCTGTGGTCAACCAAAAGCGTGGGATCTAGACATGACACCTCGACAAGCAACACGACATCTTCTCGTTCGATTTGATGAGGGGGAAGGGGATGGACCAAGACGTAGAACCTGACCGTATATACCCTAACATGGCGCAATTAAGGATATAACTCCCAACTACTTGCTTGTTCCTACTCTCTCTCGGGTCCCTTGGGTGGATGGTTGACTAAATGGGTGTAGGAGAATTTTGTACAAGAATAAGAATGTGGCGGAACCTAAAGGTCTTAGTGAGGGCGGGATCAGGGGAAGAGAAGTCTCGATTAGTTGAACTGGCGTTTGAGCTCAGCCCATTTCCTTTGAAGAGTTTCGTGCTGGGAGTTGATCTATGGGGAAGGGGAAGGTTAGTTGAATATGTAACGAGGGTAACTGGGCAAAGGACTACAGCATACCTCAGCATACCGCATCTTCGTCTGGACGAGTTCCTCTTCGAGTTCCTGCATCTCCTTTTCAAGTCTGGTGTTCTCCTCATGAACCTTCTCGTTTCGTTTCATCAGGTCGTCACGCTCAAGTTTCCAGGTCTGCTCTATCTCTTCAGGCTGTTTCTCGATGATGTTGTGGAGCTCCTTGACCTGACCAGTTAAGCTTTCGTTCTTGTCTTTGAGTTCCTCATTCTCGATCTTGGTGTGAACAAGATCTGTCGTCATGGTGGCTTGTTCGCGATCGCTGGCCTCGAGACGCTCCTCAAGTTTTCGGAGCTTGATAACGTAGCTCATATTCGAAGACTTTAGCTGCTCCAACTCCTTCTCACGCTCTTTTTCCGCACGGGTCTTTTCTTCCCATTCTACGGTATATGATTTAAGAAGCTCAGGTGTGATCTTCACTTCGCATGCGTCCCGAATTAATTGATCCGCTCGGTAAACTTCCTTATCGATGCTGGAAGAACTGCTACCGAAGAAGCCGTTCTCGAGGATGCTGCCGGCACTCGGGGACTGGTCAATGTACGCATCAAACAGCTTGTCTCTGAGGAAACTTGTCAATTGGCCCATATCCGACATACCAAGCAGTGCCGTTGCATTCTTCTGCATTAAGACAATGCCAAATTTCAGGATAGCAGACAGGCCTTCCGAGAAGATGAGATCGTAGATCCTCAATACAAGTTGTAGAGGGAATCGGTATGCAAAAAGAGTGAGGAACCACTGTGTGGCATACAAGTGAGGGGAAATGCCGCGACGGTGTAGATGACAATACAAGGCGGGCTCAAGGTCTTCTAGTAACCGCTCGAACTGGTACAGGTGCATGTGCAAACCTGGCATATCCTGAATGAACAGGTCGCGTAGCTTGTACTGGTTCATCAATCGGACTAGTAGACAGAATGCCTCTTCCTCGGGCATATTGAAAAGGAGCGGCATGATGAGGAAGTTCATTCCTTGCGCGTACCCTACTGGCTCGTCGTAAAGCGCATAAGCTTTACAGACGCCAAAAAGGCCATCTTGCAGGCCAGCCGCAGCCGCATACTTAGAGAAGCTCGTTCGGGCGCCGAGGTCCCTCTTGATAGTCTTCTCAAGCCTTGATAATGCCGCAGCGTCTTCCTTTTCCTTCTTCTTTCTTTCTGCCATAGCTAGGGCCTGAGCCTTGAGAGCCGCTTCGGATGGCTCAGGTGGTGTCGGCAGCTTTTTACCACTACCCCCTGAGATTTCCGAGTGTACGGAAGAGGCAGAAGAGGCCACCGCGTCTTTCTCCGAACTCAAGTTGCCGTTACTCAGAATGCTGATCGACGTGCTGTTGCTATCCCGGTTCTTATCCTTCTCGGAACCTCGAATTGCCAAACTCTTGTACATCCTCTCAAGTTCTTCATTCTTGCTCTGCGCAAGTACCTGCCAGACCACACCGCGGATCACGTTGGGGATGCCCGTAGCAATCGCTCTATTAAGCTCCTCGGAATTGGTCCTCGCGACAGCGGCCGGGCCCTCATAGACGACTGACTGCCACAAGTCCCAGTCGACTTGAGCATCAGCGATAGTTGAAGGGCCAGCAGATACGCCCGAGACGGTACCGGGGGCCAGGTTGCTGTCCGCATTCGGGGGTAGAGGGGATGTAGGAGGTTGCGCTGCACCGTTCCCGTCACTGCTCTCACCCGTTGGGCTCGCCAGACCTTGAGGTTTGTCGTCTTCGAGAGAAATACCTGCCTCCTCCCTCATCCGCACCATCTTGAACCTATCCTTCAAACTATTTCTTGACAGGCGAGGCCCGCTCTCGCCTTCGTTCTCTTCCTCAAGTTTGCTAAGCATCATTTCTGGATTGCTGGTTAATGTGGCTATTGAGCTTGCAGTATTTCTTCGCGGCGAGGTAGCAGCAGTAACAGGCGGGGATGTAATATCCTTATCCTTGTTATTATGCGTGGAATTGCGGGATAGCCAGGAGAATGGACCTGTAATCTTCCGAGCTGTCGGCGCAGAAGTGGGGGCTACCCCTGAAGGCGGAACAGCAGTATTCGGACTTGTCTTCGGCGGCGATTCTGAGCTGGCGGGATTAGGAGACCATGGCATTGATGGCAGAGAGGCGGCAATGTTGCTAAGAGAGAGTTTCTTTGATGGCTGTTTCTGTACGACTATTGGTGGTTCCTCTATATGCACATTAGTGGATGTGTTAATTGGCAATGGCAAGGTTGCATGCGAACCTTTCGGCGGCGGTGGTGGCTGCTCTGCAGCTTCAGCTTCAGCTTCAGCTCCATCGCTAAGATCGACATTGTCTAAAGACACGTTCGAAGTGCGCTTAGATGGAGGTGATGGTTCTTCATCTATACTACTCTTCTTATCGTCGTCGGCATCCGTTTCTTTCTCTTTCTCATCCTCTTTCTCATTTTCATGAACTATGTCCTCATTTGTCTCTTCTTTTTTAGCTTGCGGTTCCTCTGGAATTTCGGGAGTCTCGCTAACGGCAATGCTACTTGGTCGAGGAGAAAGCTTGCGATTCGTCAGGGATCTTATAGATCCTGTGTCAATGGCATCTTCAAAGGTGTCCTTTAAACAATTGCAGGTTAGCCTCTCATATGTTATAGTACTATGTTATGTAACTGGATCTAAAAAAACGGGAAGGGGGGATGACATGTGAAAGCTAAGGAAATTAACGTACGGTGTCCTTGTCCGAAGGGGCTGGCGAGCCATGTGCCTGGGGAGCGGCGTCGGCCACTTGCTGCTCCTCTTGGCCGGACATGACGACGGCCAGCAATGGGTGTGAAGTTTTGGCTGATCTACTCGGAGTGTTCCTGGAGTTTGTGTTGGGTGTAAGGCGTTCGTGGAGGGTAGCTTAACATCTAACGAGTCTAAGCACGCGGGCTATCGGTAATAAGGTATGAGGTATGGATAGTTCAGGAGGTAGCAATAGCACGAGCTTCTTAACCAGAATAAAATGGACAAACGCGACGCGATAGACTCGGGGCGAATAAAGCGTTTGTTTGTCTCAGAAAGGAGTTGTACTATGCAGCACCGAATAAGGATCGCAGACCAGGAGAAAGAAGAAAAAGGTATTGTAAACGAAGTGAAGAAAAAAATAGTGAAATTTGAAAGACGTACATACGTACTCAGATTCACCGTCTCGTTTGTAATTGAATCCAACCCTCTTCCCCCTTCGCCAGGACTGACTAAAAAGTGACTAGGGGACCGTTGTGGAGTTTCTTGGGAGTTTCTTGGTGGGAATGGCAGAAATGGATCTTGAAATCCAATTGTGACGCACGGACCTGAAAACCAGTTAAAAGAGCGTTTCAGCGCCAAGCATTCCCGCTATTTAGTCCCCTTAGTGCTATGAATGACATTGAAATGTGCCGTAGCCAGCTGTAGCCAGGTACCTAACCGCTTAGCGTCGCGCTAGAAACCTTTATTAGGAGCCCGTTTTTGCACTGCTACGTTGGTTCAGGGGTTCATGAACATCCATCCATCCATCCATCCATCCATCCATCCCATATCTACCACATTATTGTACCTGTATAGTACCTACGTACATACCTACTACCACATGATATGAGGTAGGATATCATGTGGTAGTAATAACAAGAGCATGAGGCAAGAGGCACAGAGGCAACTTGCATCAGCTTCGGTAGCACAAAATGCACATAGCTGCAAGATGAAATTGGAGGTCTAGGCTGTCTACAGAAATATATACGATCACAATTTTATCTTGTACACCATCATTATCCCTCCGTCCTCCGCCCCAAATGGACAATTATGAGTGACATCACCGTTGGTACTTCAAATATGGTTAGCATATCCGTTGGCATATCTGTTGGCATGACATGCCCCGAATTTCTTATCTAGTTCCCGGGTTTCCTCCTCATAAAGGACTACAATTAACGTGTATGGATGTTTGATTGTTTCTATAATAAGCACAAAGAGAAGTTTCATTGCTTCGTGTGAAAGAGAAAACTCACGCTATCGAGTCGTATTCCAAGCTGACGGGATATATCTAGAAGCTGCATAGATTTAGAAATGCGATTGGCCAGCGATGCCTAAGAGATCGATGCGACCCCTTTCCGCGTGCATCAAGAACGGGCCAGTCAGGCCAGCATTTTGAATTTTGACCAACCCCCTTGGCATTTCTATGCATCTGAGAAAATGGCCTTATCTCATTTAAGGAATTCTATTGCAATCATTTGACAGATTTATACCTTCTTTCTTTCTTTCTTCACAATGTTCAAGTATTAAGAGAAGATAAAACGATTGTCTAGCCCTATCCCTTTTTTATGCACTTAACATGAAAAGGTAAGTAGGTACTTGACTGACATTGAAGGGTACGAACATCGAGACTTTCGACCGTTCAACAATTAGGTTTGACTAGAAATCCCGTTATCCCATCGACGACTTCCTTTCACATGGTATTTTCCAAATTTAAGCTTCCATAAGGCCATTAGCCGATTTTTCGAGAACCTTCAAGTGTTAGCACCCACCTGACCGACACCGCTCAGCCGGGTCATGGCCGGGTCTTAATCTGGGGTCGTCTGGGATGCCGTGTCTTGGTCATGATCCAATCAGCAGGCGTAGGTCTCGGCCTCCGACCAAATATATTGGTGCGACATACTTAAGGGCAGTTACGTGATGACGCGCTCTTTACACTGAGTGAAGCGGCTTGTGCGTCATCTACATTTCCACGACGAACAACGTTGAACGAGCAAATCTATCGTCCAACAAGGTAACTTATCATGCCTCAGGCAATCCCCGAATACATACACAGGTAGTCAAGCTTATAATCATTATTGAATCCACTTTGACAATATTGATTTCAATTAAGTAGCACTACACCTATACATTGGTCAGCAATCAAGGTCAGCAGCTCAATATTTCCTAGTCTATATCCATTGCTATCCAAGTCTAGAGCTTGAGCCTCGACTAAGACAAGTAAAATACACCATGAAGACAAAAGGAGCTCACCTAACTACTACCCACGTAAATAGCCCGCTCAACTTCTAGAAACTGAATGTACTAGAAATAGCCTAGTGGCTTCCGGGTCATTTGAAAGCTACATGTAGCAATACGCACGCAGTGTGAGATTGATTTACTCGTACTCCTACACGTAGGGTAATTGTAGCCCTTGTTATTTGTTGCGCAAATGATATTGCCCTTTATAAAGCACAAGCATACCTCTATGTAGCTGGATCCACGGTGTTCATAAGATAACTGTCGACATATCAAGTCTTCGGGAGAAAATTCGTCCTCGGAAGGGGACCCCTGAAAGACTATTTACTAGTTACGCGAAAGGATTACAAGGAATCCAGATAGCTTTGAGAGCCAGGGTTTGAATGATAAGTTGTTTCTATCAGTTAATATTCTAATAAATCGTTATAATATTTGCGAACTTTGACAGGCCAACTAGCGCCGGTACTCGTCTCAAAGGAATATCGTATCTCTCTTTTTGACATCTAGCTGTGCCCTTGAGGTTTCATCAAATTTGTTGGCTTGCTTATTGAATACTTGGACATATAACTTCTTAAACGTAGCATTCTGCTTAAGGGTGTCTAGGAAAAGGATAACATCACATAGTCAGGATAACGGTAAGCTCTCTCGGCAACTAATATAACATACCTTATTAATGGAATGATCTTGGCTATATCATTCGGCTATTCATTTCGTCGTGAATATCTCATTCGTATCTCTGACCAGATATCAGGAGCTCAGCCCCGACTCTCCCATTGTGTTCGAAGAATTAGGGTCTATATTCGATTAATTCTCGGCCGTGGCATGTTTACTTCATGTTTATGGCGTTGGTCTAGAGGCCCCCCATGAATGACCTAAGGAACTTCATGAGTTTGTGGTAGCTGTGAATTCCAACAGCTGTCACAAGGCGGAATTAAGGGACGAGGAAACATCGACGTTATTGGGCAAGGAGCTCTAAATTACTCCCTGCTAGGGAACATGGTACATATCCATATAGACCTTTCTTTGTCTAACGCCTTAGGGCTAATCTGCCAACAGGTCCTTCTGGAGCTACCTAGGAATATCGCGCTCTCTTCACAGGCCGACCACCGATCCTCCTAGGCTACCGATCAGCTCTAGCAAGCCCTATAGCTACCAGCTCTTATAAATGAGCCTTGTGATATCAACTATCAAAGGTGAGATGAGATTGCGGTTCGGCTCACCAGGGGCTTAGTTCACTGGAAGAAGAGCCGGGGGTGATTAGCCTTTAGAATAGCACAAATAAAATCTCATTTTATATTTATATGTACGTAGGAGAAGAATCTATCATCCAAATTTGGTTTCCCTTGTTCTTTGAAGGGGGCCGAGTGCTTCTCGTACCATTACAGGTCTGTCCAAGTTATCTAAAGTAGTTCATTAGTACTTAAGATAGAGGACATGTCTGCCCTCCCTGTTATAACTTATTACTAACCGACATCGTAGGGAAATAGGTTTAAAGCTGCTCACGCAACAACGTCGCTGTTGCCATACCCACTAAATCGGCATCATGATACACCAGGCCGAGGCCCAGAATATCAGGTCTGCGATGTCGTTGAGACCCGGGATAGTAATAAAAACAACATTAATAAAGTGGTGAGGGTTCTTTATGGAGAATTGATATAATATATTCTGTAAATGAGTTGGACACGATGATATGAGTCTGACATGTGGTCCTCATTAAGCTAGAGATGGGTCTGAGATTAGAATCACAACTCACGATAGGGGCATAGACTTAGGTAGACTAGTACACCATTCCAAACTGAAGTTGCTGTATTGATAGCGGACAAGAAATTATGGAGAACAAATCATCTACAGACCATCCTTACACCGAAGAGCTGTGCTAGATGATGAGGCGGCGTTGATGGCGGCACAGTTTCAGTGTCATTGTCCTCATAATCTTATGTAACAAGTAGAAGATATCTTGAAACTCACTGAAGTACCTTTGAATAAAACCAAACGTATTCCTTATATTATACCTAGGTAGTTATTGATTATCTAAAAGCCGGATCTCAGTTGCCCTTTACCACATTTGTTTTCCCATGGGCTAGTTGAACCATCAAGTTTAAGAACGGATGATTTTACAGGTCGAGGCTTAACAGCGTGATCCATACCTACTTAGGTTGCCTCGTGAAAGAAAATATCACCTACTTGGGCAATTGGAATCCTCAAATATGGAAGTCTATGCTATAGCCCTGATTAAAGTGGCGGCGTGACTCATAGCAAGGGGTTGCCGAAGTCCAGATAAGGTTGTATTATTTTGCGAAGGATTTCTTTGACAATTGCGGTTATTCGAGTTACAAGGGCCCAACTGCGGATCTTGAATTCGTCCGTTGATAAGTCATCCTGCGGATCATCGGGTTTTATCTCCACTAATTTCGGATCCTTAATGAGTTAGCATTGCATAGAGGAATATAGACGTTGTACCGCATACCGTGTATAGATGGGGAAATTACTAATGTATTGGCTTGGGCTTGTTCCAGTGGCTGGACCATCTAGGCATCGAGCTCTGTCTATCGAGTGTATATAGGTGTCGGTAGGAACCATGAAGTTGAAATTCTACTAATAACCCAAGTCACTCGCCGTGTTATCTATACCCTCCTGGTTGCAGAACATTCTTATTATTCCATATCAGTGCAACATGGCCGAATACTCTCACGAATCTGCCTTCAAGGCTGCCTGTGAAGACGACCGGCTACCAGGCGTGGCACTTGTCGCCGCCGATGCCACGGGAAAGTTCAAGTACGAGAAAGCGTTCGGCGAGAACGCACATGGAGAGACAATCGCTACAGACAGCGTGATGTGGATAGCTTCCTGCACCAAGCTCATGACATCCGTCGCTGCGATGCAACAAGTTGAACAAGGAAAGATTGACTTAGACGAGGATGTTGAGAGGGTACTTCCGGAGCTCGGCGCACTCAAAGTCTTGACTCGATTTGATAGCGAAGGGAAACCTGAGTATGAAGAAAGACAGGGCAAAATAACTTTGAGGTGAGTAGACCCCAGCAACTTGCGTGGTAGACCTTGACCTTATGATGTTTCTCTCGCAAGGCACCTCCTCACGCATTCTTCCGGACTCTCTGCGCCGATATTTTCTCCCAAGCTTCAACAGCTGGCGCAATTCAGGGGCCCTCCCGAGGAGCCTCCCCATACTATTGTGGACGAATATTCTGAGCCCCTGGTTTTCCAGCCCGGGACAGGCTGGCAGTACGGCACGGGCTTAGATTGGGCTGGTCAAATCGTTGAACGGCTCTCCGGTCTTTCTCTCGAGGAGTACATGCGCGCCAACATCTGGGGTCCGCTGGACATGCAGCACGTGAGCTTCTTTCCCGATTCGATCCCGGAGATGAAGGCGCGTAAGATAGGAATGAGCCGTAAAGATGAGAATGGGAAGCTAGTTCCCATGCATAACTTTACGAACATGTTCAGCGAAAGGAAAGATATATACGGAGGAGGAGCAGGCTTTGGGAATGCGGTAAGTTACGTGAAACTCCTCCAGAGCCTGTGCGCCAACGACGGCAGGGTTTTGAAGAAGGAGACGGTAGAGGAAATGTTCCGACCGCAGCTCAGCCCCGAGGCTAAAACGTCCTTAAACGAGATGATAAAGGCTGACGAGGTTTACCGACGGGTTGGTGCGAACTCGTTCGATATGAACCATCAAATTTTGGATTATGGCCTTGGCGGAGAGATCGGTACCAGAGATGAAGTTGGCAGGAGAAAGGCTGGGACCATGTCCTGGGGTGGCATGCCGAATCTGATTTGGTGGATAGACAGAGAAGCCGGTCTCTGCGGTGCTCTCTTTACGAACTCATTGCCGATGGGGGATGAGCAGGTCAGTAAATTGATGGCGGAGTTTGAGCGGGCGGTCTATAAGCAGTTTGAGAAATTTAAGAAGCAGTAGATCGATAGGTTGTTGAACAATAGATGTAGTATATAGGTACCTAGAGGAACCAGTAAATAATTACTCTACTGTGTCGTATCCTATGAATCAATTCAAAATAAATGTATCTCCAAGTTGATTCGATCTCTGTTATTATGAGTGTTCATATAGACGTAGGTAGTAATCAACATTCGTAAAATCATTCGGTCTGTGAATATGAATTTGAATTGCATACACAGAGGCGACGAGAACGACGACGATAGCAACGAATCTGTGTATGAGAGGTATATATCTCAAACATTGAATTGAGGTTAATGTCCGGTTTTACTAATGTATAATGAAACTTGGCAAGTGATATTAGTTGACAAAATGAAATCTATGGAAAATGTTCTGAATGTCTCTCCGAAAGAAAATATGCGACAGCAACGCTAACGTCAAATTTTTAAAAAGTATGCACTCTCGACAAAAAAGGATGGTACAGGAGGAATTTAACCTCCAATTAATGGACTCGCGGGGAATCGAACCCCGGACCACTCCCAGGCGGCTATTAGATGTTACATCCAAAGGTGCTAAGGGAGTATTATACCACTAAACCACAAGCCCTGGTGATTGTTGGAGATTCGATGAATTGGGGCAGTTATATAGCTTGTACGAATCGATAGGATCGAATAGGATTGAGCTACGGACAAGCCCCGGTTTGGCTTGGAGAAGTGCGGGTGCTTTTGGCGCTAACGTCGCCTTCTACACGCTTGGGAGCTGACCAGTTGGGTTTTAGTACATGGGAGGTACCTTCACATACACATACGCCTATCACGACGAATATTTCAATTTCCTTGAGTTGAGACTTCAATCGATGGTAGTATGACAGATTCTGTTATAATAAGTTGGGAGCCTACTCGATACCAAACTTACCTTAGTACGACGTACTACCTATATGTACCTCAACATGTAGTAATTCTTGAACGAAGCTTGTGCCTTTTCCCATGAATAGACACTGAATATTATATGGTCGGACGTGGTTATAATGTTGATACGGGAACGATTATATTTATACAGCTATACTCAGGTACGTTTACTCGACAACACATTTAGTCTGAGTCGTGGACTAGTATAATAATGGGACTGATCTCATGTGCCGAGGGCAGATATTACAATTTACAAGTCGACTTGACCTGTTCCCAGCTATGAATCAAGGGCTTAGTTGACAATCTTTAGATATCTGCATGCAACAGGCAGGGAGTATATACGAGTATACCTAACCCACTCATGGAAAACCTTGGCGATCCGGCTAGGGCTCAATCAGGGCTTGAAGAAGCCCTGGGCAGCAACGGTCTCCATTTGTACGTACATAGCACATACAAGCGCGATATCTGCAGGAGTGACGATGGCTTGGTTGGACGTTGGGCTGCGATTTCGAATGAAAATTCTGCAGCTTCGAATTGCATGATTATATGTAATGTGATCGCCTTAGATATCGACAGTGCACTGTTTATGACGGATATCTAGATTTCTGCAATAAGTTACTACTACTATGTAGGTACGCAGGTTATTAGAGATTCAATGCTTACTAGAGGAAGCACTTGAGCTCGCGTGAACAACAGCTTAATGCGCTCTTCTAAGCACTCGAAATGTTCCGGCGCTGCGTTTTTGTATTTATAATACCTACTATGTACATAGCCCTGTACTCCAGCTAGGTACCTATTATGCATATATGTGCCCTAGAAGCGAAAAGAGCTATCCGCACATGTAGCTTCCAGGTTGAGATACCTTATATGGGTGGATACTTAAAAAAAAACCAGGGAGATTCAAGAATAGCGGGCAAGTTCCTCGTCGCTGGTAGCTACCGTGCCTGTTGGCTCGTGCCCCACCTTTGTGCTAGGTAGTAGTACCTTGAGGTAATCCATTTCCCACAGCTGCCATACTAGCAAGCACCACCTTGCCCCACACCGCAATCATTACGCAAAAGGCAGTGGCCGATCAGCCGCGACCTTTCAAACATTACATCTAAAAGCTAAACCTTTTTTTTCTTTCCTTTTAACACTTCAACATTTTTCGATCCTGACCATTCTACATTTCATCGACGATTAAGTCAAGTAAGTTTTCTGGTGATACATGCGGGACGATTCCATTCCTCTCCGCTTGTAATTAGAAACTCGGCACCCTTGTTGAACTTGGAGACGACGGTATAGCGGCCTGCACCCGCTTGCACCGACCTAAATCCAGCTCTTTAACAGCCGTGCCGGAAATCGTATCTACCTCACATCATCATCCGCCTGCCCCTCATCCACTTCTCGCATATCTACCTTCTCGGACCCAACAAATTTTTTGTGTCTCTGCGACGTGTAGTGTGCCTCTTCCGCCTCTTCCATTTTTTTGACCCGGTTCTCAGGCATCGGATCCTTTCCGGAAACCGAAGCTCTCTTTTGCATTTGATACCCGCAAGGCTGACACCCCGGAGACGAGGCTTAATCCGACAATTTAACTGGGCTCTACGACACCCCACCTTGTGTGCTAAGGAGCAGCTCGATATATCATACGAGAGGAGCTGTCCAAGCCATATTGGACGCTCCCGCGCGGCAAATCGAATTGTCGTCACCGATTACCTGAGCCTTGGTAGTGGAGGGGGAGTTGACTTATTCTTCGCGGCTTTGCCGCACCGGTCTTCAGCATGGGAAAGATAGCGAAGGCCATCCAACCTAAGCACAAAGAGACGCAGGTAAGTCTTCCTATGTGATGCTTATTACATGGTTTAGATTGCTCATTTTCTTCTAGTCTCCTTGGCTGCAGGAGTTCATCGATAATGCGACCTCCATACCCTTACCTCTTTTACCGAAGACCCTTGCCACATTCCCTTCACGATGGCCTTTCCCTAGAGGCGACTTGTATCATTGGATACCATTACTGGACCGATTTGATGATATCCTAGAATTGTTCTGCTCTACTTACAAATTGAACGAGGGCCCCCAGACTAGAGATTTTAGCTGCGAAGTCTTGGGATCTAGCTCGACGGGCGATCCAGAGGAATCGAACAAGTCACAGGACTTCTCGGAACTGGGGTTTAGCAAGGATGGCGATGTCCAGCTTGTCGTGGCCATTCTGAAGTTCACTCAGATGCTTTTAGACCACTGTGGAAATCGCAGCATATATGCCAGCAGTTCCCACTTGAACGATCTCCTGAATAGTACAGATTTTACAATCATCTGTGCTACCTTACGCGTTGGCGCGGAACTGGCCCAGCGTTACCAGGCCTCTGTCAAGCGCATTCACGGAATGACAACCCGACAGATACACACGACTCTTCTCACGAACCACTATAACATAGACCTGGATCGTGTACAGCAGCTTTCTCAACCTTTCGTTAAGACACCCCTTACGAAGCCGTTAGAATCTGCCCTTCTCTCCACCCCTGCTTCTGTTGGTAAGAGTAAAGAGAAGTTCTATGGCGGTGGCTCTAAGAATGCGGCCACTATGTATGCGAACGACTTGTGCGCTCTAGCCAAGGCAGACTCTGCTGAGAACTCGAATTCGCAAGCACGATGGAATGGGTGGGGTGATGTGAAGCTTACGTATTATCCTACCTCGGAGACTTCGCAGGGATCCGCGCAACAGTCTCTACCTGATCGCGGTGCAACGTCTAATGCACCTTCGACTCCGACTCCTTTGAGACGAAGTAGCACATCTGCTGCTGCCCAATCGACTCCCCGTGCGGGCCGCCAAGGAGCGTCGGAGGAGAGCCCAGTGTCGGCTTCTCGATCGCCGGCTGTAGGACGGGACGAGAGTAATCCCCCCGGTCAGAAGTCTTTGGAGATATCGCATGCTTCTGTGTCCTCGTCATCGATCTATCAGCTTCTCGCAAGAGCCCCGGCAGATCTACCCAAGGATGCCAAATACGAGCTCTTGAATCGCCTTAGGGTCGCTAAGGCTCTCACGGGATCGGTCGAATCTCGACGACAGGCACTCAAAGCCCGCCTATTAGCTATTCAGAATTTGGCGTATATCCACATAGAACCTACCTTTATCGAGAAGGTGCTCAGGCAGGATAATGATGAGCCACGGCGGTTTCAGCTGGTGTATCAGCTTGCCGAACTGATCCACCCCGCCGCTGATGGCGCGGCTGTAGTACCTATTGATCTACAGTCTATCGCATTCTCATTGTTGGAGGCCATTTCGAATTTTCATCACAAGCTACCCGATGTCTTCTCGGCATTAAATGCAACGGTGAACCATGGAGTGTTACTTTATGTCATTAGGAAGGCTGTTGCTGAGATGAAGAAGGACGACTCCGGGGATCAATATAGCGAAGAGGATGAGTGGCGTGATACACTAATCTCTCTTACGCTGCATATTACGATGTCGATGGCCAACAACACCTCGCGTAGCATGCCTGAGATTATCTCTGCCGGGTTACTGGATATTATCGTTGAGATTCTCAACATCAGGTCCAACATAGCCGAACGCATGTATGGCTCTTTGGTAGCGTTCTTAGACACACTCGTGTACAACGTTCAGAATTCCTTCCAGACATTGATAAATGCCGACGGCCTTGAGGCCGTTACAAACCTAGTCACTCATGAAGTTGAACTCGCAGGGAAGCTTGTCGCAGAAGACAAGGGAACGCCTGTTACTCACCGTTCCCAGGTTGTTGATTACGAGATACCCTTCTGTCAACAGCAGAACCTCAAACACCTCTTGAAGTTTATTCATCATTTGATGTCAAATACATTTGCTTTTGGTGGTAACACTGATCGACTGTTGAGGAACCTCGTTGATAAATCTGCTCTGCTTCGCAGTATACGCGAGATCATCGAGAACATGGATAAGTTTGGCTCTCTGGTGTGGACAAATGCAGTTACAATTTTGAGTGACTTCCTTAACAACGACCCAACCAGCTTTGCGGCCATCTCTGAAGCCGGATTGGTCCAGAGCTATCTGCAAGCTTTGACAGGTCGACCGGTACCCACGGGTGCACTTGGTGGAACAGAGTCAGGCCAGGAAGGGAACCGAGATGGCAGTCCCGAGTCGCCTTCGGATGGACCTACACCTGATCTCCTTGAGCCCGACAGTCGCTCGCATCCGCCGTCGCAGGAGGACTTAGAAGCACCTCGCGATGGCCCGCCGGCCCGTGGTATTCTACCCAACTCAGAGCCTATCACTACTGTACCGACTGTTCTGAACGCGATTTCTTTGAACAACCTTGGAATGAAAATGGTTGTTGCGTCGCGCGCATTCGATAGCTACTTCGAGATATTCGAGAGCCCGGAGCACGTACGGGTAATGGCATCGGACGATAGCGTGGCTCAGAACGTGGGTGGCAATTTCGATGAACTGGCTCGGCATCATCCATCTCTCAGACCGGCTATTGCGAATGCCGTATTAGATATGATTGCCAGAGTCACCCATCTCGCCCGAGTCAAGGCCAGAGATGCTCAATGGGGAGCCAAGCTTCTTGTGAAAGATTCGAATGGCCGAGACGTAATTGCTGACGAAGGGTTATTGAGCGTGCCTCGAGTGGCCCCTTCAGACAAAGGCAAAGGCAAGGCTGTCGCTACAGCCGAGGATGCTGACATTGAGATGACGGATGCAAGTGTAAAACAGATGGAAGGTGCGGAATCGACACCAGGCAGCTCTTCGAACGAATCATCTTCTATTACGCCTTACATCTATGCAATTTCTAACTTCCTAACTCAATACATCAGTAATAACAATCTGAAGATGAACTTGATCAACAATGGCGGTATTGAGTTACTTCTTGATCTTAGTACATCACCGAGTCTCCCGCATGACTTCGGTGATTCTGTGGCTTCGCGAAGTTTACAGTCGGTTATCGCCCAGCTAGTTGAGACCTCTCCGATTATCGGATTGCCTTCCTTGCTGAAACGAACTCAAGCCGCCATCGATGTGCTCCAGCCCGTGACCCAAGCTCAGGAGGTGGGATCCTTCTTTTCGCCATTCCTCAAGGATGACACAGCTTCTGCGGAGCATGCTGATGACGCTTCGACCCAGCTTCCTCGTGGCACTGAGTTGGCAAAAGCGCTCTTGAATACCCAGTCTCTGATTAAGACTTTGTACCAATGCTTTCCTTATTCAACACGGGCAAACACTGTCAACTTGCATAGCGTTAACGTCTTCGATTATTACAGCCGTCTGATAAAGTCTTTGGGCCCACTGTTGCGTGCTGTCGTCTTGGAGGAGGCGGCGATCTCTAACAGCGTACCGGATAACTGGTCGACAAGGAAACAAGGCCAATCTACAGACCAGCAAGGTTCGGCGACTAACGTCGTCGCATCGAATAACGACAATACTGCCGTTGCCCCTGAATCCGAGGACACTAGCTTACCGGATGTGTTATCGTCTGCCACTATATGGAGGCTTGCCACAGCTACATCCAATAGCATCGGTGATGGCCCCTCCCAGAGTGAGCAATCAAGCCCACGATATCAGAATTACAGAACTCTTCGTCTTCTGTTGCATTCCCTGATGCCTGCCACATTCCCGCTTTTCCAAACCCTTGGAAAAGCTCTATTACCTAGACGGGAACGTGACCAGTACCTAAGAGTGCGTCATTTGCAGCTTGCCGAGGAACTGGCCCAGACGATATTGGCGCAGTTTGAGCTACCTGATCGTGAAAAATCTAGCAAGGACTTCCACTACTGGATCATCATACTGCATGCTGTTCATGAAATGCTGGTAAATCGCACGGTAGAAAGTAAGTCACCCACTCCTTCCCACCCTTTACTGTCGACCATACTAACCCAGACAGCTCGTTCAGACCGACAATCGCCAACCCAGATCATTGCTCCTGTTTTGATCGCCTTTAAGAAGCATGGCGGGTTAGAACTACTTAACTCTATGCTACACACCTTCAAAGACGAGATCTGCAAAGAGCATAAGGATGGGGAGGATTCTTCCATGTCACGACTTGCAGTTATCGGTATGAAGAAGATCCTGGATCTGTACACCATGGCCGTCAACGGAAAGATTATCACAGATTCCATGAGTCAGATTAACATTCTTCCACGGAACATGAGTAGCAGCGATCGACGAGCAGATTCACAAGTGGCACCCAACTTGGTGGTCGAGTTACGGATGTCTATACTGCCGGTGATGAGAGAGCTCTGGGACTCCCCGTTGGTTGAGAAGGGTTCAGCCCACATCCTTGCGAAGATTATTAGTATTCTGAAGTTCATCTCTTTCGCCGATTCCGAAAGTAATGCTTATAGGCGAACCGATAAGGTATGTTTATACTCCCTTTCTTATTATTTTATAGTTCGATGCTAATCTCTGCAGAACGCTCCTCCTGCTTACCTTCAGCCTTCACCACTCCGATTTTCGTGGGAAACCGTCGAAGATGACACAAGAGAAGTTGTTGGTGAGGCAGCTTGCGACGAGGATCTTGCCCATGAAGGCCTCTACAGAGCCAATAACAATCGACATACGGCCATTGAGTATTGCAAAGCTCACAAATCAGGCCTTGCTGGTTCACGAAATCCCATTCCTGAAGAGGACTCGCCTGAAAATGCAGATAGCGAATCTGCGCCCACAGCGGAGCGTAGTACACAGCCTCCTTCTGGGGACGATCCTATGGTCCTAGACTTTCCCGCTGATCTACCTCCGGGCCTGTTACTTGAGGAAGACATTCTTGATGAGCTTAGGGAGGCTACGATGTCAAGAGACGCGGCGGGTTCTGGCGATGATAATGCAGCTACATCTTCAACTACTCCTGCACAGGGCCCATCAACCGGAAATAACACTGATACGGACCTTGCAAAGAAGGAGGCTGTAGCCAAGGAAGACTTGGATGAAGAGCGGACTAAATTACGCGTAAATCTTATCGAGAGGTGTTTGGATGTCATAAGAGCACACCCTGACTCCACCTATGAGGTTTCAGAACTTGTCTCTTCCATCATTCTGCGGACCACTAACGACGAACCATCCTCAAGACAAGAGATAGGCGAGACTTTGGCTAATGCTCTAATTTCATTCGTGGGCGATGATATGAAACTCAACGGACGAAGCATTGCAGCTTATGCTCATCTTCTATCTCTGCTGCTCCAGGAGAAGGCCTTCTTCCGAGCGACAGTCGACATACTCAAAGATAATGTAACGGATTTCTTGCGATTCGTTGAGCTTCCGACGTCTCAGGCCACCGAGGAACTTCCGCCGTGGATACCATACATTCTGCTCGTCTTCGAGATTCTCCTTAGTGACGATGAACAACCAGGAGAAATTAAATGGAAGGTACCGACATCTGAGAACGACCCGATAGAAACCCTTCAATGGTCACCAAAAGACCTCATTGTTAAAGAAGACAATCGTCAGACGCTTCTCAGCTCAGTGCTAGATATTCTGCCCCGTATTGGCAAGGATGAATCACTGGCTGTATCCGTTCTACGTATATTGGTCATCTTGACTCGGGATCGTTCTATTGCACGGTTGGTTGGCGAGAAGAAGAATTTGCAACGTTTGTTCGTCACCGCTAAGCAGCTCTCTGGCGCTGGATCCTTGCGCCTCAGAGATACTCGAATTACGTCTCATATTCTGACTATACTACGGCATATCGTTGAGGATGAGGAGATTATTAAGCAGGTCATGAGGAGTGAAATCCGAGCTTACTTCTCTGGCGGCCGGAACACAGCGCGGCCTCTCGACCCTTCTGGATTCACCAGGACGTTTTCTCATATCGCGCTCCGTGATCCAAGATTATTTGTCGAAGTCTCAAACGAAACAGTGAAGCTGAGTCGATGGACTCCGCCTGAGAGTAATATTGGGCGTGGGCAGACGATAATCCTCAAGGAGCCGAAGCCGGACGCACCCAAGGACGACGTGGCACCGGCTGTCCGAGCTACTGAGGATTTAACTATTCAAGATGTTAAGCCGTCTACCGAAGGCGAAGATAAGCAGATGGCGGATGCTTCCAAACCTCAATCGCAGGACTCGAAACGGCCGGTAGTTGAGAACCCTGATGGTGTAGTGCATTTCTTGCTATGCGAGCTTCTGAACTACAAGGAGGTCGACGACAAGGAACTGCCGCCACCTGCCAAGGAATCGAAGAAGGAAGACGATCAAGAATCGTCCGATGCAAGTGGCATCTCTGATCGCGAAAGCTCCCCTGCTGATGGCAAAGAGAAGAAAGTCAAGCCCTTGTTCAAGACTGAGGATCACCCAATCTTCATATACCGGTGCTTCCTCCTGCACTGTCTTACTGAACTTCTTCAGAGCTATAACCGCACTAAAGTCGAGTTCATTAATTTCAAGAGAAGCGCTCCACTTTTCGCCAACACTCCCATCAAGCCTCGATCAACTGTCTTGAACTATCTTCTCAATGATTTACTCTACACGTCCCACATAGAGACTACATCAGATTCGATTGTACACAAGAAGAAATACGCCACATCCGTTCAGACACAGAATCTCTTGGTCGCTCTCGTGAGCAAAACGGGAGAGAAGCCCATCGAGCAGGGTCGAGATAAGTACGACTATGACGACGAACCTGACCTATTATTTGTGCGAAAATTCGTGCTGGATACTATTCTGAGATCCTACAAGGATGCTGCAACGACTAGTGATTCGTTCGATAGCAGATATAGCAGGATGCTAGCTCTAGCAGAGGTCATGCATCTCATGATGGGCGAGAAAGACAAGGATCCTCCTGTACCGTCTCGCGGTGGTCAAGATCCCCTCGAGAGGTCGCAGGCTCAACTTCGGCGTCTTATGTACGAGAAAGGCTATCTCGCAGCCCTCACGGCGTCTATCGCTGACATCGACCTCGCCTTTCCACCCGTGAAGCGAACCATCAAGTATATTCTTCGCGTACTTCGAATCTTAACGAGCACTGCTATCCACCTGAGCCATTCTAACATCATCCCTAATGTGCCGACCCAAGAGAATGTCGATGAAGAAACATTCTCAGGAAGCTCTCTTTCTGATATCGACGATGACCGAGAGGAGACTCCAGACCTATATCGAAATTCGGCTCTTGGTATGTTGGAGCCCGGTAGAGATAGAGATGGTGACTATTCAGAAGACTCGGAAGATGGTAGGTACCCTACTTTTGTTTATTCGGCGGAGATTATACTAACATATTTAGACGACGATGAAGAGATGTATGATGATGAATACGATGACGACATGGGATATGAATCTGAAGATCGCGAAGAAGATGTCAGTGAAAGAGATGAAGAGGAAGAACTCGAAGGGATGGGTCCCGTTGAAGGATTATCGGGAGACCATGGCATTATCGAAGTTACAATGGAAGATGACGATGAAGATGATGACGACATGGACGAGGATGATGATGAAGATGGTAGCGAAGAAGATGAGCTTGAGTCCGACGATATGGATGAACATGAAGACCGCATCGAAATTATTGACGATGAGGGAAACCCACTAGAGGATGACGGAGGCTCTGGTTGGGAAGATGATACAGACGAGGACGAAGAAGAGGATGATGATGGGGAGGAGGTTGATTACGAAGCCGCCGAACAGGATATTGATGAAGAAGCTGCCCATCTTGACGATGTCGACGCCCTACGGTTCGGAAACATTATGCGTGCGATCGAAGAAGACGATTTTGAGCCTCCGGATGACCTCCATGGTCGCTATATGGAGGAAGATGACGACGATGATGGTAAGCATAAAAGTTCTGTTGCTGCTCCTTTCACAGACTAACTATTGGTGCAGAGGATGAAGAGGAAGAGGACGATATAGATGATGAGTACGCATACGAGGATGCTTTTCCCAGTAAGTTGCCATGCTACTCACTGTGTTTTTTTCTTTTTTTCTTTTATCAGAAATGTGGAGTTGGAACCAATGAGACGCTGATTCTTTTTTAGACGATGCACCACCTCGTGATATTGGGCCATCAAGTCTCGGCTGGGATACTCTTGTGGTTGAACCCCATGGAGGTATTCTTGGTCAGCATCATCGAAACCGACATGGTACCCGCAGTCCCTTCCCTCCAATCCCGTTCATGATGGGTTCTCGAGACCCGATCAGCAACTTTGGTGGTATGTAAATAATCTATTCGTTTATTTCCCGTCTTTTTTTCCTCTGCTCATATATCATTAACAGGCTTATTCACTGACATGCATACAGATCCAAGAGGTTTCGGACGTAATCGACATGATCAGAGGCCTACCGGCAATGAAGACGGATTAAATCCTCTACTTCGTCGGGGCAATGACGCTGGCCGAGACGGATCTCCTCGTCCCTCTCAACTCTCTCAACTTGGTGGTCTTGTTCGTTTAGGATTCCCTGGCGGATTATTTGGTGGCAACATGGACAGCCCAATGTCCTTCATTAACGACCTCGTAGCATCCCTCCCTGCGTCATTAAGCCGCCAGGGACATGCGTTCCACTTTCAAATCACCCAGGGGCGAGGTGACGTTCAGGACATGCAATTCCCATTCGGCGTCCAAATTCGCGAGTCCCGCTCCGACAATCGCCGAGAGACGTATCAGGAACCTATCCAAGCAACTTCGTTCACGACAGACACAACGGTAGCCCGATGGATAGAAGAAGTGAAGATGATATTTGGAGTGAACCATTCAGAGAAGTCACATCGCCTTGTCCCAGCAATCCTCTCGCACCTTGTGCCACCTGCTATTCAACATGAGAAAGAACTCAAAGCTAAAGAAGCAGAACGCCAACGGCAGCAGGAAGAGGAGCGCAAGAAGCGCGAGGAGGAAGAGCGTAAGGCGAGAGAAGCGAAAGAGGCTGAAGAAAAGGCAGCCCAGGAGAAGCGGGAAGCTGAAGAGCGTGAACGAGCTGCCGCCGAATCTGCCGCGCAAACCCAAACGGAAGGCGCCGCTCGTAGAGATGAAGAAGGCGACCGTGTAGAGCCGGAGGCAATGGAGGGCGTGGAAACATCTGATGAAGCCGCAGTCCCGTCAGAGGACGAACCAGCTAGCTCTCAGCCACGCGCCTACACTACCATCAGAGGTGAACAAGTCGATATAACAGAACTCGGCATTGATTCAGACTATCTAGAAGCGCTCCCTGAGGAATTCAGGGAAGAAGTCATCGCCCAAACGGTTAGTACACGCCGAGCTCAGGCACGGGAAGCCCCTGGTGGCGCGGGCGAGCAGACTGAGGTATTCCAGGAGTTCTTGGATGCTCTTCCCGACGAACTCCGCATGGAGATTGTGCAACAGGAACGAGCGGAACAACGAAGGCGAGAGCGAGAAGAGTTGCGGCGAACGACAGCCGCCCCCGGCCAGGCAGCTGAAGCTCAAGACATGGATCCTGCCACTATTTTAATGACATTCCCGCCTGCTCTTCGAGAGCAGGTTCTTATGGACCAAGGCCCAGAACTCATGTCTTCCCTAACGCCTGATCTAGCCGCTCAAACACGCCGACTTATCCGAGCAAATCCGATAGTACACAACGATCACCTAGCCTCATCTACTAACCGCCGAGGGGAGGGTGCCCCAGCCAGTGTACCTACTGATACGGGCAAGCCTCACCGAAAGACAGTTGTGCAGATGCTAGACAAGCCAGGCGTATATACCTTACTTCGCCTGATGTTCATCAACATGAAAGGCGGGTCTCTAGAGACCTCTTTGAAATTTCTGTTCAAGGATGTCTGCGAAAACCGACAAACGAGGTTCGAGGTGGTTAGCAACCTACTCAAGATACTTCAAGAAGGATCAACAGACGTTGACGCTGTCGAGCGAAGCTTCGCTTCGCTTTCTATCAAGGCGAAACAACCTAAGGAGATTGAAAACAAGACCCAAACTCCCCAAAGCCTAAAGCGCACGTCCACGAGCATCGGTAACAGTAATCCTATTCAGGCAACCTCCGAGACATCTCCTCTATTGATCGTCCAACAATGCCTTGATCTGCTCTGCTACCTTGCAGATCAAAACGTCCACGTGCCTTCTCTCTTCCTTACCGAGCACGACGGAGTCAGCACGGCTGCTATCAAGCGTAGTGTCAGCCGCAAGGGCAAAGGCAAAGATGTGAAGGCCAACAAGTATGCCATCAATTCGTTGTTGGCGCTTCTCGACCGCGATCTCGTCATGGAGAGTTCCTCTATCATGGATAGTCTTTCGCAGCTATTGAGTCGAGTTACGGGTCCACTACTAGCCCTTGATCGTAAACAAAAGGAGGCATCCGAAGCAATCAAGAATCTTGACTCCCAATCCACGACTGCAGCAGAGTCTGCCGGAACGACCGCGCCTGTAGATTCAAACAACGCAGATGCCGCGCAGACGGGAGGCGCAAATACATCGGAGCAGATGACCGAGCAATCTGCCAATACCCTCACCGAAGCCCCCGAAAATGCGCCTTCGGGTGCTTCGGCTGCCGAGGCCGAATCTGCTAAGGCACTAGAAAAGCAAGCAATCATGAAGCGAATCAAGCAGCTGCATCCGCCTGTCATTCCGGTCCACAATTTGACTCTCATCATCAAGATCTTTGTGGCTCGCGAATGTAGCTCTAAGACTTTTAAGGAGACTCTCTCGACTATCAAGAATCTGTCCGTGATTCCCGGAGCAATGTTAGTCTTTGGCGAAGAACTTGCTCGCCAAGCCCAACTCTTGAGCGAGAAGATTGTCGTCCACCTTGACGAACTACTCCCGCATATTCAGAACGCCGCTTCGGGTACAGAGATCCAAGGCGTCGCTTTAGCCAAGTTCTCGCCTGGAGCTTCCGACCAGAACAAGCTACTTCGCGTCTTAACAGCCCTTGATCATCTATTCGCCCAGAAGAAATCGGATACGACCGAGAGCTCTGATTCCGATGAGACTACGAAGCAGGACTTGCTCGCTACGCTTTACCGGAATACCACCTTCAATGCCTTGTGGGAGAAACTTAGCGCTTGCCTAAGCGCAATTCGTCAACGCGAGAGTCTCCTGAACGTGGCCACTATTCTCCTTCCTCTGATCGAAGCATTGATGGTCGTTTGCAAGGATACTGCAAATGAAACGCTTACCCAAGGACAGGCAAGCAAGGACATGGTGCTATCTAGTCCACAGCCCGAGTCGCGTTTGGCCGGTCTATTCTTTACCTTCACGGAAGAGCATCGCAGGATCCTCAACGAGCTTGTGCGCAACAATCCGTCGCTTATGAAGGGAACCTTTTCGCACCTTGTCAAGAACCCCAAGGTGCTCGAATTCGACAACAAGCGCAACTGGTTCAACCGTAGTGTGCATAACAAGCAACAGGTTAGCCAACGGCCTCACCCGATGTTGCAGCTGCAAGTCCGCCGAGAACATGTTTTCCATGATTCTTTCAAATCGCTATACTTCAAATCGGGCGATGAGATGAAGTTCGGCAAGCTTAGTATTAGGTTCCACGGCGAAGAGGGTGTAGATGCCGGAGGCGTTACTAGGGAATGGTTTCAAGTTCTCGCGCGACAGATGTTCGACCCCAATTATGTGCTATTCGTGCCCGTTTCAAGCGATCGCACGACTTTCCACCCGAACAAGCTCAGCAGCATCAACGATGAGCATCTCATGTTCTTCAAGTTTATTGGTCGAATCATCGGGAAGGCTCTTTACGAAGGTCGTCTACTTGACTGCTACTTCAGCCGCGCGGTCTACAAGCGAATCCTCGGCAAGCCAGTCTCAGTCAAGGACATGGAATCCTTCGACCCTGACTACTACAAGTCTCTTTCCTGGATGCTGAACAACGACATCACTGATATTATCACTGAGACGTTTTCGGTCGAGGATGATGAATTCGGCCTGACCAAGATCCACGATCTGATCGAAAATGGTCGCAACGTGCCCGTCACTGAAGAAAACAAGCATGACTATGTGCGTCTAGTAGTCGAGCACAAGCTCCTCACCTCGGTTAAGGTTCAGATGGAGAACTTCTTGAAAGGTAAGATCAAGGAAATGGAATATCTATGTTTTACTTATGCTAACTTACGAACAGGCTTCCACGAGATCATTCCCGCCGAACTGATATCTATCTTCAATGAGCAGGAGCTAGAGCTTCTGATCTCTGGTCTACCGGACGTCGACATCGATGATTGGAAGAGCAACACCGAGTACCACAACTACTCGCCATCTTCTCCACAGATCCAGTGGTTTTGGCGAGCGGTACGATCATTCGACAAAGAGGAGCGCGCCAAGCTCCTTCAGTTCGTCACGGGAACCAGCAAAGTTCCATTGAATGGATTCAAGGAACTTGAGGGAATGAACGGGGTAAACCGATTCAACATCCACCGGGACTACGGCAACAAAGACCGTCTACCATCATCCCACACGTGTTTCAACCGTAAGTATCCCTATACTTTTTACATACGATGCAGTTTACTAATATGCTCGCAGAACTCGATCTCCCCGAGTATGAGAGCTACGATACCCTTCGTCGACAAATTATCAAGGCTATCACGACTGGTAGCGACTACTTCGGGTTCGCGTAAGGGACATATTCGGTCAAGGCTCGCAAAGAAAAGGAAAACTCAACACTATACCACGTCGTTGATTGTATTGTTTGTACAGCATGGAGAGAATGAGGCGAGAGGCAGGCGTGCATTTTTCTCTTCCACAAACGGAGGTTTTTGATGAGTTTGTGTTTACCTCAAACATTCGGCAATGATGCTCTGGCGGGAGAGCTACGTCAACGGAGTGCAGGCCAATGGCGTTAGCTAACCTACCCAACACTTTGCCCGACACATAGCATATGTGGATTAGGGTTTACGCAATAATAATGAGTTATATCATGAATTTTTGATAGCTTATAATCGTGATGATCGTGCCTATTATACCGTTTCATAGTCTGCATTGCGAGAATGAATTAGTATCTTGGCTCTAAAACGTAAACCGTAGCTGACTTGCTTTCAAACGCATAGATGACATAACAACGGTGCCGCGATACCCTCATACATCATTCCGCTATTGTTGTATGCGTAGGGGAATCATTGCGTTACTCAATAATACTCCATACTAAATCATACCTCTTCTATGTACACAACATCTATTCAGATACGTAGGTTCATACTCAGAACACACTTACGAAAGAAACGGCATTATGAGAAGGAGTCCACATCGGTCTAGTAACTTTGATTCCTAGTTCTCAGCGTACTGACTACCTATATACAAGAATCCTCAATCCAAACGCTTACTCCTACCTAGCATACTCAGCCATGCCAACTAACCTAGCCTATCCTATTCAGGATTAACCCTGAGCTAGGGTACTTGATGTAAGTCTTATTACCCCTAGATGTAATCGGCGAGCGAAGGCAAGACCGTGGTGAAGGCGGCGCCGGAGGGCGGCTCGATGGAGTACATGTAGTCGGCCCACCAGGGGCCGGCGCCCCACCAGAGCCAGCCCTTCCAGACGTCGCTGTTGTCGGCCATGTAGGAGAGCATGCCCTGGACGGCCTGGATGCACTGGTCGTTGGCGCCGCCGGCGGTCTCGCCGATGATGGCCTGCTTGTTGTTCGCCTTCAGCCAGGCGGTCGCGTCGGCGAGGCGCTCGGCGCCGATGGTGGTCGATACGCAGGCCTCGGCCGTGCCGGAGCCGTCGGCGTCTAGGTATTGGTGCTGTTTGTAGGAGAGTGTGTTAGTGGATTTGGCTTAGAGATAAAAGGAGGGTAAGAGAGTCAGGACGCACCATTTCGTAGACGAGCTTGTCTTGGGGGTCGGTCAGCTGGCCCATGGCTTCGGCGGTGCCGCTGGATGTCTGCGTGGAGTCAGTGATTGTATAGATATGGATGAAGAGGTGGGAGAGCTAACCCAGTGCCAAGCACCGGTCCAAGAGTTTCCTTCGACGAAGATGTACTGGGAGGTGGCACCAGCGCCTCGGATGGCGTCGATGGCGGCCTGGTTCAGCTGGCCGACGAGGGCGTTGTCCTCATCGTGGAACTCGTTGTTGGTGTCGAAGATGACCTTCTCGTTGGTGGCGTAGCGCTTCGCTACGGTGGTCCACCAGGCTCCGAATCCGTCGACGTCGGTGATGATTTCGTTATAGTAGCGGCCGAAGTTGTGAGGGTCAACTACGGCGTAGGCACCCCTAGTCATGGTTAGTAATAGCGAATTAAAGTAAAGCGTGCTTGAACTGACTGATCAGTAATGAATTTGACGATCTGGGGTTTTGGATTAGCACTTTGGCATCTCATGAAGTTCTAGAATATGACCTACGTCGTCAAGGCCGGCAGTGTACGTCTCGTTGACAGTACCCGTTAGCTGGTCGGGAATAACGCGCTCCCTAGGTCTTTTTCAGTATTATATACAATTGCTTAGCGCGTGTAGACTAACATCATAATCGGAACTCGGAAGGTGTTCATTCCCTTCTGGATCAAGGTCTTCACAGACGTTAGTAGCTAAACAGGCCTGTTCGGAGAGCTGGTCAGCTTACAGAGATGGAACTTTGGTCGGGCCATGTGTAATCCTTGCCGAGCTGTCCCGGGAGAGCAGTGTTGCCGAATTCGGCCCCAGACTCGCTTACGCCGGTGAAGTCGAATTTGCCGGCGCGCTTCAGGGTCTTGGTAGGTACCGCAACAGCGCCGGAGGCGGCGGCGGCACCAGCGAGCAGATCGACGAACCTCATGATGTCTATCTTTCTAGACTACGGCGAAGAGACACTGTGGGTTGGTGTAGACACATTCCACGAGTCATGGTTGAAGGTGGTGATTGTTCAGCTCTTATACCTCCTAGACTTAGACCTAGACCTCTGCCGCGGAAGCGGAAGCCGTCGCTCCGCCCCACGCAAAGGAGGATGGAAGCATAAGCAATTGCGCCCAGGATAATGACTCGGCGCTAACAGGTAATTAAGGCGAGGGGGATCGTAGATCGGCGGATATAGACGCCATTGAGCCTCATATGAAGGTTGCTCGACCCTCATAGGCGTCGGTGGAGTAATCTAATAGAAACTAGGACCAGACGCCGCGTCGGAAGAGAATCGCGGCGACCGATGGCTTGGCCCACGGTGATCGTCTTCGGTAGAGGCTTGTCTCGATGCCGGTTCCTGATAGGGCACTTTCATTACACTTGCAAGAGATTCTGCAACTACTCTTTTCGTCATAGCTCAACGATGTAGGATGACCGTGTGCCATGGTTACTGAACACATTCATGCTAGGGACGAAGGTAGTCTAGCAAGATAGGGCCGAAAAAGCATGGTGAACGATTCCGAGCAAGTCTCTCATGAAGCTTGTTGCCGCTTCCAGGGGGGCGGGGCCTATCTCTCCGCGCATATATTAGGTCATGCTAAGGATCGTGTCTCCGCGTGGCGATGGAGATACGGAGATTTGTCAGGGGCAAGAAAGTTGGGGGAGCCTGAAATGACGTGGGACTTGAAACCGAAATAGGCCGATTGTGCCAGGGGTAAATGGGACGACTAACCAGGTCCCGGAATCGAATTAGGAACGTCGGTTAGTGTTGAATTCCGTCAATTACACTATGGACTTTAAGCCAACACTGAGCTGACATCGTCAGGTCCAGACCAACGCCTTCAAAAGTTTATGCAATATCACTATTGACAATGATGCCAACGAAGACATATTTCGCGCGCCGAATTTCTAAAAACGAACTTAGCTTGAGACAGTCTATATAGATGTCTCATGCCGTAAGAAGTTAAGAGAGATCCAGATCCAACATCCTTCGTATAGAAGGAGACTAAGTTCTTCCACCTACCTTCTTAGATCTCAGCCCTGTCAAGTGTCTTCCTCTATGGCGCAATCTAGACTGGGGATAAATCCTTTGTGTAACTATGCCGCTGTGTAATCGATTTCAGCTACATTTGAAGACAGCTAGGTTACCCAGAATTACGATATGAGAAGACTAAGCGAACGAATGAATCCTAAGTGTATAGTCCCTTGAATTCGGTCTGTGGTTTGAGTAGTGGATTTGGTTCAAGTGCCATTAAAGGAGCTAAATAAGCCTTCGAATTTTTATTATGTATGATACTAATGAGGAGAAGAATGAATTGATACTATCAAAGGCCGAATGCCTCAATATCGCCGCGAAGATGTTGTATTGGTCTAAGTTTATATCTATAGAATTCAAATAGGCCGAGAAATGTTGTAGTGTACCTTTTATAGTATCCCCGTGCGAGTAGCACCTTCCATCTATGTACTGAGGTGGTACAGAATATTTAAGGCGAAATCCAAAAGGTCGGAAAATCATTAACCCATCCATCAAGCTCCAAACTCCGCTATCGATAAGCACCGTGCATCGAAATACCCAGTACATACATCCACGGAATTTAATGCGACGAGCCACTCCATCAACATCAGTTGCCCAAATCCAGACAAAATGCAGCCGACAAGGTGGCTACTGAAAGGCCGATCAGTGTGGAAAGGCAAGCTCCCTTCCGAACCTCTAACCTCCAACACATGGTAACTCGAACTAACCACTAATTCCTCTCTAGGGCCTCACATCGTACCGTAAGAACTTCAGAGATACCGAACATAAGCAAGGGACTAACGCAAGACGCGAACCCCCCATATAGGCTTCCCATCGTCCGCGTAGTCCCCGGCCAGGACCCCAAGCCGATTATGACGCAGGCCCGCGCCGCCACCATCCTGCCCAGCTTCGTGGGCCTCAAGTTCCAGGTGTACAACGGCAAGGAGTACTACGACGTCGCCATCACCGAAGAGATGGTCGGCCACAAGCTCGGCGAGTTCGCCCCGTACGTCTCGTCTCCCCCTCAGCCCTCCGTATTCTGTTCATACGCAAGCGAAGTCACTAATGTTGCTGTTTACCTAGGACGAGAAAGCCCTTCATCTGGTCGAGAGCGAAGTAGAGTGGGAACGATGAGGTTGAGAGGTGGACATACCCCGGCGTTCGAGGCGATTGGAGGGGCATTTACGAGCTAATGCTCTGCCTGTATATCACGCACAATGCAAATGTAAAACATTCTCAACGGAGGCAGACAGATCATGCGCCAATTCGTGACACCTGTTTGTTCGTATGCAATTTATTCCGACAGTCTGTACGACTGCCGGCGCCTTGTACAATCGAGAGCTGGTCTTTCACTGCCGCATTGCAGCTGATGAAGCGCACAGCAAAACAAAGCCTAGCCTAGTCCTATGTGAAAAGCGAACACAAAAGCCGATCCTGAACGCCAATGCCTGATACCCTAGCCCTGATCATAAAGGATGCTAGTCATTGTAATAATACAGCCTCCCATTCCGCAACAGAGCGGGTGGTAGTTATTTGGGGGCTTTCTTCGAAGAGCTAAACGTAATAATGTCAGCATTAGGGTCTCGAATTGGTTGTCTAATGAGGTGCTTTGTAACATACCTGGACGCTCATCGATAGAATTCACTGCGCTTCACGTTGACGCCGTATTCACCGACAGCCATGCCTAGGTCTTCCATGGTAAGGACGGTTCGGTTCTGGCTACCGCCTTGCCCACCTCCACCGTAGCCGGCTCGCTGAATACCCAATAGTCCACCGCGTCCCTGATCTTTGGCGTTGGCCTGCGCCTGGCCGGGAACTTGTAACCCGGCGGCGGCTCCGAGGTTGCCCATCGGGTTGTTGGCGCTGGTGTTTGATGCTCTGATGCGGCTGTACTGGTAGGCGTCCGCCGCGACATCTGCGACGAACTTCTGAACCGCGAGGGCGATCAATCGAGCGAGGCGAGGATCGGTGGTCGGCGGAGGGGGCAGACCGGCTTTGGCCATGTAGAAGTTGGTGACTGCGTCGGGGATCTGCTAGGTGGTTAGCATGCGCGGCGCGGCTAACATCAGCTGCGGATCGCTTACGATGGGTGCGTAGTCATCCATCTTGGTCAAGAACTCTTTCAGAGAAATATCCTTGCGAGGAGGGATCTTGGGCTCGGAGGCCGTGGGGACGTCCTCTTCATTCTGCTGAGAGGCGGTAGGAAGAACCTGCTCATTCTCTGTGGGTTGAGGAGCTGCCATTTCGACCGGTTTCGATGAGAATTGGATATTTGATTGATTGATGGTTCGAAGCAGGCAAATCGTCGCAGATTCGATACGTTCAAAGAGGACGTTTGTAGATCAATTGGTGCTAGCGAATGTTGAAATATCCGGGGTATTGAAGTGTGTGTTGGAAATATAGGAGTTTATATGAGTTGTAGAGCACAGTTCTATTTAATCGGTTGTTGGAATTGAAGGATTCGACAGTGTAGAGTTGAAGCTCGACGCGATTGCAGTCAATGCACGACTCGAGGGGCTGAGAATGACGTCGGAGACACAAAGGTCCGCCTCGGCCCAACAAAAAACACAGTCCCAAAACTCCTATCGCAAAATGTGTATCGGTGTCGCGCACGGTGTTCAATAAGGAAGGACTTGAAAAGTTGTCGGCTGATGGAATCTTGAAATATTTAGATGGTAGGATGAGATTATGAAGTGGAATGAAGTCGCGGTCGGCTTGCGAGGGTAAGTCAAAGTTAAGTGGGCCCTGTTGATAATGCTTATCTTATCGGCTTATCCTAGAGCCATCACCTGGAAACTATAGAATTTAACCTAGATACGTCACAAGAACGTTCTTAGCCTCGTGTGAATTATATATTCCTAGTAGGGGATTAGGTCTATTCGTTATTGACAAAGATGCTCATATGAAATGAATACAATCAGATTAATGAGATAAGTGAAGATGTCTCATACAAGAATATAATTGGTATCATGTCTAGCCATTTGTACCGTAAGTGGGTACATCTTCACTGTACTGTCCTACCCCTTTTCACTGTGTTTGAATAGTCTCTCCATGAATAGACATTGAGGACTGCGACGACTCGACGAGCCATCCTCCTAGGAATTCGCAATATCAACCCCGTACGATCTAACTCATTAGACCGAAAGATTCAATGCCTCCCCAGCGCCATCGCTGATGTTACATCGAGCCCCATATGACGACTACATAGTTCCCCGAGTTTCTCTTAAAGTCAAGAGCGTAGAAACGGAGAAGTATGTTCGGAATACTTCTAGCTTTAACCTCAAGCGGTGCACCCGAGTAAGGCGTAGCAGGTAGGCCCAGTGATACTTTTATATCGAAATTGCCGCTGGATTTTATTTGGTCCATATCCGCTGGCGGGGATTCATCCTGTCCCTACAGGCTCTGGGCGTTGAGAAAACACAAGTTTGTATTTGACGATCTCAACCACCTCGAGGTCCTCCGCCGCAGATTCCGAATTTCCGTCGTTCATGTTCACATCTTCCCCGGAGTTGGCTCGCTTCTTAATGATAGCTATAGCTTTTGGAAGTTTCTTGACTTCTCCAGTGAGTCTCTGGTGCTCGCCCACGTATAGGTGGACTCTTTTCATCCAGGAAGTGCTAGAAGGGTCTTGGGTTTCTGGATGGTAATCTGGGAATACAATACGTCCAACAGCTATTTCTTGAGAATTGTCCTCACCGGTTCCATGATTCTCGGGGAGGTTGATGGTCCCTTGAAGCTCTAAGATTGCTAAGCCGGACGGTGTTTGTATGAGTTCTGGAAGGGGATTCGGGCTAGAAGCCTCATTTCTGTGTTTCCTTGGGTGTAATCGAACAGAAGAGGCCATTTTCAAGGGACCAGTGACCTCCTTAGCTGTAGATAATGTTGCTGGTGATGGCCGACATCTGGAAGTATGGAAATAAAATAAGTGGGTCCGCAGTACTTCTCAATTAACCCGCGACGGTACGCGTTAATGGATTTTCTTCGGATAAATACCTAGCTTGGGATTTAAAGTGGCCCGTGCAGCGCCGTAGCCCTAGCGTTGACCCATCTTTCTTTCCCACGCAGGAAATTTTGGATTAGGCGAAGTAAATCCACACAATCAACTTTCAACCTTTCAATTCCTTTAATTTTTTCCGGTGTGCTTTTCACGATTCGACTTCATCCAACAAAACACAACAGTCGACCGCGACAACCACCGCCGAGATGAAGTTGAACATCTCTTACCCTGCCAATGGCAGCCAAAAGCTGATCGAGATTGAAGATGAGCGAAAGGTCCGAGACTTCATGGAGAAGCGAGTACGTCTAACCAATTCGTCGCCATCGTCGCGAAATTTCGAAATGCAACATCTTCTACTCCAATACCTATCTATACCTTCGCGCTTCATCATATCTTCCGACTATGGTCTAGTCGCTACAATATAGATCATTCGATTGCTAACACAGGCTTTTCTAGATGGGCGCTGAGGTTCCTGGTGACAACCTTGGCGATGAGTTCAAGGGCTACATCTTCCGCATTACCGGCGGCAACGACAAGCAAGGTTTCCCCATGAAGCAGGGTGTTATGCACCCTACCCGTGTCCGACTCCTCCTCTCCGACGGCCACTCCTGCTACCGCCCCCGTCGCTCCGGTGAGCGCAAGCGAAAGTCCGTCCGCGGTTGCATCGTCGGCATGGACCTTTCTGTCCTCGCCCTCTCCATTGTCAAGCAGGGAGATAACGATATCCCCGGTTTGACCGACGTCGTCCACCCCAAGCGCCTCGGTCCCAAGCGTGCCACCAAGATCCGCCGCTTCTTCGGTCTCAGCAAGGATGACGACGTAAGTAAACCTTCACTCGTCATCACCTACTCGGTCGTTGCTTCTGCGGGATGAGAGAGAAGAATCCCTTGCAATGAATACCACCGAGTAGAGTCTGAGAGGAAAAATCTTCAATATGGAAACAGACGACTAATACTGGGTGTTTTTTCTGCTATATAGGTCCGCAAGTACGTCATTCGACGAGAGGTCCAGCCCAAGAAGGAGGGCAAGAAGCCTTACACCAAGGCCCCCAAGATCCAGAGACTGGTCACTCCCCAGCGCCTCCAGCACAAGCGCCACCGCATCGCGCTCAAGCGACGACAGTCCGAGAAGGTTAAGGACGAGGCAGTACGTTTAACCCTACCACAATCTCACACATTCGTCTGTATACTAACGTTTTACTGCAGAACGAGTACGCCCAGGTTTTGGCCAAGCGTGTTGCCGAAGTCCGCGCTCACAAGGCCGACGCTCGCAAGCGACGAGCAAGCTCGATGCGCAAGTAAATCCCTACAGGCGTTTGGTCGGTGTCTTCTGGTTCTTGCATTAGGGCATAAATCATGGCAATGGCTTGCGGGATGATAGGTTGCTGGTTATAAGACAGCCAGTATCATGAGTGTATTCCCGGAACCCAAAAAATGAAATCGAGATTCCCAAACCGTGCTTCTTTATATTTAATGCTGTTTATATTCGTAGTTCCGTATGGATACCTACGCGATGTGATGCTATATGACATAATGCTCCCTTAAAACCGACATGCTCGTTCCATTTCGCCATAACCCATGCTGTAATTGATGCTATGCAGTATTGACATGTGTGTATATCCATAGGCAGATGCAGTTGTAACTATGTCGCATAATAAAAAACTCCCGTACGTATATGACCTTGATTTATGCTCTACGGCGTTCCCGTCTCGTCCGCCATGGCTATCCGCGTCCAATGATTTCCCAAATGCAAATTCTCTAAAACTCCCCCCAAAAGGAAAAAAGCGAAGGAGCCACCTCTAATGAAACGTAGCAATCTTCAGTTTCAGTTTCGCATCGATATTTAACTCCTCCCCTAGTATGCGTATATATAACATATCAGACCGGAGCGTGGGTGAACAGGAAGCTAGGGATATGTTAGTGGACAGGAACATCATGGACTGGGGATGGAAAAAAACAATGTGACTGGGATACATACCTAACGCTCTCGCCATTGTGAGTCCGTCGGATAGCTTCGGCTATCGTAGGGCTCACGTCGATCACTCTTAGCTTCTTGCACCGCTGGACCTTATCTCCCAGGGGCACAGTGTTGGTGACGACGATCTGGCTCAGGCAGCTGTTGTTCAGGGTGGTGATGGCGTCTCCGCTCAAGATGCCGTGGGTGACGACGGCGATGACCTCGCGTGCGCCGTGGTCTTTGACCGTGGCTGCTGCTTTACTATACATGGGATAAGTTAGTATCATCGCTGTTTATATTGTAGGGACGGAGCGGGTGCTTACGCTAAGGTACCGCAGGTATCCGCCATGTCGTCGACCAGAATTGCGACCTTGTCTACCACGTCACCGACCAGAACCATCCTGCCTACGACATTAGGTCGGGGGCGTTCCTTGTGGATGAGCGCAAAACCACGGTCGAGACGATCCGCGATGGATGTAGCCCTGTCGCACCATGTCAGCTTCTCTTGTTCCTAAATTTCCCTATGGCGCGCATCGCAGTCGACCTACCTCTTCGCACCACCAGCATCCGGGCTCACGATGACGGTCTCCTGACCAGCGAGGTTTTCGCGGATCCAGCGCAGGACGCTCGGCTCAGCGTACAGGTTGTCGACGGGGACGTTGAAGAAACCTTGAATCTGTGAGGCATGGAGATCCATGGTGATGACGTGGTTGCAGCCGGCGGTCTGCAGCATGTTTGCGATCAGCTTGGCGGAGATAGGCGCTCGACTCTTGTCCTTCTTGTCCTGGCGCGCGTACGGGAAGTTGGGAATCACGGCGGTGATGCGCCGCGCAGACGCCGTGCGGCAGGCATGGATCATAATTAGGAGCTCCATTAAACCATCGTTAATATCGCCCGGGGCAGTGGATTGCAGGATGAAGACTGAGAGGCCATTAGTTCGTGATCGAAATTAATCGCGCGGATGGAACAATGATAACGTGAGGTGAAGGTAAAGCCGTACCATCCTCATCTCTAACAGATTCGCCGACCGTAACGCTGGTTTCTTGGTTTGAATAATTCAGACTCATAGTCTTTGCGATCTCAATGCCGAGCCTATAGGTCGTCGATCGCTCATTATTAGCTAATGTCCATATTGAATTGCTTCCTGTAGGATACCGATCCTCTCCAATTCCGTCGTCCGAGCGTCTGGGGAGAAAAGCCATAGATAGCCGAAGAACGTCATCATTTGCTTATTTTCTGTGTTCGTCCAAAGCTTGGGAGGAATTAAACCAGGGAAAATCAGGAACACATACCGATCGGCCACGGCTTTAGCCAGGCTCGGGTGGCTGTTGCCCGAGAGCAATTTGATCTCGTTCGCCATGTCGCCCATAGTGACTAGAGGAAAAGAGAAACCAGACGGTGCTGGGTTTCCTCTGGGTTACTTAAAATTTTCGATCCTGCAGCGTCACAAGGGAAAAAAAAAGAAAAAAAAAACTCTTAGACAATCGCGCGCTTGATGCAGTGCCACCGACCAAGGCCGAGCCACAGTCCAATCGGGAAGAATCGCGGGGTTGCGTTCGAACTTTCCCCAATCGTGCTATGGTTAGACGGAGGGGTCTCGCAAGCTATTTCTGTCTACTTCTGTCTGACTTTGGCAAAGAGACCTTGAGCACGTGGCCAGTCGAGAGCTCGTAAAAGCTTTGTAGCACGAGGAGGAAGAGAGTTTTTGAGAAGATTGAGCAGAAATAGGATGCTCAAGAAATCGGAATCCTATTTCCGTTGAATACCTATGTAGGATAACTATATGTAGAAGAAAAGAGGAAAGGAAAGGTCCCAAAGGTTTAAAGCTAGATGTCAAGGTCAACAGTTATTCGCTATTCGTTATTCGTCATAATTTTGAAGACCTGTTTTGGGCCATTGAGATCACGCAGAAATACCAAGACAAGGGAAAAGTTTGTCTTTCGAATTGACGCTAATTCGATGGTTCCTACCTTAACTCTAGACCGCAAGCTAACTTTCATAGGATAGGGTTATACCTTACCCACTCTTATCAAACCTTGCTCATTGAATAAGCTTAAAACTTCCAAGTCTCACAACTAGACAACCTTGGGAGAGGAAGCTGCTAGGCATGTCCACGCAATGCCGAGCTACATGTGGTATCCATGAGATGGAAGTTACTACCTATTTGTTCAAGAACAACTTCAGAAGCAGATTGGAATAAGCTTCCAGCACACTCGCCACAACCCTACAAAATCCTTTGTCTTTCCGGTGATACACGAGCTCACGTATGACCGTAACCTATCCAATAATAAGCAGTTCACCACCCTTCCGAGCGAATATCCAGCAAACTAGATTTTATTCAGAACCATTTCATTCCGGAGAAGTTTAGACTTACTGTTAATTAGAACAGGTCGTCGTATCGATGTTCACCCATGATGGGGATATAAGTGGAGGTGGCTGAGGAGCTCGGACGGCGGTCGCCTACATATCCCCACCGGAGAGCCGCTAATTGCATATAAAACGATCCTCAGCCTCCCAACACTCTGGAAGGATTCAGGCATTAAGCACCATACACTTACACAGCTACATGTTCTTAATAGCAAGTCCACAGCGAGCCCCCTACTACTGTCTCCTACTGTGGCACTGGTAGAGGCGCCCGATCGCTGACAACTCACAACTAGACCTCGGCTTGAGCCCCTTTTCAACCCCCTATTCATATTCTTCAATTCACAATAGCTTTCTTTCTTTCCTTCCTTACGCAATACCAAACCTCCGCCTTCGAAGCCAAGCCTCGTAACGTTTATAACGTACTGAGTATTGCAGGACCAGAAAACTTCTAAATATTTTATGTCTAGGATTAATATTAATTTCACGATTTTATAGGATCATTACTTCAACAAAACACCTTTACGTGAAGCATGGCAGCACCACAATATTAATGTCCATGATCTAAAGAGAGTTAAGAACCTCGCCAGGGCTGATACATCACGGGGAATGCGTACTTCGTGCTAACTCACATTACTACTCATTAATTTGATGAAAAATCTTGGAGACTTATGTAACAACCTCAATTCTGTCTAACTATATACAGGTGGAAGCCAAAGCAACTTAACGAGCGACTTGAATAATACAATCCCAACCAATCTTCGTCCCCTTGCCAATGGAGGCAAAATATCTATACGTTCTCGAACACTAATCCCTCGAAACTAGGTAACAGCTCCTTATTTCCAGCTGCACTGAGTAAAGGCGCTCCTGTTCCTGGCACCAGTGTGGGTCATCAAGCCACAGAAGGTGATAACGACGTTGCCAGTCTTCTTGTCCTTAGCCGAGACGTTGATGACAACACGGTCGGCGCCTGGGTCGTCAGGGTTGCCGACGTAGACCTTCTTGTTCTGCAGGATGGGGAACTCGTAGAGCGGGCCCTTGCACTTGGAGTCGAAGTTCTTGATCTCGTTGCCGCGGTTGAAGTACTGGTGCGGGTACTTGTTCTTGCCGATGGACTTGCCGCGCGACTCGAGGCGGCCACCGGCGTCACCGGCGTCCTTCACGTCGCCAGCGTTGTACGTCTGCTTCGCGCAGGTCGCGCTCGACGGGAAGTTGGCGTACGTGTACTTGGGGTTGATATCCCGCTCGCCGAGGATGGCCTCGATGTCGCGGATGTCGATGGCCTCCTCAAGGCCACGGGCTTCGGCTGGGACCTCTGAGGGGACGGCTAGGCCGTTTCCCACAGAGAGGAGAAGGGCGGCGGTAAGGAGGGCGCTGATGGACTTCATTTTGAATGCTGTTGAAACTCCTAAAAGATTGTGTATATGAAAAAACTGGACAGTGAATGATTGAGGTTGTTGCTGTTGGAGGTAATGACGGGAACTACGAAGCTGGTAAGTGATGGCCTTTTATACATCGCAGACGTAACAATATCTTCTGGTATCTATTGATATTGTTCACCATCGCAGTGTACGGTATACTCAGAGACAATGAAGTCCCTTCAATCTTCGGCAGGGTTACAGCAAGAAGCATTACCTATTACGGAACAATCTGCTGTCGAGGCTAGTAAACTTCGTACATCATAGCCAATAGACAACGCCGCCATACTAACGGGGATAACATCCTACATGTCACCAACAAGTTGCAGAATGCCTTACCGTGCCTTAATTCCTTCAAGCCTATACCAGGAACCAATTACGAGAATAACAATTCTATTCGTTTACAAAAATCCAAAGATCAGGTGATGGCGTCAATAGTCAATAAAACAAAATTAGCTGTTTGCTAAAGATACTAAGCCTGCCGATCATCTTGATTATCTGTGCAACATCTTGCGATAGGCTCAGGTTTTGCAGAGAAAATCATAGCTTCTCTAAGTGCTAGGAAGGCTGTGAGACTCTTTAAATAGATTTAACTCGAGCTGTTCAATGTATCGTAAACTTCACTCTCCCTGCACGTAAGCGGCTTTGGATTCCGATCGTCTCGGATGCTTCCAATAACCGGCATTCCAGGCCGTTGCGGGTTAAGCATTCTTAGAGCCCGACCGCTTTCCGTTGCTATGCCGTGCAACCGGCTGCCTAACCCCAAACCGCCACACTCAGCTGACCTCATCCCGCATTCACATCTCCTTTTCCCCCTGATATGAATCTTACAGTGTTTCCTCTTCCGGAAATACACGACTTACGATCTGATGTATTGCAGCGCACGTATTATGCGTATGGCAAACAAACACGTGATCGTCCGATTGCAGAAAGGGCACAGCCTTGGAGTGGATGTCTCTCTTATTAAAATATCACAGCTGACTGCTCCTCTAATTTTCATATTCAATCATTCCCATCTTTCATTTAATATTCACCATCTACTAAGCGCTTCTCGTAAAATGGCACCATCCATTGATTCGTTCATTGACAAACAACTTGCGGACCGGTGGGGCCCCACGCGGAATGAGTGAGTTCTCATCCATCCCTTACACCAGATAACTTAAAACTAATCAATATTCGATAGGGCAAATGCTATCCGTGATCTTCTCCATGGAAACATCAACCCTGAGGATGCAGCTGTAAGACTTACAAGCGATATCAATGCATCTCGCTCTGCCGAGACGGCCAAGGGAGCTCTATGGGGCCCATGGAAGCTGCTCGAGGATACAGCAAGAAAATTTCCCGAACATCATACCAAGGTAAATCTTCTTTCGAGATGCTAGGCTAATAGTGCTTTTATTTGCTATTTATCTAACTTTTCGAAGCTGGTCAAACTGGTAGATGCCATCCGACAACTCCCAGATCTCGTCATCAGAGGAGAATTAGCTGTCAAATGGTCAGAGCTGCCGAATCTTGCAGAGTTATGGGGAGAGAACGTGTTTGACCGTAAGTAACTACCTTCGCACTCTTCTATCTACAGGGAACTGACGCTATGACAGGGGACGAATCAGCCTATTCGGAGGAGGTTATCTCAATAGTTGCCTTCACAGCCCAACTTTGCGCCCGACAAATTGTCGATGCCAATGACTTCCTGTCGGCAGCAGAGTTAGACTTCTACACGGCTTTTGAGAAGACCCCTGCTGCAGGTTCTGCCCTCAAGGCAGACGACATCCAGAGGCTAAACATCAATGTACCCATCGCGGCACAATGGATTTTGCATGCCGGAGAGGCAATCTATAACTGTGAGGGGACTTTCAGTCTTGAGGCCAGAGATGGCTTATGGACTGGCCAACCAGGATTTAGCTATGGCAGATGGAAGCTGTGGAAAGAAAGGGCGGAATGGGTGTCTGGCCTGAACGGAGCGGTTAGGCGAGAGACAATAGATGTAGCTAGAAAGATGGTGGAGAAGATGAGTGAAATCGAGAGCAATGATGTATAGAGAATCTCCAAGGTAGGAAATACCTACTAACTTACTTTAATACAATGGTTCCATCCTTACTCCAATAGACTTTCATTAAAATTGAAGATGTTCTGAAACGAAAATACCTATTCATATCTTCTCATATAAAGTCACGCTAATAAACATGTTCGAAGATAATTCTGGTAGTCCATTATCACTGATCTTAAAACCAATTATAACCCCTTTTCCATATGCTCAGGGGGCTCAATTTAAGCAGCCCCTTTTTATATGGCATACCATTACATACAACCCAAAGACTAAATAAAGACATTATCCATATTTCCAGTAAACCTCTGTAGTAATTTTATTTGAAGCATACCTTTATAGCGTCTGAGAAAGACATCAATTAACAGAAAGAGCCCCTGGTGTCTCTTAGTGACAGAGATACTTCCTCACCAAGAACTCTCGCCGCCTACATCGGTCTCCCCACTGTTGACTCGGACGAAAATGTCTTGCTACATGAGAACTTCGTCTTTACTCCCGTTCAACCCCAATATCTTCCACGGTCCCGTATACAAATATCGTCAACTACTCCATGGCAGTCAAGCATATAGTCCCTAATTTCAGCCAGGCCATCAACAACTCATCTGGTCTAATGGTAAAGTCCTGTTCTTATAAACCTGTCAGCTAACGAATTCGCAGTCCATGTCGACAAACCGCCCCCTGCTCGGGTAGGCACTTCGCAGGTCACTCCGAAGGTATTCCCAGTCCCCTCAACACTCACTGGGCATGCTAACGCATAGGGTAACACGATCATACCCCCTCGTTCCAAGGCTCAAAGGGCCAAATTCTGGATAGTTGTTAACCCCAAACGCCTACTAGCGCGAACATGGTACCGGTAAGTTCGAGTCCCACCATGGGCCAGATGAGTTAAATATATTTTTTTGTATCTTTTCATCTGTTTATTTTTCGTTTAACCTATGTACCTCATTTTTTTCCATTGCTTATACTATTCAATTTATTAAATTAAATTAATTTTGCTTCCCTGTTTAATTCTGTGCCTCGCGGGGAAGACCTGATATACTTACTAATTCATCATGTATTGCACTAGTCTCATTTAATATACAAGGGTTCATCATTTTTTGATAAGCATTACCTAATGTCCCGTTGAATTTCTATTACGCCTGTCTAAGGATTCTCTGTTTTGGAGGTATAATATCGACTAAGATACTTGTTTCAACTGGAGGAGTTGGGGGGAGGTATATGTACAAAAGAGGTATTCTAAATTTTAGAAGTGTGGTCTGTAGAAGATTCATTTGGCTGGAAATTGAGCAATTCTCGATATGATGTAATTCCAAAGTGGAGGATAGTTAAACGAAACCGTTAGGCCTTTTCGGGGCCAGGAAAATAATGCGAAACTGAGGCCAATAGCTTGGTAGGCGACGACAGAATAGGGGAAGGGATAAAAGTGGACCCATCAGAATGTATGAGGGCACACAGTAAGGTTATATATCAAAACAATGGTGACTCTTTCCAACAATTCTCCAAGTACTTGTTTGGAACGAATCATTTAGCTCAGTCACCGAGCAATGGGTAAACCGCGAGTGTAATGCCGCTGTCCAACCATCAGACTGATCTACGATGGTTCGAAACGGGTTCTTGGAGACTTGTTTTTGGCGTTTTTTTTTCCTCCTCCCTTTCCTTTATTTTTATTTTTATTAGTTTTCCCTTCTCACACCTTACTTATCTCTATTGTTAAATCATATCGCTGTGGAATAGAATGGGTCATAGACCTACATGTCATTAAATTTTAGAAATGCCTCCCAACTAAACGGGCGATACGGCAACAAGGAAACTGATTGTACGGATCATTCTGGGAATTAATGCAGGGTATTACTTTCATTTTTCGGAACACATATTCATCATTTTATAGGGGTATCTAGACCACCACAATTAGGAAACAGTAGCTTCATAACACCCTCCCCTAATCCCTATGAGCAGCCCTAATCAGACCCCCCTTCTTTCCCCTAAATCTTGTTCAAACCATCAACCTTAGCAGTTCGGATCTCGCAGCCATGGCGGTTGCGATAAGCATAAGTGAAGATAATACGGTCTCTCGGCGGGAGAATGTTCGGGCACATCCAGCCCTGAGCACAAGCGCTTGAAGCGCCCTCGTCGTCCTCGGTTCCGGGCTCAGGAATGACGAGGCCGAAGGGGCACAGGATCAGCTTCGTGCGCTTCAGCTCGCTCGCCTGCAGCTCCTCGGGAATGGTATTGTAGAACTGCATGTTCTTGCAGGCCGCGTAGACGTCGAAGAAGTCGGACTCGACGGCGTAGCGGCGGAACTTCTTGGGGCCGTGGCGCAGGCGCTCCATCACCACGCTGTTGACCATGATCGTCACATCGTTCCACGTGTAGTACTTGGCGAGCTCGTGCAGGCAGCAGAGCAGCGAGATGGAGTTCTGCTCCAGCACCGCGAAGGCGGGCGCGCGAGGGTCGACCTCCGGTCGCCAGTACTTGAGGATGGCGCTCCAGTACGGCGCTTTCTCGTGGGTTCGTTGAGCCTAGATGGTCAACACGTTTAGTACCGAGGGTTGAGCTGAATTGGGTGGTATAAGTTGATGAGATTTTACTTACCGGAGTCAGGAGGCTGCAGCTGTGACAGATGTAGTGAGGTAGAGAAATGTCGCCGACACTGATGACAGGTATCTCGAAGGCAGGAAATGTGTTCTTGCATCCTTCGCATTTACGCAACAGCTTGTGGTGTTCCATGTTTCCTTGGAATTCTGGAAACTGCATTCGTGATTCAGCAAAAGGTACCTGATCCCCAGCCGAGTCGGTAGCGGTGGTGTTTGCAAGGACCATATTCAAACGGGCCAATCTCTTGGTCATGGAGCTAGTCATATCGTAGCCGTGGCCGTTGGCTGTAGTTGACGAAAATGGCGGTGGAAAAAAATAAATGAATGAATTAAATAATGGAATGAAAGAAATTGTGCATTTTCCAGCCGTCCTTACATGCAGAGATCGATACGCGAATCAAAAGGATAGCGAGGTCGATTTCTGAAATCAGTGACAAGTAATTTGACGGTGATAATTATTTTTTAGGAAGTGGTGAGTGTAAATGTCAATACGAAAATCAAAAGAGTGGAAAGAAGATAAGGTTTGTTTTTGTCAAGTTGGCGACGGCAATGTTGGCGAGCATGCAATTAAGGAAGGTGAACGGTATAAGGACGTGGCACTTAGAGAATGGAGGGGTTGGCTTAGAATAAACATTGTAGATTAACATTTTCACTGATATGAACGGCGGGGTAAAAATTGTCAAGTTGGATGAGTCACATTTGTCGTCTTTTTTTTGACTTCATTTTTATTCTGGTGCGATGACGAGATTCAGGATTATTCGGCACGGTAGAACCGGCGCACAGGCCGTGTAAGTGGGTCCATCGGAGCGCATGGGCTGTTAAATATAGATCGGGTTACGGGCCCGAAATAGTGGGTTTAATCGGACTGATCGGAGAAAATGTGTAACATCTTTCATATCTTATGTCAAAGCTTCATTGGCTCTTTTTGGTTATTGTGGAAGTACGTACCTGCGGATCCTGTTGTAGATCATCTGGGGATGAACAGGAGATCGAAACAGAGAGGCTTTGGTAAGGCTCAATAAGCTGCTACACCAAGCGTTTCATCTACCTGACAAGGTTGTATTCAACCAGGGGTTCATGAGCCCACCGGCCTGGCTGGTTCTCCCAATTGGTGAGCTATGGGTTATCATAGCTAAGACATACAGGGGCAGGCGGACAAAAAGAACATTATTCAATACTACATCCACTAGGACATTCTTTGCGAAACAGACTCGCGTCCACGTTTCTAGTGAGTTTGAATGCCGGGGTCCTAACGAATTGGGAAGATCGGCTGCTTCCGAAATAGCGTCTATCACGGAACCTCGTTCCTAAGCCAAGACGCGAAGGACTTTTTAATGTGGCCTCTACCGTTAGGACAATTATTGGCCCTTGGCGCGTCGTAGAAGGAGAAACTTTACACACAGACGATGAGGTCGGAATTCTGGTTCAGTATATTCTTGTGGCGAGGTGCATGGAATAACCAACTTACTTATTAACTTCTAATCCTATTCTTCTATTCGTCTACTGATCTATCGCGCGGGAACGTTGAGTAAATCATTTTTTTGCGCATCTTTCGTTTTCCCACGGCCGGTCTGTCGGGACGCTTTCTAGGAATGGCATTGGATTTATAACGACGAATGATGATGATGGAACCTGGGCTGTCGCTCCTATTGCTATGGTCGCTCTGGTCAACGACAAGCTTAGGACTCGGTAATTTCGCGTCCAATGGAGATACTCTGGAAAGTAGGGAGAAAAGTGATGGAGAAAATAACCCGGTGGCGGTGAGATGGGTCGTGGCAGGGAGGAATGATGAAGCTCGACTTCCTTCGATCACGGCGGCACCAGCTCTCCCGACAGTGGCTTCTTCGGCTGGCACTCCTCTTCAAATTCGCCAGGCTGCTACAGATACCGACGGCGACATCGATGATGGACCACCACCGCCTCCCCCGCCTCCCCTCAACCCGGCCCAATCAAATAGCATATCGAACAGCGTCTCAGCCTCCGTGTCGAGCAGCGTAGCAGCCAGCGTAACGGGCGTTTACTCTTCCTCGCTTCAGGCAATGTCAGCAGCGTCAACCAGCGCAGTCGCATCTGCACGAATCGCCGGAATCGCCGAAGGAATGTCGTCAGCTATAGCCGGCATGAGCGCTTCAACAACAACCGGCATCACTAGCAGCACTTCCGCGACGTCGGCGACTGGTACGGATGCGGCCAGCGCTATCGCAAATATCCAGACGAGCGCCAGCAAGGCCGTGGAGGAGGCGCAGGCCAGTGCTAGTAGCAGTGCGCAGAGCGCCGTAGCAGCGGCGCAAGCTAGTGCGAGCGCTGTCACGGTATGTATCCTACTCCTTAGGACACAAGAATCGATATATCATGAATGAATAGTAGCTAACAACAAATCCAGACCCCCCAATCCCAGGGCTCAAGCCTGACCCCAGGCCAAATCGGAGGCATCGTCATATCCATCGCCTTCATATCCTCGCTCCTCTCCGCCCTCGCCACCTTCCTCCTCATGCGGCGCAAGGCGCGCCAACAAGACGCCCCAAGCAAATACGAACCCGAATCACCCTACATCCCGCGAACCCAGGAACCGGTCCTGCCCCCAGTCCCAGAACCGCGTCCGCACTCCCTCTCCCAATCCATCCGGAACCGGCTCTCCTCCTTCCACGCCATGCTAAGCGGGCCCATAATACCGCCCTACCGGCGGAGCCAGTCCCCCAGCAACCTCAACAGCAGCAGCGACGCCTTCGCCGCGGACATAAAGCGGCGTCCGCCGACGGCCGAGCACCCCGCGATATCTCAGAATGCGCGACCGCTCAGCGACCCGGCCTTCCCCGTCTCGCCCGTCTCCTCCGTCGGCGACCAGTCCCTGATCCTGCAGGGCAACGAGCCGGAAGCGCGACTACAGCCCTCGCCGCCGATGCCCGTCGTCGTCGAGGCCCCGCCGTCACCCGTAACGGTGACGGACACGAGCACGAGCGCGGGGCCGTCCGCGCCGTCCGCGCGGGTGTCGCTAGCGCGCGAGCAGAGCATAAGCGGCGGCCAGCGACCGCACCTCGTGCGCGTGGGCAGCGGGCGCGAGCGCAGCGGCGCCGGAGGCCATCCGCTGTCCATGCACCCCGTGTGCGGAGACGAGGGATACGACGCCGCGCCCGTGTCCGCGACGGGGCAGTGCCATATAGTGCTCCCCATACGTTCTCCGGCGGACGGCGACGAGCACGCGGGATGGAGGGCTAGTGTCGGGACGGAGCTGAGTACTGCGTCTTCGTTTCACGTCCAAGCACCGATCCCGAGGCGACTTGTCGATCCTATTTCCCTTGAGCGAGGCCCGAATTATCTGCCGCATGCATATTGAAATTAAAAAGGTCGTTTATTGAGAGTTAGTGCGAATATCCAAGATCTGATGCCCGATATCCTGTAAATAGTGTCAGTATTATAGAGTTACAACGCGAATACGAGTACATAATTGCGATGACATTATCTGACCGCATTGCCTTCTGATTCAGTGAAACATTCATAACTCCATCTCCCAAATTCCATAATGAATATACTTCACGGAGAAACAAAAAACGAGACTGGGATCCTCCAGCTCAATCATTTTTCATTACCTTAAAATCGCACTTTTTATGTACAGTTACATCGATCCCGGAGCCAACCTTCCTACAGTCAAGCATTTCAGGCTGAGGAACCTTCAGCCTCTGCCTAACCTAACGCCAGCCATGCACAACCGACACGCCGTGAAGACACGTTCTATTTAAGACATGTTCGAAACACCAGCGGGCCTCACCGCGCTCATTATACATGAGCGGACATCCCCGTGAGCCCACAGGTCGCCTATAAGCGAGAATTTCGCAAATACCTAGTAGACCGTAGGTATTTGGATCTCACCATGAGACATGAGAGGCACCTCTTCTCCTCCACAGCCAATGCCGGGAAGTAAAATATGTGAGGAGCGCTTACACGGGCAGCTTGAACTTCTTGCCCTTGAGCACCTTGTTGTAGTAAATCCAGAAGAAGTCGCTGTATAGTACAGTCTGGATGAGGCCGGCGACGATAGCAATCCAATCGACCTTGTGCTTGGGCTCGGTAATGTACCGGTAAATCCAGTTGGGGATGTAGAGAGTTCGATAGATGCCCAGCGCGAAAAGGTAGTGAGTCGTAATGACCTCGGCCTCGCCAGTCCTCTGCAGCATGAACAGCTGAGGAAGAATAGCAACGGACTCCAGCCAGATTGAGAATGCCCATAGGATCTCGGAGAAGGTGTACTCGTACGGCATGAGGATAGCAAGAACCGCAGCACCGCCTAGAAGGTATCGTACACGAAAGGTATCGAGATTGGGGTCGACCGTCGGCTTATACTTGGTCGTCATCAAGTAGATAACGTAACTCTGGCTGCCGATGAAGAGGATCTTGAAGACAATGTTGTAGATGCTGGTCGTATTGAAGAGATCTGTTGACTTCTCGTAAGTACGAATTGCCCGCTATCTATAAATAGAACTGGTATATAACGACGTACCTAAATAACGAGTAATATAGACGACTAAATAAAGAGCTTGGGACTTGAAAGATATTCCTGAGGCGCCCTAAAACAGCTAGTTGTTAGATAGTATTCGGAGCCCTTGAAATCGCGACACTACTAACATTGAGCTCTGTCATCTTGTGCAGGAGGATCAAGATGGAGGCTAAATGGGAGAAGTCTCCTGAATATGACTGTCAGTATGATATACTAGAAACGTCCCATCGTATTGGCGCTTACCCAAGATTCGGAAGACGTTTAAAGGCATGGTGGAGGGTTTGAGGGGAGCCGAGCTCCAAGAAGCTTTACTAGCGACGGTTTACGGGTTCGATCGCGTTGGGCGGTAGTTCCAAAAAGGGGTAAGGAATTGCCCGTTATTCTACGGATTGACCAGAGGGTTCGCAGTAATATCTGCGAAAAGGAGGAGTAGGTACTGAGGAGAATATTGACCGGTAATGGTCGAACATTTACACATTTACGTGGACTGAAGAATGTTTGAAAGGACACAATTACACCTGGGACGCGATTGACGTATGATTGGATCCCTGGCTAATGGCGGCTTCCTGGCTCCTTTAACATGTGGCTGATACAATACGGAAATATCCAAAATTATCAAAATTACTTCTCCAGCCACACCTACACATTTGGTGATGATGTCACGTCTATAAGTCTATCCTATTGGCTGGCATTAACAAGGAACTCGGCCGGTCGGCATTAGTACCTGCCTTGCCAGGGTGGTACGGGCAGTTACAGGTACATAACTACCTTGTACAGTGGAAAACGGATCTCTTGGCACATGAGGCATCCGGCCTTCTGACGTACCTAGCACTTTAGTAACCACTGGATTACAAAGCTATCTTTGCGAAGGCAGGTAACATCTTGTAGAATCTTCGACAAGAACACTTTAAGGAAAGGACGTAAAATTCCAGTGAGTCGCTAGGTAGGACTAACTCTTTTTCTTTTCGGCGTTTTTTTTTCTTTTTTTATCAAAGCAACATCGTTTGGTACCGACACCTTTCCACATCAACACTCCAGTAGTAGTACTACGCCGTAGTACGGACTCGAGATATCAAACAACTTATCGTCGTCCAACCTTCAAGCGCAACGTCGCACAACAAAATGGCAGAGCACGCGGAACATGACATGGCAGAGCAAGCCGAGATGCCACCCGAATCCGAAGAGATCACCATAACCTTCACGCACCACGGCACATCGCACTCCCTCGCCATCTCCCCGGACGCCAGCATCTCCGACCTCGCATCCTCGATCGAATCCACGCTCTTCATCCCCGTCGCCAACCAAAAACTCATGGTCTCCAAGCTCGGGCTTCTCAAACCCCCTTTCTCCGTCGACCGTCCCGTCTCCGAGCTGCGCGACAAGAAGATAACCCTCCTCGGCACATCGAGCGCCGAGCTCGCGTCCCTCGCCTCGGCAGGCCAGCAAGCGGCGCGCCGAGAAGCGCACCTAGCCCAGGCTCGTCGCAGTCTGCCCCGCGCCTACTCGTCGACGCGGCCGACCTCGCAGCGCGCGCGCGACGAGAGCGAGTACACCTTCGGCACGATCCGCCCGCTGCCGAACCTGCCGAACCCGCAGCGCTCGCAGCAGTTCCTCGAGCGGCTCGCGCGAGACCCGGGCATCCGGGCCACCATGGTGCGGCACAAGTTCAAGGTCGGCGTCTTGACGGAGATGGACCCGCTCTCGTACACGGAGTCGAGCCACGAGGGCACGACGCGCATTCTGGGTTTGAATCGGAATAAGGGGCAGGTTATTGAGTTGCGCTTGCGCACCGATGCGTATGATGGGTACCGCGACTACAAGACCATCCGCCGGACGCTGTGCCATGAGCTCACGCACAACGTGCACGGCGATCACGATCGCCAGTTTTGGGACTTGTGTCATCAGATTGAACGGGAGGTCGAGAAGGCGGATTATATGAGCGGTGGGAGGAGCGTGGGAGGTGCGGAGTATGCGGAGCCGAGAGAACGGGAAGAGGAGATTGCGTATGATCACGGCGGGTGGACTGGAGGCGAATTCGTGCTTGGGAGTGGGAACGGGGGTGGTAGGGGAGGGGCAGCACCTATCGCGGATCAGAGCGCGCTGAGTCGACGGGAGGCTATGGCAAAAGCGGCGGAAGAACGTATTAAGAAACAGAGGCAAGCCGATGAGGAAACGAAGGGCGAGCAGTAGGCCGTTGGAAATCGAGTCGAATTTCGATACTCGTTAGTTACGACGAGTGCTCCGCGGGCTCCCGATATGCAGGTCTAAGGATTCAGGCTACCTCGGAACACTGCGAACACAGTCTATGGCGATATCCCCTTGAGATTTGCTGAACTAGGTGGCATGGAGTTCATAGGGTTCACTAATAAATAGCATGGCGATGGCGTTTTAGAAATGATGGACTCAACAGGGCGAGCCTCTAATTGAAATTTTCTAAGTGTCTACCTTACAAGTGTTATGATCTATTTCGACAATATTACCGAGATCTCTCAAAGGGTGTGTAATTCATTTATCCTCAATTCGCCCACCAGCATATCAACTCATTCTCAAGTGTAGACGTTATTTATCTAGGTAAGTACATATACTCATATACCACTTATTCCAACTAGAGCTTCAGCTTACACGTATGCAGATACATGACTTGATTACTTTTAGGATTTTGTAAAATCCGATCTGATCTTTTCTACCATATATCAAATTCATAAGATGCGATTCTCTCCAAGACCAGTATTCTACGAAGCCCCCTTCACAACCGTCTTCTCAACGACCACCACAACGGCGTTGTTATTCGGCTTCGGCTTGTTGAGCGTCGCTTGCCCCTTTTCCTGAGGTGGCGGGTCGGGGTTCTTCACCCACTCCTTGAGTTCGGGTACCCAATGGTGCCTATGGAACAGCGTCAGTAACATCTTCGTCACAGTTCTGCGAGAGTTTGATATATAGGCGCAGGAATTCAAGGAGAGATCGATCAACAGCAAGAACGGGGATTTCAGGGGCTCAGGGGCTCAGGGGCTCAGGGGTAATCGGGGGATAACTTTACTTACCCAGACCACTCCGTATTCGTCAAAGACTTCCCTCCGTACTCATCCGTCAGTATCTTATCAAACGCAAACGGCACCCGCGCCGGCACGCCCTCGAACTCCGTCCTACGCACAGGATACAACTCTGCAATACGGTATTTATGCGAATTCTTACAACTCCAGATCCCCGGAGCCCCCGCCGGATCCCGCTCCGCCAGCCCCGTGATATCGATGTACAGCCCATTACTCGTATCGATCCACCTTGCATCGATAACATTCGCGCCATTCCCCCTATCAATATCCGTGGCATGCGGGTTCACGTCGAGTAAATACGTCTTATTAACCCACCCCCCACCACCACCTCCAGCTTCCTTCCTAGCATCAAAGGCATAATCGTGCAGGGTCCGGTTGAAATACCGGCCCAGGTACGCCAGCGTGGCGGTCGGCATCTGCACGTCGAGGTCGTAGTCCCAGGGCATCACACGCCCGCCCCACCACCACCCCAGCAGCGTGCCGTGCGCGAGCCAGGTCTCGACGCCGAGCTCGCCGCTCGTCGAAAGCCACGACCGCACCAGGTGCCGCAGCGCCGGCCGGTGCTCCGCGTACGGCACCACCGTCCGGAAGTACCGCGCGTCGTAGTGCCCCAGCTCCATCGTCGCCCCGGCTTCGTGGAAGTACTTCTTCTGCTGCGCCGGCTTCTTGGGCTCGTCCCGCTTCTCACCGGGGTCTTTGAGGGAGGAGGTGGTGGTGGTGGTGGAGGAAGGAGTTTGGGGTTGGTTCGGTAGGGCGCTTGCTGTGGTAGCCGTGAGCAGGGCTAGGAAAGTGAGTATGAGACGCATCTTCGAAGGGCCGAGTAGGCATTCTCGGATCTGCCGTTTTCAGGTCAAGGAAAGGAGGTCGTATGGAAACGTCTTCCTACGATAGATTACTGAATAGACAACATCTAGATATCCATTACCTCTTTTTTTTCGGGGGTTGGTCGTGTGCTATAGATCATTTAAGCTCTATATCCCCCCTCGGAGCCCAAATACCAAGGACCTAGCATATTGCGTATTCGAGCGACATAGGACGATTTGGTCCTCCTCCGTGTCTGAGCGTTGCACGGATAGCGGTCTTCGTAAATCTTCTTTGCGGAAATGCTTGCCACTGCTCGTGTGACCCCCTCCCTTAAGGGGACGGGGCCTATCTTCGCACTTGCCGCATTATGCTATACGTGGATTATACTCTATTGCCATTAATGTGATCTATTTTCTTGGTATAGAGATAAGCCAGGGCTGGTTGCTACATATGTTGTCAGTTGGGTATAGATATAGTGTGTTTTTAAGAAAGTCATCTCTCGCACAACGGCGTAATCTCGCCACGAGATCTAACGGCTAACTACTAAACGTTTTCCTCTCACTCCTGAATAAGAAATACTGCTTACAACGGCCCGCCGCTTACCGACGCTCCTACTTACAAATTTTACTGTGTCAATTTACCTCATAATCACCGGAGCCAAGAATGAGCTCAAACAAGTTCTTGAGTTTATATGGCTACGTAACGTGGCTCCGCCACTACTAGCTTACAACGAAACGCTCAAGCATCACAACATCTAACCTTACAGTACTGGCGTAGCTTATATATAGTCTATCGGCAAGTTGGTGGGGGAATAACGATAACGACAACGGCATTACATTTACTAGAGCCCCTTTATCCTACTCGGTGTCCATTATATCGACGAGGAAGCCCTTCAAAATATCAATACAGCAACTGTCCATTAAGATTGGTAGATAGCACGAGCGAGGCGACTTTGTCTGAATATAAGAATACTGATAGTTCAGTTCGTATAGACGTAAGGCCAAGAGCGGTAAATCCTTCCAGTGACCATATCAAGGAACCGGTCGCCCGTAGACCAAGATGATTCTCCGCAATGCAGATACTTTGTAGCCCGACCCCTGAATTAGCGGTATAGTACTGACTTGCCAAGTAGGACGTGCTACTAGAGTATCCTCGACAAGAGTTCATGCATACGAACGTAGAAATGTCATTTACTTGCAAGCATTGGACTCCCTGCCTAGTTAGGTAATCTACACAATATCATGACAACTAGCTGGGAAGTATTTTAAGGGGGTAATATGACAGATACTGGGTGGAGGGATAGAAGGTAGTTTAGGTTCAACTCCTATTAGGCCTGTTGGTGCCTGCCTTTTATCCCTTCTATCTACGACTTTACAGTTTGTCAGGTATTAGGTGATATAGAGCTAGCTAGATTACAGCCTAGACGGTAGTCTTGATATCTACGCATCAATGTCTAATCCCCATACCAACACGACGAGCAGATTCATTAACACAGTATCTCACTGTCCTCAGATAGCAACGTACAGCCAAGCAAACACTTAGACATACCGTAAACCCTAGATAGGGAAATCTTTTCTCTTACCCCCTATCCATGTTCATCATCATACCTCCCTCCCTAACACCACCTCACCTCATCATCACCGTCTCCGAGTCCTCGTCGTCGGCACCGACTCAAAATCATCCGAAATCTCGTCATCACTAATTTCGAGCGGATCATCCTGCGTCGCCTTCTGGGACCCGAAGTTCAACTTCGTCTGCCTCGGCTTCGCGCCAGCGCTCTTCGGAGCAGTAGGCGCCGCAGCCCTCGATGTCTGGCTCCTCGCCGGCGCCGCCCTCGTAGCCCTCGTCGTCGTCGCTGCGCGTTTCGGCGGCGGCGCGGGGGGATCGTAGTCGTCGTCGTCCATCACCACGTCCTCTTCCTCCTCCTCTTCCTCGTCGCTCTGCTCGAAGACTTGTTTCTTGCCGCGGCCTCTCGCGGGTGCTTTTCTAGCCGGCGCTTTGGCGGGCGCTTTCGGCTTAGCAACCGCTGCCGCCATTCTACCCCTTCCCTTTGGCTTAGGCGTCGGTTCCTCGAAAACGTCATCCATGTCCTCGTCCTCTTCCACGACCGGCGCTGCTTTACGTCCGCGAGCCTTAGGTTGTTTTGCTGGTTGGGAAGGCTGGGACTTCGCCGCGTTAGCAGCCATAGCTTCGTGGTCGAGCGCTTCGGGGCGGTCTTGCCAGGGCCCTTCGATGTCCGAGTCGTAGTCGTCTGGTTTCGGCTTGTAAATGCGTCTTCTTGGCTGATTTAGCACGCCCGCGGAAAACTTCTCTTCAAGTCTCGCCTTGACCTGTTCCATTGCATTGTCGAGATCGCCATCTTCTCCGAGCGAGAGCATTTGCTTGACCTGCTCTGATAGGGATTCGCTCACGAATGACTCCATGGCATGCTTGTCGTCCTTGTCGACGAATTGGTTTACTGCGTCACCGAAAGGTGCTTGAGGTAAGATTTTTAGAGACTGTGCTTGGGCGGAAAGGAATTCGGCGACTAGTTTGTCAACCTTGATATCTTCTATTTCCTCCAAGGCCTCTAGTAGCTCTTCTGGTAGTTCTCCGGCAGGCGCCTTTCCTATTGCACATTAGTGATATTTATTGACATGATGTTATTTACTTACTTTGCACCGTCTTCTTGCGATAGAAGTGTACTACGTCATTGGTGTTCGCGACCTTGCCTTGGAATCGGTTAGAGAAGCGCTGTGGATTTTCGATGTCATATTGGCCTCCCTCCGGTGCAGTATATTCAACCTTTAGACGAATCAGGGGTAGCGGTCGTGTATTATCTAGAGAATCTACTTCCTGGATAGATTCCCACTCGGCATTTGCTTCCTCAATCATCTCTTCTACGACACCCATCAGTTTTTTTGTGAGCTCATGGCGGTTTTCTTTTTTCTTGTCGAGCCCTTTAAATCTCTTATCGTTTGCGAGGACAATCTCGGCGGTCATGAAAGGGCGGACTGACTTCAGTCGGTGTTTGACTATTTTGAAATCCCTCCCAGTGACGCTAACTATCGCAACATGTTTAGCTACAGCTTCACCTGGTACTAACGATGTAGCGACTGAAGAACCTGGCTGCATGACATGAAAGCCAGTCTCCGGGTTATGGCTAGGATCGATCAGGCACTCATGCTCGTGACCCCAGACGACCAAGTCTAGCCATTCAGGCAGCATGTTTTCAGGTAGATACCCAGTAGCAGTATGAGCGTGATGGTTTTGGTGGACAGCGAGCAAGTTGAACCAATCGCTCGATTGCTGGTTCGGCCTGTACCATTTAACATTATGATCGCGGAAATTCCGAAACATGCGTTCGTCGCGAACATTGCTTATCCCGTAGAGTGCTAACTTAGTTAACCCCTTCTGAAGTAGGACAGGTTTGGCATGAATATCATCCACCTGTGGCACACGCCCGAAATAGTTGACAAGTCCGGCCATCTGAAGTAGGTCGAGGGAACATAAGTTTCCTTCGCCGCTAGGATCATCATGATTACCGTGGATAGAAAAAACCGGGATGGAAATGTTGATATCGGGATCTTCATAGTTAACATGTCCTAAGCCGCCATCAAAGACCTCAGTTGCATCGCTGAGGAACTGGAGCTCGCACGGTTTATTGCCAAGACAATTCTTCCGCAACGATCGCATGACCTTATACAGGGCTTTCCTGGATGGCTTGTTGTCATGGAACAGGTCGCCGGCTAGCAACACCATATCAACCTATCCCATAAGTAAGTATGCCTCTGACTTGGGGGCATGTATGCCTATCGCTTACGTCCTCTGTTCGGGCCAAATTCATAATCTCGTCAAACGATTTCCAGCTATCATCTCCTCGGATTGGATCACGCTCCTCATAACCCACATGATTATCAGTGGCAACGAGGATGCGAATCGTATCCGCATCTATTTTCAATATATGGTCAGCCAAGGGTTCATTTTCACAAGAAGAGTACTCTCTGTGGCGACGCACCGCTAAACTGTGATTGCTGCATTTTTAGGTGGTAATGAGCTTCGGAGCGGCGAAGTATTTCTCAAAACAGAGCTGCAAATAAACTTTCCGCTCAAAGCTGTTAAGAGATGCATATACTTATTCCTATCTCTCAGGGTTTTTGAGTATCATTGTGTGTCATTGAGAGATGTCTAATGGGATGGATGCTGCCTGAGCTTGGGATGAGAAAGAAGGAAGACGCGCTGTGACGCTTCGCGTTTGCCCCGCTATCTCGCAGTCACGTGACTAAAATGCTTAATTGAAATTCAGGGGGGTACTAGTTGCCAACTGCTCTGTTAACAAAGATATGTACCTACCTATTTACCTTCATATAAGTCACACTTATAGATTCACGACTGCAAAATATTAAAAAAATAGGAGGCATTATTCATGTGTATCTTGCGTTCTGAATTGAGTGTGTGCGTCTCACGAATACTCTTCGCTACCGAAATAGCATATATTCTCCCAGACCGGTTACAACTGTACGTGTAGGATAGCTAACCTCCAAGCAATACGAAGCAACCATAACGAACCCGAATATGCGCTGATGCAAAAGGTATCCTTCCAAACAAGGCATCCGGCCTGTTCCAAAAAATACAATCCATCCTTCGTCTTCACACATGTGAAATGCCCACTTGAAAAAAACGCCTCGTCCCAGAAATAAACCGATACCCCTTCATAATGTGTACCCGACGTTCTAGTAGTGTTGAAATATAATCATGCCCTGACCACTGACACCCTCCACGTTTATGAGGACCCCGAAGTAGCGGCAGAGTCTTCCTTGTTCACCTTTTCGGCGACCTCTTCCCACCATACTCCATGAGCTTCCCGATCTACGGCTCCCACCCTGACAATTTCATCAACTATTTCTCGTATCTTCTCAACAAACTCAGGTAGCCCCAGACTCGCAAGCTTCTCTCCAGCTGTACTAGTCGCCTTAACCTTCTCACTTGCAGAACCTGCTTGTATTCTGGCTAGAATATGGCCCCTCATCCGCGTCAAGAGCAATCTCAATACAGGCTCTCTCGGGTCTATGTTTTCACGCCTCGCATCTATACTAGCGGCAAGCACCTTGGTTACAAGGGCCTGTAGGTGCGCCTTCGTAGCCGCAGGCATCGACCGTCCAGCTTCTAGCGCTGCCATGATACCATGAATAGCAGTAGACTGAGGAAGTGGCTTCGATTCGTCATCCATGGACTCAAGAACAGTAAATATACGCCCAGCTTCTGTCTTCCAAGGGGCCCGGACATCGCGCTTAAGCAAGTTCTTGCATTGCAGGAGAATAGCACCGGCAGTGACAATACGTATTGTCTGACAGCCGAGACGTGCACGGCGTTTTGCGTCAAGAGCAAGTGGTTCCGGTATAGTATCTTCTGAGGGTGATGGCTGTGTAAACTCGTCTAACAACATCTGCCAATAGATCTTGTCCGGAGTGGGCCGCGAGCGCGGATGGTTGATTCCTTCGGGATCACGGCGAGCCACTTCCGCGTGTACCTTATTGCGTGCGTTTCGCCACGAAGCTTCCGCATGAGACAACGTGATAGTGCCGCTGTCCAAGTCCTCGGCAAATCTTTTTGTTTCATATGCAGAGGCGTGCTCTACGAGACTTGGTGCTGCGACTTGCAACATGTAATTTGCGTAGTCGTAGAGCATAGTGTCAATGAACGAGAGTAGCGCTTCGAGGCGATCAACGACATCACCTTGGCTAAGTTTATTATCCACCAGGTCCTTTACTTCGTCGTCGCGAACCGGTGCGCAAAGCTTAGGAAGGAGAGATCCAATCGACGAGAAGAACTGCTGGTACGAGAAGCTGCCCGCTAAGAATTGTCGCTGAGCAACTTCAGTGTCGAGCATTTCTCCAATGAACGTATGCATGGGCGTGCCGGGTTGAACCAGATGCTGAAGTCTATCCCTGATGTAATTGGCCATTATAATGAGGTAATGGAACTCTTTCTCCTCATTCCCAGGGTTGGTTCTTAAGTCCTCGAAAAGGGGAATCATACGAAGCTTATGTTGCTCTTGAAAATGCTGATACTCGATACGGTATTCGCGATTAATGGCCAATTCGTGAACAATGATCCGGTTATCCGGAAGTATCGGGGGATAGCTTGGTTGAAGTACGCTTTGCTTCGACTCCCTCTCCCTCAGTGGGGTCGGCGGAGGCGTGAGCGTCTGGAGTTGCGAAGAAACAACATGTTCTGCTGTTGCGTTGTCCCCAACCGGGTTGGCATTATTTAAAGAATGCTCTGCAACTCTTGGTCTCATGTCACCCGCAGGCTTCTTCGCGGCCCTGGCTTTCCTGGCCTGTTTGACAGCCTCGAAAATCATCCTCTTGCCCTGCTCGGCACCGGCAAGTCTCTTGATCCGGACCATCAGCATAAGTTGATTGTCCTTGATGCTCTCTCGATAAGACTCGGCAACAACCTCTTCGGTGCGATCCTTTACGCTTTGAAGGATTGCGTCAAGCTCTACGAATTGCAAGAGCATCACTTCGACCAACGCATTCGAATCGCGCGCCTTCCACGCTATGAAAGCATTGTGGAACGTCGCATACGACTCTGGTAAAGCTCCTTGTAATGCTGGTGGAGTAGTATAGTTGTTCATGGAAGTTAGTCGGGAGAGGATGTTCTCGAACGAGATAAGCAAGTCCCTTGCCTTGGCGACGAGATCCTGTAACTGTGGATTAGCCAGGTCATCATGAGGTATGGGTTGCCCTTGAGAGGATCCAACCTGCTCCTGCTCTCCCCTGTGATCCTTATTGCTAAGAACCTGGGTAGGGTGGCCCAGGATTAAGAAGGCGCTTAGGAAGGTTCGGACAGCGGTCATCTCATTCACTGACCCTGCCTCACCCTCTTGCAAGCCACAGATGTTCAACACCCTCGCCGTGAGCACAAGGACTTTCTCTTGCGCAAGGAGTTCAGTCACTTGCTCAAAAGAGGTATCCCGAACACTGTCAATGTTCAAACCCAGCTCGGAGAATTGGTGCACAGCCTTCCTCCTCAATACTCCTCTCCACCACCATTGGATCTTGGACACTGCAACATCCTCACTCATGAGAACGACATCACTCATGCTTGAAGATTCGTGCTCGTCCTCCTCAGGCAAACTGCTCGTATCAGACTTCTTGGTCATGATGCTTTGGCCTCTAGATCGTCTAGCAGCATGACGACTGCGTAGTTCTTCCCTCCTCTTCTCAGCCTCGGCTAATCGTTCCTCCATATGAGCCTTGAGCTTACGCAATTCGTGCTCCCTCTTTTCTTTCATACTTTCGGCCACTGCCTTAGCCCGCTTTACCTCCTCGGCGCACGCAGCGACGATTTCAGCAAGATTTTTCTCTCTGGCCTGTGCTGCAGCCAACGCACGTTCTTCGAGGTTCGAACTCTTCTGGTGAGCCGCCTTCGCTAGGGCCGCTCTTAGGCGCACTTTTTCCGCGTGCGCCGCCCTGTCGGCCAAGCGCGCCTTCCGATCCTCCAAAATAGAAGCACGTCGCATTTGCTGAGCAATATACTTGCTCTGGGGGCCGACATTGTGGACGAAGCCATGGGAGGAGCGCGACTGTGCAGAAGAGATGGAATTTCGACGCGACGAGGCAGCCGAATCTTTTCGACGGTTTTGGGTAGGCCGGTAAAATCGTGCGGCAATGTGCGGAGGTGGTGTGTATATTCTGGTGCTGTCCTCCTCTGGCGTCATCAGAGCCATATCTAGATCGGCATCTATAGCTGACGGGTCCGGAGTGCCCACGGATTCTTCGATGTTTCGAGAGGGGTCAGATAGGTCTGCGGAAACGCGACGCATTGTGACTGAGTCGGACTGGGGCGTACGTTATAAACGTACTGATCTAAGCCAATTCTAATGCAGGTAAGAAATCAGAGAAATGGCGCAACCCAACAGAGTGACCTGCTCTTTTTTCTGCAACAGGGAGCTTGATACGCCTAGATCGCGGTGTGTCTTTGTATAATTCGTGAGATAATCGAGTCTTGTATTCTTGTCACTATCCGTTTGGCGCGGCGTTTCTCCAACCACGGCTCGGACCAACAACAAGTGACGCACTTCCACGGTACACTACGGTAGGTAAAGTGGGAACGAATAGGATTGAAAAATGGTCGCTGCGGCCGCAAGAAGCGCAGGGGGGGGAAATACGAATTCTAAGAAGAAAAAGAAGAGGAAGCGGAATGAGATGAGATGGAAGAAAATACAATAGAAAAACGAGTCGCAACGAAGACGGGAAGTTGCAGAATTCGCACTGCAGGATTCCGAGTCGAACAGACAGAAAGGGAAGAATAAAATGGAATTGTAAACGAAGTAGTAAGAAAAGAAGGTTGGCTAAGGTAATAAACTTTCCAAGTTGGGCTGGAAACGTCAAATGCACTCAATGCAATTATGACAGATGACGGAAGGATTGCAATTGTGAGGCCAGCCGCCGGGCAAATCGCGTCTCAGGTGTAGCCCACCTCAGTGAAACATTAAATTGTAGGTATGTACATTTAGGGATGCTTTGCTTCAGGGCCACACAAACTCTGAACCGGACTAACAGGCCTAGCTGCCTGTCTAGGCTGTCTAGTAAGATGTACCTAGGGTCCTAAGCAGATAACGTATGGATATTCCCATCCGTTTAAAGGAATACTCGTGTTCTGCATATGTAACTTGGTAAGCGAAGGACCACTATCTTCTTTCCGTTTCCATCCACTTATCCAGTCCGCATTCGTCAACCTTCTCAGGTTGGAAGTTGGGACGTCACTGCAATATCACCTCCCATGTGAACGTCACCATATGCACACTTAATAAGCCCCGCGATACCAGGTATTGCTAGCGTTAACCCGGTAAATGGGTTTGACATCCGCGCGGAACGGAACTACAACTCTTTACCTCGAGATCCTCGCCTGGGATCCTCGTCTATATTCTGGACATCTTATGAACATCTCGCCAAGACATTGTTTAGGACTCGAGACTTTGACGGTGTTCTTAATTACGCGCAATAACGACATAAAAACCCCATATTGTCAACACGATACCTCTATGTACATAGGTACAGCTGCAACTGAAGTGTTAGTATGACGGGCATTCGCAACGTTAAGTCCAGATCACTGGGGTACATAGTAGGCCCAGTCAGTGATGCCAAGCATAGTGCATGTTGGTTGAAAGAGGATAGACGTCGAGGACCGCAGCCCGACCCAACAATTGTTCACTTCGTATTTTGTGGCTTGCTAAACTCCCAAACGACGATCCAATGCTGGGAGATGCATTGAGGGCCCTATCAGTATTTCCGAGACTAACAAGTGGACCATCAAGCGAGACTCCGTCGTGCTGAAAGCTATACCCGGTAGTTTTCCTTTCAGTTTCTACGAGGTATCGCGGTCGATACCTTTTAGACAAATAATAAGTAATTACCTAGTAAACCGAATCTAGGAAAAGGGGATCCAAGCTAGGTACTGCATGTAAAGTAAACTAAAAATAACATCATGATGATCAGATCCGATTTTCCATCTGACGTTATTCGACTTCATCTTAAATTATCAGGAGTACAATACCCGTTTGCTTTACCCCGTTCGCCGTGCGCATGTGCGTAACCACTCTTTGCACCCTTCAGAACCCTGACTTGCTTGGAATGTTTTGAGACATTCAAGGATGACACGGGTATCTGCTGCCTGTAGGTCTCAGCCGAGTCTGCAGTCAGCCGAACACTCGTTATGACTTTGGCTTGTGAGGCTCAACAATAATTATAAGATTTCAGCCCGTACCGTCATAACATACCTAGTCGATGATAGAGTTCGAAATTCAAATCTACTAGTCGGTTTAAATATGTCCCAGCAATGCGCCTGACGCCTCTCAAAATGCCCGATTAGGTCTAGGTTGGTTTCTTTGTTTTACATTGGAACGCCCCGAGACATTATATCCATGTGGTCCATAACTCGAGGAAATAGATTAATCACATGTATGATCTAAGCTTCGCAATCTGGTGGATGGCTACAAAGAAATCTACTATCCTTCCTTAATCGATGGCTCCGACTATTGTACAAGCATAAACCAGAGATATAGTGTATTGCCGCACAATTTCGAGGGCTTCTAAGAACAGCTAAAACTATGGTCCAAGAAGAACGCGTTGAGGTAGTTGGGCCGCAGCAATCTCATAAGTAGCCGTTATACCCGAATTATTCATTCGGACGAAATCGCGTTGTCAATATGAAAGTCGCGCTGAGAGGAGTTGAAAGTACTCGAGTAAAGCTTTGTTTTCGGTCGATGGGAAAGCCAGTGGATCTTGATACACGCAAAATAGGAGATGACGAAAAGAACCTGGGCCCAAATACGACTTCATAAAGTTTAGGAGATCAAGGCTAGGTAAGATAAGTGAATGAGCTGGATGAATGTGAAAGGTGATGAGAAAACTAAGTATCTTGCTCAAATAGGGTAACCATATGCTCGATAGATATGGATGCGTATGAGATATATTTAAAAGGGAACATCAGAATATGGAACATACACGTGGTGGATGTGACCTATTTTGGTCGACGGCTTGTATGTAGATGTCAAAAATAGCGAACACAAAAAGCTTGCACTCAACCACAAAACATGGAGTTCTTTCCTATGACTATAACAGCACGCGGATCTTAGATATGCACCTAAGATTAAGCCTAATAAGCCAGCTTACTATACTAGGAGCAAATAGTTGTACTTCTAATAGGTATATGGAAAATTGCACTAGCAATGCCTCGGAACGAGATAATAGATATCGAAAACAACACCAACTAAGCTTCGTGTATTGACTTTGCCCTAATAGCAACAGTAGCATCCTGAATACCTACGCCGATTCTATTCATGTACCGCCTATTACTCGCGCTTGACGAAGAACGCTACCAAACATAGTCGTCAGGTATGCATGAGATACGTGTGATCCCAACGATCGTTCAACCTTGGAGAGATATGGCAACGTGTGATCAGTGGGTCTGATGACACGATGAGAATCTGGCCCAAGAAATGTCTTTTTGAGGCTTCAGGTGGTTCCGGGAGTGGAGGTTCGAATTCCAGAGATCCACGAGGTGATACCAATAGTAGCTCCGCAGATATAGCTCCGCAGATAATCCCAGTAGGGACCCTCTTTGCCATTAAGCTGGTAACCGACTTTAGAGGCTCTGGCAATTGAGAGATATCTTCAACTATTCCAGATAGAGGAGATCGGGTCCTAAAAGCAGAAGCGACATCGTCTCTATATGCCAATTTAGGCCTTTCACGGATAAGTGTTGTATGGCAGGTATTCAAAACAAAGTTGGACGTAGCCGGTGGCGACATTTAGCGACATGCGGCTCTGCGTGGCCAAAGTTAATCTTGAATCTTACAAGACTTCATAGCTCCGACGTATTGGATAAGCAACCGAGATGCCGTTAGTCTACGAGACGGCCCAAATGGCCGTGTCCTTCTACCACGTGTACGTACGCATTCACTTGCAATCTGGGGAACACGAATGCCGTAAACTACGGGGAGTTGGATTGATCTAATCGTGGCCGTTCCTGTGTTATTCCATTAGTATAAGTAGTTGGATGAGCTAAGGGGGGTTGACGCCTCTTCGAGTGAAGAAGGGATAAGACAGCACGTTGTTAACTGATTGGCTGAGGATCGATCTTGAGACCTGCATATCCGCGAAAAACGAGGTAGCCGAGACATATGCCTTTTGCCTGTAAGTTATCGACATGGAATGTGGTTCTGTACTTGATACAGTTATGTATGCCCACGACCGACGCATTTGTTCAACGTCCCGTCCCGTTGAAACTTATGAATTCTCTCGGATGCTGTGCCGTACTAGGTGCATGCTGTTGTGCCTAGCTGGGGAAACCACCTCGCTGACATACGATGTCGAGTTACGTAGTCGTGCAGTCAGGTATGTATGTACGCTAACTTCGTGGCTTCATGCGATGTTTGCAATTATATCGCGAGGCTTTTTCTTGACTTGGAGTGTTGTGCCAATGACTCAAAGTAAGGTGGCATGCGACGCCTTGGTTAAACCATTGGACAGTAAACTCAAGTGAAATCAAACATATTGATGTGTAACCGCAGTTATGCTGTGACTCTCCGAGTCAGACTAGTCAGGAACACACGGGCCTTCGTGAAGCAAATCCCTCAGGTTGAGCATGACGACGGCCTGTGAGAGGTGAGATGGCTACAACGTGTCTCGAATTCGTCAATTACCGAAGACGAAAATCTATCAGAGCGAGCTCAAGTCTCAAGCGTAATCTGGGATCTCCGGCACAAGCGGTCAGCGAAAATTTCGAGAACTAGGATTAAATTCCATATATTGCATCATCGTCTCTCATCGCAGCGAAGGAGGTCTGGGCTATCTTGGGTATCAAGCGGTCAGTCAATAGCACCAAGATCTAAGCCTTGATTGGGCATTTTGAATAACTAAGTCTTAGTACCATTGGCTGGTTATCTTGCTGGTCCAATAGATGATAGATGTGATGCTAGAGCCGTTGTCAAGACGACTCCTAATGCAGCAGAGTCGTATTAGCGGAGGACGGCTTCGATAAGAAAATCGGAAATCTGGGAAATCATCGAACACGACGTTAAAGGATTGGGAATGCTGTGGCAGGTGGAATATTTTGAAAGTGAACGGCCATTGGTGAATTGGCACGTGGGCTGCCGGCATAGGATCATTGATGACCGGTATAAGAGGCAGCACTTGTATACTTATTACGTCTTTTTAATCTAGAGTACCTGGAATATACTTGGTATAGCACTGGCACAGTGGTTGATATAGCGCGAGATGTGCCGAAGAGCCGTTGTACCTTTTTGTCTCGGACTGAAGCCGAATACTTAAACTCTGCATGACGGGGACAAGGAAAAAGGGAAGGTACATATCGTGTTAAAGTTCGATTAAAAGCACCTGTAGTCTGGGGCGCCCCTCCCCTAAGAGATACACTAGGAAGTCGCTAGGTACCCAGGTTTAGGTATCTTGGGGGAGTGAACGATTTCTCCACTTTGGCCGAAACCGCCACCATAATTAAAGTTGTAGGGCTTGGGCCTTTGTACCTTTTCCATCATAATTCAACTTCCAAGGTCTTCTAACACAGCACAGCTTCTAATCCGAATACCACCCATACCACCCGCTCAATCTCCTGCGAATCATTCCTCCCACATTGCCGTGGTCATTCGCCAGATGTTTACCTCATGTCCAGTCCGTCTCGTAAGCCCGAAAATGCCGCATCTGCCGCACCGGTGAGCTCCCAAAGTGTGGCCGCTGGGAGTCCTAGTGCCAGTCCCGTCAGTGCTGCCGCTGCCACTGGGACAACGACTCACAGCCCATCCTCTGATTCCCTCGATCTGACTGGCTCGTCTTCCATATCTGACCATGCATGGCCCTCTGCAAGTGTCTCGCCTGCTGTACCAGCACCCGTCCCCATACCCCCTGGTTCCCATGTGCCATCCACATCCACTTCTCAATCGTCCGTCGCTGTTAACCATGTCGACCAAAACAATAAGAAATCACGGCCGCCCTCCGCCCTCCAGAGATCCAATGGACCGTCTCTTCTCACGCAAGCGCTGGCTTCTGCTCGTGGAATTCCGTCCTCCCACGTTTCCGTCTCCCATGCGGACCAGCGACGTCCCGAGCAGAAGCCTGTACCTGTACCACCAAATGGAACAAACCGACCTAGCCAACCTAAAAATGTATATGTCCCACGCCCCGAACACGCGGTGACTGGGCCTCAAGATGCCTTCCATGAGCATACTGAGCAAGGCGATCTAACGCCGACCGGCCATTCGCAGCTTACCGAGGCCGCTAGAACGATCTCCACGCCATTGCTGTCTTCAATTACTTATCCAGGGGCTGATGCTCCTACACCATTACCTGTCACGATGCCGGCTGCTATGAGCACAACTACGACACTCTTAGAACACCGGGATCTCGACTTAAGCACCAGGGGCAGAGGGCGATCGCTAGAACGCACGGAAAAGGAACTTCGTCTACGCTTGTCAAACCTCCCTAATGCGCATTCCAATAACGTTGGAGATTCTTCATATTCTTTTAACACTACGGCTGCTGATATAGCCCCGTCTACTGACGATAAATCTGAAATGCTCTCCGACGCGCGCGTCCAATATAGGGCGTGGAGGGTCGAACGTCCTCCCCTCTCGATGGGCCCAGAGAAAGTATGGTCTATTGGTACCAATGACATCGTCGGCCATCAGGATGGACAAGTTGAGAAGTCTATCACAGAGGTGCTAGCGGGCGTCGAACCTACACGTAGCCGGAAGGCGAGTCACAGCCTGCGCTTCTTTAAGGAAGGTCTCCCGGAGGAAAAAGGCCGGCGAAGGGAGTCAAAGGTCAAGGGGCTGCAGCTAGATTTGCTTCGCGAGAATCAATTGGACGAGAACGCTGTTTTCCAGACTGTTACACCATCTCCCCAGTCTATCGAAGGCGATCAATCACCTTCTCGTTTATCAAGCGTGCAATCTTTCCCTTGGGGCACTTCGGATGCCGGGTCTGTAACCCACGAGGCAGCTCAACGAGATTACTTTGGCCTACAAAGACCAAAGCATACTTCCGATCCCATCAAAGACTCATCTCCCCGAGAGCAACTCGTGAAGGCTGGTGTTTACAGTGAGCCCAATGGTTCTGCTATAGTGTCCGACGAGGATGTGACACAGGTTGGTAGGGAGTCAAGTGACGCAACGGAGGTCGGAGAACCAACCGAGGAGGGTGAAGAATCATCCGAAGAGAAGATATCGTCCGCTGTATTTCTTCCACATCAGGGCCTGGATCAATCACCAGAGAATGGGTGTGTTATATCCGAAGAATTCAAAGTTTCACAGTCTGCCTCCCGCAAACCCCACGGCGAGGATTTCCATCCTTGGCTAGTGAAGGCAGATGAACCCGAAGCCGAAGTTGGAGCAAGGGCTGAAGGACCTGACAATGGTAATGTTGACCGTAAGAATGACACAGCCCCATATGTTGAAGAGTTTCCACGAATAGATGATGAATATGCTATCGAGGATGAGGTCGAGTTTCCCCAGAGACCTTGTGATATATCTGCTAGGTCGTCTCGGCCGGTCTCCCAATATTATGAGGATATGGTCCATGAACATCAGCTGGGACCAAAGTTACCCCTCGAGGCAATTGAACTTATTCCTTATAAGCATCAGGTTGGTGGTCATACAACCATTTGGAGATTTTCCAAGAGAGCTGTCTGCAAACAATTAAACAACCGAGAGAACGAGTTTTATGAAAAAATAGAAAGGTATCACCGTGACCTTCTACCTTTCTTACCCAGGTGCGTTATTATCACGTTCCGTTGTCTACGCCCAATCTCCTAGGTGGTTTCGGTAGGAGACAACGCATATTAAGAAGAGAGCTAACATTTTATCAGGTATATTGGCGTCCTCAACGTCACATTCCAGAAGCAGCCACGGCGGAAGTCAACAATCAAAAAGGACGATAGCTGTACATCTGAGAAGAAGGGGAGAGAACAAGATGGCCAACTAAATGGTAATAACGGAGCATCCTTAGGGCTCCCACAGGGTTTCGATATTTCGGATAAAGAGGATCAGCGTCATCATCGCAGGATAGTGAGCCAATCCCTACAATCGTCACACGCTCCGATCCCCACAGTTACTTTTGTCGACAATCGACATATCCTTCCTCGAAGCTTGCTGCGACCTGCTGTGTCAGTTAAAGGTGATAACCGTCCATGGAGTGCATCTGCCGCGGTTAATCCTCAATTTTTACGTGATCATAGTACCCAGACGTCCAATGAAGACGCGCTGGCATCAAACCGGCCATTGTTAGGGGATCGGCACGCTAATAGTTGGGGTGCTACGACTGTCAACAAAAGATTACGAAACGAGGTTTTTAACGATGCTTTTCTGAAGCAGCCCATCGCGGTACATAAACATCGGAGACCAGCATCCCAACAGCGATCAATTCCTCGTCGCTCAGTGCAGCAGCCAAATCGGCCTACAAGTTCGGAGAGTGCTTTACTGGACCAAAAAATGGCTGATGACAGCGAGAGACAGGCCCATGAATCAGATTTTTTGAAAGCGCCACCACGCATTCTACACAGCCATAGTGACTTGAGCGCAGACTCGAGCTGTCTAAGGCTCGAGGGACTCGACCATGTGAAAGACGTCACAGGCACTAGTGCTCCAGAGCCTGAAACCTTGTCCGAGAAATTTCATCAGAGACGACGACGGCGTAATTCGGGGAGCAAACTTCGGCGAAGACCACAAGATGTCACGGAATCTCGTGGTAACCTCAAATATTTTGAGGACCCAGATGAAGTCGAGTATAGTAGGGATCATGATCCACACCCAGGACTGCACACACTTGTCCACGTAGAAAATGGGCACAAGCAAGACGCCGAGGCCGTCGAGAATGGGTTCGTGGATAATTCCGTACCTCAGTCCTACTTCTCATCCGCAGTACCATCAGAGCTTCCGAGTCCGACGACGGAGTTTAAGAAAATCCCACGGCCCGTCAACCCCAAAGAGGCCCAGACACAGAGTGACTCAAGAGTTGAGTATTTTCTACTACTAGAAGATCTCACCGCTGGCATGAAACGTCCTTGTATAATGGACCTAAAGATGGGCACTCGGCAGTATGGCGTAGAGGCTAGCCCGAAGAAAAGAGAATCACAACAGCGCAAATGCGCCGCGACAACATCGAGGGAGCACGGCGTGAGACTTTGTGGATTGCAGTCTTGGGATGCCAAGTCTCAGACGTACGTGTTCAAGGATAAATACTACGGGCGAAACTTGAAGGCTGGCTCCGAGTTTCAAGATGCCCTAACCATGTTTCTATATGATGGCGTAGATTATAGCAGCGTTTTACGACACATCCCGACGATTCTGCAGAAACTCAATCAACTCGAAATGACTATTCGCAGGCTGCGCGGTTACCGGTTCTACGCAGCCAGTCTCCTAATGTTTTACGATGCCGATGACTCCGACGAAGGTTACGACACGGCAGCTGACGACTCTACAACCGATTTCGCGACAGATGCCGAGGACGCATGGGAGGCCAGGAAGCGCCGGAAAAATAAGAAAGAGATTGATTTCAAGATGGCCGATTTCGCCAACAGCGTGACGGCGGGAGACTTGGCTGAGGATAAACCATGTCCGCCGAAGTGTCCGAACGAACCGGACCGCGGCTTCCTCCGCGGTCTCGCAACTCTGAGGAAATATTTCTTGAAAATACAAAAGGATGTACGGAATGAGCTGGGATTGATCACCACACGCAGGCAGGCAGACGACACAAGTGAAATGGAAAAGGACGATGATGAGTGGGACTCTGTCAGCGATTGAGGATCCTGCCTCTCAACTACCAACAACTTCGCATAACCTGCTAGTAAAGGTGCTAGCGGCTAAGCAATCTTATACCACTTTTTGATTCATTGTTCATAGTTCTCGGATGGGATCCTAAAAATGGCGCACGGGTGTGACAAACCGTCGGTCCACGGACAGGAGCTCTTTTTGGGTCGGGATAAGGGTATGGTTATGATACGTTCTCCTTTTTATTTATCGTTTAAACATACCCGCATGTTTGGGGCGTCTCGAGATTGTCGGTTGCTACGGGGGTAAAAGGATAATACAGCTCATAGTATGGTGAAGAGCTTGCGTTGATGATTCGTAGCTATGTTGCTACTTAAGAAAATAAAATGATACAGGGGAAATTGGGGGGCGGGCTCGAGAGATAGTTGATATTAGAATGAGATGAAGCTAGCGAGCCATATTTGACTATTGGTGTAATTGTCGTTGTGACTTGTAGAGATCTAGAAAAGTGCATGCTTGGATAGGCCATAGTTAAAAAGGTTCGCAAGTTTACCTTTGCCATGGGTTATAAGATATTTTCTAAGCGACTTTCCTATCATGATTGGATGTCTCGTGAATATGGGTATGTAAAATGAAATAGGGGCATTCACATGCAAATATAAGAAACTACTCGATGTACTTCTCTTCTACAGGCAGGTATGCTGGTACCTATCTATATGCATGTCAACTGCGGGGCTGGCGAGCGAATAATTAGTGGGGTATAGGGCTGAAGGGGTAAGTTACAGAGAGGAAGATTAAGCTCCGGCTGTTTAGCTAAATTTAACGCCCGGAGCCGCAACCTGTCCTCAACTTCAACCCAAACTTCAACTTCCAAAGACATGGGTACGTCCGTCAACGACCTCCCGACATGACAGAAAAGACAAGGGAGGCTAGCAAGACTATTGTCTTCTTGCATCCCGACCTAGGCATAGGCGGCGCCGAGAGATTGGTCGTCGACGCGGCCGTTGGCTTGCAGAATCGCGGGCATAAGGTCGTTATATTCACCAGTCACTGCGATCCGAAACATTGCTTCGACGAGGCGAGGGATGGTACGTCTAAACCTAACAACGTTGTCCCAATTTATTCTATACGTAAGTATGTCTCTTATCTAACAACAACCAAACACAAACAGGCACCCTCGACGTCCGCGTCCGCGGCAACACCATCGTGCCCCCGTCGATCCTCTCGCGCTTCAGCATCCTGTGCTCCATCCTGCGGCAGCTGCACCTGATCCTGCAGATCGTGCTCAACTCGGAGCTGCGCACGCTAAACCCCGACGCCTTCTTCGTCGACCAGCTCAGCGCGGGGCTGCCGCTCCTGCAGCTCGCGCACCCGCGCGCGCGCGCCCTCTTCTACTGCCACTTCCCGGACCTGCTGCTCGCGCAGGGCCGGCGCCGCTGGTGGAAGCGCGTCTACCGCGCCCCCTTCGACCTCTGGGAGCAGTGGAGCATGAGCTTCGCCGACGCGATCGCCGTCAATTCGAATTTTACGAAGGGCGTTGTGAGTAGGACGTGGCCCGCGCTCGCGCGGCAGAAGGAGCTGGACGTCGTGTACCCCTGCGTGGACACTAAGACGAAGAAGGAGAAGACCGAGGCGGATAGGCCGTTGTGGAAGGGCAAGAGGTTTTTGCTGAGCATCAATCGCTTCGAGCGGAAGAAGGATATCGCGTTGGCGGTGAAGGCGTTCGCGGGACTGAGCGCAGAGAAAAGGAAGGGCGTTCGTCTTGTTGTGGCGGGGGGTTACGACCCGCGTGTTTCGGAGAATGTGGTTTATCATAAGGAATTGGTGGATCTGACGGAGGGCTTGGGATTAAGCACTATGACGGCGAAGACGCATCTTACCGCTCTGGAAGTCCCTGATGACGTCGAGGTGCTCTTCCTGCACTCCGTGCCGAACTTGTTGAAGGAGATGCTCCTCTCCTCGGCCCGACTCCTGGTATATACCCCTGCAAACGAGCATTTCGGCATCGTGCCCCTCGAGGCTATGCTCGCCGGCGTCCCCGTCTTGGCCGCGGACACAGGTGGTCCGACGGAGACCGTAGTCGAAGGAAAGACGGGATGGCTACGATCCCCCGCTAAGGTGGAGCAATGGACGGATGTCATGGACAAGGTGCTAAACCACATATCCGAAGACGACTTTGCGGCGATGTCGAAAGCAGGGATCGCGAGGGTCAAGGAAAACTTCGGCGAGGCTCATATGGCGGAGCGCTTGGACTCGATCGTGGACCAGGCCTTGCGCCGGCCTAAGTCGTGGTCGTGGACGCCGACGGTGGCGCTTGTGCTAGGTACTTTAGGTGCTGTTGGTGCTGTACTGGCGGTTATTGGCGGAGTACTGCTCCAGAGCGAGTAAAGAATAGGCGAAGCTAGATTCCGTAGCATGTTTAATTGGTATGCTGCGTTGCATTGTAGTATATTTGAATGCGATGGATATCCATAATTGACCATAGTAGCGCCATATTCTCTCATGGATTCATGGCAGACTGATTCCGTAGATGGGGTTCTCGAGTGAAGGTATACGTTGCTTAGAGGAATTATCCTGTTCCGCAAACCAGAGACTGAAAATGGGCTGAGTAATTGATCGTATATGAAATGGAACGATATAGTTGTAAATATCACGTAACATCTAGCCTTTATACTCCCGTATGACATATGCTCCTTAATTTTTCAGTCTCTTGAATCAACTCGCTACGGCATATCAGAACACACATGCTTACCCATTAACCTAGGCGAATCACATCCATTAGCCGCCTACTGCCCAATTCAATAGAGCATAGGGATTTCGAGTGAAGCGATCTCGAATACGCACTCTTACCCCTGCTCCTAAAAGGCATTACTACATCATTTAACACTTTCACACTCATCGCAAAACCTATACAGTTCATAGAAGGAATAAAAAGGTCTGTCTTTCTCATACAATAAACTAACAACACACTCGACACGTCAGCATGGCATTTTTCCCCCCTAGCACAGTGCCCACCGAGTCCCCCAATCCGGTCCGGAACCCGGGTCTCTGTTCTCCCCCCTCTCTCTGCTAAGCTGCCGACTGTCGATTATGAAAGCCTCCCCCCTTTTTTTTCCTCCTCCCCTGAGAACGTGAGATCGTCAGGATGCCGTGAGATGATTGATGATGAGTCCGACCTGCGTCCAATATTGCAAGATGCAGATGACAGGTCGAAGAATCGACGGGAAGAAGAGGAAACAGTGTGAAATGTATGGTGTAATCTGATCTACCTAAGTAGTATCGAGCTGCTGCGGTGGTACGGTAAGCTCCAAGGCAGCGTATGTCATCGGATGAATGCGGTGTATAGGGTCGTGAGATAACATTCGTACAAGTAGTTGTCAAAAATAGGCAAACTCGAGGGCTAGAGTTGTAAGCCGACCCAAGAGCCGTACCACAATGATGAGCGATTTAGGTTCCTACCATTGGACCTCCCCTTGACATAAATGCTTAATCCATCAAGTATTATCAGGTCTGAAGGCCACCTCCAGGATCATGGCCACCTGTACTAGACAAGACACCCTATTTAGGGTGATCCATCCTCTCCCTCTTCACTATTACCACCATTACTAGGCAACGACGCACCTGGGAATGAATACGGACTCTCCTATCTTCCATATCTATCGGGCGGCGGCCGATCATATAAACCATGTCTATCCTGGGGTCGCAGTTGCTGCTGCAAGATTGATTGTTGTTGCTGTTCACGCATCTGGGCCTCGCGGATCTCTGGGTTAGAAGACGGGTAGCCTCTGCTGTCGTAAGGGCTAGGAGTATAGCTCCTTGGCGGACCAGGATCGCGAGGATCCCGTCCGGGAACTGGCGTGCTAGCGTACCGAGGGTATGCAGCCGGTGCCTGCGGAGGCGGCGGCTCAGGAGCTCGCGAGGCAGGTGCGTACTGTTGTAAAGGAGCTCGCATGCCGTGCGGCGGATAGACATCTCGGACGTCGCGGAGAGCCATGGGATCATGACCTCTAGGCGGCGGAACTGAGGCCCAAGAAGGCTGTGGTGGAACTGAGGTACTAGCTGATGGAGGTTTCGGAGCAGGTTGCTGTGCAGCCCATGCTGATTGCGTTGGCGGGGGTTGCGTAGACTTGGGGGGCTGCGGAGGATGCGATGACCAGGCCGACTGGTGTTGTGGGGGCGGTTGTTGTGGCTGCTGGTGCGGCTGGTGCTGCTGTTGTAACGGGTGGCCCTGATGTGGACCAGGCCAACCTAAATCTCGGCTGGACTGAGGCTCGTGGCCTCTGGGAGCGGAATGGCCCCCGTACTGGGGTGGAGGCGAGGCTATGTTAGGTGGTTGAACCTGTGCCCCATAAGGATATGAGGGTTGAGATTGGTAAGCCACCTGAGACGGCTGATTGGGGGGTAGGTAGTGATGCGCGCTCTGGGGTGAACCTGCCGCCGGAGATTGATGCGCAGAAGGATAGGAGCGTGGTCGACCACTGTAATACTCTCGTTCTGCTGCTGCTGCGTCCAATTGCATGTGACGGGGAGCATTCAGATGTTGCGCTTGAGGCGATGCAGCCGCATACGGTTTAAGTGGTGGCATTGCGGATGGCGCTTGAGGTGGGTTTCGGCCGTATCCATAGGCTTGAGCCTCTTGCATACCCGACTCTCTTCGAATGTGAGATGGCGGCGGCGGAGGGGGTGGAGGACGGGAGAGATTGGATTGAGGTGGTGGTGTCGAAGACGGCTTCGCAACCGCAGGTATCTCGGTAACCCTCTTAGGGGGAGGTGGAGGGGGCGTGGGCGTGTCGTCATTCAATAGCGCCATTAGGTTGGACGTCTTACGTTCAGGAGGACGAGTTGGCGCAGAGGCGACGATAGGCGGCGTAGGCTGCGCCGGTGGAGCGCTGAATGGCTCAGTTCCGCTACTAGCACCAGATGCTGGCCGGGATAGTGTGGAGATCGGACGAGGTCGAGCCGGTGGAGATGGATTCCCCTCCTGCAAAATGTTCTTACCGTGCTGTTGGAGAATGGTTGCGAATGAACCCGGTTGAGGCCCTTGCGGAGCTGGCGCCACTGCTCGCGGGGGGTCGGGTGGACGTGATAGCGGCACACTTTCTGGGCGAGACAACGTCATGCGGGCAGTCTGGGCTTGAGGAACAAAGTGATCGTATTGATGGATAAGATCTGGTTCCTGTTTGACGCGCAGCTGCTGGCGAGGTTGTTCCTTGGGAGCTTTAGGCTCAACTCTAGGTCGTTCCGAGTGAGGCTCGATCAAGGATCCAGGCAAAGGATGTCTCCCCATGGGAGCTTCGGATACTGGTGGCTGTCCAGCCGGAGCAGGCTTCTGCCCTAACGGAACGCGGGCGGGCTGCTGGGCAGGTAGTTCACGTTCTCTATCGGTGAGGGAGAACGGAGCTCTCATAGGCCGAGGAGACATAGTCTGGGTGACTGGTTGGGCAAGAGGTTGCGATCCAGGCGGGGTAGCTCCGTGGCTTTGGATCAGCGGAGACTGAGTCGCTGGCACGAATGAGGACTGAATAAGCGTAGGTTGCGGTTGAGCTGCTATTGGGACATTGAACCGACCCGACGTCGGCTGCGATGTCTGGGGATGCTCAAGCTTAGGTGCAGGGCTATCTTCCATAACTGCGTCTGCAGCCGCGAGTGGTCGGTTGCCCGATGTTTCATACCGCTTTTTGACGCCGGAACTGGGTGCCGGCGGTGCGGGCCTCTTCTCGCCTCTGGCTTTCCTCGCATCTGCTTCCTCGACGATTCCCTGCCAGTCATTGGCGTCCTTCTTGCGCGTATAGTAGTTTTTGATCTGCGCAAATTTAGTAAGCGTGTCAACATACAAGGATTGGGTAAGATATTAACTGCGATGCTTACCATAATCGGAGTCTTAGTTCGCATATGTGTCGCAATCGCTGCCCAATCGCTTCCGAAGGAACGAAGCAACTGAGGAAAATCGTTCGCCTCAGGTACGCTCCAGTAGCTGGAGGCCTGCGTGCCGGATCTGCGGTCCGACACTGCCGGTTGGCCCATATCGAGCATAGCAACAGTGGGCTGTTGCGGAGGCTCTGGGCGCAACGGTGGAGGGCCCATCGTATCGACAGACATCGAAACAGGGGGCGGAGGAGGCGGAGGGGGAGGAACTCCCCTCTCGGGACTCAGAATCGGCTGCGCCGGTGGGAATGGTGCAGAAATGGCAACAGGCGGGACGGCCGTCGTGGTTGGGGTCAGTTCGTACTGAGTCGGAGCTCTAGTGGCTTCATTCGGTGTTTGCGGTGGTGCCCACTCCGGTGCATGAACACGAGAACTAGATCGCGAACGGTTACCTTTAGTCCCCGTAGGCGGTGCCGCAGCCAGAGTCTGGTTGACACGAGGCTGTTTCGGTTCCTTATCCTTAGCAGCTCGGCGCCCTCTAGGCTTGCGTTCCGGCTTTTCGGCACTCCCGTCTCCTTTCGCACCTCTTCGTCCGGGTGTACCGGATGGCGTTCCACTTTCGCCATCTGTCGCTGGAGTAGCTTCCGAGTTGAAAGTAGGAGCGGCCGCACGTCTAGGTCGACGCCTCTCGCCGTTTTCACCCGTCTCCTGGTTTTCCTCATTCTCATTTTCGCCGTTTCCAAGTTCGGAGACCAATGCACTAGATCGTTGCTTGCCGCGACCGCCCTTCTTACGTTGTCTCGGTCGCTTCTTAAGCTTCTCCTTCAAGTTAAGTTCTTCCTTCTCTTTCTTGAGGTAATAGAACTGGATGCTGGTTCCGAAGTCTCTCTCCGCCAACGGTTCAGAAACACGACCCCATTGCTTAGGGAATTCGAGATACGCCTTTTCAAATGTCGCCGTTTCTTCTGGCGTAAAATTGTCCACCGGAGGTAAGAGTTGCCAAGCCGCCACGATTTTCTCAGGCTCGATGAATCCAGTCACATCCCGATAGAATTCCTTCTCTCGCTCTTCTGGTAGTTGATATTGACGGGGCAACACAGCTTCTTTCTCGGTCCTATACCGTTCTCTTTCTGCCTGCATTTGACGCTCTCTCTTTTCATCCTCGACACGGCGCGACTCCTCCAGAATCCTCTCTAGGTCACGTTCTGATGCGTACCTACTACGCCTTGTACCCTCGGGTCTGGATTCGTGGAAGCCAGGCCTATGGCCGTTGGTTTCCGCTCCAGGAACATGCATAAATTTCTCTCGACTTTTGACAGCAACGGGATCATTCGACATGGTAAAGCGTAGGTAACGATCGTAATTCTTATCGTAAAGCTCTTGTCCCCTTCTCTCCTCGGCCTTCCGGACTAATGCTTCCTCATCCAGTCTCTGTAAAATAAAGGCATCGAGGCCCGGGTTCGGAGCGTCCATCGACTTAAGAAAATCCTGGTCCTTAAACCACGGCTTTCCATCAAAGTGAGGTAGGCTATCAATCGGAGGAGTGGCCATATGCTCGCGGACAATCTCGATGGTGTGAATGTCAACGTCCTCGATATCTGTTTCATCTTCATCTTCTGCGGGAGATGGTGTGCTTGAGCCTCGTTTACTAATTTCCCGTGACTGTGTGTGAGTGGTTTCAAACGGACCATCGACTGACTGTCTGTGAGAGGTCGATAGCTGGGCATGCTGCGGTCCTTGTGCCTCGGAGTCAGGCTGGCTAATGTCTTGTGCGTCTTCCATTGTCACATCTCTATCATCATCCTTCAGCTTGTTTTCACCAAGCGGTGCCTCGGGAGGTGCAGGTATATCCATGTCTTGTTCGATGGATGGTTGCGGGTGCTCTGCGCTTGAACTTGTTGTGTTCAAAGGTGAAGTTTGTTTTTCTAAGGATGGCGAGGGGGTTTTGTTTTTAATGACTTCTTGGGTATCATTAGCTTCCTTGACATCGTCAAGACTTTTAGCTGCTTCAACACTTGGTGCCCTCATGGGCTCAGCTTCGGTTGCCGGGGGAGTTTTCCCAGGTAGAGACACATTTTCAGGCACAGGGCCGACCATATCGTCCAAACCCTCTGGTTCGCTCATAATCTTACCAACAGCCTCTAGTGATACTATTGCATGCCGTACTATAGCATCCATTGGCACGTCATCAATGCCCTCAAGCTGCTTCAATTTTGATTCAACGTCCTTCATCTGCGATTCAATGACATCGCCAATTTCCTCGTCATCTGATTCCGATGACTGGTCTAAGATAGGCAGTCTTGTTTCTTTCTGGGGCAGGGAAACATGCTTCGGCAATACTTTCAGCGTAGGGCGTCGGTGTTCTTTTGTTTTCGGTTCGTTGACTACCGGTAAGATCTCGGGTTCGACAATGGGACTCTCTTGGGTGGTATCATCAACGCGCCTCACCTCGCCATCCTCCTCTTTGACTGTTGTTCCGGATACGGCATCCTGGGGTTTATGTTCCTGATCTACGGACGACCTAGCAGATTGCGGGCGCTGATCTACTTTCGCAGGTTCTTCGTCCAAGTCGACAGCTTGTGTATCCTTAGGCTGTTTCTCTACCTGCGGGTCGGCTTTAGTATCATTACTAAACTGTCTTTGATCACCATCTACCGATTGATCAATATGCGCACCATCCGGACGGGGTCCAGTAGGCCGGGGTTGAGCAAGACTCTGTGATCTATTTAATTTCGGCGATTCAGGTACGCGCTTTATATTGGGGTTAATCCATTGCTTGCTTGAAGGTCCCGGGCGGTTTATAGTAGAAGAGCGGGGACCGGAAGGGATTGTAGATTGTCCTATGTCCATGTAGGACCTTGACGGTCCTATAGGCGGCAGTCTTGCATCCGCATTAAGTGCAGAGCCAGAAGGCGCCGGGCGGTCCTCCTTGAGTGCCCTAGGTCCCGTTGGCGGCGCCTTGCCTGTAGCTAAGCCAACATCGGTTGCTGTTGTTCTGTTGGGCACGGATCCAAAAGATGGCGCGGCCGGGGCCACGGGAGGGGGTGAGACGTCCTTAGCAGGTATTGGGGGTGGTTCATGTGATGCTCGCTCGAGTTTTGGCCGTACCTCGCGGTCTCGCACGTCGCGATCGTCTCGATGATCGCGTGGGCGCAAGTCTGGATCAGGGTATCTAATATCACGATCACGATCCTCACGATCCCGGTACCGTCCTTCCTGGGAACGGGACCTGTAGGCATATCTGTCGCGATCATCATAGAATCCTCGTCCGCGGCCTCTATCCCCCCAATCTCCGCCGCGACCTCTTCCACGACCTCGTCCACTATAACCACCCCGGTACGAAGGAGCGAAGGGAGGGTCGGAGGAAGACGAACCAGCGGACAAGGGCCCGTCTCTCGATCCGCGCCGGGCTCGCTCTGCGTCAACGCCTAACGGAGCATCTCGCATATCCCTCAGATCGCGAAAATCCCTTTGAGGAGGCGATCGTCCGCGAGGAGACGGCCGCCGTCCTCTGAAGCTGTCTCGATCGCGGTCTCGCCAATCTCCACGGTCGCGTTCTCGACTACGTTCATCTCTGTAAGAATTATCTCGTCGATCTCGGAAGTCACTGTCTCGATCTCTTCCGCGGTCTCGGCTATCGTCTCGCCAGCCTCTTCCTCGTCCACGACCTCTACCACGAAAGTCGCCCGAGTAACCACCCCCGCGAGGTCCACTAGGGGCATCGAGCAGAGCTTTGGGACCCCTTGGGGGTTCCCTTGATAAGTTGTCGCGAAAGGAGTCCCGGTTGGTTTGGAATGCCGAGCTATTCGATCGAGACTCTGCAGAAGCACGCCGTGGTCCGCCATCACTATATAGCGATCTCCGATCCGGCGAGCGATCCCTCGACCTAGAGCGACGCGACTCGCCATCATATCGCGACCCACTATAGCGGGAAGCCCTACAAGCAAACAGATATAAGTACGAAGAATCAACAAGGCCGATCTCTACACAGAACAATTACACGCGGCGTAAATGAGAATACATCCGATAAAATCTTTATAATATAAAGATTTTATGCAATATATACCAAGTACAAACTCGCTGGTACTTTAACGGCGATAATCTCCCAGCAAACTTTCCGGTGGCAGTCGTAACGTTTTTCAAGGGTAGGTTTGGGAGGTTTGACTTACATAACGGTCACGGAGGGCAAGATAGGCCCGCCTATTGATATTCAGCCTGCGAAGTTCTCATGGAGCCAATAAATGACGATTTGAGGCGTAGAACTTCTAACCAGCCGAGTTTGTTGGGCAAGATCGGATTCGGATTAAGTTGCGGCAAGACGGCAATGAATGAGAAAGAAGTAAGGCGCCACACGTTTAAAGTATCTTTTCTTCACGAATGTGTCCCCTTTGGCGTCGTCAATGAGTTAAAACACCACCAAGTGAAAGCCACAGTATCGGATTATCGATCCTAGTAAATGCGCGGGTACTAGGAAGATAGAACGACTACTACGTGATAGGATAGTTAAAGATGGTAGAAGTTTGAAGAGGCTGAAATTGGAGATCTTGAAAACACAGACTTTCGCGTGGCGCCCGGTGCTCAGTCAAGATGACTAGAATCCCAGTTCGGTTAGATCCAAACTAAACCCGACAAGGATCAAAACGCCGGAGCCCAGAAGCCGCTAGTCTCTTAAAACCTTGAAGATGCTAGGCTCCATAAGACCCATCAATTTCTCGAAGAGACACCCCTGCAATTGCCATTTTCATAGGTCCAATCACCTGTTCACGCCTTCAGTATCCGTATGGACCCACATAATTTGAGACTGCCAACTGTGGACATGCATGATCAGGTCAAGTTTATCTGTGGGACGAAGATCCTCTGCGTGTAACTTCCTCATACAGTCTGCCTACCTATAGTCATCAAAGTATACAATGAACAAATAGGGCAAGATAACTCGCGTAAAGGGTATAGTACTTGCACGGACATCCTCAATGGATGATCGATAGTCACAAACATCGAATACGGATGTCCCTCTTCATTAGTGTTAAGAAGATGATCTCTGGAAAGAACGGTACACTAAAAATACCCTTAAAAAAGGTGTATGTATTATCGGTAATAAACTCGCGGAGCATCGGGTTGCACAAATGTAAATCATCATGCGCTAAGCCCATTTGAGCTACGGCTATACTTTCATGTACTTCATGTACCGCACATCCATGCGTGGGGCTGGACGACAAGGACGATTCAAGGGGAGCCAAGGTAGCTTTGGTAACGTTCATCATGCAGACAACGTCCCCAATTGATCTGCAATGCAACTACAGCTTTGTGTATTGTACGTATGTAGTTGTCACTACTTTGCTTAATGCACCGATAGAAACAAACCCGAGCACATATCCCCTTTTGCCTGCCTATGTAAGGCTTGGTTAGACCTTAGGGTCCTTGCAAGTAAAAAGAAAACAATCATCCATTCCATTCATGATCCATGGCTCGAACTCCCCCGGATGCTTCAACCGCCTTGAATGCCCTCCGGCTTTCATGAATACATAACGCCATAGCCATCCACGATGAATTGCAACACACATTTTGCATTGTCTATCAGAAACCCATCCTCATCCTCCGAAGTAACGAGGTGATGATAAAGTCTAACGTGAACTTCCGGCCAATACACCCTCTTTAACTTCTCTGTTAGAGCTCTTCAGTTCTTTCTACCACGTCTAGCTGGCCTATGACCATCCTCGTCCACCTGTGCTTCCCAGTTCTTGCCGAGAGAGGATCTAAGGCTCTCTGGCCCAGTGCGGCGTCGCTTAGGCTTCATGTCAGATTGGGCTTGAGGTGAATCTGCTGATGATTGCTTTGCTGGTTGGGCTTGTGCAAGCGCTGTGAGGGATGCTGCGGCTTCGTCTTCGGCCTTGGATACTTGCTGTCCGTTTCCGGTAGCTGATTTGACTGGTTGAGCACTCTTTCTCAGATCCTTCTTGGAAGTTGCTTGGCTTCGTTCAGTCTGGCCTCTTCGAGTGGCTGGAATTGCGGGCAGGACGCCTTTGGGCAGCTCGTCCTCTTCACTGCTGTTACCAAATTGTGGGAATGGTCGATGCCTCATTTTCTCAATGAACTGCTCCCCCTTGGCAAGCTGCGTCCACGAATTCTCTGCACTCTCCACTCCTTGGCGGTCGTTCTCAGCCTTGAACTTTTTGTAATATTCATCCCACACTTCCAGCGGACAATTCTTTGGAGGGCGGCCTCCTATTGTGCGGTGGACGTTGGCGATATGCTTCCTGACTGAGGGGGGTGTAGGGTGTCTTGATGGTCCTGCTCCAGCAATGCCTTGTTGGTTCATGGCGCCTGTCGAGGTTTTCGCTCTGGATCTTTGGAATATTGTTAATTCATTGATTCATCAATGAAGTGTCAAAGGTAAATTGAGAACCAAGTCCGAGGGATTTAGGAACAGGAAGGGGGAGTTGGGAGAGTTGTAGGTGTGTATGATAAGTATTAAAGTGTGAGGGAAGGGAGATATTGCAATAAGCAGTCTGGTGAGAGGAAACAGTACTGGACGTTGTTTCCTCTTGACAAATAAAGATGACGTATCGAAACTTCCAACCTTAGCTCTAGGTGTGGATAGTGTTGCTAGAAGGGGAAGTCGCAATGTCGTTGCTTATACTTACACACTTCGATCCTTCTCGTCGTCTTTCATACACGCCAGTATCACGGCCGCCTCAAAATCTTCCGGCATGATCCTTTGGTTAGGTGCCATCGTTTGCGACGAGGGCTGCGCCGGACGCAATGGGGGCAATGCGAAGCTGACAGTAGGCGGTTGTGGCCCACCTGCAAGAATGCCAGGAGTTGACGAGCTATCTACTGAGTTGGAAGGTGGCAAGTTTGGTGAAGTGCCCATAATTGGCGGACTAGCAACTGAATTGTGAAGACGTGACGGGTCTACCGAGATAGTCTGAGTTGGACTTGAGTCGATACTGGGAACTCTCGGTTTGTCTTCGTCCTTGTTCAAAACGATGTCAAGAAAGGACCGGCTCATGTTGGAGACGGCGATTATATGAATGAATGTTTTGAAGTGGTTGTTAGCTATTGCGGATGGTCTAGCAAGAATACAAGAATATGTTGAGTCATTCGAGTGTCTGTTATGAAATGTGTTGCCGAGGAGAAAAAGTTGGGTGTTTTCCAGGAAGCCAAAGGTGCTTTTAGTCAAAAAGGAGCTTAACTTTTGGTTCTTTTTAACAATGATATTCTCGAAAAGTTAAGTCCTGCCTGGCGGATGTGTTTCTCTGTATACTTAAGTCTGTAATATTTCGAGTTCCTGCTTTAGTTTTATCATCACTCCAATGTGTTCAGAGCTAAACGCCACCAACTAGGATGATATAGCTTCAAGCCACCTAGCCATAATGACAAGAGGAAATAGTTGTCGCTAGTAGTACTAGATATCGTGTTGAATGTTACTTATTGTCGTTGCCGTAGGAAGTTGGTATCCCATACATCATTAGGGGGTTGGCTGGGTTTACATCCGCAACCCTACTTTCTTATGCTACCAAACTTATGCGGGAACAAATCCACCAGGTTATGAACAACCGTAGATACTGGTAAAAAATTTCATCAATAAAGATATTCTAACAATGTTCATGAAAGTAATTCAGTGGTTATCTTATTTATCTATGTCCCTAGAGAGTTTAGATAGTTCCTAGAGAAAAAGGAGACGTGCGCCATGCGGCTGTCAGATAAACTTTGTAACTCTATACTAGATGTAGTCTCCATCTATCCATCCTTAGCAAAAGTGCTGGCTACAATGAATGGAAAGCAAGCAGATGCTTCAAGGTAAACCTAGAATATGTGTTAGATTGATATAGATAGGACCAGATCTGGCGAGATGATTTGAGCCTCCTCACCTTGACATGATCGGCTCCAACCTTAATCTTCCCCCAAGATACCGCTTCATCTGGTCGTGCACCAGCATCGCTGCCATCGAACTCCTGGGCAGTGTTGATGTAGACGGCGGACTCAGCACCGTTCCTCATCAAGCAAGCGTTAGCAATGTGGTGTTTGACGACGCCACCGCCCAGTATGATGATCCCGGCTCGTTTGGCTCGGACGGAAATGGTGTTGACGCGCCGAATATCCTCAACTATGTCAATTTTTAATTGGCGCGGCGAAGCTTTGAATGTGTGGAAGTATAACATGTCTCCCAAGCTACCATCCGTCAAAGCAGGGCAGAACACGGGGATATCGTTCTTGTATGCCCAATAATATACGGATCTTTCGTCATTAATCTCCTTACCTAGGCGGTGGATGACCTTAGATGGTGTCCAGTTAATTTCTTCTTCCGTCCCTTTACTTGCTTCTTGCTCTTCGAGCATCTTGTCTAGGATGGGAACAACCCAATCCTCAAAAGCGCAGTAGTTCGCATTAGGAACCATGAGGTTTCCTATCCGGTTTAAACCTTTAGCTCTGAGCTCAGCCCCCTTGGCGCTGAACGAGGACATATAAGTATCGCCAAGACATTTGATAAAGTCTTCTTCGATACCACCAGCGGTGGTGACAATACACGAAACATGCTTGTGTTCTACAAGATATCGAAAGATCCCCCTAAGCCCGGATGAGATCATGTTGGAGGTATATCCGAGAAAGATTGTTGTCTTGTCACCTGTTTCCGGGTCGCGCCATGTTCGCTTCAGACGTTGTTAGTTAACGTCCCTAGAGCAGCCAGATACTTTCCCTTTGCTAACCATATCGTTGATGATTCGAACGGCTTCGGCCACAGAAGACGCTTGAAATCCCATATGCTTCATCCCTCCGATAATGTCATCCACGGTGATAGGACGTCCCTTAAAGGCATTGAAGTCGATCTCCTCTACTTTTTGTGCTCCTTCTGGTAGTTCATCGGACGGAACTAGAACTGCTTTTGTTGCCTCAGAAGGAGGTAAATTCGGATTTGAATCTTGCGCGGCCATGATGCTAAATTGCCAAACGTAGGTAAATATTTCCGTATTCTGTATATGGTCAAAGAGTTCCTCAACTATTATACCCCTGGTGCTTTTAGTGGCAAATACTTTGTGCCTCACGATGTATACGAGTATACAATTGGTTATAGATTCCCGTTAGCAAGACGATGACTGCCGCAATTTGGTAAGAAACAGTAAGTCTCCAGTTGAATCGTCTGGTGTAAAGAAATGCGAATATTTCCTCGACGAATTGGAAGTACTATATTCAAAGTGTAAACTCTGAGTTGGTACCTGAAAACCTTTTTAATGGCCTGTTCAAAGTTGAGGCGAATCAAGACTTTGATGGCCCTATAGGTGGAGCTGCTAGTTTAAGGTGCAGGTGTGCTGAAGGTTTACGCAGCAGGGAATGAGCTTGGGCGTACAGGGAGCTAAATACATATGTACTTAGGTACATACGCATTAAGCCAAAATTCATATATCGTAGAAGTACCTTTATACGTCAACGTGCACCGTAGCACCAAGAGCTTCTAAATTCTAGAGCTGCATATTTTTTATTTCGACGTTGAACAAACCGCGTAGTCTAAAATCTAATTATTTATCCAACTCAAAACTTTGACGCCACCAGCTTCCGACTGCCACCGACTATTCCAATTGGCGGCCTCCATTCTGGGCTACGAAGCAAGATGTCGTCCATCTATAATCTCGAGCCGCAGCCTACGGCCTCACTTATCCTCAATACTACACAAGGCGACTTGTCCGTCGAACTCTTCGCAAAACAGACCCCACTCACATCGCGAAATTTCCTCCAGCTATGTCTGGACGGATACTACGATAACACGATATTCCATCGTCTAGTCCCCGGATTCATCATACAAGGAGGAGACCCGACTGGGACGGGAAACGGAGGCGAATCCATATATGATGGCGGCGCGTACAGCGGAGATCTGGACCCATGGCCCATGGACCAGCGTCGCGGCCAAAATGCTGGACCGACAGGTGTGAATTTTAAAGATGAGTTTCATTCGCGGTTGAAGTTCAACCGTAGGGGACTGTTGGGTATGGCAAACGAAGGCAAACCAGACACCAACGCCAGCCAATTCTTTTTCACCTTGGACAAGGCAGAGGAGTTAAATAACAAAAATACGGTATTTGGGAGGATAGTGGGTGATACAATTTACAATCTAGCACGCATAGGCGAGGCGGAAGTAGCAGAGGGAAGCGATCGACCTCTCTATCCAGTCAAAATCACGGGCGTTGAAATTTTAGTTAACCCTTTCGATGACATGAAGAAGCGGGAACGAATAGCGAAGCGGACCCACGAAACATCTACAGCAGGGAAGAAAAAGAAGACGAAGTCTAAAGCGGGGAAAAAATTGCTGAGTTTTGGTGATGAGGAGGGCGATGACGACGCTCCAGTTCTAAAAAAGGCGAAGTTCGATTCGCGAATCGTTATGGACGTGGACGAGGAGCCGACGCCGACAGACAAGCCACCCAAGGCTAGTACCAAAAAGGGGAATAAAGTGGTCAAGTCAATCCCAGTTCGCGAACTTCAGACCGACACAAAGTCGGAAGCAAACCCACCTCCTCCGCCAACCAAGAGTAAACCTGTTCCTGTCCAAGATGAATCATCTCCAGAGCCAGAACCGAAGAAGTCTGCGTTGGAACGAGCCAACGAGGAGATAGCAGCGTTGAAAGCGTCCATGAAACGGACAATCCACTCTGAGCCAGTTCAGGAGGTCAAGAAGACAGCATTTGAGCAATTAATCCCGGAGACCTCTACACGCGGCCGGAAAAGAAGACGAGGCGGCGAGGGAATTGCTGAGAATAATGATCTATTGCTACTTCAGGCTTTCCGCTCCGAACTTGGCCAAGTAGGGCCTGAGAAGGAGCAGCCAAATGTTCCCATAGGGGAAGGTAACGCAGAGCAAGGTTCAGGTGACCAAGATGAGGAAGCGGAACTCTGCGATTTACATTTCATTGCCAACTGTCAAAGTTGCAACTCCTGGGACAAGGCCGAGAAGGAGGATAGTGATGATGAAGGATGGATGTCACATTCTTTGAGCTTTGCAGCTGATAAACTTGGGAAAGACCTATCATACCGAAAGAAAGCCGAAGAAGAATTGGTGGTCATCGACCCACGAGAGAAGGCCCGTACACTCAAGGAGGAAAAAAGAGCTCAAAGAGAAGCACAGTCCGGAAACTCAGGCAGAGAATGGGATCAAGCAAGGAATGCTAAATTGGCAAGAGCATCAGCTCTAGCTGGCAGAGGAGCTAAGTAATTCTTTCGCTCGAGGCTTTTTATGTAGTATGGAATCTGGATTGACTATGATACCCCAGGTAGACTGTTCTACTAACCACGGTTTTGATATTGAAATAACACATGGGCTGATGGGTATCTGTATCAAGCAGGTATAAGAAAAGAACATTAGCACTTTCATCGGAGCAAAATGAAGCAGAGTGGGTCGGTGGGTCATGCAGGACGTGCATAGTATGGAAATGTGAAATTTTTATGTTCACCATAAATTGGGTTGATATTTCAGCATAATCGTACGTACTGCTGAGAATCGGTTTTTGAATTTGGCCTCTTGGACTATGGAGACAGCTACGATTTGTCCGGCGACCGGTCATTGGTCAAAACAGAATTCCATCAGCTACCCCTCGCTCCCTCCACGGCTTAGCGTCGCATCGTCTGGAGTTGTTGGTCCGGACCTTAGATATTCGAGACAAGGTTCTTATTAATAACCCCCACAAGCTTTTGAGCGGTGTCGTGTCTCGCGCACTGCCTTGTATCTAGATCTGGATGTCTTGTACCACATGTTAGGAGGTAATAGTCCAAATAACATCAGTACAATCTCGAAATCGTAAGGTAATGAATGCAACGATTGAGGATAAAATTTGCAAAATCAACCTGTCAATGAAATCAATGTACCCAGGTATTTTTTGATATTTCTATACAATCGGAATATTTGGTAATGAGACAATCATTCGATCATATGAATGACGAAAGAATAAAAAACACCGTCTTGCTGCTGAAATATCTTATCGAAACCGTCTCTGATTGGTTGAATTAGTGCACTAGTATAACACTATGTGGTCTGTGCTCCATATCTAGATTGTATTTTGTACCATACTAGTGGTCCTTGTCAATATTTTGGTAAGCCCACTTCGCGCGATGTACGGATGACAGGCGACATAACCTGGAATACATACATGTACATAACGAGACGAGCAACATTGCGGATAGGTATAAGTCGACGTCAATTCCAAAACTTTCAACTATCGGAAACCTAATATATCCCTAACATATACAACAATTATCGAAACCATTTGTCGACGATATTGCGATATCTCCCATTGACCGATATTAGAACTTTCTCCGGCCTGCTCGTTTCAGCTTTTGCCGGTTCGGATACCTGCTGTATCTTCTCTTTCCCAAATTCTCGGTTCGGTTCGGTCTCCAGCGCGCACAGTGGATGGACTAAGCCAAGACACGGAAGAACGAATTCTTCATTCTTTGGGTGTCACGGCGCAGTGAGCCGGAAGACCGGTCCATTCTAAAAATCCCATCCCAACCAAGCTCGTCACTCGACATTCCTATTACCATTTCCGTCTCTTTGGTAATACCTGTCTCGGACCACGCTGGCGCTCGCACATATTAATTGTGCTGAGTTACGCCGTCTACGCTCTCAAGACTATTGTAGCTGCAGCGTACTTCTTAAAGCTACGTTTCCAAAAAGGAAAGAAAACGTCGGCTGGGCTAAATACATGTTGTGATACACGTTGTGGTACTGTCACTGTTGATTGCCTCCTGTAGCTTAGGCGTTCTGCGACATCGAACTACTTTTTTGCGACTTCGAGAACAACGGGCTTTACCTTCGTCCTTGTTTCCTACCCTTGGCTGCCTTCTGCATCGCAAGCCGTTCACTTCACCGCTGTCGCAACTGTCAGACACAAATCTTCCCGCCGTTTTAGAAGCTTCTTTCCGGCTTCTACGGTTGATTCAGTTCCTTCGTCGGTTCTTTTCTCGTCCTTCAAGCCCTTTGAGGCTCGGGTCGTATATAGGTAACAGCTATGATTACGGACGAAAAGCTAGAACCCACCATCCTGCTCTATCGAATTTAGAAGCTGCCCTTACAATATCTAAAATTTACTGCAAAAATCTGCGCGCCTAACTGTTCTTACATTCATTGGTTGCCTTAATCCTATCCCGCAGCATCGCACATCGCACATCGCACATCTTACATCGCATTTATTCTCACCGAAACAAAAACAATTACAGCCTCGCGCGACGACCGCTACGGCCGGACATCTTGCATCGCTAGCAGCCTAGTCCGGTCGCCTGCTTTTAGTCTACCATTCACAGCCTTGCGGCTTCGTACACGATCTAGCCGCCTATCATCTCTCGATCCTTTCGATCTCCCCTCCTTCGATCTACCATCTCCACACGCAAATTTTGACCACCGTCAACGATCCATACTGTTATCATATCCCATCCTTATTGAAGCTGAACATCGTCTGGTGTTACCGGGTCGTTCCTTTTCGGGATATACGGTACTGCTAATCGCCTCTTGGTGAAGGAGGCCTGCAGCTAGGCTAGACCGTGCTTTCAATTCTATTCCTCGGTCGTGGCCCATGTACGGCTACTACCACCATATGTCATCTCCGAATCCTCGAAAACGACCGGCACCGGGTAGTGTGCCTATACAACATCAAATGGCGGCGCCTTACAACACGCAAGATCAGTTATTGAGATGGAATGGGAACAACACGGGTGCCTTCGTCGACAACCCTTCGAATGGTGTCAACTCCTATGGCGTAATGCCGTCGCCGACACAACCCCAATATGGAGCTGCAAATGCGCCTTCGAACGTCCTTGCCAGACGAGGCATTAACAATGCCCTCGTCGCCACCAATCGTGCATTTACCCCGCAGCAGGGTGATCCGTGGTCCAACTTTGACGAGAACTTAATCGCGGGCCAGACGAACGGGGGCGTTGACGAGCATGATAACATTGAGTTGCTCGAGGAGAAGGCTCAGAGGGCAAAGAGGGAAGCCCAGGCAAAGCGGAAGCAGATTCCGCCTTTCGTACAAAAGCTAAACAGGTAAGCTTGAGCTCCTTTCGTAGCTTCATGCTCCCGTCGCTAATAAAACACAGCTTTTTAGAGGAATCGAAGAACACAGAGTTGATCAGATGGTCAGAGAAGGGTGACTCTTTTATTGTCCTTGATGAAGACGAGTTTGCTAAGACCTTGATTCCCGAGCTCTTCAAGCATAACAATTACGCCTCCTTTGTCCGTCAGCTTAACATGTACGGATTTCACAAGAAAGTGGGCCTTTCGGACAATTCGATGAAAGCTAGCGAGCGCAAGAATAAGAGCCCGAGTGAATACTACAACCCTTACTTCAAGCGCGGCCACCCGAACCTACTATGGCTAATCAACAAGCCAAAGAGTGGAGGCGGCAAGAAAGGTCTCAAGAAACGGGGTGACGAAGGTGATGGTGAGAGTGACGAGGATGTCGTAGTGCCAGAAGAAGTCATCAACCATCCATTTACCCAACCAACTGCGCAGAATAGAGCTCTACCCGCTCCCGAATCGGGACCTCTCCAAAAGAAGGAGTTGGCGGTCGTCCGAGATCAGATGGCAGCGTTACAGACGCGGCAAAAGCAGATCAGCGATGCAATCCAGCGACTAAGACAAGAGCACAATCAGTTGTACCAACAAGCCATCATGTTCCAGAACATGCATGACCGCCATGAGAATTCTATCAACGCTATCCTAAATTTCCTCGCCAATGTATTTAGGAAGTCGCTCGAGGAACAAGGTGGCGTGCAGAACGTTAACGACTTGCTAGCCAGCATTATACCTAACGTGCAGATGCCGCCTCAACAAGGCCAGGGCAGCGTGGTCGATCTCGGAGATTGGGTACAGCAGCAGATGCCTAGAAATGGGACACCGGTGGGCACACCTAAGAGACAGCACCGCCTCTTGCCTCCTATTCCACAGCCTCAAGGTCAAGCTGCAAGGACACCACCGGCGACAGCGGCGTCCACGCCGTTCTCAAATTATCCCAATCATCAACAGCCCCCGATCCCGCAAGTGACGGAGGTCTTCGACACCCCGACGGAATCGTCTACACCTGCCTATCTCAAGCAGGAACTGGAGTCGAATCCCCAGGAAGGCATGATGAAAATTATTCAGGATGCCAACACCAATGCCGGCAATGTTTCCGTCGATCTTCCCAACGTAGCTGCTGCCACATCGGCGACGCTTACCAATGACCAGCGTAATCGCATGTTAAGTATCATGTCTGGTCATAATAGCACCGCTCCAACCCCCGTCTCCGTGACTTCGCCTCCCGTATCAGCAGACCCACACCCCTCCCCGATGGGAGTCCCGTCAGCCGGAAGCGTACCACCCACTACGACACGCAACTCGATGTCGCCCATTATGCCTTCAACCCTCCCGCCGTCCATCCAACGGATATCGCAGACGCAGGAGGAACTAGAGCAGCTGCAACGGCTTCAGACGGAGCAGAGCCAGAAGCTCGAGGATCTTAACCATATCTTAGGGCCGCTCAGCCCGTCCGGTCGTATTCCCGGTCTCGATGACTCGAACGCGTATTTCGACGATAACATCGATCTTAATCAATTCATAGACTCGAACGCGTATAGCACGGACCCCGGCGTCGGCGGCGACTTCGACTTCGATACGAGCCACTTTGCTAATAGTGCTCCAGCCTTCGACTGGAACCCAGATGGCACTACGGAGTTTGCGGGCGACGCGCTCAACGCAGGCAGGATCGTCGAGACGAATACCCCGAGTCATAAGAGCCCAAGCCCGAGCGTAACTGAGGAGATCCTGAGGAACGATCTCGATGACAGTCCTGGACGCGCGGCTAAGAGGCAGAGGAAGGCTTGATTGGAATGGCGGCGGCGAGTCACTTGCATAAGTTTTACGGCGTTTGCTACAATGTGACTATGGTCCTTCAGTTTGGGGAGTCCCGTGAATCATCCTCATGGTTGAAGTTTGAGGTTTGGACGGCGTTCCAGGGGTTTACAAACACCACACATACCGGAGGCAGCCTCGCGAAAGGCGTCGGGCGTTGGAGGCTGCGATAGTCATTACTCGTTTCTAGTTGCTTGATATCCCGAAACATCTTGCTTTGCACATCAATCAGTCAACACACACCCACCTCTCCTCTCCTCCCTCTCCCCGCTTATCTCTTCCCTCCTCCCCTATTTCCCTTTTCTCCACGGAAGGGTGCGGAAAGAACGGAATCAATCAGTTTTTCGGACGGCACGACTCGGATAAGGGGAAGTGGGGCTTAAGCTCATTCACGATTCGAGAGCTACGACACTCATCACATCTTTTAGATTTTTAGACTTGTTTGCTGCTGGCCCCGCGATGGTGATTCCTATTACTTATTTACCGATTTACCTACCTACGCATCTCTCTCTTACTCGCATCATTCATACCGTTTACCTTATGCTCTTTCACACACACACGCGTTGTCGACTGGGAGCAAACTTATAGCTGGGGTTCGTCGCGGGGCGCGGGGTTGGCTTGGCTTGGCTTGGGCTTGGATTTGAGGTGGATTCGACCTGGACAATATTGGTCTAGGCATTCATATCGCATCGGACTGAAGTGAATTGAATCGATGGTTTCCTATGACTACTTTTCTTGCCTTTATGGTCTTTTATATGTGATATGCATGTGTTGTTCGTATTGGACGTGGAATTGTTATATTGGGTAGAAATGAAAAGTCTCGCTGAAGACATCAAAAACTCTGTACCATATTACAAGATTGCTAACTTTTCCATATCTAGCCCAGTTTCCCACCCCGATATCTAGACATACGATGTTATATCTCGTCAGGAATAACGGTCGCTAGTTATTTCTGGCTTCTAGATTCTTTAGGATACGCGATATCACATGAGTAGTTGTCGTGTAGGTGATATCCGAGCGACTTGAGAACTTTACGAGCTCCGAGTGGTTACGGCACACCCATGTGCAATTCTCGCGGCCCACCGCTCTCGGATCTTCTACGTTTCGCTGGGGAGGGGCCCGGGGATCCTATCGGTTACGTTAGACTATGTCAACTCGGATGGAGAAGCTGGAAAGAGTGGAGAGAGGATCGTACTATATGGTCGTCAGACAAATTCGTCTCGAAGAAGTAGTGTATGCTGAGATGGTCTTCGCAAAGAGAGAATCGGTCTGCAAGATCGTTGAGGTAGTTCGAAGTTCTACCATCTTCGATGCAGATACTCTTGATCATCTCAAAACTCGGTATTCAACTATCGAGGATGAGATGGCGCGCTTCTCTATTTGGACTTCTAATATGGCTGTCTTTGCCAGTCAGAAGGCCTGTTTGGATCACCGTGTTCGGGAGGCACCTGAAGTCCAACGGCTAGTCCTAAGTATACTAGAGGTACTTCAGGGACGCATCAATAAATGTAAGACTTGGTGTATTTCCCAGCTTCTATTAATCATAATGTTCACCCTCCATAATATCTCAATCTTCCCAGGTATTCGCCTTGTCGAATATCTTACGGACCCACATTGTTCTATAGAGACGCGGTTTTCTGTCTTAGCCGAGGGCGACTTCGAGCGAATATCTGACGGCATCTCTTCTAAGGTTGGCCTACTCCATGGATTATCCAACATAATCTGAAAAGCAAGCAGAGAATCACAGGATGTTACAGCAGCCATTTCTTTCCAAATGAAGGACGACGAAGGAAACAACATAGGCGATATGCTAAAGGAGCATTTTACGAGGAATCTCTGAGACTGTTTCCCCGAGAGCAGCGAGTCCATTCGTGATCGGCTTGTTACTATCATGGTTCTAAGACGGAAGAGAATATTATATAGGCGGTCCAGCTACGTTATAAATCCTATAAACCCCCCTCAACCTGTCATAAAGCCGAAAATGGAAACACAAGTTTTTGTCACGCGACAAGAGACTCAAGATGGAAGCTTTCCAAGTCAAGTCATAAAGCCAGTAGCTGGACCAAGTAGAATCAACTCGATAGTCCAGAGCGCTACCACTTTGGCGCCGCAAAGCTTCCAGCAAGCATCTGCGCCATCAGTCGTCTCCCATGTAAAATCAGTGGACTTAGAATATCATGAGGAATTGGTCTTCCCTGCCCGTCCAGAAGTCCCGAATAATGGCCTGGCCGAAGTGACGTGTCCGTATTGTCTCTATGTGCTTTCTACTCTCGAGGTTGGCAACGAGGCAAGGTGGAGGTTCGTGACGAGACACTTTACTACTGTGTTAATTTAAACTAATAGCTGTGCTTAAGGAAACATGTCCTTAGAGATCCGGACGCCTTAGTTTGCCTCTTCGACCCATGCGATGAACCCAACGTTCTCTACAGACATAGCAAAGATTGGCTACTTCACATGCGTAAATACGCCAAACGATGGCATTGCCCAGCAAAGGTTTATGGGATCCAATACTTCAATAATCGCGACGAATATGATATTCATATGAAAGAAAGTCATCAAAAGCGTTATACCAGCGCTCAACTTGACCTCCTTGCCGAGAGAGGCACGCGTCTTTTTGGGCCGCTATTCGATATTTGCCCATTGTGTGGCGGAAAGGACGCTTCCGACGACAACAGAATTCAGGGGAACTTAATGGACCATATCATTGGCCATCTGAGGTCACTTGCTCTTAAGTCTCTTCCGCCACATTATGACAATGATGACACAGCTTCATACAATAGCCGTAGTGACGAGTCCGTGGAATCCCGCAGTACTGTGAAGAGTCTCCTCGACGGCTGCAGCACCTCATTCTTGGATTTAGCACCATCGACTCTTATCTCGCCTAATGATAAATCTTTGCGCAAATATGAAGGGGATGCGTTTGACTGGCGCTAAGTTCTAGATGTGGTTGGAATACCGCACGAAAACGAGCAGGATCCCATAAAAGAACACATGGCCCAGTCTAGACATCCTGATGGCGTACTAGAACAAAAAAGAACCGCGAGACTTGTCACAGTCTCTTCTTGCGTGACTTGAAATATACTACGAAGAAGGCGACGAGGACCACAATAGTAATACAGAGGTGCAGGTCAACTATAGTCCAAAAGACAGCATTGAACCAACAGACCAAAGTTTTCGACACCATATTTTGAGATTGAATCCCAGTCCTCCATCAGACAACCAGTACCTGGTAGACCGAATGGTAGAGCATATACACATTTGCTCGAAGAGATTACGGGATGTGAGGAGATGGCACCTCAATCCAGTCAACGAAGGCATTTGTCCTTCTGGACGGTCAGTTCCAGACAATTCACTCGTGACAACGAGCGCTCATTTACCCCCATCGAATGAAATGTATCACACAGGCCTGAGGAAGGAACTAGAACTTTTCAATGGCGATATCACAAAATTTCAACGACCCAAGGGTAACACTAATTGTAGGAATCTCCCTCTAGGCTTTTTAATGCCACAGACAGTAGAATTTCCTGCAAAATTCCCATGTCAGTTACGTTTCCGCTCCTACGAATTCCAATCACTTTCAAATTGGATTGTACACGTCCAGGAAGATCTACAACCATTCACCTGTACTTTCGATTAATGCGCAAATCTAGGGCCATTCAAATGGAAGAGTGAATGGATTTGTCACGAGAATGTAAATCATCGTCATCATGAGTGGTGGAGTTGTAATATCCCGGCCTGTAAATTTACCTGTTCTAAGCAAAACGTCTTTTGTCAGCATTTGGTTGAAGCACACAGGTTCACGGCGCCGAACCGGAAATTTCCAGGTAGAGACACTACGTTGAAGAAGATTGATGAATGCCGCAAAACAATTCAAGTTACACCCCAAAACGAACTCTGCCGGTTTTGCGGTTGGACGTTCCCTACCTGGGATGAACTCTTCGATCACATAACGAAACACTTGGAGCGCATATGTCTACCAGTTCTAAGACTTCTTGAAGAATATCCTCGTCATATACGGGTGGAGCTACCTCCAATTTCAACGAACCTCGAATCTCAATCAGAATCGTCTTCATTATGTCGAGAACTACTGCCCCCCATCACAGATATGATATCAAAATATAGGCCGCGATGACCGCCTCATGTACCTGGTCTCAGAAGTTGCCTGTCTGGACGAACGCATGAAGAATGGACTACTATACGACACTGGTCTTCGCCAAGACACTTCTGCGATAAACCGCCAACTCCATTCTATCGAGACGTGCGAAATGAATATGGAGTTGCTATTCAATTCCAATGGCTCGCCCGACGTAGAACTGTTGAAGAAGATCATCACACGAGCTTTTCGTCTCGCAGCTCAAATCTACCTATATAGCCTAGATCCGGATTTCTCGGCAGAGAAGCCCCATTGCGTGGAACTAGTTGAAGAGATTACTACTTCTATCTTTCAACGTTTACCATCCGGGCCTACTGGATTTGACCGATGTCTCGTCTGGCCGTACGTGATCAGTGGGTCAGTGTGCACTGCATCTTCAGACCTTCGTCGGCTCATCAACAATCGCATCGAGGAGCTCGGTGTGGCAGCAAAATTTGGCAGCTTTAGCGGCCTTGTCACCGTGTTGAGGGAAGTCTGGAGGCGAGTTGATTCACCTCTCGATGTATCTGGTAACAAGATAAATATATCTTGGAGGCACGTTATGGAGGAAATGGGATGGGACTACTTGCTTATCTAGCAAGCTGAATGGAATAGTACCTACTGCAAGGTTGTGTGGCAAAAAGGAGTGTGTAAGTAAGAATCGAAGGCTATCGGATTGGTTGGCTGAATGAATTAGATTAGAAGATCATAGAGGTTCTCGTCGTGGGTATAAGTACAAATCTAGGTGAAGGTTCATAGAAGAAACGATCGAAACAATTAGATTACCCCTTAGATGAACAGGCACATACAACCTACTAATCTATCTACCTAGGCATACATAGCAAACAGTTATAAAATAAGAAATAATACTTCCCAGGGCAGACGCCTCTCTCCAGAATTTACGTTTTTATACGACGTTAGCGCAGCGCCGTCGAATCGCATCGCACGAACGTCGAAGAAGGGCGGACGAGAAAGAGCACAGCCGCTTTTAAGCCATCCCAAGGGGGCCGCTCCCGTCCAGTCAATCAATCGACGGCAGGGGTGTTCGCGATCTGCGCTAGGTTTCATCAGCGGCGCCTACTTATTGGAACCTGGGCTCGACGTCATCCAGTGAGACAAGGGACGGGAGGGGCGCAATGCAATTTACATTGGCGTACCAACGATAAGTAACACACACACTCCGAGCTGACGTACAATAGAATGGCATTCCTGGCGATTGTTAGGGAGGAGCCTGGCATCTTTCTTCCACGCCTTATTTTTAGCAACTTTCCCTTTGTTCCGTTTGTCTGGGCATTGACAAACTTGGCGTACTTCTGTTTACCTACCTACATAAATAAATGATTTCTAGCATCGTTTGATGTTAATTCGAGCCTTGATGAAAGAAGACATATTCCGTTCGCGATGACAGCGAATTGTACAAACGCACCAGATGCCGTACCTAGCGACGCTGGCGTTGCCGGCGTTGGTGTAAGTCCACGCCAACTACCTACCTACCTAACTGAATTCTACTGCTCAATAGCGCAAATCCGTTACTAACATGACACTCTCGATCAACAACAGGTCCTCCTATCCTTCATAATCACAGCCGGGATCTCGCTCGTCCTCAGCGCCTCGCTCATCTTCCAAGAGGCGCGCAGCCGGAACTCGTCGTCCGAGTCCGTGCTCCGCCGCAAGCTGCTGAACTCGTACTCGGACCAGCAGATCCTGACGGGCATCGGCCTCCAGAGCATCGGGCTGGGGAAAGTGTCCTCGATGGTGCCCTACCACTTCTTCCTCGTCTGGATGCTCTCGCTGCTGTCCATGGCCGTGCACAACGCCACCCTGCTCGCGCTCGCCCGCGACTTCCGCCGCGACTGGGTCCTGCGCTGGATGCGCCAGCTCCTCATGCTCGCCAACCTCGTGCTGTCCTGCGTCTACGGCGTGTACGTCCTGCGCGCCGTCGAGCGCGGCATCAACGACTCTACTTTCCCCGTATCCTGCGTCTGGGACGCCGCGACCCCCGACTACCCGCCCTCGGGCAACTACGCGCTCTCGTTCGCGGGAACCATCGTCGTGATCGCCGGCAACGTGCTCATCTTCGCGCTTTCGACTTGGTACCTGCACGCTCGCACTCAGCGCTTCTACGTCGTCCTCCAGGTCGTCGGTCTCCTCCTCATGACGGCCTTCGCTATCGGCGCGACGGTCCGCGTGGCGTACCTCGCGGACGCGTTTGCGAGCGGGACGCCCATTAAACTGAGCGACGACGGGGAGAGGCAGTGGAGTTTCGGACAGCTGTTGTCTGTTGGCATGTTGGTCCTGCCATTGGTGTCTGTTGTCGAGATACTGCGGGGTGAGATCAAGTGCGCGCCGCCTGTGGCAATGGTCTACGACGATGATAAGGGTGTGCTATTGGGTGAAGGTGGAAGTGGAAGTGGAAGTGAAGGCGAGCAGCAGGAACTGAGGGCTAGGTCGAATCCCGGAGTTAGGAGGGCGGCGGACTTTCAGCCGAATCCGCTTTGGGGGTCGCAGACGAATTTGTTTAAGAAGTGATTGGGAGAATCGGTTGTTGGCTGGGATGGGAAAAGGAGTAACATGATTTATTAATGCTTGAATGCGCGAATTTAGATACCCCTTTTTGCGACTGAACATGAAATGGTTTCTCTTGATACACACCAAAAATGCGATTATCAACGACCGGCCTAAAATCTAGGGTTCTGGCGGCGTCTTATAAATCTTGGCCGAATTCTTATTATATTAAATCTAAAGGTATTTATAGTAATTCGGAATACGGTCGAATGATCGTGGCGATGCTCGGATGCAAGATCGTCACACGGCCCCCCGTAGGGCAAGATGTGGAGACAGCCTCAAGTTTAGATCGAAAATGGAAAATGGTCATGAACTTGGAGGGCGCTTCCTAAATTTATAATCAAAACTTGCTTAATAAATAGAAGGAAGGGGACCATTTTCCTAATACGGTTTCTTGGTGACATTCGGGATCCTATAAATGATTACTAGATAAACCTCAACTTGTTGAGCGGGTCGAAACAGCAAGATCTATAGTTACTACGGTAAAATTCGCAACTGAAAATGTCGACATTCGAAGAGCAAGCAGCGAAAGCTGTAGAGAGTGGCGAGTCGCCGGGTATCGTAGTTATTGCGAAAGATAAACATGGTGAATATCCTCAGGGTCATATGGCGCTACTTCAATACTAACCTTAATCCAAGGGAAACTCAATTACTCAAAGACATTCTCTCGCAATGGCGGCACGGCTTATAAGGAAGACAGCGTGCTCGCCGTAGCATCGATGTCAAAACTGATCACCTCTGTTGCCGCTGCGCAGCTCGTCGAAAAAGGACTTGTTACGTTAGACGAGGACCTTTCACCTCTACTTCCGTCCCTTGCTAAGCTAGAGATCCTAACCGGATTCGCGGACGACGGCACGCCCATCACTCGCAAGCGCAAGAATCCCATTACCTTACGCCAGCTACTCACGCACAGCTCTGGTACCGCCTATGGCTTTTTTGACCCGTTATTAGCCCGATACGTGGAATGGAAGAAGCCGCGCCCGGATGCCGGGACGGTCGACGAGGCATTCGACCTGCCGCTCATGTTCGAGCCTGGCGAGGGCTTCATGTACAGCACCGGCATCGACCGGGCGGGACAACTAGTCGAGAAACTCACGGGTCAGAGCCTCGAGGAGTATATGAAGCAGAATATCTGGGAGCCGCTCGGGATGACCAGCACGACGTTCTCCCCGCGCGAGCATCCCGATATCCAGGCACGGCAGGTTCCCATGAGTTTCCGTAATAGTGACAAAGGCGTGGTAGTTGAGACGGGCGAGCAGGGCTGGTTCGAAAAGGGTCTCAAAGAGCCGTTCGGTGGCCAGGGCATCTATACCACTATGCCGGATTACATGAAATTGCTGCACTCGCTGCTCGTAGACGATGAGAAGGTGCTGAAAAAGGAGACCGCAGCTATGTTCTTCCAACCGCAGTTATCGCCCGCCAGCAAGGAGTCTCTGCTCAAGTTGATGAGGGGGCTCGAGTGGGCGATTGGCGAGTTTCCGCAAACGGACGAGTATGACTGGAGCCTGGGCGGTATCCTGATCGACGGCGATAAGCACGAGTTTCGTCGGAAGAATACTATGATCTGGAGCGGTGCTGCAAATACGTTTTGGGTGCGTTTAATCATATTTCCCTTATTACCTACGGTTGAATTTGGGTGCAGATGCTAACATCGAAGCAGTTCATCGACCGTACTGCCGGCGTTTGCGGCGTGTTCGGCACTCAGATCATGCCAACGTTTGATGCCAAGTCTAAGTCCCTAATCGCGGCTTTTGAGGAGGATGTCTATCGGAGAGCAGGTAAACTATGATGGAGAGAATAGAATTGCTCTCTTTTGTTCTCTTCAGAAATGTTATTGTAGAGAGTCAAGTTCTAGGATGTGTACGGACAAAGATGAATGCCATTGTAGAGGGAATTCATCAACGGCAGTTATGTATGTAATAAAGCACTATTTCATATGCACGTATAACACATATCTATTAAATGTGTATTTACGTTCCCTTGTCTCCGATGTCGTTGGATCTCATCGAGTTCTTCCCTTGGTAATGCGTTTCTGTTATCGTGGCCCGCTATGGCGTGCTGCGAAATTGAGCACTTTCAAGACGCCATCTACGTGTAATCGAGCCATCGAGTCTTTTTTTACGTCTAAAAACGCGTCAAGATGCTTCTATGCTTATTCGGACCGCCCCGACAGCCGTGTCTATGCATGATGGACATGACGTCGCCAAGTCCGACGACATACATGTAGATACTACGCCTGGTAGACATCGGAATACGTATACGAAAAGGGAAAAGGCAACCAATCAAGCGTAACTTTCGACCAGCGACGCTACTTAGGTTTGAGTAGGTACTTTACAAATGGTGGGTGATGGTGCAACCCTCCGACCAAGATTGCGTGCTAGGTATTGCGTGATTGAAGCCCCGCGATAGGTCGAAGTAGAGGGGAAGATAGGAAGAAAGGAAAAGGTAACAACGCAACCAGTACCTTAACCTAATCTCAAGCCTCGCTCATAGTCCAAGTCGGGAAAAGGAGACAGTGGTGGTACCATAAGTCGCCTATCTTGCAGACGATTAAACCCGGGGTAGTATACGAAGGCAAGTATTTAAGCTGATCCCTTGCATTTATACCTTATCTATTTAACAGTTTCTTTCTTTGCGTTACCCTCCAACTCAGATTGCTCCCCATCCCCTCTCCTTTCTCTTAAATATTGCCCAGTTAGAATAGAGCAAAAGAGACTAGAGGAAACTCAACCATGGCTCCCGCTGTTGATGTTGACACTCCGGTTGATGCGATTCAAGGCCTGAAGGCCCGCGCAAAACAGGTTGACCTATCTATCTTCCCAGACGGCCTTAAGACAACAGGTTAGCTAAACAGATACCTAAACGGCCTATATGTGGCAAGTCACTCATCACTAATTAGGTCAACACCCTCCATTGTATGACCAAATATACCCCTACAGCGCATTCCCTAAGCGCATCGAGGGTCCTACAGAATGGAAGGCGGAAGACTACGCCAACAACCCAGAGAGATGGGTTCATCAATTCTCTGAGGAAGAATTGGCCGAAATTTCCAAGACGGCCGACGAGTTCATCAAGCTTGGATTGCCCCTAACTGGCATTAACAAGGATAACTTCCCACTTCCGGGACTGGCGCCGTCGCTGGCTGCTGTGCGTCGGGAACTATTAAACGGAAAGGGGTTCATCTTATACAAAGGCTTCCCCGTCCATGAATGGGGCAACCACAAGTCGGCCGTCGCCTACATGGGCTTGGGAGCTTACATCGGCTACCCGGTATCCCAAAACGGACATGGACATATCCTAGGACACGTCCAGGACCTCGGCGAGGACAGCACACAGATAGACAAGGTCCGTATATACAGGACGAACGCCCGCCAATTCTTCCACGCCGACGACTGCGATATCGTCGGTCTCTTGTGTATCGCGAAGGCCGAGTTCGGAGGCGAGTCGGACGTGGCGTCAATCCACAACGTCTGGAACATCCTCCAGGAAGAGCGGTCCGACGTTGCCGAGCTCCTGACCAAGCCGATCTGGTACTTCGACCGCAAAGGCGAGGTCTCCAAGGGCGAGGACCCGTACATCCGGGCGGCCGTGTTCTACCTCGAGACGCCGGACCCGGCGAACCCGGGCCGGGAACAGCGGGTCTACTGCAAGTGGGATCCGTACTTCGTCCGCAGCCTGACCCGGTTCTCCGACAAGGGCATCATCCCCCCGCTGTCGCCGGAGCAGGAAGAGGCGATCAAGCTGTTGGAGGCGACTTGCGAGAGGGTGAAGCTGCACATGATCTTAGATATCGGCGACATCCAGTTCGTCGCTAACACGCACACCCTCCACGCGCGGACGGCGTACCGCGACTTCGGCCCCGATAGCGGAAAGCCGAGACGCCACCTCATGCGGTTATGGCTCGCCTTGCCGCAGGACGAGGGTGGATGGAGACTGCCCTTCTGGGACTCGGACGAGAAGAAGCGTGGAGGAATTCAGGTCGACGACACGCCCCCAGTCGCGAGGCTCGAGGGTGACTAGACCGCTAGTGTTTGTAACATAATAGTCTTTAGACCATCTATCACCATCTAAATTATTAATGAGACTACGAGATATACGGTTGATTCGGATCGCGTGCTTGACAGAACCTGAGCCAGGAACAGGGTTATATTTCCCTTGAAGTTTTCGAGCTAAGCGGGTGTCATAGTGTCAACTATGACACTTAGCTACCTTCACTTAGAAGTAGGTTGAAGCTGCGGGAAGTAGTCCTTCGAGATCCGGAGATGTCATTTGAATTAAATGCCTAGTACCTGTTAGTTAACTATCGATTGTTAACCCCAAAATACCTTCATCTAGTACTCAGCACCCAAAAAAAATCTAGGTAAAAAGTTGCCTAGACCTATTCTGTGAAATATTTGGAATCCTATTAACATGGCGAGTATAGAAACAGGGACCCCTACAATGGAAAGACAGAAAACACCCGACTGTCAGTGCCTGACGATCGATCAAACCAGTTTTCGTTTCCTCGAGTTACGAATTACGAATCACCTAGGATCAATACCTAGGATTGCCAGCTGGAAAGTTAAAAAGCGCTACACCGTAAAAGGCGATCCGAGGAAGGGTACGAGTGCTTTGACGCGTAGAAGATAGCCGTCTTCTTGTTTTGCTACTTAGCGTGTAACTGTCTAGGTAGTTTGCTTTCTAGTGAAAATTTCATGCTCAGCTCGCTGCAGTTCTATGAGGACATTTGCTAGTAGAAGGAGCGGATTCCTAGTTTCTCCGTTGCTACTGCTAGTATTAATTAGATGTTGGCAAATTAGGGGTTGATTGTATGGGTTAGGTATCTTCTAGTCTGTCTTTGATTTTTGTAAAGAGGTATGTAGCTAAGTTCGTTTCCAACATGCCGGTCCAAATTTTCCCCTCTTCGACCCAGAAGAACATCCTTGCCCAGAGTACTTTGTTCCATGGCGTCCACGCAAGGCCCACATGGGTCAGGGCATATATGAAGGTATATTATGCATGATAACTTCTCCACGTGAAGCATGGCCAGATAGCCTATGGATGTACATAGGTAGGAGTGACAAACGAGTTGCGATGCGGACGATGAGGCCACGATACATGACTACCATGTTATACAGAATATCTGTTGCGATGGCATCTTTCAAGTCGATATTTGAGGGATAAAACATGCAGAAATATGACGAAAGTAGGCTGTAGATCTTATTAAGAGTAGCAGATTGCATATTTCCGAGTCCAACGCTGTTAATCTCCTTACCCCAGTTATCGCTGAATAATGATGAACACTCTGACTAACCTGCTGAACGTCTTAGCGCAACCGCTAGTCAATCCCCAGTCTACCCCTAACTCATAACTCGTGGAACTACATACCTTGATCCCAGAGAATTGCATTTTTCGAGCCTAGTAGATCAGACCTTGAGGTTGCTATCTGCATGACATTGTTGATATCGGAGAAAAAAAAGGACTTGTGTATATCTTAGCATTAACCAAAGCGGAAAGCCAGACTCAAAAAGGGTTAGGAAAGGTGAAGGTTAAGGGCTGAGTCGGAAGCTTCTTCCCGTTGCTAGGTAATGGATCTTGGTGTCCTTATCTTGATTTAGTTATGCTGATGGTCCTTGATGAAACGCATTATTTATGACGGGGTCGTTGGGCAGAGCAATCGGGAAATTTCATGGATACCAATTCTGTAGGTATTCACTATTGTTGCCCCTCTACTGACCAAGATGTCGGGATGATCATGGAAATGGAAAATTTGAGAATATCCAGCCCCGTCCTGTTCTAACAAGGTTGCAGACGGCAAGACACTGCTAGAGTAAATGGAAGCGTACTGTATATAAATAACATTATCATGTCTGCAGCTTTTGCTAAGTAGGACTCACCTAAACGTATGTAGGCTGGTAGGTAGTCCGGGGAACGCCGACGACAAAGGTTGCTCATGGCATTCTAGGCATAGAACCATATATCGTAGGTGACATGGGTAGCTAGCCAAGAGGCACCTGTTCACTACTCCCGGGACCTAGTAAACATGGTCCTAGAACGCAGGTACCAAGTCCCCGGGATGAACTTTGAAGAGCCGTGCCTATCAACGCTTCTAGCGTCCAGCCCCATGTCGTTAGTTCGTATTATTAAAAAATGTGATTGTTACAGATTGAATTAAGCAGATAGGCCGTGCCCTGAAGATTTTATCGGCTGTTGTCTCGAGAGAGATCCGTTTAAGAATATCAGGCATCCACAGTTCTTCGTCGACCCAGATCATCGGATATGATGGAATGATGGAAAAGACTTTTCGGCGTGACGTCCGTTGTGGGTTATCGGCGCGATGGCTTCTTCAAAGACGCCTGCCGTCATTAGCGCCGGTGTGGCGTTGATCACGATCACGACGCTGGCGATGAGCTCGAGAATGGCGGCTCGTTGGATGTACAAGACATTGGGCCTTGACGATGGTCAGTTCATCCGCAACCTCCGACAGCTATTGTAGCGATAAACTGACATTTAGTAGTTATGATCTTAATTAGTTGGGTATGTTCGTTCCGTGTAACTACGAGACGATTGTAAATGTCCTGAACACACCGCTTACCATTACAGTTATTATCTTTGGCGCTCTGCAGTTGCATTATGATTGGTACGTATAGGAAATATCCCGTGAAATAACTGCAAACTAATTCCCACAAAGCTATGCAATACGGGCTCGGGCACCATCACGACGACGTCAGCGCCGAAAATTATAACACATTCCTCAAGGTAAGAAAGTAACTAACCTATTTGTTGGTATCTTCTAATCCCATGGTTCTTAGCTCCAAATAGCCTGCTCCGTCACATACAGCTGGGGGGTACAAGCGGCGAAGGCATCTTTTGCAATGCTATACTTGAGGATCTTCCCCGAGGGCAACTTTAGGATTGTTAATAGGGTCCTAATCGTATTCGTCTTATGCCAAGCCATCGAAGAAACATGCGTCGTTATCTTTAAATGCCAACCTATCCGAAAATCGTGGGACTTCCAATTAGAGGGGTCATGTCATGATCTGCACCCTCTTTGGTATAGCACCGTGAGTGAAATCTACCCAATTTGTTGCCTGCGATGCTAAGGTTAATTTGTGTCTTCGTTTAGTTCATCTTCAATCTCATCACCGATCTAATCCTATTCATCGAGCCCATACCCTCGACGTGGAAGCTTCAACTGCCGATTGTCAAGAAGCTTGGATTCATCTCCATGTTGTCGTTGGGGTTATTGTAAGCAATTTGGCTTAAGTATCCGCGACTTACGCTAAACGTTCGCATAGGGTGACTGTGATTTCCGTGATACGTATTGTATATGTCACGGGCATAGGCGCAGATGATACATGTGAGCATCCGATATTCTCAGGTTGACGATCGTCACTAACATCCAACAGACGAACTAGTCAACCCCCTTATATGGTCAATGGTTGAAATCTGCGCGCTTATTATATGCTCGAGTATACCGTCAGTCAAACAGGTCGCTGCGAAGATCCCCGTCCTCAACCATTTGCTAGGAATATCGTCTGTGGGAGAATCGTTCGGGCCCTGTAGAAAAAAGAGGAACTCGATACCGTTAGGTAGCCGAAGTCACAGAGACTACGTAAAGACGCAGAAATCGAGGACGCTAAGCGTACAAAGGTCCAACCCATTCGGCATGACGAGCCACGTGACGGCCGCAGCGATAGAGGACGCGGTCAGTGAAAGCGGTAGCCAGGACGAGATATTCCCGCACAAGAGTGATCAGAATGGGGTGATTAGGGTCACTACCGAAGTCCAACATAATGTCGAATCCGGCTCGGATAGTGCGAGACATTTCTCTGACTTGACCTCACTACATCGCCACGAGTTGAAAAATATCGTTGAGAGGCAGAGATCGACGAAAGGGAATGGTGGTGACAAAAACTGGTTGCGCCGTTCAGGATAGGCTACCCCTTATAGGTATAATTGAAATACAATATGGAATACTCGTACAACTCCAATAACCATGGCATGAATCAAGTATGAGAAGCATAATTCTACTACGTAGCAGGTAGTCGATATGGATATTTTGTTTCGTGATGAGAATAGTAAGCAGCCACTTGCATGAACTTATGTCATCAATACAGTTATGTAATTAAACCACGTTACATGATTATCTAATGTTGCTATATAATTAAAATATGCAATTATACGAACACGTCTTTAAAGTTCACCTACGTCAATTCGCGGGTCCGAGCCGCATTGAAACGATCTGAACCGACTAATTTCCATCGAACCCGACGAATCCTCACATAACGATAGCAACTTCGAACATAATCGGGCTTGAACACACACGTAAACATAAGATAGCTACGTGATGGTCTGAAATACAAGAGCCCGCCCGACGGTCCTAGTGGCGCCCCGCCGACTTCACCATGGACGCGCCACCCGTCAAGCTCTCGGAGCTTCTCCGACACCCAGACGACCTCGATAAGATCCCCGCGCTGAAGCTGGAATTCACGCGAAAGAAGAATGCCGTTGACTCTCAGCTACGAGGAGGGCTGCGGGAGCAACTGGAAACCACCCAGGCTGGAATGAATGGCATTACCGATGGCCAGAAGACGTTGCAGCTGATTAGAGACGAGATGATGAAGATCGATACCCTCTGCTCCGAGTCGCAGAACATGATTAAAGACTTTGCCAGCATCAACCTGGTGTCCCAGGCCCACAGAAACTTCGGTGCGGTGGAAACGATGGTGGAAAATCTCCAGACATTTAATGATCGCCTTAACAGGGTCGAGAACATGCTGAGGGAGGACGAGGCCGACAAGGAGAACATGCCCAACCTTCTTGGTGTACATTACGAACTAACGCAACTACGAAACATTCGAGACGATGCCATGGAACAGATAAGCCGAGCCGACGACCCAAGTCTACAATCTACTCTAGAGGATTACTTTTCGAGGTTGGACGAGGCGATAGACTGGTTTGATGAGCATGTTGGCCTAGTCGCGCTGAACATGATCAACCTCTTGATTGCGGACAACAACAGTTTGGTGGTTCGTCTAGCTATTATCGTCGAAGCCGAGGAGAAAAGTGATCAAAGGGTCGAGGCTCTGCAGGAGGCATTGAAGGACCATAAGGAAATGGCTACACGGTTCCAAAGTATCACAGACGGTGCCAAGAAAGTTAGAGGATACAAGGAGAAATTCCTAAAAGCAATTTCCGTTAACTGCGAAGGGCAATTTGCCGAAGTTAGAGGGGAGTTCTTGGACGACCCTACGAAGCTGGATAAGATGATGAAGTGGTATTTTAACGACCTTAATGCTGTCAAACAGGGGATGGTGTCCTTGATGCCCAAGAAGTGGAAGATTCTTAAGACATACGGGGACATATATCACCAGCTAATGCACGACTTCCTCGTCGGTATGATAGACGACCCCGAATCCAGTTCGGCGAATACGCTTGAGATTATTAACTGGCCCGAGAAGTATTATAAGAAGATGCGGAAACTCGGGTTTTCAGAAACTGACCTCAAGCCTCACGTCATTGACAACAGAGAGCAAGAGTTGGTTAAGGACTTCCGCCAGCTCATCATCAAATTCCTCGACCAATGGATCGAGAGAATTTTCGCGCAAGAAAAACGCGACTTCGCAGACCGAAATGTTGAGGGTTCTAACCTGGATACGGATGAGTATGGCTATTTCCGTACCAAGAACCTGGTCGACATGTGGCGCATGTTGCGGGAACAGGTGGACGTTGCTGCGAATTCGCAGAGAACCGATGTAGCCGAGGGCGTGATTGATGCCATGTTCCTTCGACTACGTGGCCGGCAGCAGTCATTCCAGAAGATGCTCGAAGAGGAAGCAGCGAGATACGAGGCTGATAAGGTACCCGAGCTAGAGGGCTTCCAGGCATTACAAGATTGGCTCATCGCTACCGCCAATGACCAAATGGCCTGCATCGACGACAACGAAGAGGAGAACCGTTTCGCGTACCTCTCGAGCTTCAAGCAAAAATTCGAACCCCTGGTCACGCCACAGTACATGGAGCGCGCCGAGAACGAGATCGCCCTGCTCCGCGAGAGCTACATCGACCTAAGTACCTGGTGCCTCAGCAAGTTCGCCAGCCTCGTCATCGCAGTTGATTTCGGCCCTGTGATGCCAACTTTCTTCACGCCGAAATGGTACGAGACGACAGCAATGAAGCAGATGATCATCACGATCGAGGAATACATCGGCGACTACCAGCAAGTGCTGCACCACTCGCTCGTTGACATCTTCATCCAGATCCTGGCGGACGAGCTGCTGGTCCAGTACCTCGGCAGCGTGCGCAACAAGGGCGCCAAGTTCCGGCGCACGGAGCCGTTCCAGGACAAGATCTTTAACGACGTGGCGACCGCCTTCGAGTACTTCCGCAGCCTGCCGAACCAGGACCTGAGCTCCGAGATCACGCAGACCTGGCGCGTCACCGAGGACTTTAACAAGCTCCTCACCGCCCCCAAGGAGCAGCTGCCCGACGTCTTCGAGGAGTTCAAGTCCAAGTACTGGGACCTGCAGATCACCTGGGTCGAGGCCGTGCTCAGGTCGCGAGACGACTTCGAGCGCGCGATGCTGAACTCGGTGAAGGCGCGCGCGGCGCAGATGGATGTCGTGAGGGGCCCCGAGACGATCATGGTTAAGATTAAGTAGGTAGGTAGGTTACCTAGGTTAAAAAATGGCTTTGTGAACTGTGGAAGCTGGAGGATTTGTAAGGCTAGGCGTTGCGATTAGTATAAGTGATAATAACTATGTTATCAATTCTTAAATTTTGTTTCTGCTATGGTAATAGAGATAGTGATACATGATGTTTATTGTCTAATGAGTATCTAGTGTGTTAGACTCGAGTATCACCCTCATGTCTCAAAAGGATAGATCACAAAAGGGCGCTATTTTGGAGGACTCTTCATGCTTCTTGTACGCTGCTTGGTTTCAACGTTTGTTATCAATTAGATGTCTACCCTATCCCTAACTCCAACTACTTCATCTAACTACCTACTTTTTGTCAGTAGTGCTCAGAGCACAATATTTCCCGTACGACAAGTCCAAGACTTCATGCTATACCATCTCACCTCGCGGAAAGATACGAGAGTTCAGAAGTATGTTAAGGGGATATCGGTGAGTATACGTTTAAACTACACAAAAACTAGCACGGTAACCAATCGCGTAACACCCGTACCTTACATATAACCCGCGCGCTTCCGCTTCGAGAATGGAAGCTAGAACTCCGCTAGGCTAAAAAAGAAGGGAGGGGTCGGAGGGGACGGGGCGTCTGCTGGAGGATTACGCATATATCGATCGAGTCGATCCGCAACCCCCTTTTCGGAGAAAGTCGGACATGTGCAATTTATTTTCGGACCCGGGGCTATACGGCGGCCGCCTATGGCCGCAGGAAATTGGGTTTCTTCGCATTATATATTGATTACTCAGTCCCGCAGGGTTAAGTTTGCGGCACTATCGTGAAAACGAAAAAGGGGCTCAGGACCAATAAAGTCAATACCGAAGGATAGATCGGCTCCGGTGGACGTAAGTTTCCTCGTCGACGTAGGTAGGTTCCACTGCGATTAGTTCATCTTGACACTCACTTACGTCGTATTCGTCATGGCGTTTACGTAATCCACCTCTCAACGTATTCGTCGAATACCTATGTCGTGTGCCTTCTTCAGTGGCAAGCTGCAATAAGCTTACAAACTGACTCAATATATTCCTGGAGCTGAAACGTAATGAGGCTCTGCATGACCTATTCCAATACTATGGGATGGTATTGGTCGAAGGGCTAGCTGAACACAACTTAGACCGAAAGGATCGGAAATCAAAGTAGCACTCCGTTCCCTGAAAGAACATTGAAGATACGAAGTAGCATTTGTTCCGCATATATTGATAGGCGGTCAGTCGGTTTCTCGTGGGAATAGAGCCAGTATCGAATAATGAGTAATCTCGGGGAGTCTAATGTAGAACCGTCACAGAAAAACGACGTTCCATGATCCCTTGCCAACACCTGACATTGTATTGTAAAGACTGATACAATCGGTCCAAACCAGGATAAACTATGCAGTACACCAGGGGAAATATGCATCTCTGACAACTGTACCTAAGCCTATGTCGGATACCTGGTCGGACGCGTACAACCGAGTTCAGGGGACAAGCGCCATGTAGGTAGTCTAGATCCACAAAGGTCGCCATTTCAGGTCAGCTACGCAACCGGTGTTGTAGATATGTTGCAAAAGAGGGCGAATATCGGATTCGGGCTGACTGCAGTACGAGATGAGTAAATGCTGCTGAACGGAAACCGGGCTGCTGGATTGATCGAGATCCTGCATCTAAGACTGGACGAAGAATAAAATTATTTATTCTGTAAGAGGTTGTTGCGAGGCATTGCCCAAGCCACCGAATTTCGAACCTCAAAGCAACGGGGAAGGAAAGAAATTGCCGGTATAACGATAGGTTGACTCGCGCGAGTCCTATCTGCCGGAAACAACACGCCCGTTGCGCCGCGAATGATGAACTACTTTCAAGTAGAACCCCTAGTTACACTTATCTCACAGGATCAACAAGCTCAACCAACTAGACGTCAAGTTCGGGGTACTAATCGTCCGGGTTTAAGCATTGATTGGTTTACTGCGTGACACAACAACAGTATAGGTAGTTAGTGACGCGAGCGCATATTTTTGCTCTATCGGGAACGTCGATGGCCCGGAAAGTAGATACACTGATGGCGTTGGGGTAAGATTCGTCATAATATGTCCCATGTCCCAATCCCATTGCGATAGTTTTCGATATAGTCGGGTTATACGGAAGCCCTAGCAGTATCAACTAGCACCATCATTAATTCTTCAATGCTTATGAGGTTCCGTTGTGAGTGTTGTAGATTTAACCTACGTATGTAGGAACAGAGACTTTGTCGTCGAACTAGGAGATAGATCGATAATAGTTCTAGTACTTGGACTAGAAACTAGATAATTTCGCCTCATTAGGACTTCCTACTGTGGCGTGGTTAGCTCTGACAGGACGAATTTGATAATATCGGCAGGGGCACAACCTTGAACTGGGAAAGATTCCTAGATAACATTATAATTTGACGATGCCAGATGACGTATTCCATTATAAACCTATGCGAGAATCCTTTAATCTGCGCGGTGACGGTCACGTCTTATCTAGATAGACGGCTATAAATTTGTCAGTATTGCAATAAACGATAAGCCGAAAAAGAGGGTATGCAATATCACAAGATATACGTAGAGCCACGAGTCATCCTGACTCACCTGAACTGGATGTCGACCTGATAGTATGCCCCTATTTGATTGCCATTTTTTCTCCTTCGCCTTTGGAGACAGCTAATAGCTGTATCACGTTCCATGATTTAGATATATGTTGCCGGTGTAGCTGATGTAGTTCCTGATCGTTTATGTACGTAAGACCAAAACATTGATCGCCAGCATGGTTTATCCCAGTATCGATTTATCACATCGCGCTAGTCGATCGAGCCCTGCAGGGCGACGGCACATTCTACGCGCACGCCTACGCCCAAGCCCACGCGACGGCAGCATATGTAACGGGTTCTCCGCCTCCAGGGCGCTGCCATCTTGGCTTGGCTTGCTTTGCAGACTCGTAACCCGGCATTCTGGAAGCAGACTTGGCAATGAAACTCGCAAGTTTGAGATCATCTATCTCAGCAGCAAACAATGACAAACAGTAATGCGGGCCAAGCTAACAAGGCTACGCATATAGGCTTGGCTCTGTGAATTGTTGCGCATCGAAGGTCCTTGGCGTATGTGCAATGTCACGAGAGGTTGATTAGGTATGGTGTGCTTGGGAAGGCTTGGTTATGCTTGTGTGGGCTTGGGTATGATGAGTTCGATAAAAAACCTGGAGACATAGAAAGGAGAAAAGCTTAGCAAGTCAAGTGACGCTTACTGAAGTCGTAGTATAGTAGCATCGTAGCAGCGTAATTGCCTTGCAGTGTTCGAGCTTGAAGGATTCAAATGTTACGACGACGTCACCGTTCGTAACCTTAATATGTAGTAAATGGAGCAAAAGAGACAATCTCCAACTCAATGCTATGTACCTAGGTAGTCCCGGCAGCCCTAAAAAGTCTATTTGTCAAATAAAACGGCCGATTGAGGTTGCCAGTATTTATAATAAGATAGCTTGCCTACCAGCCAGCCAGCTAAGTATTGATGACTTCCACCTTCAATAGTCCTTGGAACCCCACTAAGTAAGTACCTAGTAGGTATGCCGAGAGCGCCCTCTTTGGAGACCCCCTGCCCCCCTGTAAAATTCTAACCCCTCGGCTCTCATGTCTTCATCCTACTGGATTAAGATGGACCCAGGCTTCTACGACCCTCGTCATTGGTCTTGTTGGTCGCGCCTGAGCGTGATTCCCCGAATCTAACTCGAGGGTCTTTCATGCCAGTTTATTCATTCCTTCCTCTTCCAGCGTTCGAAAAGGGAAAGAAAAGGAAGAAGGAGAAAAGAGCGAGTGAAGTAAGTTTAGGTAAATGTGGAGGAACTTCCAACAAGGTTATTAGTAGAGACTTGATTGTACTTTGCCATCGCCAACAATTTTTTCTTTTCTTTTCTCACTGCGAACTTTTACCCACACCAAGAAACCAGCTAGGTCGGAATTCGTCCCGAGATTCTTGCTTGTCTTTCCAACCGCGATCGCAACCGAGACTTTGTCTTGTTTGGATGAGAAAGGGGGAATCGTCAGGTACCTAAGTAATCTATCTAATTCCAATTGCTGGTTGCGATTTGGGTCTTAGGTCTTGGGCCTTGGTCTTAATCTTGGATTACACGTGGACGCCGAAAGCCCTTCGGTCCGGCTAGATTTCTTTCTCTGTCGATCACGAAACGCCCCTCCAAAACTCCCGTCTCCCGTCTACCAAACGTCTTATTCCCCAGCAATTTGGGCATAACCCATCGCCGACCAGCCGCTTCTTCTCGGGAAGCCCTTGAACAAATCATCTCTTGGTCCTGCACAAAGCCGTTGGCACCTAACTCGATTTTCCACGAGCTACATGTCCATTGCGTAACCCGAAGATCCAATGGGAGCTTTCTAGACAAAGCAGACCCGAGTATCTGAAGTAGGACGCAGACATGGAAAGCAATGACAGCCACGCCAAGGACAAGAGGCCCGACAACGACGCCAGATCCAAGGACGACACCCCTACGACCTCAACCACCACCACACCACCCGAAAATGCCAATAAGAGCCCCAAGAAGAGGCGCAAGGTAAACCATGGTATGCCGTGCTATTCTTCTAAAATCCCCCCCTAACTTAACTTAACTTAACTCAACTCACTCCCCTCGACTCCACTGTCGTCGTATCTACCCGTCGCATGGGCTAATTTTGGTCGCGCGTTCCTACAGCTTGTGTATACTGCCGTCGATCTGTAAGTCTTAAGTTTCTAAATCCCTTAAGTCCCTTCATCTTAAGCAGAGTTTGTCAAACCTTTGAACCCTCTATTTCATTGGTTCCACGTCTTACGTATCTACGCATATGTAGAGATGTTGGCACCCCCCTGCCCCCGTGTGTTTACGGGTGGTTATTTTATTTTATACTGCGGCCACCTGGGTTGCTGTGATGTCACGAGGGGGTGATGCGCCCGAATCTTTTTCTGCACTTGTTGCGTGCTGTATGTGGGCGCGTGCACGCGTTGCGTTTTGTGCTTCGTTGTTGAGCTTCACAAACTGCTTGGCTAATACTAATGTTTCCGGGGGTTCTAGCATATGACTTGCGATCTCGTATGTAAGATCTGTTCCTACTTCTTGCGTCGATGGAGGGCGGGAATATGGCCCTGGTTTGCATGAGCCAAGAATTGACCCGGGACCACCCCCTATTGAACAGGAGAGACCATGTACGAGATGTATCAAGCGCAATATTGGACATCTCTGCCATGACGAGCCTCGGGACCCGGATTCTAAGAAGCTCAAAGGCCCCCACGACGCGGCTGGACACGACGAATCAGATATCCAGCCGGAAATATCACAAAATTCAATAGAACAGAGCGCTGCTGCAATGGCACCGCCTTCGTTTGACGGAGCTGGAGCTGCTCAGAGGACCAAGCAAGGTTTTGGTGCAGGTGCACTAGGCCAAACAAATCCCCTACAGCTCGTGTCACCTAATCCGGTCTCGAATATGCAGGCCAATGGCTCTGGCAGCAACATGAACCAATGTAGGTTTTGTAAAACCCTTATGAGTGTCGTGTCGGTTGGGGAAAAACATGCTGAGCTGATCTCGTAGTCGGCGGGTTCTCTGATGCCTGGCTAACCGCCCAAAATCAATTCCACGATATGCACCACTACCATCCCCAATATATGCTTGCCCCAGAAGTCACCCACGAATTTAATTTGCTCAATGATTTCTTGAATACCAGTCTTCTCGATGACGCCGGACATCTGTCGGAGGACCAAAATCCGTATCTCAGGAATAATCAGTCGCAACCTAACGAATCCGACATGGCGAGCTACGTGGGCGGTAGCAATAATCTCATAGCTACGGGCGCAATGCAGGCAGGCTCGATGCCTCCGCCGAGCACGGAGCAGGCGAGCTCCAGCATCGTCCCGGTGGATAAGACCCGTGAATTCTACCTCCAAGCGGCAGATCCTTCAGGCAACGATACGCCCGAAGCGCGCATGCAACGTGTGATGAAAGCCAAGTACGACGCTGGTTTGTTGAAACCTTTCAACTACATTAAAGGATATGCTCGACTATCGTCGTATATGGATGGCCATATCGCTCCTGCTTCGAAACAGAAGATCCTACGACAGCTAGATCGCTTCCGACCCAAATTCCGCGAGAAGGTCCAAGGCCTTACGGATATCGAATTGGTCTATGTAGAGATGTGGTTCGAGAAGACCCTATTAGAATACGACCGGGTCTTTGCGGCTATGGCTGTTCCGGCTTGTTGCTGGAGAAGAACCGGGGAGATTTTCAGGGGTAACAAGGAGATGGCCGAACTCATTCACGTTCCCGTGGAAAGACTGCGAGACGTAGGTCTATTTCGTAGCTCTACTTATAAAGTCATCAACTAATGAGATGGCACAATTAGGGGAAAATCTCACTTCACGAGATACTGACAGAAGATTCGCTCGTCCGGTATTGGGAGGAATTTGGCACCATTGCATTCGATGCGGCACACGACACGCTCCTCACAGCGTGTGCTTTAAAGAACCCGGATGATCGATCGAACGACCCAATCGTGAACTGTTGCTTTTCGTTTATGATACGCAGAGATGACCACAAGATGTGAGTGGACTTCCGGTGTTGTTGATATATAATGTATGGAGAAGATATGCTAACTACTCCGTCCCAACGACATAGACCCAGCCTCATCGTTGGCAATTTCCTTCCGCATGACCCCTCGCATTCTTCTTAAGCATCGCCATCCAGCATATAAAGTTCCATTCAAATATTCTACTTATTTCCTATTCATCAAAATGGGCATATGTCTTCATTATATTTTATACGTTACATACCTAGGTATAGCATCAGTATGCTGTCATGTAGTCTTCAACGTTGGTGGCTACGTCGAAGTATGACAGATACGATTTAAAAGCTTTCTAGAGCTTGAAAGCTACACGTCTCATGTTCAGCAGCGATGGTCGGATATGCGCAACTTTGGAAGGAAAGGAGAGACAGAAGGAGGGAGCGATGTCATCACTACGTTCGGAAGGTGTTATTGACGTTTCTATTGCGCCTTCCCCAGATGGAAAATAAACTACAACGCTGCCTGTCGACTCATACCTGACAATATCTAGAGGGAATTCCAGCAAATAGAATTCTTACCTTTATCAACCTTTAAGATTATACCCCATCGCTTCAGTGACGCTACGTCTAAGATTATGAATGGGATCCATGATCGTCTAACATTTTCGTTCTTTTCTCTCATACACAACCGAATTAATTGCTTACGTGTCGAGGTATACGTAGCTATCGTCACTTCATCCAAGATAACCGTCCCCCACACCGGTAACGCTTGTGACAGCAAGGCGTGGAACGAGCGAAACCGCGATATAGCATTCCAGATAACTGATTTACCACATGCATATAACTCGACTGTTTCAAGTTCATAATTCGTCATCATGGACACATCGATCGGTCGCTCTCAGTCCGCTCGAGAAAAACCTATCAATACCAAGTCTATCATTTGTTCGTATTCGTCATGTTTCTTCGAAACATATGCTAATTCTTTAAGCCTTCTGCCATGAACTCCAAAAACAATTACAGGAAAGTATCAATGAACATGGAATGAAGGAGCTTATTGACAAATTGGAGAATCATATCAATATTGTCAAGGACTATCTTCTCAAGCCCCCTAGCCCACATCGCCACACATCGCTCGATGGCCCCGGCACTGATCTTTGGAATCTGTGTGTTCAGATTAAACGACAAGATGACACTGATGTCTCTCCGACAAAAAGCAAACTTCTTGTTTCTGTCCGGGTATTCTCATTTCTAATTCTGGCACTCGCACAACGGGGGAGCCACAACAAACCGGGAGACCTCCTTCGCCTGGAAAAATTGGCAATAAAAACCGGCAGATCTTGTATTGGTATGTTGCAGCTTCGTCCCACCCCAACTGCAGCGCTGCGGGACTTACGCTTGCATAGGGGCGGCCGAACTCAATTTCGCGCTCATGGTTCTGCAAAAAGCCGCCGACTATAACGGATTGTTGCAGCATCTGCAAGCAAAGCTGCCAAGCGAGGAGCTAGACGCCTGCAGAAGACTGGAATCAGAGTATTTTACACTTCGTATAGCACTGGTAAGCCGCATATTGTCATCTACCCCTCGTTTGGTTGCTCACGACTTCGCAAGGCCTGGAAAGATGACCGCCTCGACGTGGCCGACCATCTATACGAAAAGGTGCAGGATGGAAAAATCAACACGGATCCCACGTCGGTAGAGAACTTGGCTGACTCGCTTTTCGAAATTGGTAAAGATCTAACAGAGAAGAAAAACTTTCCGTTGGCAGTCAAATGGCTGCAAAGGGCTTACGAAGCCATCAATGTCCAAGATCTAGAGCATCTGTCAAGGGAGGCCATCGAACTAAGGCTGGCAATTTCCCAGGCACTCGTTCGCGCATATTTGGATCTAGATACGACAGATGGCTTCCAAAAGGCCGAAAACCATGTCTGTTACATCGAATCTGAGATCGGCGATAAACTTGTAGTTCTTTTGCTCAGATTAGAGCTCCTACTCAAGTCGCCAGCTGAAGTATTCGATAGTAATGGATATGCCGACATTCTCCACCGGATGGTTAGGAGCCTTGATATATCAGAATCGAGTTTCAACCTCGTAATGCACCATATACGTAAACTCGATGATAAGAGCCCAAGTCTTGCCTGTTCGGTTCTCGACGAATTCATAACATTCCGAGTCTTGCCCACCCAACACGATCCCTGGGTGGAACGAGCTGTTGTCCTTCGCGCTCGAATGGCAACGAAGTATCGGGATAATGACGAAACAATACAGGGTCTTTCAAACATATTCGATAGCGTTGAGGCCAACTTAGAAAAATCAGTACCAGCTGCCGCCGTCCTTGCCATACAGATAGTTAGTTGGCCATCACACTCAATCCTATCTCATATGAACTTGAGCTAATTAGTCGAAGCTCATATGGAAGAGAGTTGATGCTTTATACAGTCAAGGGGAGCTAGAGCTAACTGAGAAATGGTGCCACGTAGCCATGCATCCAGCTCTTCGGCATTCTGGCCCGGCGAATGCAGCGAAGATCGCTAGGTACGCACTTATCAAGTTACTATATCAAAGTTCTTGACTGACTCAAAAGGAAATTACTTGGCTGTGCCCTCCAAAGGAACAATTTGGATAGTGCTATGGAGATTCTCCGATCCATGAGTGAATCAGCCAGGAAAGAGCCGATGACGCTGTATCTGGCATACAAACTGGCCCTAAGGAATGGAGATCGAGAAATGGCTTCCGAGTGTTTAAGAAATATCAGCGAGGCCTCGTCAAATGACCCGCAATACCTCTATGCGTGCTGCATGGATGCGCAAGAAGCCGAAGATAAGATGTGCGCGATCGAGGCTCTGCAACATTTGGTCCAGAAATGCGAATACAGCTCCCCTGATACGGTTCACTTGCCAGCCCTACTTCGTGTTATCATTCGTCTTGAAATATCACTAATGAATGACCAGAGCCACGTTAATAACGTCTCCTTACTTGTAGACGATATCTGTCAGGGGTTTGAGGGTGGTAAGTTTCTTATGTCTCCGCTCCTGGGCAAAGTTGCAGCTTGTGCTGAATTGTGTTAGTGGTAACGGCAATACAGAGAGACCCACGGGATAACCAAGGCCACAAGCTCTTCACAGTGGAAGAACTAAATTGGTTCTGTAAGAATGCTTATAATCTAGGCCTTAAGAATATTAGCACGTGGTCGCCCAGGCAAAGCACCCGCGTTTTCCAATGTTGCCTTTCGATCATTGCCCAATATCCTCAAGATATTCCCATTCAAGGAGCCAACGACCTGTCGCTTAGGTCATTATTTTGCCATTTCCTACTGGCAACGATGCTTATTTCTCTGGCTCGATCTGAAGACAATATCGAAACGCAGCTCCAGGACTACCTCTCGATGCGCAGCCACATCAAAAGCTTCGATGCGGAACTAGAGGCACGACTAAATATACTAGATGAGATGTCTAGAGACGACCTCCGAATGAAGCTTGAGGTTCTTCTAGTGTTCGACTTCGAGGGTGCTATCTGTCTTAAGTCATAGGATGACTTATCAGAAATCCTGTTGAAGGCTAAATCTTGTGATAATCTATCAATATTCCAGGCAATGGCTGATTGTGTCCTTCGAGCCGAATCTACCCCTGGACAAGGTACGATCCTTGGGGTAGAAAAAACGTTACGATGATTAATGAAAATTTAGTACTCTACTCTACACTTCGCAAGATTATTAACTACATATTTTCGCTTGAACGATTCGATAGCGAGAAGCTCGCTAAGTACCTACGATGCCTTCTTAAAGCCACGCTTGCTTCAGACCCCGAATTTCCCCTGAAGATTATGGAAGATATTTGTAGGCTTGTAAAACAATGCGCAGACGTAAGCTATAATTCAGGTTCGAGATCAGAAGGGAGAAAGCTAATGCTAAGTAACTTTTTTAGACTCAGAAACCAATCCCATCTCAAGAGGTCGAATGGTTTGCAACGACCGCGTTCAACCACGGGGTAGACCTCTATGGGGTCAACGAGGATGAACTCAGTAGGAAGTGGGTTTCCCATGCGCTCACATTGGCACACTACCATCAGGATGGCGGCGACTTGGAGCGAGAGCTTCAAAAGAGGCAGATAAGCCTCAAGTGGGACTCTTAGCGGTACGTAATACTCGCCATTAGGCTGGAATGTAGCTTGGTGACATCGTCCTTGAAGCCCTTGACTAGCATCATAATGGCTTGGGAAATCGGTACCTAAACTGAAACTCAGTGTCCTTCGGATGTAAAGATATAATCGCTTTCGAATAGTGGTTTCAGAGGGTGATGGACTAAACTCTAACAGTTATATCGAGTCGCAATAATAACAATGCCTATAGCTTAGTCAGTCTGGAATTAATCGAGGAATTTCACTCATTTATCATGATTCATCATTAGCTACGAGGACGAAGATTGCTGCATACCTAGATCAACTAATCTGATTTCATTCATATTCTCCGTTATCGTCTGACCTCCTTGCTTAAGAAAGTTAGAAAAGCAATGTTTCGTGAGAGTTGAAAGAGCAATCATGACGTCTTCGATCCTGTCAGCTATGCGCCATACTTTCAGAATATCACCGGCTTCCCTGAACGTACGACATGTTCGTCTTTTTAACTTTCTCTCTTTATCAGAGATAAGATGTTCTGCTGGGTATTATTCAATCAGACAATCCAACACAGGCAAAATGGTGAAAGACACGCAGACTGTTATTGAGTGAGCAAACTTATCCCCTTTCTGAACATAGTAAATATATGAAACAGAAACCGGCGAAGGAATGAATCTTACAGTACCTTCATTGTTGCTAAGGAAATGTATTTTCTAGGGAGTTCAACGACATTGTCAACATGTCGGCTTCAGACCTCGAGACTTGGCTAAAGGAGGGGGCGTCCGAGTCGGCGGGCTGGAGCAAGAGCGACGGCTCGGGAGAGACGATCGGGCACGAGAGGTAGGAATTTCAAAATTTCCAATTCCGCCACACTCGAAAACCCGTACTTACAAAGGTGAATCGTGCCCCTCAGTGGACGAAAAATCATCGAAATTCTCAAGAAAAACCCGCGCAAAGACCCGGATAAATACGACGAGGATGACGTCGACCACATGCGTCGCGTAGTCGCGTACTGCAAGCGGCATCTAGCGCAGGAGGGAAAGGTGAAGCAGGACCCGGATAGCAAGAGTGCGAGGAGTTTGAAGAATTGGGGGCACGATCCTAGTAAGGAGTAAAAAAAGGGGCTCGTTTTTTTTGGCCTTGTGTTACGTTATCAGGAAAGCGCCTAGAGTGAATGCGATTTGAAATTCGAGTATCTCCTCGACGCCCCTTTTCCAACTAAAATCCACCTACCCTTTTAGCTGCTTGTTTTCGTAACCATTTCCTGAATACACTCCTCAACCCCCGTACTCTTCACCCCCACACTCGCCAACAACCCCTCCAGCGTCGGATCGTCAACCTCGCACTCCCCATCCTGGATCGCCTCATACGTACCCGCCCACCACCTCACGCTCCGCCTATCCCCGCCCCGCCCCTCGACATGATACGTCTCATACTCCTCCCCGTCCACAACGCGCAGCTTAACTTCCTCCCCCCTCGCCTTCCCCACCGCCTCCGCGACCTCAGCCAAACTCTTCGCGCCGGCTGGTCTCGTCGACAGATACACAGTCTTCCCATCATACTCGCCGCTATCCGCAGCGATGATTAACGCGCTGGCAATCCCCAAATCCTTAATCGCAGTCCAGCACACCTTCCCGTCGCCGGCGACCGGCGCCGCGACCTCGTCGTCGACCGCGTGCGCGTCCTTGTACCCGAATAGGTACAAAGGCCAGGACTCGTTATACAGCCCTTCGCGTATAACCGTGACCTTCACCTTTCCTTCTCCGGCAAGCCGAGCGAGGTACGCCTCGGTGCGCAAGTGCGCGCGCATCACGCCCGCCTTGCTCTGGCTCCCGGGAGCCTGTGAGCGCGCGTCCCAGCCAAATGCCAGGCTGGAGTAATACACGTGCCTCACGCCAACCTTAACCGCGGCGTCGATCGCAACGCGGTGATGTTTCTCGCGCCCTTCGCCCTCGGGCTTCTCCCTACCAGACTCGTCTTCGAAGTCGAGCTCGACGTGCGGCGTGGATACCAGGAACAGCTTGTCCACGCCGCTTAGCGCCTTTTCAAACGAGGCCTGGTCGTCGAAGCTGGCGTGGCGGATTTGCAGGGCGGGGTTTTGCGCCGCGAGCGAGGTCCAGGTCGCTGAGCTTGGCGAGGAGGAGGAGGTTAGTGCTACGATGGAGGATGCGGAGACGAGGTTGTGCGCGAGCAGCGCGGTGAGTGTGGCATTGCCGAGTTTGCCTGAGGCGCCGGTTATTGCTATTGTGGACATGGTGGTTGTTATGTATATATTGTTGTTAGCTTGGGATGGGTACGAGCGTTGGTGGTGAGTTGAGTGGCGATAATGGGTTTCGTGATACGGAAATGTTAATCAACTTATACTGACGATACAGACGGTATACAATCTCATATAGTCGACTGCAATAGATCGGATCGTTACTGATGATTATGAATTAGATCTTCTCGTAGATCTCTCGATATCCTATTTAGAATATCGCCTTATAGAAAACCTAGTATGTAATGAATGTTACGATGCCGAAACGTCATAGAAGCTCGGATATGTAACTGGATTTATAAGCGGCGATTCGATCGGGAATATTAACCCGGGTGGGTCATATTAAAAGGATACTGCGATATTTTGTTATACTTGCATTTATACTCGCATGAATCGATCGCTGTCGCTCGTTCTTGACTTCCTAATACGGCATGTCAGATTCTCGCGATGAAAAAGGGGCCAGAAGGGATTACACATACCTAGACGCATACACACATCGTAAGAGAGCACTAGCTATTTGATGATGTACTCAAGCGAACGATACCGAGCTACCGTATTGAACCTGTAAATTCCAATCTAAGCTAGAAATGCTATCCTTATGCCCATATTTTGCCCGTCATACATAATTCATACCTCTCAGCCCTTACCCTAAATCGCAATAAAAAAGCTCTTTTCGCCCTCCTTCGGCAAAACCCTCGCGCGTTCCATAATCGGATCCACGCACGAGAGCCTAATCCTTTCAGGCGTGGCCGGGCTCTCGAGCCTCAGTAACCCATCACCCTCGCCTCCCTCTGCGAACAACTTCGCCTTGACGCCGTAATCCGCTCGCGCCGCCTTCAACGCATCCCTTATTGCGAAGAACACGGAGCTACCCATGAACAGCGGCGGCTCGCCGACGCCCCTGCTGCGTTGTATCGTGCGTAAATTCTCCCACTCGACGTCTTTGAGCAGGCTAACGTTGAAGACCTGAGGGATGTCGCGGAACCCGGGGATCTTGTAGGTGCCGGGACCTTTGGTGAACAGGTTGCCCTTCATGGGCCCGTTGCGCAGCCATAAGCTCTCTTCCATGGTAAATAGGCCTAAACCTTGTGTGAAGGCGCCCTCGATCTGGCCGTAGTCGATGGACGGGTTGATAGATCGACCGATATCCATCTTAATGTCGGCACGTAGGCACGTCCAGGTCCCGGTCAAGCAGTCGACTTCAACTTCGGCAGCTATGACGCCTTGGGTGAAGTAGAAGAACATCTTGCCTGTGTTTTCACCCCACACGTACCCGATCTCGGGCGTCTTGTAGAATCCGTTCGCACTTAAGTTTACGCGGTCGAAGTAAGCCGCGTGGGCGATCTCCTTCATGGTAGCATTGGGTCCAAGCTTCTCTCTGTATGGCGCTAGTCGAGCGTTGATCTGTTCGCAGGCGTTGAAGACGGCGTAACCGTTAAGATCGGATGATGCCGAGGCAGCAGTGGCAGAAGCATTTGCTACCGTGACAGTAGACGTCTCTGAGATGTGGACACTTTCCATCGGTACCTGAAGTGCTTGTGCGGCGATTGTGATCATCTTGGTATGTAACCCCTGGCCCATTTCGGTGCCGCCGTGGGCAACGAGAACCGATCCATCGTGGTAGATGTGCACTAAGGCGCCAGCCTGGTTGAGCCAAAGTGCGGTAAATGAAATGCCAAACTTTGTAGGAATTAAAGCCAACCCTCGTTTACGCCATTTGTGCTCGGCATTGAACTTATCGACGGCCTTACGGCGATTGTCGTAATCCGACTCTTCCCGAACTTGTTTATACATTAGAGGGACATGCCAATCCTGGATACGTTGATTGAAATGAGTCTCATCGCCGATCTGATAGAAATTGATCTCGCGCAACTTTTCGACGGGGATATTGAGGCGGTCGGCGACTTCAGACATGTAGGACTCGGCGAAAAACAAGCCCTGTGGTCCACCAAACCCGCGGAAGGCTGTGTTTGACATGGTATTGGTCTTACACAAACGGCCGCGAACGTGGACGTTAGGAATCTTATAGCAATTATCGCAATGAGACATCGATCGCTCGCATACGGCGGGGCTCAAGTCGAAAGACCAGCCAGCATTGTTGAAGATATCGATATCCAAAGCTTGGAACTTGCCGTCCTTATTCACGCCCACTTTCCATTTGGCGAGGAAAGGGTGCCGCTGACCAGATATTGCCATATCTTCGTCTCGATCAAGCATGCATCTGACAGGTCGCTTAGCCTTCTGCGCAGCTAATGCGCATATGGTGCTAAGATGGACGCATCTCGTTTCTTTACCACCAAAACCGCCTCCTAGACGTTTTACACGTGCCACTACTTTATTTGCTTGTACGCCTAAGATCTTAGATGCGTATGCTTGGCTAGACGGATGTTAGTAAATAGAAACGTATTGCATTGACAAAAAAACATACCTCTCGTTGGGATTCTGGCTACTGGTCCATATTTCCATCTCGCCATCCTCCGGTTTAGGTATAGCCACACAGGCATTCGTCTCAAGGTAGAAGTGTTCTTGCCCTCCCATTCGCGTGACACCCGTGAATGTGTAGTCGCAGTGTTTAAACGCCTCTTCTGGATCGCCTTTCTTGATATACCGGTAATACTTATGGAAACTCTCCTTTTCGATTGCCTCCTCCATTGTGAAGATGGCAGGAAGATCTTCGTACTCAATCTTCACTGCCCTGACTCCTTGTGACGCCTTTGCCTTACTGGTAGCCAAAACCATTGCGATCGGTTGGCCAGCAGTGAACACCTCATCATCGACGAAAAATAAATCGTCGAAATTTGGCGCACCCCATTTATTATGTTCAGGGTTATGTAAATCGTCCTTGTCAACAATGTCTATGACACCTGGTATGTCCAATGCTGCGGAGTAATCTCTCGATTTGATCTTTGCGTGTGCTCTTGTTGACAATACTAGACATCCGTGGAGTTCGTTTTTGAGTGGTGGGATATCGTCGGTGTACTGTGCCTCTCCTGTAGTTTGCTTCAAAGCTGCTACGTGATTGGCTGCTTTTCCAAGCGGGCCCTTAATATAGGCAGTCGTTGCGTCGTGGTCTTTCCAGCCAGTTGATAGTACTCTTTCGAGCTCTTCGACTGCCTGGCTATCGCCATGCTCACTTTCCGCGTTGATACCTGATAATACATCGTGGTAGAAACGGTAAAAGAAACCGAGTGCCAACGACTTTCGATATGAAGCCATGCCTCCCGGAACACTAAAGACCAGATCGAAATCGGACTCGAGAGCATTCATGGTCCCTTCCAAGGTATCTGGATGAGCGAATAGTTTGCCTTTAAGATACTCGTTGGCCTTCTTCGCTGCAACAGTGAATGGAGCCATGCCACCATAGACCAGGTTGCAGTGCTCCACAACACCTTTTCGGTCTAACGTAACGTGTAATGCCCCAGTTACAATTGCTATATCATCATCTTTGCGCTTCGCTTGTTTGTACGCTCTGAAGTAGTCACCCTTCTCGCGAGTAACAGGAATGCGAATAGACGTGAGGATTGCATCCGGTTCTAAAGCTGTCCTACGATAGCCCCTGAAAAATGTCGCCATAGGGATCTCGGTCTCTTTACTCTGTGACTTGGCGACTAGAACGCAGTCTGCTGCCATGAACACGGGATTCAAGTCGGAGATTGGAGAAGCAGTGACTAGGTTTCCGGCGGGAGTACCGACGTTTCTGATCTGACGTCCTGCGAAGTATTTAAGTTGTTTATAAATAGCTTGAAATACTTGAGCTCTTGCTTCACCATAATGCTTCATGGCATCCTGGCAAATATTCTCAAGATCTGTGAGTACAACATTTCCGCCGATCTCAAGATGGTCATCCTTGAAGGAATAGTGTCGTAACTCAGGGATGTCTCCGACAAAGACTGAGACCGGGTACTGCAAAGCTTTGAACTTGACCTCAATTTGTGTTTCTGTACTCCCGCCAATTATCTTTGCATTGGGGTACACGCTCTTGATTTCTAGCAATTGGTCCAGTGTGACAGGTCGATACCACCTCTTTCTCTTATTCCCAAACGAAAGAGGCTTGAATGTATGTTTCTTTAGAGACGGTGGGAATATGAGTTGGGTATCTGGATTATATTCGATGAAGCCTGGGGGAGTAAATTTCTTGATTGGTTGGCCATCGTTAAGATCTTTGCTCTTGCAACATCCTCCGTCTGCGCCGTTGCCATTTTCCATGCAACAGCCGGAGCCGCCATTTGCTGTACTTTTACCGCAAGCACTCTTGTTGTTGACGCTAAAGGTATGAGCAGCATCTAGGATCGAACGATAGCCAGTACATCGGCAGAGATTCCCGTCGAAAGCTTCCTCAATATCATGTTCGGTAGGGTTCTCGTTATTCCTCAACAAAGCGTACAAGCTCATAACGATTCCTGGAGTACAAAATCCACACTGGCTTCCATTTCCCTTGGCTATCCGCTCTTGAGCTGGGTGAGGTTGCTTTACATTTCCTATACCCTCGATTGTTATAACATGTTTCCCATCTACGCTGGCGAGGGGCGCTAAACAGGCGTTGACGCTCGCATGATATATTCGCTTGGTGGTAGGGTTATATTGGCTGACTACGACTGTGCAGGCACCGCATCCGCCTTCTCCGCAACCACTAGATGATAGGTCTATCAGCGAGATTCAAATTGACAGGTCATTCGCCTCCCTTGCTTACAGCTTGGTTCCAGTCAAGCCAATACCTCTCAAGTATTCAAGCAATGTCACCTCGGGGTCAATTTCATCGAGAATTACTCGAGTACCATTAAGGTAGAAGCGAATCGTGTCATCGTATACGGTGGTTAAAGCTAGTCCTCCGGTTGCTAGGGCCGGGTCTCTCTCAGGGGAGATGGCGATGGGGGCCATGGTATCAACTGTCTTGTTTGGGCTCCGGCTTCAACTATATGGCGTCGCAAAATCAGGATTCCATTTAGATGCCTCGAGAAGAAATCGTAGCACAACGGTGGCGATTGAATTCCAACAAAACGATGATAGACAACGGCTAGCAAACAATACAATCACATTGAAGAGTTTCGAGGGTGTAGGAGTTACACCTTATTAGGGTGGCAATCCACGTCCTCTCTTGACTCCGACTATTCAGTCAGTCGCCGGGATCCGATGGGTAGCTACCTCTTGGTAAGGTACAGAGCTCTGATAGCTGAGCCGCCATTTGATAGATCCAATGGATATGACATAAATGGGGCGAATGAGAAATGGAAGATATCCAATTAGGTTCTAGAAGATTGTCTGGTATGTGAAGCATATCGGGTTTTTAACTCGGGGCTAAACCAAAGCCGGCCAGCAGCGGGGTTGACTTGTGCTGCTTATATAAGCCAACCTCCTTAGCTTTACCTGGGGGGTCCCATTTCTTCGGCAGGTTCCGTCTCCCTAGACCGGGGCTTCTTTTTACTCCGGCTTAAACCTTCGGAGTTACTGGACAACGACCCTTAGTCTACAATTCTGCTACTCTTTCTACGTCACAGCACCCGAAACAGAACCCGAAATAGGTCGACGCGCTAGAGCGTGTCATTCACCTATAAGAGTCAATACACTCTTGCCTCATCACCTCTTTCCAGCTATATTTAACTGCCTAGCCTCACTTCACCTCCGCATTCCCCAATTCTCCACAGTCCAAGAATCCGGGGCCGAACTAGTTAGGTCACGCATTTGGTTGACGGTTAATGATCTCGGTTCTCGTCTCATGGGATCTTGCGAGATCTCGTCTATCGGTATATCTCATCAGTTATGACGGGTTTATTACTGAGGAAGTCTATGACAGGTCGTACTTATTACTGAAACTAAAATGATAATAGTATATGATTCTATCGTCAGTCTATATATATACCTATCATATACCTACCTACCTATAAATATATAAGAGAGCTTACCTACGGGCTATACTCACATTTCTGGTTTTTACTATATGCTCTATAAAAGACCCTGGTCTGACTAATTCCCACTTCGAAGTGCCTACCTAGGTAAACAAGACCAAGACGATCCGAGACAGACCCTGGACGTTTTCCCGGTTCCTTGCCTCATCCGGAAGAGTGTGATAGGGCTAGAAGACCGGCAATTCAACCATGAGGATTAACCCCTCACCCAGTTATATTCCTTGCCGATAGGTATTTATGGCAAAATGGGCCATGCTGATCGGAGGTAGCAGACATGTCGAGTCCACGTGGTTGAAAGTATAGATACATTTTTATCTCCTTCTGCAGTTCTCCCTCATCGTGTGTTTTATTCCTGGTAACTAAGTCGTTGTTGTTCGATACTCATACGACGTTGTGTGGCTTTCTTCGACTTGGCGGTAACTATACGTACGACCTTGTGCAGCTACTTCCCCTTATAAGTCAAGATGCCTTCTGCCGAGACGAACGGCACGAATGGGACGAATGGTCTTCCGAATTTCCAATTCTTCAATGTGATCGATGGTAAACTCCGCGACTCGAAGGATCATCACCAGGTCATCGATCCTCGTACCGAGGAGCCTCTCTGGGATGCCCCTATCGCCACGAATCAGGATCTCGACGATGCCGTCGAGGCTGCAAACCGCGCTTTCAAGACGTGGAAAAACACCACCACAGCCGAGCGCCAGAAGGCCGTTCACGATGTAGCCAACGTCATTCTCGAGAACGTCGACGTCCTGGCGGAGCCTCAGATGCGGGAAACCGGTAAATCTAGGCCCATGTCGAGATTTGATGTCGAGAGAGCTGCCTGGCACTTTGAATACTACCGTATGTCATATCAACCCTTTTACGCAGCACATTTACTAACACCATCTTAAAGGCACCGTAGCCCTAGAGGACGAACTCCAATACGAAGACGACACGGTCCGGATCGTCGCAACCCACGCGCCTATCGGCGTGCTCGGAGCCATCTCCCCCTGGAACTTCCCCCTAATCCTCTCCACCATCAAGGTCGTCTCCGCCCTCGCAACCGGGAACTGCGTGATCATCAAACCGTCCCCCTTCACGCCGTACTCGCTCCTCAAGTTCTGCGAGCTAGCCCAATCCGTCTTGCCACCGGGCGTCTTCCAAGCCGTGAACGGCGGCGCCGACCTCGGCGAGAGCATGACGCTGCACCCGGGCATCCACCACATCAGCTTCACGGGCACCACCGCCGTCGGCCAGCGCATCCTGCGCAACTGCGCCGGCACCCTCAAGAAGACCATCCTCGAGCTCGCGGGCAACAACGCGTGCATCGTCTGCGACGACGTCGACCTCGACAAGGTCGTGCCCCAGGTCGCCACCGGCGCCCTCTTCCACGCCGGCCAGGTCTGCGTCGCCTCCAAGCGCCTGTACGTGCACGAGAAGATCTTCGACAAGTTCCTCGACCGGTTAATCGAGGAGAGCAAGAAGTTCTCCGTCGACGACGAGGACAGCGTCGCGTTCGGCCCGCTCTCGAACAAGGCGAACTATGACCGCGCCGTCGGCTTCCTCGAGGACTGTAAGAAGAACGGGTATAACGTCGTTACCGGCGGCGAGGTCAAGCCGAAGGGGAAGGGGTTCTGGATCCCGCCCACGATCGTGGTTAAGCCGCCCGAGGACTCGTTGTTGGTGAGGGAGGAGCAGTTTGGTGAGTGATGTCCTTCCTCCTTTTCCTCCTTTTCCTCTTTTACCTTTATGAAAGGGAGAACTTCATGTAAGAGGACAGGTGATGTAACTAACCGATCAACTACCACTAGCCCCTATCGTCCCTGTCATGTCCTGGTCAGACGAAGACGACGTCATTGCCCGCGCGAACCTCGACAATGCCGGTCTCGGCGCCTCCGTCTACACGCCGGACCTAGACCGCGCTCAGAAGATCGCGCGCAAGCTCGAATCCGGGACGGTGTGGATCAACCAGTTTGAACGTCCTCACCACGCCGGTTACTTTGGAGGCTGGAAAATGAGCGGTTTTGGCGGAGAGCTGGGAAAACAGGGTCTTCTGCACTATTGCAACACCCAGAGTTGGCAGATCGCTAAGTAGTTGATTAACGCTGGAGGCAGGTAAGGTGTAGTAAATGCATAAGGCGATTCTAGTGTCTTGTTATTTTCGTTTGTCTTGTTTATACCGCATAGAGAAGTTCTGCATTTTTGTAACTATATCATGCTTTGATAGCACATGAAGAGTACGCATCGTTAGACATACATCAGTTCTTTACCTAGATATTTTTATCTTCAGACATTTGGAAGTCTATCTAGACCACTCAATTCACTTGAAACTCTAGATGCCCAAACCTGACGCAAGATTTTACGAGTCTTGTTACATCTATCACCCTTACTCCAACCCAAACCTAGTAGATCTTTTTATCACCATTTCCCCGTTCCTCTTTACCTACCTACCTTCTTAGGAATCTATTCTCATCTTATTCCTGGATATATTGCTTCAATCCCCTCAACCGCTCTTTCGCCGTCTCCAGAATTTCGTCTTCCTTGCAAACAGCGAATCGAATATAATCCTGGGCGAGATGCGCGTTGGGGTCGGTGTAGAACTCGGTAGGCGGGATTGCGGCCACACCCACCTCCTGGATCAGAAACCAGGCCAGCTGGAAGTCGCGGGGACGGCTGGCTACGTGCGGTGGGAAGGGATAGTCTGCCGGCAGCTTGACTTTACTCATATTGACGAGTACGAAGTACCCACCCTCTGGATCCGTGTAGTGCAGCCCCAGCTCCTTCCAGACTTCGTTGAATCGCTCCATCTTGCCTTTCATGTCCCGCACTGTTTCCTCCCAAAACCCTTCGCCTTCGGCTTGTTCGAAACCTGGGTTTTATTAGTTGATTATTTCATAAAACGGATTAGGGAGATGGTTGATACATACCGACTGCGCAGGCTTCTTGAAGCGGCGAAACCGAAGAGTAGCAGATTCGCGTGTGGGCCGCGGAGACATATTTGATTAAATGGGCAGGTCCCATAAGCCACCCTACACGCCAACCCGTAGCATAGAAATTCTTGCCAGCCGAACCGACAGTTATCGTCAACCTCTCGATCTCGGGTGAAAGAGTTGCGATTCTCGTGAATGGCACGTAGTATAGACGGTCATACACCTCATCAGACAGGATAATGATCTCATTCTTGACACAGATGTCTCCTACTCTCTGGAGCTCTTCCTTGGAGAAGACTTTACCAACAGGGTTATCTAGACATCATTAGGTACTCGTATCACTTATCAGGCTTAAAGAGACCAACTAACGAGGCGTGTTAAGAACGATCATCTTAGTCTTAGGCGTGATGGCCTTCTCGAGCTCATCGAAATCAATGGTCCACTCAGCGGACGACGAAGTCCGCGTAGCTCCGTCGCTTGGTGGATGCAGTGGAACATAGACGATCTTTCCGCCAGGCATCTCAATATTGCTAATGTACCTAGACTATCGTCAACAAACAAGGTCATACCTACTATAATGGGGGAACAATTGTCTCACTGGTCGAAGAACGGCTCGAAAATGATGACCTCGTCACCAGGTTCTATGAAAGCCATGAACGCACTAAGCATACCCTCATTGGCTCCGGTAGTAATTGTAACCTCCGTTTCAGGGTTAAGCTGGCGACCCCAGAACGGCGAGTATGCGTCGGCGATAGCCTTCTTTAGCCGCGGCCTACCCTTCGTCGGACTGTACTGATTGCAGTCCACTCGGTCCAAAGCCGACTTAGCAGCGTTGATGATGAACGGAGGCGGATTGTATCCGAAGAATCCTTGACCCATGTTCACGATAGGCTGTTTAGGTGAAGCCGCCGCGGCTTCGTTGACGATGGACCAGACATCTTGTCTTTGGCCAGCAACCCTCGCCGCGGGCTTGAGCTTGGCTGGGAGTTCCGCCGCCATAATTTTGGATGAATGAAACCCTCTATGTCCAATCTCAAGTGCGAGTCCTCGGTGAGCGCTCCTAAGATATTCAGAAGATATCTGTGTGCCGAATCGTCCGGAGCAAGACCTCAGACCGGAGAAGCAATGCATGGGGCGTAGGCCTATTATATACCTTTATCTATTCGACCCAATGATATCTCACTGACTCCAGTTTCCGATCACACAAGCCTACTACCCCGGAAACGAAAGACAATTTGTAATCAATCGTCCCGATAGTTCACACCTTTCTTATTAGGATTTATGAAATGGCTACCCACGTAACTCTTTGTTAAAGCGATAAAAATGACTATAACCTTGTTCCGTAATCGGCGTTTCGCTATTGGAAACTGCGATGCTCCCAAATTCGCTCGGGTGCCCTCTATCTAAATCCTAGTCACGTCATTTCCAGCGCGGAGCACCTAAGCGGCTAAAGCCCGCTAGAATATCCGGACAGTGCCCCACTGAACAAGCTCCCTAAACCGTCACTGAACTACCCTGAGGTCCCTGCAAACAGCGCTAGGGGTAGGGATGACATCGACCCGATCCACCGGATATTTCCCTTCCAGTCCATATCGCAGCTCGATTACCTATCCATTCTCCACGATGGTCAACCTCACCACCACCATCCAACCCTCAAAATGACCAGCACCCAACCCACCGCAAACCCAACCCTCAAGCCCCCTCCCATAAGCATCCCGCAACCGCCCCCACTCCTCCTAACCATCCGCTTCAGCGCCGCGATCCCGGACCTCGAACTCGACATCCCGCGCCCCTCCACCACGACCGTCATCTCCCTAAAGCACACCATCCGCCAGCGCCTCTCCGAGCCCAACTCCCAGCGACGCCTGCGCTTCATCCACGGCGGCAAGATCCTCCCCGACACCGCGGCGCTAAGCTCCGTCCTACGCGCGCCCTTACCACCCCCTCCCCCATCTCCGTCCCCGGGTTTCGGCTACGCTTCCAGCGGCGGCGGCGGCGATGCCAAAGGCAAAGGCGCAGATAGCAGCAGCGGTGGCGGTGGTGGTAACGGCAGCAGCGCCGACGGCCGCGGAAAAGGCAAATCGGTGCCCGGCCGCCCCGACCCTTCGCAGCGGATCTACGTAAACTGCAGCATAGGCGACAGCCTCACAACCGCCGAGCTCCTCGCCGAAGCCGCGCAAGCCTCGGCCCCAGCGCCACCTCCATCATCGCCCTTATACCCTTCCTCGCCTTCCGGCACACCCCTCCCTCCGGGTTCCAACGCCAACGGTCTCGGCACGCCGCTACCCAGCACGACGGCGGCGCCGCGGGGCTTCGACCGCCTGCTCAACGCGGGTTTCAGCGCGGCCGAGGTGAACCAGCTGCGTCTGCAGTTCCGCAGCATCCAGGCCTCGCGGTACACGCCGGACACCTTGCCGTCGCCCGACGGCTTCCGGCGGATGGAGGACGCGTGGATCGACGACAACGGGGCCTCCGTGCCCACGACGTCTCTATCGAACCCCGGTGCCGGTGCTGGGGGCACCGATAGCGACGACGTGGGCTTGGTCGCGCTAGTCGATGTGATGATCCGTGGCGTGATTACGGGGTTCATGTGGCCCTTGGGCAGCGCGGGCTGGCTTGTGCGGGAAGAAGGGATGGCGAGTGGGCGGTGGCGGTTTATGGTGGGTGTTGGGGTGGTGTTTAGTGTTTTGATTGGGATAATTCGGAATATATCGGGCGAGAAGTAAGAAGTAAGGAAGAACTACGCGCCTGAATAGATAGCGGAGGGGTGGATAGAAGTGTAAGGATTTAGAATGTGGGGGGAAAGGAGCCTGTACATATACATATGCATTGGGAGGCGTCAAGTTGGAATCATCGCATTATCGCGGAACGGCGTTTAAGTTTTAAGCAATTAGGAGTAAATATCACATACACATTCATCACCATAGCAGAGGAGCATAGGACAGGCAAGCGGGTTGGACATCGCCAACAACGACGATGCCCAAGTTCTCTATCTAAGCATATTACCAGAAATTCGAAAGACCTAAAGAGAATGTTGCTCCTCAAAAGAGAAACAACACTACCCGTCAGGCCCGGTTTCTGTCATCGATCCCGAAACAGAGTGGTATCCCATCCTTGAACTCCGTGACGAAATGCGGGCCCATTAAGCCTCCTTCGCATAGTTCCCGTTCTCGAAGTCGAATGAACGGGTGGTAAACCACCACGTCATTGACAGTCGCGGGTAATTGCGTAGCCGGTCATCCTCATCCATCCACTTACCTAGGTAATTTCTCTAGCTGTAAGATGCTAAGAACGCGAAGGTGGTTGGAAATAGTGCCGTCAAATGTAGTAAAGCAAAATCACAAATAAAGCGATTGGGCTGCCACGATATCACGACGGATCTTGGCTAAGCTTTCCTCGAACTTCGTCGTCAGTTCTTCGCTACCCATAACTTTTCCTGCTTGCGCCATTTGCCGAAGTAGTTCCTCGAGTCGGCGGAATAAACGAATCAAGGAACCCTCGTACGCATCGGTCATTTTGCTATAGTTATCGTCAGCCTATAGAGTGGTTAAGAGTATTAAATTACACTTACCAGACTTCCGCAAACGATTTTCCGTTCGCCCACGCATACACCGTCTCCATGAGTTGCCATTTCAAGCTTTGCGCGTATTCCTCCTCGTTAACATCCAGTTTACTCTCCTGGCTGACCTTGGCGATGATTCGGGCTTGAGCCTGCACCTGCGCATACGGCTTGCTAAGCTCGTCGGGTAAGGCTTGCGCTTCGACTTTCTCTTCGAAGATGAAGACGCTAAGAACGGCGGCGCATATTTCCGGAGTTAGTTCGTTGAAAAATCGGTTGAATAGTAACTCAGACAATAATAATTCGTGGCCTTCCGTTGAGGAGATTTCGCAAGCTACACGGGCCTTCATCTGAACAACCTCAGATTCGTTGATGAAGCCCAGACGGCGGAGAACTCGTTTCCTCGACTTGAGTTCATCTAGCTGCGCGATAGAATGGGCCTTGGCGATCTTCTTCTTCAAAGCCTTGATCTCTTCGGCCCGAGCAATCTTCGCCGAATACTGCTCCCAGAGTCCCGGCAACATAGGCGAACCGTGGAGTGGGTTAGCCAACAGTCGTGACTCGAGAACCTCGATCTTGCGGAGTAGCTTCTTGAACGAGTCGTCTGTGATGTTCATGTTCTCAATAGGATCCAGAACAGGTAAGCCGTCGGGGAAACGACGCTCAACCTCCTTAAGTGACTTGAGCAGCTGCTTACGAACAGACTCGACGTCCTCCCGAGTCTTCACCTCCTTTGGCATAAACACCCGGATCTGACTAAGAGCCTTTATGCATGTGAGCATACAAGGGATGGCCTCGAAGATGGAGTCCTTGTTAGGATCGCTGGCCCGAGCCCCTTCTGGCATAGCTGTCGAGGGGTTCGGAGGCCCAAATGGATCACAAGTCGGGTCGAGGCGGAGGAAGACATCCAAGAAAACCGACTCTTGTGGCGGATACTCCTTTTCACCAAACTTCGGTTCTTTACGCTTCGTCATGTTCACGATGACGCCCCAACCAAAGTCCTTGCCAGTCTTGGGGTGAGCGATTTGCACGAGCCTTCCAGGTTGGAGGTAGTCGATGCAATAATTCGGATGTTGAATGACTGCTAGCATATCTTTCGTATACTGGGAGATTTGCTGACGTAAACCGTAATAATCCTTGATCGTAGCCTCATCAGGAATGACCATTTCATCTCGTGCTTTCTGCAACTTCATCAACTCGTGCTCTAGGCCAGCAACGCTAGCGGTGTTCTGGAACTGGAAGAAGCAGTTCTCTAACATGAATTCGGGGTTAATAGCATCGATTCGAAGTAGATTTAGAACCATGTTGTAGCCTAGATAGAAAGCAGAGTTGAGGCGATCCTGTTGGCCGACAACGATATTCTTGGCAGTTTCCGGCTCCATCTTGTCGTCAATCATCATGATAACTATACCACGTTCATCGAGACCTCTACGACCCGCACGTCCAGACATCTGGATGTACTCGGACGGAGTCAACGGTCTGACGGACTTGCCGTCGAACTTGGTGACTTTCGTAAAGACAACAGTTTTTGCCGGCATGTTCAAACCGATAGAGAATGTCTCAGTAGCAAACAGAACTTTGATGAGACCTTCCTGGAACAGGATCTCAATCGTTTCCTTGAGAATTGGTAGAAGACCCGAATGATGGACGCCAATACCCTTCTCCAAAAGCGGAAGAATGTTTTGGATCTGGGGAAGTTCACGATCCTCCTCCGATAGAGATTCAATGGCGCTGACGAATACTTTTCGCACCATAGCCTTCTCGCTCTCGTCGTTGAATGCAAACTTCGACGTTGTCAAGGCCATCATCTCGCACTCTCGTTTGCTGAAGTTGAAAACGATGACTGGGTTGAAGTTTTTGTTCATAATCATCTTCACAATCTTCTGAATGTCGGCCGAGGCGGCATCGTTGTTGCCTCCCTTGAATGGCTTCTTGTGCTTTCCTTTGCCCCTTGACTTGGACTCCTCGTTAGCTTCGGCTGCCGCTTTGCGGTCTTCAACCAGCTGCATAGTCTTGTTAAAGTTGTGCTCTCGGAAGACACCCTTCTCGTCCACAACTAAGAATATGCCGGTGCCACCAGATGGGAAGAAGTAGTTTTGTAGAGGGGTAGGCCTAAAATCGGTGTAAACGACATGGCAAGCCTGTCGATGGATTTTCGCTATCCATTCGGCAAATTGGAAGGCGTTAGGGATAGTGGCAGACAAAAACACGTATCGGACCTTGTCTGGCAGTAGGATAATTGTCTCTTCCCATACCACACCACGCGACTTGTCTCGCATGTAGTGGATCTCGTCGAAAACCACCCAGGCCACCTCTCGCATAATCTCAGATCCTCGATATAACATAGATCGCAGAATTTCGGTCGTCATGACGAGACAACTAGCAGTAGGATTTATGGTGACATCACCGGTCATTAGGCCGACATCACCGAACGCCTCGTTGAATTCTCGGTACTTTTGGTTGCTCAATGCCTTGATAGGACTGGTGTAGATGACTCGTTGGTTCTTCTTGAGACAGTGTGCGATGGCATACTCGGCCACGACAGTCTTTCCGGCACTAGTATGCGCGGACACCAGAACACTTTCGTCTCGTTCAATTGAGGAGATGGAGAGGCGCTGGAAGGGATCGAGCGTGAATGGCCAGGTTCGCGCAGGGTTCTCGGGTGGTTTGTGTTCGGATAGTGGAACATATTCATAATCGAGATCTGGTGGAAGTGCGACTTGATGCTGGATATTGTGCGACAGGACTAGCGACGCTTCGTCTTTCGTCGGGGCGAAACCAGCTACTGCGCCAACTTCTCTGGATTCCGCCGTCTCGAAAGTATCTGTCAATACCGGTTCCGCCGCGCCATCTTTCCTTCTGCGCTTGCTGTCTCCGTGACTGTCGGACACGGCCTCTTCAGCGCCGTCTTCCTCGGGCGACGTAGGCTGTACGTCTGCCATGTCGACTTCCGGTGCAGAAGGGGCGGACGCGACAGTAGTAGATCCATTTTTCATTCCACCATCAGCCTTTCTCTTCTTGCCCTTCTTCTTCGATCTGTTTGGCCTCGATATTAATTGAGGCTCGGACTGGACCTTGCTGGCAGGCTCGTCCTCGAAGACGTCGAAAAGATCATCCATTGTCGGCGACAGACGAGTCTATTCTACCGACCTTGAATAATTACGAAATTAGTAAAACGAGTAACGTAATTGTTCGTGTATCCCCCTCCGCGTCCACGTGTTGTTTTTGAAAGAATTTCAGACCAATGTGAGTTGGTGTGAAAGTTTAGTAATAAACCGGAATCCGCGCAGAGCTGAAGGAGCACTGATGCAAAGAGATCGTGAACTTTCCTGGAGATCGAAGAAAAATAAAACTGGGTCACGGCAGAAAAATAGAAGAAGTGGGACGACAGAAAAATCGCGGCAGGCGGTAAGTAATGCTACTAAGTACCTATGTACCTTCGTCATTTACAGCTTCCTTGGCCTATCATGTCAAAGTCCATTATCAACCCGAAGTTTATCCTTGGACCGAGCCCCCAGCTATGAATCGTTCGATCACTTAATCCAACTTTCAAGCAGCGAAAGCTTGAAGCTCATACAATCAGAAGCCCTCTCCACTCTTCAACGTCGAAATAATCACTATTGCAAAGGTACGCACGAATCGGAAGTCGGAGAAGGGTTCATGGAAAACTAATTGGCACTACCAGATGCTCGCTCAACCCGCCGCCCGCGCCAGCCCGCGCATCACCTCCCTCATCAGCCGCCGGGCATTCCACGCAACTCCAGCTCGTCTATCTTCTCCTTACCACTACCCCGAGGGCCCCTACACGAACTTGCCCTTCAACCCCAAGACGCGCTTCTTCGCCGTCCGATACTGGGGCTACATGGCCACCGGCTTCTTCGCCCCGTTCGGCATCTGCGGTGCGTCATTTCCTCGGCTTTCCTTTCGCCCGATCCTGTTTACCATATACTAACATACGTGATTGTAGTCTGGCAAACCAAGAAGCCCAAGGCTTAGAGTTATTGCGAGTGGTCTTTGGAAAGAGTATGGGAGGCAGGTCTGAAAATAGTATTTTTGACTGGGCGGGGACTGCATGAAGCACGATGCTGGTTGTACATATATACGACAATAGACATTGACGCCACCACCGAAAACAAGTTCATTTGTCCCCGGTATTTAGGGAAACGGCAAGATGTGATTACCGTGTAGCTCTTTCTCGAGGAAGGGTACATGAAACCAGCAGTTCGTTATGAAAATGACAGCAAACATAATTCGACCCCAACTTAGACCAATTCAGAAGGTATTGTTGCCACACATCAGATACATCGAATGAGCTTATTGACTTGTCTTACATTGGTACAATACCACATTGGAGCTCTCTATTGAAACCTCTACGATTTATCAAGTTGGAACAGGTGCTTGCCGCATGTAGTTCGTGTCTCATAACTGTTGAATGACGGATGCTATCTCATTGGATACATATTTACAGGCAAGTCTATTTTTATGTTATATGTACAGATCGTGGCTATCATTTGTCCACGGATATTGCCCCCGGCCGTTAGCTTACATCTATGATCCATTCCCATTTCCTGTATCATACCGTGTAGCCCTCGGAGCGTACGACGAACCTAGGTTCTTCCATGATTTTCATCAGGAAATTCATCATGAACTCCGAGTTCATCAGGTCCAGGTTCCATCTCTGTCGTAGATTTTCATATATGTCTAAGAGTTCATCTCGAGACGAGCATTTAGCAAATGCTCTCAGTATGGCCATTGCCATCCATGTGTTAATGTATAGTCCCTCAGTTCCGGCGTCGAGGGCGACTAAGAAGGCATTATATACACTGACCAGCCTCTCTTCTGACCAGTCTGACCCACTCTGCCCATGTTTTCCGAATGCCTTGAAAAGCGCGAGAAATATTGCACCGTGGAGCGGAACATCGCATAGTTTCATCTCGTCGAGGAACTGCGCAACCTTAGGGAGATCACCCAGTTTTACCCCGTAATGGTTGATGAGGAGGCGGTACGTCTGTAGATCCGGAGATATCAGCGCGGTCTGCTGGAAACTGGGTCGCATATCAGGGTGTTTCGTTCCAATTCTTGCAAACATGATGAGCACCTTCGTGATGACCTTCTGCATTCTGTAGTTCCGGTCCGGTAACACCTCAGTCCCTCTGGCCGACTCTCTCATCTTCTCATACACCCTCTCAGCAGATGATTCCTCTCCACATCTTAGGAAACCAGCGATGACGCAATTCAGAACGATTGAGTCGATAACTTCGCCAGACTCTACCATGGCTTTATAAGCAGCCCTTACGCCGCTAGAATCTAGTCTAAGGCCAAAGAAAGCGATGAGACTAACGTGGTGATATCGATTGAATTGGAAACCTCGGGTACCCATTTCCTGGTAGATCATCTCGGCGAGACTGAATTTACCGGCCTTCGATGCCACGTCGAACAGAATATTGAACGTGGCATCAGATGCCTGGACGCCGGCTTCATGTTCCATTTCACGCCAAAGATGAAGAGCCGCTTCAACTTCTACCTCCGTTGACCTTCCGACGTATCGACTCGCAAATGATATAGCGGTATTCCATTCAGCAGTCGTCAAGGGGAAACCACTATTCTTTACATCTGTTACCACGGTAAAATATCGTAACATAGACTTGGAATTCCTCTTCTCGGCCATGCCTAGGACTGCGAGTAATTGATGTCTCAACCTAGACGTGACTTGCGGCATACGGGGCTCCATGAGTGACAAGTATAGATCGTACACAGTGTCTAAGTCTATCGACGCAGGGCGCCTCAGCTTAAGAAGTACCGCTTCTTGTAGTTTTCGAATTCTCTTGGCTTGCTCGGGATCCATATTTTGGTTGGGCCGAACAGACTGGAGATCAACATCTTCGTCTCTATCGGAGACAGTAAGATTTGGGCCATCGGCAGGTGCATATCTTCGCATGTAAGGGTCCTTTAAGAATTCAAGATGCTCCTCTACAGTGGTATCGTCGTACGACCCAACAATATCAAGAAGCTCATGTTTCGGCCTGGTTTCTTGTAATGGCGGAGAGCCATTGGTACTGTGCGCAGACCCGTGATTCCATTTACGACCCAGTGGGAAATTCGTGTTGAAAAAGCTGGAACCCCAAGGTCGACCCCGCGATGTTGCTATCGTTGAGCTGAAAGGCCTCTTGGAGGTTGAAGCACAGGAGACATGCTGCCTCTTTCTATTCCAGCTTGTACAGCAGTGCCTGGTGACAGCGAGAAAGCTAGTACATACAACTTCCTTGTAATCATCACGTATTCTTGTGCGATGTAACGAAGGTGTCAAACTGAAGCTTGGTGAGGGCCTATAGAAGCGTATCGCGCCGTAAATCGACCCGTCAATTTGAGTGAAGATTCTCATGAGATGTCCCGCATGTTGGTCCGGTCATGACACCTTCTGTAAGGGGCTGGTGGTGTGAGTATAAGGGGGGAAATAGGGAAGTAGGGATTTCAGAATCGCCTCCACAGTTCGAAGTTTTCGTGACGATTATCGGTACTAGGTGCGATATGCCCGCCAACTTATCGAAAAATTAAATGCGATTGATTAAAAATCTTACAGGGGCCCCCAGTGCAAGTGACGACAAGATACCTATTTGGATAGTAATCAAGTATCTTTAAGTACCATCCTCTACTTTCTGCTAGCTTTAATTGGTCATTCAAGCTAGCAGTACAAAACGGATAAGCTAAGATACTTAGTCGCTTGTACCGAGGGGATAGCAGTGCCGGAAAATCGATTGTCCCAATTCTTTGGGTCCCACCTAAGCGCTCAACTGCGCAGCTTTCACTTTGATTTTCTCAAGACAAAATCGCAGAATATCGAACCTAGCCCCACGCGAATTCACAGCACAGCGCCAATTGCCCAAGCATCGCCATATTCCGTACAGACCAAGGGTACATAGCCCCCGGAAATGCGCCATGGGTGGTCAGAGGCAGATTAGGCCCGGAAAGGTCTACCAGACCATGACCACTCTGTTAAACCACCGAGTCTTCCCCACGGTCAAAGTCCAACAACCAGTATGGTACAAGGTCGTCGAGTCGATACCCCCTTCCGAAATCCTTGTAAGACCACTCCCGCCTCAGCATCAGAACCCAAATCCGAGAGCGCGAAAACCGAGCAGAATGTTCCAACCGCAGCAAATAACATATGAGGAAGACGAACTACGGAAGACATTTTATCGAGACCACCCTTGGGAGCTAGCAAGGCCAAGGATGATCATTGAAATGGACGGGAAAGATTCGCGGAGATATGACTGGTCTAAGGGTTTAATACAACCTGGCATGCCGTTATGCGGAGAATGGTAATCATCCATAACAGTGTATGGGGAGTCTACCAGGATATGAGTTAACAAACCTACAGTGTCGTTCAACGCCAAATGTGGATGATGCATACTATCCCAGGCATAACAAAAGAGCAAGCATACGACAAAGCAAGACATGAATTTTATGCGCTACGGCAGGAAGAGGATGTCGAGCGAAGGATAGCTAAAGAAGAGGCCCAAATGGTAGGCGCATATTTCGGCAAGTCATTCCTGAAAGTTGGCGTGGACCTCGAGGACGAGCAGTTCGAGAAATGGAAGAAGTGGGCCACAAAGCAAATCGAATCGGTGCAAGCAGAGCGAGACGCAGCATACACTTCATTTGGCGTCGAGGAAGAAGCCGACAATGTCGACTTAGACGAAGAATTGGCCGTGGAAGACACTGCGGACAAACCTCCAGCAGCGCCAGCAGCGCGGTAGGGTCGGTAGCATCGATGGATATCGCATCTATTCAATGTAGCACCAACTGTATAAATTTCCCACACGTACCACCAAGCCCAATCCGGTCGACTTCGTGACTCTCGTAGAGTCGGGATATAAGATAAAAACACAATGCGCGCTTGTTCCTCGATGAACGATGCTCCTTAAATTCACAATGGGTATCTTCTCGAACTACGACCCTTCCAATGCGGATCCTCCTCCCAACTGTTCTATTCGTTGTAGATATGTTTGTCGCTACAGCAACTGCGTCAGTAATTGCCTACATAGCTTATTCTTTGGCAACTTACTATGGCTCTTAGTTTCTCTCTATCCTTCTCTTTCGACGCTCTGTCGACGAGCGCCGATAGGAGGACGCATGATTCTTGGTAGTATTTTCGGGCGAAGGTATAAGAATGAGTATTATCAAGTTGAACTGCGGTATTCGCCTTTGCCAGCGCCGTGGCTAGCATTGCCTTCGATGAAGGCATCTTGGGTAGCTCTGATCTGAGTCAAAAGAATGTTGTTGATGTTTAAAAACGAAACTGAAACTCGTCCGGTGTCACTGATATATGAGGAGGAGATGCGATGATCTGATGCGATCTGATACAAGGGGGTGCGGGTACCCGCATATTCGCTTAAGCAGCTGCCAAATGCGTTTATGCGGCCCGCCATTCGTCCAAGTCAGACGGTTGCTATAACTTCATACCAATTATAAACTCAGGTACTCACTTAAGTTCTGACTTTGAATGAAAATGTCTGTTTGATTAGAAATAAATTCTCATTAATCTGTGATTTTCATAACCGATTTAGAAACTAGGTTCTCACTGCCAGATATAGAGCGAGAACAATGGCCAGTGACGGTCATAAAAGGACTTTCCTCTCCCTGCTCGAATCTTGTGACAAGTTAGTAACCTTCAATAAAATTCGTACCATACCTAACAAAACCTCAGTTTTCCCTACGACATCATACCCTCAGAAGTATACTACCAGCTCTTCCTCCCCAACGATGACCAACCGCACGGTTATCTGCTCCCGGAAACCGTCCAGAAAATGCCCTGGACAGCTCACTTCCAAGTGACCCACATCCAGCCCCGGAGCGTCACCGTCCTGGACTCATCCAAGGGCGCCGACACGCCCGGCGCCGTGAACGCCGCCTTCGCGGAGCTCATCAACACGTGCATCGAGCAGAATACGTTCCACGTCATAGCCCGCACGCACAGCGAGCCCTTCGCCATCCTCAGCGCCCGGTACCCCGTGCGCATGGAGCGCTTCGCGTCCGCGCTGTTCGGGATCACGAGCCAGGGGGCGTATATCACGGCGTACACGCGCGATGCGGCGGACGGCCAGATGCGGCTTTGGATCCCGCGGCGGGCGAAGCATCTGTACACGAGCCCCGGGTTGCTGGACTCGACGGTGGCGGGCGGGATCCGCGACGGCGAGACGCCGCTGGATACGCTGATTCACGAGGCGGATGAGGAGGCCTCGCTGCCGGAGGAGCTGGTGCGCGAGCGTGTGCGCAGCGTGGGCGTGCTGACGTATGTCTGCGCGACGGCGGATGATTTCCCGGGGGAGAAGGGCCTGGTCATCCCGGATATCATATACGTGCACGACCTCGAGCTGCCGGGCGACGTCGTCCCGAAGCCGAATGACGACGAGGTCGAGGTGTTCTACTCGATGAGCGTAGAGGAAGTGCGGGAGCGGCTTTTGAATGGAGAGTTCAAGCCCGACTCGGCGGCGGTGCTGATCGATTTCTTTATTAGGCATGGGATCATAACAGCGGCGAATGAGAGGGATTATATCGAGCTGAATACGAGACTGCATCGGAGGTTGCCTTTTAGGACGCCTTTGCAGAAGTTGATGTAGGATAAACCATATATTAAGAAGATATGGAGGATGAGATTAGACGGGTGGGTGGCATTATCGGCATAAAGGGACTTCGATCTTAGACAAGGTAGAGATTAGAGTTAGCGTTGAAGAGCCATACGATTCGAAGATAGTTGGCCTTTTTATGGCTGCTAATACTTGAACTCTTATGATTAACTGACATCTGAGTCCGTATATTCTTATGAATATAGTCCTTAGTGAGTGCTAAGTTAAAATGTAGACGGTTCCTAGAGGTATGTGAACTAACCGTGATATTACGCTAGAGGTGAGGAGAGCTACAAAATGGCGCAGATCTCCTAGTTATAGGACAATGAGGTGGTGGCATTTGAGATATGAGCAGTAGGGATTTTAGATGATGCTTAAATATCCCTTAGGCCTTATGAGTTCTACGGTAATGCGATTCGATCTACTACTAGCAGCTAATAGAGGTAATATTTGGAACTAGACAACTACAGCACGATTCCAATATTGATTGCATAAAGGTAGAGGTTGAAAGTAACATGAGGCTAGCTATAAACTGTGGAATATGTACGATATATCACGGAACATGAGAGGCAACCTACTATGATATATAATTCTCACACAGCCCTCTTACGGTAAGATATTTTCATGTACTTCTTGTTATTCATTGCAACTATGAATCAAGCTTTTGGCCATTGGAATCATGCCTTCTTTCGTGAGGTCACTGGGCTCATCATCATGGAAGGCAAAAAGCTCCTTTCTCGTTCCCTCATATGAGCTCATGCTATCATCTACGCTGAGGTGTGTCTTCTCAGCCTGAGATGAAGCAAAATGCAACGTGATGCAACGTAGCCCCTGTTTCGATCATCATGGACACTTTAACCCATAAGTCTCACCATGAGCATGAAGAACCTTAAACCATGTAGCCGTGACCGAAGAATTTTCCCACAAATAATCCGCGCTAATTGCCAGTTTACCTACGTCACGAGATAGTTAGCAATAGTCAATGCGCGTTGGTAACTTGTTCCTTACCTTACGAGGCCCGGTTACCACGCTTTGGAGCACGGTTGTGGAGGCCCGGCATTACAACAAAGTTGCGGTTATAATATTCGTTGGGGCTAAGACGGCGGAGAATACCCTCGTACTGAACGATGAACACGTCGGCCAAAGTGAAATGCTTAATTAACTTGCCGGACATGCTCAGCGACTTGACACGAGCCCAACTCTCGACGAAGATGGTCTTCACGAAATCGTCGGGGACGACGAAGGTCATCTTGAGCCAGTGGGCGGCTAGGAGGAACATGAATCCAGCGCCGGGGCCGTCAGTAGCGACCACGCCGGGATACCGGGATCCTGTCGCCGTGTGGCGGCCGGGGGCGGTAGTCATGATCTTGAAGATCTCGACAAGGGAGACGAGCGCGGTGAACGGGGTTGTCAGCCAGCTCTGGTGAACGGCACGAGGTCGATGGAAGAATTCGATGTCGAAGGTGCCAATCTTGTGTCGCTGTCCAAACTTGCGTACGAGGGAATGCTCAAATTCCATGACCTTGTCGTAGCTCATTTGGTCACCATAGCCGATGGCCCATCGTCGGTGAGAGAGCTCGTCTGGTCGGATACTACGTTCAACCATACGAATCATCTCTCCCGTGTGGCCACCCGATCCACAGACAATCAAGGAGTAATGCGGACATGATGCGTCCATTGTTGAAGGCCAGGCTCCATAGGTGGCGGCATGAGAATGACGCGTGGATATCACCAGCCAGTGGCGGGTCTACGGAAGCATTAGTATAACTAATTGCTACGTTAGAAGAGTTACTTACGAGAATGAAGGCGATGATCACAGCGAAAGGCCCGAGCCACGAAATCCAGAAAGCCGCGATGAGCATGGCAATTAAGCCATGGACCGGGCCAGGGGAGAGGAAGAGCACAACTAGGTCCCAGACGGCGAGAAGGAAGTCCAGGACAACCTTCTGGCTCAGAGGAGGCGGATCAGTCTTGTCACGAGCGCTCTCCATTTCGGCGAGGCAAAGTCGATGCTCTTCGTTTAATGAAGTACCGGAAATGGGTTGGGTAACAGGATCATCAACGATGGGCGAATATGGCTCTTCTTCTGTTGGAGTTAGTGGAAGAGGTAGGTCAATGTCATCTTGTGTGAGACAAATAGAACTCAGATCAATAAACTTTTTATCCCGTTCATTTTGAGGGTTTCCCTGCCCCTCGCGGCTGGGCTGCGGCTGGGTATCCATGTGGTTTTGCGGCTGAAATTATTGGACGATGACAAAGCCGTTGAGATCGATTTTGACCCTTCCTGGGCGTAGCTGGGACTTAAGCCGGGAAAGATCTCAGTTGTAGTTCCAGACAACCTTATACGTCAATACACAGGTAAACCGTTAATACGGGTTTGTATTGTTGTCAACTCCAGTGAAAACGGCAAACATCCTTTTGATTCTGATGTTGAGTACCCTTTGATGAGATACGGTGAACTGGTTCATAGACACGAAGTATACAAGCGGCCAACATAAGCTTGAAGTCTTTATAGATCTCACAGGCACTGACGTAGCTTGTTAGCAGATTGATCTGGTCCTTGTTCACAAAAGCATCCAGTAGATAAGTAAACGACGACATAGGAAATAGGGGTGAATACAAGTCTACATAATATCCTATGAATATGTTAAGACGCCAGGCTTATAAGCATATGTGGCAAGTCTTCTATGAGTGCCAATGACTAACACGGCAAAGTGGAATTGCCATATATTACATCCAAGCACTTGATAGGTCCTTTGGGAAGTAGGTAGAATCTTGATGGAATGAGAAGCCATGTTAAGATCTCCATATCAATAAGCAGAGAAACGTAGTGAAGCCAGGTCAAGTTATAGTCTTTGTTCTTGAGAACCAGAGCACGGTAGTGCACGTGGCAGCCCAGGGGTCTCGGCCCGACGATAATCTCGTCTCCCCCGGATTGTGTGACGAATAATCTCCAAGTCACTGAACATGGAGTGATTCCTAAGAAATATTCGACTAACCTTAGATCCTTTTATGTTTTCTTTTTCTAGTTGTTTCGAACACTGACCTTCGCCGTCAGAGGCTGCTAGTGAGGCCTCGAGGTTGTTGCGCGAATGTGAACACCTTGTTCTCAATTCTCGTCGATGATGTTTGCGGGATGTTTAAACCACTGGAATCAACGGTACCTTACATTAGTACAGTAGATGTGGATCGCCCCAGGGTTCGGGTCGATCTAATTTTGGTAACCCTAGGTAGCGTCCTAGCGTCCCAGCGCCCGGCTTAGCGTCATTGCTATCGTAAAAACCGTTATTTTACCGTTGTAACGCGTTTCCAACGTTATCATTATTATGGGTAACACCTTATCGCGTTCACACCTGGGGTCGGGTACATTAATAAACGCGCTTGGGCACGGAACTTCTCCATAGTAAACTAGAAAAGTTCAAGCATCATCTCTCTTCGTTCCCTTCTTTTTTTCCTAGTTCTTGAAGCTTGCATTAAAGCTTGTAATACTTGCATTCTGAACAACCCAACATCACTCTCTATGCTACGAGTTTCTTGTTGTCGCTGATTGTGGATTCGCCTTTTAACAATGGCGACCTTGCGGTCGAGGAAGTACTTGAGTTGCTTCTATTGCGGGAGAAGATCCAAGCTGCGATTTGAAGGCCAAAAGTCATTCGACTGTACTAACTGCGATGCGACAAATTGGCTAGACGAGGTAAGCATACCTGCCATCCATGAGTGCCCCATCAGTATGATTCTAATCAGGTTGTAGCATGGTGAGATCACTGATCCACCTTCCTCACCGTCAGTTATCGAGCGCAGTCGAGTCCAGTACGCCATCCCTCGCTCGTCAGTGCCTCCACGATCACTATCGCCAGATGTGCCGGGCTCCGAAGAATCGATATTCTGCGACACATGCTTAAGGAACCAACATATGCTCACAAGTTCGTTGGCGCAATTCGAGTGGCCGGAAGATCAAAGAAGTGCCGAGTATGCTGCGCGTGAGAAAAGATATTATGCCCTTCGAAGAGACCTCGAGAAGCGATACCCCCAGATGTGCGCTGATTGTGAGCCCAAGGTGGAAAAGAAGCTACATGAGGCAAGCTACACAGCGCAGACCGATCATCTGCGCCGAATGATGGATCGCACACGACTACACCGACAAGAAGTAAAGCAGCGAGGATTTTTGGACGTCGTGGATACCTTGGGCAAGTGGAGCTGGCATCTCGGTTTCGCACTTCAGCTCTTATGGCACATTGCTATGGTCTGGTCCCTCATCATCTCGGACCCGTATGTCCTAAGTGTAGCAGACTCACGAATTGTTACAGCCCTGAAGGGGGTACACCAGCTCAGCTATGGTCGACTACCCCAAGCAGACCAATTCATGAAATGGGCAATTACTCTAGGCATGTGCTCTTTGCCATGGAATCCGCGCTTCAAGCAGACGATCAGGGGGTTCACGGCACACTACCTCGGCTTTAAGCATTGGTATACATATCAATTGCTTATACTACTCGTACGATATGCTGGTCTCTCCATGGCACAGTACTGCTCCTCAAAGGCGTCGCAAACCTCGGCACAACTGGGCGCACAACTCGTTATTGCCTTATCAATGACTTACGTGAGCACCCATACATAGAACATATGAAAAGAATCATATTAACATAGCGTTCTAGGTATATCATGCATCAAGGAAATCTATCCACACAGATACAACACCTCTATTTCGGCGACGCTCCAAGGTGAATAGCCCGCAAAGGCCAACGGCAAGACCAGAGCCAGAACCGCGCAGGGACCACAACGATCTTGGGAGCATCCTGGACGAGATAGCCCAATCTCCTCCAAGGTCTCACATTGGTCCTACACAGCGCTTTGCTCAGAGTTCGAATAACTATCGAACCACTACGAACAGCGGAACATTTGGCGGCGTACACGACAGATCGCATAGGGACCAGTCCTCTGAACCTACCTTTGGCTCTCTGCATCTGTCCGACCCGATCGTAGTTGATAAGCCCGAGCCTCAGGTTGTCCAGTACGAAGAAGAGATGGATTGGACACCGTCTGCTTCGCAACATCGAGCATTCAGCGAATACAATCCGTATAGGGTCAAGAACACCAACCCACGTTTCAATGACGCACCAATTGAACCCAAATCTGGACCAATCTGGTATAAGGTCCCCCCGGCGCCAACCAACCCGGCTCAAAGGATACGCAACCCTCCTATGCGCCCAATTATCAGAGAAAGTCCGAAAGAGAAGAAGGAAAACTTCTTCCAAAACTCGGCTAGAGGACCTCTTGACATGGGATCGTCGAAACAAAGTAGCTTGTCGGAGATCAAGTTCGCTGACCCAAAATTCTTCGCCCCAGAGGATAAAGATGATCCTAGAGACAACCTCTCGAAGATGTTCGCCAGCTCTTTCAGCATTAGCCCTAGTCCGGATGATGCGGCTGTGCGAAGCTCCAGACTCAAGGCTGCTGGATCTTTGTTCAAGTCCGATCCTGATGCGGTAGATGCGCCAAATCGACGCGTCACTCGTTTCGTTGAGCTACTCGTGCTCGCTGGCGCGTTTTACGGTTGGATACGTGCCCTAGGCACCAAAGAGCAGTACGGTTCAAGCCTTGCTCTAACTTCAGTTATCGCTGGTCTGATCGTCTCCATACGATTGGCTGCCGATTTACAAGTGGACGCTCAGATCCGAGACGGAATGCAGCCGTCAATCTTTGAACCATCATGGGCCAATTTAGGGTTGGTGCAAGTGTTGGTCTCTCTCATTCTCGCCTGGAGTATTTGGTCAGGGGCCGGATATGAAATTCCCTGTCGTACATACGGTAGCGCCCACTTTACGGTTGCTATCATTCATCACATGTGGCATACGTTTGTGTAGGGAGTTGGGCGGCTGACGGCCCACAATGGGATCAAGATAGAAGGATTTGCATAATAATCCAGCATGTGAAGGCGGGATAACTGTACTACAGCGCTGGTTTGTTGGTACAGAACTGTGTTGCACATACATAGGTTGAACTGGTTGAACTGAGGGTGGAATGGTAGTTTTACACGGTGCATAGCAAGGCGTTTTTCGGGCTCCGCGGGATAGCATTTACGGGCTGCCGGTGAATGAAGAGATCCGCGCATTAGGATTCTGGGTATAGGATAAGGATACCTACACACATACCTCAAGAGTGTACATACACTACCTAGGTACATACTGGATCGAGGGTTCAATTGATAAAAATTGAGTGCGTAATTTGCGTTAATGACTTCCCTATTCTGTTGAATTAAACAAAATAAAACTGAGAATAAAATCATCTAGCCTATGATGGAATCCCCGAAAGTTGGTCAACTGATGGACGTACATAAACAATCAGATTTTAAGATTAAATTGCACGGCATACGAAATGCAATAAGGAGATCGTGGATCCCACGGAGCCGGTACTTGGGCGGTACTTAGGTACATACCTACCGTAAGCAGGGGATCATACGATAAGGGTAGGCGATAACGCCACTGTCAGGCAGTGCCCAGGTTAGGACTTTCGATCGCGTCTATTGCACAGCGTAGCTGACATGCAAACTTTCAGGGTTCATTTCATTCCGCTAGAGAATGATTGGACCCCTTTAAAAAATTGAACATTGCTATTAGTACATTATTAAATCCGCGTTTCCTACATTGTTTTAACTCCTATTCTCTCCGAGGAACCTCATTTTTTTACTCCTGTCTCTTTACAACCTGTTTCATCGTAGCTTTATTTGGTTTTCTAGATAGCTGGGTTTCCTCCGCTCTCTAGTTAATTGTCGCTCCTTAGATTTAGCTACAAAACTCCCCTCATCGCAAAGATGCCTGGGCGAACTCTGCCGACCCTCACCCAAGCCGAGGTCGAGTCGCATAACACCGTGAAGTCTTGTTATGTTACCATCGGCACCAACGTCTATGATGTGACCGACTTCGTCGAATCCCACCCCGGCGGTTCCGATCTAGTTCTCGAATATGCCGGGAAGGATGTTACCGAGATCCTCAAAGACGAAGACTCCCACAAGCACTCCGACTCCGCTTACGAAATCTTAGAGGAGTCACACATCGGATTCTTAGGAACTCAGAAGTCCAACGGCAAGGCGCAGAACGGAAGTGCTACGGGATCTCAGGCCAACGGAAGCGCCCCTTCCGTTCACCCCCGGACGGGCATGTCCTGCGAGGAGGATCTGACCAAGGAGACGGACTACAACACGGATTACAAGCAGCACAGATTTCTTGACTTGAACAAGCCGCTCTTGATGCAAGTGTGGAATGGCGGTTTTAGTAAGAGATTCTATCTAGACCAAGTCCACCGACCGCGACACTACAAAGGAGGCGCATCTGCGCCTTTGTTCGGAAATTTTCTTGAGCCGCTCAGTTTAACCCCTTGGTGGGTGGTGCCGACTTTATGGCTACCTCCCGTTGCGTACGGCACTCACTTGGCCTCGCAAGGATTCGAGACAACTACAGGACTAGCTGCCAGTTGGTTGCTTGGTCTAGGCCTATGGACTCTCATAGAGTACATTCTGCATCGATGCCTTTTCCATCTTGACGAGTATGTTCCATCACGTATCAACTATAGACTATAAGCTGACATGTGTATCTAGCTATCTACCAGACAACAGGGTCGGAATTACACTGCACTTCCTGCTTCACGGTGTCCATCACTATCTACCAATGGACAAGTATCGTCTAGTGATGCCTCCTGCCCTCTTTCTGGTACTTGCAACTCCCTTCTGGAAATTGGCACATTCTCTATTCTTTTGGAATTGGTATCTAGCCACCGCTGTCTTTTGCGGTGGTATCTTCGGCTATATCTGCTACGACTTGACGCATTACTTCCTTCACCATCAGAACCTCCCTCTCTGGTACAAGGACCTCAAGAAGTACCACCTTGCCCATCATTTCCTGGACTACGAGCTGGGCTTCGGCGTAACTAGCCGGTTCTGGGACCAAGTATTTGGTACCGAGCTGGTAACAGTAGTCAAGGCAAAGTAGATGTTACCGCTGCTTCGTCTAAGAGGCTTATTTAATCAATACGGACATGGCGATACGAGTTGATTGCTCACAAAGTGCAACGACTGAGGACCGGGTTCTCGGGGGCAGGGTCGGCAAATCTGGCGTTCGGCTGAATATCAAGAGATTATGGAAATGCTCAGCTTAACCTATGGTCGACTGTTAATAATTAATTACGTGTGTTTACTCTCCCTTGATACACTTACTCTCTTCTGGCGGTGAAGATGATTCGATGGGAAGAAAGGAGCATTTGCGTAACACCAGATCGTCAATTACATGTATATGGAACGTGAAGACTCACAAAAGACTATGCAAAATGCAAATAACATATACCTATCTGATACACAATCACTTATGGAAAGGTACTTTCCAAGATTTTGGCAAAAAGTTCAATTGAGTTTAAGCCCACGCGTGTAACTTTTCAACTTTAAACGTTGACATTGAATTGATGAAAGAACGTCCCATATGCCTAAAACTTAAAAATACGATCTTATGTAAGCAAGCGTTGTCAGGCAGGTGGTTTAGTTTTACCGAGGAGCGACCGAGCAATCATTTCCTGCCACCCCTCCCATCTAAATCATTCGAACTTTCATTTCCCAACTTTGCCATATCGACACTGTTCCCCATCCAATCGCGCTATCGGGCTGTAAGTAATTTCATTACTTTTGTTGACTTTACCTATTCGTTTTCGTTTTACCGATCAAGAAAGATCCTTGGTCGACAATACTTTATACGCAAAGACATCGTAGCCTGAATTTTCTGCTCGATCTGGCCGATCGAAAGGCTTCAAGATGACTACCCTCGATGTCGAAGCCTTGCTTGATGCCACTGCTACCAATAAAAATGACGCCAAGGAAACCCGATTGAAGGATTCAGACGACCGTATAAAATCCGACCGAAGTGAACGTAGAGAACGCGACCGCAGTCCTGGCCGACGACGCGATCGTAGTGTCGATCGAGCACGACGTGACCGTGGCGATGATAGAGAAGCTACTCCGCGAAGCGATGCAGGTAGTCACAAGAGTAGGCGCAGAAGTCGGAGTCGTGATGATGATCGTCGACACTCACGTCGTCACAGAGGAGGTGATGGAGACTATTATCGTAGCGGTGGCCGCGGCCGAGACCGCTCTCGCTCACGTTCTCCCCGTCGCCATTATCGCCCAAGAGACGAGCATCGCGATCGCGATCGCGATGATCGCAGCTACTACAGAAGCAGGGATGAAGAAAGAGTCCGAGGTGGCCGTACGCCGAAGCGTGATGCCACTCCCCAGCTGACCGAAGACGAGCGAGATCGCCGTACCGTATTTGTCCAGCAGCTAGCTGCTCGTCTTCGAACTAAAGAACTCAAGGAGTTTTTCGAGAAGGTTGGCCCGGTCACCGAGGCCCAGATTGTGAAAGATCGTATTAGTGGAAGATCTAAAGGGTAAGCGACCCGATTCCTTGACGTTTCCATCGCTAATGATTTTAATAGTGTCGGTTACGTTGAATTCAAGAACGAAGATTCCGTCACTGCTGCTCTTCAGCTTACTGGTCAAAAGCTCCTAGGTATACCGGTCATAGTTCAACTCACCGAAGCTGAGAAAAATCGCCAAGTTCGTAACACCGAGGGCTCTAGCTCTCACGCTAACTCGATCCCCTTCCACCGTCTCTATGTTGGAAACATCCACTTTAGTATCACAGAGCAAGATTTGCAAAATGTATTCGAACCATTCGGCGAGCTCGAATTTGTCCAACTTCAGAAAGACGATACCGGCCGCAGCCGCGGTTATGGGTTTGTACAGTACGTCGTCACGAATCCCACTCGATTAACAGAGTTGCTAATTTGTTTACTAGGTTCCGTGAAGCTGACCAAGCTCGTGAAGCACTTGAGAAGATGAATGGGTTTGATCTGGCTGGTCGTCCGATCCGCGTTGGACTTGGTAACGATAAGTTTACCCCTGAGTCAACTGCAAATATCCTACAGAGGTTCCAGGGCCAAAACCAACAATATCAGGGATCTGCATTCTCCGGTGCTGGTGGACGAGGTCCTCAAGCCTCCGGGTTCGACCGAGCAGGAGGTCGTGACAACGACAAGGCGACCGGCGCTAGCGCTTTAGACGACACTGATGTTGCTGGTGTCAATTTTAACAACTACAGTCGTGATGCATTGATGAGAAAGCTCGCTCGAACAGACGACACTTCTAACGGAACTCGTGACGAGAGACAGATTCTCAAGCCCAAGACGGAAACCAAGCCGTTGCCTGTTAATGTTAACATGGCCAGTCGATGTGTCGTTCTGCACAACATGTTTGACCCTACTGAGTACGTGTCCTTCGTCAATATTATTATTGTATATGGATGCTAACCTGCAACTACAGAGAAGAAGGTGAAGCTTGGATTAAGGAATTGGAGGATGACGTTCGACAGGAAGCGGAAGAGAAATATGGTCATGTGGTCCATATTTCTCTCGACCCGAACTCCCAGGGAGATATCTATCTCAAATTCGACAAAGTTCAAGGAGGCGAGAACGCCATCAAGGGCTTGAACGGCCGTTATTTTGGTGGACGAATGATCAGTGCTGCGCCTGTTGTGGACGCCGTCTACAGCAGTTTGTTCTCTCGTACCAAGGCTATTTGAGATGCTAATAGTTGGCCTGGCCACTCCCGTTCTAGGAACTCTCGCCGTAAGTCTTCATTATTTGAAAATCATACAAGGTATCTTTCTAACTGTGACTTAGCTATCATCAGAACCACTCCCTCCCTTTATAAGGACGTCAAACCAAATGCAGACCCTCATCCCTTCGCCTGTCAACTTGGTAAACAGTACACTCGACAGATCTCTTCGACGAGATCAAGCGACAATTCCCCAAATCACTATATGCAACAAACTTTTCACGCTGATTCTAAAATAGCAACCCATTCCGGATGGACATGCGTCCTCACTCAGTTGCACGTCGGCAATCCCCCCACTGATATCTGTGTCAAGCCGACTTTTGCTCCCGATCGTTTTCGTCGAATCGGAGAATGTTCGTTGGTCTGCTGACTAGGACCAAGCTAGGTAATTAGAAGTTGGTAGTACTAAATCATTTGAGCTTTAGATACAATATTTTTCTCTGCCTTTGGTGATATATTGGTATGGTAACTCCCGGAAGACTGCTTGTGTCAACTCTGACTCCACCTGTAGATTTTGCGTGGCATTTCTGGATCTGCGGATTACGTTCCGGCCTCCAGTCTTCAACTGAGGCGTCCTAGTTCAATTCGTTGAAGACATCATAGACTAACAAGATGTACTGTTTTCGCAGGAGGTAACGCTACGTCCCAATTACCTGTCGTAGACGTACGACTATTCTCATAGGTAACTTGTGCTCTGAATCTTTCTGTTAGAGTCGGATATTTACATTCTAGGCAGCCCTAATTTGTAGAGCTCCCGCAAAAATGGCTAGTGCCAACTCCTCAAACTAGATCGTTTTCCGATCAGCAAGGGACTACCGCGATGCGACGAACATGCCAACATGGTCCATGTCACTCAGCCAGTCGGGGCCCATGTACGCCCTTTATCCAGCTTGTTCCTTGTAAGTAACATCTATACGTGTACCGCTTCGGCGAGCAGCTAGGACATAATTCTCTAGCAATGGTTAGCTTGCCTACCAATAAGTCTTTTCCCACTCGCAACCATACCGTTCTCGTCAGATGCATACGCGAGGCCTCATAATAACGAGGCAGATGATCGCAAACACGAATTATATATGACGGTACGTACGTTGATTGCGGGTTAACTGAACGCTGCTACGATTCGACAATTCGAAAACTTGGATAATAGAGAATACCTCGTTGGTACAGCAATAAACAGTTTTGAGGAGAGACGTACTCAACGTGTAGGTTCTCCATTACCTAACAGTACTTCACACCAACCTCGATATATTATTACTTATTTAAGATGAGGCATTCAAACATCTGCTCATATCGGTGGCATGATCTGGGTTCAACGTTGGTTTAAGAGCCCGCGGCGTCTACGGTACTACGCCTAAGCATACCTACTCCCTTGCTACAATTGGGTCTTTACCCCCTTGCTGCGAGTATCCGGTGTAGCTATCCAGCCTAGAGTGAGTCCTAGAAGCACTTATTGCTAGTGGCCACCACTATGGGCTTAGCTGAGTAAGACGAGTGTCTTATACATACCTGCTCCTGAATCACTCGGACTTCTGCTAGTGTTAGATAGTCTCTTTTTCATCTATGACACCATGACAAAAACCTGAGCTTAGGTGCTCAGTTCCCTTCAGAGTGTGTTCAATATAGTACTTCTACCATATCACTGGTAAATTCCAGAACCCCAAAGCAATATATGCTGCTATCTATTCGCCATGGCAGAATGGTCGGTCTTCGTTCAACGCTGATTAGATCATTACCTTCCATGAGAGGTCTTATCTAGCTATGTCGTCGTCAACAATAGAAAACATCAGCTTCCCCAAGCATCTCCCAAACATGCAGTCCTATATACTAGGTATAGATAAATATTTTGATATTAAAAGGAGGTCCGATCTATCATGTGTTGCATTTAAGTAGGTACCTAAGCAGGTATGTAACCATGGAGTTATATCCCTTATTATTCCCATACGGGGATATTAGATGCTTGTTTGAGAGTTCACAGAGGCATCAGTGATAAGGTTTTTAATATTCGATTTTACATGCCATATTCTTCCTATCAAAGTGTTTGTATATCTACGACACTGTTAAGGAAGTTCAGGAACACTCGGTCACCAAGTTCTCTATTCTTCTTCTGATCCAAGCTAGTTCGCCATCGAAACGTATCCATGGATGGGAACGACGTATTCCTTCTAATTTCTTCACTAACATATTTCTTATATGTAGCCCTCCCATTCATTTATCTCTTGATGGATTTTACTGATGGCCCCGTCGGATCGCTCAACGCTTAAAGCAATGGAATGACCTAGCTTGGCTAACAACCAAATTTTACCAAATTTTCAATTTGATTGGCCTCATACGCCCATCCTTCGATTGTGATGATCACCTAGGTTGTATGGATGCTCCCTTATATTCTAAAATGATCCTCCAATAACATATCCATAACTGACATTAAGATAGGTTCGTCGTCTCTGTTATCAATATTCCATCTCTATTCATGAGACTTCAGACAATGTAGGCCGGATCTTTTCTGCATGGCTAGCTCAGGATTTGATGCCTTTAGAGGTGGTAGTCATTCATTTACTAGAACCACAGTGTTCAACGATTTTATGACGTTTATTCAACGAGCCTAGCACTAGCAAAGCTCTATCGGGTAGCCGAAGCTATAGCTTTAGTCTGGAGGCACCAGGAGGTGAAGATCTTCAGCAATTACGCCGCTCGACCATTTTAACTAGCCATCGCTGCCTCCATGGTATATATTGCACATCGGAGGCCGATTTCACCAGAGCTGTCATTGGAAATATCATTGATGCTTTGGGCATCGCGGCCATGGTATATGCCAGATGCAGGAGGGAGCTAAGCCCAGAGCTCCTGCGGTTTCTTGTCGCGCATCAAAGCGCTCGATGAGGCAAGGCTTTGTTGACTACCTAGGGAAGTTGTTATGCTCCTATTACCTATCGTCGTCATTCTGATTTAGAAAGGGGTGCTAAACTCACTACCCACTCTATATCATTAGGTATGTATTCCTTTCGACTCCAACACCCATCTTTTCTCTCTTGAAGATCGTGTCCCCATTCTCTGTGTCAATAAACCTAAATACAACTAAGGTACTGTGTCTGCGGCCTCTCAACATGCTCCTGACTCCACGATATCCCTCGAATTTCTAGCTTGTGCTAATAGTCGTCCAGGATTTCATCAAGCGTTGATCAAGTTTGTATGACAACAATCTACTATATTAACAACGATGGTCGGCCTTTAAGTGGGAGACTTAGGCTTCGATACTGGTAATTTGACAAGCTCAATCTTCCTTCCAAAGCCCTTCGATTCTGTGCCACTTTTTCATCCCTTGGGAAGTTAAAGTCGGCCTTTTGGATGGCAATATGAGACCACTCTCGAACTTGTGCTTCATTCAAGAGAGGCAAAGCATCTATGGTTTGTATCTGTGTATAATCTAGTTATTTTAACTCTGCTAACCATGTCCGAATACTAGCCTTTTCGAGCGTGTCTGGATACCCATCTCTGATCTAAACCTATGTTAGAGATGCCGGCATATTACCTCTGAATGACCTTCAGGCTCTATTAAATTGACATAGAGGAAGTTATAGAGCCATCAGACCTCGCTCACTTCATGAGAATTGTCTTAGCCTGCAGGTCTATATAGGCACTGGGCCTATCTTCATGCCCTACTCAGCTTCCCGGCGGCTTTGGATTATGGATGATCGCCGTAGGCGCAGCCACGACACCGACTGAGGACTTCTCGACAATAGTCTATCGACGATGATAGATCTGGCAAGAGACACCTTCAAAGAAGCCCAGTACTTACGGGAAGGTACCGTGGGTTTTTTTGAGAAAGTTCCCCCGAATTTCGATCTCGAATTTCGTTCTATTCTATGTTTTTTCTCCATCCTGGCCGCGTGATTGGATGTTAAATCAAGCCGTTCATTCTACCAGCTCCATCTACTGATTACACTCACTGATTTCTCCAGGTCTAGTTTTTATCTTCACTGCTTTCTGGAAACTTGACTTTCTTTCCTTCACTTCACTTCACAATCATTCGCCACCATCTTTTCTCTTCTACTCACACAACTTTTCCCAGTCACAAATCCTCTCCATTCACTCAACTCTTTCCACTCACGCAACCCTTTTCTCATATGCAACCATACACAAATACATCTTCAAACACTCTTCCCACTTGCGTATTCAAACATCTAAGCAATCTTCAGTAAGTTGGTTTCATTAATTTCCCACGTATGCACCACACAGTACGTTCACCCGAGCACGCAGTAGACACGTCCCCTAACGTTTACACTCCTCACGTCTCCCATACAAATAATCCTCTCACGCATCTCACACGTGTTTTCTTCTTCCACCTTCACATCCTTCATCTATCACCCATAATCTATCCATCAGCATCAACATCAACCACTTCCTTCATCCATCATTCATCGACCATCACAACACTGGTAAGCAATATAATATAGACCCAAACGCCCCCCATCCACCGGACTACTTTGATAAATATGGCACCCGTTCCTCTCACCCATCCTTCGTTTACATTTCTGATTCCCTATTCCCTATTCCCTATTTACCGTAACATCTATTACGTAACATTCACCTTGATCTTCTACTGACCACGTTTATTCACGCCAGAAGAATTACTTTGCGCCTTCACAGCAATCTTTCTTGAGCCTTGAGCTCTTTACTCTAGTCAGTAAGTATACCCTTCATTGCTGGCCATTGTGAAGAACATAAGAAAGAGCCCATCGAGCTCTAGGCGATGTTCTGGCCACGGCTTCAATCACACTCGACTTTTCAAGTTATCTGTTTACTCAAAAGCGGGTACACACTTGAAATCGTGTCACTTTGGTATATCAATAGCACTTATCAATGTCAGATACGCTAACAACCATCACTGCAGAGATGGAGTCCCCTGTTCCATTGGACTTCAGCAATCAGGAGGTAAGTCAGACATTCAAGACATATGTCCTAGCCCTTGTGGGCACCCATTTCCCCTATCCTCAAACCCCCATGACGCATAACATATGGTTACTTCAAGCAAAAAATATTAAAGCTAACATCTCATCTAGGACTTGCCTATGCGCAGTTCTGAAGCCACGCGAGAACTTGCCCGCAAGCAGGGAGCTGTCATGCCCCCTGACGATGACAAGATGCATAGCCACTTCCAGCCGAGGTTCGTAACGTAAGTCTCCTTTGAATCATTTCCTCTTCCGACGTATACCAAAACCTCAATTGAGGTGCCATGCTGTATGCTATATCATGTTCCGGCTTGAAATAGTATAGGTCGTGGTTCGCTGTTGCCCAGGAGTCTGTTACCCCTTACTTTCCTCGGTTCGGCACGGAAGTCCCCGCAAAAAGGGGGTTAGGATGTCATCACATATTTCCGGCAATGGGCCCATTTATTTGACGGAGCATAAGGAAGGCGCAATTGCAACTTCCTTTAGTCATCCGGTCCGTTTCACAGATGGACCGGAGCGGTTGCCGGAGAGGCCACCGACCGTTTTCTGGAACTTATGTCAAAGCTTCCAACCCTTCTATTCTCACTGTGCTCTATGCATTTTACTTGTCATTTTCAATCTTCCTAAGTTCTCGTTCATTTCACTGCTTACTTCATCTACCACCAACCGTTCCTTCAATCCCGCAAAATCGCTTCCGTCTCAACATATTCCTTCGAACGTCTCTAACTCATTGTCCTCTAGACAAGATCCCCCTCCCGGAGCGCTTTTGTGTACGTACGGAGATACACAATCTAAGGTAGCTGATAACACGGATACGGCATCTGGTAAAGAGGAATCTGCTAAGTCCATCGAGGCTGGCACATCTAACGACAGGGTCACCTCTGGGAGTGACGAAGGTTCCGAAGAGTTGAGACTAATCCGTGCGTCCGAATCCTTTGACGCCCAGATTGAACAATACCGGCCGCCATCACGCATTGAGCAACCGGATAGGTCATTGCACTATCGTCGCGGTGCGAACACCTCTTACCCACACCGTCGCCAATTCGAGTCGTATTCAAGCACTCACTCGGGCGCGATGACCAATTACCAAGGTGGAGGTCCACCTAACGAAGATGTAGGTTCCCTATAAGCAACCATCTGCTTCTTCATTACTAACTACGGACCGCAGGATTCTCATCGCACTCATCATGAGATCGCAAACCGCATTAAGGCTCTGACTTTACTCCTTGGCCGTTCAGGAACTCCGTCGGACTCGTCTTACCACACTAGTCTCTTGAATGAGATCGGCCAGTTGGTGACTACGGCGATTTGCAACTTGCGATTCGAGCGTGACACCGCGCGAAATGAACTCGACAGAGTACGACACCGAACACACCGTGACAATGTTAGTCTTCGCACGGAAATCCGACGTCTCCAGGAGGAGGTTAAGAAGGCAGAGAATCGAGAGAAAGTGGTGCAAGCCAATCTAGATTTGGCGAAAGTGACCAGCGATTGCATCAAGGAAGACTACGAAAAAATTACGAAGGCAGCCGAGCATTTTCGAGACCATCACCTAAGGGTCAGAGAGGAGCTGGCGAAGAGAGACGAAGCTAAGATACTCCGGATTGAGGTATGATATATTACTATCGACATGAATGGTCCGCATGGATAACTAATAATTCTATACAGTCTCTGGAGGGAGAGGTCAAGCGTCTTCGAACCCGAAATGCGCAGTTTGCGAAGGCCGCCGGCCTAGAGCCGGACCATGACTCAACTCCGTCCGCTCCTGATTCCCAGAAGGAAGATGCAGAAGCTCGCCACGATTTTCTTTACGGCATGCTAAAGAAAAAGAGCGACGAGCAGGAAGACAAGCAAAGTAAGAAGCATCAGAAGCGTGCTGATAAGAGCGGCAGTAAGAAATACGCGAGCTCGCCTGAGGATGCCCCGAAGTCTTCGATGTTCAATCCAAAGGCGCCGGCCTTTCAGCCACCTCTGTCATCGAAGAATTTGGCGGCTGTGGGTGATTCAGGCCCCGGCCAAAGCCCGACTGGTGGTCCGTCCAATTGGCCTGCGGTCCGTTTCGACCTTCCATCAGCGGGTGATGAGAAGCGCCAGTATGAAGGGTACAATCCTAACAGATCAGGTTGGTATCTCGACGATGTGGACAAGGAAATCCAGCGCATGACGTTGATAGCGAAGGGTTACATTGTCCGTTGCCATAAAAAGGGAGAGCCTACCAACGTCTCGTACAAGATGTTGTCACGCAAAGAAGAGACTACTTGGAAGTATCTGACCAACCTGGTCTTCACCGACAACGTGTTCCAGGCAGAAAGCCGCTTGACCGAGCTCATGGACATCGAACAGCATCGACCATTCCTGGTTATGCGATGCCTTCAGGATTATCTGTTCCGCAACATAGTCTCACCGTCCGTCTTCTTAGGCTTCGATGAGAAGCTGGATCGCCACTTGGCGGCATTGCAGGATAGGATTGCACAGTTTGGCAAGCTTGACTATCCGTGCAACCCACACGATAGGCAAGCGGTGTTGAACGACCATGCTAGGATCATCGATGAGGCATTGAAGAGCCCCGATATGGAGACATTCAGGGCGAACACCATCAACCGCCATTCCCAGATCCTGTCCGGCATTCTTCATCCGCTTCGTGGCGTGAAAGTGGCCGAAAAGGACGCCGATGCGGGTATTCGTGCTCTGATCACTATTAGTTGGGACATGAGCTCTAAGATCTGGACCTCGGGTATGATGTTGTCGTACTATTTCCCGCCATGCGGCTCCAGGTTCACCGAAAATAACATGAAAGCTAGGAATCTGGCTGCTTTTGACTTAGAGGCCCAAATCCAGCTGCAATACATGCATGCACGAGTGGAACTCGCCATGTCGCCGGTACTTTCCCTTCGCGACAATCGCGATGGTGAAATCAAGGGTGCCTGTTTACTAAGCAAGGCGGAAGTCTTAGCCATGAAATAAGCTACTGGGGTTCTCATATTATGAACCCATCTATCCTTTCGCATGGACACACGTCGATATGGGTTTGGACTACAGATTCAAACCATACTTACATCTCTCTCCCCGGAAAGACGACCTTTACATACTTCAAAGGCGTCATACATCTCTACACATCACTTCGTTTCCGCCTATGACGGTCCATCGCCGAGATCGGCATCTGTTTTTTTGGACCATAGGCTTTTCAAATGGCATCAGTCTTTGTACAAATCGGTTTCCTTCTGGTCATTTCCTTTTTTTTTTTTTTTTTTTCATTGGCTTCGGTACTCTAACTTGGCGGAGACCATTACGACTTTACTAGGGTATGAGTTCATGACGACGAGATACCCCCACGCATTGCATCGCCTTTTTCCTTCTGGAGTTTTTTTTCTTTTTTCCTTTCGGCTTTTTATCCATTCTGGTACTTTGACGTCAGACTGGATTCGGTTTCTTTGCAACAGAAAATACACAAAAACCCGGCATAAAAAAAGGTAGTCATTTCGCTGCTCGACCGGGCGAGCAACTCCTTTTTCTCGCGCCTAGCTAGCACCGACAACATCTTGGCTATGGTGACACCTAAGATACGATACTGTATCTAAGGTTATTCTGAATATCTCCCTCGACAGATATTCTGACGGATTTGAACATCCTGGCTTTGGAGTCCGCCAGATGTTTCCGATGTTCTCTGCCTTTTTCTAAAAGGCACGCTGTTTCCTTTTTCTCTCGGTATTTCTCATGACACCATGGTCATGACAGGAACTTCGCTCGGATGGACGGTGGGATAGGAAAGTGGTCGATCCTGGGTCTGCTTGGCAGGGATGCAATTGTCTCAACCGCTCATTTCGCGGCTTACATAGTTCGTCGGCGGCTTGAATTGCCTGCCTAATGCACATTAATTTCCCCAAAACTTTTACTATCATGATTAGGTTTTTTATGTTCTTGTATATGCGTAAATGGTATGCACTCGCGATCGCGAGTGATGCCGAGTAGATGATCATTCCTATGCAGAAATCGTATTTTTTAGTAAACCGGCCTTCATGCTAAACTCATAATCTAGTACTTCTCATATGGAAGTATTCTAAGTACACATAACATAAACTACCTACGTAGATTTAAATCATGAGACAAAGGCTATAAATGAGAAACGCATGTTTATATTTCTACTTATGGTATAACCCGTCGATACTAATACATGCGAACTGCCTGATAAACCGATATCTTCCTTCAAACAGCCGCCTCCAATCTGAGAAGTTAAAAATAATAGAAGAAGTAAAGTCTAATAATACAATTCAAGAATAGAATGGCAATCATCTCTTCGTTTCCCGTCTTCCCCTGTAAGCCACCGAGAACGCCGAGAGAAAAGGGTATCAATATCAATAAACGAGGGCGTCGTAGCACCCCCTTTTTCCTTTTCTCTAACCGTTCCCTTCTATCCCCTTAACCTCCCCCTCTCCCTCCGTAATCTATTCTCGTACCTACTTAGCGAGCCGGCCCATCAACCCTCACCAAGACCTTACGATCCAACTTCCTCTTCACAGCGCCAAGCACAACCTTCAGTATCCCATCCGCCGTGAGCGTAGGTTGGTCAGCCTTGTTCGCCCCATTAAAGGTCGCAGTGTCAACCATATCCCGTATGCTCTCGCGGCGGCACAGCTCGTCGTCGAGCTCCCTCAACGCCTGCGTCGCCGTCGGGTCGCGCCCGACCTGGAAGAACTGGATGCCGATCTGGTGGGGCGGGGCGCGGATCTCGTCGAGGCGGCGCGCGGCCTGGGCGATGATCTCGCCGGGCTCGTCCGTCGGCTGGCCGTCCGTGATGACGATCACGTTGATCGGGCGCACGCAGTACACGTCCCCCCCCGTGCGGCGCACCAGCGCCTCGTAGTTCTTCAGGTACGCGCGCAGGATGTGGTCGAGCCTGAGCCCCGTGGGCGTCGCGAGGCTCGGCTTGATGTACTTGAACATGTTCTGCACGACGCGCGCCTCGCGCACGCCGCGGTACCCGGACCCGACGGCGCCGCGCAGCGCGTCGCCCCGGTCCGAGGTCCGGTGGTTCAGGAAGTACACGTCCACGCCGTCCTCGTCGTGCTCCATGCAGATCGGCAGGATCGCCGATATGGCTTTCTGCGTCTCCTCCCAGCGCCGCTCCGCTTTCATCGACAGCGAGTCGTCGATCAGGAAGATCGTGTTGAATTCTTTGAGGAAGGCGTACTGGTCGTCTTGGATCGTCTGCGGTGTCTCGGCTGGGAGTTCTGGGGGCGGATTAGTTAGGGGTAAAAGTGGAGCTGGGGCTGTGAGGTCTCACCGGAAACTACGAGAGGCTCCTCCGCCGCGCTCGGGGAGTACGGCGGAGGCGGGCTCTGCTGTCTATTACCGCGCGAGTTGGAGAATAGACCGGTGAATATGGAAGCCCGGCTTCGGCGCTCGCCGGACTCGTTCTGGCTGCGGCCGCTAAGACTTCGACGTAGCGAGAATCCGGAGGGGGAACGGCTCCGATTGGAGGACGATCGCCCCGTTCCCTCGGGAGCCAACCGAAGCTGGGAAGCTTGGCTTGATAGCTGGGAGTCTACATTGAATGGATTATGACCCATATTGATGTTCTGCTGGTGGTTACACCCGCCGTATCGGCATTGACTTGTGCAATCTGGGGTCCTGAAACTGGATAGGGTGGATGTGGTAGAAGTTGAGGAGGAATAGGAAGAGTCGGACGTAATATATGGCATTTTGTATGTTGGTGCTCAGTAGGACTCTGATTCAGCTATGTTAATAGTTCGGAGTCTAATGTGGACAGGTGACAAACAAATACGTGTCTCAGTTGGTACGTGTTTGCTTTCCCCTTTCTGTCTTTGGACGAAGGTAACGATATTCCGAAGTTAGTTTTGATATTCTCCACACTTTGCTTCAATTTAAAGTTGGACCAAGTTGCTTGAATGTCCACTCTTGAGGCAGTGTTAGTTGTTGGTTAACTTGAAGTCTTTCTGGTTTGAAGCTCATACCCAACTTATTCTATTTCTTACTCGTATATATATATATATATACAACTGATTTATCTCACAGTGACTCCTTTGTGGCCATAGAGCCTTGGCTCCGCCTTGTGTGGCAGAGCCCATTTGCCCTTCATCTGAGTTTCATGACATATAAGTCGAAGTCGAATTGGCAAAATCACCCTCGCCCCAGGCTTCATTCACGATGGACTGTTTGAGGCACGGCTGATACAATAGTGCCACACTAACACTCAGCCATGTGACATAGAAAGGTAGTTTTTGTCAATAATGATAATAATGATGGGATAAATTCCAAATAGAGTATGAGCAAGTGGCTGAGTGCTACTGCGCCCTAGGCAGACTTTCCACCAACCACAAGGCACATATACTTGGCTTCCTATTGGCTCAGATGCTACAGTCCCACAGAATTAATATCCATGCAGGAACCATTCCTTGGCAATACTGTAGGTACTCCTAAGGCATTCAACTGGGCATAATCATCTATTCCTCTTTGTATATTATGTAGATAGTATGGTAATGATCCCTAAGATCTCACTTTCATTATAGATGTGACCCCAATCATCATCCTCGGTGGTGTATAGGGAGAGATTTGCAATCAAGGCAGAATATCACCAATCCGGGGTTTCAATAATCTGCTAAACCCGTCAAACGGATTATAACTCGGCTTATTTTCGTTGAATTCGGCGTGATTACCTTTAGTCTACGCCTTCTCTTCTAATCATATTATCATCTGCACATTATTCTACCTATCGAGGGTATAACTCGCGATCGAGAGATCGCACGATGATCGGATGATTCGGCCATGTCTTTCGAAGGTCGGCATTATGAAACGCGTAACTTCGGATGGAATGAGGCTTGTAGAGCCTCCCCTCAACACCATCAGAATTCGCGCGCGCCTGTGTAGACCTGATATAGCCAGGCCCGGTATACCCTTTTAAACCCGCCACCACCCAAACCCAATTAATAGCTAGGCATGCAGTGACCGTATGGTCTTCCCTGCGGATCTATCTACCCCAAGGTATAATTGTTTAGCCCCATAAAGGAGCCGTTACCTCAACGGCCCGTTCAACGACAGCCTTGACCCTGTCTGCGAATGCCTTATTGTTGCATTCAACTTCTAGATCCTCTAGCCAGACCGTAGCCAACATCTTGTCTACCTTGATGGTAACTCCGGGCACGGGGATGCCAATCTTATGCAACCGTTCGAGCTCCGTCTGCTGCCGTAGTTCCAGCAGCCGTTCCTCTTCCTCACCATCGTCCGATAACTCCATAGAGGCGTCCGAGGCAGCATCGTCATCGTCGTCTTCCGACTTCTTAGGCTTCTTGTCCTTGACTAGAGGCGGCAACTTAGGAGTTGCCACGGGGGCCAGGGCATCGACCCCGAACTGCGCCTCGAGGAAGAGAAACAGGCGTTCGAGCCGCTCCGCCGGTGTGAGATTCGCGTGGGGGTTTCGGGCCGGTAGCCCGTGGGAATGCGGATTCTTGCTCGCGGATCCTGAGAAAAGTGTTAGTGATTTGGTTAGGCAGACGAAGGGGCAGATTACTTACGCTTCACAGCAGCAGGGCTGCTCTCTACCGACAAGAGAACTGCCATTACGGCATCCGCGATGCCGTCGTTGAGCATGTTCCCCTCCCACTCTAATTCTACCTCACCGTTGTTGCGATACCGCACCGTGATGCAGCCCATGACTAAATATGCCGCGACCAATTGTGCAACTTCCTCGTCGGCGTCAGGCATCTTGCCATTCCCATTTGCTTCGGCATCATAGTTTTCCTTGCGGTTCTTTGTCTCCGGAAGTTCCTCGATATCACCAAACGTGCCCTCCAATGCCCATTTGATAAGGTCAATGCCAGCAGCGCTTAATGTAAATCGTTGCCGGCATGCGATTGTCGACGTTGTCAGACCCGCATATTCCCGCAAGTCTTCCGGGTCCATCAACGACATCTTGAAGTCGTTCTGCACTATAACTCCGGCGATCAATTCCGTGGTTTGGTCGTCAGGCGTAGGCAACTGCTTGGGAGGGGGTATGGATGCCAGCTTGCCAACAACCTTGGCTACTTTATCCGTCTTGAATGGGATTCGCAATTCTTCACAATTCCTCGGGCTGTAAACCTTGACTTTGTCTGCCTTGCTCGCGTTAAGAGATAGCAATTTCGATTTCAACCGCATCATGTTGTGCTGTTCGCCATGGACCAGAATCTAATCAAGTTAGAGAAAAGAATTATTATGCATAAAGGGGAAGCAACTCACCACCACAGGAGCTGCGACTTCTTCGATGAACTCCTTGTTTTCTTGGCCGTCAACATGAGCAGCGAAGGAGTATTCGGCGACACTACATCTTCGAGGTATCATGACTTTCTCACCGTCGCCGCCAGGTGCTCTCCTGACTGCGTTGAGATTCCTTGACATGACAGCTTGGATTTGATCCGGTTCCTGAACAATGTGTTTCGCCATAGTGCCTTCGACACTGTAACCTGTGATGATAACACCGTTCTTTTCATTCGGCGCCCATCTCTCTAGCAGTTCTCTGCTGACTCCGTTCTGTAGCATACCGGGACTCGCAAGCATAACGCAGCCACCGACATCGTCGAATCGATCGAGGTTTTTCAGTGATCTGATATACTTGAAATCCCACGGACCGCCTTTACCCGCACCATCTCCCGCAGCTTCTGCTTCGGCCATCCGCTCTCTGAACAAACGCTTGATGTTGTCGTTCATGGCGCCGACGTAGGTCTGGTATACGACCATACATTTTCGGGCAAGGTTACTTGCATAATAGATAGGAATCTTCTGGAATTCTGAGTGCTTACCCCAGTACTCGTCCAGGATCAACAGCAGCTCCTGTGCCCTACCTAGAGCGAACACTGGCATCAGGACCCGTCCGCCTCGGTTTAGGATACTAGTAATGGATTTCATTAACGCTTGCTCCCTCTCTAATCTAGGAACATGTGTTGATACTCCGTATGTTGATTCAGTAATAAGCACGTCGATCTTAATGCCTCTAGGGACTTCAGCGGAGACGAGATGTCGGTCTTGTTCGCGAGAGTAGTCTCCGGTAAAAAAGATGTTCAGCCCCGCAATCTCTATGAGGAACATGGCAGCGCCTAGCACATGACCAGCGGGATATGGAGTAATCCGGATAGATGAGATGGTGTGGGTGGTGTGATAGTCGATAGCCTCGATCTGAGGGAAGGTGTTTAGATGGTCCTGTTCTGTGTATACGGGCTGTGACGTAGGATTCGAGGAAGTATTGCCAACTCGGACACTGTCTTGGATGAGCCATTTGTAGATAGCTTTTGTCGGATGCGTCATGAAGACTCGGCCTCTGAAGTTGGTCTTCGCTAAAACATAAGGTAGAGACGCGGCATGGTCTATGTGGAAACTTGACTGATATTAGCATACTTCTTATATGTATGGTATACGAGATCTAAAGACTAAGGGGTGTGGTTCGTCGCAATGGGCAGCACGACAAGTTGAGGGCGCTACCGGTTGGGTGATGGAGTAATGTGATTTATTGATAGCTGAATACATAAGAGCAAGATTGCGAATGTCCAACAACATGTAGACGTGATATCATGGTGGAATACCAAAACAACAACTTCTGTTTGTGGACATGGGTAAACATTGCCTTCCACCCCAACCGTCATGAAGCCCTTGACTATATACAACTGTATTATATGACGAAGGCGGGAGGGCGAGACTTACTGGCTAATTAGGAGCACATCGACAGTGCTTAAGTCGAAGTCATCGAAGAAGGGAAGAGCGGCAAGACCATCGTACGCGGGATGTTGGCCAGCATCAAGCTATACAAGATTGATAATTAGAATGGCTATACCCTAATAAGATAGGAATACGTCACTGACTTACCATGACAGTCTTTCCTTTGTATTGTATGATATGGCATGATCTACCGACTTCATTTCCACCTCCCAAGCATAGGAACATTAACTCATCAGAAGGATCTACAGGCTCTTCATCGGCAGTCGTAGCCATTGCCGAGGCCTTGCGCTTAGATGCCATGATCTCTAAAATACCTGTGGCGGTTGAAAAATGATATCGGAGCTGCGCTCGTTTGTTGCAAAGCGTGTATTGCCAATGGAGCTCAGATACAATTACACAGTAGGCATCTCAAGACGGGTCGCATAGTAGGAAGAAAACGAGGGGTTGGCGGAGACTTCAAGGTATGTGTATTGTACCTAGCCAATTATCAATTGTTGATAGGAAGAGGATTGAAGAGAGATAGAGAAAGGTTGATTGGAGGTTGAAGTTGGAAGTTCGGAAGTTTGGTACGTAACGCGGCTAGGTTAATTGAATTAAACGCGGCGCGTTTGAGTGGGTACCTCTTTCTAAGGTTTCTTGGTGGAACCCAGCGGCCTAGAAAAAGTCAAGATGAGGCTCACAGTCAAACATTAACTAAGAAAGCCACGGAATTTATTTGATCCGATTAAAAACGCTTGGACCAAGTTGAATGATTGCACGTCGAGGCTGGCTTCAAAGTTCAAAGGGTAAAAAGGGAAAGGGAGGCCCGTGCGTAGTGCAACACGAAATCTTTCCAATGGGGGCTCAGGGAAGGAAGGAAGCTTTTCTGTGTTGCTGAACTCTTTAGATCGCCTCCTCATTCAACCTACAAAAAACATCCTATCCGACGCGACGCCGGGATACTAATAACTTGCGATCATACTCGGCATCACAATAGTCGCCTCAAAATCGATAGTAATCTACTTATCGCGATAATTCGCATCTTACACCGTCGGATGGGTTTCAACCAACCGAACGAGACAGGCTCTGTGCCTGTCCAGGACCAGAGACAATAAAGGATTCCTTGACGCTTGGTGTCAGTATCTACACTAGCAATACCGACTGCAACACGGGACACTGTGGGGACAAGTAAAGTAAAAGAGTAAATCATTGTTGGGGCGAATAGGTGAAGGATACTGGTATACTGGTACTGTACCTGGGATATTAAATACTAACCGCCATACCGCAATCCCGACAACACCACAACACCACCGCGGCACCGCAACACCACTCAACCAACTTGCGCATCATTCCCCAAAATGTCGTCGCATCCACAACCGACCATGCCTCCGAGGCAATTTTCCCCTCAACAATCACCGCCGAATCAGACTTACCAGCTTCCTCCTAACAAGAGAGCTAAATTATCTCCAGTTGGGATGACTCTTACCATGCCGTCCGCCGCGACAACACCGCTCGCCTCCCCTCAACCACACACTCCCACGCCTATTCCTACTACCACCATCGCAACAACAACATCTGCTACTGCTACTACGACCGCCTCTCATATTCCATATTCTACTGCAAAACTTGCGCCTCTACCCACCACCGCTATGCCATCAATGCCTCCTGTTATCACTAACATGGGACCACCGGCTATCAACCCGACGGGTTCCTTCTCTAACGATGCGACAAGACAGCCATCGAAGCCGGCGACCAAGGCCGCTCACACGTACGAAATGGACGATATGCTCATGGGAACCGATATCGATCTAGAAGAAGAGGCAGAATTCATGAATAATCTGGAGTCTCGTGTTGGCGGTCAAAATCATGTATACGGACCTGGACCGGCGATTCAATCCACCAATGGCGTCAACGCGCGTACGCAAGAGGAAATCGAAGCGGAACAAGCAGATATTGAATGGAATGAACGCGCAATGAAGTATGCCCGTGACAAGTGTTTCGAGATTAGCAACTCCTTGCTAGAACCTGCTATCTTACACAAGCGATTACATGACGTTGCTACTAAGCAGGGTCTAACTCTCAACATGGAGCTGAAGCCTGACGGTGGACGTTTCGGTGGAAGAAACCAGAACCCTGCCGAGTTTCCAAAACCGGAGATTAAAAGCTACACCCAAACCCGCCCAGATGGTTCAATCGTTCAAACGCATAGTTCATCTATTCCTCCTGATGCGTATTTAGTCGATCAGCTCTCACTACTGTCTTTGGCCACGAAGCATCGCTTGCGTGAGCTGATCGGTGACGCGAACAGGATTGCCACCACGCGACAGATGAGCGCGCATGGGGTGGTACCTCAAGAATGGCAAGACGTGGCCGTTCCGCTAAATGCGGTGAACGGTACTCAGGGCGAAAGCCCACGAACAGGTGCGGAGAGCGCGGTTAGCCCCCGCACAAACCCTCTAAAACGTACGGATCTTTTCACCTTGGTTGTTTTATTCATTCGACTAACTAGGTTCTCTAGGTACCGCGGACCAACTCAGCAACGGGCTACCTACTCCTGTCTCGGAAGCTTCTCCGACGAATCATCTAATCGATGTTATGACCAGCAGTGGAAAGGGCGCGCGTAACTTAGAAGAGAACCGACTCCGAAAGCGACAGAAGCGTCAAGAGAAGCTGAATGGCGAGAAAGAGGGTGCCGATGGTACGTCACGAGCTGGATCTGTAGCGCCCGGTACGCCCGGATCTATTGCGCCAGAACCAGGCGAGAAACCGCCCCCCAAGAAAGAGAGCAAGAAGGCAGCGGCCAAGCAAGAGGCTAGCAGTACCACGGTGAATGCGACTCTAGGCCTCTTTGTGGGCTCCAAGAAGAAGAAATACTCGTGGATGACGCAGGGTGCAGGCGGACCTGGTAGTGGAGCGAGTACGCCGAGATTGTCAGGCGCCGGACCAGGCACTCCGGGTTCTACGACCGCCGGTGGCAGTAAAGCCCAACAAGGCCCACTCACGAAGGCAGGCGTCTCGCACCTAGGACAGTTCCGCGAAGATTCCGAAAAGGGGAAGAACATTCAACTTCGTGATTGGGTGGTGGTTCTCGAGGAACATGAGATCGACCCGAGATCCTTGCAGCAAGCATATAATATTCTTGACAGATCTTGGAAGGTCGGTGTGGAAAACACGTCGACGTAATAGACGGATAACCCTGAAGAATTGGTACCGCGATTCGATGGGTTCGTGCTCGGCCAATCTGATCCTGAATCGAAAGATAACGAGACGAAATTACTTTACAGAGGAACTCACCACCCCTCCGGCCTTCTCGCGTTGTATTGTCTATACATATTTTTCTACGTTTACTACAGCCAGGCGTTTTTAAAGACCAAGAGGATATTAGGGAGGTCACGGTTGGCATTGCATTTTCTGGTTTTTCGCCTACCCATGGTCGATGAGTGGAAACAAGAGACGAACGGAAGGGTACGTACGATAAGGGATGGCCTGAGTAGGGGGTATACGTGTGTTGGAGGATCAAGAATTCCGCAGGCCTGCATTTTCGGCACCGGCAATTCGAGGTAATCATGCTGGCTATTCGCAGATGATGTGCTATGCTAGCAGTCAGAATTAGCTAGCAACCTGACCAGAAAGGAAAATTCGATTGCGTTTCTGCATAAATTCCCTAGCTAGTACATGGCGAAGAATGGCCAAAAAAGACGTATAATCCTATGCGAATATGTTGATCTGGTGTATTTGTTGTCAGCCTACGTAGATGTGACGTCGTCCTCGTTTCCCCGACATGGATTCGGCTTCGGCCGCATCTAAGTGACGTCGGGGGAAGTGGGGAACGACCCCTTCCCCGACTAGCCAAGTACCTTCCCATGTAATATGTATCACTTCAAGGAACATTCCGAACGGGTTTATTTTCCGGGCTCGCTATCTCCCTTTCCTCCTTTCTCAGCCCGTGACACGATTCGAAGACATGCGGTCGTTTGATTCAGACGAGTTTTATCGGGTTATTTATCACATACACACTTGATTTCGAGTGCTTTGTTTCGCGGTCTCACCTGCAGAATATCTATATACTTACCTATTTATATCTATATAATTCTCATACGCTCATCTAAGTCAGACGTGTCTACATAAGACTACCAGACACATCCAATATCCGTATTTAGCTTCATTTAATGATGGCTAAAGCAGTAAGATACATAATTCTCTTTACAATCCTAGAAAGATGAGCTAGAGGTAGTGAATAGGACTATATGGATCACTATATATGAGATTCCTATACAAAACCCGAGTAACTACACGCAACTAACTCATAGTATAGGCGATCGGTCAGATCTGCTCGAGCAACTCGATGGCTCACAACCTCGAGCAGTGCGTTAAACTCGTGGGTCAGGCTGCAGCTAAAGGTGCTAAAGTACGTGAGAGACCATGAGTTCTCTTTTTTCTTGTGGGCCTTGCTCCGGGTCTAAACTTGGTAGTGTTGCTTAATGCCCTTATTCCCTGCTTCTCGGTGACGGGCACGACGGAGAAAGCCGAGCCAAAGAAGCTATAGGCAACCTGTTCCTCTGGATATTGCACGTTCGCGAACGCATGGATAGAGATGAGTGCTATAAGCTCAAGACGTCCTCATATCCCTATCCGAGATGTCCAAATTGCCCAGGACCAGCTTCTTCACCTAATAACCAGGCCTAACTAACACCCCTAGATCCTCTTCCTGCCCGAAGCATCCGACTACATCGGTACCTCAGCCGCGGAATCGCTCGCCCTCGCCAAGCCCGTCAACACCTCCCCCTTCGTGAACGGCCTACGCTCGGCGGCCGCCGAGCACAAGCTCGCCGTGCACGTCGGGATCCACGTGCCCGTCGCCGTGAAGCTGACCAGCGACCCGAGCAACCCGGTCCTGAACTCGATCCCGGAGTCCGAGGACGCCGAATCCGTCGAAAAGGCCAGCAAGGAGGCCGAAGAGAGCAGCAGGACCCGAGAGGAGGGCAAAGAAGAAGAAGCGGGAGAAAATGAAGCAGACAAGGACCCGAAAATCAAGCTCTACAACCGCACGATCTACATAACCCCCACGGGCGCGCTCCTCGAGAACGGATCCTACGACAAACTGCACCTATTCGACTACCCCTCAGCCTCCCTCCGCGAGTCCGCGACAACCCAAGCCGGATCGCGGTTCACGCCACCGATCCCCTCTCCCATCGGCCTCTTAGGGTCGCTAATCTGCTTCGACCTGCGCTTCCCCGAAGCGGCTCTGCACCTAACGACGCGGTCTCACCTGACCCCGCCCTCGTACCCTCTCGCGAACCCGGTCGCGAACTCGCCGAACCCGCTTAACCCCAGCGAGTACAAGGCCCCCGCCCAGGTCCTCCTGTACCCGTCCGCCTTCACCGTCGCCACGGGCGCCGCCCACTGGAGCGTGCTGCTCCGCGCCCGCGCCATAGAGACCCAGTCCTATGTCGTCGCCGCCGCCCAGGTCGGGCTGCATAACCCCGGCTCCTCCGCGAACCCGCGCGTGAGCTACGGCCGCAGCACCGTCATCGACCCTTGGGGCCGCGAGCTGCTGGTCTTGAAAGGGGTGCGCGAGGACGGGAAGGACGCGGAGGAGGGCGCGGTGGGAGAGCTGGGCGTGGTCGATATCGATCTTGGCGAGTGGGAGAAGATAAGGGAGGCGATGCCGCTTATTAGGAGGACGTGAGTTACCTTATTCCCTATTTCCTGACCCGCGACCGGCGGCGCGGGCCCGGGGGCGGGCGGGGGGGGGGGGGGGGGGGGGGGGCGGGGGGGGGGGGGGGGGGGGGGGGGGGGGGGGGCGCC